TCCAAGATGTCTGCTAGTGTCGACAGTTCCGCCATTTTCATGAGCGACACACCCAACAAGATCAAGAATAAGATCAACAAGCACGCTTTCTCAGGTGGCCAGGATACTGCAGAGTTGCAGCGCGAGCTGGGTGGCAACACCAAGAACGATATCCCATTCCAGTACTTGACATTCTTCCTTGAGGATGACGAGGAGCTGGAGCGCATCCGTACCGATTATGAGAGTGGAAAGATGATGACTGGCGAGATTAAGCAGAAGTGTATCGCTGAGCTTCAGACTTATGTTCAAGGGTTCCAGGAGCGCAGGGCACAGGTTACGGATGAGATCATGGCCGAGTACATGCGTCCTCGCCCTCTGGAGTGGAAGGGAAATCCCAACCCAGTGGTGGTCGAAAAGGCCAAGAAATAGACCTGCTGGTGGGGAGCGGCATTTTCCGGAGCAATCAAGTTTAAAAAGACGTACGATTCCATAGCATTTTCATCAATTTACCAATACCATTCAAATATGTCGACTAGATATATGTACCCATCGAAGTAGATGCATACATACTATGAAGTATGGGCAAGATATTCTCACTTGGCTATAATCTGGCCTCGAATGAACCCCCTTACGCCATTGCTCAACCAACAAAACTCGCCATCCACAAGTTCATTGCGGGATATGGCGTGTTCGAGACAGAAACCCTGAGATAATGCGTACCTCCGTGTTGTACCTGCATTGCCGCCACTGCTCAGTGGGGGTGTGATCCACATATGGTCCCGCAAGAAGTATGGCGTAGTGATGCTGCCTTCCATAACATCGCCATCCGGGTTCACAACCAGTACCTCCGCAAGGTCTGTTGGCGAGTTAATTCCCGCCCTCAGCCGAGCAGACGTGTAATCATCACGTGCGGTAGTTTTATGTGTGGTGAATGCGGAGGGAGTTGTTGGTTGGGTATCAACATAGACGTGCCATATCGGCAAGCTTGGGTTCGTATGTAGAGAGGGAATGAACAAACTCATTAGATCAATGCTCGCTGTTGGGTTCGCCTCAACTTTCGCCTTCCCTTTGCTGTTCACTACAATCCGAAGCCTCCACGCTTTGCTTCGGTCCGGAATCGACGCGTCGAGGAACTCCTCGAAGCCCTGCAAGTCTTGCTGCAGCCAGTGTAGGGCCTCGTTCCATTGGAAATGAGCCGCAGCAGCTATGAGCCGGTGTTGGTGATAGGCGAGGAGATAGTAGGGGCATTTGTGAGGATCAGGATAGCTTGATGCATGGCGGCATGCTGCATCTGAAAGACCCGGGTCAAAGCGAAGGGAAGAAATGATCTCGAAAGATTGCGGGCTTGAAGAGTTCTCGGTCATTTTTGCGAATGTCAATGGCTTACGGTCGTTGCTGTAGTCACCAAGTTAGTCTTGCCAAGTGGTAGATGAATCCACACAATGTTGCTTCGAACCATAGTTCGAAAAACAAAGAGGGGGAACAGAACACAAAAAGATCCGACGAGCCAACTTTTGTTCAATCCGGACATGTGTTGTGGAGAACTAAGCGTAACCGGTACAAGGCGCGTGATTGGCCGGCCCGACCAGCGGAACCCTTGACTTTTCCTCTGAGCTTCATCATTCCCGACTCTCCCCATCTTTTAACTCCTTCTGTCGAGGTCTGGTTAGTGACTCTATTTTCCATCTCAGCCTAATTGCGCTTGACTTGCCGATTGAATACTGACATCTGCATACATTTAAAGAACTAGCCGCGTCGGTCGCTCTCCTGGTTCCCTTACACATCATGTCGAACGAATTGCCGTTATCTACGCCTACACCCGTCCAAAATGTGGTGCTTGATACATCAAAGCTGACTGAGTCATCATCGGCATCCGTCTGGGATCGCATCACCAACTGGGTCTCAGAGAACAAGGCTGTCGTTTACACCATTGCCGGTGTTGCCGTTGTCGTGACCGGCGCGGGTGTTGTCTACTACCTGAACGATTCCAGCAAATCCACCCCCTCAGCACCCAAAAAGAGCAAGACCCAGCGACGGAAAGAAAAGAAGAAGGCCGAAGAGGAGAAGGCTGCATCTGTGAAGGATGGTACGTGCTCTTGTGATAAACACGGTGGTCGTATGACTGACAAGTTTCTAGAGTCTCCCAAAAAGGCAGAGGAGCCCACCGATGAACTTCCCGAAGTGGATGAGGCAACTATTGGACAACTGTCCGAAGAGGTATGTTAAGCAATCTTTTCTTTCACAATTTCGCTGACAGTCAAGACCCGAAACGCCTATGCCGCCAAGCTGAAGGCTGCCGGTAACAAGGCCTACGGAATCAAGGACTATCCCAGCGCGATTGAATACTACGGCAAAGCCATTATCTGCAAGCCAGACCCCGTCTTCTACTCCAACCGCGCCGCGTGCTACAATGTCCAGTCCAACTGGGAGAAGGTCGTCGAGGACACCAGCGCCGCTCTCGCCATGGACAGCGAATACGTCAAGGCTCTCAACCGAAGAGCCATTGCGTATGAGCACCTTGAAAAGTACAGCGAGGCTCTCCTCGACTTCACAGCCAGCTGTATCATTGATGCCTTCTCCAACGACGTGAGCCGTAACTCGCTCGAACGACTGCTGAAGAAGGTTGCCGAGAAGAAGAGCCAGGCAATTCTGGAGGCGCGTACTAAGAAGTTGCCTAGTGCCACCTTTGTCTCCAACTACCTCCAGAGCTTCCGTCCTCAGGTCCTGCCAGAGGGATTGGAGGAGTCGGTTGAGTTGAGCGAAGAGTCTGGCAAGGGCCAACTGCGCAAGGGTCTCATCGCTATGGGCAAGAAGACCGCTGATGGCTACGAAGAGGCTGCCACCGCTTTCGAGAAGGCACTTGAGCTCGGCGAGCTCGACGAATTTGAAGGATTGGCCCTCAACATGCGAGCCACCTTCACCTATCTTGGTGGTAATGCTACTGGTGCTTTGGCCGACTTGGACAAGAGTGTCGAGCTGTCCCCTTCCCTGGTTCAAAGTTACATCAAGCGCGCTAGCTTGCACTTGGAGCTTGGCAACAAGGACGCTGCGGCCGATGACTTTGAGCTTGCCATTACCCACAACAAGGATGATCCCGATATCTACTACCACCGTGCCCAGCTGCACTTCATCCTGACCGAGCTTGCCGAGGCTGCCAAGGACTACCAGAAATCGATTGACCTCGACCGGTCGTTCATTTACTCCCACATCCAACTTGGTGTGACACAATACAAGATGGGCTCCGTCGCCTCGGCGATGGCCACCTTCCGCCGGACAGTAAAGAACTTCGAGGATGTCCCCGATGTCTACAACTACTACGGTGAGCTTCTGCTTGACCAGCAGAACTATTCCGAGGCCATTGAGAAGTTCGACAAGGCTGTTGAGATGGAGAAGCAGAGCAAGCCCATGGGAATCAACGTCCTTCCCCTGATCAACAAGGCTCTTGCTTTGTTCCAGTGGAAGCACGACTTCCAAGAGGCTGAGAATCTTTGCCAGAAGGCTCTTATCATTGACCCCGAGTGCGATATTGCCGTCGGGACCATGGCCCAGCTTCTGCTTCAGCAGGGCAAGGTCTCCCAGGCTCTTAAATACTTTGAGCGCGCTGCTGAGCTGGCTCGCACTGAGGCTGAAATTATCAATGCCATCTCCTATGCCGAGGCTACCCGTACCCAATTGGAGGTCCAAGAGAAGTACCCCCAGCTAGCTGCCCGCCTGAACACCATGGGTGCCATGAACGGTGGTGCCCCTGGCATGTAAGCCAGTCAGCAGATCTCGGGACCATCTTCGCTCTTCGTTTCTTCGCTTCTGTCTTCACCCCGGTCTGGGGATTTCTATCTAAGCCTTTTTTTCTCCGGTTTCGGTATCTTTGGATCCCCGGTCACTCTTCTCTCTGCGTGTATTTACTATCGGTTGACATATTCCCCGTCCGCCTTTTCTTTCTTTTTGTTTTGGTAGGTTTGAGATAAGACTCGGGATGGGATGGGCCGATGAACGGCAAACTGAGCCCGGTTAAGTGCATTGGGGGTTTGACCATGTAGTAATTTGTGTACCATAGAGGAAAATGAGAGTGCTCATTCGCATCAGATTATTCACACACACTTGAATACCTCATAAAAATATCAAGTATGCTATGTATTGAATACGATGTTATATAGTTCCCAGCTGGGCATAGTGTACAGATGACCATGACGTGGGTCCCCACATCAGCTGACCCCACCCCTTATCGGCATCTCCGGACTTTCTGAGATTGTTTTTGATTGCATACCTTCAAATGTCAAAGAAGACAGGCACTGAGTAGCGAAACAAAGCTTTGAGTAAGTTAATATAGACTCTATCTACTTAACCTGTGTCCAGTCGGGAAAGACCGTCAAGCCAGGGTATACATATGTATGCGTGTTGAAATATAAGCCCAACGGCGTCATTTGCTTATCTTACACTATCACTTCTCATACATACCTCATTGTTCCTGAGCTTCCGGATACTTTACTTCTTAGTTCCTTGTTGAATTCTGACACTTAAAAATCGAATAGGGTTGTCGGTAACTGACGATCAAGTTGATCTCCATTTCAAAGGGGTTTTGCACTCCCAAACTTCTTGTTGCCAGCGGTGAACCTAACTTCGACCTGATTCATGAACCTACCCCTCTTCCTTCCCTTTCCCCTTCCACACCTTTTGTGATTTGAACGACGTTTCATATTTGCTGCTTTGAGTTGCTCTGCTTGCAAACTATCTTTCTACCTTTCTGCCATTAATCTGCCATCTCCCGGCTGTCTCAACTGGTCCATGTGATCGCATTGCAGCCTGGAAACACCCAGGTAAGCTGCCTTTGTCTCCAACTTCCCTAGCCACCCACACCCCCTCCTTCATCTTTCCATGCTTTGTTCTTCATTCTAACTTGCTGTAATGATCTCTCTTATCACATATGGAATTCTGTCTCTCAGTCTAACTATCATCTAGAGACAAACAGCTTCCTATCTCTGCTCTCCAAATCCTACACAGTACCATCGTTGATCTATTTCACCATGTCGGATCCACGCGGTAAGTACTTGAAACCCTCTTGACACTCACCTTGCTTACAACTGACACCTCGAATTTATAGTCACCGTGACGCTGGCTCCCCTTTTCGAAGACACCCACCCTCTGCGTACCCTTACTATGACCAACAATGATCAGACCGTGGCGATCGGACGTGCCTCAAAGCGTGAAACTCGAAAACGGAGCCCTGCAACAGAGAACGCTTGGTTTGAGTCTCGGGTCATGTCTCGTGACCATGCCTTTCTCAACATATTGCCGGGCCGAGACGTTAGTTCAAACCTCCAGATCCGATCATATAAGGCTTTACTGACATTCTTGATAGGTGGTTTCCATCTGCGACTGTGGCTCAACACACGGAACCTTCCTAAATGATACCAAACTGGCGACGGACGTAGATACCCCGCTGCTGAGTGGAGATATCATCCGATTTGGTGTCGACGTCGACCGTGGTCAGGGTAAGTCATCAATATCAGTGTAGTAGGAGTGGAACTAATCAAATACAGAGGTTTTTGAGGCCATCGAAGTCCGCTGCAAGGTTGAGTGGCTTAAACCCCAGCTTGTGACCATTCCAGATGATGGAATTGCTATCAAACCAGATCCAAACCCGTCAACCAACAGTTTCTCTGTCCCCGAAGACGATAGCGATATTGAGCCTGCCGAACTCCCCAGCGAGAACTGTTCTAAAGAGTCCGTTACTCGGTCTTGGGAAACTACTGTTCTGCAATCTGTGGATAAGGCGCTAATCTCTCCTGCCTCGAGTGTTCAAAGTGATGAACATTCAAAGGACAAGCCGGAGGATTCGGGATGTTTGTCTCCTATCGAGGATTCGATCACAAAGGTTGTGTCTGGCCCTACACCACTTGTCCTAGATCTTATCAGCTCGCTGTCCGATACCAAGCCGGTCTCCGAGACTAAACCATCCCTTACCACACCAGTCTCAGATGCCCAAATATCTCCTACCAAACCGGCTTCTACCGAAATTCCATCTGACCAACAAGCATATGAAGCAAATGACCTCCCTGCAGTCTGTTACCAGAAGGTACCCGAAGTTTGTTACAGCAATTGGACCATAATGCGGCCCATGTTTATGCGCCTGGCAGACATGGCTTGGGGCGAATCCAACGTGATCCCCGACGTGGATCGTGACAGGCGGATCATTCATGCTGCAAGCCGTTGTTCCCTTTCCAAAGATTCGTACTGGGTAGACGATTCCCCTAGTTTCCAACCTTGCGTTGGGACAGAAGTCTATTGGGAGCCGGACTCTGAGGAATCAGACACATCGTTCCATCGTATGCCCGGCAATCTTCTTAGGTACTGGTCAGTTGATAAGCGAAGATATTGGATCATCTACGAAGAAGATGATGCTCAGTATGTGAACAATTGGTGGTGGATCGTTGAAAAGCCACTCGAGCTTCTCAGCGAGGAACTAAAACGCCAGCTCGAGACTGAAGATGAGGTTGACGACTGCCACAAATGCTGGATTGTGAGAGCCTGGGAGCCCCAAATGATCGGAGGTCGATGGTGCGATGTGGCTCCTTACTGGGATCCGAATTTCGATAAAGATTGGCTCTCTGATGACGAGTCCGTTGATTCAGACGAAGAGGCACAGGGCAGTGAGGAGTATATGTCCGAGTCAGATGGTATCAGTGATTCGATCTCAGAGCACTTCAGCGAATATCCATATGGGATGTTCGATGGCGAATTGATTCGTGGAGACGGCTGTGAAGGGTCGGAAGAGGACTCCGAGGATGATGACCAAGAGGAGGATGATGACGAGGGCTTGGATGAATCCGAACACGAATCTGATTGTTCCTCTGAGGATGAACCCCTTGAATGTCGTATCCTGCAAAAGCCTCTTGTCTATTCTTCCCTTGATATGGAATATGGAAAGAAGCTTGAAAACGCCAACCACACTGATGCCGTCGAAGTATCCAAGCATGTACCCGAGGAAGCTGGTCCAGGACGACTGTACCAGGAGACTATTGCGGGCCAGTCACTGAGTATCACACAGAATGAGAGCAAACAATCGATGACACAGACTGCCCCTGGTATGACGAATCCAGGTGCTCGGTTCCCGACATACACTGTTTCTGGTGAGCTGCCAAGATCATGCCAGAACAAATACCCACCAATGCAACGAAAGATTGAGAGCGCTGTTGGAGTGCCATCTTTCTCCCATGAATTCGAGAATCGTTATCACGATGGACCATTCTCAACCAGTGCACCTGTGGAAGATGGCTCTGTGCCCCATCTGGCAACATCTAGAAAATCAAATTTGAAGCGCACGGCAACAGAGATGCAATCGTCGTCTCTTGAACCCGGTTTTTCCCAAGATGCCCAGCGGCTGCCTGTAGAGCTGGCCAGTCAGCCAGATCCCAATCTTGACACAATTCCCTCTGAAGCCATGGATGCGATCAGCTCTGCACTTGCCGAGAATGAGCGTCCGGCAAAACGAATCAAGTCTAATGACTCAACCTCAAAGTCCTTGGCAAGCCACGCCACCACGGCTGTTATTAGCGCTCTGCTGGGTGGACTGGGAACTATCGCTGTGCTAGCAGCCTTGCCCAATGAATATTTCCAGTGATCGGAATCAATTTCGGATTTCGGTTTCTTTTGCTCTCTGCCTTTCCATATTTTATCATTTAATGCCGATACATGAGTTTCGGCGCGACTCCAACGATTTTATGATCTCGGGATTACCCAGGCGTCCTGGCTTTGCGTGGAAGCATGGATCGAGGTGCTTTTTTTTTTTTGTTTATCCCCACCCTCCCCTCGCCCTGTCGCTGCTTTTTATGTTGTGGCTCCATGAGCAACTTGCGCACACGAGGTCCTCATCCGATCACTGCCGTGCGGCCATGGGAGCCTCCATGACTGGGTGTTTTATTGACTGAATAATTTGTTTCTGCCCTATTTCTTTGTTTCCCCCCTTTCCCGTGGCTACACACGACCATTAGCTGGGTCAGATACGGTGACTCTTGATATGGAACGCCACATAGCGCCTTATTCTTTTCCATGTGATAGCTATGCAGATCGTAATGGAGAATGCCAATGCTTTCTTTTTTAACTATGCATCATGTAATCCTTTGAACCATTTGGCTTACAGCCTTTCGGTACCTGTCAGGTACCCGATTTTGGGTCTTGGGTGGCCTTATTTCAAAATGCACCGTGATATCATTACACTGTCGCCGAAGGCCAGCATTTGCCTGACATATGAGTTCATTTCATGTCCTTTCAGGTGATCTTTAATTGCCGAATTTCGGAGAATAGAATTTGATGTTTACAGTGCTCAATCGTTTACATTTACAACGTATCCTAATTTTTTTTGGACAGGAAAAGAAGATAGAGATAGCTATCACATTTCCATGAAAATGAATAGAAAGATTCCAATAGTTTGTTGGGGAAAAAAAAGGTGACCTGGACTTACTACTTGCATCGACAATGGGAACCAGGCTGCAGGTATCCCATAAGTTCATATCAGCTGACTTGTTATTGAGTCGCCCTTTTTCCATTCACGTGCAACCTCCGGACTTTTTCTTTGCTTTCTTTCCCCCCCCCCCCGGCATCCTCGGCTCTCGGGGTTTAACTGTGACACTAGTTGTAGCCGATGAAAAGGCGATATGCAAACATTCTGGTTCCAGGACGACCTTCGGAAGTCTCAGTTAGCCCCTCTAAGACATCAATGGAAACTTCTCCTATTATGATTCACGCAACTTACCGCTATTGCGAAGCCTCGACTCCAGCCCGACTCTAAATTCTGGACTTCGAATCCTAGACTAGTGTGTGATTGGAGATGGCTAGCTGCAGGCTTCCTAACAGCGAACTGGTTGAACGAGATGGAGTTGGAAGCACTTCGTACTCGGTGGCTCTCTGTTGGTTTGAAGCACGACCAGAGGCTGATGATATCTTTATCCAAATCCACGGCCCCGCCTAATGACGCGCATACCCGTTGCTTCTATTTGAACTCGAAGGTTAGGTTACATCGATCTTTTGGATGGCAGACCGCATGCAAGCCCCGAGATGAGTGAACCTGAGCTGTTCATGGATGCGTGTCATTTCCACATTCAGTCTGCATGTGACCAATCTCCCGAAGCGCTTTCAGATACAATGGAAGGGAAAGTCAAACGGCTGCAAGGAATTCCTTGCAATGTTGACTGAGATGACATGTTAAAGGGGGGATTTTCTAGGTCCTTTTGGTGCCCCTGTCCTTGCAGCCGCACCCTCCACGGTTACCTGCTTGAGACGATGTCACATCCACGGCGCTTCGGGCTTCCGGTTGTATATGAATTCGGCTTTGTCATTGGCTACGAGTCCAAATTTCGATTTCTCCTTCTTCCTGCTCATTGGTAGTTCATACCTCTCACAGGGCTTTCTTTTCACCTTACATTAGAGCGGCATTTCTTTTCTTTTCCCCCCTATTTTTCTCAGATTGTTTATGTCCACATGCGCCTGTCAGATGGATCCGCTCTCTCCGGGCGTGCTTATCGGATATTGTGCTTACGACGCATTATGGTCAATGTGATATGCGGCGGATTAAGGAGATCATTGCATTGATTCGATCCTTGCACCAGATGGCCAGTGCGCATTTTTCTTACTGCTCATAGTAGATCTGCCTCGAGAGACTCTAAAAAAGTCCTTGAACTACACACTGTTCCTGATCGGGTATATGTTAAGCGAACCGGGCTGGTGACCATCTGACTACCAATTCCAACTTCCATGCATGGTGCTTACCTCCTTTCGGTTGAGATGGAAAGATCATCCTACCAGGAAAACACAACAAGAGCCGAAAGAGCACCTACCACGGAAAAACCATCAAAAATCCACCCAGTATCGCCCGATCATTTCGGAGATCAGATTGTGGTCGCATGGTCCAATGCAGCTATCCGTGGTTGGAATTTCACATCCCATATGGACACGGCAATAGCCCTGACTCCATGACGATTATGATATACCAGTTTGTGCGGTCAACATTTGTTCCTCCGTGTCACGAGGTGGCGGCCATGCTCCTGGGACATCTTTTCCGCTGTACATGAACGACGGTCTGCCCAACACCAGAGCCAGTTTGATTTGCTAATTTGGTAGCATTTTGGTTTCACTGCAGGCTTCTGATCTAATAACCCTCTCACAGAATGACCAGCGAATGAACCCTTTCAAAGACGTATCAATGATGTAGGCCCGGTCGTATGGATCGAGAAACACCTGAATCCCCCACCAGCTCCTGTTTCATAAACCCTGCATTTCCGCAGCTGGGTACCTTAGCTCGACAGGCACAAGCAGGCAGCGGGGTTTTGACAACTCAGCTAAGTCCAGAACGGTTTCTTTACCGTCCCCCTCTCATGTTGAATCAATATTTCTTTTTTAGTTGGAAATAACCGAAGCATTCGATTGAAATGGCCCCCATATTGGTAAATAAAATATCTACGTACATCATGTACCTGAATTAGCTGTCCTATCACCGTTCCTCTCTCTGTCCTGCTGATCATTCCGGTGGACTCAATCTTGATTTCCGTCATCAATTCCACACTCCATTGTGCATATGGTATATGTGACACTTGGAAACTCTCGGGAAGTTCGTTGGTGGCACTAATTACTTTCTTATATAAGAAATCTATTTCTTCGTTTATGATTTCCGTCTTCATTATACTTTGGCCTTTACTATTGTCTTCCATTATCACCAACTACTCTTTCAGGCTTCATAATATATTGCCTATTCTTTATCGACAGGTTCTCCCCTGAGTGAAAGAGAGAGCAAAGACAAAGCCTCCTGCTTTTTATATTAGGTGGATTTCGATCATATTTCACTCTCCACATCTGCACCGGTCACCTTCCAAAATTCCCCTTCTCTATACCTCTACATCCAATACAATGGCCAGCTTTACCCAGTCCTTGTTCAATCTTGACCCCGAGCACATATCATGCATCGGAGGGCGAACGGTAGTCACATGCAAGGGTTGCGCAGGCAATGCCCCGAGGTATACACCAGTTCCAAAACACACTTGACTATCTACATCTCAATACTGATCCGGTTTTTAGAGGAGCAATCTGCCTTAGCTGTAACGGTCGTGGCTTCAACATGTTTATCTGTGCACACTGCAACCCTGCAGCTGCAGCTGACGTAGCTAGAGCAACGGCGAACCCCACAGCTGCATCTGCAGAGACACCCGGCTCCTCGGCACCTTCATCCCCGGGCTCGCTAAGCCGCAGCTCGTCTACTTCGCACCCGGATCCAACCATCGCTCGGTTGTACGCAAAATATGGGGATGGCCGCGACAGTACAAGCTGTGGACGGAGTAATAGCAATGCGAATAAGCCGAGAAATCCGTGATACTTGATGCTGGTTATATGCAATGGATATCGGATATTCCGAGAGCGGGGTCTGATATCTCATGACTAAACAATTTCAAGTCCGACAATTTCGCGGGCTGGTATGGTTGCACACACTACTTGACCTAGGCGATGGACTGAACAGGCTTTGATCCTGCGATGAAATTACTAGAGTCAGATTGCTCGTTATGACGATTGGAAGGAGTTTCTGGTCTGGTTACATAAAACATACGTGATATGACAGCCCTAGTTGTGGCTACGCCTTTGGGGTTTCTTTGGCTTTTGGCTTTTTTTTCTTCTTTTCTATCTCCTGGCTTCTATTTGGTTGATCTATTGGGTTGATCTATTGGGTTGATACAGAATTCTTTTCGTCCTTCCATGGTGAATGCACTGGATGCTACCATTTTATGTACATACCATTTCTTTCCTTGGATGAAGAGGCAGATAATATGCTGTATACGAGGGGCATCTACTCTTTTCGGCTTATGGGCATTTCTATTCTTAAAATTTCAATATCTTGATACTGCGCCTACAATATTAGATAAGAAATAACCTTGCTAGGCGACAAATAAATACCTTAGTTTTGGTACTACTTCCAACAGCTAACCCCAGGTTGGCCCATTCTAGGAAATGGTACACAATGAGAGATCTAATTGACCAGGTTGACTCCATGGAGGGCCTCATGCCACCCAACCTGTGTTTCAAATTCAGAGAAATTGAGAACATATATTAAGATAATATTCCTGGCTATCCATCGGAGATTAATCTGGAAAGCCTACTCTATTCTTGTTGCTTTTATAGCTAAAACGCCAATGAATGGAAGCATCTAAAAAGGATATCTAAAGCAGAGAGATTTTGGACGCTTTCCAGATCCTCTCTCTTTTTGATTTTGGTGATATCACCATTAGACAGACCGTTTCCATCAGTTTTAATGCCAACCCCAGTTGTGCCATTGACAGCTTCCTTAAAATCGCCGCCTCGTGCATACTCCTCATACTTCCTCTTCATTGACCCCTTCTCCGCAAAACCGACAAATAGTCTCTCTAACCTCATTCAATCTAGTCAAAAGTTTCCCTCCCACCACGCTCTCCAAATACTCATCTACCTGATAGTTCAGCATCGAAACAATCATCATTTCCCATAGCACCGTCGGCCGCAGCGCGTATCCGTTCTTCGCGTTGCAAATCATCCACGTCTGTGGGATATACTCCAGGTACTTGTCCTTCTCGAGAGCCATGCCATCTCGTGGGAAGATCTTGGTCCGTAGGGAGACTAGTTTTTGTAGCAAGATTTAAGCTTGTGTTAAAGCGGCTTGAATGAGCCAGATGGGTTCGCTGCCAAAAAGGGGGAGGTGCGAATAGAAATGTGTGAACTTGGTGACCTTCTCAGGAGGAATCTCTGGGAAAATGGCATCTTTCATTGACAAAAGGGATGTTGGGGCTGTGATGCTTGTCCAGGTGAATGTTTGTGCTTGTACAGCTGCCACACAGTATGCTGTACAGAGTATAGGCGAGCTGAACGGGACTCTCTTGATCCAGATCTTTTCACCATGTGACCAATTATGCGTGGGTGACTGTAAAAATGCTCTTCCTGAACTTTTCTATCTTTAACATATAAATCGAGACTTACTACAACAACACAATAGACCAAAGCTGTGTAATGTATATTAGCGGCTATAGCTATTGATGGAGACGTACCACACTTAACAGATACAAAGTAGCAAATACAAACAGGAAAACTGTGGCCAGCTTACGTCTCCATGATCCGAATCGTGATGGACAACAGAACTAGTAATAATATCCAAGGGGTCCCCAGCAAACATCTACTCTAGCCAGATTATCATTGCTAGCGATGCAGAAAGCGCTTCACATCCCGCATAGCTTGTTGCAACTGTTTGCGATACCTCTCCAGGTTCTGGTAGACCGTTCTTTGGTGAATCAGGTTTTGAGATTGGCCCCTTGATCACATCTGCAGTTTTCCACTCCGACGGCACCGAATCAGGTACATTAGATAGAGATTTTCGGGTCCAAGTTGCGACGATATGCTGCCAGTCGGTCACAGGGGGATTCCAAACTTCTAATTCACGGAAATCTGTGTTTCTGAAAACCAACAACGCACTATTGATGGAACCAAATTTCAGGACCCATTCTAGAGAATCAGATGTATAAATTCCCGGCCCAAACTCGTTGTCTAGAGTTTTGTTATGGATTATTGGGACGAAAAAGGCCATCAGCGCAGCCAAAGCGGTCCGAGTAGACGCTCGGTACAAGAATGAGCCGCCGTCAAGTTTGCTGATGTAGTCTTTCAGGATCTTTGCGGATAGACGCTCCTTGTTTTTTCCCCCTTGATTCTAACTGTGGCAATTTCTTGCGGCAGACGTTGCGGCCTGCAAGCCGGGAAAAGTTCCTCCAATGTATGGTGAGCGTATTCTTGTCCAACTTGAGGAGGAATAGGGTCAAGCCGTATCGGCATAACGACCACTGGAGGCTGATGGTATCCAAAAAAGTACCGATCATACATCTGTTCTGGGATTTTGTCCTCTTCGAACAGGTGCTCCAAAATCCATGTAACGCCGACATTTGTCGGGATGAGGCGAACCTCGTCCTGAAGAGCAATTGCTGGGTCATATATCGCATTGACCAGCTCATCCAGTCCTGCGAGCCAAAAAATACTACTCAAGGGGCCAATGAGCTCATCAAATTCTAAAGCCAAGTTAGTAAAGAGCTTCTCTCGCTTTTGCAAAAATAGAAATAGGTCTTCGTACTGTAGCTGTTGCTGTCAATATACTCCAGAATATCTTCAGGGATGGTTCCTGGGTATCCGTGTTCCCTTGACCATACCGGGCGAAAGCCTGCTTCCGCCAACTGACTCATCGTCCGAGCGAGTTGATTACGATTTCCCTCCATAAATGAGGGCTTTGCTTCCTTGTATTTGGGGCTGTGATGTATTGGAAGATCGGGTGGTGTAGGTGCTTGGCTGATTGATGAGGAACTAGAACCCAAGTCATATGCGAGGGACGGGAGGGAGGAGGTTAAAGGCACAGAATCCGTCTGACTTGTTGGGCTTGAGGTACTCGAGCTGGTCGCCGTAACGGGAAGCGGAAAGTTTGGCTTTAGATCCATGGCTTGATCAAGTAAATTGGATTGTGATGATTGTAAGGACTCGAATTGTATTACCCAAGCTCCATTCTACTATGAATATATACAGCTTCGTTCTTGCCAAAGGTAATTGGACTTGCCAGTATATCTACATCCTAGCATCTGCAAATATAATAGGTTAGGAAACTACATATGTACATATAGGTACCTTCTCCAGATGTCTGCCAAGATGAATGTTCCAAGGTTGGGAGTGTTGATTAATGAAATTATCTTTTGAAGACAAATATGAGTCATGATTTCGCAGTGCTAGGCCCAGATAGCAAGGTATCTTTTGTATTGCAACTATACAATTCACAGTCCCGCTTCCTAAATCTATAGTGCCAACTCACTCTAACCCGAAACCAAGTTGGGGAATCCTATATAAAAGGGAGATTGATAAGATTTGGGGGTGTTTACAGTTCCCCACAACTTAATTAGAAAACTCTCACTTTTGGACCTCCTTTAGTATCGGGACCCTAGTCTAGAGGTTGATACTAGGAAGCTGAGATACCACCGTATGCACGACTGACCTTACGACCTATATTCTAGATACTAACAGAAATTCTGACGGCTGTCAGAATTTAGCTTGATTAAGCCCTTATCAAGTTAGAATGATAGTATATACGAATTTGAATATGTTATAGAGAAGCTGGGGTGTATGTGTACATGTTCAATATATATATCTGCCAGAATACACCAAGATGTCGTTCATTCTCAAACTTTTGTTTCCTTACGGTCGCATCAAGACAAAGATACTAGTTGATTCTGACGTATAAGATATGCAATAATGATCAGGTCATAGAAATTGAATCAATCTAGTCTTGTTAAAGGCAAAAGCATGGAGTATTGATTCTAATCATTAAGATATGATCAAAACATGAGAAAATTACAGTAAATGACCGGCGCCAAGCTACACAACCGTTCCTGCAGGGCCCACGAGATTGTATCGGGCAGAACCTGGCGCGGATGGAAATCTTGTTGATTCTGGCGCATTTGTTGTGGTATTTTGACATTACAGCGGCAGAGGACCTAGAGGCGTGGGAGGATCAGGAGACGTACGCGGTGTGGTTGCGGACTCCACTTTTCCACTTTGCGTGCGGCTTTCTTGCCTTGATGACTAGAATCGGAATAGATACTGAAAAGAGAGAGACAGAGGTTGATTGCCAGTCTTGAGAGGGCTGTTCAACAGGGGGCTCACTACCTTCACAGCTAATCCTTTGGTCTAGCTGCGATACTGTAATAAAAGTCTAGCTGGTATCAGGGAGCAACCTACCCAGGTGGCTGCCCCTAGCTCAAATAGCCTGAGAGGACAGACTATTTCAATGATTTTGGCCACCGACCTGATGTACACCTCTAGAGCTGTTTGGAACGACGATACGGTTTTTTGCACAAAATTTAATAGCTTGATAATTTATGTTACATTGTATAATATATAGTTCAATCTTTGCGATTTGAATTATGTGGACATGTTGGAATTGTATATGGAGTATAGAAATCAAGGACTAGGCTCTTCGATCATCTCCATCGATCTTCACCTTCTAGTAGAGCAAAGCATAAACGAAGCAAGAGCCGGCTCTTTTTTATTATCTTTTGTTGTAGTATTCCAAGTACCCAAAATATTAACCCTCGGGCTTGTGTCCCGGCATATCCCACATGTCCAAAAGCCATGGCATGACAATCCCAAACTCCATAGTCGAGTCATCCGACAGATATTCCTAGATATTCCCTGAATTTGACATGAAGCCAAACTGATAAATGTCTTTCCGGCCCGGATTTGCCAGAAGCCCCAACTTGCCAGGTGCGGATAAGGAATTTCCCATCCCCACGAGCGTGGGGAAGGCTAGTCGTACCGATGTGGGGTCTCAGCCTGCTATAATACTATGTAGACCAGCGTTTCTTCTTCTCTCTTGATTTAGTTGTTTAAATTATTCTTTACTATCATGGCCAATGCATCAGAAAACCCCACAGGCGAGTACCGTCAGTACTTGCCTGATCTCAGTCTCCCGCGCTTTCAGGTGATGTGCCAGCAGGATGCGCACGAGTACGCGAACGAATTTAAGACCAGACATCAGCCACCATGGCTGCATGCACTGTATATGCATTGGTTAGACCTATTACAGGAGCCCTTCAAAGGCGTGACCACTGATGGTATGAACTAAACAGAAATGATACTATAGAATGCTTCTAACATCTACAGGAAACGTCCGCCCGGGTTTATTCACATTACAAGACGAAGATGTCCCAATTCAACAAATTGTAGATGCAACAGAAGCTGTCACGGCCCTGTTGAATGATAAGCAAAAAGAAGCCATCAACTACCATATCGACTCCCCACAGTGGCGCACATGGTCGAATCCCGAGTTCCTGCTCGCGGACAAGGGCATTCGACTGGATGAAGTCAACATCGAGATCCGGGGAGCAGTGATGAATGTCCTCAAGACAACCCTCTCACCAGAAGGCTATGAAAAGGCCGTCAGCGCAATGCGCATCAACCACTTCCTCGGCGAGCTCGTCAAGTCACCAGCAGTGATGAACGAATTCTCCTACAACTTCGTCCTCTTCGGCCACCCATCAACCACCCGCCCCTGGGGCTGGTCATTCTACGGCCACCATCTCTGCCTCAATATCTTCCTGTACAAGGGGCAGATTGTCGCGTCGCCGTGGTTCACAGGCGCAGAGCCAAACGAGATCGATGCCGGTCCACATGCCGGCACGCGTATCATGCAGACCGAGGAGAAGCTCGGTTTGCAGCTAATGCAGTCACTCTCGGCGGAGCTGCAGGCTTCCGCTCGTGTCTTTGCCCAAATGAAGGATCCGGCTATGCCACCCGGCCGCTGGAATAAGGACGACCAGCGCCACCTGTGTGGTGCGTACCGTGATAACCGTGAGGTGCCGTATGAGGGTATTCTCGCGTCGACTTTTAATGCTGCCCAGAAAGAGCTCATGTATGGCATTCTGGAACAATATCTGCTTTACCTGCCGGCCAAATCGCGTGCTATGAAGATTGATCAGGTGCGCGCTCATGAAGCGGAGACGTACTTTTGTTGGATTGGAGGATATGGTGACGAAGATCCATTCTATTACCGTATCCAGAATCCGGTGATTCTTATTGAGTTTGATCACCACTCCGGCGTATTTTTGAATAACGAGGAGCCGAAGAAATTCCACATTCACACCCTACTTCGCACGCCGAACGGGGGTGACTATGGCCAGGCGTTGCGGCCACAGATTCCGGCTATTGAGGGATTGAACGGGAAAGAAATTGTCTGGTAGGTTAGCTCAGCCTATCTGATGGAATATACTGTATAAGATGAATGATGGGCCTTTTTATCTACGTCGCATTGCATTATTCTACCTATCTTTAGATGGCTTTATCACTGATGGTCTTGTAAGGTTACAAAAACGATCCACGAAGATATAATCCAATCCATGATAAAACGGAACTTGGCTCTAGATGCACATGCCTGGAGAGATATGTTGTATTCAACTTATTATTCCCATTAGTTGTCCCTACCATAACTCGGAAGGATAAAAGATGTATACAGCCCCAACACCGAAGTACGAGATCAAAAGATAAAAAAGCGTTAACAATCTGCAACCACCGAAATAGCAGAATTATAAGAAGTAGCCAGGGACCGATAGTACCTGTAGTATCTGTAGTACCTGTAGTACCTGTAGTACCTGTAGATAGGTCTCCTTCGTCTGTTTGCGTAGCGCGTGATTCGTCCAGGTGCCATAAATGCTACAGAGAGCGGTTTCAAGTGACCTGAAACTCATCATGATCAGGAATTAACTCATACCCGCCCTCTGAAGGTAGGATCTTAGCAGCTAGAATCACCGCGCCTGCGCAGAAAACACTGAAGCACCAGCTGATAGTGCAAAAGACCCAGGACTGGTCAAGTTTCCAGCCGACGAAGAACCGGTCCTCGTTATCGAATAGATATGCCTGCAAACCAAGTCATTAGGATAAGTCATCTTGGGCCCAAATATGGGCATATCATCAACCCACCACTATCGACATGCCGGCTACCTGCACAATGGCAGACAGACCAACCATCAAACTAAGAATACTCCACCCATTTTCGCGCAGTTGTTTCCCTCCACTCAGGATGATTAGGTATGTGACCACACTAATGCCCTGCAAAACCACAGCAAAGGACATCAAGAACCCAACGGAGCGCCACATGGAGCAGAAGTATCGGTCTTCGCCGTGGCAGTCTTCACGTTGTGGGAAGCTCTCGCACGTGTCGGTAAGGGAGGAGCAGCGGCGGTGAAGGCCGTAGGAGTAGTGGTTGTCGGGCTATAAATTCATAGTGTTAGTGGGGAGGGGGATTTTGGGGGGTGGATGAATGCCATACCTTTTCGCTATGGTAGCTGACCCATTTTGGAATGACGATCGAGGACACTGTCAAGCCAAATGCTAGGATATTTCGTCAGTAAATCTGGATGCCTAGCTGGTCGCTGGAAAGCTGCTTACAGGCTAGAAATATCACCAGCGTCCCGATGTAGACTATTGTCTTTGTGAGGAATCCTGTGTAGTTTCGATCGGTACCGCGAGGCACTAGGTGGAAGTCCATCGCTGCGGCTATACGATGGCGTGGGATGTTCGGTACTTTGTGATAGCCCTGCACATCGAGTGTAGAGGAGTGATACGTGGAGAAGTCTCAATGGACCCAAGTGAGACACAGAAAATAGAAACGATGCGGGCAAGGGAAGGGATGTACTGGGGGAGCTGGCTAATCGGGGTCAGATAAGAGACGGGGTCACGCGGCTCTGGAGTTTAGGGAGTTTAGGGCGGAATGTGGAATATTCGCATGTAGATAACCCAAGTTATATCGTTTGGTCGCAATAAATCGCTCTGTGCAACCCACATCAAAGAATGTATCAGGAATTCATTTCCCCGCAGAGAATCAAGGCCAAGTACCGGAGTAGACTAAGTACACCGTATGTAGGCAGTTGACGTCAATGCGTCCTGCACTATCGCGACATGTAACCCAATCATGCACCTCCATTCTGCACAATGTAAAACATGATATATGGTAAATGACCTCTAGATACATTCTCTAGATGTCTAAAAAAATAACTAAACATTCCACGATATATAAACGAGATAGATCATAAGGACAAAAATTCCAAGTCATTCGGGGCAATGTCTCGGAGACAGCCCTTCGGAACAGACATCATCATTAGAACTAAGAGCAAAATACAGTCATAATGTACACGACGGCATGTGCCATAAAAAAAAGAAGAGGTCATGGAGCAAAAGACCGACCCGAATGAATACATGCGGATCTAAATGAAGCATCAAGATGACCACCCGGAAAAATAGAAAAACGCCAGCCGAATACATGCCGTGAAAAAGAATTGCGCCAAGAACTTTCACTCATTGCACTCGCACTTCATTCCGGACGCTTTTGTGTGAGCATGGCGCGGAAATCATCGTTGCTCTTTTTCGGTTTGCTCTCGCCGTCGGGCGCCGTGTCCATTTTGTCACTGGACGGATTAGCGGCGGCAGATGGTTTCTGACCGGGAGTTGCGGCCTGTCGTTTCAACCCTAGACCACCCTTCCGAGCGCCAGGTTGCTGCGGGCGTCTAATCGGCCCGGTAGGTTGTAGGTTCGTCGTCTTCTTCGTTTTGCCTTCGTGCTTGACGGGGAAACCCCGGTCTGTTTTGAATTCCGGCTGGGAATTCATCAACTCTCGAACAGTGCCGATATGGAGAGGGCGTCCAGCAGTGATCTCCTTCCCTTCAAGCGCCAGCGCAGCTTTGCCGGCATCCTGAATATTGACATATTCCACAATAGCACCTTGATGCTCTGGGCGCAAATTGATCATTACTAAACGCCCATATGGCTCGACAATGGTACGGATACGGGCTTGGTTGACGGTATCGGGAACGTTCATCAAGGCAAGGGTGCGCTGCGCATGCTCACCGACCGGTACTTCAAGACCGTCAACACCCTGAGCTGCTGGGTGTGATGCAATTTGAGAGATGACCATTTGGTTCCCACGCCGAGTGTTGGTGCCAGCAATTTCAACATGAAGAGGACGTGATTTGAACACATGCTCGTTCATCGAGACGGCGTCGCTAGCTGCTTCCTTGGTAGAGAAAGTAATAAAGCCATACCCTTTACTGAGACCGGTAAGCTTTCGCTCAATCAAGATCCTTTCGATTTCGCCGAATTTTGAAAATAGTGCTTTCAGATCATCTTCATTGGCTTCCCAGTGAATGTTTGAAAGATAGATTTCTCGTCCTTCGTATCTGGAGCCGCTGCGGGCTGTTTTTTGTGCAGGATCGGATATCTTAACACAAAGCTTCTTGCCATCTTCCGTTCGCATTCCATTAAGCTCTGTTGCATGGTGGGCAGCACTGGAGCTATCCAACTGCAAGTAACAGAAGCGTCTGGAAGTATCAAACTTGAGAGATGGCATTCGAACTTCGAGAACTTCACCATACTACTAAAGTTAGCGATGCTAAAAAGGCTAGGGCGAAGAAGTACTTACTTTGCTGAAAAGGTTGCGGAGGTAATCCTCATCCGCATGCGGTGGGTAATTGGTGATCCAAAGTGTCGTCTCTGACCCAATTTGGACATCGATGATGTTATCAGTGTCGTTGAAGCGCTTTTGGTCACGAGTGAGAGCAGCAAGAGCCTCTTCCTTGGTTTCAAACTCGATGATCGCAACCTCTGAGGCTTTCTCGTCTCTTCGGAGCATTTTGACGGTGTTGGCAGTACCAACCTGTTTGGGTCAGCTAGGTTATCCTGATATCAATAGCAATGAGCAACTTACATGACGGAAGAATTGGCGAACGAGACGCTCAGTTGTACCTTTAGGCAAGTTCCTGACAATAACGGTCGCATTCTCTCGATCCCGTGAAGGAGCGGCAATCTCTGCCGGTGCCTCATCGTTGCGGACCTTTTTAGTTTCCGGCATCTCGTCCTTTTCTTCTTCGCGTTTTCTCTTTTCAGGCGAAGGAACTGCCTCTACTGCGGCCTCCCACTGTTGCTGTTGTTGCTGCTGCTGCTGCTGCTGCTGCTGCTGCTGTTGTGCTTCCGCTGCCTCTCGCGCTTCTCTCTCTCGCCGAGCAGCGACAGCTCGCATTGCTTTCCGGGTCTCAATCACGGCCAGCTGGAGCTCATCCGAGTCCTCATAATCCTCGCAATGCGTAACATATGTCTGAAAGATCTTGTCAGGCCAGTCCAGATCTGTTCTCTTGATCGCTTGTTTGAGAACGGCAGTAGCATAGCTCGGGTTGGGGGTTCGGCGCGCTGCGTCGACTGTTGCCTCGCCTTGCACAAATTTGCTCCAGCAAATCAACTCCCATCCGTAGTAAGTGAGCCAAAACTCATAGCTACCGCCCCGGCGCTTTACTAAGCCCTTGAAGGTCTCTCGTGCGCTGTCCCAGCTGCCGCTTTCGCTAAAGAAACGAATATAAATTCGTTCCAGACGGAAAAGAGGATCGCCCTGATACGCCGGGCCGTACTTCTTTTCGCCCAGCTCTTGCACGCTTTCGATTGCTGAGCGAATACCAACTTCCGCGACATCAAGATCTTCGTCGGTCGAGTCGGACAAAAAGGCGCGTCGGCGAAGGTAACTGCACCAGGTGACGTGAACCTTCAAGACTTCCTCCAAACCACCAGCATCAAGCAGTCCAGTGCTGGTCGCCTTGTGCTTGATGCTAGAAATCTTGTTGAACGACTGGTTCTCTCTTTCCGAGCTTAGCAGATACTGGGACCACAGGTTTCCAGACCATGGACAATGACGCGTAGCGCGGTCTAGGGTAGAAATTGTGGTGGTAGAGGCACGGCGATGAAGAGATTCGCCGATCAAGAACATGACATAGTCTTCCCAAAGTGACACATCGGTAGGGAAGTGAAGAACAGCGCGCTGATAGAGGGCATTCACCAAGTCGAAGCTGAAATCTCCCCGTTTCCGGCGGTTGCGCGTCAATTCCCAATCAATGTACTCGGAGTAGACTGTCCATTCAAGGGCGCGATCGCCAGACTCTTGCGCTTTGGCTAGACGATGTTCGAATTCCTCTCGTGCGTTGTAGAGAGCCTTTGGCTCGGCTGCCCGGGCGACAGTCTCGGACATGATCTCCTCATACTTGCTGTTGCAATAAGTCGAAATGAAGCTTGAAAACTTTTGGAAAGTCTGATCCCAGGTGGCGTGGGGAGTTTGCAGACGATGGCCATAAAGTCCATGAAGATGGTTGATCTTTTCTTGGGAGGGTGCGCGAGCAATATCCTGAGCATAGAGATCCAAGAGGCGATCCCACACCAGGTGGCTGTTGTTAATTCTCCAATTAGTAGCGTCTGCGCCGCGCTGCCACACCTCTATGACTGAATCCCACGTGAACACCTCACGCCCGACCATGCGATCCTCTTCAGTCCACTGAAGAGAACTGGCTTCGCCATGGGCGGAATTGTAGAGGTAAAGAACCCATTCGCCGTAGATATTCCACAGCTTTGTGCTGCCAAACTCCTCTTCAACGGATCGCTGACAGAGTTCTAGAACAGCGATGCGCCCGTCGACGTCTTGAGCTAACATGCTCTCATCCTGAATCCACTCGGCCCAAAGATCTTCTCCCATGGCGAAAAGCTTGTCCATTTCTTCACGTGCCGTTTTTAAATCGTTGAGTAGATCATAGCGTCGTGGGTCACCGTGGACATCTGGGTTATTCGGCGGGTAGACGTGGTTGACAAATCCTGCATGCAGCAATCCGATAAATTGCACGTGCGCATCATGCGTGTGGGGGTTGAGCGAGATTTGATGGAAAAGTTCGGTCGCCTTTCGCTGCGCATCGGGGTCGAGCGAAGTCGCGGCGTAGGTCCTCTTTGCGGGCCCGTCGCGCCCATCCGACATAGCGATCTCGAAGGACATCCGAGAGGTAGGGGTGTTATGGGTGACAGAATTGACATGTGGGTGAATCGTAGATGGAGATAACTGGTGCTCGTAGGATTCAGTGCTCCGGAGCATGCTTGTCGGTGTTGGACGTTGTGGCTGGTGGTGCTGCATCGAGGCGAGATCCGCCAAAGTGTCCATTCCTGGCGTGGATGGTTGTCTTGAGGGTACTTCAGTCGGAGAAGTTCCATTTCCTCCACTAGGTCCTGGTGAAGATTCTCCAGTAGGAACATAAACCTGCTGTGCAAGAGGCGAAGAAGTCTTGCCCTTTCGCCTGGAGCCTGTCCGAGTTCTCTCAATAGCTTTGTGGGGGGATGGCCCTGCAGAGGTGGCCGGTGCGTTGTTCGACGTAGGACCAGGCACGGGCGTCGAATTTCCAGACTTGGGATTCGAGTCCGGCGAAAGAAGCGAATTGATGTCCATGTTTGAATGCAGCTTTGGGAAGAGCGATTGGATACCGGAAGTTGTCGTAGTGGATGCACCAGGTGCTTTTCAAGCAGAGATCTAGATCATACGACAGTCTTGAAGTACCTCAACACGTCCATTCCTGCATCGGCCGGTCGTATTCAGATCGCCCCCTCGTTGTTCGTGCAAATGACGTAGATTTACACTTGCGCGGCTGTTTCTGGCGGGTGGTTAGGAATCCAAAGGAATGCCTGAAAGGAACGAGAGCCCTTTAATCGAGAGGGCAAGCTGAAATCTCAGGGATCTCAGGTATTCGGAAAGGATGGAAACCACCGGCTAATGGCCTGGGAAGGGAAGGGAGGGATGAAGGAGGACGAAAAAGAGAAAGAAGAACTGAAAGAGGGAAAGATGAGGGCTAGTGGATACTGTGGAGATGGTTGGGAAGAAGAAACAATTATGTTGCGAGAATGAGGTTTAGAATATGACCATCAAAGATACGAGATCATCTCTATCTGTAGAAAAGACTGTTCTTGCTCTATAGACTCGCGCAGTCGCAAGTCGCATCGCTCTTGAGGCTATTCTGATCGATCAACCTCAAGGTGCCTCAGGCTCCGGTATGCCGCACAGACCATAAGTGCAGGGAACTTTCACCTTTTTTCCCGACGTGAACTTCTGACAACAACATCCCAACAGCCACAATGGTCTATCGCTCAGGGCAATTGGTCCGGACAGGTATGTTATGTTGATATATCTTATTCTTGGCTTTCCTACTAACTTATTTCCCATGTTTAGCAGTCCGGACCGCCTCCTTCATCCCTCGCCGAACATTGACCTCGACAGCCATCCGTTCCGCTTTGAACGATGGCGAAAGCAAAAAGCCGACCGGCTGGTTTTCTTCCTTGAAGAGCATGTTTGGGGAGAAATCCGGCCAAAGAGCCAAAGTCGCCCACCGACCCTCAGCCCCTAAGAAGGAAGAAGGTGGTCTAGGCGCCTCCATCTTCGGATCAGACTTGGCCGCACCAGCATCGGGACCCATGCCATCTCGGCCAACATGGGAAAAACCAGAAGAAGGTGTCTCCGGGAAGCTAGAAGACCGCGACTTGAGTCGCCTGCAAGTGGGACTGGGACCCGACCCCAAGGCCCAGTTACGGTGGGAGAGGAAGATGGCTGTCCGCGAAATCCGGAAACGAGGCCGCGTACCGACGAAGGTTCAAATTAAGCGCACAGAGCGCGAATCGCTTTCCAAATCTCACTGGATCAAGACCTCGCTGAAGAAGCTGGGTCCTCTGGCCCGCCAAATTGCTGGCAAGAATATCGACGAGGCCATCCTTCAGATGCGCTTCAGCAACAAAAAGGCCGCCAAGGATGTGCTGGAACATCTGGAACACGCAAAGAACGTCGCCGTGGTCCGTGCCGGCATGGGCCTTGGCCTTGGAGTCCCCAAGTCCGAACCATCGAAACCCATTACTGTCATACTCAAGAGTGGCGAGCGGCAGAAGATTGCCAACCCCACTGACATCTATATCCAGGAGGCCTGGGTCAACCGTGGTCCCTATGGATATGAGATGGATCACCGCGCCCGTGGTCAGATCAACCGCATGCGCCCCCCTACCACAAGTATATCAGTCCTGTTGAAGGAAGAAAAGACTCGTATTCGCGAGTGGGAGGACCGTGAGGCCAAGGCCCAGCGGGAGCGGAGATCCCAGCTCTGGACACAACTGCCGGATCGCAAGATCTCTGCGCAGAACCAGTACTACAGCTGGTGATCGATGCTTTGGCGTTTGTATTATTTATATCTAGATCTTTCGCGTGGACAGTGGTTTTTCATTAGCCGATTGGAGGCGACAATTGCATTTGTGAGAAGTCGCTCTCGTCTTTCTTGAGTAAGAGCGACTCATGTACAATACTGAATCAATTTCTTGGATATCAACCCATTCAGACCGGATGTTCTTCTCCTAGTATTTACCAAACCCAGCGGTCATGTCACTTATACACTTAGTGCAATTCTCAAAATTGACCTCTTGAATCATGCGACCTCTACGATGACTGTGGACATTGCTGCGACTAGACCCTTTTTTCCACCGAAACAAGCACAGGGATCACTGCACCAGTTGCCAAGGGAAAGCGGCGATGGCCCACAACTTCCAGAATGCTAGTGATAGCACCTGAGTGAGCCGTTAATGAAATGTATGTACTCTCATCGTGGACAAATATATCGTTCAAGAGACAGCGAAGCCGATCGTTGCGATGCTCGCTCGACTCGCGGACCTTAGGATCCCATAACTTGTCTTCCTCGGAGAATCCCGCTCCAAACAGATACTCTGGGTACTCTTCTGCGATTTCCGAAGCCGCTGAGCGACGGTCACAGGTATGCTGACCCATCGTCTCACGGAGGAGCTAGTCGGGTTAAATATTGTACGTTCGGTAGTAAAAATCAAACACACCTCTTTGATAGTCGGCTTAAAAGGATCCGTGTGGGGGATCGGAAGTCCCTGGAACGTAATATGCGCCGTTTCAAGGCACCGGTTCAGGGGGCTCACGTAGTAAGACTCGGGCGATGGGATACCGGCCTCAATCTGCTTCTCCCAAGCTGCATGGGCAACTTGCGCCTGACATCTGCCCTGCTCAGTAAGATGAGCATCTACCCAGTTGCCGTCCTCGTCTCCGTCTTGGAGAGACCAGTAATCCTAGATGTTTGATCAGCGTCTTATTCATGGAAAAAATTCTCGGTCACTTACATCCCACTGCTTTGTGCCATATTTGCGCTCGGCGACGTTGTGGACACCCTCCCCGTGGCGTCCGAGAAAGAGGACTTTGAGCTTCTTAGTCTCGCTGTCGTTCAGGCGTCGGATATGGGCATCGAAACGCCGCCACTGGCTGTCAGTCTGTTCCACTCCGAGGTGCTCATCGTAATGTTTTTCGATGAGTCCGAAGTTTGATTCCACCTTTCCAGATCATCAGACACTGGTTTGATGGCTTTCACTTGGATATTAGGGTCTCTTACGTAGTCGAAGGCGTCGGGGTCAGTGGCGGGGTCATCCTGGCGGAAATATCCTGTCACTGTGGTAAAGCGTAACAAAGGCGTGCATTTCATAGTTTTTAAGTGGAAGCAAAGTATGAGCGTTGGTTTGAACTGTAAACGAACAAGAGAAAGGGGTTGTTTGGCGCGGGATGAGGGAGATTTAGTGAGATTTAGGGCTGAGATGGTGGGGACAGCAAAAGATGCAACCCGATTCCATATCAGAAATTATCGCTATTTAGTTCGTTAACAATTTATATCTAGCCCTAGAAGACTAAAGTGTTTCTGTATACTCCGCACTTTGACCTTGGAACCTGTATAGAGGGGCTGGAATAAAGTCCTCGGATCTCCCAGGCAAACAGCTTCCAAGGTTGGATACATGTATCAATAAAGGCGTCCGTATTTTCACGACATTGTTTGCTGCTGTTGAAACCACATATGTTTGTACATACTCACATCTCCTAGATTATTACTCAACATACAAGGGTTTTTTTTTTTTGGATATAAATGCAAATGAATCTTTAATTTCATTACCAAGGACCAATGTAGTGTGATGATAGAGGTCACCTCCACATGCCCTTTACAAATAAATAGCGCTCAAAACTAGCTCACAATTATCAGACATTAATCTATCCCATGTCCGAGCTCGACCGGATTCATCCAAGAAGAGCAGGTCAATCAAGGGCACCAAGCGGTTCGCACGCCGCCAGGCTATAAACCCTTCTTCGCAAACACAATGTGTCGGCCAAACAGAGACAGAGATTTGTAGACCACACCCTCAACCTGAGATGCCAGAGACAGTGATGATTGCCAGGCACTAGCAAATGCCAATGCAGTGCTCGAAAGCAGGCGACCAACGCTTTCAGCAACGGGCCGAACTAAGGGACCTTGTCCGCTGATGAGCAGTGCCCGAGTCTCGAGATTATCCGGTGATCGGTTGCCAAAGAGACCTGATGAGCCACGCCGAGCCGGCGAAACCAGCAAATTCTTTGGTACTGGCTGTAAGCCAGAGAGTATTGCGATTTCCTTGGCGAGGCCCTCCGAAACTCTCCTGCGCTCTGGTCCAGGCACCTGGATTGCAGAGTTGCGCACGAGCGACGGGGAATGGCGCATTCCGAGGTTGCCAGCAACAGTACCTGGCACTGTGGACATTCCCACCACGCGAGTGGGCCTCGTTTGGTGTACATGCAGAGCTGAAGTGTGACGGACGCCAGTGGTTGGATGTTCTACCGAGGATGGCACGACAGTCTTGACGTCGGTCCTCTTCGAACGCATAACATCAACCGCCGAGGTCGAAACGCGCCAGCGTAAGCCCGAGCTGCCAGATGGCAGCCCAGCTGCATGGACTGGCCGAGATGTAGTTGAACTGCATGGGTCGTGGGGTTGTCCATTCGCTGTGTTCTTTGAGCTTCTCCCTTGTTTGAAGGCTCTCTCGTGTCGCACAGAACAGTTGGGGATGATATTCTCGCCCGATACGACTGTGTCGTGTCCTGGAGTTGTAACCTTCGAGGCATTCTTGTTCGATTGTGGAACGATGCCTTGACTGGAAGTCCTGTTTGAGACTGGCATGCCAGATAGTAGAAGGATATCGTGTCCTGGTGGTGTAATCTTTTGAGTCTTGGTCCTGATGACCTGCTTGGCGACAGGTACCGCCACAGGCATTCCCACTGACGGTAGTCCGACAGATGGGTCGATGCCAGACGAGCCGCTTGTTGGACTTCTTGTCGGCTTGACTGTTGGAAGTGCTTGAGGTGAGTCGGATGACGGGGCGTGACCGGGCGAGTCCGAGTAGCGCGACTCTGGGAGGTTTGGCACTTGGAGCATCGGTTTACTCGCCCTTACTTGAAGTGCGGGCTTCATCGGAAGAACATCGCCAGCAGCGGCACAAGCAGCAGCCTTCTCTAGGCAGTTGCACTACTCGGACGTCAGCATGCTCAAATGTTCAATGTGAATGGAAAACTTACTCGCTTGTGCTGCTTCTTGTGCTTTTCACAAGCACCGTACTTCCGAGCCTTGATGTAGTTCTCCTTCTGTGCCTGAGATCGAGGCTTCTGCTTCTTAGGCACATTGGATGCGGCGTTCATGTTCAAGTCGAGAACCATCTCTATGCCTCCCGGAGGGGGTGCCTCGGAGACAGATGTGTTCTCTGAGCTAAGACGCGGAGAGGTGCTTCCGCGAACGTATTCTGACCAGCTTGGGGATGAGAAGCTGGTGTTGGAGTCGGAGGACATATCCAAGTCAAGAGCAGTGGTGTCGCAGAGGCGCTGCAGATGCAGCGCAATCGCCGCCTCACGGCGCTTCTCCTTGATAGTAGCAACTCGCGGATCGGCGGCGGCCTGCGCCTCCACCAGGTTCCGGAATGTATTGCCGCTGTCGTACGGGTTGTATCCCAAGTACGCAACATCATCGAACAAGGGAGCAGCAGGGTCCTGCATGAAAGCTCCATCCATTCCTATGAACTCTTCTTGTGGGAGATCATAGTTGATCATGTCAAAAGAGGATTGCATAAAATCAGACGGGGATGTAAACATCCCATCTGCCTCATACGGCAGAGCCAGGTCCTGAGGTGAGACTGTGGTGGCGGTCGACTGGTCGTCGTAAGGGAGATCGAGGAATTGATCGAAGTCAACCCATTCATTGGGAATTGACATATCCATCTCAGAAAAGAACTGATCCGCAACAAAAGCCATTGGAAAATAAAACGTAGATGGGGTATCACTGGGGGTATCTATTTTTTATGAAAAGATGTGGGACAGAAAAGTTAAAGAGAGAGGGAGCCGTTTAGTCGGGCCAAGGCTAAGGGTCCTGAGGTAGTAGGAGACTAGGTTATTGAGGGAAAGAAGATGAAAGGACGATAGCTGGTATGGCTTCCGGAGAAGTTGAAGAACCCAAGACCTGAGGCAGCCGTTGATTCTATGTATGCTCTCAGTCTCACAGTCCACCATTCCTCTTCGGGGTCCCCGACTTGACGCTAATCCACTTTGGGACCCCGACACCCCGCTCGATCGCTCCAAGCCGCAATATGACTCAACTTATATACTCCTAGGGTACTTTCCATGCCATATGATCTACTATGGGGATATAGGTACCCACAAAGTCTCTTTGACTGAGAGACATTCCACGTTGTCTTGGCCTGTTTATAGTATAATTATGTTGTATAGTATAACTTCTTGTATGGCGATTTATATATTATATCTCAAAATGCTCCAGTCTCTTCATAGAAACATATCTCTTTTTCTAGATTGCTCGAGGCTTAAAGAGGCTGTGTTGCATAGCCCGTAGCAATATACAAAGTACATAGCCCGGTTAAATTTGCGCTAAAGCATATTTGGACAAAATATACCCGGTTATATCTACAAACCCAACATACTATGTTGGCTTAAGATCCAAGCAATTGACCAAATGCATTATTATAGCTCCAAGAAATGATAAAATAATGAACAATCTCGATCAATTGACTTTCAGCCACAGTATTTTAAGGGTTTTGTTGACCCACTGTATATGACACAGCTTTTCTCGGAAGTTCGGCGAAAATTCTTTAAAAAAGAAAAGCAAAAAAAGCTTTAGTTATTAGCTCTAGCTACATATAGTAGTTTACTATATACACAGACCAACCTTTGATCTGGGATACGATGCGTTAGGATATAAAAATGATATGTACTTTGTATTTTGCCATGTTGACCGACAAAGCTTGGCTAATATAGGATGTCAAGGTTCACATCGAAAAGTACTATAGTCATTGGAATAAAGATGGATATATATACATAATATAGTTTCATATGTTCAAGTAATATCACTATCAGCACTACATATGTATAAAGTACAGAGTAGTAATAACAAGTGTGTTGTAAGTATGGTGATCGTGAGGTCCACCACTCCCGACTAGCTTAGGTAAGGTCTAGAACTCCCTCCCCAAACGAAGTTGATAATCTTGGCTTTCTCGTTTATTGATCTGCTTGTTATTGAACATCGTACTAATTAACTGAACCTCAGGTTTTTTTTCGGCTTTTCTTCACTTCTTCCGCCTACCCCTGACAAATCAAAATTTACCCCTCCATCCCCCACCGACAAGCAGCTGTCCAGCTCCACCCTCGGTTCTTGTTGTGGGGAGGGTCGAGACTGAACCAACTGATTGGCGCCTGGCAAATGTTTCGAGAGGAAAAATAGAAAAAATACCAGTACCACGGTCTGCACAGTCAGCAGCCCCGTCGGACCGTTGAACCGTCTGGAAAATCAATCACGTCACGTTGTCATTCTTCCCGACCATGGCAGCTGCTTTCGACGAAGAAGACCTCGCTATTCCCCTCACCTCCGACCGTGATCGTCCGCGTGAACGTGCTAGGCCTCCCGCCTCCAACCCCTCCGCCATGGCAATGCCCCCGCCGAAGCCGACCGGCAAGGTCGAGGACCCAGTGCAGTCACCGTCGACTACCCGAGACATGCAACGCCTCGATCAGTACCAGACCGTGAGGGTCTTGGGCGAGGGTTCTTTTGGCAAGGTAAAACTTGCTATTCACCAGCCAAGTGGACGTCAAGTTGCTCTGAAGATCATCCCACGACGCAAGCTACTCTCCCGGGACATGGTTGGCCGTGTGGAGCGAGAAATCCAGTATTTGCAATTGCTACGACACCCTCACATCATCAAATTGTACAATTATAATCCAAAATGCAATTGGGGGTTTGGCTGATCATTTATGTTTTAGGTATACGGTGATCGCGACCAAGACTGATATTGTGATGGTGCTGGAGTACGCAGAGCGAGAATTGTTCGATTATCTCGTGAGGAAGGGAAGATGCGCCGACGACGAAGCCCGCAAATTCTTCCAGCAAATCATTTGTGCTGTGGAATACTGCCACCGACACAAGATTGTACACCGCGACTTGAAACCCGAGAACCTGCTCATCGACAACCAGAAGAATGTTAAGATTGCGGATTTCGGTTTGAGTAATATTATGACGGATGGTAACTTCCTCAAGACCAGCTGCGGTAGTCCGAATTACGCTGCTCCAGAGGTCATATCCGGAAAGCTCTACGCTGGCCCCGAGGTCGATGTGTGGAGTTGCGGTGTGATTTTATATGTGTTGCTTGTGGGCCGACTACCTTTCGATGATGACTACATTCCAGCCCTTTTCAAGAAGATCGCAGCGGGCACCTTCCATATACCTGGATATATCTCATCCGGGGCAGCTCGTTTGATCCGGGCAATGCTTCAAGTTCACCCTGTTCACCGCATTACAATCCCCGAGATCAGATTGGACCCATGGTTCACCAAAAATCTCCCTCAGTACCTGGAACCGCCACGAGAGGAGTTCATCGCCCCAGGAGCGGACTCGAAGAAAATTGATTCTGCAAAACTTGATATGGCAAAGCCTCCACCAGTCCAGCACAAAATCCATCGAATTGCAGTTTCCAAGCTTGAACGAAGCATGGGATATGGCCGAGAGGATATCGAAGAGGCACTGAGACATCCGGAACCCAGCGCGATCAAGGATGCCTTCTCCATCGTCGTTGAGAATGAGATGATGCAAACCAACTGTAAGACCTGAACCATTGAATTAACCTATATCCCTGCTCACGATAACAGCACCCACGGAAGATAATTTGTTAGCTCAAAATGTCCAGAAAGGAGCTGCGCCTTCGTCCGCGGACCGGTCTCCTGCGCCTCGTCATCAAACGCCCCCTGTCCCTGCCAGGGACAGGACCGCCAGTGTATCGCGCCGGAGGACCTCAGAAGATCCACAGCAACCAGAATCCGAGGAAGAACCCCGCGTCAGCCATGTCCGGATTCTCCCTACCAGCTTGCCATATGTTCATGACCAACTCATGGAACAACGTGATCGAGATAAAAGAGCTCGCAACCAAATACTTGAGCAGCGCCGTCAAGAGGCCGCCCAGCTTGATCCAGAGGGGCATGGATCTGCCTATCGTGATATGTCCCCCGCAGAACAGGCTGCCACGGCCCGTGCATTGAAGCCCCACTCACGCAGTGTCGTCGACTTGGACAAGTTGCGATTCGAGCCGCCGACCGGTCAACCCCTTGAAAAACAGCCTAAGCGGAGCCGCAAATGGCAATTTGGTATTCGATCCCGAAATCAGCCATATGAGGCCATGCTGTATCTGTACCGGGCAATTGCCGCCCAGGGTGGATTGTGGGATATTCAACCCGCGGAATCAGGTATGTTTACGGTCATTACTTATTTCGAGCTCACTCTTACATCCTCTAGGCACCAATATCGGCCCCGATGCAACCCCCTCCCCTGATAAGCCTAAACCCTTGCAGAGCAAATATCCCGACCTCCCATCCGACTACTACATTCCGAAGGACCCATGGTTTATCCGTGCACGCCTGCTCAAAGAAGGCATTAAGGCTCCTGGGGCATCCACCAGTGTTTACAATAGCCGCAGCGACCTCGAAGAACTGCGCCGCCGCTTCAATATCTCGGGGATCTCTGCCCCAACAGAAGACAGGACCAGAGATCTCCAGTCCTCCGTACCCGACAGCGGTCTCGCGAGCGCGGCCTCTTCGGTCAATGGACCAAGCGGAATCCCGCACATCACCTACGGTGTCTGGGTCTTCCTTGACATCCAGCTTTACCAACTCGAAGAAAACAACTACATGGTTGACTTTAAATGCGATGGATACCAGAACGTGATCCGCGCCGAAGGTGACACCGAGTGGCATCCCATCAGCAAGCGCCTCAAGAACAAGGAGAAGGAGGTGACCAGCGCTTACCCCTTCCTCGATGTAGCTTCTGATCTCGTCGCCCAGCTGGCTGTGGCAAGCTAGACCAGTCTGTTTATTTGAGACCTGAATCTGGCTTTTGTTCATACAAAAACGACCATGATAATTATCTTACATTAATTCTTTTTTGTTCATATTACTTGAACTTGGGTGGTTGCATAAGACCTTTTTGTTTCTGCTGCATTTGGGTGTCTTTCCAGCAAGCGAGTCGTATTGTTGCGGGTTTCACGTTGTATGGAGTATGTGTCTGATCTTTTTTCTCTCCCTTTCGCATGCAAATATTCGTTCAATTAATTCTTCACTACTTAGCGGAGTACATAAATAGGTACCTAGGTAGTCTACTGATGAAGCTCGAAATGAGATTTGAGATCTGAAATTTACGAATGCTGTTGAAATAACCTCAAGCTGGAATCGGCATAACCCTAGCTGATAGTTGAAATTATTTAGACAGCTAGTTATTGACGAAGTCTCGCTAGGCAACTTGTCTCTAGTTATACCTAGGAAATTCGTCTGCACAGTTTATGCTTTTTACTGCCTTTGTATACACTAAAAGAAAATCCAGAAACACATCGGAGTGTGTTTATATATAATGTCCCAACACGCCTACGTTGCCGAACATGGAAGCTGTAGGAGCCGCCAACTACCTATTATATTGAATTGAAGTAATTGTATTGAGTACAGTACTACTATCGAAGTCTACGTAGTCATATCTGTTAAATGTACCAAAACATTTTTACTCTCCAATTCTCGCAGGATTCCACACTATGGCATTTATTTTTTATTTTTCCCAGGTTCCATCCCTGTCTTCACAAAATCACGAGGCAGAATCTCCAAAGGTCCGTATCTGAAATAGAATGAATATGGTCTAATACCAATTTGGACGATGGAGAAGAAGTGAGATTGCCAAACTTGAAGTCATGGCCAGCAATTTAAATCCAAGAGTGAGGCACTGTCATGAATATCTGCGTTCGTAGGCCAATCGTAGGCTGCAGGTTAACAAAATTGTTTGAGGTAGATCACTCTAACCCTTTTTTTTTTTGTTGAAGTCTTTTGGCATGATGTGATGTTATGTGCATCTCCCTCCATTTTTCATATTGTCTTTCGGGCTTTGTCGGCTCTTCCACAAGTTTTCGCCAGTACTGTTGCATGGATCGAGGGGGGGAAATTCCCTTCAGTCTTGGGTGTTTGTGGCTTTTTTTAATCAGTTTGGAAGTTTTCATTCTTTTTTTTTGTGGTTCGTGAATTGAATTCATCATTAGGTCTGCCTTCTGTCAAGTCCGTTGAAGACTCCGATAAGCTCAGCTTTTACCTCGAGCATGCTGGTAAAGAAACAATCTGTTAATAGGCTTCTTTCTGTTGGAATTTCATTTTCAAACTTTTTTCATATATCAGTGATATCAACTGAACCAAATTGGCGAGCGCAGAGTTGCGCAATCATTAGAAAGCAGATTGGCGAGTTAATAAAAAGCTATTTCTCACCATCCTTGCTCGGCTTCTTGATAGAGCCCTGACCAGAAACACGGTCTATCGCTTTGATATAGACTCGTTCGCTGCGTCTCCGCTGGCTCTCGGACTGGCCACGGTTGGTTCCAGCCCTGCCGATGTGAGCTTGAGCCTGCATCTGTGCCAGATTGATCCCAGTCCTCTGAATTGTAGAAACGGACTCGGAGCGTCGGTCACGATGGTGGTTTGTACTGCTATTCGCAAAGTCGCCCTTTGTTGGCTGACTCGATTCGGCCCGAGAATCGGTGTCACGGTGACCCCGGATTTCTCCAATGATATGTCCTCCTCCGGAAATTGTCTGCTCCGGTTCATAGCCTTTGGAATCTCCTTCGCTCATGGGACAGGTGGTAGCAGACCGCTGCCGTAGAGCAGCTTCCTTGACCCATGGCTTGAAATGGGGGAGGATTTCGACATCAGGGAAACGAATCGTGCTAGCACGCATGCGGATGGGGTCTCGGTTGACGGGTTTGGTGATACGTCCCTTTCGGCTGTTCGAAAATGCACCTCGATGAGGGCTTCCTGGTGCACTCGGGGATTTGGTAATATGGCTGAGCTGTTGCTGGGCTCTTTCCAGATTTCGCAGTCTGACCATATGATTGCGAACTAGTTCGATGATCTGACGAATTTCTGCGAATGTCTTGCCGTGACCAACGTGTTGGCGAAGCCAGTCTGGGACGGGTGCGATGATGGCAGTTGGGTGCTTACGACCTGGAGCCCGAGTAACGACACCCGAAGGCTTGTGGTCTTGGTTTTGAGCCTGGCCGTTAGGAGTATTCTCGTTCTGATTGGAGGTCTCGGTGGTGACTGCTACGTCGGTTTCACGCCCGACACGCATCTGCTCTCGGCGACGCAGGATGAGTTCGAAACTCTCCACTCCATCCCAGTTCTCCATTCGGCTCAGTGATTCTAGCAGCAGGTCGCACTGCGTAAATGGCCATTGGTCTGCACGATACCGGGCACGCTGGTAGTGCTTTCGGCAATAATGAACCCAGACGCCAAGTGGAAACAGCTTGGTAACGGCCTTGTTTCTGCCAAACACGTGTGAGACGACCTTTCGGTAGTGCATTCCGTCGGGGGAGGGATTCATTCGGCAGGGAGCAGCGAATTCACATAAATGATCTTCGTCGGTTCCATTAACATCCTCCTCTTGTTTGTTGGCAGGATGTCTTTCAGGCTCCGGATCACGCCCCTGCACTTGTTGCTGCTGTGGTTCGTGGTTGTATTCATACAAACTACTGTCATTGAGAGGGTGAATCTCTCCAGGAGATTCCCCTCGATGGGCCAGAGCACGGCCACGACCACGCTGGGTGTTGCTCGGAGATATAGTCGGAGAGGAGCTAGGTAGACTTTGAGGCATCAGGTCATTGATTCCGGGAGGGATATACATCTCCCGAGGATAGTGACTGAAGCCCCTCAATAGACCTCTTGGTGGTTCTCGGGGTTCAGGGAGGTCAATGGGTTGAAGCAAGTGGCGAGGACTCCTGCTACGAGCCCTTTCTTGCTCTCGTGCATGTTCAGTTCGGTCCAGTCTATCCCGGTATGGATTGGCGCAATCAGCGGCATTCCTGAGCTGGACTCCACGGCTGGGATCATACATAGGATGTGTTCCATTTGTGCTGGTGAAACCAAGTGGCTGTCCTTGGCTGTATCGGTGGAGAGGACTAAGTAGAGGAGTGGAATCGGTTGTGTCCAGAGGTATCAATGGGGAAGTAAGTGGAGGAGAGAGAAGCAGCGACAAGGATGAGTTTGCCTGGTGGATTGCTCCAGCAGAGCTGCCGGGGCTAATATTCCGATTAGCTGACATTATAATAGAACAATATGCTCTTGGAAAGGATGAGCTTGTATAATAGAGTACAGTTCATATATAGAATAGGCTTGGGTACTAAGAAGATAGCGATGCCAGAGAATATATTGTATATACTTACGTCGTAACATCCTGCTTGTCATTAGCAGTGTTGCCAGGCCTAAACCCCGTTAGTTAACAAAATTTATCCCAGAAAATCCCAAAAGAAGTGCACGTCAAAAAGCCATATGGGAAGGACGAGTAAGACATTATACAAGACCGAGTAGATTCGGGGGATGTCGTGTATACATACATTTGTATGTCCTCCTCATGGAGGTGGCCCCGATCACCTCGGGCATCAGGGCCCTGAGGGTGCATGCTGGATAGAAGCTAGGATGTGAGGCAAGAAATAATGATGGAAGATGGCAAATTGCGTTCTTGATAACGGACGTGATGATGAATTCTGATGGCAAAGCCCCTTGACGTTGATGCACGAGCTGTCTGATAGTATCAAAGGCTTGGGGTGGGCAAAAATGGAAACGAAAATAGTGGGATAGGATAGAGGAGGAAGAGGAGTACTAGAATAGGATGGGCTTTTATAAGTTTGCAGGAAATTGCCTACAAGGTTTGTATTGATCGAGTTCGGATGACTTTTTACCTTTGTTGAATATCACCATCCCAACGTCTACAGCGTGGATTTGGGCATCGTGTGCGCTAGTCAGTAGCAAGATAAAAGAAAACCGGAACAGCCAAGTCTCTAGACCTGAATTCTTGAGTATGATAATGATGCTTATATATCTATGAGCTCACACAGAGACATGATGGGCCTTTGTTTTAAATCTAATAGGGATCACTAGACTATAGAAGAGTTTAAAAGTAATGAGGTTGATGGCTGAGCCTAAGGGTAATATCTCCATGTACGACAACACGGTTTGGAGGACAGTCACAGGGAGCCAGAGCACTTTCAATACAATCCACCGGAGAGAAAGTGGGCATCAGGAACACTTTATAGGCAACCCTGAGGACTACTGTCAGACCACCGAGCAACTACATCAATGAAATTGTCAAACTTAGTCTCAAGTCTACAGAAGCCCTTAGTAAGAGTCAAGGTGTCACTTTTAAGTATCATTGGTTATTTCTGTATGAGAACATCAAAAACTATATCCCCCATAAATCAAATCCATAACACCATCTTTGCCGGATATCAAGAGAAATGCAATCTGAAAACAAAAAAAGAAGAGGACCGGAGCAATGTGCCCGGTATCCAAAATAAACATAGCACATAGCATTACGTGTCTTCCATAAATGTCAAAAGAAAAAAGAAAGAAAGAGAGAAATCGTTTTACCTAGCGTAGCCAATCGTCGCCGGTTGTCTTGGTATGTACTTTCGAACGGCCCCCCGGCCAGGGCTGCATGCTGCAGAGCCGATGTCAATTGTACTCAGCTCTCGACTCAATGCATCCATGCGAATGTTTCCATTTGGATTGCCAGACATGACCGGGTAGCCTGGGCTTCCTGCGGTGATTGGTACCTTGCTTGGAATTGGGGGGCCTGGGCTGTAGTCATACAGTGGCGTACGAGACCCCGGCGATGGCGAAACAGAGCCTCGGGAAGAGCGTGGCCGCTCAACCGAAGTGGGTGTGCCGTAGCCCCGACTTTGCACGTGGCTGTTAGAGCGTTCATGCGTGTAGTCCGTCCGTGGTGAAGTTCGAACCATTGACCCTGGACTCACGTGCACATGGGTGGGTGTGTAACTGACTGGGCGATCCGACGGATACGTAATCGTCTCTGTTCTGAATCCGACGCGTGGCGGGCCTGTGCTGCGTGATGAGGGAGAGTCGTTGCCTCTAGAAGTTGGCCGGGCCGAGTGTTTGAAGCGGATGATAACCTCGGGCTTGCGGCTCTTCCTGTCTGGCTCGGGAGCCCATGTATCGGTGGGAAGATGGTCAGAAGGATCAATCTCACGACCATCATCCCCGATGATTGGGTGATCCATGTCTCGACGAGGTTCAGTCTTTCCGCGTATCACTGCATCTCTAGCTTGCGCAGGCGAGTCGTATGCTGGAGAAGGATCTCGGCCGGGGGGTTGAGAAACATTCGGGTTCAAAGACATGTAGGAGTCCGGAGAGAAAGGGATTGAAGAACCACTACGGACGTCTGAAGAAGAGGGCCGTGGGCTGACTGACTTCCGGACCACGGCCCGCATATCAGGACTGACAGATCCACCTCTGCTAGAAGTGGGTCTTTGTTCAATTTGCCGGGGGGATGTTCGCAGAGGGTAAACAGGAGCATCGTAGTGAATGGGTGCTGACACAGGAACAGAAACTGGTGGAGGCGGCTGGGAGATCATCATCTCATCATCCCAGTGGGTGCTTCGTTTGCGGACTGATAGTTCAAGTGCTGTTCTCTCAGATGGATTTTCAGTTTCATAACCTGCAACGAGACTTGCGGGCATGGCCGGGGAGTTCCCCACTGAAGAAGGCTCCTGATGGCGATCGTGGCGGGTCGAGGTAGACGTCAGTGGCAGATGTTGGACTGAGGACCGGGAACTAGATTGGGGCGTGTATGGTGCATAGGGGCGGGGAGAAGTATTCGGGGTTGGCTGCTGAGAGTGCGCTCTTCGTGATCGGTGAGCCGGCGGAGGAGGAGGAGGCCCGTCATCATCTTCATCTTCTACCCGTGGTTGCATTCCGGCGTATTCTGGGTGGTAATCGTGACCACGGGCAGTGATTTGTAGAGGTCGAACCATGTGTGGATGGTACCTCGGGTCATCGGAGGGGAGAAAGTCTGAAGCTGGCAACTCGTGTGCATGCGGTGCCCCATATGACATAGGGTCGGGATGGTATCGAGGCTGCTGTATTTGGGCGTAGGGATCTTGATGCGTGGAATGGTATTGCATTTCCTCATGGGGATCTGCCTGGTACTGGTCTTGCCTGACGAGGCGGTAGTCTCTCGAAGGCGGCTGATCATACTCGGCATGATTCCGTGGTTGCTGTTGACCTTGTTGCTGTTCAAGTTGGAGTTGTTGCAGTTGCTGTTCTTGTTGCAGTTGTAACTGTCGCTGTAGCTGCAGTTGTTGTTGTTGCTGTTCTTGTTGCTGCTGCAACTGTTGTTGCAGTTGCAGTTGTTGTTGTTGCTGTTCTTGCTGCTTCTGTAACTGTTGTTGCAATTGCAGTTGCTGCTGTTGTTCTTGTTGCTTCTGTAACTGTTGTTGCAGTTGCAGTTGTTGTTGCTGTTCTTGCTGCTGCTGTAACTGTTGTTGCAGTTGCAGTTGTTGCTGCTGTTCTTGTTGCTGTTGTAACTGCTGCTGCTGTAGTATACGCGAATCATATGGGGGTTCAATAACTTCATTGGAAGTATGAGGCAGTTCATGAGTGATTTGTCGGCGGAGAGGAGCAACAGCTTGGTTGTTCCATTCTTGAGTGTAGTTATCAGCACCATCATATCCACCCCGGGAGGGAGGCGGGACAGGAGAAGGTGCACGATAAGACGATGCATCATAAGCAGGCTCAGTATGTCTTGGGGCGTAGCTGACGGCGTCTGCGGCAACAGGTATAGTGTTTGAATGCTCAAGCATGGCGGGTCTCGACGGGACCGGCTGGTGAAGCGGAGGCGCAGAGTGAGCTTGTTCTAGGTGAGCTGGTCTTGCCGGGGCTCCTGCAGCACCACCGGGCAAGGGTCGTCGCTTGACATCTTTCAATTGCCGGGGACCAGACAAGCCCGTACTGCTTGGAGTACTAGGGACTTTGCCTTGGATTCGCTCAGCGGCTTCTTTTCGACGTTCAATCAGGACCTCGTCTTGCTGTCTAGTGTCGTAGTAGGTCATTTCGATTCGGATATCTCCTGCATATTTCCCACGGTATTGAAGTGAGTGCCAGTGGTCATTCTGACTTCCACCTGGAATGATCAAATTTTGTAAATCGACCCAGGTCTCGCCGATCAGGTCTGTCTTCTTATCGTCATTGAACACGGAGACCTTTAACTTGAAGTAGTCAGGGGATTCATATACGGTAAATCGAAGTTCCGAGTCCCTAGGTAAGTAAGCTTCAATTTCTGTATTTACACATCTATCAAGCCAAAAGCTTACCATCGGGGAGTTTGTCCTCCTCGTAAGTCTGTTTGTGTCTTCTTTGCTTCCTTGCCCAATCGTGCTGCAGCGTAGGGATTCTGCTTGCCCATAGTCTTCCGGTTGGGTAGATTTTTGGCTCGGTCGATGATAGCGACCAAGGTACCGATAATGGGACCATCGACGGAGATGTCAGCGAAGATACCCGCCGCATGGTTGACCTTAGATATCTTCGACATGGTTGACATGGTTGACCTAGGATTTCAATCACCAGGTATATTGGGTATGAACAGAAAAGACCATGGAGCCAATGTCTACGGGAGAAAAGAAGAAGAAAAGAGAAAAAGATAAACTTGCTCTTGGAATGTCCGATGTATTGAAGGTGGCTGGGGGCTTTGTATCAGATCTAGCGTGTTTGATTGGTTACTACCCCTGGCGGTGTCTTGGGGCGGATTTACCATACCATTGGATCATGAACCCTTGCATCATCAATTTCTATAACACATGTGGAGGGAGCATCACCTCATTATGGAGTACTCCGTACATATGTATTATTTTCCACATCAACATCATATATATTGCAATATATTATATGATGCCATTCAAAGCCTCTCTACCCAACCCTGGTCAGGTATTCCACATGCAGTGGATCGTCATCAGCTCAATCGGATCCCCAGCCACCTCAGATTCAGAGATATGCACATTCCTAGTAATACAAGCGCGTAACCTGCCAACAACCGGGCGGTCCAGACTCCAGACTCCAGGCAAAATCATCATCCCTCTATTCTCCGTACCCTCGTGAATCCTGTTTCAGCTGAGCCGGGGCTTCAATAAGCTGTCAAGCCATCCCGGCTCCCCACCTTTAAGAGCAGGGCGCTGCACCACGATGGAGCTCTGTTCCCCCCCCACTGGATTGCCATAGCGACCACTCACAGTCCTAATCATCCTGTGTACGGAGTACGGAGTATTTCGTATTCTAGGTATGCACCTTTTTTTGGTATTGCATATCAAACATTGGCAATATTAGTGAGACTGTCTTGTTCTCCTACTCTACACACATCATCCCCTACCGATTCCAGATACTTTGATGGTTAACGATGTTGCCTACCTCACTGCCCCAGTGGATTCGCGGGGCGCCAGGGTTACTATTATTAACGCGAGATGGTCAAAATGTGGAAGCCTACGATGCACAAAGCACAGCGTATATCCATTAGATTTCGGGTTTGTCTTCGGGCTCAATTGATGGGAAATGCTACCCAAGATCTCTTGAAGATGATCGACCATGAAGTTCACTGTTGGCACTTGGCATCTATGCGCAAGCACCAATACTCCGTATAGCATAGAGTACCAGAGAATGGGACCTGTCACCTGTCAATTAGAAGTACTGTATTATGCGGGTTGTCCGCTGATGAAAGCTGAACTGTCAAGGGTGTGCTTGTAGGTAGAGAACTTCGAATCCGAGGATCTGAAAGTATTAGCCCACAAGATAGAGATATGGAAATTTCTTTGTTGCTCTAGGCTCGTTTCCTGTGGGTCCAGTCTAGACTCCTTTTGTTGTCAGCCTGACGCATGTCGACCTCGGGAGGTACTTTTGGTGCATAAGTCAAGCATGACGCCCTGAAGGACCATCGCTGAGTGGATATGCCAAGAGTCGGATTTATGCCTTGTGGCCTCAGGCTAAAATTCAGGAACTGTTGCCCCAGGCAGAAACAGCTACCGCCACCATTCCCGATTGGGCGAGACGAACTTTTTTGATCGGCAGAAAAAAGATGGTCTTCATGAACTTCATGATAGCACTCTAGTCGGCTCAACTTACCACCCATTGCTCATTTCGGGTTGCATACCTAACTAATACCCTTCCAAATAACCACTGTCTATCCACCACTGCAACCATGGCGGCGCCCGTCCTGCCTCTGCAGCAGGTCAAGTTCGCCTCATTACCCTCGACGCAGTTAACGCCCGAGCAACAATACTGGCGGACATTCAAAAACCCCCTCCTAATCCCGTCACCGGCCAATGGACCGGTTAATCTCATCACTCAGCCTTCGGTTCCTTCCTCTGCCGCGGCATTCCCCTCTCTTACACAACCGCCCGATGTCTTCACCGTGACAACAGGCGCACGAGTCCAGATCTATTCAATTCGCACACGGAAACTCTTGCGGACACTCACACGATTTGATGATACTGTACGTGGTACTGATGTTCGTGCGGATGGACGTGTCTTGGTGGCAGGTGACGACACCGGTTCCGTGCAAGTTTTCGATGTTAAGTCGCGCGCTATCCTCAAGACGTGGAAGGATCACAAACAGCCCGTCTGGGTGACCAAGTTCTCTCCTAGTGACCCTACAGTGGTCCTTACGGCCAGTGATGACCGTACAGTGCGACTGTGGGATTTGCCATCGCAAACTAGTGCGCGCACCTTTGTCGGCCACACCGATTACGTGCGCAGCGGTGCATTCATGCCTGGCTCCATGGCTTCTTCTGGTCTGGTGGTTTCAGGCTCTTACGATCGTACTGTTCGACTGTGGGATTCTCGAGTTGGAAACCGTGCTGCTATGACTTTCAAGATGGGTGCGCCAATCGAGACTATTCTCCCTATGCCCTCCGGAACTACAGTTCTGGCCGCGGCCGACAACAAGATTGCGGTACTGGATATTGTGGCTGGTAAGCCGCTGCACATGATTCAGAGCCACCAAAAGACTGTCACCTCTCTTGCGCTGGCCTCCAATGGTGAGCGATTGCTCAGTGGTGCTCTCGATGGACATATGAAGGTCTTTGAGACTACAGGGTGGAACCCCGTCTCCGGATCAAAATACCCTTCACCCATTCTCTCTCTGTGCGCGATTACTTCCGGAACTGAACACGAGGATAAGCACATTGCTGTCGGTATGCAGTCAGGTCTTCTGTCTATCAAGACCCGACTGTCTGGCCAACAGAAGATCAAGGAGCGGGAACGCCGGAAGGAAATGGCAGCCCTGCTGGAGGGCAAATTGGAGGAGCATGACCGGGAAGTCGCTAAGAAGAAGAAGAAGACCCGTGGCTCTGGATGGGAAAAGCGTCTGCGTGGACGCGATTTCATCGGAGAGGGCGTGGAGATCATCATTGAGGGCCAGGACCGCAAGAAGCGGAAGAGAGAGCAGCCTTGGGAGAATGATCTCCGTAAGGCACGCTACTCCGTTGCGTTGGACCAGGTCCTCTCCTCGACCGACAAGACTGCACAACTTACACTCCTTACGGCCCTGCGTCACCGCTCCGCCCTCCGCGCCTCCCTGAAGGACCGTGATGAGGTCACCCTCCAGCCTGTCCTGCAGTGGGTTCACAAGAACATCCGTGAACCCCGCCTGGTCGATCTCAGCGTCGAGGTCGCCATGAACCTTCTCGATATCTACTCTGGAAACCTGGGCCAGTCCGCACAGGTCGACAAGATGGTGGAGCGTCTGCACCGCCGAGTGCGCGAAGAAGTGGAGATGGCCCAACAAGCGTGGCAAACAAAGGGTATGCTTGACATGTTGAAGGCAACCTGATTTGACGGCCTTGAATCGCAACTTGGAGTTCGGGGTGTCTGGGATTCGCACACTTGGTGTATATGGCGGGCCATCTTTTGTACAGGATTTGCATAAAGAATAAAAGTCGAACTATTTACCATCATGGACCGTAACATCATTTATTCATATTCTGACTGTGTATCAAGTACTCAACTTTGAGAATCCACCAGCAGGCGGCTGCAACCAATTCCGCGCATCATACTCCCACCCCTCTGCGCCCTCAATTACATGGAAGGTATAGGCATACCGACTATTCAGGCTGGTATTCTTCTCACTCTTGTGCAAAACATTCCCATGAATGAGCACGAGGGATCCGGCCTTGATGTCAAGAATCTCCAGATCCTCATCCGTAGTCTCCGAACTCTTCTCCTCCTCCATGCCTTTGGGGAGCGAAGGCCCCCGGTTCTCAATAAACTCCGTTCCGGACCCATTCTCCCGCCGTACAAACCTCCGAGCAATGTGACCACCCTTACTTCCCGTGTGCGACCCCTTGTACATACCCAGTGTCCCATTCGCCGGTCCCGCATCCTGCAGCGCATACCACCAGCCCACGGCAGAAGGCGGATCCGTGTACAAAAACTCCGAATCGCGATGGGACGGCACAGCGCCACCAATCGAGGGCTGCTTGCAGATAACCATACTCTGTAGCACGCGGGGATCGGCGAATCCTAGGGACTGTGCAACAGCCGCGTTCCGTTCATTGAGAGATATGGCCTTGAATGGAGGCGACAAGGTATGCAGGGAGTGACCAATCTTGTTGACGGCGCGGTTTTTGGGCTTCAGTAGCGCGGCTCGGCCGGTCAATGGATCCGGTTCCGTGCCGAATGCGCCCGGTTCGAAAAAGAATCGAATCTTGTCGCCTGAATTCAGGAAGTAATCGTCGCCTACATGATCGGCGGTTTCGTCGCCCGTTGTGAATTGGGTGAGGGGGTGGGATTCTAGTGGGAATTCCTCGAGGAGTTTGTTTGTCTCGGCGAGGAGAGCGGTGACCTCGGTCGGGGTAAGGTAGTCGGGGAGGACGAGGTACCCGTTCTCCTTGAAGGAGGCAACTTGAGCTTCGGTAAGTCCAGCCATGAGGTGCTTTATGTTCCAGAGTTGGAGATGAGTTGGTTTCGATGTCTTAAAGCGGGGAGAGATGCCTGGGTGATAAGCGATTTGATACGCCCAGTGCCTTATCTGGCATCCGTGCACACGGCATCTATGGACAAGGTCCACCCGCTCAATATATGTTATGTTTCCCTGACTTAGTTCTCGTGGGGTACCTCTAGACCTTTCGAAGACACTGATGGGTCCGAGCCTCTTCCATAGAGGCTAGTTGCCGCAGAAGCCAATGATGCAAGTGGCAAGCTCCATAAGCTTGCCACAGAACTGGGCGAACTATATAAATATATCGACATGGAGCATATTGAACTTCAAAAGCAATCAATACAATTTGTACAGATGCCAACATTTCACACAAAGACGCTTCTACAAGCAGACAAACATCTGAAGAAGCCTCCAAAGGTTTAGTATCAACCTTCTATTTACCCAACTAAACAAACTCAACTACAAATCACTCCAAGTGGATCAGATCAACCTTTTTCTCGCACACATTCCACCGAGCGCTACCGTTCACCACGATGTCCGACTCTTTCACAAGTTCCTCGTACTACTACAGTTCCACAACCAACGGCAGCGACGGCAAGACTACAACCGGACACAGGTATTCGACAACTTCATACACCGAACCCGACGGCACAACAATCGTACGTACCGCCCAGCAAGATTTAGGCCAACCAGCGGTCGTTGAAGAGCGGCGCTACGACAACACAGGTCAGGAACAGCTGTCTTTACCAGAGCCCTCGAGTGGTACCTCTGCAGGCGGAGTGCGGCGCATCACAGAGCTAGAGGACGATGTTTCAAATTCCACGCCTAACGCCCTGGCTGATATCGGGGGTAAGGCGGCTCAGCTCTTGGATGGGGACGGCGAGGACGATTCGTTTAATTTGGTTTCTTCGCCGCTGGGGTCTAGGGTTTATGACTCTGTGACCGGTACTTATAATGACCAGCCCGAGTATGATATCGGTGGGGTTACTAGGCGTCACCAGGATAGAGGGGTTGCTGGTGATCGGAGCCTCGGAAAGAATGTGGGTTTCGGCGCGGATGGCTTCTCGTCTTCGGCGAGGGGGAACCGCATGTATGAGGATCCTAGTACGGGCACTAGGCTACGGAGAGAGTCCGATGTGAATGTTACGGATGTACTGTAGGTGAGTGGATTGGCAAGTATTTTGCATTTGCTTATGGTAAGTATTTGCACCTGCTTCTTGCTATATATAAAATAAAAAACGATATACCTTGGTGAGTACTTCATGCATATGTTGTGAAGAATATCAGGAGAGTATCAACCAAAAATTCCACCTTGAATGTATGTCTAGTCACGTAGACGTAAACGTCCCTCTGACCAGCGGCTGCGCGCTTTCTCCCACCATGTTGGGATCTCATAGGACCAGTGGCAAAGCATACCAGCAATGAAGCCGATCGCATCATTTTTGAACCCTACTAGTAATCCCACAGTAACCATCATGATAGTCCAGCGGCGACCACGTTCTTCATCCGTGAGAACAGGACCAATATGCTCTCCCAGATTTGACAAAAGGCCAGCACCGGCCTGGTTGAGGTCCCGAGCACCAGTGGTGTTGAGGCTCTCGCCTACGCTAAGCAGCTCCGCGCCAGCTGCAATAACCATCACTCCGAGCAAGGCAGCAGGGAAGCGCTTTAGCAGGTCAACCAAGGTCTCTCCGAAGACCAAGCCGATGAAAAGCTTCAGCAGGCCTAGGAAGATCACACTTGCACCCGAGCGAGCTCCAAATCGATACTGCGCTGCAAGACCACCAGAGCCATGGCAGACGGGCATAGCACCGAACCAGCAGCCAATTAAGTTCATGCCGGCGACGCTCAGCCCGACGTGGGTGATGGATGGAGTGTGCACGTTCGGCAACAGATCATTCGCCAGGTGGACAACCGCCACAATGGAGTTGAGGGTAGTAAGAGGAATCTGACCAATACCAGCATCCACAGCACCGACACGCCATTGAAGCGGGGTCGGAACCAGAGCGAAAGGATGCCACACCTCGAAACTAGGCATATACCCCGCCAGTGCAGTCCGAATAATAGAAAACACCAGACCCAGCGCTAACACAGCGAGTGCATAGGGTACTCGGCGATAAATATTAGTGAGTAGAAGCGCAACAAATGCAGCGACCGCCCAGATACGGTTATCGGCCCAGGAGGGACCGATCCAGCCCAGAGGCTGGAGCATATTGCTGCAGGCTGTGATTATCAGAGATAATCCCGCTCCAACTTGAATACCCTTGATAACTGGAACGGGGATTACACTGGCGAACCAGCGTAAGATACCCGTCAAGCTGAAAACAAGGATACAGGCGCCGACGAAGATCCCCGCTGCAGCGATCGTGCCATTTGAGAAACTACGCGCGATAGCCACTGCAGCAATGGCCTTCATCGGCTGTACTGGCAGCGGAATACCGAAAAATGCACCCGTTAGGATATTAAAAATCCCCGAGAAGATCAATGTGCTGGCGAGTGAGACGGTGCCATTGGCAGCTAGCGCAATTGCGATAGGTAGAAATGTACCTAGATCGCCAAGCGAGCCTGAGATCTCAGATACATAGTGGCGCTTGAAGGTGCGCAGATTATAAGCGTTTATTTCGCGCAGTGACTGGATAGCCATGGTGGGGTGATCGGAGTTCAGGAGGCTCGGGGGAGCCAAGCCTTTATGTATTCAAATCGGAGCGCGCCGGTCTTCCCCGCTGATGTCGGGTCGAATCCTGTTTCAACTTTGGAACCTTGAAATAGACGGAATGGCGTATCACTTCATTTATATAGATTAACTGCACCTAGCTTCCCTGTTTGAAGGTATTTCATAACACAATTATGCTCATTCTATGCTTTGATGTGCTCCTTTTGCCCTGGAAATGTTCTTTCTTGGCAACGACTAACGACCAAGCTGAATGTGTTCCCGAGGTCTCTACCTCTCTACTCTAGCGGGTAAAGAATGTGTGCTTCGTTGGGAATAGGGGCACTATCCGAGTACATATGCAGTCTTGAAAGCCTCAACTATGTAAATTTTGATAATTGAAAAGAAATTTCTGCAAAATATATATGTTGAAGAGCATATGATGGCTCTATTGAAATACTGTACGGAGTAACATGGCAAGATCTAAATTATCAATGTCTAAGCAGCCTCCTCCGTAAGTGTCACACCGGTCTTGAGGTGTAGGTAAGCAAAATTAACCTGCCCAGGTGATATGTATACAAACAACCTCCGTTCATTGAAAGCGTAACTTACGATTTACCCAAGTATAACCCCAGTATACTCCATACTCATCGCCATGACAAGTACAACTTCGGCTATCACCTATCAGATACGAGGTTCAATAGAAGAAAAATGATAGAACTGAATACCTAAGTCAACATTGAGAATCCGATGAAATATCCCAATACGGAACGTCATGGCATACCCAGAGATCCTCATATGTTTGCAGCTTCCCTAGTACCTTCCTATTTGGGCAACACATCACCTACCTAAGTATCTTTCAGTCATTGCCAGGGTGTAAGTACTCCTGCTCCTAGGTTTTCTTTCTCTTTTTTCTCTTCCCTCCTTCACACCTCTCAATTTTTCTGGACATCTACTCCCACTTTATAACGGCCTTAACTATCCACCATGACAACCCTTTACAGCGATAAGCTTCTATCATGGCCACTATAATCGTCCACCATGACAACTATTTGCCATGAATGACCTTGGCAGCCACCCACTGTGACAGCCTCCTACCACATCTTAATGAGAATCCACCGCGGCAGTAATCTAACATACTATGACAACCGTCTCTTATGACAGCTACCTACTATAACTGTTCATAGTAACACATTCATCATTTTATCCCACACATTTAAACTCGCCAACTCATGGCTAGCAATCCCTACGGTCAACTCCTGTCTCCTACTCTCCTATACCACACCCCATCCCCGTCCCCTCACCTCACCTCACAATAATCCAGCAGCCAGAAACCGCTCTAGTCGACAGGCTTGTAGTGGAAGCACTCCAGCTGGTACTTCAAATGCTACTCACTATAAGTTGCCTCGAGGCAAACCAAAAACCGGGCTTGGCCTCGCAAAGTGACCCCGGACGGCAACAGATTTTGATTGCATCTCATCCCCGTTATCATCCCCTATTCTCCTCCTCCCCTCCTAATCCTCATGTCTTCCTCCGCCGGTGGCTCTACTGAATTCAGGCTTTTCTTCTTCTGGCGTTATGTCTAGCATAATCTTGCTAACACGGTTGGCCCCTTGCATGGAGACTAAATGACGCGGTCACACCAGCAATTTGGGCGGTCCAAGTAGAACTACCCTACCTACCTTCACACATTTAGCGGCAAAAGCAAAGCATCTCCAATCATTAAATCGACGCTTAGTTCGGACATTGCCAAGTTGCCTTGGTTTACAACTTCAACTACTTCGTACATCCACACCTAATAGAAATATATACAGCTCCTTTTTTTTTCTTTTTCGGAAGACACTGTCCCCAAATCCAATGAGCTTTTCAGCAACATGTTTCCCATGTGTTGCCATGATGGATTTTTAAGCTTGTTTTCTCACAAGAGTTCAATGCTCGCGGGGATGACATAGATGGAATGACTTTTATATGAACAGGGAATAATGCTTTTTTTTAAAAATCGATTGGTCCTATTCTGCTCCTTGCTTTTCATTTACCATGTAAATATGATTATGATCTCTCTTGGTATACGCCAGTCAATTCAAAATGCTCGAGATAGGGAGAAGAGAAAGAGAAAGTGGGGGGATAAGTCCTGGGGGGTAAATATAGCAAACCCCACCCAGCATGTGAAAACATGTAATTGCATGTGATCATAGTTTAGCATATAGTGCCTCGCAAGCCACATAATTTGTTCCTGAATTTGAGTCTTGTTTATGAGTCTTGTTTATTATAACCTTGGAAGATATAGGCTATAAAACTGAGGGCTTGACCCATTGACTGAATTAAACTAATAGTCCGCTTCGACGGTCTATATAGCACCTATAGACTGTAAGGAGCACAAAGTAAATAGATAGTGTTAAGAGAATCAATAGTGTCAACGCCAATGTTTTTCTATAACCTAAGAAATAGGGGCTAATAGGGCTAGCGAAGATAACCCGGGTAATCGCCCCACTTGCAGGGTTATGTACCTAGCTAAAATAGCGGCAAATAAGCACAAAGCCACCAGATGCAGAATATCCGGTAGATCAAAACTCTGTCCAAAAGTACTTATGAAAAGTACTGCAGTACCAAACGGATTTTGGTACTGTTTATCCCCTTTTCTTGTATTTTTACTTATATTTGCACTGTTTACAGTACTGCAGTACCGGACCAAGCCTTTGGTACTGCCTGTTATTAGCCAGTTCTTGGCAGTTCTTGGAGCAAAATAGTGCAACGAGAATACTAAGTACAGAGAGTAAAAAAGAAAGAAAAAGAGGAGACAGGATCTTTGTTCAGAACCAAACAACCAATAGTGCAAACATCCCCAAGACGGTAGAAAACATATCCTTCAGACTGCCACACTGCCAAGCCTGGTACTACAGTACCGGACCAAAGATCTAGTCTGCCGCAGTACTAGTGCTGCGTACCGGACGAACGGTCTAATACTGTTACAAGGTTGTGAAGGCCTAATACAAAGTATAAAGTACTTTATACACGGGTGGCAACCATTAATTGTAACCCGGGTAGAAGCTCGGAAATGGAAAGAAAGTGTGGCATTTCATAAGTCTATCTTGGAAAATTCATAACTTACATATATTAATGAATAAATAATGGAAAAAGAAAAGATATGTGGAGGAAGCTTATGAAACATCGCAAACAGGCTTCTAATACCTAGGTAAGCTCCCGAGGTCAGCTACATACTTGGCAGATCATTGTTAGATGTCGATTTATGCCGAAATAGAACACATACCGGTCCATGGGTGCCTAGCACATGGGTTGCCGGACCTTGGAATCTCTTGACTTCCCGATTTTTTCGCGGCTCCGCGAAAGTGCCGCTGACATAGCATTTTACAGATGTAGCATTCCAAGCTTACCTTTGATTTGTTCATTCTCTTTTTTTTAGTAAATTTCCAGTAAATATGTATCTCACTACTATAAGCTTACTATATAGGTAATACCTTCAGAGTATTGTCCCTGGAGCACGCCTTAGAAGTATAGATCTTGGTAAGCCCTAATGCGGCGATAGCAGTTAAGGACTCGCCTCCCTTGTTTCAAACCTGGCGAGACCGATTTGCTGAAATCTATCGAATCATTGCTCGAGGATCTGCTAAAGGGTACTCCATGCATTCTCCACTCATTTTCTGTGTTTCTTCAATTACACCGAGTCCCGACTCCGACCCACAGTTCCATTACAGTCCAAGATGTCATCCAAAAACAACCGAAATGGCCACAAAGCCGAGGCTTTTAAATATTGGACAGTTCCCCTCAAAATGATTCCCATGATTTCCATTAAGCTCTATATTTATTTTCGTTTGTAATATCCCTGTACTCGTTGCCCATTACATTTTGGCACGATGACGTCGGAGGAAAGCTCAATCGAGCTACGGGATATCCATGATCCTACTCCAATTCATGCTGAAGATGCTGCTGGAGATGATGCTGGCGACGCTGCCGGAGACACATCGACTCTCGGCGACACTCCCATGGCATACATAGATCAAGAAGATGTTAATACTCTCACCAAAATAGCCACTCAACAGTCACGCCGATCGACTCCCGGAGTCACAAATAACCTAGCTGTCCTCGCTAAACAAGATCCATCCCTCGACCCGCTATCTGGAAAATTCGACTTGCAAAAATGGCTTAAGGCGGCTTTTAGAGATCTCAGCCGGGGGGACGGGCGCCCGGGACACACATCGGATGTCGTTTTCAAACAACTGAATGTATATGGATCGGGTGCTGCGCTGCAGTTCCAAGATACAGTTACATCGACCTTGACTGCCCTCGCTCGGTTGCCCCAAATCATTCGTGAATCACGGTCTCCACAAAGGCGAATTCTCAAGGACTTCAATGGCATCTTGAAAAGTGGTGAACTGTTGCTTGTGCTTGGTCGACCAGGTGCCGGCTGTAGTACACTTCTGAAGTCTATGACTGGAGAGCTGCACGGTTTAAATATGGATAAGGAGAGTGTCATTCATTATAATGGTAAGTCTTCAGCTCCATCATAGTACTGTAACACAGCTAACAATCACTAGGAATTCCCCAAACTCGCATGATGAAAGAGTTCAAGGGCGAACTAGTATACAACCAAGAGGTACAGTCCCAACATCGGCCACATCGATGAAGCTATGCTAACTCTGAAATTGTACAGGTTGACAGACACTTCCCTCATCTGACCGTTGGTCAAACTCTGGAGTTTGCAGCTGCAACTCGAACTCCCGCTCACCGGTTCCAAGATATGTCGCGCGCAGAATATGCCAAATACCTTACTCAGATTATCATGGCTGTCTTTGGCCTGAGTCACACATATAACACACGCGTTGGAGATGATTTCATCCGTGGTGTTTCGGGTGGTGAGCGAAAGCGTGTCAGTATTGCAGAGATGGCCCTAGCCCATGCTCCAATCGCTGCCTGGGACAATTCTACTCGAGGATTGGATTCTGCTACAGCATTGAAGTTTGTCCAGGCTTTGCGACTGTCCTCTGATATCACTGGCTCGTGTCATGCGGTCGCTGCTTATCAGGCAAGTCAAAGCATCTATGATGTATTTGATAAGGTGATTGTCCTTTACGAGGGCCGCCAAGTCTTCTTCGGACCTGCTTCTGCAGCCAGGTCCTACTTTGAAAACCAAGGCTGGGATTGCCCAGCTCGACAGACTACAGGAGATTTCCTCACTTCAATCTCAAATCCCGACGAGCGGAAAGCCAAGCCTGGCATGGAAAACCGTGTTCCCCGTACGCCGGAAGAATTTGAGACTGCATGGCTCAACTCACCCGACTACAAGCGATTACTGAATGAAATCGCTGAATATGAAGGGCAAAATCCCGTTGGAAACGATGTGCAAGCTCTCGCTGAGTTCCAGGAACGGAAGCGTGACGCCCAGGCCAAGCACACCCGGCCCAAGTCCCCATACATCATCAGTATTCCCATGCAAATCAAACTCAACACTATTCGCGCCTATCAACGACTCTGGAATGATGCCGCTTCGACTGTCTCTGTGATTGTGACTAATATTATCATGGCTCTGATCATCGGATCAGTCTTCTACGGGACTCCGGATGCAACTGTAGGCTTTACGTCAAAATGCGCCACTCTGTTCTTCGCCGTCCTTCTCAATGCCCTCACAGCCATGTCTGAAATCAACAGTCTCTACTCACAGCGCCCGATCGTCGAAAAACATGCATCCTTTGCCTTTTATCATCCCTTTACAGAAGCCATTGCTGGTGTGGTTAGTGATATACCAGTGAAGTTTGCATTGTCCGTTGTGTTCAATATCATCCTATACTTCCTGGCTGGTCTGAAACGAGAACCATCCAATTTCTTCCTCTACTTCCTCATCACTTTTGTGATCACCTTTGTCATGAGTGCAATCTTCCGGACATTAGCAGCTGTCACCAAAACCATCTCACAGGCAATGGGTCTAGCAGGTGTCATGATCCTGATTCTCGTTGTTTACACTGGCTTTGTCCTCCCTGTCCCGTCTATGCATCCGTGGTTCGAATGGATCCATTATCTCAATCCTATCTACTACGCCTTCGAGATTCTGGTTGCAAATGAGTTCCATGGTCGCGAGTTCCCATGCTCAAGCTTTGTTCCCGCATACGCCGATCTATCAGGCACGGCATTCAGCTGTGACATAGCTGGTTCGGTGCCAGGCTCTACGACAGTCAATGGTGACCGGTACATTGAACTGACATACAAATATACCTACGGCCATGTATGGCGCAACTTTGGTATCCTGATGGCCTTCCTGGTTGGCTTTATGTGCATCTACTTTGTCGCAACCGAACTGAACTCCGCTACTACAACAACCGCCGAAGCTCTGGTCTTCCGTCGCGGTCACGAGCCTGCCAGTTTCCGCCAGAACAAGTCTGGAACTGACGTTGAAAACACCACGCTATCTGAAGCCCAGCCTGCTACGGACACAGAAGACAAGGGAATGGGTGCCATCCAGGCTCAGACCGATACCTTCACTTGGCGCGATGTGTCCTATGATATCGAGATTAAGGGCCAGCCACGTCGTCTATTAGATCATGTTTCCGGATGGGTCAAGCCTGGAACTCTGACTGCACTTATGGGTGTCAGTGGCGCTGGTAAGACGACTTTGCTTGATGTATTGGCACACCGCACATCGATGGGTGTTATCACTGGTGATATGTTTGTCAACGGTCGTGAGCTGGATCAGAGTTTCCAGCGAAAGACAGGTTATGTTCAGCAGCAGGATCTTCACCTCGATACTGCTACTGTGCGTGAGTCTCTGCGGTTCAGTGCTATGTTGCGTCAGCCAGCCTCCGTTTCGGTTCAGGAGAAGTACGACTATGTCGAGGAAGTGATCAAAATGTTGAAGATGGAGGAGTTCGCTGAAGCCATTGTTGGTGTCCCTGGTGAGGGTCTGAACGTCGAGCAGCGCAAGCTGTTGACTATCGGTGTCGAATTGGCTGCCAAACCCAAGCTACTGCTCTTCTTGGATGAGCCTACCAGGCAAGTACCCTATGCAAAGAACATTCATATCTTTCAAATACTAACTATGTCTTAGTGGTCTTGACTCTCAGAGTTCTTGGGCTATTTGCTCATTCCTTCGCAAGCTTGCCGAGCACGGCCAAGCGATTCTTTGCACGATCCATCAACCCAGTGCCATACTCTTCCAACAATTCGATCAGCTGTTATTCCTCGCCCGAGGCGGTAAGACTGTCTACTTTGGTCCCATCGGAGAAAACTCTCGCACAATGCTCGACTATTTCGAAGCCAACGGTGCGCGCAATTGTGATGATAACGAGAACCCAGCCGAGTACATGCTGGGCATCGTCAACGCTGGTCAGAATGACAAGGGTCAGGACTGGTTCGACGTTTGGAAGGAAAGCGATGAAAGCAAGGAGGTTCAGATGGAGCTCGAGCGAATTCATAACGAAAAGAAAAACGAACCCTCAGGCGCTGATGATTCCTCAAACATTCATTCTGAGTTCGCTATGCCGTTCTGGTTCCAGATGATCCAGGTCACACACCGTGTGTTCCAGCAATACTGGCGCATGCCATCCTATGTTCTGGCGAAATGGGGACTTGGAATTGCGTCCGGCCTGTTCATTGGTTTCTCTTTCTTTGATGCCAAAACATCGCTGCAAGGCATGCAGACGGTCATCTTCTCTCTCTTCATGATTTGCACCATCTTCTCGTCATTGGCGCAACAGATCATGCCCGTGTTTGTCAGCCAGCGATCGCTCTACGAGGGACGTGAACGCCCCAGCAAATCCTACTCCTGGAAAGCCTTCCTCGTTGCGAACATCGTCGTGGAGGTCCCCTACATGATCATCATGGGTATATTGACCTACGCCTGCTACTTCTATGCTGTCGTTGGAATTCCCAGCTCAGCAACCCAGGGAATTGTCCTCCTGTTCTGTATGGTCTTCTTCATTTACGCCAGCACATTCACCCACATGGTCATTGCCGGTCTCCCAGACGAACAAACCGCCAGTGCGGTCGTCGTTCTTCTCTTCGCGATGTCTCTCACATTCTGTGGTGTGATGCAGCCCCCGAGCGCCCTTCCCGGCTTCTGGATTTTCATGTACCGTGTCTCACCCTTCACATACTGGATCGGCGGCATGGCAGGTGCACAGCTTCACAATCGCAAGGTCATATGCTCAGCCTCCGAACTATCCATCTTGAATCCGCCCTCTGGTCAAACTTGCGGTGAGTACCTCATGAAGTATGCCCAGGCCGCTGGTGGTCAGCTGCTCGATCCTGAGGCTACGAGTGATTGCAAGTACTGTCCTCTCAAGGTTGCGGATCAGTACCTTGCTACGGCTGGTATCCACTATGGTGATAGATGGCGCAACTTCGGCATTATGTGGGCTTACATTCTCTTCAATATTTTCGTTGCTACTCTCATGTACTACCTTGTCCGCGTGAAGCGGTGGAACAGTGTGGATCTGAAGGGATCAGTGAAGAAACTCATTCCTGGAAAGAAATCGAAGGCTGGCAACTAAATTCTGTCACTGCCCTCTTGCTAATATTTACCATTCTTTGTCTATATTTCCTTTACATCTTTTTTGCATTTTTTGCATTTGTTCTTTCTCTCCAATGCCTTTTGAGCTACCCACTGACCTTGCCGTTTATCTCTCATACTTTGTCACTTTGAAATCTCTTGTGCTCCGCTGCACAGAGAAAATATTGTTTTAATAGAAAACATGTACATACTACTAGACGAGAAATCACTTCTTCATATGTATTTCAACTTTATTCCATCTAAGTATCAAACACATGCCTAAAGCTATTCTGCAACCAAGTCCTCATACCGAGCACCACCCTCAAACCCTATCCCGAAGACTAGAAACAACTTATGATTCCAAAAACCCTACGAGACCCCGGGAGCTCGGTATGATCTGGCACGCAAAGATGGATGCCGTATAGGAGAGATTCTCCCAACCTACGCTGAAGTGAGTGTACTTTTGCAACCAGTACTGTAGATCTGAAATGGAATGAAAAGGAATTATGGAAATCGGTCTATCGATATGTCGTCAAATCACTTGGGAGCCTTGTTCACCCAAATTTCAGAGAATAGAGACTGAACATACGCAGAAAGAGATAAAGATCTTATTATATACATTTCTACTATGGCCCTTTTGTGTTCAGGAATATGATAACATATTACCATTGGTCAGATAACATCACAGTGGTTTAGGGGTGTTTCAAAACAATTCTGATAACTGGGCGGCAGCTACATTCAGTCTATACCTCTTTAATTCCAGTTACTCCTTTGCTATATATTTCCTTTCTATCTACACCCTAACACATACGACCATAGGGTGTGGAAAACAGGGCTTCCCGTCCGCTCAGCCGTACTTAAGCCACACGCCGGTGAGTTAGTAGTTGGGTGGGTGACCACCAGCGAATCCTCACTGTTGTATGTTTTTTTGTTTTTCTTCTTCGTTAGAAAGTCACTTATAACACCGCCCTACATTAGTTCAGCTAATCAATCCCTTTACCTTACTTCGACACCATTATTTTGCATCTGAATTTCCTGCATAGAAGCACTTGTATGGCCCTCCTCTCCTTTGCTGGCTTGGTGGGTCCTGACTCCTGTTCTGTGGTGAATTGGTCTTAGATGATGTGTAACATCCATTGGACGTGGCGACACCCTCTGTGGCGGCTGGGCAAGCTCGATCGGAGGATCGCAATTGACCTACTGAGAGCAAACTTTTGTACTTAATTCTGTTCTTGTGCAATATCTTTGTGGGTTATGGATTTGACTGGCAAGTCCGTATATTTGGTTTGTTGCACTCGGACATGAGCCCCCACGGTTCGAACTCCTTACAGGCACGTCAGTTTATTATTTTATGCTATTTGTTCAGTGCTGTATCAAGTCCCAGAATGATTGAAAGTGTCTCCCAAGCGGACTTGGCTTACTGGTAAAATATCTAATACATAGTCTATCACTCAGCTGACCATTCTCTCATCCCAAAGGCTCAAAAACCTTGACCTGTCAATAAAATAGAGCATTCCAACCCTTGGACCCATTTTATAGTACCTACATATGTAAGGATCGTCAAAACAAGCTTATCTTATCCCAACGCACAGACCAGCGGCCCATCACCTGCACAACGTCACGGCCGCCGCACCACCACGCAGCGAACCAACCAATCATCCAACAGCCTCTCAGGTCTCAAAATATCAAAATGGACCCAGACGGTAGCATCCCCAGCGAACCCGAACCCTCCGTCTTCAACTATGTGCTCTCCTTCCTCCTCGTCGGCGTCGCATGGGGCTTCACGACCCCCTTTATCCGCCGCGCAGCAGCAGACTTCAACGCCCGACAAGAGAAGCAAGCGAGCGAATCGAACTTATTAGCGCGCGGAAGAGGCCGCTCACAAGATTCACCGGAAACCGGGTTCACGGATGCGGGCGAGGAACAGGAATTGCTTTCTCGGGAGGAAATCGGCGACTCCGGTGACGAGGAGGGTGTACGGAGACGGAGTACGAGCAGCAGTGCTCCGAACCGGAAACCGAAGATTGCCGACGCAGATACGGGGCTGGACGATGGAATTGCTGGACAGAGTGCGAGTCGCGGTACTGCGGAAGACAGGGAAGGCAGCGCGGATGAGGAGCAGGACGATCTACCTACGCCGGCGTGGAGAGGTGGAGCTCCTGTGAAGCAGTCGTGGCTGCGGAACAAGATTGTTTCTATTTTCTGGACGGTTGTGAATCTGCTTCGCACGCCTGCATATTCGATTCCCTTGGTTATCAATCTCACGGGCAGTATTTGGTTCTTCTTGCTTGTTGGAAAACATGGTATGTGCCATTCCTTGACTTACTTGACTTCTGTCGCTGTGAGTTTGAGGTGTGGGATTGCTGACTTTTTGCTGTGTAGAACTCTCGTTGACTGTACCGCTTGCAAACTCGAGTGCGTTCTTGTTTACCGTTCTTGGGGAGTGGTATGTTGATCGCAAGGTGATTGCAAAGGAGACATGGCTGGGGATGGGGCTGGTACTTGGAGGGATTGCATTATGTGTGCACTCTAAGAACCAGGCTTCTTGAAGTTGATTCGATTTGGATTGGGAGTTCGGTGCTGATTTATTTATATGGTGTGGTGCTGGATACTTTATTGGGGCGATGTAGCTTGTCTGGAACTCTAGAAGAAACCTCATAGCTAATAGAGGCATCTTGCTGTATTCACTCACTACGTGAAACCTCACACCACTAAGCTTTGACCCTGCTCACCTGAGAAGTTCCTGTGATGCCTCAGATTTTATCTACGAACACTTCTTTTGAACAAATACATATTTTGTGAAAATACGCTGTACTTTCCGACGTCCATATCTACAGATAGAGTACACAAATCCCCAACCATACAGGAAGCACAAAACCAATAAGCCCAGGTATGCGGATGCGAAGGTTGCACCAAGTCAAAGAGTAAAGAGAAAAAACAAAGTTCAGAGAAACCACAATATCATGTCATTCCGCGTGTCATAAGGGACGAAAAGCATATCGCGGGGGAGTCATCAAACATATTAAATTTTCCATTTCCACATGTGCGAGCCAGACCGGGCCTGCCGTGGTGTTGTAACCGAATCCAAATCCGGATAAAATCAGGGGATATATGAAAACATAGCATTGCTGCGCGCAAAGGAACACAATCGTCATGCTTAAAGGTTCATTGAATCAAACGCCACGGAACTAGAATATAAATGTTAGTATGTTGTCGACGAAAATATTAGTGCAAGGAAGGTAGGTAACTCACCATACGAACAACCAGATACCACATTGCGCCTATAAACTTGAACATGGACAGACCAGCAACACTCCATAGAACAACTTCCATGTAGATCATAGAGCGTTCGGTCTGCGCATCCTCAGCACTGGTCTTTGATGTGTCGTTCAAATTTCCCAAACCGGCAGCGCTCAGCACAACGGCACCAAGAGCAAAGTTGCAGAATACCCAGGCGAGCACAACGGCACTGCGGAATCCCTTGTAGTAGTCGGCTTGCTTTTCTTCCTCGGAAATAGTCGAGACTTCTTTGGGAGCCTTCATGGCGAACTTGGCGCACTCAGCCTCATACTGCGCGTTCAGATCGCCATCGTCTTGTGGAATGTTGACGTCGACCTTACCGCCAGGCTTAAGGTGCGCGGAGGGCAGCTTCTCGGCCTTATCATCTCCCTTGGTACCCCATGTGATGTCGTGGGTATTGCAGAAAGCATAGATGTTGAGGACGTTGATGTAGGTTGGCGTGAGCAAGATATATTGAATGAACTGAAGAATGTTAGAAGACGTAACAAAATTAGATCCATAGGATCACTTACACTGGTGAACATGTGCCATGGGTCCAGGAAGATGATCGAGGCCAGGAACCACATGACATAGGTTGATCCAAGGGAGACGATGATAGAAAAGAATGTCTTGTTGGTGAATAGGTCGGTAACCGTAAAGCTGTTTGAGGCCACTTCTGCTTGAATAGATTTGACAGTGACGAAGATAGCAGCGAATGCAAGGTAGATCATGATCACGATCCAGAAATAGACCATGGTCATATAAAACTTGTTGGATCCGCCAGGTCGATTACCGAGAGCCAGAACGAAGCATGTCACGAGAGTTGCCAGATACAGCCATTCGAAGACAATGCCAAGAACCTTACCAGCAGTACCAAGTAGCTCATCTGAGCCCAGGTATGTTGTCAAGATGTGGAAAACCAAGAAGAAGTTACCCTGCAGAGGGTGTTAGCATATATATATATATAATAGCAGAGAGGGGAAAATCGTACAATTCCGAACCACGCGAAAATCATCGCGATTGTTTGATATATGAACTCAATCATGAGCATGAACTTGCGGATAGCGCTGTGATCACTGCGGAAGATTTGGTAGAAGTGAGTAATGGCATAAACCGCAGCGAAGAAACTTCCATTCAACCAACGACGACGCTGGAGAATGAACTCGGCCATCTGATCAGGCACATCGGTTTCACCAGTCGATGACTTGACATATTGAAGAAGCCATCGGCACTTGCGCTTGGAGACAATCTCGAAACAGAGGATTCGATCCTCAGCCAAGTACATGTTAGCCGTGAAGACACCCGCATTGGCACCGTGCATCTTCTCACCCAGGAAGTACCGTTCTAGTGGACCTTGACCGTTCTTGTCATTCTGGAGGGCGACAAACCGGTAGGCGGAGAATGCACCAGGCAACACAGTAATAAAACCGAATGAAGACTCAAGGGGTTTATCGAGAATGTTGCTAAGCTTGTACTCGAAGTTCTGGCCAGCCACCAGCGGGTTCAGCAGTTTCTTGCCATGAGACAACATGACCTTGATCTCACCACATGCACCACCGCACATGGGCTCGACATCGAAGGCCTTCCAGAGGTGATAGATCGAGTCCCTGCCAGGTTTGGTACCCGCATCCAATAGGACACAGATGTTGGGATCCAATACACGACCGAAAGCTTGGAAGAACCATCTGTGGGAATTGATTTTCTTCTGATTCTTTTCCTTCAAACAGAAAATCAGCTGCACAGGAGGCCCGGACCGAGGCTTAAGATGCACTTGAGTGCCCTTTACCTCCAACCCAACTTGAGTGGTGTACTCGTAGATATGGGCAGTGACATCCTTCCCGTTGACTTGTTGCTTCGCAATTCCGTCTTGGTACACGCCCAGACCTGCCAGCACAGCGCGCGTCCGATGATTGATCTTAGCACGACCGTCGCTAATGATGCAGACCACAATCTTCTTCCACGAATCCTTGCCCCACGTTTTGCTGCTTGTGCGCGAACACATGTGGTCAATGTTCTTGAATACACCAGACATAGTGCGTGCGAAGAGAAAGTCATCTTCATTGTACATGGTCACGACGATGAAGAGTTCGGTGTTGCGAGGCTTCGCGAAGAGCTTCTGACGGAGAGTAAACCGCTCTTCGAAGAAATCGGCTGGATCGCAGGTTGCAGCTGAGTATCGCATGTGCGTAAATTCATCGCGACCGGGTGCCTCTGCGTGGGGTATTTGGCTGAGCAGTCTCGGCGCAATGGGGCAATCAAGCACAAGGTTGCCATTGAAAAGTTGGACTTCTTTCACCGTCTTCCAACGGCGAATAGGCGCTGGGCTGGGCGTCGGGCGTGGTTCGTCCTGGAACTCAGTATACGGGTCCGGCCCGAAGGGATTCTCGTCGGTTTGCAGCATGGGCTGGTCAGCCTCAAAGGGGGTGTGTCCTCCCTCAGGGAAGGCGTGTCCTCCCTCAGGGTATTGGCCTAGGTCATAATCATCATGTGGCGTGTGTGTAGGCTGGTATGGCTGGGTGTAGTAGGCGTCGTGATGGGCTTCAGGGTCGACCGCATACTCGTGACCAGCATAGGGATGGTGTGCGTCGTATGCCTCATGATGGCCATAAGAGTTATGAACATTTTCGACCGAGTACTGTTTTCCAAGGTAGATTGTCAGTATCTGTTTGTCGACAACACATTCCGCTTTTATCACATAATACTCACAGTAGGTTGTTCAGCCAAGCGATCACTGGATGGCATGGGAAGATGCGACTGAGGCCCATATGGGTTATCTGACAGCTGGTACCCAGGTTCCAGTGGTCGCCCTGGGGAAGGAGTGCGATTGGTGTAGCTGGTAAGATGGGAGGGATTCAACATGGGCGAGCTATACTCATCTGCGAATGGGTCTGTTCGCGGCGGCATTGTTAGTTTTGAGACGTAGAAGATTCCTCAATGATAGCTTGAAAGGCGATAACTTGACGACACAAATGGTACTGAGCCCATTGAATCAATGACCAACAGTGATTTCAGCAGTTTCAAAGAGATGGAGAATGCGCGAACCACATGAGAAGAGAGCAAGGGTCCAATAAGGCTGGGGAAGAACTGACCGGCACCCACACGATTGTAGGCCATAATGGAGGAGCCTCGAGATTGAGTTCAGCGAAATTATCCCGTCCCAAGTTTATTGTAGGGTGTTTGGAGATTGCGCCAGGAGCGCCGAGTGGAATATTCAGCGTCAGCGGGAGGAATCACTAGTCCGATTGATGGATCGGACTTCTCAGCGTCGTTTCAGATATGAGGGATAGTCACAAGCGAAATTTAATACGGAGTACAAGGACAGGGTATATGAGATTGTCGCACGATTGCAAAGTTGAAGAATGAACGATCAAAAAAATGTGGAATACGGGTTGGTTGGCCCCTCTGTTGTTTACGACGCCTTCGATTCCCGGCAATGATGATAGTGGATACGGGGGCGAATCAAAATTGTCTGTGCAGCTCCGCACTGCCTTGTGGATATATCCTGATTAGGTGCGTCGTATAGAGATGCAGTGTACAGCAAAAAAAAAGAAAAGAAAAGGGCAGATTGTTTCTTCGGAACAAAAAGGTCCAATAATATTGCAACCAAAGGATTTTGGGGAAATGAAACAGTTGGAGCCACGGATTGTTGGAGAGGAGAAGCATTGGAACTCTCCACTGAGAGATCTGTTACTGGGCCAACTGCACAGGAACTCAGCCACATATTCTTGGCAGCTGTGGCTCATCCATGTTTCTCCAAGTGTGGCAGGGAGCCTTGGTCGCTCGTTCACTGCCTAATTGGGGTTTCTTTTTTTAGCAATCTGAGGTCATTGGAGGTCACTTCTATTTTCACTAAAAAGCAGCTGCCTGTATAAAGTACTTTTTACCTACCTTGGTGCTATGAATAAGTGATCTACTCCCTATAGTTACTGTATCTCCAGTTTCAATATGGAGTATACATATGCACTTGGGTTGTTGCCTTGATCTACACATCCTTGTTCTGCAAATCCTTGAGTGCTTGCTGTGTTCCTGCTTTTTTTCTGATACACAACCTATGAGAGCACAACGTATGCTAGAATAACGTATACATAGTAGCACAGCGTACGTATATCACCAGCGTAATGCAAGTGAAGGAAATCACTCTAGGGTGGAGACCCCAACTTATGGCCTATCGATAACCCGCCTTGCATCGTCAAACTTGACCTAGCCTTGGAAACCCCTCCTCGTATACTATTGTCTGACTTACTTCCTAGCTCTGCATATCCTGAAAAGCCACAAGATCAAGATTCCTTCGTGATCTCTTACCCCACTATGACTTCCAACTCAAACGGGCACCCCACCAGCGTGCTATTTGTATGCCTGGGAAACATTTGTCCGTCGTCATACTCTACTCGGATCTTCCGTCATCGCGATATGCTAAGCAATCCCATCTAGGTCGTTCCCCGATGGCCGAAGGAGTCTTCCGCAACCTGGCCGCAGGGCACCCCTCCATCGGTGAGATCGACTCCGCCGGTACAGGCGCCTACCACACCCTCGAACCACCTGACTCCCGCACCATGTCTACCCTGCGCCGCCACAAAATTACCAACTATGACCATGCAGCCCGGAAAGTGACAAGGGAAGACTTCCTCACTTTCGATTACGTGCTCGCTATGGACAAGTCGAACCTCCGCGACTTAGAGGATGTGCGCGAGTCGGTCATTGCGACACTACAGAGGAAGACCGACACCAAACCAAGCTCGAGGAGCACGCGATCGCATGTAGATGCTGCCATTGGTGCATACCAGCCTGATACGAAGGTTGCCGAGGTGCGGCTGTTTGGTGATTTCGGTCAGGGTGGAAAACTGCACGATCGCGTTGGCGGCGGTGAGGTGGTGAAGGATCCTTACTATGGGGGTGCTAATGGATTCGAGGAGGTCTACCAGCAGGTTGCGAGATTCTCCCAAAATTTCATGGAATACTTGGAGCAAAACCCCACTAGCTCTAAGTGAGCTGTGCCAGCCCTACACCACGGGGATAAAAGTCAGAGATCATGAACCTACAGAAGGCAGTTGTTGTATTGATACCCTGCAACGAGCGAGAGTACATTGGACGGTGCATGGAATTTGGAATTAGAATATACAATGTTAAACATAGTTAGCAATATCGAGATAAGTAGTCGGTATAGTACATGGAGTCCTGGGCGACAACAGAATATATAAATGGCGGCGCAATTCCCGACACATGCGTTCCACCAAATTGCCAGATCAGATCTTCTCGCTGATTTTTATAGCAGTCCTGCATCCAAAACGAATGAGATCGACAAGCGGATCATAGGGTTTCGCTTCCTTCGAGTCGTTGGCCACAGCATGGTCGAGATGTTCTAGTTCTTCGTCCCGAATTCTCCGGAATGTGGTCAACATTTCTTTGAGTTCCTCATCCAGCTCCTCTCCCCGTCTCTCAGCATCTGCATCCCAAGACAGAATCTCTCTTACTTGGTCGTTGTAGTGTGTTCCAATTTCAGTCTCCACCGCTTCGGTGCACGCCATTGCAGCTTCGCGACCCAATGCCGCAGTCGACCAACCCAAAAACGTGGCAGCTACCTCCCATGCCGGATACATGGCGGTAGGACGGATTTGGTGCTTGGCGACGAGATGATTGAAGGTGTTGAGATGTCCTGCTTCCTGGTCGTACATGTGTTTCATCAAGGGTCGGAGGTGCGGGTATGAGCGGACGATCTGAGGCGTTTGGGCTTTGTAGATCAGCGTCGCGGCGAGTTCACCAGCTTGATTCACTCGCAGGGCGCTGTCCATAAATTCTCGTTGCTCTTTGCTGAGAACATATAGAGGTTTGGAGCCACCGGGGATGCCGGCGGTAGTTGATGCCTGCCGATATTGACCATGCTTAAATGTTGACGGTGCGAGGAAATCGAGAAAAATAGGAGTTGCCGTGGGGGCAGAAGAACGACATTGCAACAAGGCGCACTTGCGCAGAATAGGTAAAGACAACATCGAGGAATTAGGATTCTAATGAAGCCATTTCGAGGGACGAAGCTCATGGATAGGCCGCGTGTTGTCGCTTAGACTGCTTTGGCGCTGCCGCGCGCCTATTATCCGCTTGGCATTGAACGTCATGAAGTTGACAGCAAAGGCCAACTTGCGACGACCATCTACGCGCTTTTTACGATACCCTCAATTACATCCTCTCTTCCTCCCGTGTATAGAGTGTTTGTTGAACTTGGGAGATTAATTCATCCAGAACAGACTTTTTGGTTCGCCTTTTGCAAGTCTTGTCTACTTCTCCAGATTTTGGAACAACTCCTGGAAACGAGGGGATAATTTCATAGCAGCACGGATAATCCTATTGTTCCAGGGCGGTTGAATGCCTGTTGATATATAGGCTTCCCATTTATTGTGTTCTATTCTGTTCTATTGAGGACATTGAGAGTATAACTGCATTAAGAGATATTCACAATGGCAGACGATTTGGATGCTGAGCTGCTCGCTTTGGCGGGTGACTCTGAGGAGGAAACTACACCACCACCCAAATCACCAGCACACTCTGCTTCTTCACACTCCCAAGATCGGGATATCTCGCCTGCAGCCATGGGTCGCAAAGGAACCGCCAAATCGGCAGGCCGCCGATCTCGCAAGCCCACTAAAGATGAATCGGAGGGTGAAGTGTGAGCAGTGCCCCTCCATTTTGATAAGGAAGAGCCCCACTGACCAGACACTTTATACAGATCTGACGATGGATCTCGTCACTCGCTTCAGTCTGCCCCCATGTCCGAATCCGAGTCAGAGGCCGATAACTCCGGTGACGACGACGAGGATCGCCCCATTTTCCCATATGATAAGCTGTACTACTCAGCCCAGGACAAAAAGGATATTATGGCTATGCCTGAAATCCAGCGCGAGGAAACCCTGTCCGAACGTGCCCAGCAAGTCGATCGCCACAACCAGGATCTGGCTCTACGCCGCCTGCTAGCATCTCGCTCGCGCGAAGAAGCACGAGCAGCCAAGAAAGCCAAACGAAAGGCTGGTTCCGCTGGCTTGGATGATAACCAGCGCAAGAGCTCGCGCCAGAAGACCACTCTTGGTGGCCGTAAAGTTGGAGAAACTTCTGGGGCTATCGAGGCTTACAAGCGCCAGCGTGAGCAGAAGGGCAAACGGGATGAACTCCGTCGCCGAGACCCTACAAAATCGCGCCGCCGTTCGCGTTCCATGGGATCTGATATATCTGAAGAAGATGCCGATGCCGAGAGTGATCTTGAATTGGATGACCGCGTTGGCCGTTCTATTTCCGTTCCCAAGGATGACCCTCCCGCCGAGCTTCGGGAAATTCGACGCGCTCAAGTTGGACGTAACAACTTCGCCAAAGTTTGCTTTTATCCCGGATTTGAGAGTGCTATGATTGGCTGTTACGCTCGCCTGAGCATCGGCCCGCACCCCGAGAGTGGCCAGAATGAATATCGTCTGGGTCTGATTACTGGTACGAGCTTTATGCTGCTTCGCTTGTTTATACATGCTGATATTTTTCTAGGAATCTCTCAGGGCAAGCCATATGCCTTGGAGGGCGAAAATGGCCGCTCATTTGTTACAGATCAGTATGTCAAGCTGGCGCATGGAAAGGCTGTTAGGGACTTCCCATTCGTCACTTTCTCGAATTCTCCAATTACTGAGGTTTGTTCCTTCTTCTAGAATTTTGCAACCCAACTAACAGTCAACCAGGCTGAGTACCGCCGTTACGTCCAGACCCTCGCTGTTGAGGATTGCAAGATGGCTACAAAGAGCAAGGTTGAGTCGAAGGTTGCCGATATCCACCGTCTTCTCAACCACACATTCACTCGCGAGGAGCTGAACGAGAAGCTTCGTCGGCAGGGTGCTTTCGACTACAAAAAGAATGTGCTTAATCGTCTCGAACTCGAAAGAAATCTGGAATTCGCCAAACTCAACGGTGATATGGAGGAGGCCGAGAAGATCGAGAAAGAACTGCAGAAAATGGTCAATCCCACTCTGTCCTGGGGAACAAGCCTTGTCAAAAAGGAGATCGACAGGGGTCCCTCGGAAGCCGAACGAGTCCACCAGATTAACCTTCGCAACCAGAAGCTTAACATTGAGAACGGTCGCCGTGCTCAGCTCGAGGAGAGAAAGGCCGCTAAGAAGGCAGCCGAGGCTGTTGCACGTGGAGAAGCTGCCCCAAACCCCTTCATGCGTGTGCGAACAGTGGCAAAAACCCACCACGATCTCATCGGAGCACCCAAAGTCGCTACTACCGACGTCGCTGCTGTGGATAACTCAAAACACACCCCCGATACCGCAAAATCCAACGGCAGTCCCGCACAGAAGGGAACTCCCGCCTCTCGCGTCACTCCAAAGAAGCCTAAGAACGGCTTCATGATTAGTTACCGTAACACTGACGATGAAAACATTGCAGCCCTGGATATGGACATTGACATCGAGATTTAATCGCGCTCAACAATGCTATTGTTTCTTGCGCTCCAGTTCAGTGGCTTTGTTTCTTGGTCTGATTTACGACCTATGAGAAGATTCTTTGGTTCTGAGATTGCATGATTCCCCATGAAGTCTACATTTTCCCAGGATCTTGGCGGTGATTGGCTCAAAAGCCTTGCCTCCAGTGTGATTGTATCTTTTGCTTCCGTTTTTCCTTACGCGATATTTGAGGAGTCCGTGGGTGGTCTCGGCGTCCATTCAGAAAATAGCATCAAGCTTTGTATTATGAGATTTCTGCCCAGGAACACAACATGAGTAAAACCATTGTTGTTAACTGCGCAGCATTTATTCACCGGAAAAAGTATTTCGAAAACAATCAGACAAAAACCCTAAAAAAAAGATTGAAAAGGGAAAATGTCACTTGCCACCACCCATACTACTTGCTATGTAAATGTAATTGTAGTTGCCCGTGACAATAAACATTTGATGCCAATTAACGGAGGTCCACCTGAAAGATAATTAGGCGATAAGATAAGGTCACGTGTGGGCCTAGCAACGCGAGGAACGCGCATCGCGTTCGGACTATGCGCCCTTGAACCTGGCGTCCACTTCGAATTTCCGGACTTTGAAAGTCTCAAAGCTCGCCTCTAAGTACAATCGATATCATTATGGAGAATATTTTCTAAACACCACCATAATTCACCATAATATCCACGATATGTCCTCACAATCCACACCACGGTCGACGCGTTCCGTGTCGCCCGCGGGAGACTCGCCGAACATTATTACGCCCGGTCAGAAGATCAAGGCTATGATGGCGGAATTTGACAGCGATTCGGAAGATGACACTCAAATTGCCAAGTCAACAAAAGCTGTCTCAAAACTTGACCTAGGGCGTGATTCAGTGCCGGCTGTTGATACACGTGAAAATGGCCCATTGCACGACTCAGAAGACGACTCAGACAGCGCAGATGAGGTTTTCCGACCAAAAGGCCGTATGGCTGCCCGTTTACAGGGTAATGCTGAACCAGGTGAACCCCAGGGCGAAAATTCAGCATTTGCCCGCGTGTCAAAGGCACTCCGAGCAGAAATAAAACAGGGCGAGAAACCCCAGCAGACAGAACCACAACCCACTCCCATCGACGAATCTAGCGATGATGACTTGCCTACGGCTGGCCCGAGCAGAAAGCATAAATCCACAACCAACTCTCCCAAGTCCGACAACAGAACGAGCCATCCCCCTCCCCGTTCAAGACCCGACTCTCCCCTCTTTGTATCGTCTCCAGGTGAGGCGCGTGACGACTCAGGAACCGAAAACGAAGATACAGAAAATGCTGCCGGGAAGAAGCCCAGGGCAAATGCCCGTTTCCTGTCTCTTGTCGCTCAAAAGCGCAAGGAACGCGAGGAGCGAGAGAAAGCCGCAGCCGTAAAGAAGGCCATTCGAAAAGCCCAGTTGGAGCAGCTCAGCTCGCAGGTTGGTTCAGGCGAGGAGAGCGATGCTGATGACCCGCGTTCTGCGAGCAAGCTCTCCCAGAAGGCTCGTCAGCCCCGGAAAGCCAGCAAGAAGGCACTAGATGAGATGAGGCAGGAAACTCAGCGAATGAGCCGTAACATGCAACTAGCTCACCAGGCGCAAACAAAAAAGAGAATCACAAAGGAAAGCCTCTTCGCCAAATTCAATTTCATGCAACCCGAGACCCCGGTCGAGCAGCCCGCGGCAAACTCATCGTCAGCCGTCGGATCACAAACTTCCTCTGAAGGGAAACTACACACAAAAGCTACTCCGCACACGTCTCCAGTTCTTGGCCATTTGGATGCCACCAAGTTGACCACTGATTCTGGGCATATCCAAGTTCAAGCAGCTGATGTGGATATGGATACTGACACTGAATATTTGCCTGCCCCGAAAGACCTCCTATTGCCAAACCAGCATCCTGAATTGTCAAAGGGCCCTACAGTCCAAGATGTCTCGACCTCTGTACCTGAACCCAAGTCTGAGGGTGCCGAATTGAAGAGAGTTTCGCGCCCTCTGACCCAACCACCCATCCGCGTGCTGCTTTCCAGGAAAGCGGTTGCCGCGCGCCAGAAAGATTCAGACGATTCTGATAGCGATCTTGAGGTAGTGACATCCCCTGGCAGATGCCGTAGCATTGCAGCGTTCGAAAACCTGCGTACTAGACAGCTGCAAGAAAATTCCTCTATGACCAAGCTCAAGGCATTGGCACATCTAACATCTCCTACCCGAAAAACGACCTCCATGAACTCTGCAGAGCTTTCGGCAAGTCTGTTATGGCGGGCTCGACAGCAAGCAACCAAGGAGCGCCGGGAGCGGATCGAAGAGCTCAGGGCTAAGGGAATAGTCATTGAAACAGCCGAAGAGCGTGCAGCCATGGAGGATGATATGGAAAACCTCGTTGACAAAGCACGCAAAGAGGCAGACGAAATCCGCCGACTGGAGAAAGCTGCTAGAAAAAAGGACAACGGTGATGATGACGAAGAAGAGGATGATGACTACGAGCTTTCCGGCTCTGAGGATGGCGAAGGAGCCGATGAAGATGACCAGGAGGAAGAAAACGAGCGCATCAATGACGGTGGGGACCTCGTCGAACAGGAGGCCGACGAAGACGACGATTCGGATGACGACATGAGTGAGGCCGTTCCTTCAGATGCAGAGGACGAGGTGCCTGCCGCAAGACGGAAGCGGCGAACTCGAGTGATTAGCGACGATGAAGATGAAGACCAACCACAACAACAACCTTCAACGCCTCTAAGAGCGCCGATTTATGTGCCGCAGTCTGTCGAACGACCCAATTTCCTTGGCATGGGAACACTGGGCGATACATCCCTAGGTCTTACCCAGGCATTTGCCTCCACATTGGATAGCAATGGCGCTGACACCCAACCGGAATCTGATACCATACCCTTCTCTCTCCCAGACCCTGGTCAGTCTGTTCCTCAACTTCGGAAGGAGGAATCAGAGATTCTTGTCCCAGACAGCCAGCCCCAGCCTCAGGACAAAGACTTTATGGAGGGCTACACGCAAACCGTGACCCGAGTGTTAGAGTCGCCTGCGCCATATGCCTTCTCCGAGTATTCTCAATCCCCGCTGCCTGACCCAACCCAGGACGAGGGCTTTGTATTCTCACCATTTGATCCCGCAAAAAGATTCAAGGGTACCCCACCCATGTCTACCGTCGACACCGTCCTTGTGGGTCAAACTCAGTCGCCCATTGCTGACCGCAAACGCAAGATGTTGCGGCGAGGACGTGCAACTGAACTTTCTCAAGTCGGCGAGAATGATAATGAAGGTGACTTTGAAATCAACGCCAATGCCTTCAATATCATGAAGAAGGATAAGGCTGCGAAGAAGAATCCTGCTACGCAATACAACAAGAAAAACAGCAAGGCGAAGGATATTGTCGATGAGGCTGCCGAAGAATCTGAAGATGAATATGCAGGCCTTGGAGGTATCAGTGACGAGAGCGATGGTGAAGAAAATGCCATTGATCGCCAAATGATCAATGATAACAGTGGCGAGGTGGTTGATGAAAAGCAACTTGCCGCACTTAATGCGTATGTTATAGTTTTGGTGCATGATTAATGTGAAGATACTAACATTCTTACAGGATCCATGATCGCAACCGTGACGAGAAAGATGTCGCCAAGCTGATGAGAGATATCACCACTGGAGCTCTCCGTCGCCGTAAGAATGCGGATGATGACTTTGACCTCAATGACTCAGACGATGAGCGCCTAGCACGTCGCCGCGAGAAGCAACGAGAGTTCGCTAAGATGCGCCGCGCTCTCCTTGCAGACGAGAAGATCGGCGAGATTGCCGAGAACCCTAAGAAGGCTGCATTCTTCAGGGCCGTCGAGGATCGTGAAATTGATGATGACTTCAATATCGACTTCCTGGAGGAAGAGGAGCAAGGCTCCCAAGGAGAAGCATCACAGGATCCCACTTCAGGGGACCAGTCGAATGATGCGACGAGCGATGGTCAGAACCGAAAGCGTCCTCTTGAGCCATCAACTGAAGATGCAACCAACCGTCCGCCACCGCGTCTTCGCCGCACCCCCGCCAGTGCAATGTCGAGGAAACCATCTACCATAGCAGAGATTCGTGAAACGTTGTCCTTCCTCACTGAAACCCCCGAATACGACTCCTTCCAGGACGACGCTTCTATTGATGATGAAGAACACGAGCAAGAAGACGAAGACACTCCCGACGCCGAAGCAGTCCAAGGCGATGATGGCCAATCGCAATCGGACAATACCTTCGCCAAACCCAGCCACCCACGCCGCACGCGCGGAGTCGTAGTCGACCGCCTTGCACTCCTCCGACAAGCATCCTCCAACTCCGCCACAGGCACTAGCTCTGGCCCTTCAAACTCCAAGCTTGCATTCCACAGTGGCAATGGCGGAGATGGCCCTATTGGATTCCGCCCTCCTCAGCTTCTGCGCCGTGTTACGACTGGCTCCTCATCTTCGAGTAGCTCGAACGCCTCCAGCCGTGTCTCTAAAGCTGCAGCCTCGGGCCCTAAGAAGGGCGGTGCTGTCAACTCGTATACCGCTGCACGCGAGCGTGAGCGTGAAAGGGAGCTCCGTATCAAGCAGCGCAGCGGGGGTTCTAATATTGCCAAGTTGCTCGGTAAACATACTGGTGGTGGTTTGGGTGGATTGGATAAGGGTCAATGGGATTGAATGGATGCCCCAAGGAATTAGTGAAGTCTTTCTGCATGGGTGCGGCGTTGCATTTTTATGTTATGTTATGATGGAATGGGTTTGGTTTTCGAGGTTAGGGTCACATCAGGATTTTGTGGGCATTAGGCGTATTGTTCATTATGATTCCGCTACATATTCAACGAAGGATTTAGATTGCACATTTCTCTACCTTTTCAAGAACCAACTTTCGAGTAATCTGTTCTTTTTGCTCCACAACGAAGAAAAATTACTGATGGGTCCTCGGTGGATTCCACATCATAAAAACCAAAAAAAGAAGTGCATCATCCGTGAATCGAACACGGGCCTCGTCGATGGCAACGACGAATTCTACCACTAGACCAATGATGCTAGTGAAACAGTTGAATCAGATAGATGATTGGCTGTTGATATATTGAGCTTCACTATTGTAGTATATAAGAAGGAACTGTGGATACTATGAACTATGAAAATATTTACTTTAATTCTTCATAGTCGTAGAATCCTCGGCCATTCTTAACGCCCAGACTTCCACCTTGAATCATATCCCGAAGGTAATCCCGTGGCCCCGAAGGAATGCCACTCCGAGATTCGGCGTAGTGATTCTCAATGTCCAACACAACATCTAAACCAACAACATCCATCTGTTCACATGGGCCCTTGGGTGTCTTCAAGACGTCTTTGAAAATGGCGTCGATTTCTTTGGGTGTGGCAACGCCTTCGGACAATGTGAGCAGCGTCTCTCGCTTGATAGCAGCCCAGATCCTTGAATATTGTTGTAAGCCTGATAGTTCAGTAAGAGCGAGACAGGAACAACTCACCTGTTGTATATGTAGCCGATAGAGTCTCTTTTGACGTGGAAAGGTGAAAATCCATGTTCTTTACATTGCTTCAAGACTAGATCAATGAGCTTAGGATCGCTATCCTTGTGGCCCATGATTTCAATCGCTGATTCCCAAGTTAGCAAATCGAACAGGAAAAGAATACAATCTGGAAATAGCGATAGAAATTACCGGATGTCTCTGGTGGCCAATCTGACATAGTATGTTAGCGATATATTCCATTTAGCATTGGATAGTCACCTACAGCAGTGCGCGCTCATAACTCTTTTGTTGTTTTTCAAGCTCATGCCCTCAATAATCTCAAAGATGCCATAGCTACTCGAGTTCGAGGCAATGATCGTATCCTCAGGTGCAAGCGCATCAAGTTGAGTGATCAATTTTCGCTTGAGCTCCAAGTTCTCCGGCACACACTGGTTTCAAGCCCTGTCAGTCAATTGGTCCTATCGGTAAAAGTTAAGTCATACCTCAACAACGAGCCATGCATCTTTCAGTATAGATTGCAAGGAAGAGGGCTGAGAAATATCAACCTTTCCCCAATCTCCTTGATGGTCTGTATCGTCCGCACGAAGTTGTTCCACATACTTCAGACCATCTTGGAGTTGTTGCTCTTGGAGATCTACCAGACAGACAGTGCCGCCTCGGCTTGACCACTTCGACACGTTAGCACTTGAAACAGATATTCATAGTCCTGAATATTATCACTTACCATGTACGCAAGACGTCTACCTTGCGTACCAGCACCGATGATCACAACAGATCCCTGTGGCTTTTGAATACCTTCCATCTTCACCGTTGAAGCAGAGTGAACCCTCCGCGTCGAGTTTCAAGACTTATGATATGTTTTGGCACAATAAACTAGGATCAATTGACGGAAGTTTGAAGAAGAAAATTCCAAGAATTCTGAGTCGCGCCGCGGATATGCGGGGTGTATGCGACATATGTACCTAGGACCTCGGGATATTTGATTGGTTATACATAAAGGTGCCGACAAAGACATCACGTTGCGGAAAACGAAGGCTCCGCCTATTAGTACATAGATTCTCATTAATTCCTTCCTACCTTGTCTTAAATGGAGGAAACCCGAAGGAAACTGCTAAAAAGGAATACCGAAATAATACAATGACGAAGATTTGTACGAAATGGGAGAGTTGCAAAGTAAATATGCAATCTTTTTGCAATGAATAGAATAAGAATAGTCGGCCGGGCTGTACTCAATGATGTATGGCTTTGATCACTGGATCTCAGGGACATTAAATGGAAAAAAATCTCCGATGTGTTTTTGAATGTTCTTTTTAGACTGCTTTTTAGATGTACCTATCTATACAAAGGCGGTAAAAGCATAAACTCCATATGTATGCAGCACAACTGTTCCATGTATAACCTTTGATTGTTTTACCCGTGGGGCCCTCACTGCTGGATGCCCACGACATGCGTGCTTTCCATTGCTTTGTGCTCTGCAGCAATGAATGGGTTCATGAGGCTAGAAAGCCATTGGCACCAACCGAAAAACATGACGAAAGTTGGTCAACTCCATCGCGAGCGAGGTTCTTCGGACATCCGTTGCCAACTGGATTTGATGTCGCCAGGTCGTCCGAGAAAAGAAAATACTTCCGTTGGTACATGCGAGCATATCAAAACAGCAACCGGCAGATTAATCCAGCGAAATCGATCATAACAAGCGACAGGCAAGCGTCTTCGGGAGATACCACCTGTAGTTGTGTGACCGGTACAGTGTTAGGTTGTGGCCTCAAGATTGCGCATTGAGTGCTAGTAAAAATGGAAAACCTATGCGGAAATTGCGCAGCAAACCCTTTCATAGCCTATATCAAAAGCTCGTTTCTACTAACGAGGCTCCAATGGCAGGGAGAAAAGTGATGTGCGTTGTGTTTCAGGGAGCGAAGCGCCGTGCTGAAGCCCGAGCGTCAATAGCACAGACTCATGATCTGTTAAGAGTGTTGTATGTTGTCACTGTGGCAATTTCGGGCACAGAATAACGTCAGCTTCCTAGGGACTAGGGACCTTTGTGACTTGTGGTTCGACATAAATTGTCAATGGTTGGCTTTAATCGAGTTCAACTGTGCATCTGCCATCTATTGACAAGTGGTTTTATGGGAAACACTCCAATTTATCTGCCAATTGGTGGAGATCTTCGAATTCCTTCGCTTCAGGCGGATTGAGATCAATAGAATTTCGAATAAGCAAGTAGCTCTCCCAACCTGCATCCCTTGCAGCTGTATAATCCTTTTCAAAGTCATCCCCCACATGCACAGATTTGAATTTAGTTCTGCTGGTCAACCATGGGCGGGCAACCTTTAGAGCCTGCCGTCTCGTCACGTCAAAGATCAAGCGATGAGGTTTCTCTTGACCGGCCTCGTAACTCGTAATAACCATATCAATATCGAGGTTATAATTGATGTTTTTACGATCTTCGTCATATTCCTCGGCAACATCTTCTTCGCTATTTCGTCTCTCAAACCCGGGAAGATCCATACTCGATCGATCCTGGTCCGCGCGCATATCACCAACTGTCAACCCCAACGACTTCAGCACAGCAGGGACGCGGTCATCCGAGTTGGATACCACTCCTACAATGATCCTATCAAACGACCACTTATGTGCGGACTTCAGTTTCCGCAGTCGATGGAAGAAGGGTAGCACATCGTCATAGAGCGCGTACCCCTCAGAACCAGCAAATCGATCGAGTAGAACTTCCACCATTCTATCAGGAATTTGCTCTTTGGGCTGTCCAGGATGCGTGCTCTCATTTTTTGTAGACAAAACACGCCCGAAACTCCCCCTAATCACCTCCTCCCACCACTGCCTCGGGCCCCCGTATTGGCCTCGAAGAACATCCGCGCGACCGTAATTCGGGTATCGATGCATCTGCTCACGAAAGGTGTCCCGGAATGCGGTTTCAAGTTTGTCGGGGGTGATAGTAGTGCGCGATAACCCGAATTGGTGCGCTGTCGCGGCATATTGCTCGGGAACAGGGAGACGCGGGTGGAAAAGGGTACCGAACGCGTCGAAGGTGAGTAGGAGAGTGCGCGAAGATGCCGGTATAATGCGGGAGGCCGACATTTTGTATCTGGAGAAGAGCGATCTTGGTTGAACAAGGGGGAGATGTCGAGCTTCGCGGATTGCCCTACGCAACGATTGGCCCCACTCTTTTGTTGATTCCCCTCACCTCCAAGTTCTCCCCGTCTTTTCCAGATTTAAGATGCAATTTACGAGACATTGAATATTTTAATTGTTGCTGTATATACATTAGAAGAGGGGTTATTTCGACTTCTATTCATATTTTAGGACTAGTTATGCTTGTGCGCTCGTTCAACTCAAAACACAAGCACAATGACCTCATCGCGCATCAAGTTCTATGTTGCACTTTTAGTGTATAGCTCCAACTAGCTCGTCGCTCATTGAATTGGATCATAAGAAAGCCTGTCGAATTGTTGGAATGTTGGATAAGGTGAAAAGCCCTAGTGAAGACGTACAGCGAGAAGAGCCATATGCGAGATATATAATGGGAGAATACCGGGCAAGACTTCTCTACGGAGGTACTGAATTATATATTTTATAAGCGCTCCTACATTATAGCCCTCATGCTTTTGAGCTTTACTTGAATAGATTAGGGATTTGGGATGATAGCTCTTTCTAACTCCCACATGGTAGCTAGATAGTCCATCTAGCTCCGGTGGATGCACTAGAGCCACTTATGAAAAAACCACCCGATTCTCTTTCAATTTGCCAATATTATCGTGTAACAGGGCTATGTAAAGGCTCGCCCCTTACTACATGAGATGAACAATGTGTTTCATAAAACTACAGAACTCCGGATATCCGTTTGAAGAAATTCATCCTTCGGCCTATTGTCGGAGGTACTGCGGAGTAGATACTATTACCGGATGTTCCTAGAGAGGAAAGGATAGACCTTCTACAATATACAACATAGATCACATTTGATAGTCTCGCCCAATTCTGTGTGGGTTAGTATATTATAAATGTCAAAATTTCATCGGTGGAAAAAAGAGTAGACAGTGTTCTAGGCAAGTACGATCTTGCCTGGATGCGGAACACTTATAGCATCAAAGGCTGATTTCACTTCACAGGATGATTGTGCATGATTACTTGAAGTGGGTTCTCTGATGAGATTCTGCTTACAATATGCTTGGTAAGGACTGAGAGCGTTCTCATGATATCCACTATCCACTTGGCAAGTGTTCCAGAATTTTATGTGGGACGGTGGCTGAGGGAGGCAGAGAAGTTTATGCCATTCTCAACGCCTTTTCCGTAAAATACAGGAATCAACTTCCACGAAACATTTACCCCATAAAGCTCGAGGTTGAGTATCTCTACGTCAGTGGTAGAGCTGGACAAACGCTTTCCCGGAAGAATGAACGGAAACCAATACTGTTTTGGTTTGCCTAGATAATTACAAGAAGGCTAATATGGTTGAAGTGGAGGCATGTTTCTTCGGTCCGAGACTTCTCAAAACAGCAAGTGTTTTAACTTTCAGGGACAACATACTCTGGTGTACTTTGTGCTTTTCCGTATTTCACAATGATTGTATGACTAAATGCTCAGAGAGAAACTCATATCAAGAAATCTCCGGCGAAAAGGATACTTAATAGTTAACCTTGGGCTGGTTCAGGAACAATGAAGAATAGTTGAGAAAAGTTAGATCTCTTATCTGATCGCGCTATACCTATTCGGGGACACTTGACGAGATGAAATGAAATGAGATCTACAAAGTACGCCCTGTTCCAACCTTGGAAGGGTCTCACATGTCTTGCCAAGTATTCAACTGACCCACTGGACTTGTCTGGACGGGTGCGGCGGCCTTGTCGTGAAACAGTTATAATGGCCAATCCCTTCCCTGACAAGATTTATAGATCGAGATTTTGTGATATCTCATTTATTTGTGGACGAGACAATGAGGATCTTTCAGGCTAGCTCGCTCGCACTTGCGCTCTCTGTATTTACAGGGGCTGCCTCCGCCTCCGTCTTCAAGAACCAAACCTATGACTACATTGTTGTCGGTGGTGGCCCTTCCGGTATCATCAGCGCCGAGAAGTTCGCCCAGGCCGGAAAGAAAGTTCTGCTCCTTGAACGAGGTGTCGGACCAACTGTAGCCACCGGTAACAATGAGACCCTCGTATGGAACCACTCATTGACCCCCATCGATCTTCCGGGACTGTCCGCCAACATTGGCTCGCTCGATGTCTGGAACCAGTATATGTGCACCGACACTGCTGGCAATGCTGCCTGTGTGCTCGGTGGCGGCGTAACAGTCAACTACATGGTCTTCGTTCACCCGCCAGCCCGTGACTTCGATGACAAATGGCCCGAGGGTTGGAAGTGGAAGGATGTCGAGTCGGCTGCAGACCGACTCTACAAGCGTAACCCCGGAACCACCTTGCCCTCTGCCGACGGCAAGCGATATGACCAGGGTCTTTACAGTGTGCTGTCTAAGTTCTTTAGTGGCCTTGGTTGGAAGTCGGTGGATATGATCGCCGAGCCGAATGAGAAGCACCAGATCTACAGCCACCCGGCCTGGAATGTGCAGAACCAAATGCGTGCTGGCCCAGTTCGCACCTATCTCCCCGCTGCCGCCAAGCTAGACAACTTCCACCTTGCTCTCCGAACAAAAGTCATTCGCTTGGTCCGTTCAGGTAGCCAGGTCATTGGCGTCGAGGTTCAGACTGCTTCGGGCCGCTCCCAGATCATCACTGTTGCTCCTCACGGTCGCGTAGTGCTTGCTGCCGGCGCTTTGTCTACTCCTCGTCTATTGTGGAACTCTGGTATTGGCACCAATGCCAAGATCGAGACTGCGAAGAAGAGCGGTGTTGCCGTTCCTCCCAAGACTCAGTGGATTAATCTTCCTGTCGGTGTTGGCCTCAAGGACCACCCCATTTTCTCGATCGTCTTTAACACCAACGCCTCATTCGGTCTTATTGACTACGATGGTGCGCTTAATGGAAGTGCCTCTCGTGACATCTCCCTCTACGGCAAGCACAGCGGAGTCCTGACCCAGGGCAAGCACCGCATGATCTTCTTCACCTCAGAGGAAATTGATGGTCACACCCAGTACTACCAGGGCTCGTGCGCGCCTACTGATGAGGGCGTGGTAACCATAACCACATACATGACCCACGGCCTTACCTCATCCGGTGTCCTGGGTCTTGATACCAGCGGAAAGACTGTCATTGAGAAGTCGCCCTACCTTCAGACCGCTGCTGACCGGAAGGCTGCCCGCTTTTTTATTCAGAAGATGGTCAAGGAGATCACTGCCCCCTCCACCGGTTTCAAGCTTGAGACTTACACCAATGTCTCGGCCATCTTGAAGTCTCAAACGCCCGGTACACACTACACCACAACTGCGAAGATGGGTACGGATGATGGCCGTAAGAACGGCACTTCCGTTGTCGATACCAATACCAAGGTTTATGGAATGGATAATTTGGTACGTGGCCCAGAATAGTTCGTTTTCTCGAAATATGATGCTAATCCTTTTTTTAGTTCATTGTTGATGCCAGTATCCATCCCGACCTCCCGACTGGTAACATCCAAACCGCTGTCATGATTGTTGCTGAAGCCGCTGCTGCTAAGATTTTGTCCAACTAAGTTGTTAGCCGTTACTGAGGAAATATGCCAACAGCGAAGCTTGAGAATTCGCACGGTCGTGAATATCTGCACAAACTTATATCTCACGATAGAATGAGGAATTTCATTTTTGAATTGATATTCAATATACATTGAATTAGGTTATACTTCATCTTTATGTTTGATGCAACATCGAGGAGGATCGGCCCGACCTAGGTGCTTCAAATCTTAGTAGAGAAATATAACACGGAGTATCCTGTTTTACGTTAAAAAATGACGAAAAACATACTCTTTTCGCGAGTTCCTCGTACCCATTCCGAGTTTAAACTACGAAACTCAACGGCTGGGGATTTGCAATGTTTAAATTGTGGTGACTACTTCATATGTACAGAGAAGTAATTATCTACATCCATGTTGCCAAGAGGTCTACTGGACTATTTGACATTGCCACCCACCGTGGAGGACTGAAATTGCGCGTTGATGTTGCTCACGTGGAGTTTAACCTTCTGCAGACAATTTCTTCTGGCAGACGGACTGCTGATCTCAAATGAACCTAGCGCAGGGGACGACCCAATCAGTGGCGATTGCGATTATCAAGGTTGATGCTAGTCGTGTCGATTCTGGCTTGACTTCTAAGGTTTGCTGCCTACAATGCTATCAACAACAAGTCCTGGTGAATTTGGGCTCGGTGCCTTCATTACCATAGTGTTTTGGGGTATAGAGTAATTTTAAGGCTAAACAGAATGTGTGGGCAAATGTATCTCTACAATGGAGATACTTCTTTCGTGCCACGATTAAGAGATTCCCTGACTGAAAAATGAGCTGTATTTGTCCAATAACCACGAGGATATCAACGATGGCTTGGCCTCACCCTGAGAGTTAGAATGAGAACTCTCCCCAGCTTTGCTCTCGAGCTAGTGTGAATGATCTGCAAAGTGGCCAATGAAGATGGGCCTCTTCTGAAGCTATGGCGGAACTAAAAGGGAATATGAGCTCGTGTTTTGCCTTGGAATTAGCGCATGCAATAATGACGAATAGAGTGGTCTCCCTTGTACATTCCCCCCCCTCTTGGTGATTATTATATTCTGCATACTGTATGTACCCTCGATAAATGTTCTATATGTCTAAATTAGGCCAATTAAATTACAAGTCTAGCTGTAAGCGTATCCAAAAACCGGACCGAAGAGGACTGGTGATACACAGGAAACTACTCAGCGGTGCATTCCACCCCAGTAACTCTCTCCATCCTGATCATAAGGATTTGATGCATCTTTGCACTTAGGGTTATTATAGTCCTCGACCGTACCCATGGGCCAAATAGGCACGACACAAATCTCGTTCGCCGCGCAATTCTGGCACTTCTTCCACGTCGTCCAATCAAGATATCCAATGACATTCCGAACAACCTTCACCGCAGACTCAAGGTCCTGCTCCTTCCCAGCCTCAACTAAGGCCGAGCAAATATTGTGAGCAACACCATGAACAGCGCGAGCTGCAATATTCCCACTTTCCAAAGCAAAAGGCGGTAAGAACTGGGTTGCACAACGCTCGATCTCAGCGGCATCATCCCGATCACTGTAATCAATGAATGGGGACAGAACACGCTCGATCTCGGACTGCAGGCGCTCAACTGTATCAATGTTACCGGAAGAAAAGTATGTCAGCTCCTTGTTGTACCGAGTCACGATCATATCTGTAATCTTCTGCCAGTCCTCGGAGGCTTCGGCAGGATCATATGTCATGACCATATTCGAGACTTCGGCACGGATGGTGGCGCGCTCCTCAGAAGAGAGGTTGGCAAGTCGGGGCAGGGTTGAATTTTCTTGGAAGAGATCTACGTTGTGGGAGAAGGCTGTGACGAAGTGGTTGAAGTTCAGCGAAACTCGGTTTCCGCCGATTCCGTTGTAGCGCGCGGTGATTGCGCGCATCCATTGCGACGAGTTCGGGCCGCCTCCAGGTCCGCCGCGGGGTGGTCCTCCAGGACCACCGGGCCCACCGGGGCCGTGTCGTTTTTCATCATCCTCCTTTCGTAGGCTATGACCCTCGTGGTGCTTGTCATCACCCTGTTTGCGAGGACCATCCCGGTCACTATGTTTGCGGCTACCCCTAGGTCCATGCGGCTCCTCAGTGCGTTGCTTAGCCTGGGTGATTCGCACAGGAGTTAGATCGCGCTCAAAGTGACACAGGATAATCTCAAAGCCAGCTTCCATGCGCAGCACACCGTCAATGCGACCCTCCCATTCCTTGTCGGCCATCTCGCAGGCCAGCCTGGCGCGTTCGCTCTCCCCGCCCCGACTCGGAGGATCTCTGAACGAGCCGTTGAACAAGACTGTGTCCTGAGAATCGAGCGTGCCCTTCGATGTCTTGGCAGCAGACATACCGTCAAGATACAAAAGACGGAGATCCTTGGCTGCAATGTATGTATGCAAATACCCTGCCTCATTCTTATCGAATATCTTTAGCGGGTGGTCAGCCAGCGGGCCATGATGTCTCTCATCTCTGTCATGATATCTCCGCTTCCGTAGCTCACCATGGCCTTCATCCTGTTGTTCGGTATGATCATCTTCTGGTGGTGGTGGGTGTGGTGGGGGGCCGCGTTGCGGCCGGGCGAAGACCATAGCATGTTCAGGCTCAAACGCCAACCACTCGGTGCCATTCACCGGGCTGTCCTTGGAGGTTCCGTGGTAGAACTGTGTACCGGCGGGAACATGCGCTAGGAAGAACGAAACACCATTGTGGTGTAGAGACGATCCCCACTGGCGCATTGAGTCTTGGATCACGTTGAAAATGTGATTTGCATTTTCGATCGGCACATTGTTCGAAGTTGTTGAGAGGGCACTAGATAAGCTTAGAACCCCGAATATCGGGAGGAGCGATGGTGATCGCATTCTGGAAGAGAGACAACCCCGGTAGAAGAAATGGGAAGAAATGGACTTGGAAATTCTTATCAGATCGCAAATCGGCCCACGCGGAACAAGCTTCATATATGATAAGCCTACAGTATACTATAAAGCCGCGTCATCAATTCGCCGCTATCGGACTTTTGGTAGCTCAGCCCGGCGCTAGAAGATAAACTATGGCTAGTCGCTATTCGGGTCTCATTTTGCCGAGCTTAGTGGGTCCATAACGCCCAGTAGACAAATACGTGGCTACCTCTAACTATGACATTCATTCTTCTTGCTAACTAGTTCTCTCCAGAAATTTCCTACGTACTGATTTATCAAGTGTCCCTCCCTCCCCTCAGACGTTGAAAGAGTTCCTCGTTCTGTAGCTCATCTCCCTAAAGGACAATCGTACTGAGCTTACAAGGCCGCAAGAAATGGTTATCCCACAACGTTGTCGAGCGAAGTTTGAACTCTGTAACATCCACAGTATCTGCAATAACCCTGCAGGTCACTTGCCGGTGAGCATATGAGTGGGGGATCCTCGATCTGGGAACTTCCTGACAGCCAAGGTTCTCGAATTCATACACAAAGTCTTCATTGTTAGTGTTGGCAGTAAAGCCCTATTGATCTAGGAGTAGTTGGGCTTTAATGGGTTGAAAATTAGAGTCTAGATGCGCTTAGCAGTTAGATCATCCAACTCCTGGCCCATCGATATCGGAATCATCATTTGTGCGGAACCTAAGACGCACCACATTTAATGTTGTTGTAAACTGGGACATCAAAGTACCACGCAGTAAGTGGCTATGATATTCTGACATTCTTTAAGGTTAAATTATCAAATCCTAGACTAAATTCAATTTCTGCAATCCGTAAATCGCATCTCACCTTATATCAGGCACTTTGATCAGGTTCCTCTATCAATTTTGTGATAGGCCATGAAAGTCATATACAGGTGAGATTGGAATACTTCACTCGTCAAAAAGTCATTGAAATTCACGATATAGGGACCACCCGATCATTTTTCGTAGGCGACAGCGACTTTTCGTGTTAAGCTAATACAAGGTTAATTAGCCAGCCCATATTACTCAGTCTATTAAACATCTCCCAAAAACCCGATATGACATTTTCTTAGCACTTTCTTTGTTGCTGAGCTCATAAAATATCCCGCCCTCGACCTCTTTCCTTTTTCTCTATTTCAAATATTATTTGGCCCTGAGCATTTACAAAGAAACGACTTGGTGTCCACTCTTCCCATCCTGGAACCAAATAAACCTATTTCTGCTGTCATTGAAGGGAGTTTAGACAAAGCCGTCCTCAAACAACACAGGAAGGCTATGTAGTTAGCAGCGAGAAGATAAAGAAAACAACCGGGATATCAACCTTCGGATGCGCTGCCTTTCTACAATTTGTTCTAGTGCCGGACTCATATCCCTGGAATGTCATCTTGATTCTTTCACAGAGCGCTCGCTCATCCACGGCGATATCACCTTCAATAATGTACCTATCCTTGGCATTAAGGCGCATTTCCACCTCTTTGAACACATAAGGCTGGACCCTCCTTCCTTTGAAGAGAAAACTGCGCTTTCAAAAACTTCCATAGATGATGGCGTGCTTCGGCCTTAGCAACCTCGTTGCTCTCCTCGGCATCCTCTCTGTCGCTCCGACAGCCACGTTAGGTGCAGCTGTTACCGTTGCACCTCAAGCAAGCAGTGACGGTATCTGCTACAAGTATGTTGTTCAGGCTGGCGAAACCTGTTCTACGATTGCTCAAGCACACTCTATCACCACGGCCGATATCGAAACCTATAATGCTCGATCCTGGGCATGGTCTGAATGCGGACAGATACCGCAAGGTACTTTCATCTGCCTTAGTGCTGGAGAGCCTATGATGCCAGTTGCGCTTCCAAATGCTATTTGTGGCCCCCAGGTTCCTGGAGCAATGCGCCCTGCTAACTGGTCCGAGCTGGGGTCTTTGAATCCGTGTGCGGCTAATAAATGTGTGAGTTGAAATGTTGAAAATTCGACTCTGGGCTTTGAAACCTAATATTTGAGCAGTGCTCTTCTTGGGGTCTTTGTGGAACCACTTCGGATTTTTGTACTTCTGTGGCTTATGCCACTATACCATCATCTATATCCACCGGCACCCATTCCACTGAATGGACAACATCGAAACAGACAACCGCATCTACTAGCACTAGCACAAGCAAATCTGTTCAGAAACCTGTGACTAGTAGCAAGACATCATCTATTAGCAACACCATATCGACCAGTACAATCAAGTCTACCCCTAAAGCTACATCAACCACCACGACCACTAGGACTACATCCACCAGCAAAACCGCATCGACGACGAAGTCAAACGAATCATCCCAAACAAAATCAAGCACTAGCACCAGCCAAGCCCCAACTGTTAGTCTATGGTCACTCACAATGTACAGCAAGAAAGACTGCACTGGTGACTACTACGTACTCCAAGGACACAATGTGGGTTACTTGAATACTTCCTGTCTGAACCTGCACGGAGGTCTGAGTAGCAAGTACACAGACACGGGTGTTTTCTGCAAATGGTTTACAAACGGTGGCGACTCTAACACTAATTGTGATGCCGGCACCCTTGAGTCGCCCCAATCCTGGATAGTTCAGGGAGGTCTCTGCACTGTATCCAATGCTAAAGACTGCAATCATGCTGGTGGGTACGATAATTCTTATGGGATTGACCTCAAGTACGTCAAGTCTTGTCGGAATCGGGGCAAATTTGATACACCGAAGTTCCTCTCTATGGAGTGTTACATACCTGAATAATGTTCCAAGGTTGTATTACAGCTTGAGGTTGAGAGCTTTTGGTGTGATTTATTACTTCTGATCTAGCCTTTCGAGTATGATTCATGTTATACAACCCATTTTTATAATAAAAAGACAGATCTGGGGTTCTCTGAGATGCATTGTAGATCTATTGTTTATATGTGTAGTTTTATGCTGTAAATAGTTTATTAGTCTGGAATAATTCGGACGCTGTGAATGCCTATTTATCTCCACTGAGTGATTTAAATAAATAGACCTAGGAAACCGCTTATAATTAGAGGCGAAACTTCAAAAATAAGAAGAGAAACAAACTTAGAAAGAGACAATAATGCCCTATTGATCAGCAGCATCGATTTGAGAATAGCAACGATAAGGAACTAAGAGCCTGAACGACCAGCCAGTTAGGAGCTGATTCCGCCGGCGAGTGTGATCTGCGGCGCGCATAGCAAATATCTGGTGATGCTTCGGTTTAAAGCGCTCGAAGTCGAAGGGAGTCTCGAACAGAAGGCCTTCGATCGACCGTATCCGAGATATCGCCACGTATGATAGGCCAGCCGAGAAGTCCTGGCGGCTGAGATCTAACACTGCCTCGGTGACCGATGTCCCCTGAGACTTGTGGACGGTGACCGTATACGCTACAGCCAGCGGAAATTGGGTCCAGATATTCTGTAGTAATATTACTCGAGTACCAATTGCGAGCTCTAGACACAGGGCGAGGTTTCCTGCGAGGTCTGTCGGTATATCCTTAGCCTGCGAATGGCCCGAATTGACCGCGGTGACACAGATTACCGGTGCGTTGAGGTCCCGTAGCCTGGTGTGGTTATAGTCGCCTACTGCATCCTTGGCAGGATAGATATATAATGCTGCGCCGAGACGAGCTATATCTGCTGGAGCCATAACGGACCGGACTCGGGTTACCAGTAGGCGCCAATCGCCTATCGTCACATGGTTAAGTCGGAGATTATCCAGAGCCATTCGGAACCCCTGCTGTGCCCGACCTTGCTGTCGAACGATCTCATCGAGCTCTACCGTCTGGTAAACCCCATAATAGATCTGACGCGCCTGCTGTTCCTCGATATCTGTTAGCTCACCCTTCTATTCTTCAACTTCATAAATTCTCTACCTAACGTTCAAAATAGCCACGCTTTTGTCCATAGTTTCTCTAATAGCTGCAAACACATAGGGCAGTTGATCGGGCTTAATTTGCCTAATTAACTTGGTTAACTAGTATTCAGTGAAAGAGACACCTCGCTTACCTGATGTTTATTATTTATAATAATTAGAGAGCATTAGAAAGTTAGCCTCATTTCTAGAGAGACCTGCTTGCTAGGTACCTCGTATTTTATTGATGGACCATGAAGTGATCCGTCTGTGCACCTCTTCGTCGTGTTGGTCCTCTCTTTGAATTTCCTCTAGTCGCGCGAGTAGGACATCGACGGCTTGACTAAGAGTGCACATCAAAAGATTGTAGATTTGTCGTAGGTTTCTAGGATCACCCCTGAGGTCGGGATAGCACCGCTGAATCGACTGCAACTGGCGATTGATATGGGCTCACTCTGTGGTCTGCTTTCTTTTGCGGTAACGAAGGGTCGTAAGGTCTTCCATCTCCTCGTCACTGTAGGAACGCACAGGATGGTTATCCGCCATAGCTGTATATCACTAGGAGTAGCTTGTTGAGATAGCTCAAAACTTTAAGAGAGACTTTGCTTACTGATTTTCTTTCTGGGGATATGATAGATGATATGTTCCTTTCAACAGATCTTGCAAGATACTTCGAGAAGAAATGTTTCGAATAAAGAAAGATCTTATCTTGTAGGAAAGAGGAAGGAGTGAAAATCCAAGCAGAGTCAGGCTTGTGACCCACCAAGATGATCTTCGAATACTTATCCAATGTCACAGTATAAATAGTATAAATCCAAATATATAAATACGGTCTTCAACCGTTCAAGATGAAGCAAAGTTCAGGCGAGCTAAGGTAGAATTTGAGAGCTAGATGAAAAAGTAATTTGCCAGAAGTGAATGTTAAACTAGTCAAGATTGAAGAAGAGGATCATAGGACAAGCTTGATCAACGCTCTAGTTTAGCATCCCCGTTTGATTGCCCTTTTTCTATTCTGTGAATACAAACCACCTTGTTATTTTTGATGAACGAATATTGTTCCCCCTAATTAACTAGTCAACGATTTTATAATATTTTATTATGTTTCAACTTACAATGAATGACTAGAAACATTCATCTTAGAAGTCCCATGTACACTGTGCCTGTTGCATACTTCAATATACGCTATTCCTAATATGGAACATTCAAGGGCTTGTCCCTGATTGGCTGAACATGTGGGCTTTTGAGTCTCCTTGCGATGCGATTTTGCTATGTCGATAGATACTTTCTTTTTACTTCCAATGATAATGAGCTATGGTATCAAAGTTCTAGTTGACCCTAGATGGGCTCGATGAAATGTGCAACTTTTGATCCCAGATGGCTATTCCCGTCAAATCTCATCATGTTTATTATCGAGGTGCTCAAACCTGAGAGTGGACAAGAGTATTGGCCCCGTGATTAATACTGAACTCATCCCTGAGCTCACAGTACATTAAATCGTCGGCAGTTTGAAGCCGCAGCAACCAGACTTGCTCCGCAAGATTCGCGGCTTCACCGGGGGAAGTCCGGACTGAAAAACTGTGGGGAAGCTTCGGACGATCAGCTGTGATATTTGCTGCATTATCATGGGGAACTCAGAGCTGAGAATATGAAATGGCAATCTACGATTCCATACAGATCAAGTCGTTCGGGGTAAGTTGAGAAAAACCAAAGAAAAAAAAGGTAAGGTGGTCTAAGATTCCTTAATGGCCAGGACATACCCTGCAGTGCGAGGATGAGCTAGCTACACCTAAGCTTGATAGTAGTCTCCCACTCACTTCCGTGCTCGAATTTCCCGGATAAAGTCCAAGCAGGAAATGATGACATCCCCAGGCCGTGCGAGCCCCTCCAACCCTATTGACATGGACGTGTGGGGAGAATGTGGGAGAAGCGGGAAAGATTTACTCCGCCGTGGTCATGAAGCCAAACGCAAAATATGGTCGGCAGCATCACTCGGGCATTGCACTGTTGAAGATTCTCTTTTTAAAAGACGTTCGTCGTGCCATTTTGTTCTCTCTTTCATTTGACATATTTTAGATATTCCTATCCCTTGTCGTGTTAATACCCATCACGTATATATCTCCCCGCATACCTCCGATAACATGGCGAAAGCTCCTCAAGACTTACAAATCGCCATTCTGGGCGCAGGCATGGGCGGTCTGACTTGCGCTTTGGCTCTGGCTAAACAGGGATTCAAGAACATTGATGTTTACGAAAATGCCAGCGACCTCGGCTTTGTCGGCGCTGGTATTCAATTGGCGCCAAACATGGCCCGCGTTTTGGATGGACTCGGTGTCTGGAAGGGTATTGAGGCCGAGGCTGTGAATATTGAGGATACATCAGTGCGAGGTATGTTGCGGTATACTAATCAAACAATTTACCGTGATCTAATTTGTGTTTGCAGATGGCGCAACGGACACTGAGCACGCACATGTGGACCTGCAATACATTGAACAGACATACGGATATAAGCACATGGTTGGCCATCGTGCATCATTAGCCAATGGACTATACGAGGGCTGCAAACATCACTCCACAATCAAGTTCCATTTCGGAACCAACGCAGATAACGTGGACTTTGGCCCTCGGCCATCATTCACAGCTAAGCCTCGCGCGGAGGGAGCTGCTCCGTTCAAGGTTGAGTGCGATTTGCTTCTCGCTGCGGACGGTATTAAGAGTGTCACCCGTGTGGAGATGCTGAAGCGATTGGGGGTCGACGTTGGTGTAAAAGACACCCATCAGGCTGCCTATCGTATCATGATTCACAAAGATCAGATCAAGGACGATCCCGAGCTTTTGGCCCTCATCAATAGCAACCGTGTGACACGCTGGATTGGCGCAAAGCGTCACATTATTGCCTACGCCGTCTCCAACAATACCATCTACAATCTTTCCACCACCCAGCCCGACACCAATTTCGCAGCCGCCACAAACGCTACCTACACCACCAAGGGCTCCAAGCCTGCCATGATGAGCGTCTTCGCTGACTTCTGCCCCATGGTTCAGCGAATGTTAAACTACGTTCCCGAAGGCGAGGTCTGCGAGTGGAAGCTGCGTGTCCACGACCCGCTCCCCACTTGGGTTCACGATTCCGTTGCCTTGGTTGGTGATGCTTGCCACCCTACCCTGCCTCACCTGGCTCAGGGTGCTGCACAGGCTATTGAGGATGGAGCCGTTCTCGGAGTGGTTCTCTCCAAACTCCCCGATACCACCCCCGAGTCTATCAATAAGGCCCTCCGCGTTTACGAGAAGGTCCGCAAGAGCCGCGCTGAGGCTTTGGTCGAGATGGCTACCGCTTCTGGTCGTGCCCTGCACTTGGGTGAGGGTGCTGCTAAGGAGGAACGTGACAAGCAGTTTGCTGCCCTCCGCGCGGGCAAGGGACCCGTGCCTGATAAGTGGGCCGATGCCGATGTACAGCGTGAGATCTATGGCTTTGACTGCACTAAGATCGCCGCGGATAATTTCGATGAATACTTCTCGCAGATGTAAGTATTTTTTTTCTTACACTAGCATATCCTTTTTTGCATGTTGATATTTCCTTTTTGTATACATATGGCCTTCGAACTACACGTCAAAAGAAATGATACTATCATGACAACTCCAACCAGTTTTGCTTTCCCTTTCCTTGAAGCATATGATACTAAACTATTTTCATTCGTTCAGGGATATTACACCCCGTCACTCTAAGCTTGCATAAAATCTGGGCAGTTGTGCTGTACATAATGTGTCTCACATAAATTACATATATAGATCAATGAAACCGAACATAATCATGGGGGCATCTTCGATCGCACAATTTCAACCACACATCGAAGTCGCACATAGGGGAAAGTATATTCCCAGGCTCATCATTAGCTGTCTACAAAACGCCAAACGCCCAATTTATGGAGTTCCCCGCTCTCCTGCAAATGGGATTGGACAATACAATGCTTACCATGGGGCTAAGCAAGGGAGTTGGGCATCTATTTAAGGTCATCTGTCCTTTCTCCTAAGAGCAGTTCTTATTCGGAGTATTAGCTATTCCATAATTATGTATTACGCTAATATTCTGCTGTTGGCTTGAACTTGCCTCTATACCTCCTTCCCTCGCCATTGCTACAATCTTCCTTCTTGTATCAACATGCGTTCTGAGATTGACTGGTCTCTCCGGCCAACTTATTCGCCAGATCAACTGAGCCGATATTTTGACCGGATCAATTTCCCTCAGAGGTATCGGGAGTCGACTATAATTAAAAACGGCGCGAGTGCCGACAACCAAGCCGCCTTGTCTCTCTTGGAGACGTTACAGCGATACCAGTTAGCGGCTGTGCCGTTTGAAAATCTTAGCCTTCATTATTCGGTGCACCGCAATATCTCCATAGATGCACAGAGCGTTTTCGAGAAAGTTGTGGATTCCAACTCCGATCGGGGCGGCTACTGCATGGAGAACAATGTCATATTCGGGACGGTCTTGCGCAGTTTAGGCTATAATACCACTTCAGTTGGAGGTCGGGTCAACGAAGCCGTCCAGCCTATGTCAACGTCGAAGAACTGGACCGGCCCTAAATTCCAAGGATGGTATGACGCCCCTTATTCCCCATCTCCTGGAACTTAATCTTGAAACTAAGTACTCAACAACTAACCATACAACAGGAACCATATGATCAATATTGTTGCAATCGGCGAGCAGAAGTACCTCGTAGATGTGGGATTTGGTTCCAATGGACCACACCGGCCCATGCCATTAGTGCATGGGTTCGAATTCCACAACGTCGGCGAACAGTACGGGCGGCTGCTCTATGGACCGATCACTCAACAAACGCTTAAGGGTCAGTCTCTTTGGCAATATGAGCTCAACCACGGGAAAGACACATGGATACCCGCCTACTGCTTCACCGAAGTCGAGTTCCTTCCTGAAGATTTCACAATCATCAACTACTATATCAGTCGAAGCCGGGAGAGCTGGTTTACCTTCCACATCGTGTGCGTACGAATGCTTCTAGACGAGAAGGGCGAGAATGTTGTGGGAGACTTGACACTGTTCAATGATACCTTAAAAAGGCGTATTGGAGCAAGGTCTGAAGTGTTGCAATGCTTTGCCTCCGAGGAGGAGCGCCTGGCGGCCCTAGAGAAATATTTTAATATATATCTCTCACGGGCGGATCAAGCGAGTATTCGCCACACTATCTCAGAGATTCTCTAGGCCGGGCTCAAAGGAGATGAAATATACCTTTGTTGCTGGCGGTCCCGGGTTTGGGGGTTAGACCCGAGGCCACATAATCACTGAAGGTGCTGGATCGTTTTATTTGATACATTTAGGATAATTGATCGTGATGGCCTTCGTTGTTCTGTTCTTGTCTTATTTCAATCAAAAAATCACTATGTACTTTGGCGAACGGTAGGCTCATATGCCAAGATACATAAACGCAGTTCAAATGCAAATAAACGTCCAGTATCCCTCAAAATTGGGAAAGATGTGATTTATCGAAGTTAATCACATGTTGCTTCTTTCGCAAGGTTCGTTTTAGAGGAGCCATTTTCGCCAAAAAGTTGTAAAATTTGTTTCTATCCGGGGTGAGCCACAAATGACTTTGCCCATCAGCATCGACGCGAACCTCAAAAGTTCAGATATCCTTCTAACAGGGTGCATTGAAGCAGCGCCATGGTGTTCTTTCCAGACTCCTGATCATTTCAAATAAATGCCTTTTCCGGCAGTATGTCTACAGCGTGATTTATCGATTCTCTAGGCTAATCAGACTGGTCACAGACTCCATCACCATTCCGCCTCTCCCGCCGCAACCCATCCACGCGCCGCAGTGGCCCTCAATTCGCCCCCACACCTCGGTTTCTGCTGTCACAAAGTGCAACACAGAAGGAAGATGATGATCTTGATGTGATAGATGATGATGGGCCATCTTCAACGCGCAAAGTCGCGCGTAACCCGCCTGCTACCCAGAGCCTCCCCCGCTCGCGCCAACAACGCGACGTGATCGAGGACTCTGATGATGCCGCAAAGATAGCAGATATACGAATCGGAGGGAGAGATGCGGACGAGATAACAGGTGATGCCATAGAAAGCACTCCTCCCGAAGAACCAGAGACTCCGGGCATCCTGGACGCTGAGTTCGACGCACTGTTTGCGCCTGTCAGAGATGGGAATAAAAGGCGTCGTGTGGAGGGAGCGACGCCCTTCGGTCGAAGCAATCTTACACAGATCGACCCAATATTATCATCGCCACCTGAAACTGCAAATCCTACAACTGATCCCCTCGATTTACCCGATCAAAGCACTACGACATGGGATATGGGTACTCAGAGAACTCCTGCACCAAGTGCACGTCAATTTGCGCCAGCCACATCAACGCCAGGCAATATAAAAACGCCATTCCGCGGTCGTCCTCGGTTTACGCTTTCCTCAACGGCAAAGCCTCCCAGTAGCCAGTCCGCACCTAAATTCAAACTAAACACACTGGGCATATCGCCGCCTGAGAGGCGGAAACCGGCTTTTGTTTTGCCTCGCTCGCCGTCGCCAAATCCGGATACAGAGGAAATTCCCGCGCCATTCTCTCCCTCTTCGCGCACGCTGAATCGCCGTAGTCGAAATCGACCTGGTGTGTCCAATTATATTCCTGGCGGAATGGCCGCTGAGGTACGTGGCTGGATCTTGGAAATGGGGACGAAACGTGAACAGGTGCCAATGCCCCCGTTGGCTCGAGCGTCAGACTTGCAGGCGGTGGATGCCTCACTGGAAAAGCTGAAGGCGTATCTCCTAACTGCTCGTGTCATCAATGTCAGCCAGTCAACTCTGGGAGGCTGTGGCCCTCTCGCCTTCCTTCAAGCAGAAGTGCTTAGTGGGGATTATTTGCAAGGGAAAAACCCCAATGCGGCCTTGAATATCATGATTATGGGACTCTCGCGGTCTAAATCCGTTGTTCGTCAAAATCCCTCGCATTCTGATGCCCCTGTAACACCAAATCTGCGGAAAGGGGATATAGTGGGAATTTACAGAGGGCTCAACTGGAGTTTGGAGCTCGGGAATCACTTCTGGGATCATCAAACACCTGGTCAAATATCTGACTACGTGTCGGAGTGTGGCCTATCTGAAAATGATGGACAACCAGAGACAAAAGAGGGCTGGCTCATAGCCATGGAATGGGACCTCGTGGAAACAGCCCCATGAGTGACAGTGATTTATATCAATATAGGGAAAGGCGTTTCGTTTTCCTTCGTTATATTTCATAGACTTGCTTACATGTACCTAATGTGGTTCTGTATATCATGGCTGATGATTGCCTGAGCAAAAACAAAACAATCTTCTATTTGTCCCTGTGAAACATGAAGCGATATCGCGGCCTAAGGTAATCAAATCCCAAATTCGAATGGCCAACATTCCTCAAGACATGGCAGATTATTGCCGGTCCTCTTGCGATGAATTATCCTGCAGGTGTTGAAGCCGAGGTCGGAATTGTAACGACACTCTGTCGGGTATACAGAACTCCTCTGGTTCGAGGAAAATGCCCATTTTTCTTGCTTCCGTGACATGCTCCTCATCGTAATGGTCCCGCCTCAAAAGATACTCAATTACGCGGTCATACCAATAGCCATCGAGGAACTCTTCGAGGGGAAGGCCAAGCTCATCAAGTTTGCTTTCCATCTCTTCCGTCAGTTCTTCAAATTCTTTGACAAGCAAACGCTGGTCATCCAGGATCCTACTAATTTCCGTCTCATCTCTTCCTTTGTTGAGGAACACATCAGGCGGAAAATTTTCTTCAACTTGATCTATTTCAGTGCAGCACGTATGTGTGAGGCCCAACGCATCAAATGTCAACGCTCTGACTATCGCTCGCAAAAGATCTGGCCAGGAATCCTGCCATACAACGAGAGAGCAGATCAAGATCCGGAGGCAGTCATCCTGGATTTTCAATTGCCATTTGGATATCATAAAAATGATGGCACGGAGCGCAACTGAGAGTGTGGTACACCCGCCAGGAGAGCAGGCGCAAATGCAACCATCTTGTGAGGGAGGGATAAAAAAGCATGCATCTCCCAATTCAGCCACTCCTTTTTTCCAATTGCGATAGTCGGAGCTATCTGACTGATGCAAGACCCCCCTAAAATGGCAATTGATAACTTGGGCCGTGAGCAAATGAGCGGCGTTCGCATTTGATCTCGGCAATTTCCGGTCAACACTGGCACCTTTCGACACCAACCAGGCGGCAGACTTGATGACCACAGGCGTGTCTTCTGATATGCGAGGAGGATAGAACATCATTAAGGGTGTTTGGCCATTGTGGTCAGGTACATCAACTTCGTGGAAGCCAAGTTCGTAAATGTTATCCATGATCTTGACGAAATCAATAGATGGGTCGGCTAACCATGTCTGGTAGGTGGCTATGGATCCCACTGAATCAGTCGCAACACGCAACGCGATCGGGACATCTATCCCATGGCCAACTAGGGCTCTGGATATGTTTGCGGGAGGCCCATCGAGAGGTGGCATTTGATCTGGTGGCAAGGAATATTCTGCTAGCATACATAGTCTTCTTCGTCTTGCTGCCAACTCGGAGATCAATAGTGGGTATCTTCTGCCATCATCGTAGATACCATCATAGTTCTGCTTGCTGTAGACAAGGTCCTCTATTCTAATCACGCATCCTGCTTCGAATAAAATAGCGGCTGAAGTTTGGTATTTTTCTCCCTTGCCCTTAGCAAGTAAGGGAAAGTGCCAGTGTGGGTTTGCTCCTGACTGCAGAAGAATTTGTATACCTTTTGGCCACCCAAGTGCAAGTTCTAGTGGCCAAGTGTTGCCTATCCTATCATTTGGCGAAGCATGTCCCCTTGCCAAAGCTTCTCTGAGCTGTTCCTCGGACTCTTGAATAATTGCCTTGGCTATCTTCGGGGCTTGAATCACTGATGATCTAAGTTAACCTCGCAAAGAATCAACAGAATATATCCCTGGGAGAGGGGAAAAGAGACAACATACATTCTTCATCGTGAGAGAGAATCAGTCCAAGATTGTGTTTCAAATTGTCATAGTAGGGAGGATTAGAAAATATATACCTGCCGGGATATAACTGGAGTGGCCCTCTCAATTCAATCAGGTTCGAAATCAATGGAAGATCCTGCATCCCAAATACAGCCTTGGCGCAAACATCCAACAGTGCACTACGTCCCCAGTGATCTTCTTTCTTTGGCTTCATGCCGCACTCTAGCATGAATTTGAGGATTTCTGACGTAGGCTGAAAATTATTCATCGTACGATACATACACCAGAGGCCATCAGAGCAAACCATCTATCTTCAATAAGCGCCATGTTTGGGGTAAGGGAATTCGTGAACATACATCCATGAGAGATTTAATTCCACCATCTTTCCCCGCAGTGAATGTGTCGTAGGGAGACAATGTTTGCTCGGAGAAGGCATTCAGCAGTTTTGGAATGAGCGGATCACCGATGTTCCCAAGCCCAATTACCACACAAGCTGTACGATATCTCTCACTATCCTCTCCCCACACACTTTGAAACTGCAAAGTTGGGGCAATGGACAAGCCTCCAGCCCCTCGAACCATGGAAAAAGACACAGATATTGCAAATTTTAACACGCTACTGTGATAGCTGTATGCTCTTGTCACCGTCTTTGGCCGAGACCTAGTCCATATATGCTGATTTGGGGGTCGGTTGCTGAAAATGCATGTGGTCAGCTAAACTCCATATGGCTGTTTTGTACATGCCATACCTGTCAACCCCCAGATTTGTCTGTACCATTAGGCCACTGTCTGACAGCACCACTGGTGGTTGTTTGCACTGGGAGTCACACGCAATTTGAAGTAGACTTGGCGGGGGCATGTCTGAAGACGATATAGCCTTCTTGAGGGTGGAATGCATGCATAGCATCTCTTCGTAAATTGAAACTTGCATGAGCCGTGATTCCCTTGTATCCTGCCAGTTATATCTGCCCAGGGGTCAATAATCACATCTTCAAAAATATCCGGCCAGACTCTATACCCACATCAGCAGTGATGTCTGCAGAACATTTTGAATCTGATCCAAATGATTCTGCATGTCTTGTAAACCATCTTTCTGAAAGTAATACACGCCCTTCTTCAGTTGAGCACGGACTTTGTCCGGGAACGCCTCTGACTGTGCAGGCTTGAACCGGCCTACTATTTTCCTGAGTTTTTCGATCGAACTATGCATTTTTATAGCTTTCTCTTCGAGATCGGCAGCAACTTTTGGTCGTGTCTGTTGTAATTCCTCTATCGTGTCACGTAAGTTCTTCAATAGCATGCGAAGAGCTTCTGCTTTGTTCCTCGTGTTTTGAACCTCCTCGTCGTAGCCCCGCCATGTCTGGCTGTAAGAGACGATCCCCTGGCATACTTGTAAACCGAGCGATATGATGCCGACGGCGGTACCTGCGAGGTCCATGTTTAGCGATGCGATGCGTCGATATCGAATATGTTCATTAAATTTTTTTTTTCGAAGTCATATTGAAGGCTTCCATGTGGAAAACCTGCTCATCGCCGAGGAGGCGGTGCTAGCCTCATGCAGCGTGGTAAGCGTGGCCCCAATCAGGTCTGGGGGGAGCTTAGCAGTCAGCTAAAATAAGATAACAAAAATTTGCATTGATTGTTCAGAATTCTAGAAACAAACTGTTAGGCCATTTAGTACTCCAAGAAACTTCATATATTGGTCGAACAGAGTAGTCGCAGTATATTAGGTATGTAGTCTGTCTGCTATATTGTAACAGAGAACATTATTGGTTTCTTCCTTCCCTTGTTCCAGATGAGCAAATTTCTTACTGGTTTTGAAGCTGGCAAGAGAGTGGAAGATAAACAAATCATGAGCAGCGTAATAACTTGGGTATATTCTATATGCAATTGCAAGATGAATCCAATGCAATCCTTAGTCCGCCACAGCCTTAAGGGCATCCGTAGCCACATTGCATCCCCACCGAACTAGTTTAAGTTCCTCAGGGGACACAATATCAGTCTTTGCGACAACCTTTCGCACGAAATAAATAAGGCCCTTGGCAATGTGCGGTGTTTCCTTGACACTCAGGAAGATTTGCATCAAAGGCCCTTCATTCTTCTCAGGTTCATCTGGCGTGGAGCTCTTGGACTTCTTCTTTTTCTTGGACTTTTGGGATTGTTGGATGATGCTGATAATCAAGACTTCGACAAAAGTCTTAGTCTTGGGCTGCAGGTATGCGAAGTTGAGATTCTTCAAAATGCTCAGTGTCAAGCTGCCGTCCACAATGAGGGTGCTAAACATCTTGGCCAGGTTGACGACGGACTTCATGCTGACACCGTTCTCCTCATCGTCTGGATCGAAGTCGTTGTCTTCATCATCGTCCATATCACCTCGCTCGCCCATCTTCTTGAACACATTCCAGAGTGCAAACATAAAGGACATTTTGATGCGTCGACCCTGCTCACCGCAGATACGACGCGCAATCAGAGAATAGTATGGGTTGTGGGCCTGTTCCTCCATGGCACAGTGTAAGAGGACACGGGGAATTTCAAACTCCTGCGCCCGCTTGAGACGAAGCTTCATGAGTCGAACATGTGCATCTTGGAAGTCGTTGGCAGACATGATGGCAACGAAGATCGACCGACGAACGTCTGTGTTCATGCGGTGAGCTCGGGCGAGAACTCCAAAGTCGGGCTCGGCATCGCTTTCATCGTCTTTGGCTTCAGGCTGGGTCCTTTGTACATCAGCCATTTCCCGCTGCGCTGTGACAAGGGGATCTTCCTTCCAGCTTGCGCCGACCAACCACCACTTGCCCTTCTTGGAGGAGTTGTGGATATCGTCACGGGAGATGTTGATAGGTTCGGATGCGCGGATCGTCCGAGAATTGTTCAAAGAACCCAAAATCTTGCGCATTTTGGTAATGTGTTCTGTGGTGATACCTGCACCAACTGCGGCTGAAGCTTTCGAGCGGTTGTTTTTCAAATCAGTAATGAGGTCAATCATAAACTTTGTTCGAACAGAAAGACGGTCCTCGCCAACTTTTGCGACTGCGGGCTGAATGAGCAATACGATATCCTTGAGTGCAGATGGATCATCGAGTCTGAGTTGAGGGCCAGAATCTGCGTACGTGTTAGAGGGCTAGTAGGTTTATCATGGGTTAAGTATATTACTTACTTCGAATGACCTTGAGCAAGAGTTCGGTGTTTGGTTCCGTAATCTCCTGCACGAAAAGACGAACGTAGTCAAACATCAAGGAAGAACCGATGACATGGAAGTTATAAAGTTGCGAGAGAAGAGAAACCAAGTTGCTGGCTTCTTTTCCTTGGAACTTTCCATGCTCGTCACCGTCAGCATCCAATGTTTCGACAACCGTTTGGACAATCTCCGCGCCGAAGTCCATTCCCAGGAGCTTATATAACGCTGCAATGAAACCTGCATGCAAAATAAGGAAGGTGTCCTGAAGGGCAGCTCTCTCACAAATCAAGCCCATCAGTAGGTTGACCAAAGTAGATGTGACATGTTGGCGTGGGTAATCGCGGTAAAGCTTTTCGAATTCGGCGACAATCGAGAGAATATTGGCCTCAGACAGCTTATTGAGATGTCCCTGGGCCTGGCGCTTGAGACGAGTGAGAGATTCGCTTTCCGGATCGGAGCGATCTCGTAATGAAGGTGGAATGTACTTTTGAGCAGTAGGTTCGGGTTTCGTGACTGGGGCGATATAAGGATTTTCTTTCTTTTTTGGCTCTTTGCGCTCTTCCTTGTCGAAACCTTCGAAATCACTGCCTTCGGCATCCTCGTCGGAATCATCGCCCCCAAAGATTTCTTCGTCGAGATCAATATCCTCGGCGCTATCAGTTTCGTTATCGCCCTTTTCGAGTTGTTGGGCTTGCAAGCTCTTGGCCTTGAGTCTCTTGTTTCGTAGCCATTCATCGGCTTCTCGTTTGCGCTTTTTACTCTCATCCTCTGAGGCATCACCACCGGTACCACCCAGGTCTCCCAATAAATCATCCAGTCCATCGTCCTCAAAGCCCTTTGATGGTTTGCCTCCTTTCTTGAGACCAAGCTTCTTCTCCAATGCAGCAATCTCGGCATCGTCTCGCGCCAGCTTAGCTTTGATCGATCCGGGAATGTGTGCCTCAGTTTCTTTGAGTTCATCCTCGTAGGTGTCATCCTCTGACTCCTCGTCGGACTCATCATCTTCATCTTCGTCCTCGTCCTCGTCCTCATCCTCATCAAGGTCAATTTCTGACCCGAACCCGGACTCAGGCTCAGACTCGGACTCGGAGTCTTGTTGAACCGCTGCTTTCTTTAGGATCGATTTTGGCTTCTTCGCAGCCTCTTTCGTAGATTTAGAATTGGTCTGCGACACACTAGGTCCCTCGTCGAGATCCATGTCGTCTGAGTTGAGGTCGAGATCCTCGTCTCCCATTTCTTCATCGCTGTCATCTTGAGCCGGCTGTTGCGGTTTTTGCTGAGGCCGCTGCTGTGGACGCCCGAAGGTCTTCTTGTTCGGCGGGGCAGCATGTCGGGACTTCTTCTGCGTACGCTCATTTTGGCGGCGTTCTTTGCGCGAGGCAGGTCCGTTGAGGCGACGCTTCTTGTCACCGTAGACATCGCGGATTCCGAGCTCGGATCGTAGATCGCGAGGCAAGGCTGTCGTGTTATGCCGAGGGCGGGGAGGCATCTTGTTCCTCTGAGATATTTTGTCTACTCTCAAAAGAGTTCAAATGTCGGTCCTCAATATCAGGTACCCCGGGCGGTCGGCAACTTTTTTCACTTTTCTGCTGCCCCAAAACAAAGGCGGAGAGACACCCACAGCGGAGTTTCTCCCCCACTGTTAGTTGTTCCCAGCTGTTAATTGCATATCAATCATCTGCTCAAGCTTTTGGATCCCTTAATTATCACGGGACTCACACAAAGATTTTCAAATATGGCTCCTCATTTGGGACACGATGAGGTAAATATTGATATAGGTGTTACATGGCCGCTACATCTCCGCACATGCGACCACGAACACCAGTTCCAAGCTATATCACTAACACCGATCACCTCTAGTTCTTCAAATCTCTCGCCAAACTGCTCTCCCAAACATCCGAACAAGTCCATGGCTCGGTAAACCTCACTCAGAAACCTCTCATCGATGTGCCCGGTGCCACTACCACAAACTCCCAACCATCTATCCTCATCCGAGCCACTGATGGAAACACCAATACGCCAAACACCAGGGAAATGAGCAAGGAAAGCAGGGCCACCTATAAAAAGGGTCAAAAGATCAAGCTCTCGACTATCGTCAGTCCAGATGATATTGAGGCGTTCTATGTTCGCTATGCCGAGGTCTGCAAGACAGGCATGACGGGGTTGAAGAAGAGAGATCGCCGAGGCCGCAAGGCCAAGACTAAGGGCGGAGCTGCTAAGGTCACAAAAGCATAGATTTGCTCTTCGATCTATTCCCAGATGGTACCATCGTCTTTGTGTACTCGGCTCAGACCTGACACACGATATGTTTGATGGCTTCGATTTCTCATGCATTAGCTGGCGTTCGATGGCGGTTCTAGCTTCTTGTTCGTAATTTTTCAATGCGAGCTTCCTATCAAGTGTACATATTCCCCTATGCTTGTTACTCACGGGCGCTGTGTTTGTTTATACGAGTCCTGTTCGACGGGAAAAGGAATGAACGGCTTTTAGTATTACAAGTTGGGTATACCCCTATTTTGTCAGTATCTGTAACATATTTGGTGGAATTATGTAGCCCAGGACCAATGGCGCTGGATAGACCTTATAGTTAGAGAACAGTCTGGAGATTGAAAGAGCGTATTTGTATCAATTAATTATTCGTTTCTGATGTGACTCCCGGATTCCCTTGAATGACATGCAACGCTAGAATACAGAAATTGAGTAGAATACAAACCATGCCATATGTCCACTCATGAGTCGTGCAAATCAGTCCCGAATATCATAACAAAGAAAACATTAGTTAGAAGTGTCTGTGTAGGAGGGGTGATACAAAGAGTAAGTATTAAATCGAGCGTAAGATGGGCGCAAAGATCCAGATAACGAAGTGAAAAGAATAAAAAAAAATTAAAAGGTCGGCGGAATTTCAATCATGCACCTAGTCCAGATCCCAAGGATCGAGTTTCTTGAAAAGTTCAGCATCTTCGTATTCCGAAGAAGTCTGTGGCTCCAGTGGAAAGCTGAAGTCATCCTCTTTGGCTGGATCCTTCTTTGTTTGCTGGGGACGAGAATGTGGCTTGCTCGGTGTGGAGCTGTTGGTCGGGTGGATAGTTGGGTTGATGACAATGCGCGCAGCGATATGAAGGAGAATGACAAAAAGATAAGCTGGGGGAATTAATACTAGGGTGATAGCCTTGGAAATGAAGGATGAGCCATCACTGGATGGTTGGTACAATGCCGAAGAATGAGGCATAGGAGAAACGTCACGCTCTCTTGTCGCGTTTGACCGGCGCCGGAACTCGGCACTCATGTGGTCGAAATCAGTATTCAACACACTGGTTTTGGCATGGAAGAGCGGGCGTATTTGAGCGTCCGAAGACGCATCGGTAAAACGACTGGGTGGGTTTCCATTGCTTGCACGAGTCACTGAGGGTGAGGTATCCGAGAATGCATCTGCGAAGCGCCTGGGCAGAATATTTGAACTTGTATTATGCATCAATGGAAGACCGGACGCGCTGGTTGGGGTTGGGATGTTATCGGTGTGCAGCATCCTGAGTGTTGGGAGCTGTGATCTTTCACACTGACCCGCTGGGGCTGATTCCAATCCAGAAATAACGCGTTTTGTGCTCGAAAGATCAAACATCTCCATTGGCTCCGGCAGATCATGGCCTCCCACGGATGTAGGATGAGTAGAGACCGAATCAGGCGACTGAGGCTCAGGCGAATGGAATGACTCGGGGCTGGACGCAAACGAGATATCATGGTCAGCCTCCAGTGCGGGCTCGGCAGCGGGTTGAGTTGGTTGAACTGGTTGAACTTTTTCGACGCTCATGAGGTTCCCTTCCAGTGATACCTCGGCTTTGGCTGGACTGGTGGGTCCAAGAACTTCCTCCGAGGTTTCAGCCATCAACGCTGCGTCAGTATCGACTGGAATGATAGGATCTGCTTCAAGTGCAGATTCGCTAGAAGGTCCAGCTTGTGATATAGCTTCTGGTTCAGATACAGGCAAGGCCTTAAGCTGCACTTCGCCTTTAGATTCGGCATCTAATGCGGCTTCAGATTCAGACCCCGCTTCAGCTCCACCGTCGGCTAGAAGCTCAGATTCGAGTTGGTCTGCAACCTTGACCTCATGGTCACCTTGAAGTGCAGCATCGGTATTGGTTGCGCATTCTGCCTTGAGCTCAGGTTCAAATTCACGGTCATCCTCTGCGACTGTTGTAGCCTCAAATTTTGCAAGCAGGCTGGTGAAAGTTTGCGGTGTTTCAGTCATCGAGCGCTTAGAAGGCCCAAGATGTGGGGAAGGACTCAAACTCTCAACAGGAGAGGATCCCTGGTCGTCGGGAATCGCCTCCAAAATTGTACCGTTCGCTTTGTTTGAAGTGAAACAGCTGTCATCAGTTAGGTTTCCGTCCGTGTCGTCTCCAGTGCTTGCGGAATCGATCCAATCCAATTTGGCTGAGGAGGGCGACGATGTCTCTTGTGGAGGTTCTAAAATAGTCGGTACCCTTTCTCTCCGAGCTTTCGGCTGCCAGGCCTTTTTGCGCCGAGGTGCTATCGCGTCGCTCGGGAGCTCGACACTGAAAGAACGTTTGAAAGGACATGGCGTAACCTCATACCGAAGCACTGTTGGCAACGCAGTCTTTAGATTCCGCACCAAACTCTGGTCATCTTCCGTCTCGTATGGTAATTCAATGCGATAGTATGTAAGAGGGCGAATCCGTAAAACAAATTTCGAGACCCCGTCAACACACCAACACTGGGAGTTTTTTAGGATCGCATGGACGACATTTCCACATTTCAAGAAAGCTGTTGAGCCATGGACCTTTTCTAGTCTCAGTGGCGCTGTTGCGACCGTTCTTTCAGTCGCAGAGCGCCAAGGGAGTGTTTCGATGGTATCAACCGGGTAGTCGAAGTCGGACGGTGCGGAACTGGAAGGAATAGGGGCAAGTGCTCTTGGAGAAAAATGCACAATTTTTGCAGACGGATGATAGAAAATTACATGTTCGGGGGTATTCGGCACGCTTGAGCGACGTTGCGCGAGTGGGTTTAACTTGGTGGGAAGGGTGAGAGAACGGCGAAGGGATTGTATCTGACCTAGCTCACTTGGAGACTCAGGCATGGTTCATGGATGCGATCAATAAGAGATCTAGGAGAGTATGTAAAGCAATTAAAGTAGTAACATGTTTGTACAAGATACTAATGCGAGAAGTCAGGGTTTCCGATGCAAGAAACCCAGGGAACGGGGCTTATCTGTAATGCGCGGGGAGACGCAGTGTTGCCTCAGGCCATGAAGATCATGTGACCATGTCGCAGCTTTCAATGGAGACTAGGCATCACAGTTATTTCAGTTTCACTTTGAAGAATGCATTGTTGCTAGATACTTAGCTATTTTGACACATCTGGCGTTGTCCACCGTGCTATTTACCCGGATTTCCCTCAGGATTGAACGCCACAATGTCGAACTTCGAGCCAAACGCCGTGATCCGCGGCTTCCAGCTCACAGTGGTAGGCAGTACGTCACCCTATGTTTTTGTTTTTATTTCCCGACCACTCAGAGGGACTGGTTTAAAATACCTAGACGGATTCCTGGCTACACAAGAAATCCTATCAATCTCTCCAGAGCTATATAGCATCGGAGTAGGCCCTGCCAAGACTTGTATCAAGGAGCTCCTTGTTGTTTAGCCAGCCGCCTATTGTCATTTGCCTTAGAATGACCCCCCTGAATGGGAAATGGATTTTGAATGCTTGCTAACTGGGCTTTGCAGCCGTTCGTGCATTATCGAACCCTGAACTATTCAAGTATGACCATTTCCGCCAAGCAGCTTTCGCAATAGCCATCAGCATCGTGATCCAATTGATCATCCAGATTCCAGTATGTTTCCAAACTGCTGCACTCATTGGGGCTTATTCTGACTATAGTCCAAGATCCTCAGCGTAAGATTCTCTATCTACGTCTTATCATGGGTGGTCAATCTGGAGCAGGCTGTCTGGGACGACAAGCTTCTCAATGGATTGGAATTTATGTCCAAGTCTGTCCTTCAGGTACCATTCTTGCTCATGACCCTGATGCGATATGTGACGCCTACGCTCGATCAAATGTACGTCCTCCAAGCAACCGACTCCTTAACAGTGTCCGCTGACCATCTCACTAGCTTCATGCAGTCCATCCACTGGGTGGACACCACATACATCCAGAAACATAAATCTGAAGATCCTCGGCACCTGCGTTCTCTATACTACCCCAATCTGTCTCAGTACTCTGCCAAGGGCGGCTCCAGTGTTTCTCGGCCATTCCCCGAAGCACTGAAGTCATTCTTCAATCGTTATACAAAGAAGGTTGGCATGATGCTTGGTCTCTATCTTCTGTCGATGGTTGTAATCATCGGTCGGTTCGTCATGCCTGCAGCAACTTTCTACACATTCCGAAGCCACGTTGGCTCGACTCCCGCAGCTGTCATTTTTGGCATAGGCTTGATTCTGCCGAAGACGTACATTATCATGTTCCTCCACACCTACTTTTCTTCGCGCAGTCTGATGCGTGAACTTGTAGGTTCAGCTACCCTATCATACTAAGAATTATATTAACAGCCTCTAGCTCGAACCCTACTTTTGTCGCATTAAGTTCACAGCCGAGCAAAAGCGTCGGTGGTTCCGCGACCGCGAAGGTGTTCTCTTCGGCTTTGCCTTCGCTTTCACGGTTCTTCTTCGCATTCCATACATTGGTGTGCTAATGTATGGCATTGCTGAGGCATCTACTGCGTACCTTGTCACCAAGATCACCGACCCGCCTCCATCTCCTGCTGAAAGTGCAGACTTCGCCGAAAGCCAGGTTACCTGGAAGAACAAACATGATTTCTTGCGCTTGTCTCTCGATAATCTTGACAAGCTCAATGTCGACATAGCCGAGCACGGTGATAAGGACTCTGGTTCCCCCGAGAAGAAGTTTTCTTGAGAGCCGTTGGCACCAAGACTTCCACAACAAGGGTTTCATTCTAGAATTAGAGATGGCCTCGTGAAATTGCACGGGTACCATGCAAATCAAAGCATTATTAGCATATAAGACGACCATCCCAACATGTGTTTACTAACCTTCTTGGGAAGGAGCCTTATTTACAAAAAATAGATTTCACCAACAATCCATGCATATGTACATAGAAGGCTTGGTATTCGAATCGGGCTTATCAACCCGGTTCTAGGCGAGATAAAGCGATGATAAGCCAGATCTCCAACTCTCCCTGTAACTATTACATATTCCGACATATAAATGAATACTAGGTAGGACGTCTGCGGGGTAAAGCCGTTATCATGAGGGGCGCCCAGGATATCGGTATATTTAGGGCTCCGGACTTCCCAGCCCCGGGATTTATACTCTCTGCAACCTATAGCTACTACCTCAATCACTCTCAACGACTAAGTCCGGCAATACGTACAAATATGGGTATCAAGGGAATCCGTACAGCTCTAAAGGTCGACCTCGATAAGCCTGCGCGTGAACAGCCTGGCTTACATGTATGTTATTACGTTCCTCGAGTCGTGAAACATTGCTAACTCCCCGATAGAATAGATGGCACCCAGATGGTATGTCAAGTCTAGTGGTCTCATTGAAAACAGGTTGCTCTGACACAAGCTCTCGCACTCTCCAGTACCGGCCTTTGGAAAAATCGCCAACAATGAGGTTGTTAAGATTGAGTGTCTCGATTGGACCGGAGGTCAGATTGGAAATAACGACTCAGCGGATGATGTCAAGAATGTAGATCTAACTCAGATCCATTACTTATCTGGTCCGTTCGAAATCGAAACCGCAGAGCCCGGCGATGTCTTGGTCGTCGAAATTCAGGACGTCCAACCATTCGAGGAGCAACCGTGGGGATTCACTGGAATCTTCCACAAAGAGAATGGAGGAGGTTTCCTAGACGAGCTGTATCCCGAGGCGTATGTCAATATTCATATCATGATATCATGACATATATCGGCGCTAACGGGTCTCATAGAGCCAAGGCGATTTGGGACTTCGAAGGAATCTTTTGCTCATCTAGACATATTCCCCATGTTCGGTTTGCCGGACTAATTCACCCTGGAATCATGGGTTGTGCTCCATCGGCTGAAGTTCTGGCCGAATGGAATCGTCGAGAGGGAGAGCTAATTGCAGCCAATACTGTTGCTGATCGAATCGTCGCCCAACCACCAAATCCTCATAATACCCATGCTGGCACTGCGACTGATGAAGTCAAGACCAAGATCGCTAACGAGGGTGCTCGGACTATCCCAGTGAGATATTATCATGTACAACGAAACTGAACCATAAACTCATATGTCTACTAGGGCCGCCCCGAACACGGAGGTAATTGCGATATCAAGAACCTCTCTCGCGGATCGAAAGTATATCTCCCTGTCCATGTCTCAGGTGCTAAGTTCTCAGTCGGAGACCTACACTTCTCGCAAGGCGATGGCGAGATCTCCTTCTGTGGAGCCATTGAGATGGCCGGTATTATCACATTGAAGTTCTCAGTCATCAAAAACGGCATGGCGAAACTAGACATGAAGTCACCAATCTTCCACGCAGGACCCGTAGAGCCGCAGTTTGGCCCTGGGCGATACCTGACATTCGAGGGATTCTCAGTCGATGAGAATGGAAAGCAACATTTCCTAGATGCAACAGTCGCCTACAGACAGACCTGTCTCCGGGTTATCGAGTATCTCCGGCGCTATGGCTATAATGATTATCAGATATATTTGCTGCTCAGCTGTGCACCGGTGCAGGGTCATATTGCCGGTATTGTGGATATCCCAAATGCCTGTACCACTATTTCGCTGCCGATGGATATCTTTGATTTCGATATTCGGCCTGAGGCGGATGTGGTTAAGAAGGAGATGGGAGCTTGCGCTTTTGTGACAAAGTAGGGCGCCTGAGATTGGGAGGGAGACAACATTGAATATGTGAAATTTTGATATCTCAATCGATCTCTGTATATGTCATCGTTCTTGTCCTCTCCAATTTCTGGTCATTTATCTCCCTCTACATTCTAGAAATCTGTCGCGTATCAGGATCACCAAAGCGGGTTCAAGTAGACCCCTAGTTACGATTGACTGTACTCTCTACTCGCCTCTGAATCACGTCCCATCTTAGATGTTAGCAGTCTAGGAGAAAAGTGAGAAAGGGACTTGAAGTAATCAAAGGCGAGATTAGATGCGATCCAAAAATGATCAGAAAAGGTGAAACAGTGTATCCAATATATTCTGAAACGCCGGCCAATGTTTATCAGCATAGGGATAGGTTGCATAGATCTAGTTGTAATACTCCGATTTTCTAGGTTCTGTCAAGATCACACTTGAAAAATATAATTTGGTACTTTTTGGAGGGAATTTTATCCCCGATGATTTGGGTAAATCTTGCACTTTAGACCTGACATGCCGTGTCACAGGAGTCTACCGAGTAGAAGGGATTACAGTATGGACTTCGCACAAAAAACAAGGCAAATTGCCTGAATGATGTGATATCATACATCATGGGTCATTGTTGGACGAGAAGACCACGTCGTGAATCGTGATGGAACAAAAGGGAAATGGGAATGAATCAACTTCATACCGTTCAAGAGAAGAACTTCCTGGCAGCGGCCTTATCCTTGGCCTCCCGGTCCTTGACAGTCTTCTTGACCTTGGCGATCTCGTTGGTGATACCGGCATCGCCAGGGGCCAACTTCAAAGCCTCGTGGAGATCCTTCAGCGCGAGATCCTCCTCCTTCAGACCCTCGTGAGCAACAGCACGACGGTAGTAGGCCTTGGCCCTGTCGGCATCCTTAGCCTTGGCAGCATCGGCAACTTGAAGCGCATACGTAGCCCAGTTCTGAGCCTGGTGGAACTTCTCGAGCTTGTTGGCGAGCAGGGAAGAGTTGGAGTGCAGGGTGAATCGGAGTGCCTTCATCTGCTCGCCCAGCTCCTTGGGATCATTCTCTTCGGGCTCGGGGAACTCGTTCAGATAGCGCAGACCCTTCTGGTACTTTTCGAGACCCAGGTTGAGATCACCACTCTTGAAAGCAGTGTTGCCGAAACCCTTAAGCTCGGAAGCGATCTTGAAGCAGAGAGGAGCAGTAAGCTGCTCGCCCTGGTGGTCCTCGGTGAAGTCCTCGTATGGGTCGCCCGTCGCATCCTGTAGGCGCTTGGCCGCGTTCTCGTACTCCTCGCCGGAAAGCTCGCCGCAGTCCACTATGGTGACGTCCTGGACGGGCTTGTCGGACTGAGTCTTCATATTCTCGACCTTGCGAATCACACTCTTGCCGTTGATGACCTCACCGAACACGACGTGCTTGCCATCAAGGTGGGGAGTAGGGACGGTGGTGACAAAGAATTGACTGCCGTTGGTGCCGGGGCCGGAGTTGGCCATGGAGAGCAGGAAGGGACGGTCATGCTTGAGGTCGAAATTCTCATCGGGGAACTTCTCGCCGTAAATAGACTCGCCGCCGGTGCCGTTGAATGCAGTGAAGTCACCACCCTGAATCATGAACTGCTTGATCACGCGATGGAAAATTGAGCCTGAATCGGGGCGCCGCGGTTAGTAGGCGTCAACGCTAAGGGAGCGGGGTATTGGAGACGTGCCTTTGTAGGTCAATTCCTTGCCCTGGGTGCCAATGCCCTTCTCGCCGGTACACAGAGCCCGGAAGTTGTCCGCAGTCTTGGGGACAACTGTTGCTGTTGTTAGTCATGTTCAAAAAATTGTCAAGGGAGAAAATCATGTCGTACCATCGTTGAACTGTGTGACGCCCATATGTTAGATGCGATCCAGACTCTGCATATAGAGAGTGCGGGCAACTTACCAGCTCAAATATAACCCGACTAGGCTTGTTGTCACCGATTTGAATGTCAAAGAAGACACGAGAGCCTACAAGCTTGTTAGTAACTCGACTCCATCCTTGCATTTCGCGGGCAGCTGAACCCCGCACTGAACGTACGCTGAGCTGTCGCCATGGCTGTGGAATTCAGGGAGAGAAATCTCGAAAGTGGAGAAGGATACGAGAGGAGAGAAATGAAGTTGATATGGTAGAGAGGTGGAGGTGAAAGAAGTGAGCACTGTGGGGGAGTGCGGCACTGGTGGTTCAGGAAGCTTCCATTGCGGGCACCCCAACTCTATGTTCGGACCACGCGATTGTATAGAAGTGTAAGGTTATATTTTGGGGGTATCTGCTAACATCTATGTAGGCATAAAGCATTACTCTAATCTCTATTTCCTCTCTTTCTCTTTTTTTTTTCATTGCAGCAATTCAGGAGGAATTTGGAATTCAAAGGTTCCCTTGACGTCCTGTTCATCGGACTTTTCTTCACCATTTTTCTTTTCCTTGGGTTCCTTTTTGGGGAGATTGGTATTGATTTCGATTGTGACCTAGAATGAGATCTGTCAGTATATAATCAATGGCGGCGAGGAAAGGAGCCAGGAAGGCAAAATGTACCGCCGCGTCCTCGCTGCAGTAGTCTACACCCACCGGCCCGTCATTCTTTAGTTCAACATCCATCATGGCTTGGAAGACACCATTTTTGACCCGGTCTGGAGTGTAACCTTCCCCCATCTTGTCATAGAAGTAGTCATAGATTTTGCGCGCAGTATCGGGACTAGCAGCATCATGAAAGTCGGGTTTATTGCCTTTCTTCATTTTCGCATAGAGGGTGAATTGAGAGACTATCAGACAAGCATCAGTATGGTTGAAGTTCCAGGTGATAAGACGAAGAGCCATACCACATAGTACTTCGCCCTCGATTTCCTTAACATTCTTTTTCCACTGTGACAGTGTTAATTGCCGGTCTCACACACAAAGGGCAGACATGTGCCTTACTTGTGTCCCATTCTCATCGGGCCAGAACTTGGCCTTCAACACCTTGTTCACCAGGTTTTCCGCATCCTTCTCGGTATCTTCTTTGCCAATGCCAGCAAATACAAGAAGGCCCTTGCCAATCGAAGAAACCAACTCCGAATCGACTGTCACGGATGCCGATTTCACCCTCTGGATAACAACTGAACGATATTAGTTAACCTTGGTATATAAAGTAGGTGCGGAGTTCCTAACGTTTCATTTTTGTCACCTATAGACCTTTCGTATCTCGTCAGAATGAAGAAACAGCTAGGTGAAGTCGGGGTGCGCACCCGCGGCGTAGACGAGATAAGGCCGTTGATAGCGATGGCGTTGCCTAGTATTGCCCAAATAAGCTTGTTTAAGTGGCTTTGTCAGTACGACTTGAGTCTTCAGCGAAAATAGTCAACTTTGGAAATGAGAAATAGAAATGACGTGGTGTGTGTTAAGGTCGCAATCCCCTCGCGCCGCCCTCATGTTCGCCTCCGCCCGTGACCGCCTACCTATTATAGCATCCACGAAGCTTTCCACTCAAACGCGGAGAGGCATTCCATGGACTTCCGAGATTCTGTCCCTTTTGCTGTCAAACAAGCACTTTTACCAACAATCCGTCCTGCATTAACTTCCTCGATTGAGTTCTTGTGACCATTTCGGTCGCGCATCACCACACCGTTCCGACCGCATTAATCCCGAGGCCAGTGGACGGCACAGTCCACCAACGGGTTCACAATGGCAGCCCGAAAAACGCAACAAGAAATTGAGAAAACCTTCAAGAAGGTCTCTGAAGGGATACAAACGTTCGAAGGAATTTACGAGAAGATCCGCCAGGCTACAAATCCCACGCAACGAGACAAGCTCGAAGACCACCTTAAGCGCGAGATCAAGAAGCTCCAAAGATTCCGTGATCAGATCAAGTCATGGGCCGCTGGAAATGAGGTTAAGGATAAAGCTCCACTCATGGAGCAGCGGAAGGCCATTGAAGTGGTGCGTTTAGATCTCCCAACTTGGTCCTCCACAGGGTCAATGGTTCCTTCAAGGGACAGCAAGCTAACACCGTCGGTAGTGCATGGAACAATTCAAAGCCGTTGAAAAAGAGATGAAGACGAAAGCGTATTCCAAGGAAGGTCTATCGGCAGCTTCGCGACTTGACCCAAAGGAGAAGGAGAGGGTCGAGTGTTCCGAGTTCCTCTCCAATATGGTTGATGAGCTTCAACTGAAGATCGAGGCGCTGGAAGCAGAGGAAGAAACACTTCATGCACAAATGAAGAAAGGGAAGAAGGATACGAAGAAGGCGGATCGAATGGCCGACATCTCCCACATTACGGAACGACATAAATGGCACGTAAACAAGTTGGAGTTCCTCAATCGTTCCTTACAGAACGGCAACTTGGATGTGGGCGCGGTACAAGATCTCAAGGAAAGTATCAAATATTACGTCGAAGAAGGAGGCAGCCCCGATTACTCCGGCGAGGATGAAACACTCTACGATGACCTGAATATCGGCGAGGAGATCGAGGCACAATTCGGCATGGGCGGCGATGGTGATCGTGTATCATCACAAGACGCTCAATCAATCCAAGACGAAGAGCCAGAACCGAAGCCAAAGGCCAAGCAAGAAGCGCCAGCAACCCGAAGACCATCAACACAGATGAAATCGCCGTTGCCTGTTCTTGCTACCCTCCATCCCTCTGCATCATCGAGTGCCACTCCGGGCATGAAGCCCGCTCCCCTTCCAACCCGTCCCCCTGGTGAAACTCTCAAGTATGCCTCTGCTGCTGCCGCTGCCGCAGCTAGCGACAAAAGTGGTGTTGGCATTCTCCCTCTTCCCCCTCCACCAGGTTTCAGCCCGGCTTTATCCGTGGCATTGCCTATCTCCAAGTCTTCTACTGCTTCGCCTAGTGTGGCGCCAGCACAGCCCGTTGCTAAGCCAATAGTTCCACCTACTGTAGCAGCTGTTACAGAAGAGCTTGCTGGGTCTGCGCGACCAAAGATCCCTGCAACTTCGGGTGTTTCATCCCCAGCGCCCGCAAAGGTAGAGACATCAACGAATGGCAAGCCAGAGACAGAAGGAACTGAAAGTGATGAATCGGTATATCACCTACCACCAGGTCTCCAGGACTTGCTCCAGTCATTTGAGGTGACGAAGTCGCGGGCGTCGGCCAATCCATCGCCGTCTGTTCAGCGACTTCTCGCTACCTCATTGACGACATGCCCAGAGGCTGGCGATGCTGAAAAACCACGTCATTACAAGCCCCAGAACCCCTACAGCACTGCGCTCTACTACCCACAGGAACCTCTCCCAATATTCGATGACCCCCGCTTGTATGATACCGGGAGAATCGATACTGATACTCTCTTCTACCTTTTCTACTACCGCCAGGGGACGTACCAGCAATATCTCGCAGCCAAGGCGCTCCGAAACCAGAGCTGGCGCTTCCATAAGCAGTATCAAACCTGGTTCCAGCGTCACGAGGAGCCAAAGAACATCACTGAGGAGTTCGAACAAGGCACCTATCGCTTCTTCGACTACGAGAGCACATGGTCAGTTTAAAGATTCCGACTGTTTGCGTTTTTCCGCCCCAAGCTTACAAGTTCACCACTTACGAATGCTGTCAACAGGATGAATCGACGGAAGGCTGATTTCAAGTTCGTGTACAAATACCTCGAGGATGAGTTATGAGGCGTCTTGGAATTCTTTTTTTTTCTCTTTCCCTGAGTAACCCACCTGGGTCTCAAAGCACAGATAATTGGTCTTTACGCTGGATTTGTTCGCAACATCTGTGGCTCGACGCTATGATTCGATAGACTGGATGTTTTGAGGCTATGGCGGGAACTTTTAAATCGGGGGGGCTGTTCTTCTTTTCGCAAGACTGGCATCAATGAGTGCAATGAATGGGGCCTCGGTGATATGGGAGTTTTTTTTGCAAGGTTATGAATTGTTTCTAACCATACAATGAATCCTTAAGTCAAGCAAATTGTTGGCTTTATAATATTGGGGGATAACTACAACATAAAATAAGTGGCTAAGTAGTGCATAGTCAAGTAGCCAAGCAACCCGGGTAAAGTTACTTGTGCGCCAGTCTGCCTCGTCAATAGCCTCGAAGTATCATAAGTACCACAAGTACATACCATAAGTACATCCCCTTGGGATCCGGGGTATGTGTACTCCGTACACGTCTGCAGGTTAACCGTTTCCTTTATTGGGACATTGCAGGAGAAAAAAAAAAAAAAAGGAAAATCAGGTAATCAAGAAACCCGGGGGCGGCAAGGGAAGACTTCAAAAGTCCAAGTCTCCTAAGGTTGCCCAACATCGCCGGAACAAATCCCAAATATCCCCGAATTAATCAAAAAATCCCTAAAAAAAATTAAAAAAAAGCAGCATGTGACGAATCGCATCAGTTTTTGTACACCCACAGCGACGTGCGACGTCAGAGAACGCTAACTCGCCAGCACGAAGCATTACGGGTTGCACCTGCATCCCACTCGCTCTTTCAGCCCCTTGGCAGACGCTAGCATGGTATGCACTTTAAAAAAGTGCGGGATTTTTCTTTCTAGAAGCCCCGGATTAGTGAACGCTAAGTTGCTAGTAGCTACGTCGCCAGGGGCTGTGCGCAACTGCGACATCATCGGTCGATCTGCGATCCCGGATTGGAGGGGTTTGGGAATTGTGGGAATAGCCTGGATGGAGATGTTCGGGTTGACAAGGCTGGATCGTGCGGATCATTCTAATATAATCGGCAAGATTGTGCCGTGGGATACGTCAGTACGTCAATGGGTGGGTTTTGAGAAGGGAATGTCCCGGAGTGATGTGCATCGAACTCGAACTCGAACTTGAAGTCAACCATAACCTTGACCTTGAAACTCAATCTTAGTCTTTGACCTTGACCTGGACTTCCCCCCCCCAAAGTGGAACTCAATGCTTTGTATCTGTAAAACCGCTTCGAAGGGTCTCTGGCGATACACCGGGTATTTCACCATCTCTTGTGCAGGAGATGAAACATGTGCAACTGCCCCTTCACCTGTGACGAACACAAACAAAAAAACAACCGGGGGCCATGGCCGTCAGACACGAGCTCTTGGCGGACGCTAGAATCAGACTAGAAGATGCACAGAACAGTCAACTACCAATCATAAGAAGATCACCGTGAGGGGAACTCACTGGGCACCAAGTGTCTGACCGCTTGCTTATCGCAAGCAACTCTTACCACAACACACCTGATCAGCATCCAATCATCATCGTGCAATCTATCCAGGATGTGGAGGGCAATGAGAGAGGGGCACGCTAGAAGGGCCGTGGAATATTCGCCGTCAGCAGAGATCCACAAATTACATACAAATCAAATTCCCGCATGCGAGGAGGCGGAGAGGCTGAGTGGTATTGTCCAGTCTGCTTCGTGTAGTTTTTCTAGTCGTTTTCTAGAAATGTTTAGTGCCGCCCTTTCAAGCCATTCACAGTCTAGCCCAGTGTTGTCCCGTGTCGACCAATACCCTACTCTGGGCCCCGGTCATGCTCCACGATCCTCGAGTTTCACGTTGGGCACATAAAAGGGCCCATGCCTCCATTTGCTTGGGGAAATTATTTTGCTTTTTGATTCAATATTTACAGAATCAATCGTAAGATTTTCACTAATCAGACCTATTCCTTCACAATGGTAAGTTGACTTGAGCATGCATGGGCGTGCATTCACAAGACTAACTTCCTCCCTCTGTCTATAAGACCGCAATTCCAATTCCCCTGCCAAACCAACGCTCCCACACCTCCGCTCCAATCGACATGCAGTCCCAATTCAGCTACCCAGACTCCTACTCCTCTTCCTACTCCTCCTCACCCGGAAGCATGGACTTCTTTTTCTACGGCGGCCAGCCCGTCTACGACACCCTCTGCGACCTCGACGCAACCAGTCCTTTCCCCATGCAAGAGGTCACTCCAGAGCTCTACAACATCACCAGCTCACCCTACACCTACCAGAGACCCCAGGACTTCCAACTGTTCGAGCGGCCCGCCATGCCGCAGAGCGCACCCAGCAGCTGTGGCAGCAGCTACAGCGGCACCGGTAGCTACACCAATAGCAGCTACAGCGGCAGCTTCAACTTCCCCTCGGAAGATATGGTGCTTCCAGCCTATCCCACCGGCGAATATGAGTCGGGTGCCGAGTCACCAGTGCCTGTATCTGTATCCAAGTAAGCTCGCTGCCTCCGTAGTCGCAATTCGATCAACGCGCTAACATCTCTCTCCCCAGGCCTGCTAAGCCCTTCGGTTGCGACCACTGCGGACGCTCCTTCACCCGCTTCGCGGACTTGAAGCGCCACCAGTCCAGCGTCCACTACCCTGTTTTCCGTAACTGCCCCGTCGAGCACTGCTCGCGCAAGGGTAGCAATGGCTTCCCGCGTCAGGACCACCTCGTCGAGCACCTGCGCTCCTATCACCACATGGATGTGCCGAAGCGTGGTTCCTGCAAGCGGTCGGCGAAGCAGATCTCATGACCGTGATAGTCTTTTTTTTCGCCTTGCGCTGGAGTTCCTAATCTTCTTCTGGGCTTTATGATATCACGACTGTTTTTCTTATTCTGATTTGCTATTTTCTATTGTTATTTTCTACTGTTTGTTTCTAGATCGCAGTCTTATGGACCGATCGTGTATAGAAGATGCGTACTGCGTCTTCGCTTCATTTTGTTTTCGAGTTCTGAGCTCATCGCTCATTACTTTTATGTGTTCTAGATTTTAGATCGGACTTAGATGGATTACTGGTGCGATGTTTCAATGGCAACGATTACGATATATACCACTTTCCTCAATTGGCTTAGGTGACTTTTTTTGCGTTCTGTTATTCCCCCTTTATTTCAACTTGAAGCCTCCAAATGAATCCTTTTTGTCTAAGCTACGAGTATTGCATAGTCGTACACAGACTAACCAGAGCAAGTAGGTGCTGTATCACATATCACTGCGTACAGGCAGATGCAGGACTGTTGCTTTTACTAATATGCCTCATATCAAAAGTACAAAAGGTCGATCGAAAAGCAATACGAACTCTAAACTGGATCTTTCATGCCTTGTTTCTTTGTGCTGCCCTAAACCAGGACTTGGCACATTTTGGCCCCCATTCCCTTTGACATCCCAAGTCCCACTTACGGAAGAATTATTTCCTTTCCAAAGGAGTTCTTACATGCAGGTACTAAGGGTTGACTCGATGCATAAAAACCTGAAACAAATCTACATGCATATAGCATACTCAAAATCTAGATTATTCCCAGAATATACCGATCGCGCAACACTTCCTCACAACACTCGCAACCTAGCTCCAATCCCCAGCCCCATCACCACCAGCCTCCTAATATCCACCCGCAATCCAACAACCCGTCCTTCGTATCGCACCCTCTGATTAAATGCCACCTGATATGACACTGCATCAGCGACATGCCAGAATTATCCGAGCAGAACATAAGAACCAAAATCCCAAACCGGACACCAGCCGTAGCGCGTTTCAGAGGTGCGCCGCCGGCTATTCTATATTTAGCCGCGCCCGATATCCTGGTCTCTGGACGTAGAACTAGACGACGTTGAGCTCGACCCGTCTTGGGATCCGTATCCCTGTGCGACGAGGAAACTAGGTCCGTGCTGGTGGATCGGGTGGGCTAGATCCATTTCCGTTTCGACGATGATCCGCCCTGGGATTTGCATGCAGAATGGCGTTTTGTGTCGGCGATTGCCATAGTAAAATCGCGCAGGGCGAACTGCGTTATTTTCGTTGAGGATGCCGTCTAGGCACCAGCAGTAGAGGTGGTTGTTTGGTCAGGTGAATGAAGCGAGAGCAGCGTGTCAATTGCCGTATTCGGAGCTGTTGTGTAGATTGTATGCCTAAATAGGAAGCATATCTATGGCAGCGGCCAATAGAGTATGATATATATATTTTAAGCTTGGTGTGCACGGGCGGGCAATAGTGAGGCAGAACTGATAGGACTTCCCGGGTGTGCATGAGGCGTTGAAATGGTACCCCCTCTTTCCCAGGTCACGTTGACACCGTTTATGAGGGCGCTTTCACGCACTGGTGAGGCGACTGTCTCTGTTCCGCTGCAGATCTGGCGTGCTGATGTCCCAGTCGGAGAATTGTCTGACGCCCTTTTCTTCGTTGTAGTTTCCTGCAGACTCTTGCTGACATGACCTACGTATACACTTTTTCAGGTTTGAGGTACCGTGTTGTACCCTATTATGTCACTCGATGTTGCTTGATGGCGGGCATGGCATGCCCTGGTGATGTGAAGCACTGGGTGACAGATACCATTCCCTCTAAGGGGATTGGATAGTGTTGGCGGAGGCTGTAGATGTGTATATTTGTGCTATTGTGAACGGTATTGGGGAGGTTCTCGCAGTTATGGATGACTGCCTTACGATTCGAGGGTTGGTCCTAGTAAGAAGCCGTTGCTGGTTGGGTCCCGTCTTAGTCGGTCGTATGGTACTAGAGTTGCCTGGTTTATATTGAGCCAGGATTCCCATGTGACTCCGATATCTGGGGTGGCTTCTGTGTGGGCGTAGAGAATAGGTTTACGTCGTTGATGTCTACTTGTGGGTGTATTCCATTTGCATGCAGTCAAGTGTATTTCGTCTAGAAAAAAGACGGACTAGATATTTCAGCATACAAGTATGCGATTTGGAGAGACTTTGGATAGTACACCATCGGTATCAGTATATATACTTCTATGAACAGGTCAAACAACCTCGTACGCTCTCCATTGCATATTCTGTTCAAACTTGAACGCTCTCAACCTAGCATAACCTAGTTCATCTGAATCGGGTCCAGGGTTGGGAAGAGTAGACTGCGGCAAAGACTGGGAGCAAAGCTGCAGATATACCAGCCAACCCCATGTCTGAAGACGGGCGCATGGTTTACCCACATTATGCACGCAGTCATACCCATCCTCAGCCCTCGGAGCCAATTGAAAATTAGCTATTGGTTATAAGCATTTTAAACCGACCGAGCTGGTTGGTCTATATCACAATTATCTGACAAAGACGGGAGTCAGGCACAACGTTCAACGTCGAAGCATCTATAGCCGGGGCTACCCAGATAGGAAATCCAAACTAACAACTCCATAAATCAAATTTCCGGATATAAGTACAGGAATATCAAACAGCAACCTCAATCCAAGAACATAATCCTCACAATCCCCCTAAACGCCATTTAACCCACAAAAAGAACACCTATGAAGTACAAACTCACTTAGCACCCAAATCCACAAACTCCTTAAAACAAACCCCCCGAACCTTCCCATCCAAAAAAATAACCCCCTCCTCCTCAAGCCTCAGCCTCTTCTCCTCGCAAAACCCACCACCACCCTTATGCCCATCAACCTTCCACTCCCCCTTATACCCACCCAACGACCCATCAGCCGCAAGGACCCGATGACACGGTATTTCCGGCGCAAAGGGGTTAGTGCGCATCGCGTTGCCGACCGCCCGCGCGCTGGAGCCCAGGTACGTCGCCATCGCCGAGTACGTAGTCCACCGGCCTGGCGGGACGGAGAGGAGCGTGCGGTACACGCGCCGCCGGTACGGGGTTAGCGTTGGGTGCAGGGATATGCGGCGGAGATTTTTTTTGGTTTGTGCTGTGGGTAGTGCGGGTTGGGGGGATTTCTGGGGCTTGGGGTCTTTGTTGTCTGGGGTTGGTGTTGGGATCTGCAGATCTGCGGGCTGTGCTGTCGAGAGCGACATGATTTATGTACCCTTTTGTCCAGGGTTTTTGGTAGATGGTTTTTTATTTGATTTATGCTCTTTGATTTTTGAAATTGAAGCTCTTTTGGGAATATTGCAATTGCTTGGAGTGCGTGGGGAGGATGATATTGGCTCTATTTGTAATTAGCCGGGGACGATGCGATGCGACGCGAGACGCGTCTATTGGGATTGCGGTACTTACCGCGTGATTAGCTGTTGATTGGAAAAGGGGATATGATAAGGTCTTTTGTTTGAATGTAAATATTTAAAAAGAGAGAAATAGTGAGAGGGAAAAAGGGCTATTAAGTATGAGTTGCAGATTGCAGGTTGATGGACGTTGTTCATGAAGTGACCAATCAAAGAGTCGGCTTCTCGTCAACATCATGGCGATTCTTTTGCATCTTTTCATCCTTTGTTTAACCCGTTTTTCCCTTCTTCTGAAGCTACAATTGCATATGCAAGCAAGATATACCCATTTTAAAACCATGCAGTTATTCATTTATTAGTCGGTCTTCATCAAAACGTCACTGGACATAAGACACCTAAGCATAATCATATCACCAACCCTCCCGAACTACAAATCTAAGCGTGATCCACGTGCTCAGCTCCTACAGCATTGTCGCCAGCCTTGGAGGCCGCAATAGCCGCAGCAGCACCAACAGAAAGAGGCTTCCCAGTCTTCGGATCAAGCACACTGCCCTTGCGACCGAGACTCTGGACCATGCCTGGGTTCTCTGCCTTCAAGCGCGCAAAGGTCTTCTCCGCATCCCAAGTCCAGGGTGTCCTAGCTGCGAATAGAAGATCCATATCCTCTAGCGTGCGCTGATTGCTTTCTGGGTACAAGGCCCATACCATCGGGATGGTAATGACATTACTCGCGGCAAAGACGTATAGCGTTTTTTCACCAATGGCATCGAACATGACGGGACACAGTAGAGTCTTTCAATATTCTGTTAGTATACAGTCTTCCATTAATTGAAGAATTTTCACTTACCAGCCATCCATTTCCAATACTCCATCCGACAACACCAAAGGCATTTCCACGTGCACGAACAGCCAGGGGGAAGATTTCAGCCGGGTACACCCTGAAGATTAGGCATTAGCATTGAATTGAACGACTAGACACGAGTTCTGTACCAGGGGACTGTGAGCCACGAAGCTCCGAATGCAGAAGTGAAGATGAAAATCATCGAAGCTGCAGCTGCACCATATGAGGATGCCTTGGCCATATCACCGGCTGCCTTGTTGTCGATCGCAAGACGAGAAAATCCTCCTGCGAGGAACATGGCAATACCCTGAACGACTGCACCCCAATATAAAGTCCATCGCCGACCGATGCGGTCGAGAGTAAAGACACAGACTAGCGTGGCAAACTAGACATAAATATTAACACAATGAGCACAGCCCGGTCGTTACTTTAATGCCAAACCATACCATGTAGAAGATATTGTTTAGTCCACTAATCCACTGACTCTTCATTGAATCAAACCCAGCAATGCCAAAGATGGTTGGTGCATAAACAGTAACACCTGCGATACCAACCCATTCCTGCATGATCTGTAGCCAAATGACCAGCTGTACGCGGCGGCCAATATGAAGATCACCGGATTTGTAGCCAACCAGCATAGACAGATATGAATCACCGTGATTCATCGTCCGCTCCAGCTCGGCGATGCTCAGAATATCCTGGAACTCGGCTTCCGCTCGGAGGTGATCCTCTCCACTAGATCCACGCAGACGCTGCAGAACATAGCGTGCCTCATCCTCTCGGCCGACCTTGACGAGCCATCGAGGTGACTCTGGGAAGAACCAGACGGCCGCAAAGAGGGCTAGGAGGAATATAATCTGGAAGGCGATGGGGAATCTCCAGCGGAAGGCTGACTCTCCGTTGTCGATGAAAGACAGGCCACTGTCGAAGATTAGAAGGATATCGCATACAACGGGTTAGTTTACGTACAATTCCAACCAATAAGCCAACACCACACCGAAAATATTGAGCGTAAATTCAATGGCAATGAATTGTCCGCGCGAAGTATGTTCAGCCGTCTCGGTCGCCCAGACAGGGACGATAGCGTTCAGGATTCCGGTTCCAATACCATTAACGAAACGCGCTGCGAAGGTTAGTCCAAGTCTGCGTGTATTGAACCCTATGCCCCTTACCGCAAATCATCCAATTGGAATTCTGAGCCGAACACTGCAGGGCAGCACCTAGAATAGCCCACAAAGCACCAGCTGCAATAGTTTTGATTCTTCCCGTGCGATCTCCAAGCCAGCCACCGAGTAAAGCGCCGAAAAGCGTTCCCAGATAGTAGACCGACACAATCCCACCTTGCAGCAGGGAATTTGTGACTACCGGAGTCAACTCGCCGTCCACCATCTCAGTATAGCCAAATCCCATGAGATCGATATAATCCTTTGCATTGTTGACACCAGCCATCATGCCTTGGTCGTATCCGAAGAACAGGATAGACAGTCCAGCCACGCAGTTGATTCCGATGAGAAGCTGGCGCTTCTCCAGCTTGTGGACGACATTCCAAGAGGGGATTTTATCACTCATTTTCAACGCGATCGAGAGGAAGGAATCGAGTAGGAGGCTTGTCGCATTAAATATCTGGTTTTATAGACAGAAATAGTAATGAAAGAGCAGGAAACACAACCACATCCAAACTCGCGGGGTGTAACAGCTCAAATCTGCACAAGAAAAAAACAAAAACAATAGAAGATCTAAATTCGTGCCTACATCACGGCAGCGGAGGGGTTTAAGGATTTTACATGAAACCTGGACCCTAGTCGCACATACGGCGTAACTCCGAGCCCCCAATGCACGATGATGCACAGCAACTTCCCTCCGGAGATCGACCGAAATCCACCCATGAACGGTAATGAGCGACAAGTCAGATGCAGTTATATCCCGGTGGGACGTGGGGGACATGCAAAAACAAACCAGTCAACAGCATCGGTACTCCAAAAAAACGCGATTATGTACCCCATTACCCCGCCAGCATGAGAACCCGGGGATGAGGGTTAGAATCCGAGCTCGACGAGTACTCACTATATGAGTTAATCTGAGGCGAGGCGAGGTCGGGATGCTTTATCCGGCTCACTGAGATCGGCAATCCGAAGGTAAGCTCTTTCTTGTCACATGCTGGGAAGATGGCTTTTTGTGATCTCCGCATTTTCCCTGGGGAACCTTCTTGGCATGCCGCTTTTATGCGCTCGGAGTATTTCTGAGTCCAAACTAAACATTAAGGTTGGTCGTGTGGCATTCTCACGTGCGATGCTATCAGTGATCCATCAGCCCTATCTAGGCGAACTTTGTATAAGCTATACCAATATCGACCCTATATCCTCGATCACGCCTGTTCGTAAGAGAAATCTCCAAAATCTAATTGTCATCCACTGCTCCAATATTATACACTCACATTATCCATTCTTTACACTAGTTACATGCAGTATTCATTCGCCTTGTAATACTTTAAGAGTTTGAATCTATGGATTGCGCTGGTGTAGAGCTTCAGCCTCTTCGTACTTGCCCTGGTGGGTAAGCACTGAACTAAGGTTGCTGACGCTAAGAAGCGTATGTGGGTGGTCTGGCCCTAGTATCCTCTCTTGGTCTTGTAACGCCCGCCGGTGTAGAGCTTCGGCCTCTTCATACTTGCCCTGACGGGTAAGCACTGAAGCAAGGTTGCTGACGCTAACAAGCGTATCTGGATGGCCTGACCCTAGTACCTTCTCTGACCCTTGTAACGCCCGCCAGTGTAGAGCTTCAGCCTCTTCGTACTTACCCTGGCGGGTGAGGACTGAAGCAAGGTTGCTGACGCTAATAAGCGTGTCTGGGTGGTCTGGCCCTAGTATCCTCTCTCGGTCTTGTAACGCCCGCCGGTGTAGAGCTTCGGCCTCTTCGTACTTAGCCTGGCGGGTAAGCACTAAAGCAAGGTTGCTGACGCTAATAAGCGTATCTGGATAGCCTGACCCAAGTATCCTCTCTCGGTCTTGTAACGCCCGCCGGTGTAGAGCTTCGGCCTCTTCGTACTTACCTTGGTAGGTAAGCACTGAACCAAGGTTGCTGACGCTAGTAAGCGTATCTGGATGGCCTGGCCCTAGTACTCTCTCTCGATCTTTTAAGGCCCGCCGGTGTAGAGCTTCGGCCTCTTCGTACTCACCCCGGTGGTTAAGTACTGAAGCAAGGTTGCTGACGCTAACAAGCGTATCTGGGTGGTCTGGCCCTTGTATCCCCTCTGACCCTTGTAAGCCCCGCCGGTGTAGAGCTTCGGCCTCTTCGTACTCACCCTGGCGGGTAAGCACTGAAGCAAGGTTATTAACGGTAATAAGTGTATCTGGGTGGTCTGGCCCTAGTACCCTCTCTTGGTCTTGTAACGCCCACCGGTGTAGATCTTCGGCCTCTTCGTACTCACCCTGGCGGGTAAGCACTGAAGCAAGGTTGTTGAAGCTAATAAGCGTATCTGGGTGGTCCGGCCCTAGTATCCTCTCTCGGTCTTGTAAGGCCCGCTGGTGTAGAGCTTCGGCCTCTTCGTACTCACCCAGGCGGGAAAGCACTAAAGCAAGGTTGCTGACGCTAGTAAGCGTATCTGGATGGTCTGGTCCTAGCACCTTCTCCCGATACTCGAGGACTATCTGATACATCGACTTTGCTTCGCGATATCGCCCGTCATATCTCAGACAGGCGCCACATTTTCCTGCAAGATCAACTTCTTCCTTGCTGCACTTCTTTTCTACGCACACTGCGTATTGTGCATGGGCTATGTATAGCCGCCGATGCATCTGATTTTTTTCGCTAGTATCTGACAGTACCTCACTCAGTCGCATAACCGCTTGTTCGTGGAAAGCTGGCAACTCTCCGTTCTTTTTCAGCCACCCCCGCGTTACTAGATGTACCAGACAATGTAGATCAAACGCCGATCCATCCTCGTGTCTAGTGATGAATGAGAACGCATCAAGGATACCAATCGCATCGATCTGCTTTTTAAGCGATGACCTCTCGGAAGGCGGTAGCAACGACCGGGGAATGTCTTTAGAGTCCACACAGGCCATGAATCCTAGGTATTTGAACGCCAGAGAGCTACGGCGACGGATCTGCTCAAATGAGATGAGCCATGTTTTAGCCGCTGCATTCTCCATGTCTGTATATCTGTCGTCATCTTCAAATTGTTCACTTAGGATCTCAATCGCCTCGTCATCTTGACTGGACAAGAGTGCTTCATAATTCTTGAGTGATTCCCCGGTCACATTGATATACGCTGCAGCTTGAACAATTGCGAGTGGAAGATATGTAAGCTTCTGCAGTAAGCCTGTTAACAAAGACTCATCCTTTTCGATCCGGCTAGGATAAATCAGATAGTTCCGCATCATTTCTGAGGCCCCGGACTCGTCCATTTGCTGCACAGACGCCACATTTTCTCGAGCAACTTCTGTTGCTAGCTTGCGATCGCGCGTGGTCCATATAATTGCCCCATACCTGTTTCGGGGCATGTAATCAATCAGGCGCTTGGCTCCAGCCCCAGGCGTGAGTGGGGATGTCCACATATCTATGTCATCGGCATTATCGAATACTAGCAGCCATGGGCCAATAGTCTCATCACTGAGATATGTTTGGACTAGTTCTAGGATATCGGCACCGCTCTCTTCGCAGCCGGAGAGGCGAAGGTTTTGAGCCACCTTGTGATATGCTGTTTGGAGGTTGGCCATGCTGTTAACGGGAATCCAAAAGACCGCGTACTGTCTTCGAATGCGGTGGGCTAGCTCAAGTACTAGCTGTGTCTTGCCCATACCACCGGGGCCTATGATTGCACTCTTTTTGGTGGTATCTGAGTCCTGTTCCAGCTTTTGTGTCAGGTCGCTAAGAAGTTCCTCACGGCCTGTGAACTTGATGTTTCGTTCAAATGGCACCTGCCACCGGGCACGGCCCTTCCCTTGAGCTCTGTTAGTATTGGATTTCGGAATCAGGTATCCTGAATGGCATACATTTTCCCCTAAAGGCTAGATTCTTTTGATACTGCTATATAAGGTTAGTCACATACATTAATTGTGGTCACCGCGCACTAACCCGAATGTCTTCAGTAAAATTGAGGTCGGTTGCACCTGTATCCGTCATTATTTGTCAGTCGAAGGTTACCAGGACTATAAGAAGTCTTCTAGTTACACACCTTGCTTTGATTTCAGATTCTCAACACAATCCCGCACTCGCAATGCCACTGCCTGGTGATCGAGATACCCTTCTGTCGCTGACTCAATCAAACCTTGCTGCTGAAATTCCGCCAGCCCGGCGTCCTGTAACCCCTGGTCCACATTGAATCGGAAATACCGCTTGTTATCATAATGCTGTCGCCACTTAGCGATGAATCGCTTCTCCGTATGTTCAGTTTGGGTGATGAGTGCTGGTAGGGTTTTCGAAGCAAACTTAAACAGGTTGTCCTCCATTGCCTTCTTCCCGGGGTGGCCGGTGCCGATCGAGATGAAGCACTTCACCAGCGGTTTTAGGTCACCTGTTTCTTTACACCAAATATCAGACGCTTCGCCTTCCACCTCATCCACAGGGTTATTGGCCCCGAGCGCACCATCCGCGAATCTGCGTGCCCCGATCGACACAGGGTCGAAGAAAGTAGTGGCGGCGGAGGTTGCACGGGCGGCCTGGCAGATGGTGGCCTGAATTCCGGAATCACCACCGTAGCTGCGAAGCCGCACAATATCCTTATTCTCTTGAGTGATGCTACAGACGAATCTGTAGCTATTAGCAGTATACAGATTCATCGGCTCACATACACTTACACCCGGCAACCCCAGCCAGCTTCATCATTGAATAAATCGGTCGGCTTAGCTCCACAATCGTTGATGACTTCGTTGATTGCATCCTCGAGCTTTTTGGCATCAAATACGGGCTTGATCTTGCCAAAAATGCCCAATAGGCCCGGTTTTGAGGGCTTGTCAAAAATCATTTTCATTAACTTAATATATGCCGCGATGCATTCATCAACATCCATCTCCAATCGACCTAGCATGATTGCAATCAATCTATATCTGTCAATCACCCGAATTTAGAACATGGACTAAATCAACCCACCCGCCTGTACTAGTGCCGCCAATCAGGTCAAACACCTCGCACGGCTTCTTTGCTGGTGAATTTGCGGGGCGTGCCTGATTCAGTCGGTCCATCAGCCCTTTCAAGACATACAGGGTCGACAGTCCGCGCACACCCCCGCCATCGAGGGAAAGTAGACAGAGCCCATTGCTATCCAACGGGTTCGGCTCCCCGCCGTGAACAGTCGCTACTCGTTGCATCACTAAGACTTCTCCTCAGTCTGGTAATATTATCTGCAAGGATGAGATACAAGCCGAAGGGCAAAGCATAAAGAAAAATGGTTAACTATCATTCCATTGGCCTCCTGGGGACGGGCGTTAGTGGAAGACTGCGCCTCATTGGGTCGACATCTGTGCCCCCCGTGACCAACGCACCTCATCACATTGCTTATGTACTTTGTAGGGCAATTCTGCTCCACTGTCTCAAAGACGGTATTTGATTTGCGCACATGCACGACAGACCTGCCGTCATGCTTTTATGGTGGATGTACAGCCATGGCCATCTTCTCTTGATAGCCATCCAATCCCTCCTACTCATGTCATCCTCAGGCACACATTTTCCTCTTTCCTTCTTCACAAGTCTTTCGATTTCTAAGCTACGGTTCCCTATGCCCAGTTTTGCTCATGCAGCGAGTTTCAGCTAGCAAGGCTACATTGATGATTGTTTGGCAATGTGGCGTCTCGACTCGCGGCCTCGCTGCTTAATTTTATCTGTGATTTGCTGATGACCGCTCAGCTTGCGAAGAGTGCTGACTGTGGCACCCGTTCAGTTGGGTGATATAGTGGAAATTAAAATATTGTAGAGCGTAGGTTGTTGGCAGAATACATTTTGGCCATGGACCTGCTAGCATCAGTGGAAGACGGTCGCAACACCTTGCATTAAGCAAAATAGCACCGAATTTCAAACACTCACAACTCTAGCTTTGTGTATTGATTCTACCACAACGCTGCCAATCCTCCTCGATACGCTTGTTCATAGTTTTCTCCGAAGAGGCTTATAACACATCGTTGATTTCCTTGGTTGGTTAAAATCCCTACTCCGTACTCTGTTTGGATATTCCTGCAAAATGCGGACAGACCCGCCCCCACGCGCTCACCGTCGGCCAAACGGCATCTGGATGCGGCCTTTGTTTTTAGAGTACTATAGGGTTGGCATGCTTCCGATCGGGTGTAACGTTGTCTCCCGTGTCCATTATATATTTCTCCACAGCGCCGTTTTATATAGCTTTATCCCAAACCGGAGGATTGCGATATGTATGTACATGTTTTGTTATAATTGAATATAGATTATTGATGTTTATTGTTGGAACAAAACTGTGTACTTTGTAGTGTCTACATATAAGGAGAGCATGGAGAAGAACCTTGGCATTGCGGAGGCGGCTCGGGAGACTCAGATACTACCCTGGTTGCATCGTGTATGCATGAACCTTGAAACGAACCTGGCAACTTAATTCAAGTGCGAGTTTGTTCTGGCTAGAGCAGGATTGTGCCCACTGTAACCTTTCAAAATGGTACTCCCTTATCACAATGGAGCCAATCAATATTGAAGCTCGATAGAAGCTCGTTTACTCGTACCAAGAAATAGTGTTAGCCCGTGCCAAGCTGTACCAGCCGTCCCGGCGATCTATAGTTCGTAATAAATACTATACTGCGGTTCAATACGACTTGAGGTGGATATACACACGAATACTGAGATAAGAGATCCGATTTTGTTCAGCTCATTACAGCAATGTGGCTCTTTATATCCAGGAAATCGTGGTAACTGTAGTACCCACATATGTCGGTATCTGGATGAATGGCTCTCGCGCAGAAGGCATATATTGATGTGATAATTTCTTGCGTTTGAGGGATTTTTCTTGTAAATTTACAGGAAATGTTAGAATTCAGAGGCCACTTTCACTAAGATACGGCAATATCATATTTAATCTAGTTTGTGCCGCACCATTAGCCAATAGCACCTGCTAGGTAAGGAGGGGTATGTAAGCTGATATTGGGGGGAACGCAGTAGCGGCAAAGCAAGAATTGCGTGCTTGAGATGTATGTTTCTGATGCAGACTTGTCCTCATACTTTGACATGATTTGGCAAACGATAGAGGGAATAGGGATATGGTTCTTCAACATGCTCCTATGAGATAAGAGCGGCCTAAAAGATAAAAGTACAATGTGTCCAGTGGAGGAGAGTGAGCCCGCTAAATCGAAGACTTGAATATGTCTTAGTTGGGATTAGCGCATCTCGGCAAGATCCACTTATATGGATTGCTGCATTGACCAGGATTAGAGCGAGAATGCGAAGGTTGTCAGGATTTCGCATATTCAATTACTTTGGCGAGAGACAAGCTATATTCTCAAAGTAGATCGCTAGGCATAGATGCATACAGGTTTTACTGGTAATATAACAAATTCATGAACGTTCCCCAGTATTCTTATCCACTTCCAGCCTCAGGGATCAAAGTTTAGTTGTTTCGGGCATAGACCTTGACCGAATTCACTAGCCAGTAAGCCTCGTTGAAGGCAGCTGGGTTATTTGCTACCCAATCATTGCAGGTGTCGGCCAGGCTGGCGCAGGTCTCATCCTTCAAGAATTCCCTTGAAGCCCCTAGGAAGAGTTAGTAAACGCGTTTTCGGTGTAATTTGGAGGATACTTACATCCTCCACAGAAATTTGTGTTGAAGATAATGTAGTTACTCTTGAATCTTTGGGCAATGTTACAGGTATTTGCTCTGAATTGCGCTAAGGGAGCGCCGAAGTTCGCAACATCCAGATCCGCAGCACCGGCATTGATCACCGCGTTAGCCCCAGCGCTGCCGCGGGGGAAGAACCACACACTGAGGGAAAGGCTTGCCCATTCCGTGACATAGACACCACCTCCGTTGGCGTTGAAGGCAGCGCCGTAGTTGTTGCTCGATGTGGTGGCTTGAGAACAACCAGAGTCGGAATTCTCACAGTCAGCAGAAGTCTGGGGTGCTGTAGACTCAGACCCGGAGACATCCATGTTGCAGCCCTTTGCCGTATGCAAGGTGACAGTATTGGCTTTCTGATTATTGACACCCTCGATGATATCGATCTCGCCAGAGTTGGGCCAGTCAGGACCAGAGGTCCAGTAGGCAGGCCAGATACCACAGGAGGCACCGTTTCCAGTGCCAGCCGGCATGTGGGCAATATCGGCAACGAAAAGGCCGGTGGTGAAGACATCCTTGGACCTCACTCTGGTCGAAGGGCGGCCATTTGGACTCTTATCTGCAAAGTTGGCACCAAGGTAGACTGCGCCATTGCTAATCTTGGCCATGCCAGAGCTGGTCGCAGTTTCGGAGTCTACATAGTCGACAAAGCCGCCGGAGGGATCGGGATCGCTGGTGAAGTTGAACCCGTCGAAGAAGTTGGTGCTGTCGTATACTTTGATCTGCGAGTATGCGGCAGCAGATACGGGAACGGCGGAGAGAAGGGCTCCAATGCTGATAGCTGTAACCGAGAAAATCATGCCTGCTATGATGAGGGATAAGTTTGGAAAGAGAGAATTGGCTGATATTAACTACTTTGAACTTACAATAGACAATATATAAGAGCAGGCCTTAGAGAAGGATGAACAGACGAAGACATAACGTTACAGCCGATCGGAAAGACTCCAACAATTCAACTGCAACTTCTCATGAAGTTGCATCTAAAGGCTGGCTAGCCGACGAGTCTGCAAGAGCGTATACTCCTAGGTCTTACTAGGAACCTCTAGTGGGGGGAATAAATTAATAAATGGGTACCTTTCGGAGAGAATGATCGTATTGGGATGATATTACGGAGAACGCAAATTGGTATCTGCATATTAAATCACGAACTGCAGATCAATAGCAGCATTGGGCTATCGGATGAAGGAAAAGCGAAGTTCTATCCCAAAACATCCAACTAGTGAGAGCCTAAAGTACCAACACAGCGCCATCACATTCCATGTGTGAGACATTACTGCCGCCACAAGGTATCCTCCCAAGGTTCAAGGCAGCCTATCCTTGTCACATAGTAACCTACGTCCTTGTCGGAATTCCGTTTATTGGAAGCAATGATAATCTAAGCCAACTCCAGTAACGCTCTGTAATGCTGTTAACTTATGTTATCTACTCCATAGTTGTTCGTATAATACTCTACGAAACCCTACAATTCATGGTCAATGGTCGAAACACCAATTAAGCACGAATAAGAGGGTTTGTTTTATAGAAGATTGCTGCACTGGTATTATGACTGTTATTTCCGGCAACTATCCTCTGTAATAGGTTGAGTATAGTGTATGCGACTGGTAAGCAACTAATAAATTACTAGTGCAGAGATCGGCACGGCAGAGATCCGATCCAAGTGGATCAGGCTGGGCCCTAGACGACCACACACCTTCCAAGAGACTTGCTCAGTTTTACTAGATCAAAAAGCGGCAAGATATAACCACCAACATGGAAAAGGAAAGCGAACGAGAAAATACTCTGGGCTAGACTGATAGGATATATCAAGTTGTCCCTTGATTGGAGAAGGGGACAATTGGCAGTGTGGAGAGAACGGGAAGGGCGGGAGGGGGTGAAAACGGAATAGCCGAAATCCCCAGACTTCAGCTGTTTGTGCCTCCATATGACCGAGGACGCATTGATTGCTTCCGACATTCATTTGCCATCACACATATCTCTTTTGTTTACTTCTTTTACATCGCACATATCTCATTGTCTTGTTCAGTTGTTTTACCTTCCCACTAATATAGACTTGCCAAGCTATCATGGCATTTTGCCTTATATCTTGGAGATCTTGGTTGTAAAGAAAATTCTGCATCTAATACTCCGGAGGGGAGTCTATTTCAAGATTGGTGTCCCAGAAACACGTGCTGACCTATATCTGAAGTGCACATGATCATGAGCACAAGCATCGTACGTCACACTGGCTTCGAGATAGTATCTGTGATTGATATGTAGGTACTTTGAATACTGCAGTCTCCAGTCTACATAACAGTGCATATTATTGTCTATGCAAATGACTGTATATGACATACAAGGCCACAAAAAAGAAGGATAGAAGAAAAGAAGACTTCATCACAAGTAAATGTGTCCTACGAGCACAAGGCTCACGGGTCATAAATCCCAGTTGTATGAACTGAAGAGTGGCAAGAGCGATCCTGAGTGAGTCGATGCCGGTACCGGGATAACAAACCGTTGACAAACTTTAATTGGTTGACTTCCCTGAACCGGGCAGGTAACAGAACTACATATCGGGGATATTTCGCAAAACACGTCTTCCACGATTCTACCACATGGTCAGTTAAATCCCCGACTTCATCCAATGGAAAAAGGAAACATGGCGCAAGATCGTGGCGACGAGGTTGGCACCAAAGCCCCCGACCTGTCAGACCAGGGAGACACGCACCAAGAAAAATACTCCCAGTTCACAGTAGCCCAAAAACGGGCTATTGTTGCCATGGGATCCCTGGCTAGTTTCTTCTCACCCTTGTCTTCGAGCATCTATCTGCCAGCTTTGACCACTATCGCGGATTCCCTGCGTATATCCGTCTCCCAAGTGAACTTGACAGTCACCACTTATCTGGTGAGTCAATGAGAACAACAAGACTGTCAAATAAATGCACAAATAATCATGCTTCTCATTTTTTAGATTATGCAGGGGGTCGCACCCATGCTGATTGCAGGATTCTCGGACACCGCAGGCCGTCGTCCTGCTTACATCATTTGCTTCACAATTTACCTTGCAGCTAATCTGGGACTGGGTCTTCAAAACAGCTATGCTGCCCTCCTAGTCCTCAGGTGTCTCCAGAGTGCAGGTAGCAGCGGGACGGTGGCTCTTGCAAACGGTTTGGTCGGAGACATGATCACATCCGCAGAACGAGGTTCATACATCGCCTTCGCTTCAATCGGGAGCATGTTAGGTCCCTCTTTGTCACCAATCATCGGTGGTCTTCTCAGTCAGTACACGAACTGGCACTGGATCTTCTGGTTTTTGCTCATCTTCGGTGGCGTGTTCCTCCTCATCCTCGCTCTATTCCTGCCGGAGACTTGTCGCGAAGTGGTCGGAGACGGCTCCATCCCACCACCCACTTTGAATAACTCCGTGGCAGATATTATCCGCCATCGCACACGCAAGCAGAAGGGTCTTGTGCCTGATCCGGACAAGGAAACCGAGATACGGAAGAACTACTCTCTCCGATTTCCATCACCGGTTCCGACTATGAAGGTCGTCCTTGATATCGAGACGTCGGTCGTCTTGGTCACTACAGGACTGTTATTTGCTGGATTTTATGCTGTTATGACTGGTGCATCTACCTCCTTCCACAAAATCTATCACTTCAACGACCTCCATGCGGCGTTGATGTACCTCCCCATCGGCGGAGGAGGGGTGCTTTCAGCCTTCACGACTGGCCGGCTGGTCGACTGGAACTACCGCCGTCACGCAAAACGTGCCGGTCTCACTGTCGTCAAGAATGTGCGTGCAGACATCCGTAACTTCAACATTGAGCGCGCGAGACTGGAGGTTGCGCTTCCGCTTTACTATATTAGTAACCTGGCGATGCTGACCTATGGCTGGGTATTGGGTCACAAAGTCAATCTTGCTGCTCCCATCATTCTTTTGTTCATTGCCGGATGGTCTCTCATTGGTACCTCCCAGGTTCTGAATGCCTTGATGGTTGATCTCTGGCCGGGGAAGTCGGCGACTGCGACTGCGGCGAATAATCTCTTCCGTTGTGAGCTCGGTGCCGCAGCATCAGCGGCGATTAGCCCTATGAGCTCTGCTATGGGCGATGGCTGGGCGTACACCACACTTGCTTTGATCTCCATTGGTGTTTCTCCTTGCTTGTGGATAGTCGCTTGTAATGGGATCAAGTGGCGACAGAAGAGAAATCGAAAGGAGGAGGAGAAATTGTCTTGTGGACAAGACTAAATTCTTCTCTATCTGTATTGCACGAGCTCATGAACTCACGGACTTTGCCTAGAGGATATACCTGAACTTTAGCTTTGAACTTCTGTTCTGACACCCTCGCTTATTTACAAATGAAAATTGCCTAAATTTAGCTTTAGTGGAGAGATTCCTTCGTCTATGTCATATCAATTAAACCTTCGGGACAATTATCATTAGGGTTGACCTACCGCTCTACCACCGTTGTATATTGTGGAAATGGATATGGGTAACGTACGGACATCGAAGTAATTTGTGTGAAAGATCAAGTGCCGCTTGAATAAGAGTGCCAAGGATGATACTTCCAAGGTTGGTCATCATTTTCATATCCTGGTACATAGGTAGGTACCTACCACCTGGTTCACACGCGACCCACCACTCTTAATGGGTGGATGCCCGTATAAAGACCTGGGGCATCGAAGTCCAAATTCGAGTTCCAACTCGCCTATAACCGCGGCGGAGACCGCCGAGAACCCTTGGCGATAAAAATGGTCCGCGGGTAAACAAAATAGTGTCTGGGGAATCGCCGCTAACTCTCCAGCCTTTATTGTGGCTTAGCAAATTGCGATTCTCGGAGCTGTCCCCTTGAGACCGGAAAGAGGTGAGTTATGCAAGGAATACCCGGTCAAATTGCTAATATCTAGGGGTTTTCCATACGAAGGAAATTTTACAGAACACATGTAGGTGCTATGAGATGTTCCGGATCATTTCTCTTATGTTGTAGGATCGTATTGTACTCCATACTCCGTACTCAATCAAAATATCTGGGCGGTGTCCTATATCCAATCTTCTGCCCGCAGAATAACCGGAACTAGCTCCCGAAATTCTCCGGTAAATGACCGGCCCGACTTTACCGCCTTATCCATACCGGTCAGCTTTGCGGCCATAGTGCGTCGTAGGCGGTGAAGCCAAGCAATACCGCAAAAGCTCAGTCATTTCCCGTACTTGAATCCACCCACCCTGTTTGTGCACTCCCAACAACTTCAATCCGCTCGCATTGAGGATTGCATTTATATCTAAAGACCAGTAGTCTTTTGTCTCTTCCTTCATTATGTTCCGCACCGTCTTGCCCCGGGCTATGCCCCGGTCTGCTCTCCGCCATGCCGGCCCGAGGGCTGTTCCCAACAATTTCGCTACTCCCATGATCTTCATTAGCCAGTCAAAACGCGGTTTTGCTTCTGAATCAGGTAAGTCGGTGTCTATGTCGCCGTCGCAGAGTGCCTGGAGTGGTCCTCTCCGCTTCCCGAATGCGATTGCTGATTTCCGCTCTCCCGGACAATAGGTGATCACGACTTGGTCATCATTGGTGGTGGTGTCGCTGGTTACGTTGCCGCTATCAAGGCCGGTCAAGAGGGTCTCAAGGTACGAACTAGCTATTTTCCAAACCTTCCGGTGTTTAATTGGGCCGGTCTTGTCGTCGTGATCCGCGTACTAACCGAACACCCTGGCAGACCGCATGTATCGAGAAGCGCGGAACCCTCGGTGGTACCTGCTTGAACGTCGGCTGTATTCCTTCTAAGTCTCTCCTCAACAACTCCCATCTCTACCACCAGATTCTTCATGACACCAAGAAACGCGGTATCGAGGTCGGCGATGTCAAGCTTAACCTTACCCAGATGATGAAGGCCAAGGACACATCCGTTGAAGGTCTCACTAAAGGTGTTGAGTTCCTGCTCAAGAAGAACGGTGTCGACTACGTCAAGGGTGCCGGTTCTTTCGTTGATGCCAACACTGTCAAGGTTGCCCTCAACGACGGTGGTGAGCAGGTCCTGCGCGCTAAGAACATCATCATCGCCACTGGCTCCGAGGCCACCCCCTTCCCCGGCCTGAACATCGACGAGAAGCGCATCATCACAAGCACCGGCGCTCTCGCCCTCACTGAGGTCCCTAAGAAGATGGTCGTCATCGGTGGTGGCATCATCGGTCTCGAGATGGTATGTATTGATTCCCGAATGCGCTTTCAATGTTGGATCGTGTTAACATTTCTTTCTGTGATATTAGGCTTCCGTCTGGTCCCGTCTCGGTGCTGAGGTTACTGTTGTTGAGTTCCTTGGCCAGATTGGTGGCCCCGGCATGGACGCCGAGATCGCCAAGCAGGCTCAGAAGATCCTGGGCAAGCAGGGTATTAAGTTCAAGACCAGCACCAAGGTCGTCTCCGGCGATGACAGCGGTTCTACCGTCGCCCTTAACATTGAGGCCGCCAAGGGTGGCAAGGAGGAGGTTCTGGACGCCGACGTTGTCTTGGTCGCTATCGGCCGTCGCCCCTACACCGAGGGCCTGAACTTGGAGCAGGTTGGAGTTGAGAAGGACGACCGTGGCCGTCTGGTCATCGACCAGGAGTACCGCACCAAGCTCCCCCACATCCGTGTCATCGGTGACTGCACTTTCGGTCCCATGCTGGCCCACAAGGCCGAGGAGGAGGCCGTTGCTGCCATCGAATACATCAAGACTGGCTACGGCCACGTCAACTACGCCTGCATTCCCAGCGTTATGTACACCCACCCCGAGGTCGCTTGGGTTGGCCAGAACGAGGCTGAGATCAAGGCCTCCGGTGTCAAGTACCGTGTCGGTACCTTCCCCTTCAGCGCCAACTCCCGCGCCAAGACCAACCTCGACACCGAGGGTGTTGTTAAGTTCATCGCCGATGCTGAGACCGACCGCATTCTCGGTGTCCACATCATCGGCCCCGGTGCCGGTGAGATGATTGCTGAGGCTACCCTCGCCATCGAGTACGGTGCTTCTTCCGAAGATATTGCCCGTACTTGCCACGCCCACCCCACCCTCTCCGAGGCCTTCAAGGAGGCTGCTATGGCCACCTACTCGAAGCCCATTCACTTCTAAATCTCTTCAGATCTCATATATCCTCTCACCATGTACCACTTTTAGCTAACCTAGACTAGCTCGGCTAGCAAAATACATCATTCATGTAATCATTTCCTTATTTTCGTGAAATACACATGCTGCACAACTTGAAAGACTTGTTATAATCGACTATTGTAAAAGTGATCATAGGTAGAAACGTATTTGGCTGAGGTTGAATGACTATGAGATGATCGTTTGCCTAGAAATTATCCAGATTGTCTAACTTGATAAATCACCACTCTCCCATACAATTTATTAATAATCGCCAGTATTTTCAGTCCACGAATCTACTTTCTCGTTTTCTAAGCATAACAAACTGCTCCTTTTGCTTGAAGAAGCCGTTATCCGACGTGTTTGTGCACAATCTTAATAAAACTTTGACGCTACCAAGTTTGATCCTTCCATCTTTGCATCCCCTGGGGGATCAGCCAGGATCAGATAGAGACGTGGTGCAAGCTGGGCAAGCACTAGAAACATTAGCGTCATAAAAAAAAAACATTCAGCAATATCAATGCTAAGGCTGGAAGTGTCTAGGGTGTTGTGCCTAGATTCCCCGCTGCATCGGTCAAGACTATAGTGCTTAGCAGTGTAATACCCGGACCAATGAGAATATTGGCGCCGATACTTATATACCGCATGTTCGAATAGCCATATCTGTGTGACAATAGCGTGAGAACGCTAATTATCAAACAGACCAAGCCGGTACAGACGCAGAAGTATCCTGTGGAAATATTGGTTAGTACTAAAAAAGGAATATTGCGCAATGGAAGGCGTAAAATTACCAAAAGTAAGGTTGAAGATTGATACAATTGAGTCTCCGTATCCCGCAAAGTCGCCCTCGGCGACTTCCTCTGGAGGTTCCCAGCCGTACCCTTCAATGACCGTTTTGACCATTTGCTTTACCACGAGTTGGAAGTCTGCTTGCGTCTCCTCCTGCGTAGTGTTGGCAGTAGGCTCCAAAAGAGCGTCTAAGGACTCTTCAACCTCTCTAATCACAGCCTCTGTGGAAGGAAATCTCTCATAGATGGTATGGACTGTGTGATTCAGCGTAATGAGTCTATCTTGTGGTGAGAGATCCGCCTGGAAAAGGTCCGACAAGTTGAAAAGGTCTTTAACAACATGAGCGCATGATAGGATCTGATTTGTCCCTTCCATCATCAGAGCAAGGACTAGATGGAAAGGGAAGTGGAGTAAAGACCACAACTGCTGGTGGACGGAACCAAATGGTTCCATGCGGACATTATCAAAATATAGTTGATACACAAGGTACTGTGATATATTAGTGAATCTGCCTCGGGATCCAGTGATTGGGTCCATACAATAACTAATACTGCTGATATGATAGAACCAATATCCGCCGATGTGAATTTGAGGTCAAAGCTTTCAATCTCGATAATCGTCTTGGTCAGACCAATAATTCCTTCGCCGAGCTGTTCAAATCAGTCACTCCTTGCTGATGTAAAAACATGAATATAACTTACGATAATCAAGGTCAAACAAGTCAGCCTCTCGATGAGATGTGTCTTCTCAAAGGACATGGCTTTCCACTGCGCTGCAAGGATCAGGTTGACCCCAACTTCCATAACAGCAACCACATACCAGCCAATGTATACGTCGTAAGCTGTGCGTTGGTAGAAGGCAAACGATAAACCGAGATAGATGGACACAGCAACGAACAGGGACGCCATCACTGCTATCAATGGCAAACGGGTGGCGCGATACCTCCAGGTGAAGAATAGAGTTAACCCATATTAACAGGAAAGAACCACCCGACTAGCCATCAAGATGAGTGACAGTTACTGCAAAGGTTCCCATCCATCATGTTCTGTTAGAAACTCTGGTCCAATGATTGCGAGCCCGACCATAACTCCAAAGTGACATGCGTGGGCGATGCGTTCGATTATACTGTCTGTAGCGAACCGGACATCATGTAAAGTGACCTGAGCCCAAGTGAACGACAAGATGGAGAAGAATCCGATGTAGGAACTTAGTTCTGGGATTGAGAGGACCTCAAGTTAGTCGATTGACCAAGTGTGTGGGGAGTGGACCTAGCACAGACTTTGTGGACTATTGATCTCATGAGTCTTTGCAAAGGACGTGAAATTGGCAACAAAAAAAAATCAAAAACAGCTGAATATTGGAGGTTGCTTCGTAGTGCTCAAACTGTGGGTTCTAGAAGAGCGTCTCGTCTTGGGTTGTCACATCGGCCACTTCCTCAACTAATTCGCCTCGTCGATCACTCGCCTTGGACTGAAGCCGGTTAGAGTTACAGTCATCATAAGTGCCTAATGGAGTGACCACTTACTAAAGGGCTTTTCCACAGAGGTAGACCACCCATTGCTATGAGCAGTGATATTACTATAGGATTTACTGCTCTAAAAACGCTTGGGTTCTCAAATATTTATACATGTATATCTATAATTAGCTTATGCTGAAGTCCTAGGCATCTGGCACATCTTATTGCAACGCAGATCAAGGACTCGAATATTATGGACGTGGAATACCCTGCAACGCTGAATGACTACATCCAGTCGGAAAATGATGGGGCAAACGGTATGCTGCAGCTGGCGAATGAGTATCACTCGTCCTGGCCGGGCTCAAAAATGGGTCTTTTAGGCTATTCGCAGGTACGCGGTCAGAATACCGAGTGTGTTAGTTATGAGAATGCTAACGCACTATCGTTAGGGCGCTCAATTAGTTTCCGATATCCTTTGCAGCGGCACTGGTGGCAACTTCAACCATCATGCACCCCTATCGCCAGGTATAGTCAAGAACAGTAGTAAGGGTCTCTGATGCTGTCAATAACGCGCTCTAGCTTATAAATCTTCAGTTGTTGCGGCTGTCTTGTTCGGTGATCCACACACATCGCCAACACAACCTATGATCGTGGCATAAGTGTTCACAACGGAGTAAGTAGTCACGCCGGGGCCAAACTTACGACCAACTAACTTTTATTCTCTAATCAGATCTTTACGCGAATGAATAACACCGTGTGCAAGCAGTACAGCTACCGCATGGCATCATGGTGTGACAAAGGTGACGAGCTTTGCGATGCAGGCCATGTAGATGCAATTCACGGTCTATATCTTCAGAAATACAACGCCACCATGGTTCAATATGTGCTTGAAAGATGGCAAAATTCAACAGTGTCTTCTGTTACTACCACAGCTGTATCCACAGACTTGTCCACAAGTTCACGGACAACCGGTGTGTCAACCAGCACACATAAAGCATCGCCCACGGCCGCAGAGTCCGATCATCCCTCCACTAGCACTGCGTCCAGACCTACTATACTAGGATGACCTCTGCTTCTCGTATTCTATGTATTCTATGGACTATTTTTCATATGAGCAGTATAATAGGGATAGCCGGCACTAAACAATATACCGTGCATTAGGGTACTATGCCCATCGTGTTTGAGAGAAGAGGAAAATGCAAGAGAGCACGAGCCACCGTACATGCAAAGTCCAACGCTTAATCGATCAACCAATAAGTCACACTATATATGGCCTGCTGAATTTGCTGGCTTGCATGATGGCTTGAAGCTAAGCTTCGAGCGGACCTGAGGTTTTTTTCCCCATCGTAATTTTGACTTACTGTCGTTTGCCGAGGGATTTCGAGAATATTTTTGAAAACTATAAAGTTCATCATTTGATGCATGTGAAACATCTAGTGCATCCCGATAGTCAGCATAACCGAGGTCACCATATATATTTAGTGTATACAGGTTTGGCGTATCTGTCTCTTGTCGGCTGAGATGGCTTGTGGCGTTTAGGCACCGCCAACAAGCCTTTTCCCAGCCATTCATTACTTATAGACAATGGAATAGCTCTCCCCCTCCTCTAACAAGTCTTTATTTAGACCATGAAAAACGTACTAGTATCTCCGCTGTGGACAAAGCCACTGCGAAATGCAAAGAAAGACACATGTCTTTGATTCGGACCAGGTCTTGCCTGTCTCTAGTGTGTTTCTGTCTCATCCCTAAACCCAAACCGAAGAACGGATATTCCACGGTGAGAGTGATTGAATAGTAGAGTGGATTTTCCGTCTATTGACTGTTCAAAGTCAATACAGATTTTCACAGCTCGGGTGGATCGCTCGCGGGGTTCTTCCAACGCCGCTTGTATTGTGTCTGGTGACCCTCCGGTGTGGGAATATTTGCGATCCAGTTCATCTACTGCACCTTTCCTCTGGTTGAGGAGCTCATCATATCTCACATCAGGCAACATATCCAGCATATGTGAGGTTTTGTCCGCAAGAGCCTGGATCTCCTCGACACAGCGACGGTGGTATTGCTTGAAAAGTATGTGTTGCTGAGGCGTACAGCCTGAGGCCTTACACGCATAGCCCAAAAATTCCAAGACTGCATATGAGAGGCGCATGCGGAAGTTGCTTTGGAGGACGTGGACACCGACATAACACGGGTATGCATGCTTCGGCCGGGAATACGGCGTCATTGGGGGATCCACCACATAGCTTGCTATCGCCTTCTCGTGGGATAAGGGGTGGGTTGCTTTCTCCACTTCATCCATGTCTTGGAGAATGGAGGGAGAACTGGACAGCACCTTGTCGATGTCACCTGCATCAACCAAGGCGCGAACACGGCTGCAGATTCGGGCACAGTGGTGCGAGAAAATACATGCCCGGAGCATTGGATATTCTGATGGCTCGCAGTATTTATAGAACTGAAGAAACCATGTTAATACCTCTTTACATTCTTGGCCAGACATAAGTGCTTGTGTTTCCTGAGATGCTACCGTTAGCCATGCCAACAATCTATGAAGGTTAACGTACCACATTAGTAAACATAATGATAAAAAGATTCCGCCCGCTCCGGGTGGTAAACTGCTCCGAGCCACGCAGGCGAATCAGCTCCGATAACACCTGGTTGTGGATTTGCCATCCAGGAGTCGCGACTGGTTCAGTGCCATTTCGTACACCTAAAACGAGCTTAATTCGAGTGTCATTAGAATTTCTCCTCGCCGATGACTAGATTCAATTTTACCTCATATAGTCCTAGCATCCATATGGCTAATAATGTATTGTCGCTTTTGCATCTTTCAGGATCCTGGATAGCTGAACGGATGGCCGTAAGCGCAATTCCGTATGCTTTAGCTCGATCCGAGGTTGCCTTTAAAGTCCGGGTAATGGTGGCCATATAAGCGCATGCGACGGCATTACACGCCTTATACAGAGCAGACTCCTCCTCCGCTTTGGAAATAACATCTGGAACGGTATTGTAGATGCTTTTAGCCATTTCAAATGAGAGCCTAAACTTATTTATGAGGAATGGCATGAAGTGGGCATTCCATGATTCCGCAAGGGGATGTAGTAGGAGAGAGTTTCGTCCAGACAGTAGTGGAAATCCGTCAGTTCGCTCTGAAAAATGCGTAAATGGTATTGTTACTTGGTCCAAAGGGCGAGTTCCAAACAGAGGAGTGGAACCTCTAGGACTGGCAAGATCGCACTATTCAGTGTCATTACATTATCTGAAGGTCGTTCGCGTGAACTACTCACCTTGACAAGTCGCTCTCGAGACGAATCAATTTTGTCGTGGTATGATCCGAAAACCTCTACTGTAAAAGGTGGGTCAGGATATCCGTCACATTTCCGACCTGTCGAGACGCATCGCCGACAATGAGGCTTTTCTTCATCGCATTTGATTCTTCGAATTCTATGGAGGAATTAGCGAATGCTTCTGATATTTGAAAAAGAAATCTTACTTGCATGTTATACACCCAGACTTGAGCTTAGGAGCCCACTTCCTCCGACGAGTAGACAACTGCGATTTTTCTTCGGAACCTGTCATCGCGGCTCTGTCCAGGGAACTCTTCACTCAATTCAAGCCCCTGACATGTGGTGGCTGTGGGGATGTCGAGAATTTGGTGGGAGGATGTGGGGATCAGCACTTAAGGGGTTAAATGGCGGCTTATGAGTGGCCTACCATGGAGTTGACTCTGCCAACTACTAACTACTATGTTCAATCATAGATGCAATGAGAAAAACAAATGGCATTGCCGGGTAGTTTATAAACAGTCGAGATAACTATGCATCGTAGTATCTGCTATGCAACCACTACAAAAAGTAGGAGATTTTAGTTCTCCCGTCACCCGTAACCACCGCAGTAAACCACCGCTTTAGTAATTATGGATGCGGATCAGTTTGTAGAGAAAGTCTTATTATCTACCTTTATATATTTTGTGTGGGGTTTGAGGGCAAAAAAAATACGACCAAAAAGAAAACTCCGATAGGGGGAATCGAACCCCCGGCTGCCGTGTGAGAGACGGCGATGTTAGCCACTACACCATATCGGATTGGGATTGTGAACTACTTGGTTAGGTTTAGCTTTGACTCTTTCGGTTTAGTGGTCTTTATCCGTGTGCGTTTCCGTGCGTGGTTCTATAAACTACCTTGCTCTTTCCCCTCCATCCAACACCTTTCTTTTTCGCTTAAGCTATACACGTAGTTACGACGTATTTTGTACAGATTAAGCAGGCACGATGTTGCGTAGAGGGTATATCGTGTTTCCCCCAGCAGTGTAAATCTGTACATATTCACAACATCGCAGCTATGGCGAGCAACATCACGATAAACAACGTTGTGAATAATGTGTTCTCCGCCCCCCTTCCACCTACCTCGGCCACCCAATCCTCCCAATGTCCTTCTGCTTCCGGGACCTCCCGGTCCCTAAGCCAACAGTTAGTGGCCTCGCCGGGCTTTTGGGCCCTTTTGATCTTCGTGGCTGGGTGCCTTGCTGGCGCCGGATATTTGATTTGATTTGGGGGAGGCCAGCCTCCAAGGACAAGGATCCTGAGGATGCCCCGTAAGTAGTAAAACATGATTCTCATAGAAACTATATTGGCGGATCTGTGCCTATGTATGCACAGAGGCTAATGTATCGTAAAATAGCCCCGAAGATATTACTGTGGGCGAGCAGTCCGAGGGAACCCGCGAGGAGGTCCCCGCAGGGGATCATGCCGAAGTCCGTCCACCTGCTGTGACCCCCGAGAGCCCAAAGACCCCCGCCCCCCCCCCAAAAGACCTCCGCGCCCTCTATCACACTGAAGAAGAAGGCACCGAAGAAGAAGATGGACCCCGTAAAGTTGTCCAACCTGAGTACCTTCGTACGCAACACCTCCCACGGGGCAAAAGAGGCCGTGGTAGACCAGTCGCCAGCTGGGCTAGTTAGCTCAGTTTGCTAAGGTGATACCAAGGCGACGGCGTTCCTCTGTTGTTTTATCCTTTTCTTCTCTCCGAGAACCTCAGCGAGGTGAGATGAACGAAAACGGAGCCTTTTACTGAACCGGGGTGGAGGAGGAGGAGGTGTTTTTGGTGGCGTTCCTCTGGGCTTTTTGGCTGTTTTTGCTTCTCTCCGAGGACCTCAGTGAGGTGAGATGAAGGAAGAAAACGAGTCTTATGTCTCTACCTTTTGTTGTTTTTATTTTTATTTTTCTTTGGATGGCCCTCTTCGGAGGTGACCATGTCTAAATACATACTGCCGCCGGCCAGTTTCATCTTGGGAATATATTTTGCTGTTGAATGTAGAGCCCTTCGCAAACTTGGATCTTATAGTAGATCCTAATTTATCTAACACGAGATCTTGTAGAGGCCATGGGCCATTTTTTTATTATCATCTTCTTCTAATACTGTAACGTCCATGATAGTTAAGAACCACAAAAGAAATGTTTCCGCTATAGAATCCAAGGACACTCACTAGAAGTAACATATTGAATGAATCAATTACATCTTGCTATAGAAATCCAAGCACCTAGGTGGTAAGATTTCGAGAAAATAAGGCTCTAGTGCCTGATTTATATATACGTAGCTTCATACATGGGGTGAAAGAAGTGTTTTTACCCGGACAGCATTTGGAGTTTTATCAAGCAAATCCATTTATATCGATAATTCACAACGCTTTAAAGCAAGATAAACAGCAATTCTCTGTAATCTCATCCAATAACGATCACTCCTAGCGAGAACCAATTTCTCCTGACCATTAAAGCCGAGCTCAACATCTCCAAAATTTCTTCCAAAAACTCCGATGCGGCTTTGCGGGAGCACTATCACTCGCTTTCCGAACACTAGCCGCTATATCATAGGATGGGGGGCTTTGGCCAGGTTTGTTATTTATATGATCCACCTTTAAGGACCCAAGTAACCGCCCAGAAGAGCAAAAGCAGTTATCGCAATCCTGAGAGTTCTGGGCTAGCTCTCTTCGTAACTGGCGGTTGGGATTCTGCTTTAAAGAAGTATAAGCTCGGTTGAACTCAATTTCGGAGAGTCTTCCTATAGCGATATAGATTTCGGGGTTTTCAGTGCGTTCTTTTAGAACATTTGATAACTTTGTAACCAACTTGATCTCCTCCTCCAATGCCAGAAAAAACCTGTCAAGGAAGTCTATCATTAGCGAGCCACCGTCGTCGTACGCAGGTGCATTCTCTGATAAGTTGTCGAACTCTGTCTCCATCTTCGCAAACTGTTGCGCTGCTAACCGGCGAGCACGCTCGTTCTCGATAACAGAGGTAAGTATATATGGGTTCGGCTCGCATAGATGGCATTGTGGAGAGTGATGACACTCGGAGACTGGCTTCAATTCTCGGCTTCCAAGTAGTTCGGACATTTCTTTTCAGAGATAATGAAGAAATTCTCGTATGGTAAACTTTGGTATAAGATGGGAGACAGGAATATTGGATATAATGAGGTTTGAAATATTAGAAAGATATATCTACCTAGGCATCATTGATATGTATACTCCTTGCCGCCGCCTAATAAGGAATGGATCTCTACCTAGGTAGCTTCCCTCCCAAACCTTGGGACTTTCGCCTTCAGAGCTAAGGTTTTTTTAAGCTTTTAAGATTCCATATAGACGTACAGCTTCAAATTTAGCGAAGGGCGTGTAAGTATACCAGTCTTTTCCAGGGGTTTCGCTCCACAATGTGCCGAACAGGAGGCTCGGCAGCCAAGTAAATCCGCTCCGGCGGATTCCTGTGGCAGAATCCCGGGTATATTACCCTGGCACCGTAGCTGCAGTTCAATATGATTAACCTTCTTTTATTCATCTATCCCGTGCTAGCAGTTGTCTAGTCTAGTCGTGCCAAGTCAGGCTTGACCTCGTGTTGGTGAGCCTTGTTACCCTGTCCCTGTGGGAAGGGGGGTCTTAGTTCTTGTTCTTGTCATCATTACCCTCGCCGGCGTGTGGTGGGGTTAGTCTAGACCCCGAGTCCGACCTAGTGTAGGTCGGTGAGTCGAGCCTGACTGGTTGACCTCGGGCGACCTTCCCGTTCTGACTTGGACTCGTGTTGTCGAGTCAGGACCGAACACGTTTTTCATTACTCTCTTTATTCATGTCAGGAGAGGGCTACGTCGAAGTGCATGGTGGAATGTGAGAAGCTTGATTGAGTAGAGAGTTGTAGAAGCTAGGTTCTACGCTATGAAATCTGACAATTCAGTTTCTATTTGTCCTTGCCTCAACAATTCAGCACACTCAGGCTTTAATATTTTCTGACCCCTGGCCGGGATACACCTACACAGATCCTGTAGAAATGTCTAATTTAAATTCACATTTCAAATAAAGTCAAGTTCTACCAGCGGGCGCTCAGAGGAAAATATTAATCCTCGGGAAAGGAACACAGGAATTAGATATACGACATTGTCGGACACGTAGGCCTCCACCCGGAGAAATGGCAGTGGTAAACGCTCGTAATCAGTTAGAATCAAGTTCATTCAAATGTTCCAAATTGCTGTATTCGGAATGAAAAATTTCTCCACTATCTCTTGCTACTCTCTGGCTCTCGAGGGTGTAAGTAACTATCATGAATTTTCGCCTCATCGGATTACTCAGGTAATAGACTGATCAGACTGTCTCAGCCACGATCCGTGCCAGCCAGTTCTTGCTCAGTCAGCGCAGTGAAGTGAAGTGTCTAATTGGGACAGTTTCTTTTTATGACGACCGCAATAGTTCACAGAGGCCATGCCGGGGCCCATGCAGTCTTTTTTAGCAGTCTTCTTTTACAAATCAACTGATCAACCTGCTTTTGATCACCAACTGATCTACCTGCTCCTTAGCGTCAATTTAATCAATCTCCACGCTTACCTGCTTTTGCTTTCGGTACTGCCCAGGTGATTATGATTAGGGTGCATACAATAAGTATTCCAGAGAAGGTCGAATTGTACCGAATTCAATTCAAAGATCTTGGCAGCGAATAGAAGGAAAAGCTATCTAAGGGAAGAGGCCTGTCACCTCAGATCATCTGATGTCCAACAGATGCTCATTTACTATGAAATATCATGCCTGGCCAACATTTGAAATATCCAAATCTCTGATATCTATTGGGCAAACCCTATTAGCAAGATAATCCTCTAAATAAAGGGGGACTCTACCTACAATACCGACTGCTACCGTGTAGAAACCATCGTCTTGCTACGGAAAGTCCGTTCAGGTTTTGAGTAGGTATGATTGGAATCATAGTATAGTACTCAGCGGAGAGTGGGTCAATCAATCAATTAGTCAATCGAAGTTCAATTAACCTGTTGCAGTCTAACTAGTTGCGTATGACTATGCAGGCGCTTCATCCATCTGAAGCAAGAACTCGAAGCCAAACGCCGAGTTGGGATAACTCCCGAGAGTAAATACAGAGGCTGATTTGTAAAGATTGTGGAATCAGCCCATTCCTGCGTGTCGTAAATCCACAAACCCATTCATAAGAGAAATTTATATACTAAATGCGGCGGAGTGCACTTTCCGCCTTCCATCCCCCCTTCTGTCTCTCTCTCCCCTCTCTGCATTCTTCCCCGCTCCAGTCGCACTTGATGGTGTATTATCCATGCCCAGTTACCCGGCTTGTTTGTCGACAGTTGGCTAAGCTTCTCGTTTCCTAGCTTCGTTTTCGTCATTGGCTAATACTCATCGTCTTCCACACCTAGGTCCATTGCCGCAAGGCTTGTCAGTTCCTCGTCGTCGTCCTCTTTGAGTCCCACGTGTTGAAACTGTTGGAGGAGACCTGTTCGGTGTATAAATTCGGCTACGTAGCGGATGGCCTGCGGGTTGGATACAATCTTGTCGTAATCTTTGTCCTTCGCTGCCACTTTGTCGAGCTGTTTCCACATGTTCACGCGAAGCCTGGTGTACAACGGACACTACATCAGGATATACCTCGGTGTTTGTGAACTTGCTTCGCAGCTGCATTGGTCTGTTTCTGATGCCTTGATCTTGAGCAAAAAGTGACGAAGGCCGATCCTCATTGTGTGCATCTGGATCAGAATCGCACATTGTGGTTTCGTCGACCCTTCGTATAGACGAAGCGCCTTCTTGTTTGGCGTTTGTAATAAACACTTTGTAGGAGTCGACGTCCTCGGGTTGAAAGCGACCCCATGTTGGGATAAGGCGTGCCGTGGCGCATTTAATAATTCATGTGGAAATTCTGGTTATGGCGTAAGCGACTGATTCGATAGAAAGGTATTAGAGATACTATCTTACCTCACCGTATAGGCTGGCATAGATTTTACCATTGGCCTCGGGACAGGTTGTGCTGCAGCTGTCAGTTGTCATACTAGGCTGCTTGGTGGCCGGAGGGGCAGTCGAGAAGGCAAAAGGTTGGCTTGCGTGGGATGTTGTTTGGAAAGATCCGTAGTCGAGGAGATTACAGTAGAGGTTGGGGGGCTTGGACGAGAGACTGGAAACAGTCAAACAAACAGTAAACATAGCTGGAAGGAAAAAGGTTGACGTGGGAGAGAAGTTTTGCCGCAGAACCGGAGAAATTAAACTTTCTTGTTAACATGCGATCACTATCAAGTTACTCTTCTACTCTCACATTTTTTTTTAACCCTTCGTCCTCATCTTCAAGATACGTACCATGGATTCATCAATGGAATATCTCACCGATCTTGAAGGAACACAGGTCACGTTTGATGCTGTTGCGGACCCACCGTTTAACTTCCCTGCCCAGACATGGATAATACTTGAGAAGCTCAGTGAAGACTCGAATCGCCTAACAAAGGAAGACATAGCCGCGGAGCTCGCGCCCTCAGATACCGCCGGGAAATTCCTATGTCGGCCTGCCAGTGAGGAAGACGACAACAGGCGCGCATTCTTGCGCATTTACCAAAAGGTTCCTATTGCTGGAACTGAAACGAAGAATGCCGGCATACGGGCTAACCAGGCTGTCGACACCGCTCCTGATCACCGAGAACTGATCGCTTTTCGGACATTCACAGAGCTGGGCTGTGACGTTGTTCCTCGACTGCTGGGCTATCAACAGCGCCAGCAAGACCACGACGAGGGTGTTCCTGGGGGATATATCACGTGTATTCTATGGGAAAAGGTCCCTGGCGAGTCTCTTGAGTTGACCGAATTCTGGAGGCTCCCCTTTTCCGATCGCCAGGCTATCCGCGATAAATTTCGCCAAGTCTATACGTATAATTATCTAGTGACCACAGCGAAACAGTAGGCTAACATAGAGCAGAAGGTTTTTGCTATGCGGGTACATGCCATGTATGGCTGGTCCATCGAAGATCATTTATGACAAGTCCAGTGGTCAAATGTATATCTATGCGAGATTGTCTATGTGGACTATAATAATCTAACTATCTCTAGGCATATCTGCGGATTCAAACTTGCATCTCCGTTTGACGAATCTCAACAGTGGGGTGATACTCACTACTTCCAATACGGACTCATCCAACCCTCCAATAACCGATTCTACTGGGAAGGAACACCACCCGAAACGACGGATTGGATTGAAGATGTCAACGGCTGGACGTGGTGAATATGGAAACAAGCACAGCGGAATGTAGTGTGAAGTATGAGCCGCCATCTCGTTTCTTCCTAGCTAGCTTAGTAGAAAAATATGAACCAAGGGGTTGTTGCAGGTGTAATAAAGGCTGAGAGAGGGAAGCCGAGCCATTTGTGCTCCGAAGCGGTTTGCAGGGTTTGCATACCTCTTGTGCCTGAGGCCAATAGCTTGGCAGCCACACCAAGGCTTCTCCTCAGGAAGTGATTAGTTAACATATTTCACATGCGAGCTGCGCAGTCGAAACACCGTAGTAAAATCGATATATGCTACACTTATATCTCCACAACCAAATGTTCTTATTAACAGTAGTTTGCCGATAGGTATTGATAGGAATTTTTAGTAGTATATATCAATTTCAAGTAGATTAAAACCCTGCATTATTATGGTATCGAAAATTGTATCTCTAAATCCTTCGAATATATATCTCAGTTATGAATTTCTTAACCTTTCTTAAATTCCCCCAAACTCCTAAAAGGAGCAACATATTATATAAAAAGTATTAGGCTGTAAGCAAAAGTTCGCAAAGACAAGCATTGTTGAGATATCTAGTTGTAATTTAGCGCATTTACTATGGGTATCGGACTGCGCAGCTCGCATGTGAAATACGTTACTCCAGGAAGGCAGGGCTTAGTCATCACACAGAGAAACCTCGGTTAATATTGGAGCAAGCGAGCTGGAGTAGGTATAACTACGGAGTATGGATGTTGTAGCTAGTACTATCCAATAGCGATCCTTGCAGAATCTTAGAGGCCAGGCGATGGGATCACGTGGGCGAATGATGTTCCCCCGGACCCACTTCCACATCGATCTCCGCCATCTGTTGAAGCTCAGGCATTTAGATCAACAGCCCTAGAGCTATTCTGAACTCACCTCATCAGTACTTTTGCACACATTCTAACGGCTATATGCCTCAGCTTAGCAGCGTCACTCAATCACCTGTGAGCTTTCTGCATACCACCAATCCAAGCTACGCCGCTTATATTTCCTTAGCCTCCAACACCTCCCAAATCTACCTTGCCCGCTCGGTCGCCTACTAATTCTACCACTGAAGTTCCTCTCGTGCTGCCAGTAAGAAATTTTTGAAATCCTACCAGCTCAAGTCGAGTTACTTACAAACGTCCCGGGAGCCCCAGTTTTGAATACGAGTGGGATGGTGTCGATTCAGCGGGTCAAAAGATTGCTCGAGGCTATGGTCTTGCTCCGGGTCGACCAATATTAGAGGATGACGATGCCTCGAGAATGATTTTCTAATCTAGCGATAAACTCTACATCTGGGATGTGCTTTATCATGATGTGTATGAACTAGCATGTCAGGACATCAATGAAGTCGCTCGTGTTCTGTCCCAGGAAGGAGGTTTGAAGAAGCTACAGAAGCGTCTTCTTGATCCAGTTGAAGATATTTGAGCATGATAGTCGTGCCGGTTTAAGAGAGGTTTTGAGGGGAATTGGAAGAGGTCACATGGCCACACGAGCGACACACATTACTTTGTTTTGAGTGGAGTTTTGTTTTTCTTTGCTTTTGTTCTTGTTCCTTCCGTATCCTTAGACTTCGGAAGGTAATCACCCCACAGAACCCCGCACATGCGTGTATATAACATGTAGCTCGAGACCCTAGAAAATTTTATTCTATCTAAACACACCTAAAAGTCGCGGTTTTAACACGTTTTTACGTGTATTTCTCTATATCCTATATACATAATATCGCTACTAATTAATTTTACCTCTCTATTAGGGACCGCGTTTTCCAGGCCTATCGGGATTAGAGACCTGGTACATTTGCTAATTGTACAACTGGTATACAGCGCTCTCGCGGTGTGTACTCCAGCCCTGGGCCTAATTTTGTCTGAGGCATTTGAACTTTGAGTTAACTAAAATACTGCCTGGCAATATTATCTAATGAGAGAGTTAAGTGCCGATGGTATACTTAGTTGCCCGTAGACGGCATTAATTAGTCCACTTATGATTTGGTATGCACGACACGTTGGCTACAGCGCCCTTGGTACAAAATCAGCGTCGTCAAGAGGTACTTATTTTAGACCACCGAGGGGCTTTTCAAAACCTATTTATTTATTTATAGAGATGTAGCTTCTAAAACCTTAGAAAACGATGTGTCTCGCCGTGCGTGGTGCGGACTACTCCGTACAATCGATCGCAATTTATATAGCTTGGCCTTGGCCTTGGCGTTAGCCTTCATTTTTTCTCTAAAACCAAGGACTTAGGAGCTCGGCGGTGAAAGTGAGGGAAATAAGTAGAAGGGACTACGGAGTACTTTGGGAGTACTTTTAAGACGCCTACACTCCGTACCTAAGGTGCTTCTGCACTTCGGATTAAAGGAGTCCATTGAGGGGAATGTTTCGCACAATTTTAAGACAAAAAACTCAGAAGAACAGGTGGAGTCGCTTTGATTCCCGCTCTATTTTAGTGATTTTCACTCAGCAGTATTCAATATTAGGTGCTTGCAATCGCAAAATACAGAGGCGAAGTACATGGCGCTGGATGGATCAGAAATTCTAATCTCCGACATATTGCATGAAATGCAAACCCCTCCCGGAAACCCCGTGCCGAGTTGATTGACAACCCGTTTATATATTCCGCGTGTTCCTCACAAAAATTTTCCTGTCTTGTTTCATCGCAATGGTTTCCTCTTCCCCCGAACCGCCAGCGGCGCCATCCGATCCAGCCCCATCGGCAGTACCCTTAGTCAACGCTGAGACTCCCGTCAACGCGCCCGGTCCAATTGCAGTCGATGATTTTAGCGTATGTAGATTCGAGTGGCTCATTGTGACCCGGGAATTAAATCACCATCTTGTAGGACAACAGTGAATTTGACGATGAGCTGTCCGATCTCACCTCCCTGTCGGAGAGCGTGCTCGAGTTTGAGTATGAAAATGGTCGGCGATATTGCAGTAACCGCTTAGTAAGTAGTTTTGCCTGCCCAGGTGGGCAACCCATGCCCTTAGTCCTAACTTACAATGACTGATCCATGACCAGGGAAATTATATGTAATACTTTCACACCTTCCTCTAGAGGCTCCTAGCTAGTAAGACTAACCAAGTTAGGATGCCAAATGATGAGGAGGAGCAGGATCGAATGGATCTGGTAAGGCACCATCCGTAGTGACTGTCCATGCTCACATACTGAACTCTTCTTTCAGACACACCACATGTCCGTGAAGCAACATGTTCCTGGTGAAGGAGTACGACTAACTAGAGCGGTGCAGATGGCTGATGTTACTGGGAGGAGAGCTTTACAATGCCCCTATCAAATCATCCCCACAGAACATTCTTGACCTGGGAACCGGAACAGGCATTTGGGCTATGGACATCGCCGAGTCCGTGGGAGCCTCCATCCTCCATCTTTGTATGCCCAAAATGCTGACACCGGATGATAGGAAATTCCCTAACGCCCGCGTCATTGGGAACGACATCAGCCCCATCCAGCCCAGTTGGGTGGCCCCAAATATCGAGTTTATCGTGGAGGATATCGAAAGCGAATGGCAGTATGAACAAAACCACTTTGACTTTATCCATGCACGCTGCCTAGCAGGGTATTTCCCTACCATCAATCCGCTATTTCAACGAGAGTGACTCTCTAAAACGCTGAACAGATGCGTCGCCGACTGGCCCAGGTTTATCCGCCGAGTCTACGAGCACGTCAAACCCGGCGGCTACTTTGAATCGCACGAGAGTGCCGTGTGGTGCTGGAGCGACGATGACTCCCTCAAGGAAACTTCGGCGCTCATGGAATGGCAGCAGGCCGTCAATTTCGCCGGTAACAAGATGGGCCGCGAACTGAACATCTACCATAAGATAAAGGGCTGGATGGTCGCAGCTGGCTTTGAGGATGTTCAATTGTCGGTCTACGTGTTACCATTCTCGCCCTGGCCGCGTGATCCCCATCTAAAGGCCCTGGGGAAGTACCAGGCAGTGCAGTTGCAGCAAGCCATCGATTCCTATTCGCTGCGCTTGTACACGCAGGTGCTGAGCTGGAGCGAGGATGCGGCCAAGATTCATAATGCTTTGGTCAAGCAGGAGTTGCGGGATAAGAAGTTGCATGCCTATGTTCAAACGTACAGTCCAATCCATTCCTTTCGATAGCGCGAGTACTCGTACTAACTACGACTAGAGTCGCCGTTCATGGAAGAAAGCCCATTCGTCCCTGATATTTATTTGTGAAATAGCTAATTAACGGTTAATTAATGCTGGAGACTAATTTATTGCGAAGGACCTAATGAACATATCGCCTGCTCCCCAAAATTTTATCAAAGTAGGATTTCAAACTTGTATAGCAAATTTCAACTGATTTTGCTGGTTCTTGGGAACTCCCTTATGCCTTTTATGTCTTCAACTTGCCTGATAAGTGAGCTATTATATCACCTACGGGTTCGAGATCTCCATGATATTCCCAACGCCCAACGCGCCGCTGCCCAGCGCCAACCGATCCAACACACTTATACAGGCTACTAGTGAACATCTGCAGGCATCGGAAAATCTCTTTGAGAACCCTCACCTCCACTTGAGCTTTAATCTAGGCGAAGAACATTTATAGTCAATCTTTTTGTTTTTCTTGACTTTCCCTCCTCGAACAGATGAATTAATTTATTCACTTCAATTTTATCACCGCAAGCTGTCATTACAAAATGCCTCTAGAGACGAAGGCCACCCAAAAATGGCTCGCAGAGTATGCCTCTCAACAAAAAGGCTCCCACTATACAGATAGCCTAGTTAAGGGGATCAGGCAGGGATTTTTGTATCAATCTTTTAGAAATACATGACCATATTATATCCCTTTTATTACGACTCGCCGCCCTTCAAATGCGACTACAAATCCTTGAGCTAAAACTCAGTGGTCTTGTCTCTCAGGTATACTAATTTTGCTATTGATCGGGATCACCGAGCTCTGTTACCTTCGTTGATGTTTCGATGAAGTTTTATATCGAATATTCTAACTTGTTACACATTATTCTCGGGTATAAATGCTTCAATTCGCTCGGTACATTGAAATTATTGCTTTTTTGCTACGTACAGTTATCTCTGAAGTGGGGACACTTCGATCAGTCTGTAGGGACTGGCTTTCTTTCTCGAAATCGGCTCGACTACTACACAAACAATAAAAGATTTTGGCCCCACTGTAAACAGTTCAGCGCATATTCATTACTAAACATACTCCCTCCTACGAGCCATATTCCGAAATTGCATAAAAAGAATACGCTTGCTGTTCGGTACATTCGGTACAATAATAGGAGGGCACTCGTAAAAGAAACGCCATATGTCCTTCGATCCGCTCAAGCCTGCGTACAAATGAGGGTCCATTCTCATCCAGTCAAAATCCGAGCAGTCTTGCGGCTGCTCAGGATGATTTTGTGCGGCAGGGCTGAGATGTCCGGAACAGTGTTCACCTGACGACCACAAGCCATCGACGAGGTTGGTTGGCATGGCGGTCTGAACCTTCAAAGCCACGGCTGCGCAACGCATCCTCATCAATTTCAAAAAAGAATCGACACCTTGGAACAGGCTCATTTTCGTCATATATGAGCTTCTGATCAACGCGTGGATTCTCAGCCGAGAAGGTATTAGCTACCCATTCTTGGAAGTGGGCGTGTAACTTCTACTTAGATGCTCGATCGAACCTGGCCTTGTCGTCGTTCAAGATAAATTCGAGCTTGTTAAACATGCCTTCATTGAGTTCTGATCTGGTGTCACCGCTGATGATTTGGCGCACTGAACGGTTGACATTTTGTTTAAAGATATCCAATGCTTCATCGTCTTCGTATGTTGTCCGATATAAAACCCAACCCCATTCTTCTATCTTTCGAGCTTTGAACTTTTGAAGTGTGATCTCTGACAAAATTCACTCTTCTCTTGGAGTAGGGGATGACTGAAAGTTTCGTCGTGGTGTTGAAGGAAGAGGAAATTTGGGAAGTCTTGGTCTGCTTTGGAACGAAGCAGCTAGTGGACTGGGAAGGCGACCGGGAAGTAGATGAGCAAGTGAACGCCTGAGAGTGAAAGGTCTCATCGACATTGGATGTATAATCCTTTAATGAAATTTGCATTATAAGGATGCGCCTGATAGGCGATACCGGACAGCGTGGGAACTAGACCTCCGCAAAGCCCACAAAGCCCAAAGCCCAACTCGCCCTAGCTCACTAATGGGCTGAGTTTGGGCCCGGGGTGAAAGCCCACTGGGCTTTGAATGGGGCCCATTAGGGCTCAAAAAGCACCAAACAATACAAATATTCCGAAAAACGTGACGTTTTTAATTAGTACTATATACATAAACCCCGTTTCTCGCCTTTCTCTAGGGGTAATATTTTATTATTATAATTGATATATAGTAAATAAATAGTGAAATACATTAATCACTTTTAAAAACGCGAGAAAACGCGTGGTTTAGAAATTTTATAAATCATGGAGTTTCACTAAGAAAGTGGTAGTGCTTCCACACAGATCTAAAATATATATCTGATATCAAAGCATACATTGACCTTTTTTGGATCTCCGCTGGTTAGATTCTATTTAAAACTAGAGTATACACTTATATAGTAATTGCAATTATATATTCCAAATTTAAAGTCTATACAATTAGTAGAAGGGTCAGAATACAGCGATTACAAGATCCTAGTTGAACCCCCTTAATGGGCTATAATGGGGGCCTTATAGGCCTCCACGAATGGGCTGTGGGTTGGGTTGGGCTTCGAAGGTCAAGCCCATAGTCCACTGCTGGTTGAGCCTTGGGCCCGAGGTCCGGGCCCATTTATGGGCTTTGCGGAGGTCTAGTGGGAACCGTCATGGTCTCGGCTCCTGGGGCCGAATTTGGATCCACAGTCCACATGGGCCGTGGGAAAGGGTCCATAAAGACATGTTGAGCTATTTTAGAAATACGACAGTAAACCGAAACATTGTCACCCTATGAGAGTTTGTTATTGTGTGGGGGCTACGATTGACATCGTGAAAGCGGACGATCAGAATGCGGAGGGAACTGCCTGGGTATATATTATTATATTATTGGCTACATAATCCAATGATTTTGAAATAGATTGTCATAGGGGAGATCGTATTTAGGGTTTGATTCTCGCGCTTTCGGTCTCATGCGCGCCAGGCCCTTCAGTAGTACGTTTCAGGTGTTAGTGAGGAGGCGATCTAGTTTGACGTAGAGAGGACCGGGAATATATATATTCTACGGGTCCTATATGCGCGACATCAACAGCACACGAACCTTCATATGAATCTTCAAGAAGAGCAAGTTGGGATTAAGCATTACTAACAGGGTAATGCAGTTGTAGAACTCCAAGGGTGGTTGGCGGGGCTCAAGTTGCCGCTAAGTAAAATTGATCAATACAAATCGAGGACTGTGTAAGGCCTATAGTACAAGAAAGGGCCTTCGGAGCGAATAGGGCAGGTTTGCTTTAAGTTGTAATTGAGTACCGAGTACTGCCATGAAAGTCCCTATTTCAAAACAGTGGGTATATGTAGTTGGTGATTAACAATGACTTCGAACGAAATGAACAGTATCGACCCGAAAAAATAGTACATCAAATTTAATACCCAAAAAGCAGAAAAGAATATTATCATCATGGAGATCATTCGTGTATATTCACACCGGCCCAAACATATTAGGAAAATAACAACGTCTGTAAGGCCGGTTTTTGGCCACTATCCTCGCAGCTTCAATCTCCTCGAATCGTATATATATACTCTCCACAGGCTGTATCACCGGTGGGTAACGTTTCCACCATATAATTCGGCGACCTGTTGTTGCTTCCGGGCGTCGAGCTCCGAAGGAGCTACTTGGCGCTCACTATTTTGCGCAAAGTATTCTTGGGTCTGAGGGTGGGGAGGCATGGACTGCAACTCGTTTCCTTGGCGGTTTTTGTTTCGGCGCCGCAAAAAGAACCACACCAGCGCAATCAAGATCGCTACACCAGCCACACCACCGACTACGCCGCCGGCAATAGCCCCGGTATTGGTTTGCTTCGTTTCACCACCGCTTACCGGACTTGGAGATGCGGCAGTACTTGTAGGTGTCGAAGAAGCGGTAGTGCTTGTGGGTGTTGTAGATTCTGTTGTAAAAAATGTAGATGATGTTGAACTAGGAGTGGGCGTTGCTGTGTTTCATCAATCATATTGTCAGCAAATGATTCACTGAACAAGGATAATTGGATAGTATGTACCCGAAGAAACAATCGTCAGCTGGCGCATGTTGACTTGTAGATCAGACAGATCGTTTGCACATCCGACCCCCCCTCGTCGTCTTCACTGTGAAGGCATATTTGCCTTGACTACAGCAAAAGCCATCATCCTTCGGATTAGTGACATTAGTCGAGTAAAAATCAGCCGTGCTATCGGCGCAGCTTCCATGAAGTAGATCACTGCAGTCGGCATTAGATGGGCAGCAGATCACGTTGTACTGAGGCCCTGGGCAAAAGGTGTTCCCAGGACAGCAAGCATGAAATGGTAAGGTTGTTCCACCGCAATCCGTTTCAGTGGTCAGACAAGAGCCATTCCTGCGCAGAGCAAAGCCGGCAATGTCAGACATCGCAGTGACTCTGAAGATAGACAAACAAAAGGCGTCACTGTGGAGAGAAAAGACTGTGGAGAAAAAAGAGAGAAATATGTGTGTGAATCTCCTGGCCAAGAATAAAATCTTGGGGCGAAACTCGGTGGGTGTTCAAGGGCGTTAGGAGGTGAATTGGGCTTCCACCAGAACGTAATGAATAACGAACAGGGTGAAATGTTCAGGCAAAGGGGGAACGTGAGTATTTCTCTTAATTGTACGAAGTACCTGTCTCAGAAATCTGATCAACAGGGGTATGATACCTTAATCAACCCGTGGCCCCCGTTATGGTATTACTATCCAGCGAATCCTACGAGTATTTTGCAAGTCCATTTGTCACTCGGACCACGTATTCATGCATTCAATATGTACTGTACGGAGTACTCCGTAGTGCCCTTCCGAGTCACCAATCACCCAGAATGAACTGAAAATTCCGGATGTTGCATACCCTAAACTAGAATAAGGTGTTTGTGTGACTGAACTCCAAGGATATTCAGCCTCATACCTTTATTTGCACATAAATGACTGCCAAGAATTATTACTCCGTAGTAAAGATACAGCCCCAAGCCACTCCGTATTTTGGCCCCAAATGTAGTAATTTTGTTTGTGTGGATCGCCCTTGGTATAGACAAATACGGATAATTAGCATGGGTCACCATGCGGGACGGAATACTAAGTACTCCATAGTATAAGTGAAGATATGTTGCTGCCGGCCCCGTTCCAATGATGTTGGCTATCACAGTGGGTCCAATGCGCACGGAGTAATAGTCAATTTACTAGCCAAATACAGAGTATGTAAAGATATATTTTGCTTTGAATACATATGAGGGAAGATACCTGGACGAAGGACATGAAACTCTGTACAAAGCACTACGTACTGACCAGTGGAATCAGCCATTTCTCGTTGACCAGTGAAGCCATCTTGAAAATAACATGCCCATGAGACATTGGCTTGTTTCAACTCTTTTGCTATTCAAAACGGGCAATATGGTGCGTGTAGGCTTTAGATTCATGACCAAATTAATTTACAGTAATATATACAATTGTATACGCATCGCGAAGTGGTGCTCAATGGTTCAAGTATGCAGTCATCTCATCCATCGATATCGCGATATGATCCCCAATAAAATCATCTGCAATAGGGCGCCACCACTTATGTTTGATTGATTTCAATCCTTTCTCATAATCAGACCGGCTTGCATCTTTCATGTTCCATCCAGACTCGAGGTTTTGCCAAGGCATGGGGCCGTCTGCTCGATGGGCGTAGTTGAGAAGATTTTGTTCGGGATGATCATAGTGCAGACCGACGTAATAATTATAGAGATCTCTGGATGGATGTAGAATAAAGAACTCATTATCGATGTGGGTGTTTTGGTGAATCTCCTGACCGGACACGATTTGCATATTCAAATTTGTACGCGAGTCATGCGGCGCGGCGATCATATAGTTCTTTGGCATTTTGGCGGTAGGGTTGATGGTGGCACGCATCACTGTCGTAGGATCTTCAAAAATGTGATAGATAGGACGGAATATGACCGAGTCGACATCCAGAAACAAGATTTTGTCGTATTCTTCAAGTGTCCATAGATTCAATTTGGCGAGAACAGCATTTGGGTGTTGAGAGGAATCCCAGTTGTTGTCAAAACTGCCGGCTTCAACATTGTCCACTGGCACCACAGTAGCTCCCTCTCTGCTCAGAATATCGCGGTGTCTTTGAGGTATATCGGGTGTGACCAGGATGAGAAATGGCACGTTATCGATCCTATTTCGCGTGCGTGGGTTGCGGAGTAGTTGGAAGCTGAGTAGCCGTGCTGCCTGAAGGTATGGCTCTTCTATATGGGGATACTCCGAGTCATTTCCCGACATTAAAAGGGTCGCAAAGGCATAGCGGGGTGGTTTGGTGTCGTCTTTTGATCCGTAAAAGCTGAATGTAGTAGCAACCCAAAAGAAGAGGGCTAGACAAGTGACAGTTGCGATCGCTTTGCGTAAATAAGGAGTAAATGTCGATTTTCTATGCGCCAAAACCATTGTTGATAAGATGATCTACAAGAAAGCAGATTGGGGAAAACAGTCGGTCTCTGGATAAATGAATCATAAGGATGAGAAGATAGAATAGTGAGATCAGGGAGCAAACAAAGGACCTACGTGATATGGCTCCGAATGGTTGATAGGCTAGAAAGCCTCACACAACTTTAGCTTTTCGAATTCGAGAAAAGTTAGGAATGCTCAGGTTGTGATCAACTCATCTATGGAGATTATTAGCGCTCACAAGGAGGGCAATGAGACACGTGATACAGTTATTTAACTCCAGGGTGTTGTTATTACCCCGTACTAGACTCATGCTGGTCATGTATTTTGGGATCGAAAATTGGGGCCGCCTTGGTGTAGGGATTAGTGCAATGAGAGGCCCGCCACGCGACAGGGATTCAGCAAGAGACCCAGGGCGAGACCCGCCCTGGGTGGGAGCCAAATCCGTACAAGACAAACAGGCAAACCAATAAGCCTACTAGCGTAGACGGTAAGAATCAAGAAAAAGTACTGATACATCAATAATTCACCTATTATTCTGCGTGTGGCCAGAATAGTGCATGTAGACTTTGAGCTAAGCGCCTAATTCTCCCCAAATCAACGCTTGTAGTGATTTGTACACAATTTTTTTAAGAATCGGATTAGGAAGGAGCGCCGAGCCTACTAGCATGCACAAAGTGTGATCAGCGGAAGATCTATGCTTCTTAAGATTAAAAATTACACGCGACCGAACTGGTCGAGTTAAAAAGTTGAAACATACCGATATGGGCGGTCGTCCGAGCGCGTTCTAGCGGTTATTTTAATGTTAGATTGTATGCGTATTATTCGTGTGTGTGTATTTAATTAAGGGATAACCCGTGGACATTATTGGACCGTGTTGCTGCTCATGATGTCTATGTATAGATACCACATGTCAGACTAAGATTGACACAATCCAGATCAAATAATTGAGTACTCTATTGGACCGTTCAAACGGCCCAACATCAATTTAGCGCTGACCATGTAGGCTACCATAAAATGACAGCAGGAAACTCGTTTGAATGCCATGATCTAGAATCTCCTTGAATTACAATATGGCGGGTATGACTTCTAACATATTTCCCTCCAATTCCACAGTTTCAATATCAGATGTCTTGTACTTTATCACTTCTGGTTGTCTTCATGTTCCTTTGGGTCTGTGATATATACAATACAACCACTAATCAGCCGCACCCGTGGACCCCACAGGCCACCGGGGCTCGGGAGAGCCCTTAGAGCCGCTGGGCACAACCAATGGGTAGATCACGGGTGTAGCATCCAACATGTACCCCCACACTTACTTTTTGTGGCCCCACGAGGCATAAAGTATTCTAAATTCAATGTACATTATATTAACTTCCTATGCATATATAATATAGCGAGCTTTGCACTAGGCCACGGTTTAACAAGAAAAAGCCGAAAATTTCTCTATTAGTGAAGCTTTATGCTCTTCTCATGGACGTCCATAAGATTTACTCCAGTCGTACCAGCCTCAACAAAATATCGGCTTGCCAATGGCTTAGAAATTAGGATAGCCTTGGTGAAATGGATGTATTCCTCACTCACCGTGGAAGGAAAGACGATATCTGCGGCGAAAGTCTCTTCGCCAATAAATATAACTCAGATCGTAGAGTTTTAAGTATGGCTCTAAATGAAGATTCGAGTTGCTCTTGTTTTTTCTTTTATAGAAACGAAATATTTCTTGGCACATAAACAGATAATTTCCCGTCAAATGCTGGATTTGTGGATTGAAGCCAAGGAATCTCTGGTCGAGGTTACAAACGACGGAAGGTTCCTGTTCTAATTAATCGCACTTGGTTTGCCTGATCTCTGCAGCAAGTTCTGGACCCTGCCTCAAGATTTCGCCACTTGAATAGCTCTACAAGTTCAGTTCTTCTACGCTAGGATTGATTTAAACATACGAGATCTGGATTTCATCTCCGACAGCGAACAGCATAAGGTGAGTAGGCACCAGCCATCCAGACTTTCTTTTTTTTGAAGAGAACTATAGTCAAAAACCGAGTCAGCTACGTGGACCAATCCACCTCCAGGGCGATACTTCCCTATTGCTGTTGCCATTCTTCTCCAATTAAGGGATGAACTAATCTTAGACAATCCGCTCTGGTAGGTAGTAAGCACTGCTCGTGATTTTCTTCGATTATTCAAGCCCGCAGATACAAATATTTGACTTTGGTCAATGTTCAGCCAGATCAACATTGAATCAGGATCAACTCCAATTTCAGCGATGGCAATTTAACTCTCAGCTAGCGGAGCACGCTCCAAACGTAACCTGATTTTGGTTTCTATGTTGATAAAAATGGTAATACGATTCGGGAAGACCTTGGAATTATTGCGTGGTATGTTGCAGGGTACTCCAGGGCTATGATAACGTTCCATCCTTTGGATGTTCCCAGGCGTCAACTATAAATAAATACGCGCCCGCACAGCCCCGGGAGACAAGGTAGTGTGATGTTATTTGTTTATCTACCTCTTAAATGAGCGCCTATTAATTTACGACGCACCTCCCCACACCTTTATAGAACCCTCGCCACCATAGGTTCATGCTGATCCACTCAAATTGATGGGGAAAATATTGAAGCGCCACATTCGGTAGGGATGGTAGTTTCATTCATAGCATTTCTGTATCTCAGTTCAATCAGTCTCAAAATCAAAATCAATTTACTCCTTTCTATCCCCTTCCTTCTGCTGAGAAGGTTTGTCTATGCTTTGCTGCTTCAGCATCTCCGCCTCCAGTCTTTCTTCTTCCGCCCATCTTGCCCTATCCTCCGCGTACTCTCTCTCTCTCTCTTGATTTCTACGTTCCCGGTTTTCTTCACTTTTTTTCCTGGCTTGCACTTTAAGCCTCTCAATCTCTCGGTCATCCACTCTCGCTTTTGCTTGATCCATAGTTTCCCCCTCATGGACCAACCACATTCCGTAAGCACCTGCCCATGCTTTTCCCTCGTATATCAATTTTCCCCTCATGAAGGCGCTGAGGTTCATCCAGAATGGGATAAGGGTATCGCTCATGATATCTGCTGGGCCTAAACAAAACCATTCATCTTGAAATAGTTTGGGGTTTTCAATAGCTCTGGGATCGTCCTTATGTAGTCCACAGAATATCGCGAATTCTGGCCGGAGTCCTAGCTTGATACCATGTTCGATATAACCCTCTGTGGTGGTTTGATTAGCAGAGAACCGCCTATCATATCGACTAAACAAACTCACTATGAGTATATTCAAATTCCTCCTTATTATCATACATACCGTCAATGAACATATCCAACATTTTTTTAATTTTGGGGAACGTAATCTCATTGTAGTGAGTTGTATGGGACTGAAATTCCTCGTCATATCCACAACTGGGTGCTTGATCATCTGGATACAGATCATTGAATTGCTGTTCCATTTCAATGGCCTTTTTGTCGGATAGTCCAATCCACTTCAGACACTCCTGCGTATCGGCAGGGTCTGGTAGGATCATACCGGGCCGGTATTCGCAACAGGAGGCGCCCCACTGGAATTCGATAGGGCCAAGTGACGGATGTATCTTGCCACGGGATGTTCCGATCTTCACAAGTTCAGGAGTCCATTCAAAGTTGATTGGTTTATTCTCCTCGGTGTCACTTGCGGGATGATCCTCGCGTTCGGGGTGATTCTCTCGCTCGGGGCGACTCTTAGCATCACTCATCTTGTAACATGAAAAAATAGAGGTAGATAGGGTGAAATAGTAGTCGAGTATTGAGTGTAGAATCACTTTAAACTTGGGAGAGTGGGAGAGGGTTGTTACGTGGTATTTATGTTGCGGGGTATTGTACTCCGTAGTGGTGTTCCAATCTCAAAAGTTCCCAAAGTTCAAGTTGCCTAGGTAGTGTCCGCTATAGATAAATAAGCGCCTGCACAGCCCCGGTTGCCCCGTATAGCCCGTTAAGTTAGCGCCCATTAATTCTACGATGTACCTTTCAATGCATTATCAACTCGCTAGTAGAAGCCCCGCTAGCGTAGGTTTATACTCCTCCACTCAAATCTCAGAATTATAAGGATTATGAACACCACTGTTTTACCTCCCTGTCGGGCAGGCGGCAGATTCACAATCAAATATTAGTGGACTGACTCTAGACTACTCACTACTAGGATGTTTTGAAAGAACAAGAGTAAATGGTTTCGATTTGATAGCCATTTGTATGTATAGTATTGCACCATGTCGATGATATTGTGTTGGCCACTAAAGGTCTTGCCAAGAGACTGCCACCCGGTGGTGTCCTTCTAAGCATCGACTGGGCAACGCTTAATTTATCGGACAAGACCTGAACAGCAAGCTAGTGTGCAGACAACTCCATCCGTTTCAGAGAATCAAAACCATCACCATCATGCACCACGTAAATGACACAATAAATCCGAAACATCCCTAGCGCATATCATCTCCCACGACTGCTTTGCGCAGGGCCAGGTACTCTCGCTCTTTGAACAGGCGGGCTGTGGAGAGTCCCAGTTTGTGCTGGCGGATCGACTATCACCTGTTCCCGGTGCTCGGAGTGGGGAGATGCAGCTATTCTGGGCTCGTGCAACCAAATTTTAATATCTTTGAAAGGATAAATTATGTGTGGCATTGTGTTTAATTAGTAAAATCTGAATTCTTCAACCGAGGCAATTGTTAGGAGATATCAAATTGTATGGTGCGATAGAAGAGTTGAAATTGAAGACTTTCAGAGACCAAGCTCTAGACTACATATGAAGCTTGACAGCAAGGCTATCACGCCCTTAGGGAGGATAAAGGATAAACAAGATCATAGCCAAATGCCTAAGAGCTAATTAAGAATAATCTAGACAATAGAACATTTACAATGGCGTCCTTCACTTATCAATATATTCTTTTAGTAGGCTTTCCGTTGACCTAACTCTTGAGGACGGAGGGTAGTAAAAGGTGTATCTAAGAGACGAAGTCATACTAAAGAGGTACAAATAATCCAACGGAACCTCCTGAAATATGTATTTGAATTGCGTAAATAGGCCTTCTAGGCGACCCTTCTTTTGATCATGTCATTATACTTGGATCGGAAATATTCTACAAGGATTATATATCCGAGAGAGATAAGGGGAGTATTGCTACCTTCCTCTCTCTAGGGATAGAGAATCAAATCGTTCTTCGTTGGTGGCTACACTGCGCGGGAAGAGCGGCCAGCAGGTCCCTGGTTCTTCTGGTACCACTACCACTGCGTGTGTACATTATTTGATGGCCCTCTCGGTGGAGTCTTGCATGACTCCACCGAGAGGCCCACCGCGCAAATTTTTGGCCTGGCGCTGTCGTTGAATCATGTCTTGAGTGCAGTACTGGATGGGTTCGACACACCGTCGCAAATCACGCCGCACCATCGCAGCCCGGAAGATCCCTTGTTCATCCGGATCGAACTCAAGGCATCCAAATTGGAAACTGGGGGCTCTAAACCGCTGAAGATGGTCGATTCGGGACTTGACCCATCACTCGGCATTTCACCCGTGCTAGCCGGCTTTTGAAAGGGATTTTTTCGCCAGGGCGGTTTACTTGAACTGGAAGTTGGCTCTGGAGCAGCGAGATGCAAATCTATAGTCGGAATACGCTTAAAGCTTAACTCATTCTCGAATTGTAGCTGATTATACTGACTGTGTTTACTTGAGAAAGACTCAGACACTCTAGAATTCTAGCTTGCCAAATACCAGCATAACTATATACTGGGATCTAAGGATATGATACCTGCGCAAAGACTGTTCTGGTGAAGGCCAGAAAATATATTGTCTGTTGGGGGCGAGAAGAAGAACACGTACTACATGTAGAGACTTAGCTAAATAACGTTTATTATTCATCAGAGCAAAATGATAAGCGACCATGTGATGAGAGGACTTAAAGCGTTTTATCAACTTTGCCTTCCTTTCATTTCTTCTTTCCTGAATCAAAGGGATGGAAGGACCCTGTGCCAGTCGGTACAACACACACAAAGTCTCGACCAACAAGACTACTGTCGACAATTCCTAGCATTCTGCGAAGGTATCCCCTGGGATGGTTTTATATTCGCTGCAATCTCGCTATGGATACCAGCTTTATGAGAGTAGATAGGATACAACGATAACGAAAGCTGGAAATTTGTGGCCTTCTGATCGAGCGAATTTGTAGAAAATGCTTATTTTCCTAATACGCATTGGATATTTCTATAATTATTCTCCATAGTTCTCCGGGTAATAAATATTCCCACTGTGGCGGGCCGTCACAGGTAACGGAGGGCCCCAAACCCACCTGTAAGTTCTCGATTCTCGAGATTGGGACTGGTGTTGATTGCGATTGCGATGAGAATGATGCCAGTCTTTCACGGGGGGCGGAACATGATGTATTGGACAATTGGAATTGCCCGCCTCGGCATATCCTGGCTTCTTGTCATCCTCTTCGAATCTGACAGCTTTCATGTTGCTGTCACACCCGTCCTCGTGTGACTTACGCGCGGTAGCACGAGCATAGGTACCTAGTGCTTCTGGTGGAGTATGATGGCGGACACGATCAAACGGGTCATTTGAGCTCTTTGAGTGGAAGTGTTTGACTTTCGGTGGCTGATGTTCTCGGTCATTGGAGTGGATTCTTTGGGTATAGTGATGATCAGAACGATGGTGGTGGTGGCGTTCTTTGCTTCCATTCAAGTCTGGAGATCGAGCTTGGGGTTGATGTTGAATGCGTTGCCTTTTGTGTTGAATACAAGAGCATATCTTATGATGTTGGACACGAATGCTAGGCTCGACATTGTTCCTGCAGTCCGTTCAGTAGTTAGTAGATACAAATCCAACCCAAGTACAATCCTAGTCATACATTTTGAGATTCGGTTTCTGGTCTTGAAAGTGAGGACAAAAATGACAATGAACCGTCTCTATGGTAGCGGAGACATGATTGAGGTGATATGGCTGAGGTTTGATGGTATCACTGTCGTTATCATTTGGATCGAGGTGATGGTTTTCTCTTGGGCAGGGCGTGGGTTCATGGATGTGACACAAGTGGGGATGGTCGTAATGGTCACTCTTTTGTCGCATTGCTGTTTGATGGCGTTGCGGAGGGAAGATATCCATTCTCGCTTTCTTCGTCCGATACATATGAGGGTAATTTAGGATGTGCGAAGAAGGAAACTTGGGTATAGTTATGTCAAGGGATATATTCGGCCACGAAGGCGGACTCCCAATTTGGATGTCGCTCCCTGTTTCCCTCACACAAGCCTTGAGTGGCTAGGAAGTGCAAACAGCCCGGGAAATACTTTTAATCGTGACTGGGTGGGCACCCGCTTTGTCTTGTGATTCTTTCGCCTTCTGCATCCCCTACGGGTGATTTGTCTTAGCTGAACTTGCTTTTTCCCTCTTCCTCTAGCTTGATACGCCGCCCCCTGCGAAATGTACGTTCTCGAATATTCCGAAGATTTTGGAGGTCCTGAAGATGACTTCGCATTCCAAAGAACCACCATAGTCTATGAAATGTCCGGCTCAATCTACAGAGCGTATTCACGCAAGAGATATGCATCAAAAGAAGAGATCCATTTTGGTGACATGTTCAGTACCAACAAGATCCAAGGTGCTCTCATTTTCCCGGAATTCTCGGACAAATTCACAAAGGCAGAAAGGCCCTTGGATTGTTCGACCTGGTATCTGAAAAAGCCAAGCCTTTCACCTTACAGTCCCCAGTACCCAGCCCTGATCAGAGAAACCTGGATTGAAGAAGTCAGGACCTGCGAACTTCTAAATAAAAATCCGCATCCGAATATCGCCCAATACCATGGCTGCGCCGTCGTCAACGACGGCTCAATCAGAGGCATCTATTTTACAAAGTATGATGAAACTCTTATGGCCAGAGTGAACCCTACCAGACGCAACAAGATAGACTTCGCGTATGAGAGGTGCGAGGCTGACCGAGACGAGGTTGATCGTTGGGTGGAGGGAATTGCACGGGGGTTGAAGCATCTCCATGGGTTGGGGATTGTCCATAATGATATCAACCCGTGTAACATCATGTTTCAAGGCGATGCCCCTGTCATTGTTGATTTTGACTCTGCTCGGCCTCATGGTCATGATTTGAGCCTGGTTAAACGCACGCATGGGTGGCATAATGAGAAGACCAAGGTGGCTTTGCCGATGAATGATATTGCAGCGCTACTGGAAATACAGTCGTGGCTCTTGGGGGAGATTGACCAGTTTCAATTTTGAAGTCTGAATCTTTTTCTTTTCAGTTTGCTGCAAAATGCAGTTTGATGGCTTTTACTAAGTGCAGTGGTCTGCTTTTGCGATCCGGGGGAATGGAAGATCAAAAAGCGGCTGGTATGCTCAAATAACCTGCAGGTCATGCATGGCCTTGCATTACACTGTTTGCTGCTTAATTGCTGTCTCGGGTTGTCACATCCCAAGCTGCATTCTCCACAGGTATTAGTTGACATTGATACAAATGAAACCATGCATCTTCATACTGTCTCGTTCCATAGACCCCAGGAGGGCGGAGACGCAGGGAGTCGCGTCATCACACTTCTATATTTTTGATTTGTTAGATAGCTGAAGTTCTGAGCGCATAAATCTTCGAACGACATATCAGGCGAAGAAGTCGCAAAGAGAACCAGAGGGCTTGAAAGCATCTGTCGAATAGCTAGGGCGAATAAGCGTGTCGTGATGCCATATAATGAATACTCCATTGGGAATCATCCTGGCTTAATCCAGGACCAAGATTGATTCACTTAGTGATCATGAACGCAAGATTATATTTACCGAATTCAGACAGTTCAAGCTGATATTCGGTGTTGCATTTGTGGCATGTCATTTGAAAAAGCGGCAGTGTCTCCCTCGCGTAGTAAACATTAACAAAATCCTTAACCGAAACTAATAATTCACCATCGCCTATTTGCGCACAAATTTCGAACATTCGAGGGTGAGCTAGTATATCCTTGTCCGATAGTAGTAGGTTGGCTCTTGATCGCGTCACTGACATTATGTCCTGGATCTATAAGCATAGCACCGGCAATCCGAACTCGAACCATATATATGCCTCGAGAGGAAATAGGGCAGTTGACGTAATTTGGATAGTAACTTCGATCAAATACAGTGCGGATGTGCTAATACCGTGAACCGTAGTAGCATTGTCTCATTGTAAATTGAAGATGAAGGAAGCAAAACGAATAATGAAAGAAGTGACAAGTCTTGTTGTTATGCATACACATAACCAACTCGTGATTGAGCTGCCAGTCCCCGTTTGCGCACAGGCAAGTTGGAACTTCGTCATTTGGTTATAGGTCAGTCCTGATAGTGTGAAGCTCTCCGATCCATAATGGTGGAATATGTTGGACGTTGAATGTTTACAAGCCACAAGAGGCTAGTTGATAAACTGTTAATAGGTAGAGGTGAGGATAGCTTTTAAGTTCATCCAATGTAGATACCTTATGTATAGATCCATGTGATTCGGGTGCCGATGGTGGACCTGTCCAATTTAAGGTTTTCCCTGACAAGCGCCAGGTCTTGGCATCAATGGATTCCACGTGGATTCCCAAGTTGGTCGCACCTTCCAATGTTCCCTAGAAGCGTGTCTTTCCTGTGAAGCTTAGGGCGATGTCAGAGGGATATGGAGTAAATGGGAGGCGAGCATGCCATGCTAGTATCATATAGCAAATCTGATATGGACAAGGAACAATTTCAGGAGAGGTGGACTGTGTGCGAGACATCAAAATAATATTAGGGCTGTTATCTCATCAAGGCCATAGCATCAAAATGTCTTGGTGAATGTCTCTTAAGATCACTTTTGTTTCTTGGATACTCCCTACCCACCCTTCTCGGTGTGGTAGCTAGAGGAATGAAGATAATTGGCTACAAATTGTAGTATGGCATGAAAAGCACCATTCCTAGAAGACGCCTTGACCAGGTGTGACGTGTGATATTTCAATAACTGATGGTAGAGCGCTACTTTAGACATGGGTTTCCTAATTGAGCCCAATGAACATCTTTATTCAACGTTCAAAATGTTGCCAGATGATGTGTAAAGCTGATTGCTGTATGTCATCGAAGGTGTAAAGCACTGCACCCATTCTTCCCGAATAGTGAGGAATGCATCGCAGACTGCTTTAACAGCATCTGCGCGAGAGTCTCCACAGCTCTCGATATAAACTGTGTCCATATGTCAGTCACCAGATGGCTGAAAAGAGTGGGGGAAGGCATACACTTGACCTTGGGCTCTGTTCCCGAGCCTCGGAATGTGAATCGAACCCCGCCATCCAACCACAGCGTAAGCATCTGGCTTGTCGGATCTTCAGGTAGATCTGGTTTGTTATCAGGTGTGCTAGAGTCATAGCCCTCGGTCAAATCCCTCCATCGCAAAATCTTGAAGCGACCAAACTGCATATTAGCGAGGCCTGAGCTGCCTCGAATACCCTGGAATAATGTTGCCGTGAGCTGTGGGTTGGGCGATCGGAAGTAGTTATTCAAGGTCTCGTGATGACCGAATTCGCTGAATAATTGCTGCAGCTTGGCATATGCAGTGAGTCCCTGGTTTCTCCATTTCGCCTCCGCTGCCAGGAAGACTGCAGCTGCCGTAATGCCGTCTTTATCATAGCAAACGGATGGGAACATGTATCCCAGTGCCTCTTCATATGCAAAGGGAATTGTCTTTCCCTCCTTCTCTAAGTCCCGGGCAACATTAGCCATCCATTTGAACCCTGTCAGGGTCTCCGCGAAGTGCATTCCTTTTGCAGCTGCCATATTTCCGAGCATGCCGCTCGACACCGTTGTAGTCAACACCGCAATGTGAGACCAATCTTTGCCTGCATCGTACGAATCCAAGATATGGGAAGCCAAAAGGACACCAACGTGGTTTCCAGTCAAAGTATGCCATTTCCCACTGGAAAGCACGTTAGTTGAGATCAATTCAGAACAAACAGAAAAAGAAGCTTACTCCACTTGCTCTGCTACGGCGAAGCGGTCCGCATCGGGGTCATTGGCAATGATCAAGGTCTTTCCGTCTCGGTCGGCGGTCTCGATGGCAAGATCTAAAGCTCCAGCCTCTTCCGGGTTAGGAAACTTCACAGTGGGAAAGTCTGGATCAGGTTTTTCCTGGGCAGCAACGGATACAAAGTCGTTGATTCCAAGTGAGCGGCAGAGACTTGGAAGAACCAAGCCTCCCACGCCGTGTAGAGGTGTATAAGTGAACGGTCTTGGCGGTTGCCAATCCGTGACCGTAGCTTTCTATGATAATCTCGTTAGATTGATCGAGCTAAAAAATAATAAACAACATACCGTGAATTCTGCGACTTTGCTGCTGTAATGGGGTAGCAGTTTCTGGTAGGAGTCCGCACGTAGGAATTCGCCTGGTTGCAACTCTGCCCATGCGGTCGGCCATGGCTCAAGGTTCTCTTGAATTGACCGTGCTATTTCGCCATCCTCGGGTCGGTTGATCTGGGCGCCGTTGCTCGAGTAACTACGAGGCAGATCTTGTCAACAATATCCATAATATAAATCCAGTATACTCACACTTTGTAGCCTATGCAACAATTAGCAGTTATTTTAGAATATCAGGAATTAGTAACATACCGTTGTCCTGGGGTGGGTTCTTCGAGTCGATTAGCCAGTACATCTATAACTACTTTTGGGAGTCGACCTACATGGCTCGCCGTCACCATAACACCTGCAGCAGCACCGAAATAGTTCACTCCGAACGCGACCATAGGTGTTGGCCCTTCTTCATTGAAGAACCAAACGGGGATACGTTGCGCGATGAACGCGTTAGCAGCGAGTGCGGCGAATTTCGCAGAATTATGACGCGCATCATGTCCAATAACCACACCATGCGAAGCAATATCAGAACGCTTATCGCGAATAAACTTGGCCAGCCCCTGTGAGGCTTGTATGACTATCAAAGAGTTCATGCAGGAGAACCCTGCGGCCATGCAGCCTCGCAATCCAGCTGTTCCAAATTCAATACCTAAATGTATACGGAGTACACGGATTAGATACGGGCCGAGGCAGATATTGAAAAGTACGTACGATTCCGAAGGCGCTTTTCCAGTTCCTCGGTAGCATTAGAGTCCCGCAGTTGTTCTATTTCCGCGCGAGTTGTATGATCCTATATCCGAGTCAGTGGGATCAGGCCACCAGATGAAACATGAATGAATCGTCTTCACTTGGTCCCATTGAAGCCACTGTTCAGTCAAGGAGGAAATCGATTGCTATAAAACAGTTAGAATAATATAATTGAGACAACTTTAAAGTAAAGACTCACTGCCATTATGTCCAATGTACAAAGTGCTTGAAGGTATGTTGTAATGTGAAAGGTGGACAATCACACGGGCTGATCGGTCCCCGCTGTTATCCACCTCCGCCCCATAGCCCTTGCAACGTTTCTGCCTTGATCTTTTTTTAAACTTCTCGTTTCGTTTGTTTATTTGCATTTTGCATTCTGGGATTTGCTTAGCTCGACTTGCAATGTCATTTTAAACCCGCCATTGTTGTTATCGGACCCTACAGACTTTCACCCTCTCTCTCACCGCACCTTCTACGATGGAGAAGACCGCACCCCGGCCATCCCGGAAGGACGCTGTCTTGAATCGACGATACATTGAAGGCCTCATTTCGGAGGGGAACCATGTCATAATCTACGCAGGCCGTGTGCTCAAGGTAGACCCATTTATCAAATATCACCCTGGAGGAGAGAAGCCAATCAAGCACATGGTGGGCAGGGATGCAACAGATGAGATCAACGCGTATGTTCTGCAAGGGTAAACATCACGGTCTCTCATCAGTCTAATTGAAACCCGTCTCATACAGGTTACACTCCGAAGATGCCCGCCGGCGCATGCTCTCATACCAGATCGGACGAATTGAAGGGATATGGATCAACTTCCTACCCCCAATCCAGGGCGGCAATTTCCGCGCCTATACCGAAGACCCGTGCTCGGGTGACGAGGATTCAACAACCCAAGGGAGCTCCAGTGGCTCCAGTCAAGATGGATCAATTCCTCCCTCCCCGATATTCGATCCGGTCGACTCGAAATCCACAGTTCGTCAACGGAAATCGAACGAAACCACTTCGACCGACCAATCCCAGGCCAAGCCTGCCTTTTTGGATGCGAGAACCCGAGAGGAAATCATCTTCGACACCGCCAAATACCCCTCCTTAGATACCGCAAGTCAGGAAGAGATCAAGCGAAAATACCGCGAACTGCACGAGCGTATCAAGGCCGAGGGACTTTACGACTGCAACTACTTCAGTTACTTCATTGAATGTTGTCGATACACAATGTTTGCAGGTCTTTCCTACATGTTCCTCCGCATGGGATGGTGGGCGACCTCGGCATTCTTCCTCGGCTGTTTCTGGCACCAGCTTGTTTTCACTGCCCATGATGCTGGTCATATGGGTATTACACACAATTTCCATGTGGATACTGTCATTGGAATGCTCATTGCAGACTATCTCGGAGGACTGAGTCTCGGATGGTGGAAACGCAGCCACAACGTTCACCACATCGTGACCAATGAGCCAGAGCATGACCCGGATATCGAGCATATCCCATTCTTCGCTATCTCGCATCGCTTCCTCACGAGCCTCCGGAGTACCTATTACGATCGTGTTATGACCTTCGATGTCGTGGCTCAATTTTTACTCAAATTCCAGAATTACTCTTACTACCCTATCATGATGCTCGCTCGGTTCAATCTCTATGCCTTGAGTTGGGAGTATCTGCTAAAGGGGCAAGCTCCTAAGAAGGGCCCCGCTTGGTGGCATGTTTGGTTTGAGCTTGTCGGACAAGTCTTCTTTTGGACCTGGTTTGGCTACGGTGTTATGTACAAGACGATTCCCGATGCAAGCAGCCGTATCATCTTCTTGCTCGTCTCACACGTTGTCTCCTCCCCACTACACGTCCAAATCACCTTGTCCCACTTCGCTATGTCGACCGCCGACCTAGGTCCTGGCGAGTCCTTCGCGCAGAAGATGCTCCGCACAACTATGGACGTCGACTGCCCAACATGGCTGGATTTCTTCCATGGTGGCTTGCAATTCCAGGCAATTCACCATCTCTACCCGCGGATCCCGCGCCACAACCTGCGTCGTGCGCAGAAGTTCGTCATAGAGTTCTGCCGCGATACTGGTATCCCCTATGCCATCTTTACCTTCTATGATGGCAACAAGGAGGTTATCAGCCGGCTTGGTGAAGTGGCGAAACAGGTCCGCCTCATGGAGGAGTGCCGCAAGTCCATTTCCGAGGGCGGAGCCTTCTCAACTCACCACCACTGATGGGAATTGTCAGTTTCTTGCTGGCCAAGTACGAGTTCCCCTTTGTAAACATGCTATCACGACTGCCTATACCGCATTTTGTATATGCCGAGGTATGATAATGATGAATCAACTGAATGCGTTCTGTTTTCATGCGTCGTGGCTCTTATTGTAGAAGCCCACCAAATTTTTATGTAAATTACATCTATGATCATTACCAGATATGAAAAACAGAAAGTGACAAATTATCTTATGCCACATTGCATCATATGAACCAACTAGATCCATTCGTATCCTTAGCCAGGCAACCCGCCGCCACGCGCCATCTTCTTTGCACGCTGCTGTCGGCGGTTGTGATTTGCCTGACTACCCTTGTTCTCTTCCTTCCTCTGTCTCGATGCCGCACTATCCGGTTGCCCCTGGCCACCAGACGGGGGACCACCACCACGCCCACCACGTCCACGACCCCCACCACCCGGCCCTCGACCACCACGTCCACGGCCTCTTCCACCCCGCGAACCAGCATGACCAGAAGACTCGCCCTCATCAGAACCCTCCCCATCCTCACGAGGCTGTGGCTTCCTGTAAGACGTAGGACGCAACTCAGGCTGATTAAGTGACCCAGCACCAGGCAACCCGCCAGCGTCCATAGCCAGCCGGTTTTCAAGTTTAGCGAGACGCTTGGGATCACGCGTTAGCATGAGAGCCCATCCCTCGATAGCCTCGTCGGTCATTTCTGTCTCGCGCTTCAATGACGCACGCGGTTGTGAGCGGCGGGTCGCCGAGTCGCGGGCGAAGAGTCCTGGGTTGGACTTGTATGTTCGGAAGAGTGTTGTTTCGATATCGGCCGTCCGGCGTTCGCGTTGAGCTGCGTCGGCTTCGCCGTCGGCACCACCTGTGGCTCCGTCGATGGCGCCGCCTACATCCGCTGTGTCGTAGGTATCGTCGCGCTCGTCGTCGTCGGAGTCGAACGCTGCTAGAGCGGAGAGGATTGCTGCTTTGTTTGCGGCGTGCTTGCTGTGGTCTGAGAGGAGTGTGTCGGCTGTTTGGTCTGCGTCGACGCGGCCGAAGTGTAGTTTGCCTTTCGTCTCGCCGGAGCGGCTTAGTTCGGCGATATCCACGTCATTGTCGAAGATATTCTTGCGGGTTGGGAGTGGTGCAAAGTGAGGTGATTGCATGGCGGGCGGTGTTGACTGGGGTGGGAGATGACTGTGGCGAGATTCTGCCGGGGGAGGCAGTTGCTCAGATCGATCTAGAGACTGGAGCTCTAGAGGAAGTGAGTCGTCGAGAAGATGGGCGATGATAGTCTCGGAGTTGTCGTTGTAGAAGTCCAGTAACCGTACAACAAAGGCTGAGCCAAGATCGGGGAAGAGGTCTTGTACTTGAGTAACTAGTGACATCTTGTGTGCGTGGATTTCTCCGGAAGCAATTGGATCTGAGGACACCCCTTTTCCTTTATCCACCTTCTTGCGTTTTTGATACCGATGGTGTAGCGATTTCGATTCCGTTTGATACGTCCGTAAGCTGGCAAGGAGGTCTTGCCCCCGTTTCTGGGGGTGAATGCTCAGATACTTCTCCAGTCGAATAAGCAGATCGGAGCTGCAGATAAGATCAGAGAGTAGAGTCGCCTCCTTCTTCATTTTTGGTGCTCCAACTCTGGCAGTGGCTTTGAGGCTGAAGAGCTGGTCCAACAACGAGGACAAATTGACGGGCTCCTTCAGTAGAGAGACGAGCCCGACGTAGATGTTAGCAACGAGAATCTTACGGAACTCGTCCCGGGCACCTTTTGACTGGTAGGCTTCTGATATCGTATCCAGGAAGTCGGAGCCTGCCATGAGCTCCTGGCCACATGCTGGCAGCACGGAAGTAAGGATGGTCAGACGGCGGATATCAGAAATGACTTCGGGGTTTGAGGATGAGTTTGCCGAGGATATGTTCTTGATCACAACAGCTTTTGCTCTCTCGATACTGGAAGTGATCTTGTCGCGGTGTAGATCCCAGGCACTTGATAATGACGTTTTCAAGGCCGCGCTAGAAGGATAGCAGCAACATAGATTGCCGAGAAGTCTCCAGTCCAGAATTCCCTCTGGTGGATTGGAAAGACCGAGCATATATCTTCTTGTCGCCAGAAAGCAAAACTTCCGAAGTTGTCGAGCTTTAGGTCCACTTTGTAGACTGGAGTCCCCCGCAGCCGTGTATTGATAGTATGAACCCAAGAATGGGGGTATTGATACATCTTCAGTTGCTGCAACCTTAAACTGCTGATCTGATGCATTCAGGCGGATCCCCAACAGGGCCATCCATGCATCTAGACAAGCTTCCCAATCATTTGATGGGATTGTCCTCCGCACTGCGGGGGAGGGTACTGGAGCCAGCGGCGGGAAATCCGCCATTAGGGCTAACTAAGCTGGTTATGACAGGGGATATGGGAAGAATCGCAAAGAGCAAAAATGTAAAAACAACAGGAAAAATCCGCAACCACTTATAAGTTCATGAATATCATCTTGAATGCCATCACTTGGCGGCCCCATGTCCTCTTTGAGAGATGACATAAGCAAGTTCTGAAAGGGCACCTAAAAGGGTTTAGCGTGTGATAACCGAAGCGCCAAGACTTTCGCACTGAACTTTTTGGATATGGAATTCTCGATCCACATAACCTCAACAGCCATCATCACTTTACCGAGCCTAGTAGTTCAGGTCTTGACGGCAATCGCCTTTTAAATTGTGCGCGCTCCCTTTTTTTCTGCTCTTGAAATTCCCGAATCGAATTACTAACCCGTTTCAGTCCATCCAAATTCAAGATGTCTTTCCAGAAGCCCGAGAAGGAGTTCGGCGAGGGCCCTGTACGTTGTCCCTGATCCAATGGTCACTGTCGCACAGCGCTGTTACACCTCGCTGTCGCCGTAGCTGTGTACAATGTGTCAATGGACCTCTCTATGCAAACTAAATACTAATTGCCTCTTGTCCACTCTATAGAAGGTCCACAAGATCCGCATCACCCTCACCTCCCGCAAGGTTGCCTCCCTCGAGAAGGTCTGCCAGGAGCTGATCGACCGTGCCCGCTCCAAGTCCCTCCAGGTCAAGGGCCCCGTCCGTCTTCCCACCAAGACCCTCCAGATCTCCACCCGTAAGACCCCCAACGGTGAGGGTTCCAAGACCTGGGACAAGTTCGAGATGCGCATCCACAAGCGTCTCATCGAGTAAGTTTTGTTTTTCGCCCTAATGAGTTGCGGCACTATTGCTGTGCCACTCAGCAGATGCAGTTGCTGACATTCTATCCTAGTCTCCTCGCCCCCACCGAGACCGTCAAGCAGATCATCATCAACATCGAGGCCGGTGTTGAGGTTGAGGTCACCATTGCCGCATAAATGCGCTAAGCTGGGCTTACCACAGGGAGGAATCATGGACTGGCCAATTTGGAGTGCACAGTGCGACTTTGGAGCTGGTCCTGGCCCGCATGACTTGTTTCGCGCTGCGGGGGACTCCGTTCGGACCTAAAAATTCTAAAATAAAAAATGGAAACATCTTGAAACATATCACTCCTAGTAGTGGTCTACGAACCGTAATTTGGACCATATTAACAGTGAAAATGAAGCACTTGCAATTGCTACATTCATAAATTGAGCATTGTTGAACTCCTGAGCGCCATTCCCCATGTTCCGCAAGCCTGGAACCTATGAAAACGAGATGCACATCATCTCAACCCATGAGACGCATAATAAAGTAACAAACAAGAAGAAGACAAAGACAATTAAATGCTCTCAGCATCAAGGTTTAAAAATCAAAACTGAGCCACTCCTGCTTGGGAGGTACTGCCGGAATGTTGCCGTCCTTGAAGTAGCCATTCTGAAGAAAGAAATGATATGCCTCAACAATCTCTGGCGTGTATTCCTCAGGCTTGCCGTGGGCATCTTTCAAACTAAGTGGATCAGGGGGCCCGTTGGGGAAGTTCACTCGGACAAAAGTTTGGTTGTCTTGTGGGTGGAGGTAGCACGGGTGGTCGTTGATGTACTTGACGGGGCGACCCTTCCACATCACTAGTTGTTTAGTGGTTGGATTATGTCGAGTTTCACCGTCAAGTTGTGGAAGCGGGTTGAGGTCGTTAGGGTTATCGATTTTTAGGTATGCACGTGGGCCGGCGTTGGTACTCTGCACTGGTACGCCTTGAACTGCAGGCTGGCCGAAGGGAGTCGGGGCCGGTTGTGTGGCATTCTGGCCAAACCCACTAGCAGCAGGCTGGTTCTGAGATACTTGGGCGAAGGGAGAAGCAGCAGATGGAGCACCGAATGGGGCGGCAGGCGCCGGGGCTGAGGGCTGACCGAATGGAGTGGCGCTTACTGGAGCGGAGGGCTGACCGAATGGGCTCGGTTTCACAGCCGGTTGACCAAACGGTGACGGAGCAGGTTGTGCAGCACTCTGACCGAAAGGTGACGGGGCAGGTTGGCCAAACCCACCAGCGGCAGGCTGGTTTTGTGAGACTTGGGTGAAGGGAGACGCAGCAGATGGAGCACCGAATGGGGCGGCACCTCCAGGAGCTATCGGCTTACTGAATGGGCTCGGATTAACTCCTGGCTGGCCGAAAGGTGTTTTGTTGAAGGCAGACCCTCCCATGGTGGAGGTTTGGCCGAAGGCGGAACCACCCAAAGCAGAAGTCTGCCCGAAAGCCGTAGACTGTCCCATGCCAGATGGCTGTGCAGGCACTGAAGGCCTACCGAATCCAACTGACTGACCAAGTCCCGAAGACTGGCCAAAAGTCGAGGAAGGAGCGCCGAACGCTCCAGACACAGGACCGGCGTTAGGTGCAGGGGCAGCATTTTGCTGACCAAATGGAGAAGGTTGGCCAAATGAAGAGGGTTGGCCGAATGGAGCTGGAGCTTGGTTCATACTAGGTTGAGTATTGCCCGCGATGATGTCGTATCGATTAGGATGTTCATTCTTGCCATCAACAACATATTTGACAGCCCCATTCAGGTCATTCAGCGAGATCTCCATCTGTTGCACGCACTCTTGCCACAGAGCCGAAGCTTCTTGGACCGCTTGGTTCATGTTGCCGGCTGCTGCTAATTCATAATGGCGCAAACGCATTTCTTCCATACTCCGCTCGCGGTGGGCACCACCGAACAGCTGGCGCGCAACATCTTTGTGGGGCGCATATGCGGAGAAGATCCATTCTGGGCGACCCTTGCCTGCAGTCAAGTCTGACTTGATATCGCTTGCTGTCACTACTGGGCTGTTTTTTTGTCAGTTTTGACTCCACTTAAGGCGCGGGGGATGTGACTTACTCGGCTGCTTGCTGAGTCTGGTTTTGACCTGTCGTAAACTTGCCGTTAGGCTTCGAAACAAAGCTAGCCAGAAAGGGGTTCATAGGATTGATCATATTGCACAGGAAACAAACACTCTTGCGCTTCAAGACTCGAGGTAAGTTGGGGTAGAATGGGGACAGGTAGGTGTAAAGTATGCAGATAGAAAGGAGAAAGATATCGAGGAGGACAAATGAACGCGGACATTGAACATTCAATCTCAGGATACAATAGACTTTCAATAAGGATACGATAGACATTCAATAGATGGGCTCTCTGAATTGAGCAAATCTGAATCAAAATAATTCAATTGACGTACCTCCAAAGCCTCCACCAGATAAAGCACCGAAACGATTCCCTGATGGGCCAGCAGTAGGTTTGCCAGGGTGCTCGAACTTGCAGCGATCTGAAGATACATTAGTGACTTGATTCCTCTATACTCGGAGAATGCATACCTCCGAACTTGCAGCGACCCTGCTGGAAAAAGCTGCATACCACCATCTTTGCGGTTGTGATGTTTGCTCAACTGCACCGCCTTCAAAGTAAGGCCTGTATCTTGACGAGTTTTCTCAAATGGATATGTATCCTTCGAGATTTGACCAAGCAATTTGAGAGAAAAGCAAGAACAGAGCTGGTTGTCGCGAAGAGAGAGAAACTCCTGTGGTTGGGGCTTTTTACGGAATTGATCCGTATCTTATCGGAGCGCCTGCGGGCAATCCCAGCACTCTTGTATAGCGCGCTTCTTTGATATCTAAGAGTATTAGATTGAATTTTTTATCACTTTATCCTTTCCCTCGAGATGAGATCAAAGGGTTTGGGACGTAGAAGTTGATATACCCAGTCCAACCTACACAATGGACGCGATCTGATCTGACAGAGTTATATATATTGGCACGGGAAGCTCCCCAGTCTGCGATATAATTGGTAGAATAATATAATTTTTATCGAAGAGTCCATCAAATCATTTTAAACCATTAAATCTGATTGCTATTTCAATTTTGAATAATCAATAAATCCAGTATGGGATCACTGGCTGGGTATCTCATCTATGTGTGTCGTATGCTCCCCCGAAGGTCATCCCAATTCAGCCCATCGACCTTCTTGCCACCCAAGGATTCGAGCTCCGGGGTAAGTTCCCCAATTCGCCCAGATGCAAGGCGTCGCATCATCACAGTATCCTTAGCTCCAGGAAGGGTACTAGCATTGCCCTGCAGTAAGATATGCTCAAACCACTGTTCCTCATCCTCGTCAAGCGGAAGACCGACGAGTTCCATCGCACGTCTGCTTCTGGTTTGGCCAGGGGTGGCCCTGTGAACAAATTCCACCAATTGTTCAAAAAAGCTCTGGCGGAGAATGTCGTCATACTTGCGCGTGAAGTAGAATGCCTCGGTGACGTTGGATCGGGCAAGTGTATCGAAGAAAGCCCTGCGGATCTTTGCGCTTGCAAGAGGAGGAGCCGCTGTAAGGAAGTATGCGATTGCGAGGCTGTCATCATGCTTGGGAAGCTTTGTGAGGGTAAGAACGTAGAGGATCTCATCCGGGAAGGTTGGAATGAGCGAGGGTTCGGCGAGATATTCAACTGCTCGCTTTATATCATATAGTTGTCAGAAGATTGTTGTCTTGAAGATCGCTCGCAACTCACCCTGAAATCGAGTCGATCCAAATGCCAAAGACCTTCAATGAAGAAACGGTACTTTTCTGGGAGGTGGCATTGTTGCGCAAACTGGGACGAAGCTTCTGGCGCAGTGCGGCAATCCTTGAGGATGTAATAAATCAAGGACTGTTTATGATGGATGTCGAGTTCAGAAGACACGATATGGCTGAACAGTGTTCGGAGATCTGAATTGGACTTCGGCGGGTAGATCTTGGTCACTATAGAGAAGCAATATATTAGCACGGGGCGTCAAGCGCAGAGCTTCAAGTCGCAATACCTCCTTGGATGCCGAGGAGTCCCAAGAGTCGATCGGCAAAGAGCTGGTCTAATGAGTGCCGGCTGGATATGATCTGGTCAAAAACCTTGGGTTCATATGAATATTTCTTATTAAATGAGAAGACTTGGTCGAAGCTTTCCCATGGAGCCATGTTGGGCATACTAAGAGAAGTGATAAGTTGTGTGAACAATTCCTAAGCTGAACTCCATCAACCTCCGCGGAGGAGTAATTACCGTACAGTAAATTACAGCGGGAGAAAGCGGTGAAGGGCTTGTTGTGGCAGAACAGCGGCCACTTTACCCGTTTGGGCACGAGGTAAACAACCCACTTTGAAGCGACAAAACCTCCGACAAAACCTCCTTGCCCCTCTCATGCAGCAGATATCCCACTGATCTGCACAATATGGCTTCAGTCGTAAAGGGCAGGGCTTCGCGCCGCTCTGCTCCCCGCCGGAGTTATGTCATTGAAGATACATCTGAATCGGAGGACCCTGGAAATGTCACACCAACACCCGATACGCACGATAACGATGACGAGGTCGAGGAGGAATACACGCCGGTCCCTAAGAAAGCAAGAAGAGCATCGAGCAGGAGACTCACAGTAGACCCTGTGACACCTTCTACTGCGCGCCCTGCCAGCAAGATTCAAGAAGCGATAACAGATGATTCCGATGCGATGGATACTGACGCAATGGACGTCGACGTGATGGACACCGATGCGATGGATATCGATGAAGAAAATGACGAGAATGATGAGGGCGTTAGTATGGCATCAATGGAAGTCGATCCCGAATCCCCTTCTAGCAAGGCGGCGTTGAAAAGAAAAAGTATGGCTCATCCCCGCAAGAGTCACGGCTCAATCACACCCAAGCCGGCACAGGGCTCACTTCCAACTCCAGAGCCATCCCAATCGCCAGAGCCTCAAGAAAGAGCGCATCGAGCAAGCATGCCACCTTTGTCCGACATCACCGAATCCGTCGTTAATCAGACACCATCGAAACAACTGGAAGAGCCCAAACCTCAGATTTCCATTATAAACCCGAACTCGACAGTCTTGGAGAGGCCTATGGATATTGTGGCCAAGTCCAGAACGCAGGCTCCTCAAGCACCCGAGGAGCCTGCAGCGCCCAAGCCCCGAATGATTATTGAGAACCTTATTCTGACAAATTTCAAGAGTTACGCTGGCCAGCAGATTGTTGGCCCATTCCATGCCTCCTTTTCGTCTGTCGTCGGACCAAACGGATCCGGAAAGTCCAACGTGATTGACTCGCTCCTGTTCGTGTTTGGCTTCCGCGCTAGCAAGATGCGACAGGGCAAAATCTCCGCACTGATCCATAACTCTGCTCAGTACCCCAACCTTGCATTTTGTGAAGTAGAGGTTCATTTCTCCCAAGTCCTTGATTTGCCCGAAGGTGGCCAGGAAGTGGTCCCAGATTCCCAACTGATTATTTCACGACGAGCATTCAAGAATAACACCAGCAAATACTACATGAACAACAAGGAGACCAATTTCACCGCTGTGACGACCTTCCTCCGTGATCGTGGAATTGACCTCGATCACAAGCGATTCCTGATTTTGCAGGGTGAGGTCGAGTCGATCGCTCAGATGAAGCCCAAAGCCTCCAACGACCACGACGAAGGCCTCTTGGAATACCTGGAAGATATCATTGGAACTTCCAAATACAAGACACCTATTGATGAAGCGGCAACCGAGCTCGAAGCTCTCAACGATGTATGCGTGGAGAAGAACAACCGTGTCCAGCACGTGGAGAAGGAGAAGATGGCTTTAGAGGATAAGAAAGACAAAGCTCTGGCTTACATCCGCGAGGAGAACGAATTGGCACAGAAGCAATCAGCGCTCTATCAGATCTACATTGATGAGTGTGCTGATAATGTTCGTGTTACAGAAGAGGCTATTCTTCAAATGCAGGAGTTACTCAACATGGAACTCGAGAAACACGAAGGAAACGAATCCGGCATCAAAGAGCTCGAAAAAGCGTACAAAAAGGGGGTTCGTCATTACGAGGCGATAGAGAAGGAGACCCAAAGCTTGCTCAAGGAGATGGCCAAGTATGATAAGGAGTCTGTCAAGTTCGAGGAGAAGAAGAAATTCCTGTTCGGCAAACAGAAGAAACTAGAGAAAGCCATGCAGACTAGCCGTCTTGCTGCTTCTGAATGCCAGAGCTTGGTCGAGAAGTTTACCTACGACATTGAGAAGAAGACCGCCGAAACCACGCAATTCGAGAAGGAGATGGTGGCAGAAGAGAAGGAACTGAACTCGATTCGCGAGGGGCTAAAAGGCAAGACGCAAGGCCTATCTGATCAGATTGCCGAGAAGCAGAAGTCACTGGAGCCGTGGAATGCGAAAATCAATGAGAAACAATCCGCAGTCGCAGTAGCTCAGAGTGAACTGGATATCTTGCGTGAGCGTAGTAATGCTGGCGCTGTTCTCCTTGAAGAGGCACAGGGAAAGGTTGCTACAATCGAAGACAGTCTGCAAACCAAGCAAAATGATCTCGAAGAGCGACAAGCCCAGAAAGAGACCTTGGAGTTTGAAGTGGAGAAGCTCAAACACGACTTGAAGAAATACGCCACTCGTGAGCCTGAGGTTCGTGCGCATGTCTCGAGTGCCCGTCAAAAGGCAGATGAGGCGAGAGTTAGTCTTGCAAGCACACAGAACCGCGGAAGTGTCTTGACTGGCTTGATGCGTCTCAAGGAGTCTGGCCGTATTGATGGTTTCCATGGTCGACTGGGTAACCTAGGCACAATTGACGAGAAGTATGATGTTGCTATTTCTACAGCTTGTCCTGCCCTCGATAACATGGTGGTGGAAACCGTCGAAGTCGGTCAACAATGCATCGACTATTTGCGCAAGAATAACCTTGGTCGAGCAAATTTCATTCTTCTTGATCGCCTCCCCCGCCGTGACATGGCATCAATCTACACGCCGGAAAGTGTGCCTCGTCTCTTTGATCTTGTCAAGCCAAAGGATCCCAAGTTCGCCCCAGCTTTCTACAGCGTGATGCAAAACACGTTGGTTGCCAAGGACTTGGAGCAGGCAAACCGTATTGCCTATGGTGCTCGCCGGTGGCGAGTGGTGACAGAAGATGGCCAGTTGATTGATGTGTCAGGAACAATGAGCGGTGGTGGCACCCGTGTCGCCCGAGGTGGTATGTCGTCAAAGCAAGTCGCAGACACCACAAAGGAGCAGGTTTCTCGTTTGGAATCAGATCTCGAGGACCTGGAAAGGAAATTTCAGGCTTTCCAGGACAAGCAGCGACACGTGGAAGCTCAGATGAAAGAAAGATCAGAGGAAATCCCACGCGTGGAGACTAAGATCCAAAAAATTATGATTGAGATCGAGAGCACCAAGCGCAGTCTTGCTGATGCCCAGCGACGTGTAAAGGAGCTGGGTGCCCAGCACCAGCCATCCGAATCGGATGAAGTCCAAGTTGCTGCCCTCGAGAAACAGATTGCCAAAGCCCAAAAGCAGATCGCTCAACTCAATGATGAGAAGAGTGGCATCGAGGAAGAGATCCAGACCTTGCAGAGCAAGATCATGGAGGTCGGTGGTGTTCGGCTTCGCGGTCAGAAAGCGAAGGTGGATGGCCTGAAAGAGCAGATTGGCATGCTTGCCGAGGAGATTTCAAACGCAGAGGGACAGCAGTCCAAGAACGAAAAACTCATCAAGAAGCACTCCAAAGCCCGTGATGTATCAGAGAAGGAGATTGCCCAGATTACAGACGAGTTGGAGAAACTGGAAGAAGATGTTGCCAACCAGACCAATGAATCTGCCGACTGGAGACAGAAAGCTGACGAAGCCCAGGAGGTAACTTATCCAAGATTTGCGAGTATACTGAATTTGCTGCTGACAATCCTTACTTAGGCTTTGGAATCCCAAAAGGGCGAGCTGAAGGCTATGAAGGACGAGCTTGACGCAAAGGTGGCTGAGCTCAATGAGACGCGAGCTGCTGAGATCGAGATGCGCAATAAATTGGAAGAGAACCAGAAGGCCTTGGCCGAGAACCAAAAACGCAGTCGTTACTGGGAGGAGAAGCTTTCAAAGCTGACTGTCCAGAACATCGCCGATATTGGTCAAGAGCAGGAGCCCACAGAGCTTCAGATGTACACCAAGGATGAGCTAGAGGCTATGAATAAGGATTCTCTGAAAGCTGTCATTGCTGCTTTGGAGGAAAAGGTCCAAAATGCTTCTATTGATTTGTCAGTGATTGAGGAGTACCGCCGCCGAGCCGCCGAGCACGAATCGCGCTCAGCGGATCTGACCACCGCTTTGACGTCCCGAGACGGTGCTAAGGCACGCCTGGACGGGCTTCGATCTTCTCGCTTGAATGGATTCATGGAAGGATTTGGCATTATTTCTTTACGTCTCAAAGAAATGTATCAGATGATTACCATGGGTGGTAACGCCGAGTTAGAGCTTGTTGACTCATTGGATCCCTTCTCGGAAGGCATCTTGTTTTCGGTCATGCCCCCCAAGAAGAGCTGGAAGAACATTGGTAACCTTTCTGGTGGAGAGAAGACTCTGTCCAGTTTGGCGCTGGTCTTTGCTCTTCACCACTACAAGCCTACTCCGCTCTATGTCATGGACGAGATCGACGCCGCCCTGGATTTCCGAAACGTGAGTTATCTTATACGAATTGTGATGGACACGTGTGCTAACTTTTCCTTCCAGGTTTCCATTGTCGCCTCGTACATTAAGGAGCGAACGAAAAATGCCCAATTCATTGTCATTTCATTGAGAAACAATATGGTCAGTGTCATTAATTCTCGCTTTCAACTTGACATGGCTAACATGTTCTCTAGTTCGAGCTTGCTGCCCGACTTGTCGGTGTCTATAAGGTCAACCACATGACCAAGAGTGTGACGATTGAGAACCGTGATTATATCACGGGCCGATAATGAGTGAAGATGAAATACCGCGTTTTAGTTCTTGATTTTCAGCCTCTTGGCTGGATGAATAGGGTTGTAGGCTGCTGTTTTCGATGATATCATGGGTCGGGGAGTTTTGGACATTTTTTTCTTCCACAGTCATGCTCGTACAGTTTAGAAATGAATACTTGAGTATATCTCTACATTGAACACTTTTAGCATTTGGGCTGTTGATGAGCCCTATGTCTTTTTGGCAGGGTGGCTGGATCAGAGTTGTGGCGATACTCGCAGTCATGTAGCAACAGGCCGCCGACCTGAGCACCCGAGCAGTGAGCTCGGGATATTTGTCCGTGGAGTGTGAACTTTTATTTTGTATCTAGTAAAGCTACTCTTACATTATCATGCATCATTCCGAGATATCAAAGATTATACGAAAAATGTCGTCTGCACAGTTTACATGTATGTTTTGTATCGCCTTCGGATATATCTAAAACATATCTAAAAGGAACATCCAAGACCACACTGAAGTATTCTTACATATAGTGTCCTAAACATCATGTTGAGACAAATACATCTACGTCTGTTAGAACTATGCAATTCAAAAAGAACCCTGTATGCATGACTGAATATCTGGTCGGCAGGTCAAATCAAAGACTTAGTTGAATCACATTATTAGCTGAATGTGAAGCCCTGTTTGAAAAAAAATATCATACATGGACCACTCGTAGTTTCACCAACTTAATACATTAGGTCAAGTTCTCGATGAAGTTTCAACTCCAATTCCTACGGCAAAGACTAGCAATATGATATCCCGTTTTCCATCTCGCTTGGATTGTGTGCCATTTCAGGTTCCAACAAAAAGAGGAGTGAAGACTTCCTAGACTCGATTGTTATTCTGCTCAATGCTAGTTTATGGTAACTGAAGTACCTATCCTGATACAAAAGTCCCTATTTCGCCCCAATAGTCTGTAGTGCCGGAGTCAACTTCACATTTAAGCTACCTTTCTCCCAGACCGAAAACGAGCGTTGTTTGATCCATTCCTTGGAATCGGGAGCAAGTTCCATATCGAAGTTCCATATCATCCGGGCCAGGATCAATCGCATCTCCGCATATGCAAGACTAATAGAGATCAGTAACTAGGCATGTTGCACTTCCTGCGACGAAACCTACTTGCGACCAAGACAGTTGCGTGGCCCAATGCTGAACGGTTGCACTGCATTTCTGTTATCGGACTCAAACTCAGAATCACCCATGAACCTTTCTGGGATGAAGGCGTCGGGGCTCTTGAAGTTTGCTGCGGAACGGTGAGCGGCCAGTATCGCTACTCCGACAGAGGTCTAAATCAGGTTAGCCTTTGGATAATTCTATTGCGCTAATGTTTAACTTACTCCCCCGGGAACCCATCTCCCGCAGATGAAATCCCCTTTGCCCTCGACCATTCGTGGGAGCCCATACGGGATAGGAGGGTACATGCGCAGACCTTCGTTCAAAACCGCTAGGATGTATTTTAGCTGGTTAACAGTAGACCAAGTGATTTGATCCTCGGAAGTGAATGCACCCCGGATCTCTGCTTTGAGTTTGTCGAGAACACCTGGAACAGTGAGGATATAATAGGTCACACCGGATAACAAAGTAGCGGTTGTCTCTGACCCTGCAATAATAAGCACATAAGAGTTGCTAACAAGCTCATCTTCAGTCATCCCCTTCTCGAGAGGTTGCTTTAGCACGTTGCTGAGGAAGTCCGGGCGCCCGTCATCCCCTTTCTCTATGCGCGCCTGTACTTTCTCCTTTGTCATCTCATTATGTTGTTTCTTTTGCTCTCTGACTTCTTTGGGAATAATCCATTTCATGAGGAAATCCCCAGCAGGGACACGTCGCAAAAAGTTTGCCCAGGTGGCCGTGCGGAAATGACTGAAGATGACCGAAACCCAAAAATGGTACTGCGAATTTTGAAGGCATCCAAATGACTCCCCAAATGCGAGATCACCGATGATATCGAATGTAGTATAGTTATACCAGCATGCCATGTCCACAGTGGCACTGCCAGGCTCGGCGAGTCCATGCAGCCGTTGAATCAATAAGTCAACATAGCCCTTGACGATAACTTCCTGGCGCTGAAGACTGCCTTCCGAGAACCCATGAGACAGAGAACGTCGGTGGCGGGCGTGAGTTTGATCATCAGCCCGAAGGATGCTTGGGGTTTGGTTTGGCCCGATAGATAAATAATGTTGGTCCTTTGGGCGCTGGGGCTTGCCGGGGCGAATAGCAAATATTTCTTTCCAGGCTTCCGGGTTTGTGAAGATCACTTCGTTTGGAGCGATGCGGACTGTATCTCCGTATTTTTCATGTAACTTTTGTGCGTCCATTGGTAGGCTGCCACCTAACAGAGATCGGAAGAAAGGGAGTGATGTGGCCGCATTGGACTTGGGGCCTGGGAACGATGCTAGAGGGTGGAAGTAAAGGTTGTAAATTATCCATCCGGTCGAATAACAAATGACCTGAGGACATTAGTGTCTTGTCATTATAGTTGTCCGTGGGGACCAACAAATAGCACTAGAAGTATCAACCAGCTGATCCCTGCGCTAACGTTTGCAAGCAGTGAAGGCGTCAATGGAATCAATCTCAGTAACGAAGTCATTTCGATGGATGTATTCTGAAATTGCCGTCAAAACAAAAAGAAGAAGTATCAACGTGTGAATAAATACAGCCTTGTCGGACCTTTTGCACTAGGGATCACCATCATAGGATATAATTTGCCATATCTATGGGGATTCCAATACACCTATAGGAACAAATTCGGGATTCAAGTCGGCATATCGTTCCGGGAGTTGATTCGAAATTTGATACCGCTTTTGTTTGTGATACTTAATGCATGCAAAAACAGGATAAGAGGTTACTCTGTGTAAATAATAAATGTAAACCCCTCTCTTAGTACTTTTGCTGCAAGGCTATAGTAGATCCATGTAGATCATGTGAATTTGTGAATAATTGAACTCTGGGAGACTGCTACTGTTATAGGCAGGCTAATCACAGTCGTTTTAGTTTATGCTTGGTAGGTCAGTCAATAGTTGTTGAGTCTCGTGCGGAGTGGCGGAGTGCATTTATTTGGCTTTGGTTAAGCAATGAGTGTCTTCACACCCCATCTCTCTTTTCACTTGTCATTGTCACCCCATTCTTATTAGATTGAATATAATATGCATCATAAATACTAAAATTACTCGTGATACGCAGTGTCGATAGCAAGACGGAAAACAAACACGCAGAAGATTATCGACCAGTTTTTAACACAGACGGTTCTGATGGTTATATATCCTTAAACTTAAAATTATAGTCTGAATGCTCGTGCTAAAGAAGGGCCGCGTTGCTGAATTTGATTCTTCAGAGAACTTTGCTGAAAAAGAAGTCAGAACTGTAGAATCTATATGATTCTTATCCGTAGTCTATTCGGATCTTCACGTCGAATCCCCACTTGTATCCAACAATGATATATATCCCATAAGTGTATTCGTAGATGGGTTCGTGGTTAAGCATAATTGTATATTCCAGAGCCCACCATTTTTTCTCGGGAAATGTTACAGTAGATCTCAACCTAAGAACTCAAGGCTTATGATGTATATCTCTCTGCCAGTGCTATACAGATTAAGGGGACACTGTGTTTTTAAAATCCAGTTTTCAGATATGCATGAAAGGACAAAAACCATGCAAGGCTTGGATTACAGCCCGAAGCCGAACTACAAGGCGTAATTTTTCTCTTTCTTCCATTTATCCGCATAGGTCGTTATCCAAAGATTCCACTCCTTCGGTTAATGATGGATGTTAATTTCGGGACATCAACATCCGAACAAATCTAAATCTCCTCCCAATATGTGATCGAATGTAACACTTCCTCAGACTCTTGCTGATCAAATACGTCACGAGTCACATCAACCTCGGAGCGCAGATATTCCTCACTACAGTCGCCTAGTATAATCATCGACTAAGTTGATGCGGGGTACCCTGTTCTTACAGGAAGATGGGGTAATATTTTATAACAATCCCCTCTTTTGTGTGAATATCCACCTACCCATGTTTGCAGCATAATGTAGCACAATTGTCATTAACAATGCGGTGGAATGTATAAAAGCGGAATTGACCCAACCTTGTTCTTATACTTATTTGTCACTTGTTAGATCTGACAATACGGAGTTTGGCTCGTAGTATTTAATTTGAATCGCAAATATACAGTACACCATGCATCTGCGGCCTACACTGCCCTTGGTTCCAGGAGTATTATTCCTCTACGCCATATCCGCAATAGCAACGCAGGTAGATCTCTCACAGTATGTGAATCCGCTGATCGGCTCGGAAGGCCCTGATCCTGGAACAGCTTTCGGAGGAGGCGATATATTCGTGGGGGGTGCACTACCATTCGGTGTGGTCAAGGTTGGAATTGACTCGACTGCTGCAAATTGGAGCACTGCCACTCTGAATGGCGGATGGACCCCCGATGGGAATGTCACGGGTATAAGTATGATGCATGAGAGTGGAACTGGTGGAGCGCCAAAGTATGGGCTAGTCTCACAGATGCCGCTGACGTCTGTGGATTCACCGGTCAACGTGCTTGATAATTTGACTTACAGTCAGCCGAGGGTATGTGGTTTCTTTTTGTTTTTTTTGCAGTTAGAGTTGATTACGGTGACAAGAGGAACTGACCTGGAAATAGGTGGGTGAAGATACTGCCAAAGTGGGCTATTTCAAGACTCATTTGGAGAATGGAATCACGGTAGAATTGTCGGCGTCGCGCCATGCTGGCATCATGGAATATTCTTTTCCTGATGGGGAGAAATATATCCTTGTAGATGTTTCCCATGTATGTTGATTTGGATTTTCTATTCGAGCAGTACTTACTTGGCTGATGCCGATAGTATTTACCCGGTAACCCTGGAAAGGCAAATGGCCAATTCTTTGCTGGAGGTGAGATTCAGATGGAAGCCGATGGCAAGGCATACAGTGGGTATGGGACGTATGTTGGAGGTTGGAATAACGGTGAGTTCTACGCTCACTTACACACGGCGGTACCTTATTAGATAATGCCAGGTGCTCCATTCACTGTCTACTTCTACGGAGAATTCTCCAAGTCCCCAGACAATTCCCAGACATTCTCTGGCGCGAACACAGATCATATGCCACGCTATCAGAATCTAGCCAACGGCGGGATAAGTGAGCCAACATACAAAAACACATCCAGCAAAGTAACATCCGGACCAATGAACAACCGGATCGGATTGCTGTTGAGCTGGAACCATGGCCCTGCCTCACATATCAGCTCGCGCGTCGGTATCTCGTTCATATCCACTGACCGGGCCCGCTCATATATACAAACAGAAATTCCCTCGTGGAATCTGGGCGACACAGTAGCCGCTGCTGTGAAGGAGTGGAATAAAGATGTTTTCAATAAGATTCAAGTGCCACTGGATGACTCTGCCAACTTGACTCATGTTAGGTTGTTGTACAGCTCTTTGTATTTCATCCATTTGATGCCTTCCGACCGAGCAGAGGAGAACCCTTTGTGGGAATCGGCGGAGCCTTACTGGGATGACTTTTACACAATGTGTGGGTAGGCTCATTACAATTCCGACGGCGATTTCTGACTGATGATTTAGGGGACATCTTCCGCTGTACGGTCAGCTTCTACCATATTTTCCAGCCCGAATACTACGAGTCAATGATACGAGCCTTGATTGATATCTGGAAGTAAGGATATAAGAATGGCAGTAATTTATCTCTCACTAATTTCAATTTTTCAGACACTCGGGATACTTGCCAGAAGGGCGTTCGGGAAACTGGAACGGGCTAGTCCAAGGCGGCTCTGATGCAGACAACGTGCTAGCAGATGCCTATGTCAAAGGCTTAAGGGGCGCAATCAACTGGACAGAGGGCTATGAAGCCATGAAAAAGGACGCGGAAGTAACGCCGTACAATACATTTGACCCAACAGACTTTACAGCAAGCACGAAAGAAGGCCGTGGTGCGCTCAATGATTGGAAGGAACTTGGATACGTGTCACAAGATCGGAACACGCGCTGCATATCACGCACAGTTGAATACAGCCTCAATGATTTTGCAGTCAGTCAGGTCGCCGCTGGAGAAATGCCCAGTGACCAGGAGAAGTATCTCAACCGATCAGCCGGATGGCAAAATATCTGGAATCCAGATGTGAAGAGCTTAGACTTCACTGGATTTCTGGCACCTCGCTTCTCCAATGGGTCTTTCAATAACAGCGGATATGATCCGCTCTACTGCTATAAGTGTGAGTGGCAGGATTATACTTATGAGGGTACTCCATGGGGTCAGTCCTATAACCTATTCCACTTTGAAACACAACTAATATCACTCTGTTAGAATACTCTTTCGTCATTCCCCACGATGTGAAGACTCTCATAAAATTTATGGGAGGACCCAAGACCTTCGAATCACGACTGGACCTGATGGTAAGCCAGAATGATAACCCGACAGGAGGAATCAGCTACTGACTCAACTCTAGTTTAAACCAAACATGTCTGTTCAAAGCCTTGGTGTAAATGGCGCCGGCATTGACACATTGATGAATATTGGGTACGTACTGGAGAAACCACTAGCAAAGCAAAAGCACTGATTACTCGTAATGTAGCAACGAACCCGATTTCGCTACGCCATATCTTTACAACTACATCAATAATCAAGCCAAGAGTGTTTACCAGTCACGTAGCCTGGCTACCCAATAGTTAGCCTACTTTTCTCCCCTACCGTCTAGACTCATGCTGACAACCCATTCGCATGCACAGTTTCAAGGATGCTGCCTACGGAATCCCTGGAAACAGCGATGCTGGCGCTATGAACTCCTGGCTCCTATGGCAAATGCTCGGGATCTATCCGATTGTCACGCAGCCTGTATATCTTCTCTCATCACCGTGGTTCCCAGATCTCAACATGACGATCAATGGAAATAAGACGCTGCGCATCTCCGCATCTGGTCTAGAGAAAGGGTACTATGTCCAGAGTGTTAAGATAAATGACGAGCCATGGAAAAAGAACTGGTTCAAACACGATGATGTTATGACGAATGGCGGCACGATTGAATTTGAGCTTGGGGATAATGCGAAGGCATGGGAGACCGGGGAGGTTCCGCCTTCTCCTGGACATGTCCGATTTGATAATGATTATTAGGTCTTCGGGCATGTTAGAATAGACTGGATAGCCTTTTTTCTTTTTCATATTTGAGCCCGTCTGAGATAAGTCGCAAATTATCTGGGACAGATTACACTATGCAAATATACAACCGAGTACAGTGGTAACTCATTTGGTCCCTCGGACAATTTCCAAGGACGTTTCCACCACGTGGTCTGAATCGCCTGTTATATTCCTTCCCCGCATGCTGAACAAGAAATTTCATTGTGTGAGATGCATACATGCGTGAATCTCAGTCTTGGCTCAGACTCGCTAAGCTCCAGGGCTGCCCAGTGCTCATCACGTGCTCGACCAGGTCGACCTAATGAGCGCTCAGCGAATGCTCACTGATTGATTGACTGCTTCCAACCTTGGAAGGTTACTTAAGTGCTGATCACCGATTACCTAGTACTCTATACTGAGAAGCCGATCCCCACATTTTCCGCATTTTTCTTATTTGCTTTGAAGACAACACTACTAGCACATATATAGTGGTGTTACCCCTCTTTTCAAGCCCATTCTACTCCGTACTGAACTACACACTACCTACCATTATCGCCATCATCTCCATAAACCAGCATCTGCTCCAGCCATCTGCGTCTTCACCTGCTGTCTGCATATTCACTATGAGATACGGTATTGCTATGGGTGCAGTAGCAGTAACTATGAGAGCTACTGGTGCTAGTGCTGATAATATTTTGGAGGTGATTGGCATTTCGGAGCGTGCCGTTGACAAAATATATAAAAGAGCGCTTAGAAGAGGCTTCGACCCGGATTCATATCCCTTGGACATTTCCGAGGCTATGGTAGTTGATGCACACCGCTCTGGTCGTCATGGGCGCGAAGCTAAGCTAGCTTGGCATCTTAAACACCGAGGCTGGACTTTGAAAGACTGGAAGAATGTGACTTGGACCAATGAGACTTCTGCCATTTTGATTCACCGACGCTGAGGATACCAAAGCTTTCAGGATTTGTTCGAAGTTGTATTCGAAAATGGCGGGAAAGCTCGAAATTTATGGTTTGGGGGAGCGTTTCTTATGATACGGAGGGTCTATGCCACTATTGGCTTCCAGAGACTATCGAAAAGAAAGCATCTAAAGCTGTGATTGAAGGGTGGAATTCTGCACTTGAACCGGAGGTTGTTCCAAAAAGTTTACGCGCAGTCATTTTTGATGATAGTAATCTAGTCCTAATATACTCCATAGTCGGACTGTTTTCAACTGCTTTTTTTTTCACTCTGATTCAATTTAATTAAATACACGTATGCAGTACTACTACTACTAGTAGTCGTACATAGTTACCTCTTCTCACTCCTACCATCACTTCTCGCCATGCCCCATACTCCATGACACGATCTTCTAGTCTCTTTTTTTTCGCCAAAGATAAAACGCACGAGAGTGCGATGACACAGATAGAGACGGCGAAGTACTTCCACACAGGGTGGCGTAGGATAAAAGCTTTCGGTCATCGTACATTATGGGAATATATATTCCGACAACACTCCAATAAAACCTCAAAACAAAGTTTCGTAATTTCTACATCAGAATTCTTCATCCTTTCGGCCTTTTTCTAAGATTGTGTAGAGAGTGTATTCAGTAATGAGCCCAGCAAAATGAGATTGTTCAAGAGAAGCGCTGCAAAAATTTGGAAGAAAGTTGTTATATTTTTTTTGGCACTCATACAGACGAAGACGCTATCCAACAGAAAGATAAGAGAACACCGAATACTAAGAAGATGTGCCAAGTTTTTGATATTTGGATGAAGGACCTGCAATTATATGTGAGAAGTTCTCTATGGATTACTCACTTGTTACATAGATTCGTCGAAATATATGGAATCGAGAGCTAAAACAGGGGCCAGGCTGTGAAATTCCAGACCATATGTTGTACAGATGACTTGCTGATCTGCATCGCGTGCCTCTGATAATACGCAATATTTACTTGTAGCGGAACTCCAGTATCCAATTACTTCATTCTCAAGCCGATGAGACAAATAGGCACACAAACTCAATTCGAGAACATCATTTCGACCCTGTGGTCTCTTTGCTATGCAATAACTACAGTAGGTCAACATTAACCTCCCCGCCATTCTTTCTGATAGTCAAGACAAAACCATACATCAAACCTATCACGGCTTAAATATCCCAATGGTATGGGCTCTCGCTGATTTCGTGCTGCGTATGAGCATGCGCCTTGATGAACCTGCGACTAGTGAGTAAAAATGTTATCTTTGATGCTTTTACAGTAGGAACTCACGCCTGCTTTTCCTCTCCTTCAACCATTGCATCATAGACCCGGCCAATTTCACTATCGGCGGGAATCTGATAGACGGTGGCACCATCCACATATCCATGCGAAACGACCTTATCGTGCTCGCAAGGTTCATGATCAACCGTTTCACCGTAGTGAAATATTTTGTTGGCCCATGGAAGTGAGATAAGTGGCACTGGCGGAATGATCATAACACCGGTTATCATTTCCACCTCGGTGGTCAGACATTTAAATGGTCCGACTGAACCTATCATTTGGCCGCATGGATTGTCTTCCAGGGTCGAAAACACCCTCATAGTTGCACCAGTGGTTGATGTATCCGCTAACATACGAGCAGCGTCATAGAGACGTTTAGGGTTGTGCGATGTGCCGCATAGGTTCCCGCCAACATTGACCACATCAAAAGAACCCCGAGAACATCCACCCCCGTCTCCGTAGAATAGAAGGGCTGTGTAGGCATTGCACAGTGGCAACAGGAAGAAAAGTAGTGACGGAAAGTACATATTATAAGGGAGATCACAAACGATATTCAAGGTTCTCTTAGAATACTGGAAAGAGAGGTTTTTGGCAACGATCGAGAGAATCAAGGCAACTAGACGTTTTATACACTCCGCTCTACTGGGCGATTAAAATTGCCCTGCCATTAATTAAGGCGTAAAGAAGGGGCTCCGCTAGCCAAAGTAGATTGAAATTTCTACCATTTCTGACTTGATGTGGCTAAGCTGAAGCTGGCGGTCATAATATTCGCTTAGAATTACCTCTAGAGAACTGTAAGAGCTCTCTCGATGCTTCCAAAAGCATATCTGACTACTATCACAAGTGTGATAGCAGACACAGACTGCGCAATGGCGCAGCATTCCTGTTTAGGTGGGTCGTAGCAGTTCCATGCGCCCAGGTGGGTGACTCCGGGCAATGAATGCCGGATGAAAACCAGCAAATCGGTTAATCTGACCGTTCATTCTCTCTTGATCCTTATCCGACGAGCTTTATCTGACCCAATTCTCAGAGATACCATCCGTGATGTGGAAGCTGAGGCTGCGAAAGGGTAGCTGAATAGAACATCCATGATAGAACCACAGAATATGCACGGCCAATCACAAATATCACGATTTTAACTATAACGATGAAGCAGCCAGCCATAAACATACTTTTTCTTTGAGACAGTCTAGACTGATTACTCCACAGTGCAAAAGATAAATTGTACTACATAGTTTGTCAAGAAGGATCAAGCTAGTGAGACACTAGTGTGTGCTCAGTACCTACAGCGGTGGGCGTGCCAAAAATACGCGTAACCATAGTCGAAAGTATAAATGGGCTTTCCTACCAATATGTCCACGGCGTCGGCTGTTCCTACCCAGCTTTCATCAGTGTCAACTGGGCTGAAGCTGAATGTTTTAGCTCGGCTGTGGGTTTCCGGGGTTTGGATGAATTATCTATCACACATTGGTTGCTCCAGATACTCTAGCGATCCTTCTAGCTCTAAGATCTTGTATCATGTATTTCTAAGGATCTACTAGTTGGCTCTTCTCGCCGAGTATGGCAATACACAAATTTCAAGGCAAAACCAGAGTATAATGAGATGGAACTTTAAATCTTGAATTGGTTGGAAGACTACTTGAGTGTTGGCCTTCTGAAACTATGTATTTCACTTCGCTACCCATGTCTGATCTGGAATGGTCCCCAAAAGGGCTCTGTACTGATCAAGTGGAATGCCGTAAATTGACATGGCGGCATCGCAATTCTCACACGGATGTCGATAAACACCTCCACCTTGTCCTTTGGTTGTACCCACAGTGGCAGTTGTAAAGGGATTCAGATGCTCTGGTCCAATGGAGCGTACTTCCATCGCAACACCCTTCACTCCTGACATGGGTGCCTGCTCATCCTTACCCGGCCACCATTTGCCTCTTTTTAGATATGTCAGCCCAAGAGCCCAATAAGTAGATTTTGCAAGGAGGTTTCAACGTACAGGATGCAACTGAAGCAGTATGTTTCTGCACAACGACCCCAGACGGAGCAGTTGGGCGTCAATATGTCCAATTCCACGTCCCACAACAAATGATCAATTTCTTTGGTTATAGCTCCGACAGCGGTGGACCAGAATGATTCCATTGCAATTTTCTTTGCAACCAGATATTTATCTGTCGCAGGCTCTGGTTTTTGATTCGCGAGATCAAATCCATCATTCGCAGAAGCTCGTTTTGGGAAAAGCTTCGGGATGATTGTGAGCTCTAGGAAGTCATTGAGCAAGAATCGCAGCTGGGAGCGGTATTCCTTCTCGTAGTAGGTACTGTTGAACCGACCCTGGATAGCAGCCACTAGTGAAACTTCGATCTTCTCCTTGAACTCAACTATAGCGTATAAGCTCCGTCGCTCAATTTCTTCGGCGGGGCCTGGAGTGAGCGCCATTTGGAGAACTTTGATCGTTTCAAAAGCTATGGTCGCACTTTGATTAAATGTTTTGTTGCCAACAAGTCTGATGTATAGATCACCACATAGCTGGTTGAGGAATAGAGGAGCCAGCCTGGTAAATGGAGAGAACGGGTCAGGCGACTTTAGGGTCCGGTTCATCAGTCTTCTTCTCCACGAATCTAGAAGTACTTGCTGTTTGTCGGTAAGACTCCGACCAGGTCCGACACTTTTTGCTCTGACAGCGAATGTGCTTCCAAACATATATCGATTGTAATCACGATCGCCTCGCTCAGTATACATGATGCAAGCCATCATCGGTACCCCAGTCAATCGTTCTTTGTATTTCAAAGGTTTTGATCCAGCATCTTCTGAGCTATCAATGAACCCCAAATAAAGGCATTTGCTCAGAAGGATCAGCATGGGCAGATAGTAATCATTCCATGTCGGATTCGGTGGTGGAATTGCAACTGAAAATAGGTATGCCAAGGCAGAGGGGGCATCCACCAATTCCAGTTCCTGAACAGGGCTGCTTGCGCCAAATTTGACATTCAGAGGATCTGCATCACGTTCCTGGCCAGCAATTTCCTTATCACGGACTCGCAGTACAGTTCCACTATTTTTTTTGTTAACAAGACAACCCCTCAATTTTAGGCTATTTCCTGGGTCACATACTCTCCTGGAAAGAATGTTTGAAGTACCTCTTTTGCAGAGTCTTTGAAGGGCCCGAATATATGCTCTAAGGCTTCAGGGGCAGAGTCTCGAAGTAAATCAATCCATTTTTTGAACTGATCCCATAGAAATGTTAGTTTCGACTCAATTCCAACAGGTAGCATTTCAATTTCCATCTTACCTTTCCAATGCTCCGCCGAATACTCTTCAAGTCTGGCTTCTTGAGGGCAGAGATACCACCGTTTGAATCAGAAACTGGCCCATATTGCTCATCAACGATGGTCTCCCTCTTCAAGGTTCCGCCGAATGCTTCAAATTGGGTCCAATCAATTGTGGTAGCCATAGTGCAGATTCTGGAAAGATCAACAAGTGTATACCGGGATTTTCACAACTCAAATAGCCGTACAGGAATAAATAGTCCAAAGCAGAAAAGGCTAGGATCGGTATAGGTTGCGTGTTTCGGTAGGACTTAGGTTTGAAAGAATTTATGTTGAAATGTCCGACTGTTGAAACCCGCCGGCTCGACTATGGAATTAAATTTCATTAGATGGGTTCTAAGATTAACAGCGCTGGTGATCCTGAAAGGAGCAATCAGACCGATCGCTAGTGATTCCTTCCAGCTAAAAAAAAAAAAGAAATTGAATTGAAACACTTGTTTGTCCTGTGTCGCTAATTTTTACCAGCTCGAATAGCCGAACTTTGTCATTAACCCACGCATACACCGCTTGATGGGCCTCATTGATGTGGAAGGCCCAGACTCGAGTCGCAAACTTCAACATATTTCAGTGTCCAAAGATTCAGCTCCCTTATGTGATGAGATATGCCATGTCTATTGGACTAGATGAGAGCTGATTGTTAGTTTGTTTTGAGGCAGTTCATTATTTTGGAAATTCTGACCGACGATAGTATACGAAGTAAAACATTCTACCCGAGGTGTGGCCTGGACATCCCAAAGACTAGATCACTCACAGATAGCTTAGGGTGAGAATATAGATCATGAATGGGTTGAAAGCAGAATCACATCACATACAAAACTTGAATATTCAGCAGGGGGTGTGTAGGTGCATGGTGGAGAGCGGCACTATAATGGGGCCGCTTCGATCAATTGGCTGGACCCCCTGTGATATACCCCACATATCCCCGCAACTGTTGCTTATTTAACGTCCATCGAGAACACCTGATAAGCACCCGATAAGCCCTAGCTTATTCTCCAGCCAGCCACCCAAGGGCTATTTTACCAATACCTAGTGAAATTTACTCGGCTGTTTTGTCTATCACTTAAATTTACACCTGAACTTTCCTGGCTAATGTGAATATCTTGGTTTTTTAGCGCATTATACTGGAAGGTTCCATGTTTCGGTATCACCGAGAGGCGCTTTTTCTGACTTCAACCATCGAGACCAAAGGATTCATGCCAACATCCTTTGGAGTCGACTACCCATCAGGAAACCTAATTCCGGTGATAGTGGCTGAAAATTATCGCTAGGTCTCACACGAAGGTTGAAGGGTAACCTCACATGAGACAGGAAATGGGAACGATAAGGGAAAAGAAGAGAGAGATCGAGCTGTACAACTGTTCTAGACTATACGGCGATTCTGCCGTGAGCGATGCCACATATTACCTGTGAGCAGCAGTTGAAGCCGAGTGAGAGCGTGATGAAAGGTATATAAGGCTGCAGTCTTCGCCCTCATTGAGTTCTATATCAACACTTTCTCTCACAGTTCCAAGTTTGTGATCAATATTCATCCACTACCCAACGCTTTTTGCAAATTCTCTTCAAGATGACGTCTGCAATCTACGAAATCACCCTCCGAAACCGATCTGGCTCTGCCCAGAACTACGTTATTTTCAACGAAGCACCGAAAATCAACGATGTCGTCAGTTCGGACATCTGGTTGAACGTGTTCCAGAGAAAAATGGTTCCGAACAACGGCGCCGCTGTTTTTGAATTCAGCACGGAGTACACTGCTGTTTGCGGTGCCGCCGACAAAGCTCCAAAGAATGGAGTCACCGTGACTGTCGGAGAGCCGAGGACTGTCACCCTTGGTACTGCCGAAAACAGTGGCAAGCTCAAGACACCTGGTAGCTCGTTCCTTGTGAAAATCGTTGATGGGTTCCCCGTCTTTAGCGAGGACCACATTCAACCTGGTGGCAAAATCAATGCCTTTGAAATTCGCACTGGTGATATCAAAAATTCCGATGCGGTCAATGGTGAGATCTGATTTAATCCTTTCCAGCCTCTCAATTGATATTAATTGTCTTTATTAGGAAACTGGATGATCGGTCTGGGCAGCGGTGGCCTTGATGGCACCGGTCTTGGTGGACCTGCAGCAACATTCAAGCCCCAGGGTCACAAGTCCTACCAGATTGAACCTGTCAAGAAATATTGGATTTCAACCGCCGACTACAAGCAAGGTTCCATGATCAAGGTCGCCGCTGTTGCTGACAAGGCAACATTGGTTGACTTCAGCAAGCGGGCCTCTCGCAGCATTGTCCTAGAGCATGGCGAGTACGGCGAAATCACCCCTCAGGACGAGTAAAGCTGTGGTAGCACGCAGACTTTGCATATGTAGTGGGAATGACTCGTATGTCAGCCTGGTCGGAATGTGATAGTGTGATGGATGAGATGAGGGCACGGGGATTAAATGTAGATAGGCAACTCCATTGGTTAATAACTCAATCAATAGACCGCTGTCTGTTTATTTATGAATAATACGTGCATCAATAATAATAACAGTAGAACAGACCTGTAGCCACTTCTAGTGGATTAAATACATCATGAAATAATCAGTTGAAAGGAAAAAAGTAGGTTGACACTTTATGACTCTGACTAAACCTCTTCGGCTTTTCTTGAGATATTGCCCCACCTCGAGGGAATCTATGAGGTATACTTATGGCAAAGTATCATTGGCCCCTCGTCTGTAGTTACCAATTCAACTTGACCCTCAGACATTTATAAAGTGGCGAGCACCCCCTCTCATCATCACCCTTTTCTCATCCTTTCATATTCCGATCCATCTTCTCATATACGTTAGCACACATCACCACTAAACATGCCTGTTAGTCTTCCCTCTTTTACTGAGTGGCCATTTGCTTATTCATGAATAGGAAATTCAAAGTGGACCAGGTGACAATGTTGAAGTCAATGTATGTCCACACTCGAGTTGATGCATGATGTTTGCTAAATCAAAAATGTCTCCATAGCCCATCGGGGAGCCTCGCAAAAAGACCATCCCAAGTGTACTCTCTCTTGGCTCCAGATTCTTTGAATATTACTCCTGGAGCAACAAGCCTGCGGACTTCCCCCTTGATTCGCACTTCGACCCCGATAGGCCCAATATCGGCGACGAGTTTAGTCTGAGTGGTCTTCAGCCAGTGATCAAGAAGAAGGATGAAGATCTCTTTCTGCTGAAAGATGCCAATGATGACTTTTACAAGTGGCACCTGGGGGATGGATCGATGTTTTACTTGGAAACTAAAGAGAAGGATCCGATGAAGGTGGCGATGATGGTGATGGAAGGAATTCCTGAGGCCAAGTGGATACCAATTTATGATCCAGACACTTTTCCAAAATAGTTGGTGATAGGTAGTAATCAATGCAGCGAGCTACGTGCGGTTTTGACTCTAGCTGAAGACTCAGCCACTTTTTGCAAACTGCGCTAACTAATGCTCAATGCAGTGTCAGACTGTTTGGTGCGTCTCGAGTATTGGAAACTACAGCCGAGAGCCACTCACGTGGCACCTGCTCAATGATAACCACATTCTAGTCACATCCAAATCTAATCTCGTTTAAACCCATTCTTCTTCTTTCTTACAGCATTTAGCCATGGATCCCAAATATAGTGTTACAATCTGCAATCAGTCAGGGGTGACTCAAACCTATGTTGTCTTCTCTGGACCCCCCACCATCAACCCAGCACCACATCTCGTCCAGACGAACGTGATGTTTGTTCTCCGCGAAGTCGCTGGCGACGGAGGCCAAGCTTACTTTACTATGCCTAGCACATCCCTCTTCGCAATATGTGGTACCTTCGATGGGCGAAGTAAACATGACTCGTTACAGTTCGAAGTGTTGGATAGCGTGCCCGTGAAATTGGGTACCCGAGCGGACGATGGAACACTGATATACGGAACAACATGCGCTATGGTTGTACCTCATTCCTCGCCAATGTTTTCGGAGACATCTCCAACAACCCCTTCAGGGGGTCTGGGTTCATTCTGCGTTAGAACGAAAAAGGATTTCACTGCCAAGCAGGCAGTTGCAGGTGAGCAGTCGTTCCGCATATTCTTTGAAAAAGGCCCTGCCCATCAAGACATGTAGGGCACGGTGTTGATTTTCTGTTCGGCGAGCGCAGGTCGATTTGTGGTTGGATTAAGTGTTTCTGCTACATTGATCGAAGACATCGGTCCATCAGTTCTATGCACACCTCTTCCGAATGAACGGTACACAATCACACCGAGCAGTAAGCTGTACATCGCGGCTGCAAAAGACATGAGTAGTCGAGATCCGATCACGGAAAAGCTCAAGGAACAGGCTTGTGAGATCGACTTTAGCAGGCTGGAATCCTCCAGTGTCTTGCTAGTACACAATAGCTCCAACGAGATTCATGTCCAAGTGAGGTCACACCTCTGAACCAGGCAAAACAGATGATAATATAGCATTCTATGGTGCTACTTAACCGCTGTTTTAACAGCCGAGCTGTCGCTTCCACGTAATTCATTCATTGTTATGACATGGGAGAGCCTGCCTGTGAATACTATTTTACCACCAACCATGAGCCCCAGCGTGGGGCTTGTAGGGTGCTGCTCCGCCTACGAAGTATTTTGCTTTACAAAGTACATTAATGCACACTCACATGTAAGTCCTAGGCAGGTGCATGTTGGTTTGCTGCAAGGCAAGGTATTCCACGCAGGTCGGTAGGATCCTCAATTGACAGGATCTAACCTGAAATTACGAGGACAATGAAAGTAAGCAGCCAATAATGGCACTAGACAAGGGTTCCTTGAATCGAATTCCAAGTTTGTGCTATATGAAAGGGAAGATCGCTGCTCTTTCAAGCCGCCAAGCCCGATGTCCACTTGACGTCAGAAGCGGGATAAGAGGAGGCTGGGGTGCGCAATCAAGAGAGCAGAGGGGAGGGGTATTTGTGAGATTGGGGTCCAATTTTAATAAAATGTGAGGCTTCAGCTCTAGGTTTTCTTTCTTCTTTCTCATCTGTTGTCTGGGTGATTTCGTCTCAATCATCTATACTTTTTTTGGGTGCTGGAGTCAAGACAAGATCGCATCGAGACCCACTATTCTGCATTCTGCATTCTGCATACAATTGCCAGCCACCAGGAATCGAAATTTCAGTTCCCCGATATCAGATCAAAAGCATTGCTAAATAGAGAGTCCACACGGTGCAGTTATGGTGAGGGCATATCCATTTGACGTTGTCGACCCCTCTTCCGTGGCTCACTCAGCCAACACCCGCGCGGGCCGAACAACGAACCACGGATCGCATATTCTGGAACATCTAAAAGCTAATAATTCTGCTTCTTCAGGCTCCTCTCAATTACATGCTCGAGCCCCGGCAGTCGAGCGGCGATAACTGCCCAAGCACAATAAGTGGCGGCGCAATCGCGGGTATCGTGATCGGCTCGATCGCAGGCACCCTCCTCATCCTCTGGCTTTGGCGCATATTCCGACTCCCCGGTGCGTGGAGCGGCGGTGATACATCTGACGTCAGCTACCGGGCTCCAGTTATTCGCAGCAGTACGAGTACCCGTGGACGGAAAAAGCGCCGTCGGTCTGGAGCGTACGGCGACTACGTCGAAAAGCCAACTACTGTACGCAGTGTACGCCGGTATAGGGATCGCGATGATTTACGCCGACCGGCCAAGGTTTACATGACAGAAGTGTGAATTATTGCCAGTGGAGATTACACATAAGAAATGTGAAATTGCTGGAGTGGATGAATCGGTATTTATAGCCATGGGTCTTGAACGGATCAATACGCGACTGGACATGTTTGACGGAGCCAAGCTTAATTATGAGACATGACATATGTATGGAGTATGACTGCGAGTTTTTACGAATTGACGAGAAATGATTTTTGACATGAATTGCCTGGTCTGTGCATTTTATGATTCATGATTTTGGATTTGAAATCCTAGCTAGACGTAAACAACTTTAGTTCAGATCCCATTGAATGGTCAAGAACAATATGACTTAGTCGGTAGAATGCACACCGCACATGTGGTTATGTCTACATGATCAATTGGACAACTCGCTGACGGGTACCTGAGTAGGAGTACTGAGGGACTGCCTTGATCCGGACCAAGAGGACTTGGCTGTGTGTCACCACCGGGCTGTGGCGTTGGATCGATCAGAATTCCCTCATCCCCTGAGCCGGGATAGCCGAGTCCATCGAAGGTCACCGTACAAGAAACACTGCACCTGTCATTTCGCTGACTCGACGAATAACAGGGTACAAGTGTATGATTCATTAAGCCAGTATCGTTCGTTCGTTAGGAAAGCGCGTTAATAAGTGGGCGTCCAGGCAAGTAAGACAGGGGAATGGGCCCACAGGGAAAAAGAATAGAAAAAGAAAGAAAAAAGAAAAACTTGGATTAGAAATCCCCACTTATTGACTGGGGGGCAGACTTGGCTTTTTGGTGGCTCTGTTATTGGACCTCCCCTCCTGAGCGGAACTTCTTTCAAATTTAGCTCAGTACTTGGCAGGTCCCAGGAACTGTAGAAATTTGGAAATTCTACTCCGCACTCCATATGTTATTATTGTTGCCTTTTGTTATTGATTTTCAAAATGATGTGTTCAAGGGGCACATGCATGATGATCTGTACGGAGTCCAATGTTGGAGATACTACCCCGTGGCGATTGTTATCAATTGAGACTTTGATCTTCATTGCAGTGATTTTCCCTCGAGTGGCCTAGGCTTGAGGTAAAAGCTAGTCTTATCCTGCATTATTTGAGCCAAGGGATCTATGCAGATAAAACAGTGTTGAATCACATACAATACGTCCTGTAACTGGTTTTACCACCCACGCTCTTCGATTGTTTCTTGAGCCCTATTTGCCAAGACACACTAGTCTATATTAATGTTTTTCCGGAGTATTCCTATCAGACCTGTATTGTTTCGTACCCAGAATAACCAGAGGCGGGGTGTATTCACTTGTATTAGATACGTCGGGATGTAGGTAACGATCTATATAGCATGCTAGATGTGCGATCGGTAGACCAAGATCACGATCATATGTCGACACCAATATTCGAAAAGATGATTTCCTCCGATCCTGCTATATACTTGTCACGGTCACCTTCAAGTAACAGATCATCATCCAGTTCGACCTCTACCATGTCTTCCATGTCACTCTGAAGGTAACGAGGGCGGTCATATCTCTCCCATCTTGCGTCTTTAGATAGCGTTGCAGTGTCGACGCTTTTGCTTGACAGAAACCGGAAACGGACCTTGCGATATTGCACCGCGATGATTTGCTCGCCTTGGGCCACAAAGTGCCGTTGCAAGTCTTCCGCGCGCCCATTAGACCCGGCTAGTCTAGGATCAGGTAGCTCACTAAATGGGACAGCAACTCCTGATGCGGCTAATGCGCTAGAAAGTGGAATGGCCAGATTTCCGTCCAAAAGCTTCTGTTCCCGTGCTTGCTCCGCAATTCGAGCATCTAACACAGTGTGGTAGCCAACCACAATGTATATATCCTCTCCCTCGTCGATCGTACGCTCAATCCACTTCCGGACATCTTTCAATTTGACAATATCACGGAACCACTCTCCATTATTGTCTAAATAGTAGGTCTTCACTTGTTTGGTAGTGACGTGGATCGAGGCATTCGTACGGCTTGACACGGTGGAGGAGAGGAAGGCGGTAAGCTCAGAACCAAATCTACGTTGGGTTCTAAGAGAGTCGGCGCCGTCGTACTGGGTTGCAACTTTCTCAATAATGCTGAAACTATTCTCTGATTTTGGGTCATGGTAATATCGGTGAGGCTCATCGATATTGGTGACGAAGCGTCCTAGCTTGATAGCGGACGGTGATAGGAAGAATTGCGGGAGGAGAACGCTACTACGCATTTTGAAGTAAATCGGATATTTGGAGGAGTATGAAAATGATGAATCAAATTGTGTGGCCTGCGGGGAAATATGAGGAGAGAATAGGGACGTGGCAGATGTCAAGTTGCGAGATACGGGATCAGCCGCGCTATGACCCATGAGGCTGAATGCCCTCGTCAGATGAATGAGGAGAAGACCTCGGCGAGGTGATCCTAGTATACTAACAGGTAATTCAGGCCACTCTTGATGATTGTCCCAATCTTGTAGGGCTGTTACATAGCCTCGCATACCAGCTCCAAAGGAGCGATTCTCAGAGCGACCACGCTCTTGGGCTCTTTCTTTGTTTTTCTTGCCCTTTTTTCTTGTTTGGAGCATGGGAACTAGTACTATGTATTAGCACACTTTAGCCCCCACCCAGCTGCGGCAGGGCCGCCTCCAACTATCAGCCTGCTGACGTGTCTGCCTGCAAACCAGTTGTCTATCAGTCAGCCTAAGATGTACACCATGAATCACTGGGGGTTATATTTGGGTAAAGTCCCTGCGTGAGCCCATGGCCCCTCGATCTCTCTATCTTCCAGCACCATTCAAGTGACTACAGCCAGATAATTCAACATTCTATCCAATATGGACTCGGCTTGGTTGGCTGATTTAGGCCTTTGCCTCGAACAGAAATACCTTCGCACAGGAAATTTCCAACATCTCTGCGATGCTGCTGCAATTTTCTCGGCAGCGGTCTCCAATACAACCGAAGATGACCCCTTTTATTCGGACTATCATGATTCCATGGAGAGGAATTATGAAGCTTTAATTGAGATCAAATCCGCCCAGCAAGATCTTGTACAGAAGTTTTCGATGAGCCGCAAGATTTTAGAAGCCCACGAGGCAGTTAAATCCCTTGAAACAGTAGAGGCCATGTGGGAAGCTGCGATGCGTGACGAAACCTCCCCCGGTGAGGAAGCCGAAGCCAGTGACGCTGTTGGCACCAATAATCAGACCAACGAGCCTCCTCTATGGGCCATCCTGAATAGTATGAGTATGGCTTATTATGAGACATACAGGGAGATGGCAGGGATAGAGGATTCAGGTGGGTTGTTACTCTTCCTATGTTCCAAAGAGCTTTCTCACACCACAAACTGTCAGACAACGATTCTGATGACGAGTTCGAAAATCAATCTGAAGAAGGTCAAGCTGAAGAGAGCAACCCTGAAGAGAATGAACCTGAAGAGAGTGGTTCTGAAGGGGGTGATTCTGAACAAAGAGAACAGATGGAATTATTGGACAAGGCAATCGAGGCGTCGCACGAGGCAATACGGGGATCCCGCGAGGCAGGCCAGACCACTCTTGATGGCTATCCAATTCTTGGCGCAATGTTAACGCACCTTGGACATATGCTAGAGAGGCGATATGACGAAACAGGCCAGGTGGAAGACCTCGATGAGTCAATCCAGTCATCTCGGCAGGCATTACAGAACACTCCCGATGACCACATATACTTTGCGACGTTTCTAGACAAACTTAAAACCCGGCTCACATGTCGATACGAAAGAACACGACAGATAGAAGATCTCGACGAGTTGGTTTGGGTGTTTCGCCAGAAGGTCCAGATCGCTCCTGATGACTCTCCCGGACCATTGCTCAACCTTGGAGGTATGCTCACACGGCGATATGACCAGACAGGACAAGAGGAGGACCTCCATGAGGCAATTCGGCTATCCCGCCAGGCTATCAAGATCACTTCCGATGACGACCCCTTTTTCGCAGCGGCTTTAGGTAGCCTTAGCGGCCAGCTCAGCCGTCTATACAGATTTTCAGGTCAGATAGAGGACCTCGAAGAGTCGATCGAGATATCTCGCCAAGCAATTCAAGCCACGCCTAATGATGATGGCAATATTGGGACTCCATTGAATAATCTCGGAATCGCGCTTGGACATCGATACGACCGGACGGGGAATATGGAAGACCTCGATGAGGCAATTCAAGTGTACATCCAGGCAGTTGAGCTTGTTCCCGATGATCTTCCCACTCTTACAACCTTTTTTACAAACCTTGGCCTCAATCTTGGACGTCGATACGAACAAACAGGGCAGATGGAAGACCTTGAGCAGGCGATTCGCATTTTTCTCCGGGCAGTCGAGCTCACACCAGAGAATGATCCCGGTTTTGCGGCGGTGTTAAATAACCTCGGAATTAACTTCGCTCGTCTATACAACCGAACAGCCGTCCCAAAGTTTCTTGACGAGGCTATCAGGGTCTCTCGACAGGCGATTCAGCTTACTCCCGATAATTATCAAAACAATATAGGGGAGTCTAGCAATCTTGCATTACTACTCAACAATCGATACGAACGGTTAGGTCGGCCAGAAGATCTCGAAGAAGCAATCCAACTATCTCGCCGGGGTTTTCAGGCTACTCCTATTGACCACGCTGACCACGCCAGACTGTCAACTAATCTTGGAATCATTCTCAGACATCAATATGAAAAATCTGGAGACAAAGGAGACCTTGAAGAGGCCAGTCGAATGTCTGGGCAAGCAATTCAGGGTGCTCCCGACGACCATCCTAATATTATAATGGCCCTCTATAACCACGGAGTTACGCTCGAATATCAATACAGAGAGACGAAGCAAATAGAGTTTCTTAAGGAGGCAACTCGAGTGGCTCAGCAGGCTTTTCAAATTACAGCAGCACGGCCGTTAGCCCGCTCCAAAGCTGCTATTTTAGCTGCTAACCTCCTACTCGAGCAAGGAGATCATCAAAGCGGCTATACACTATCTGCGCAGGCTATTGACCTTCTCCAGCTTGTTCATACAAGGTCTGTAGCAATACAAGATCGGCAATGGATCGTCGCACACTTCTTTAGCCTAGCAACGTTGGGATGTTCCTTTTCTATTCAAGCTAAACAGCCCCTTTTCAATGCTTTACGACTTTTAGAGAATGGACGTGGTGTTATTCTCAGCCTGCTTATGGATGACCGGAGCGATACAACCAAACTAAGGGAGGCCTATCCCGATTTGTGTGCACTTTACGAAACTCTCCGCGTCCAAGTGAATACGCCTTCCGAGGGAGAGGGACCTATAGGCCAAGAAGAGGGTAAATGGAGATATACAAAACAACCCAAGGCTATTGGGAAGCTTGAAAAATGCATACAGGATATACGAAAACTTCCAGGCTTTGGCGCCTTTCAACAGGGTCTCACCAAGGAGCAAATTCAAGATACTTCTACAGAAGGCAGTATCATCGTGGTCAATGTCTCCAAACTACGGAGTGACGCTATCATTGTTTTATCAACTGGGATAAGCTCTGTCCCTCTTCCTCGATTTGACGCCGCTCAAGCGCAGACTTGGATTGACAAGAAGCTAACTCAGGCGAAGCCCAGCGAACGTGGTAGGAAGAATAGAGAATACCGCAAGTTCTTAGCTTGGCTCTGGTACGAGTGCGTAAAGCCTATTCTGACTCGACTTGGCTATACTGTTCAATCCTCCCCCGAAAGTCTACCCAGAGTCTGGTGGATTGGAACTGGAATTGCCAGTTCCTTTCCATTTCACGCTGCAAGCGATTTCTCTGCAGGACCGACGGAAAACACATTCTGTCGTGTTTTATCTTCGTATACCATCTCAATCAAGGCACTTATACACTCTAGAGAGCGGGCACCTATCTCTTCGTTCTCTGATGCACGCCCTCGGAAGCTGCTTATGGTCACGATGGGAAACACACCCGGCGCTGATGACTTGCCTGGGGCAGTGTCCGAAAAGTCTACTGTTTTGAAAACACTTGGTTCTTCTGTCCAGGCGAAAATTCTCGACCAACCAGACTCTGTAAGCGTCATACGCCAGATTCCTGAATGCAATATTGCCCATTTCGCCTGTCATGGAGTATCAGACTGGATGTACCCTTCCCAAAGTGGTCTTTTATTACAGACCGATTCACCCGGCTTTGAAACTCCAACCGACACCGAAACTCCAATTGACACTGAAACTTCACCCGATCCGGAATCCCCAGCACAGGATGTCTTGAGCTTTGAGAAACTTTGCGAAAGCAACCCTACGCAAGGGGAAATTGCATACCTTTCTGCCTGCTCTACTGCAGAGAATAATATATTTCCTTTGATGGACGAGATGCTCCACGTTGTGAGTGGATTTCAGGTTGCTGGATTCAGACATGTCATTGGAACTTTATGGCCATCTGGTGACGAGGTCTGTGTTGAGGTTGCGGGGGCGTTTTACGCTGAGCTTTGTCGGAGCGGTACTTTGCAATACACTGACAGAGACATCGCAATCGCACTTCACAAAGCGGCCTCGGCGCTTGCCATGAGTGAGGAGTATCAAAGACGGCCGTTGCATTGGGCGCAGTACGTTCATTATGGTGCATGAGCATGAGCCACTCGGGAAGAGAGACACTAGCTTCTCGTGGCTGGTTGAGTCCATGGGTCTTACCGTAGTATATGTAGAGACTAGGCTTTTCGACCAGAATGTCGCAGAACGTTTATCCAGTAGTTGTGGTAGTTACTACATGTAGTATGCACTATAATGGCCACTGTATACAATGACGATACATGTATTGTGAGTAAGATACGGTATAGGTAATTTTGCAGGAATATTGATATTCCGAGTCTATTCCTAATATGGTATAATATATCTTGGCATTGGGGTTCAAATACCGATTTCACGTATTATAATATTACAGAACCTGGAGTATGCACATGTGTGTTTGGAAAGTATTGTACCCCTGTTCGATGCTTATCAGGGTTCTCTGCGATCAGCCAATCGGTGGGTAATTCACAGCCAATCAGGATCGTCCGTCTCAAACTAGTTTGAGTAGAAAACACTGGGCAAATCCCAAAGAGGCTTAGCTTAAGGCACAAGACCCCTGGGGATGGCTCAAAGAAATTAGTGTACACCAAAATGGAACTCCCCCTAACCTAGAGTGGCTAGTCAACTCGACCATAGTCTCTGCAGCTTTCCCCTTACACTTTAAAAAAAAAAAAATACCCAAAACACCAGCCTATAATATGCTGAGTCCACTCTGCGTCTAAATTGGCCTGTCGTGGCGGATTTCCCCTTCTCTTGATGTTCTCTTTCTCACACTCTTACGATCTTGCTGGACATACACTCATTACCGTGCACTCGCACATCCACTCTTTATCGAATCTCGAGTCTCTCGAGTTTCTCGAGTCTTTTGTGTCCATTCCCTTTTTTTTGGACAGTGTAACAGCACCCTGAGCAATCGTTTATATACATCAACCATGTTTTTCTCTCGCATTGCCATTCTAGCGGCTTTGGCTAGCTATGCCACCGCTCAAACCTCAACTGAGTGTGACCCGACGAAGAAGGATTGTCCTGCAGATCCGGCCTTCGGCACCGAACACACATGGGACTTCAACACGACCTTGGACGAAAAGCTGTGGAACATGGCCACCGGCACCTACGATTACGAAGACGATGGAGCTAAGTTCACCCTCTCCAAGGAGGGAGAGTCTACTCTTCTTCAGTCCAACTTCTATATCTTCTTCGGAGTCGTCGAAGCCCACGTCAAGATGGCCAAGGGCGGAGGCCTGGTCAGCAGTGTGGTCTTGGAATCCGACGATCTCGATGAGATCGATTGGGAATGGGTAGGATACAACACTAGCCAGGTGCAGTCCAACTTCTTTGGCAAGGGTAACGATACTACCTTCGATCGCGGTGGATTCCACGACGTGCCGAACGCAGACACAGAGTTCCACAACTACACCACATACTGGGACCAGGATAGACTTCAGTGGTGGATTGACGGCCAGATGGTTCGCGAACTCCTATATACCGACCCGAAAGCATTGTACGGCGAAAACTACCCGCAGACCCCCTGCCGTGTGCAATTCAGTCTCTGGCCCGCTGGTCAGAAGAGTGCGGCAAAGGGTACTATCGAGTGGGCTGGTGGTCTTGTCGACTGGAATGCTGCCCCGTTCAGTATGACTCTTGGCAAGCTGCGTGTTAAGGATTTCCACTCTGGCAAGGAGTACAGCTACGGAGACCGCACAGGTTCCTGGCAGAGCATCAAGGTGTTAGAGTAAGTGCGCCCAGATTGGAATCACCCGGAATATTAATAATGACATGTAACAGAGGAAACTCGACCGCACTGGAAGAACTGAACAAGCCCGAGGAAAAGTCTCTGTCCGAGAAGTGGGATGATCTCGGCCAGGGAGCCCACATTGGAATCTACATTGGTGCTGCCGTTGCTGCCGCGATTGCCATCGCAGCCTTCCTCTTCTTCTGCCTGCGCCAGCGCCGCAAGGGCCGTCTCGAGAACGCCCTGGGCAACAACCCGACTCCTCTTAGCCGTGATGAGATGCAGAATTTCCAGAGGGACTGGAGACAGAGCGAGTGGAAGCAGCACAATGGTTACCAGCAGGTCAGCAACTAGCCGGCTTGTCATGTACAGACACCAGCAACCCGACGAAATTGCTTTCCAACCTCCATAATGAATAGCTCTGTGATTCCTTTTTTGCTTTTCTTCGCGCCGTGCCTGGTCTTACAGATTGCCGCCATGACGACATCAATTCTAGGCATTTGTGATCGCCGACGGAGTCGGAATAACGTCCCTTTTCCTTTCGTCCCGGCTTTCCGGCTTTCCGTATTTTTGTTTTATACATCGTCCTCTCTGTGTCTTGCGTATACGCAGAGCCACTCGCTCTGTTCCCCATTTTGTTGATATCCCTTGTTTGATCTTCGGATCACAATTCCTTTCGTTGGCGTTCAGGCCACCTTTTGCTTCATTTGCAATCTGATTCTCAATTTGTAAATATATCTTGCCATATAAAACGGGCTTCTTTGCCCTTTTTAATTCTCGATATGTTTAGGACTCAGAATACTCACGACTTTGGTGGAGCCCCTCGATGACAGCTCACCTTACAGGCGCTCGTATTCCTAGTGTATCACACTTGTCTTATGCGCCTCGGGTTCTCATGCAGGATGAATTCACAAACCTGCACATAACCTCGAGCAAGTTCCTGCACAAATACTCCTCACATTTTATAAGTTTAAACGTGCAATCGGACTCGGCGCAACTATGCCCCGCCCACTAATTAGGGTCCCGAAGAGGATATTCCCGCGAGGCGGACCTTCAAGCCCCTGTGGATATAGTGGGATATTGTGGATTCACACTAAGATTGAGCCGAGGTGCCCTACGGAGTACAAAGTACGTACATCATCGGGGTTCGCGTCAAATCGGACAGGCGGTAGAATTTAAAAATTGTGGCTGAAGATTATCGGCCTCTCCGATTGATACATGACCATCATGATTGGACTTCCACGCTCGTGGGGCCGTAGCATTCCAATCATGAAACAAATGAAATTTAATTTGTGCAAGTTTCATTTATGAAAGCTGTTGTCATTATACAATTCTAAAAAAAAAAAAGGGACCGAGGCTTAACACTCGGTGAGGTCACACTCTTTTCCTTATATATATATAAACGTTTAGAGTCCTCCTAACCTCATTGTTTTCATTCTTCTAAGCTTGTTTCATCGCATCATTACATGCAACTTCGAGGTACATTTTGATACAACTATTGTGTACCTTTCTTGGACCCCCACCTGGCATTACGCCGACCAGGTTTAAGAGTACAGGTTCTTCCAACCCCGCCATTACCACCTTGCACCAATTTGTGATTCATCTAATTTCAACACAACCCAATTATCCAAATCGATTCATCTCCTCAAGTGAAAGGAGTACATAATACACCATGACGACCAAGCAGGTCCCCATTCCGGGCCCAAGGGGCGTCCCGTTCTTGGGAAACATCTATGACATCGAGCCTGAGGTGCCAGTGAACAGCTTCGAGCTGATGGCCGATAATTATGGTATGGATCTAAACCGTGAATGACTCGGGGTGCGGACTGCGAATACATGGGCTAATATATCTCTGTGTCTATCACCTTCCAGGCCCAATCTATCGATTAACCACGTTTGGCAGAGCACGAGTATTCGTCAGCTCCCACGAGTTAGTAGACGAAGTCTGCGACGAGGAACGCTTCAGCAAAATGGTTTCCGCCGGTCTGCATGAGATCCGCAATGGTGTTCATGACGGTCTCTTCACAGCGAACTATCCTGGCGAAGAGAACTGGGCTATTGCGCATCGCGTTCTTGTTCCTGCGTTCGGTCCACTGATGATTCGCGGCATGTTTGATGGTGGGTACCCCTTTTATATCGCAAGAGACCTATATACCAGGCATGAAAGTAGTGAGGTTGGCTAATTTTTGCATCCAGAAATGTATGATATTGCCACCCAACTGGTTATGAAATGGGCTCGGATTGGCCCTACAGTTCCTATTCAGGTTACGGATGACTTCACACGCTTGACGCTGGATACCATCGCTCTTTGTGCTATGGGCACTCGCTTCAACTCGTTCTATCATGATGAAATGCACCCATTCGTTGAGGCAATGGTTGGTTTGCTGGCCGGGTCTGGAAATCGGGCTCTTCGGCCTGCTTTGTTTAACAGCCTGCCTACCTCGGAAAACAATAAGTACTGGAGTGATATCGAGTATTTGCGGAACCTAGCTCGGGAATTAGTGGATTCACGGAAGGAGAATCCTGTCGAGAAGAAGGATCTTCTCAATGCGCTTATCCTGGGCCGCGATCCGCAGACTGGTCGGGGCATGACAGATGATTCGATTGTAGACAACATGATCACATTCCTTATTGCTGGTAAGTGGACAACTCCTGGGACCGGCGTGTTATACCGGATCTAACTTGAAACTTTATAGGCCACGAGACCACCTCCGGCATGTTGTCGTTCCTGTTCTACTATCTCCTCAAGAGCCCGAGCGCATACAAGAAGGCTCAAGAGGAAGTCGACTGTGTGATCGGCAAACGCAAGATCACTGTTGATGACATGTCAAAGCTCCCATATATCACCGCCGTGATGCGCGAGACGTTGCGTCTGAAGCCCACAGCCCCGATGATCGCCCTCCACCCCCACCCCACCAAGAACCAGGAAGATCCTGTCACACTGGGAGGTGGTAAATATGTCCTTCAAAAGGACGAGACGATTGCACTTATGCTTGGAAAAATGCAGCGCGACCCGAAAGTCTACGGCCCCGACGCCGACGAGTTCAAGCCAGAGCGGATGCTTGATGAAAACTTCGAGAAGCTCCCCAAGAACGCATGGAAGCCATTTGGAAATGGCATGCGAGGCTGTATTGGACGGCCGTTTGCATGGCAGGAGGCTCTCATTGTGGTTGCGATTTTGCTGCAGAACTTCAACTTCCAGATGGACAACCCCAGCTACGACCTCCGCATCAAGCAGACACTTACCATCAAGCCCAAGGACTTCCATATGAAGGCTACCCTGAGAGAGGGGCTCGACCCTACGCTGCTCAGCACTACGCTCAGTGGCTCTGCTACCGCACCCACAGAGACTGGCGCCGGCAGCCGGGATCGCAAGCCCAAGGTCGCACCCGTGGATGGCAAGCTAAAGCCAATGCACGTCTTCTATGGCAGCAATACGGGAACTTGTGAGGCATTCGCCCGCAGGCTGGCTGACGATGCTACTGCATACGGTTACGCTGCGCAGACAAGTTCTTTGGATTCGGCCATGCAGAATATTCCCAAGAACGACCCTGTCGTCTTTATCTCAGCTTCATACGAAGGACAGCCTCCAGATAACGCGGCTCACTTCTTCCAGTGGCTCAGTGGGCTAAAGGACAATGAATTGGAAGGTGTCAACTACGCAGCGTTCGGCTGTGGTCATCATGATTGGTCGTCCACCTTCTACCGTGTCCCTAAGGCCATCGATCAACTAGCCAAGAACAATGGAGCTAACCAGCTCTGTGAGATTGGTCTCGCCGATGCAGCAAACTCAGACATGTTCACTGACTTTGATGGCTGGGGTGAGACCTCATTCTGGCCGGCCGTGATGGCCAAGTTCGGCGGAGCTAGCCCTGAAAACTCTCCCAAGCAGAAGTCTTCGTTGCAGGTCGAAGTGAGCTCGGGTATGCGTGCATCCACCCTGGGTCTCCAGCTGGAAGAAGGCTTCGTCATCGAGAACAAACTCCTTACACCACCCGGAGCCCCAGCCAAACGAATGGTCAAGTTCAAGCTACCGACAGACATGAGCTACCAGTGCGGTGATTACCTCGCAGTCCTACCCGTAAACCCAAGCGCAATCGTCCGTCGCGCAATCCGCCGCTTCGACCTCCCCTGGGACGCCGTAATTAAAATCCAGAAGCCCTCAGGCTCAACAGCGTCTCCCTCAATCCCCATTGACACCCCAATCTCAGCCTTCGAGCTCCTATCCACCTACATCGAACTCTCACAGCCTGCATCGAAGCGCGATCTCAACGTCCTAGCCGACGCCGCCATCTCAGACGCAGAGATCCAAGCCGAACTACGCTACATCGCCTCTAGCCCCAGCCGCTTCACCGAAGAAATCGTCAAGAAGCGCGTCAGCCCACTGGACCTGCTAACCCGTTATCCAACAATCAAGCTCCCGATTGGCGATTTCCTCGCAATGCTCCCACCAATGCGCGTGCGCCAATACTCCATCTCAGCATCACCGCTCCTCGACCCGTCCGAATGCTCAATAACCTTCAGCGTACTCAGCGCTCCCGCACTCGCCAACACCGTCCCAGAAGGCAGCGAAAGCATCGAGCAATACCTAGGCGTCGCATCGAACTATCTATCCGAGCTCCAAGCCGGCGAACGCGCACACATCACCGTCCGCCCCTCGCACTCAGGCTTCAAGCCGCCAATTGACCTCGAAACACCAATGATCATGGCCTGCGCGGGTAGCGGGCTCGCGCCATTCCGCGGCTTCGTCATGGACCGCGCGGAGAAAATCCGCGGCCGTCGCAGCTCGGCTGACTCAGATGAATTGCATGATAATGAGGCTTTCAAGCCTGCTAAGGTGGTGCTGTATATTGGCTGTCGCACAAAGGGTCAGGATGATATCCACGCTGATGAACTTGCGGAGTGGGCTGCGCTGGGCGCTGTCGATGTTCGCTGGGCATATAGTCGACCGGCTGATGGAAGCAAAGGGAAACATGTTCAGGATCTCATGCTTGATGACCGTGAAGAGCTGGTAAAGCTGTTTGATGAAGGTGCGAACATCTATGTTTGTGGTAGTACTGGTGTTGGTTCTGGTATTCGCGAGGCTTGCAAGGAGATGTATCTTGAGAAGCGGCGTGCGGTGCATGCTGAACTTAGGGAGAAGGGGGAGACTCCGGCTACTGCTGAGATTGAGGAGGATCAGGCTGCTGAGCAGTTCTTTGATAATTTGCGGACGAAGGAACGGTATGCTACTGATGTGTTTACTTAGGTCAGCAGTTTGGGTGTTGGGGCTGATCCTGTAGTATCATCATATGCTATTTACAAATTGCATCATCTCTTGTTATTTCACCGGACCATGGCCATGAATCCTAATGGCCTCATCAGCCTTATAGCCTGAATCCCAAGGCATTAGATTTCAGCCAATCAGAGCGCAGTTCCTGAAGAACCCCAACACGTGGATTTCCACGTGATTTTAAAACTTTAATGGCGACAGCCAATCAACTGAACGGTTGGGATGCCAGGCCGATGGCGAAGAAGATAGAAACTTTCAATTTGACTATCTCAACATGTTCAATCCAGCATTAATGTATTAGAAACGAAAGCCGTTCTCATCTACATACTTTATACTGTACCTCCGACCTCGGCTCTCTCATACATTGAACCCGGAGTTCTTATTGGACAGCCATACAAATTTGCGCTAAAACCAAGTCGGATGGCGTGATAGAGTCAAGGCTTGGACTATTTCCACCCCAGACATTCGCATTTTTAAGCTCGGCCGAGACAACTTTGAACATTAGATCTTTAAGCTGCTATATATCCAAACTCTGATACATATATCACCATGCCGCAGATCAAGAGTATAGCCATTATCGGAGCTGGCCCAGCTGGCGCCATTGCAGTCGATTCACTAGCACAAGAGCAAGCATTCGATGTGATCCGTGTATTTGAGAGACAAGAGAAAGCCGGCGGATGCTGGTATGTTATTCTAATATTCTAATATCCTCATCAATTCCCAACTCTAACAACCAACAGGGTATCAAGAGACGATGAGCCACCACAGGAGTTCGACTTTGACGGCTTATCTGCAAGAACAGCAGATGCGCCTCTTGAAATTCCCGCGCACCTCCCGTGCCGGACGCCCGTAATCTCCCAGGACCGGTTCATGGATTCACCCGTGTACCCGAACCTGGAGACCAACGTGAACGCAGGAGCCATGTCGTTCTCGCAAGAGGATATTCCTACAGTTCGATCGCAATGGTCGATCGAGCGTCATGGCGCAGACACGCCTTTCCGACACCATTCGGTTATCCGGAAGTATATTGAGGACCTGTTTAACCGGAAGGGGTATCAGGATCTTGTTCAGTATAACACTACTGTTGAACGCGCGATCAAAGATCCCAGCACTCAGAAATGGGTGCTTACACTCCGCAGGACGGAAGTTCTTGACGGCGCCAAGTCTGATTACTGGTGGTCTGAGGAGTATGATGCACTTGTGGTGGCTTCGGGTCATTACGCAGTGCCGTTTATTCCTGTGATTCCTGGGTTGAAGGAGTTTGCTGCGAGATATCCCGGTAGTGTGCAACATACAAAGCATTACCGCGGGCCTGAGAAATATCAGGGAAAGGTAAAAATGAAGTTTCTACCCATTTTGTTCTATTATTCGCTTACACATCGCAGAAAGTCATCACTGTCGGAGCGTCTGTTTCTGCGGCTGATACTGCAGTTAGTCTGGTTGATAGTGCCCAGACACCAGTGATTGCTGTGGTTCGTGGTCGTTACAATGCCTATTTCGGAGATCTTGCATTCCAGCATCCTAAGATCGAGCGTCGCCCGCCCATCTCACACATCACGAGTGATGACCAAGGCGAACGAACTGTGCATTTCGAAGACGGTACCTCTGAAACTGGTGTTGACCATCTGATCTTTGGAACTGGATTCAGCTGGACTCTGCCATTCTTGCCTGAGGTCGCTACACGGAACAATCGCGTGCCAGATCTCTACCAACATGTCTTTTATAGACATGATCCATCCCTGGTTTTTGTAGGCGCTGTGAGTCTATCAACCCGATTTTTTTTTCTGTTCTTCCGCGGATCAAAAGCTAACGAATATCCTCAGGTTGGTGCTGGATTGACCTTCAAAGTCTTTGAATGGCAAGCTGTCGCCGCCGCACGTGTTCTAGCCGGAAAAGCAAGCCTGCCCTCAATCGCCGAGCAGGAAAAATGGGAGACCGACCGTATTGAACAGAAAAGCGATGGCCCAGCATTCACAGTGCTCAACCCCGAGTTCGAGCCCTACTTTGAAAGCCTCCGTCAGCTTGCGGGGGAGCCTCGTGGGGCAGGACGACGACTGCCTCGGTTCGATCAGAAATGGCTGGCGGATTTCAATGAAGGCCACGAGCGCAGAAAGAAAATGTGGCGCCGGGCCAATCAAACGGCTCGGTTGTGAATTTGACCGTAAGGGTCGTTGCATTTGAGGGAATTAGGGGATTAAGGAATTAAGGAGTACTCATAGTCCGTAGATATGTAGATATGTATGTAGATCACTAAATAAATGGCCAAGCAAGGAGAAACTAAATTAACAGATCCCACTTGCCTTTTTCTCCCTTTTTGTCTCACTCTAGTACCACTTTGCCTAACTAGATCGCACTAACGGGTCAAAAACGATCAAGGATCAACGAGCGAATGACCTCTGGAGAGTCCCATGCCATTTCTTTCAGTTCCTGAGCTCCCAGTCAGCCCCCAGTCAACTCCACTTTTTAGGCCAATATCTCCATAGGGGCTTGGCATTTCCCCCCCCCCCTCGACCCTGTTCAGGAGGTTAAAAAGAGGTTTTAGGGACATTACAATTTTCATATATTAAAATCCCCCGATCCCTTCCTTCTCCGAATGTCGTCGAGCCACTCATTCCTCTCTCTCTCCACCACGATCGACTACACATCCCTGCACACCCTAAATAGCAGCTAAAATCACAAATCCCGTTTCGCGTCGCGTCGAGATAATTCCGATCGGATCACCCGGCAAGCGCAAATCACAAATCACCATGACGCCTCCCATAACTAAAAGCGCCAACGGCACGCAATTCACACAGCCGGTCGAGTGCTACAACTCGCGCGACGCCATCCCTGCCATGCCCTCCAATATCCAATATTATAATCAGGTCCCGCTGTACCAGACAGAATCCCCGCACAAAGATATGAAGGCTATTTTGCAGGACTGCTGTTCGAATGGGGTGTGGATTTATGCGGATCCGGATCCTTGTACGGCTATTTGTGATTCGACTACTTCGGCCGAGGCGAAAAGGGTCATGTACTGCTTGAATGCGGAGAATGTTGTACATGGAAGCAAAACGGAGAAGACTTCTGGGGCAGGGAGGAGTCCGGCGGTGGGATGGGCTTATTTGATTGCTGGGGGGATGCTTCTGTCTGCGATGTTTATTTGATGGCATTGGAGAGGGTGTTGGTTTGCATTTTGTGATACCTATTTGCGATTTACGGAGTTGGTTTTGATGTGAACATATTCCTGTACATATTGCTATAAGAGATATACTCAATTAATATGGCACAGGCCAAGTCGGAGGGCAATTCATCAGCATTGTCCGAATCTGGGAACTGCTCTTGTCGCTATATTCAATTTATGTTGGATACGAGGCATTATTCTCGAAGCCAATCCCCAATTTAGTGTCTTGCCTTGAAAATGTGGGCTTCTTGCCAAGTCTCCACAATTGACTTGGCGACGACAAGCAACTGAGGCACTAGGCATTGGCGTGTCAGATCAGTAAGCGCTTTCATCCTGGTAATACAAGCCACTTCACAGAATCATACGCCACAGAGGATGAAATGCGCCGAACTGCATATAGCGGCAGCTTGCATGAAGTAGCTTTGACTCGAACGGCCCGATTGGATTCGAAATGTTCCATATGTGATGAGAATTATTGGTATGCATATAACAAGGAGAAAAGGAAAACACCATAAGACAACCATTCGTTAAATTGGCAAATAGAGCTCAAATAGTAAGCGAGATAAGCGAACTTTGGACTTTTTCTAACATATTTTACCCAAATCCCGCCAAGCTGACTAGCGTTCATAAGATAATGAGTTATGAGGCTTTAACTCCGATATTCAGGCTCGGAGCCGTTCCGGATGATTTGCGATGGACCAGGATGGGGAAGAGTATATCCTTTGAATTATCCACAAATGGCTATCTTCCACCACACTATTTAGCCGTATGAAATATGAATATACCCGAATATGTTTACAGATTGGCCACGGAGCATCCCCGACCCCACGTTCAACCCCGCCATCAAGATAATCATCACATCCCACATATACAAATAGTAAAAGCAATTCTCCCATAACAAAACATCCCTCACTATCCCCCCAAAAAAAACCCTAACCAACAAAACTACATCATGGACTCCGTCAGAGGCAGAGTATACGCCGTAACCGGTCTAGGCGGAATCGGCCTCGCCGTCGCCCGCCAACTACACTCCCAAGGCGCGCTCCTCTCGCTCGCAGATCTAAACGAAAAAATCCTCGAAACAGCCCGACAGACCATCGAAGCGGAGTTCGGATCCTCAACAGCCGAAACAATCACCACAACCGCCTTGGACATCAGCAACGTAACCGCCGTACAAGACTGGATCGCCAGCACGGTCTCGCACTTCGGCCGGCTGGACGGCGCAGCCAATATGGCCGGCATGATCGGCAAGAATCACGGCACTGGCAAATTCGTCGACCAGGATGATGCAGAGTGGGATTTGTTGATGCGCGTCAATGTTACCGGGTTGATGTACTGTATGCGGGCGCAGCTGAAGGCGATTACTGCAACTGCCCCTGGGGGCAAGGGCAGTATTGTTAATGCGTCGAGTATTCAGGGGTTGAGAGGGTTTGGGTTGCACGCTGTTTATTCGACTACGAAGCATGCTGTCACAGGCATGACGAGGTCGGTTTCGAAGGAGGTTGGACCTGATATTAGGGTTAATGCTATTGCGCCGTGAGTATTTGTTTTATATTGTTTTTTTGATGATGGGTTTGACTAATTGGATTTGTGGTAGTGGTTCTATTCAGACACCTTTGCTGGAGATGGCAAAGGAAATTCAGGGTGGCATCACTCTGCCGGACCTTAGTATCCCGCGTATTGGCAAGGGCGAGGAAGTTGCTCAGACTGTTGTCTTCTTGCTCAGTGATGCTTCGTCGTATACCACTGGACAGATTCTTAGCGTTGACGGTGGGTGGGAATAAGTTTGTGGTTGAAAGGGCATGAATTGTTGGGTTTAGAGTACCATGGAATGGTATGCCAATGGCATGTATTCGTTATGAGAAACGGAATGAAACAATCGCTAGATGATAGACATGATCTTGGGAATCGAATCAGACGCCACTGCCATGATATATGAGTATAATTGCTGAAAAGCACGAAGAAAGGAGCATAATATGACTGATGGGAGCAGCAGGGCAGGGCCACTACTATGACCATATGCACAGCCATAAACCTATAGCCACATATCAGCACACAACGCACATAAACATCGGAAATCTTACCGGAAATTATTGATAGATAACTCCAATGAGGAGGTCCGAAAGGTGAGGCCTTATTATTGGCTGTGGCATTTTGGCCTCCAACAGGGACTGGCCACCCATCCTCATAGTCCAGATAATTCCAGCCGAGTTGGGCTTGCTGCGAGAACGGTCAGTTGAAATCCCAGCCCCAAACGAAAGACAAAAACAAAGACTCACACCATGTCCAAACCCAATCGACGTATTCAAATAATGATAGTAGAGAATATCCGACGCGGAATCGTTATTCCCAGCCAAGACACCCAAACCACCAGGCGCATACACAACCCCATGATTAGAACCATAGACCACAGTCCCACCCCCTTGAAGCAACAGTCTCCCCTTCTTATCTACAAAAGGCCCACGCACACTCCTCGACCTCCCAACACGAATACTATATTCCCTCCCGCGTGCCGGGAACCCAGCCTTGAAATTACAACACTTCCCATGACTAAACCAAGCATAATAAAATCCCTGTCGGAAACTCACCCACGAGCCCTCCTCAGGCTTAGACTTGGCACGCGGAATATACGTCAACTGCACAGCATCTGGCTTGCGCGCATCTTTAACAGAGAGCAAATCATCGGCCAGTGGCACCTGCCATATATCATGCCAGAAGCTTCCGTAGTTGAGATAAGTCTGCCCGGAATCCCCGTCGACGATGACAGACGCATCGATGGCGTTCGTGATCGTGTACGGCCACACCCCAGCCCCGACGCCCTTGCCGGTATTAATGACGACACCATGGTCTGTCCAAGGACTACCGTCGAGGGATGTTGTCGTTGCGACACCAACTGCGCTGTTGCGGGACCCTCTCGCGCTCAGCGTGTAGTAGCAGTAGAAGGTGCCGTTTTTTTCGATTGTTGTTGGCGCCCATGGGCGGGACTGGTTGCCTTTCGGGATTATGCTGTCGCCGGATAGGACTGTGCCGAGCTTTTCCCATGGGCCGGATATATTGTCTGATTTGAAGATTGGGATGTGGATCCCGCCTTTGAAGAGGTAGTAGTGTTCGTCGTGGAAGATGATGTTTGGGTCGTGGGCTGGGATGTTTCCTGGGTTTGCGAGGGGGAACTTGTTCGTTGTTTTGTATACTTGTTTCGGGCTGTATTCCCGGGTTTGGATTTGCGATGGGACGGCCCCTGTCAGTGGGGCTGCGATCGCGATGAGTATTGATAGGAGGAGTGGGAGGTGATGCATTGTCGGGTGCTTATATATATTGGATTCTATCCAGGGATGCAGGGATTATTGTATGAGGGGGATTGGCCTTGCTGGCCGGGGGGTTGGGAGTCATCAGATCGTGATCCACATGACTTTGTTCGTTTATTTAAGATGTCCGGAGCAGCCAATGCAGTGAAAAGGGGAAGAGGATAGCTGGTGGAGTCGAAGCGGAGAATTGGAGAAAAGGGAGAAGCACATGGTATAAATATGCAAGGGTGAGGAAGAAGAAGAAAAAGAAAAATGACAGAAAAAGAATCAGCTTCGAGCATCATCGAATTTACTTGCAAAGCCAAGTGTTTTGAGATTTCTTTTTTTAATATTTTATATCCTCCTTGGACAGATCGGGATCATATCCCGCTTTTGCTATATTTGGCCGGGTACCTGAAGATACCTTGTTCCGCAGCCATTATCTGCCTTGTTTACCAGTACCCTTAGGTACTAGACCCGCACAGTCTGGCCTATTACGTTCATTTCGTTAATTATACTGGGTCTATCTCTGGTGTTTCTTACTGTTTTTGCATGACTACAAATATTGCATTTCTAGAACGTGCAAGGCCGATTGGTTCTTAAATGTCGTCCCCACAATACCTAGGTTGTTGTACCTAGCTCCAGGGCCCGTAGCACGATCAATAGCCAATAATACTCTCCGCTATAAGGCAAGGGTCTTCACAAAAGCAACTGTCAAAGCTAGAGGGAAAAAAAGTTAGTTCCATATAAGGCTCGGCAATTGCACCTAAGGGTGCAGATAAAAACCCGTGCTGATTTCGTTTGTCTGATCTGCACTCCCTTGCATGCTGGCAATCCTGATTCCTCCTATCATGATCTCATGGTGGACCCGACTGAATGACAACATTCATAATTACATATGTAGGCAACTAAATATGATCGCATTGCGATAACTAGATTTCTTGATATTTACTACGGGTATCCAGTGAGCAAGTCCAACTATATACAATGAAAGAAGACGCGTGTATGGTACAATGTCCGTATAAAAAAAAGTCAAAGTCTGCTCCAACCGCTTGGCTCAGCAGGGAAACGTCATGCTTGTTAGATCCTCCCAATCGAAGATCTCCAAGAAAGGATCGAACTCGCCAGGCCGCTGGAAACTCATAGTTAGCACCAAAAAAAAAAAAAAAAAAAAAAAAAAAAAAAAAACCAAGGAGAATGCAACTCACTATCACGCCAGCTTGCGGCGGCGGCGGGAGCATCCCATTAGGATCAAATTCGGACTGTGTTACAGGCACCATTGTTGGAGCCGCCATATATGCAGCCAGTTGGTTGTTCTTGAAATTGCCCACCCCCTTGTCGCCGAGGTGGTCGCAGTTCATGTGTCGAGAGAAGAGAATCTGCGCAAATGACAGGACTCGCTCGACAACCTGCTGCTTGTACATGGCTGCCTGTGCCGGCCAGAGTCGGGCTTTGACGAGTGCGACGATCGTTGAGAGGAAGTAATAGTCTTTTGCTCCCTTGGTCACCAAAAGGGAGCGCTCTTCTAAGGCGACCAGTGCTGACTCTACGAGTGATAGGAGCGATTCGGGGATGCCGGGTATATTGTGGAGAAGGAATGTTGATGAGACGGGATAGGAGGGGGAAGCTGCAAAGTATGAGTCTAGGTTCTCAAGGTCAAGTACTGAATCGCAAGAAAAGACTTACCGGTGTCGGATTCGGTTGTGTGTAGCAATTGGCATACGGAAATGTAGGCGTGGATAGTCCATTCACCAAGTATACACAGCGATAGCGTTCGCGAGATCTCGTGTAGCCGGCGCTGGGTTGCCAATATTCTCGTCGCGGCATCCATGCGAGTACGCGCGGATGGAGCAAAGAGGGGTTCTCGTCGTGCTTCAATGGCGAAAGGAGTGTGGACAGACAGTAGAGACTGGGAAAGTTTGGTCTCAATCAACCCTTTCCAAAGTATTACTTTGTGCTGGGTGACGATGTCGTTGGTGTCTGGTGTCACCCAAGCAGGAATCCGAGAAATATGCCGGTTGAGCTCACCATCTAGGCGCTGAATATCCTCATATCGACAGTTGATCCGTGGGGAGTGCATGAGAGAACATGCTTGAAGGCGGAGAGGTAATGAGCGACTCATGATATACTGGAATGATGAGTCGGTAACTTCACTCGGTGGCCGGCTTTCGGGAACTTCAGTGCTGTTCTCGTGGATCTCGTCGTCGTAAATGTTCAGCCCCGGAGCCGCATCATAGTCGAAGCTTTGAACTGACGGTGGCATTCCCCGGTCAAAAGCAACTTGCAAGTCCAGTTCCACAATGGTTGTCCATACTCTCCGTCGCATCTCTTTGTTGAATACAGATATGCGCGAGTACCGGCTTGGGTCGCGATGGTATCCTGCCATCATTGCTTGCTTGACTAACGTACTTGTTGTGAGCCAAGCCTGGCTGCGTTTCATTCCATGCGCGTTGCGCGCCAAAATCAATAGAATAGAGAGTCGCATTGATGTGATTTCTGGACGCTTGGTGCGGAGATTTTGGATCCATTTTTCTGCGTGCAGCGTCCACTCGAGTGCAGACTGGCACTTGAGTTCGCCCACACTTTTTGACTGCAGAGTAGCAAAATCTGCAAGGTTCCATGCGCAGGCAAGGACCAACAATACCTGAACTGTAAAACCAGCAGATATTGAGGCCGGACTGTCTAACATGGCCCAGAATTGGTCAAGCTCTCGTAAAAAGGATGGAACATGAAGAATGCGGTGAGTCGACTCGATAAAATTGATATACAGCCCAACCAGCTCATCAACTACACCGCGCGAGGGCAGCATGTTAATTAGCGAAACCGTCGTAGGGTCGGGGAAGGGCCGATTGAGCACCATCATCTTGAATAGCCCGCGCTTAACCCTTCTCAGGTCCGGGTGAAGGTGCGCGAAAATTGGAGTAGAAAGCCTGATTTCCTCTGCAAATGATCTAATATCCGGAAACTAGAAATATGTCAGCCTCTGTATTTTGATTCCCATCGGCAATTGGAAAATAAAGAGCAGCGGAAGACATACCTGTGCTACTAGACTGGCAAAGATGCCCGATCCGCTAAACCGCGTTTTAGTTTCACGGCCCCTCATCATGATGCGAGGAGCTAGGTCTAGCTGGTCCGCAGGTGACAACGGGTCCTCTTCTTCATCAATGTGCGCATCATCGACCTGCGACGGTGCTTGCCGATCTTGCTCGGATACCGGCGCCGGGCGCTTGAGGCGCGGTAAAAGACCCATGTTCATGTAAGGTTCCTGATTGACAGCAGCCTTGGGAGCACCAAGAACAGTTTCCAAAAAACAGTCCTTTCGCTCTCTATCGTGTGGTCGACCCCTGTAAGGTGGTGCAAGCGCATGACCGGTAAGACCATGATAATCGTGATGCATGGGGCTACCGGCCATAGCCATCCGAGGTAATTCACTAGTTGGGAAAGGCTCCGTCCGAGTTGAGACGGTCGGTATTCCCGAATCCGGTGGTGTGTCAATTGGGGTATCTCTGGGCATAGATATCGTGGGCCCTCTGTCAGTCGCAAATGCAGTAGTTGCGACAGTTGTGGGCTGCTGCCATAAAAATCCATCCTCATATGTGCATTTGCTTGGGGTTCTGCTCTTTAAACAACGGCTGCAAGTGGGATACTCGCGATCGCATCGCAACTTGCGCGTGCGACATTGCGTGCACGCCATTGTGCGGCGGCGGCGCTTACGCACACGGTCGGGCTGCACGTTCCCTGGAATATCCATATACTCGGTTTTGGAGGCAACAAGCTCGGGTTATACTTGAGAAAGATCTTACGTCCGAGATGTTCAGGAAGTTCTCGTGGGAATTGGCTCCAGCTCCGGCTTACGTGGTCCCGCTCTGCGCCCATGGGACCTCCAAATCCGGAAAGTCTGACCGACGTCGCGTGGAGTTTTTTTTTTGTTTCATTTTTTCTGTGTTTATTTTTTGGTTTGTTTGTTTTTGTTTCTTTTATATGTTGAGTAACAGATCAAAATTCCGCTTTTTTTCCTTGTTTCTTTGGGACATCTATGGATTCTTCAGGTTGTCATTTGGGGGCCTATTTTCGAAAAGTCCCACAAAATCCAAGTCCCGAAGGGTCCGTGGACACCCTGGCCCCTGCTAAGGGGAAAGGGTTTAGTGCATTGACATGGTTATATCTTCATATCTCTGACACTTCGGAACAGAAAATGTTCCAAGGCCTGCCGGAAAATATTCAAGCATTGGGAATTGGTAACTGCATCCCTTGGCAATCTAGGCAACACTAACACGCGATAATCCCCGATGGTGGTCTAGTTCCGAATCACGAGAATACATATGTAGCCAAGACCACTGCCAAGATCCATATCAACACTACCCCTATGCTGTATGTTGTATATGCTGTACGCCATCCTTGTATGAGTAACCTATAGGACTCTATGCACAGATATCTGTTTTGATTGGTACTAACGGAATACGAAATGGTACTATATAAGCTTTGCCTGGCAGCACCCGACACTTCCAGGCAATTTGATCGGGTTACATAGAGGAAATCGTCTTATGACAACTGATATCTTCCGGGTTTCAAAATCCGTTACACCAGTATTGCCTTCGCTCGGGAGCCAACGTCCTTGTACTAATGTTCACTCTACGTTCAATGATACACAAGAAGTAAAGGGGTTCTCATACAGCCTTGTGTCAATATCAGTACATGTTTTATTCTTCAAAGACATGACTAAACTTAAGGTTGGTGTTGAGTGGATTTCCCGCAGATCTGATAAGCTTGGACTGTACTCCGTACAGCTCATGGGGATCAACGGCCAGGTGCTAAACTTAGGATGTGAGCTTAGGCTTAATGGCTCCACGTGTATCAAATAAATGGACGTTGACTGGTTATAATTTTCCGCGTTAGACTACTAAGCCATGCGACAAAACGGGGCTCCGGATGAATAACCCCCACTTAACCCTTAGAGACCTCGGGAGATCTGAGTTTGGAGATAGCGCTGTCAACTCGGGAATTCGGCCTTTTCGACCGGACTTGGTGCATATCTCGGAGATACTGGGCTTTATATTTACCATCTCCAAATCTCTAGGCAACCTTCAAATTCAAAAAAACCCAACACGCCCAACATCTGGACTCAACTTTCAACTTTACTTCGTGACTTAATCACACTTCCGACTATGCTGCGTTCCTTGCTTTCCTTCGGCCGTACAGACGCCAATACCAACGACTATCTCTTTCCTAAAGTGAATCCTAAGGAGGACGGCGCTGAATGTTTAAAGGACTGCGCCGACTGCACAGTGAAGTTTCCATCAAAAGTCAAGGTCGACGAATTTAGACCTCTATATGGCCAAATCAAGGAATTTCACGCCCATGTTCTTGTGGCAACTGGAGAATCCGACTGGAAGGAAAAGAATGTCGAAGACGTGCCAGGAAGTTTGATGGAAGCATTCGATGGAGCGAAATCAGAGCATGGCGTAAGCTTCGAAATATGCATCTAACCCACCTTCACTAACACCCTATCTAGCGCATTAAAGTCTCGGCATCAAATCTCACTCCTCCAGAACAACAAATCACAGACGAAAGTCCCAACCAAGGCACGACAGTACTAATTCTACCATCATTCACATACATCGACTCTGTCAAACAAACAGACGTTGCAGAACTAGTAAACAAATATATCGACCACCCCACCGACCAGCAAAATGAGAATATCACCATCTCTCCCGCGAGTGGGATGAGTGCCCGACCCTGTGAGCTTGACTACGTGATATTACTGTGCTCGCATGGACGCCGAGATGCGCGCTGCGGTATTACCGCGCCTCTCATTAAGCGTGAGCTGGAGCGACATCTCCGTCCGCTGGGATTAGACCGAGATGCGGACGACTCCCGCGCTGGTGGGGCTGGCATTTTCTTCGTGTCGCATGTCGGTGGACACAAGTTCTCTGCGAATGTTTTGATCTATCGCAAGAAGGATCAGCAGATGATTTGGCTTGCGCGTGTACGACCTGAGCATTGTGAGGGTATTGTTAAGTACACTCTTCTGGAGGGGAAGGTTGTGCATCCTGAGTCGCAGTTGAGGGGTGGGTTTGATCGGGTGAAAGGGTTGACAAGTTGGTAGTTGGGGGATAATAGTGCTAGAAATGGTTATCTTTAATACATTCATAGCGAGGGAAATCGGGAATGATAGGGTCTTTGGGCAAGAATTCCAAGGTTGAATTATACGACTATGTAAGATCTCTTTCGGTCTCTTTCGGTCTCTTTCGGTCTGTTGCATAGCAATATAAAAGCTTAGGAGCCACAACGATCAAACCAGACCTTTTCCCCCTTCAGAGTAGGTTCCAAAAGAAGTCCAACCCTTGTCGCCACACCCGCAGCATCAATGTAGAATTCCACTGTGAAAGGCGGCATCAAGTTAAATCCTGCGTTATGGAGGCTTCCCACAAAGAATTCACCGCTTGCATGAACCAGAGACAACTCAGAGGGAATGACTCGATCCTCCAGGTTGGCAATGAGTCCATCATTGCTTAGTTGGATGACAAGAGTCATACCCATGGGGTGTGTATATGTCCCAGTATATCTAGACATATGCAAGGCAGATGGAATCGGAGGATGGGACAAAGAAGGGAACAGTCGCTCTTTTGAGTCCTCTATACGTTCATTTTTCAACCTTGATTCCCACTCCTCAGTTTGTCTTGCAACACAAGCTGCAATCTGCTCCTCATATTTCGGGTCATCTAATAGACCAAGCCGTTTGTCCAAAAGATAAGTAACCAATCTAAACGCAGCATATCGAGCCGAAAAGGAGTTGCCCATGACCACAAACCCAAACTTCTTCTCGGGGACAAAGCCTACCCAGCTCGCATAGCCAGGCCAGCCACCGCCATGACTATAGAAATGCAGACCGCGGTAGTTATCCACAATCCATCCGAGCCCATATGCATGGTACGGAGCGGGCAAATTCAAGTCATCATTCTGGAAATATATTGTTCGCGGATCCGTTAGACTGTCGTGTCCTTTCAACGGCCCGGTTCTTTCAATCAACTCCCGCACCCAATGGGCGTAGTCAAGAACGTTACTGACGATAGCGCCAGCACCACTGTTAGCTGGCCAGTCGTTTTCTGGACGTGGAATGAACGTTCCGCCTTCCTTTGTAGGAAACCAGTCGTACGCTTGCACAAGCTTTTCGGCGGTTGATGGGTTTGCCCTTGCTTCGCCTGGCGAGAAGAACGTCTCGCTCATACCGAGCGGGTCCCAGATGCGTTTCTTCATGAACGCTCCAAGCTTTTCGCCGGTGTGCTGCTCCAGCGCGTGCGACACAGCTATGTACATGTGATTGCTGTAGTGGTATTTAGTGCGTGGCGGTGTCGCGAGAGGCATGTATTGCATCGCGCGGACAATAGAGCGTGGTGTTGGACCCTTCTTTGAAAATAGAGCTAAGGTCCAGCCATTCTCTGGCATACCCGATCGATGCGATAACGCATCTTCAAGTGTGATATTCTTGGTCGCGTAGTCGTTCTCCAGGACAAAATCTTCTGGTATCAGGGAAGCCACAGGTGTGTCCCAGTCAATAGGGGACTTGGTGGTCTTGCTGTGCTGGATTGTTATAGATGTCGCAGCACCAGTAAAGGCCTTGGTGGTGCTACATGCTGCGAACAACGCATCGGTTGTCATATCCCGGGCTGGTCGATCCGTGCTATGATTTGCCAGTTCTGCCTTTCCATATGCCTGTACTCTGTGAGCATTTGATACATCAAGTGGATTGATAATATTACCTTGCTGTAGGTATTGGCGCCATGAATGATAGCGATACTCAAGCCGGGGACTTTCCATTTTTCAAGTTGCTCTTTTACAAGGGCATCAAACTCTCCATCGAACGGGGATTGCTCGGAGGACACGCTCATTGTGAAAAAGAATTAAAAAAAATTACGCAACGCGATGGTGACTCGAAAGGTCGTTGTAGCCAGATTTTAACAATGGCATTAAATATCAGCAGAGCTATTCCGAATATGTAATCTCGCCCCACACAAAGAGCCTCCAGACTATGGGGTGATTGGGATTCCGGGCCGAGGTCATTCGAACTAAGCCAAGATTGGTGGTTTCAACAAGCCCCCGTTCCCAAATAAGCCATCCAGAGGTCAGCCTAGCAGGCAGACAAAATATTATTAATGCATGGTATTCGCTTCAACGCTCATAGTAATTACAGCTCTAGATCACGAGTACGTGTTCACCTAGAGATCTAAACATATCCCACCAATCCCCATTATGCCGCGGCGAAGTCCACAAATCCTCCAACGCTGCGCGAACCAACAGCACAGAGTTGAAGCGCAAGTATTTGTATATAAATTCCAGTCTCTCCAAGACGAAGGCCTGCTGGTCTTGCAGAAATGTGTGGGCACCCATTATGTACAACGGAAATATTATACAGTTATGAGCTTTAGAAAGAGGCGAGATGCTTTTGATGCACTCCACACATGACTGGACATGTTGCTGTACCAGACAATGCCTCGGTGGAAGGCCACAAATTGCTCGGTAGAGGTAGACGAGCGCACTATGTTGAAAAGCACGCGTGAAGGAATCGGCCTGCATCCTTGCTTCAAGCGTTGATTCATGCACAGTGTCAGTATTTGGGTTTTTGATATGGTCGGTGTTGAGAATTTGGAATGACGGCTGTAGGCATCGCTCAAAATCTCGCACCACTTCCATTGAGAATGTCTCCGGAACTCCTTTGATTTGCTGGCGATATAAAGACATTTCTGCCATTATTCTAAACACCGATGCCAGTGTCGTGCCATTGTATGTTTCTTGGTCCCACCACACTGTCCCATGCTCTATCTGTGTCCAGATTTCAGCAGGAAAGCAAGGAGCTCGATCGTCCAGCAGAGCCTTTGTCAGGTCTGTGGATGCGAACTCTGATAATAGCATAGTGATATCCTTTTGGCCCATTTTGATAAGAGTTGTGAAACCTCCAAGGTGATCAACGATCGCTTGGACACCCACGTGGTGACTTGCTGTCGAGGCAGATTGATGATCACATTCAATGAAGCCGTCCAGAAAATAGAGCAGAAAGACTGCGATCAGCAGAGGTGAAAGTGATGCTTGATTGGAGTTATTGATTCGAAGCTGCTCCCTGATTGAAGCCAAGCAGCTCATTCTTTTATCAAACGGTGCGCTCACTGTGTTACTTCCAGCCTCGTCCCGCAGTGTGCGATGCGCCTCGGCCAATTCACATACAGCCAGTAGCACAGGTTGGAATTCCATGGCCAAAGATATGGGTGGTGGGCAAGGATGAGCCGCAGTGGTGAAGAGAGGCCATACAGCGAATTGAAAGTATTCAAGGGCCTTGAGATCTCCAGCGGCCAAGTTATTATCTTTCAAGTGCATATTGAGGCTCATAACTGGGGTTTGATACATGGCCAGACTTTGTGTTGTGGGTGGAGCCTTTTTCCACCTGATCAACAACTTGTCGTAAGAGCATTTTGCCCCAGACGAGACACATCTCTGGCATAGGGGCTTCCGAAGATCGCACTTCACCCGGCGGTGTTTGCAGGGCCAACACGAGCCTTGAACCGTACGCTCACGTTTTGGGGGCATAATTGTACGGCTGTCATTGCGGTGCAGTATGACTAAAGTTGGGACAAAAATGTGAGTAAATTCGTGTTGGGACCTGGGAAGGTCGTGGTCAAGGGAAAGTGGAGACCTGGGGACGCGAAAGTACCGATAAGAACCTTCAAATGTTGGAAACTGCGGGGATGGTCATGTGACTACATCATGTGATTACACCACGTGCAGGTTGTTTATCTTCCCCCGAATTTTCGAAAACTTGCTGATTACATATATGTATTACTATCCCACTTGGGCAACTAGGGAGATCTACGGAGTACAACTGGTCTTTTTTTTAATTATTTTAAGCGAAGAGATACAAAATACATTTGTTTTAACACACACCTTGTGGACCATCGATTTCCTCGTGCGATATCACAATCGTGCACTTTGCTTGTCAACTTCTCCTGCCACCTCGAGGATGTCATTCCTGTCTTTCTCGAGACGAGCCTGAGTAGTCTCAAAGATTTTCGGGATTCCAGATTCAGCAAATGGGATTCCCTTCGAGACCATAGCTGCAATACCCTTACCGGAAAGCCATGCCTGCGGCATGCCATGGCCAGTGAACCCAGCAATGATAAACAGTCCCTTTTTCCCGGGGACTTCTCCAATGTGAGGCAAAGAATCTGTGGAGTAGCCCATAACTAGCAAATGATCATGTCAGCGTAATTTTCCACAGTTGAGTGTTGGGGTATGCATACTTCCGGTCCAAATCTGATCCACATATGCACCGCTTCCCTCCCAGCCGTGGAAGTTCCGTTGCATATAACCGTCGAAATACTCCTTGGCAGGCTCAATCATCTCGTTGTCGTTGACATTATTGTACCAATCTCCCGTGTTCCGGTAGTATTTACTCCAAGCACCACCGACAATCACGCTTCCATCTTCACGAGGGATGAGATAGTCGAATTCGCTCCATGACCATCGGAGAGTGTATGTTTCGGTAAGCTTTTTCACTGGGCGAGCTGGAACTATTCTGCAACAGACTCCACGCACTGGAACAATCTTGTTCGAGTACATAGGAAGAACAGCCGATGTATAAGCATTGCTGGCGAAAACAACGTGTTTCGCCTTGATAGCGCCCCGTGGCGTGTCAACAATCCATTGACCTGAGCCATCTTTAGCCAATGAGACATTCTGTGCTGGAGTGTGCGTGTAAAGTTTTGTTCCTTGTTCGACACAACGGCCAAGAATGTGTAGGATCAATTTATAGGGCCAGATATGGCCAGCCTCATAGCTAAAGCAGCCTTGGGCCCCCTTGACGCGAGACCTCTGAAGATAATTAATTGGTGTTCATTCCAATGGTGCCTTCGATGTTGGAAATGCTTACCTGTTCCGCTTCAGTTTGATCGGTGAAGCTGACGCGTTCGGCTGATTTGACGCCAATGCCTGGCAAACGATCAAATTTAGATTTGACCTTTTTGCACTCTTTCGCATTCAACTGAACATCGATTGCCTTTGTCACGACAAGATCGCAATCAAGATTCTCGGACTTCACAAGATTGCTAATAGCATCAACGTGAGATCGCTCGAATTCAGCTACCTCTTCAGCTAGTTCTGGGCCGTACTCTGCGGCAAGTTGACTGATGAAGCTATATGGATCTGGCTTTAAGTGGCCACCTGGTTGTATTGCGTTAGGCGTGAAGGCGGATAATCACTATCGGTAAATGGCTTACCGTTTCGACCTGTTGCCCCAGAGCATGCTTGGCGCGCCTCTAGTATGGTCACCGTTGGTGGATTGGGTCCTTTGCTCTGTTGCAGGAGATGATACGCAACTGATGCGCCCGATATCCCGGCTCCAATAATCACAATGTCCGATTCTGTTAGCACGGAATTAGATGACACGTAGTCGTCAAGTTGGTGCAGTTGGGTCCTCCACCAAGATGGTAGGGCATGTTGAGCTGGCATGGCGGCCATTTTTGTGCGGGAATTTCAAGGGAGAGGACTGATAGAGTAGTAAAGCTCTAAGAACAAATGAAGGTGCAATTTATAGTCAACAGACGAGGTCGGAAATATATTGAAGATTTACCTTACACATAATCGCCCAATATGCCGATCACTTTTGGTCAATTTAGTTTCCCGATTTGCAAAGTCTAACGCCTCGCACTAGCAGGGATTATTTTAGGGTAGGTAATCTAGCAGGTTTAGACACAATAGGCAACTCTATAGACCAAACTATGGTACTTTGGTGAAAGAGTTTGTGGGGGTTGAGGCCATAATCAGGGCAAGATTCCTCAACTAGTAATTATCCGCCAATGAACATCCCAGTGGACCTTATCTTTTACAGCAAAGTTTTGAAGGATTTGCCGACGTCAGATGTAGTTAGTGTCTTTGCTAGACAGAATCAGGAATGTAAATTGACCAAAATATAGCATGGATAAGGCTAAGAGATACGGATGCATATATATTTCGCGGTTTTTGCAAAATGGAGCATCTATAGCTCTCCATTCTTTTCTACTCCTACCTTCACACGACGATACAATCCACTCAACATGGATGAAGAGAAAACATCCATGAAAGAAAAGTCCAGCTCAGACATCATAGCTGCCCAAGATGCCGAGGGTCTAGGTACAATGGGCCATGTCCAATCCCTGTCACGCAAGTTCAGTCCATGGAGCATGCTCGCACTCTCATTCAGCGTCCTCGGAACCTGGGCGACGTTCGCAGTTGATCTCTCCAACGGCTTAACAAATGGAGGACCTATCACGATTCTATACGGCCTCCTTCTTGTCACATTCTGCAATCTCTGCGTGGCTCTTTCTTTGGGAGAGCTGTGTAGCAGTATGCCCACCGCATTGGGACAAGCTTATTGGGTATCCCGTATCTGGAAATCCCCAATGGGTCGTTTGGTGTCTTACTCCTGCGCTTGGATCAATGTTTTTGGGTGGTGGACTCTTGCTGCATCACAAAATGCATTCATGACTGAGATTATACTTGGAATAAAGACGATATCCGATGAAGACTGGGCCGGGACAAGACTGGGATGGCTGAAGTTTGTGATTTACGTTTCTGTCACCATGGTGATGACACTCTCAAATGTTGTTGCTTGTCGCAAGGACTGGATCCTCCGTTGGTTCAACAATCTCGTTGGAGCTTGGTTCGGAGGAGAGTTCATCGTTTTCTCTCTCGCTATACTCATTGCAGTCGGTGTCAAAGACGACCTGTCATTCCAACCGGCTTCGTTTGTCTTCGGTCGATGGATCAACGATACTGCATGGAGTGATGGCGTCGCCTGGTTTATAGGCCTTGTGCAGTCCGCTTACGGCCTGACTGCTTTCGATGCTGTGATTCATCTAATTGAGGAACTCCCATCCCCGCAAAGGAATGGCCCGCGAGTTCTTTGGCTCTCGATCGTATCGGGTGCAGTCTCAGGGGGTATTTTTATGATCGTCTGCCTTTTCTGTATTCAAAACCTGGAAAATGTTCTAGACCCTGCATCGGGACTGCCCTTTGTGGAACTTGTTAAGCAGACTGTCGGACCTCAAGGCACAATTGTGCTTTTCGGTCTCTTTATTTTCAACATGCTAGGCCAAGGCATTAGCATTACGACAACTGCGTCTCGTTTGACGTGGGGATTTGCACGCGATGGTGGCCTCCCATTCAGCAGCTACCTGACGCACGTCGATACTTACTGGAACGTCCCAGCACGGGCACTCTGGGCTCAAGGTGTGATCATCTCCTTAGTGGGTGTTCTATACTTCTTTACAGAAGCTGCTGTAGACGCAGTGGTCAGTGTAACCACAATTGCTTTGACTATGTCATATGCGCTGCCAATATTTGCAGTTGTGGTTTTTGGAATGTCCGATATCCCCCTCGGACCATTCTCTCTTGGACGCCTGCGCCCTATAATCAACTGGGTCGGACTTATATACTGCTGTATTACTACAGTGTTTTTCTTCTTCCCTGGGAGCCCATCTCCCGGAGTTAGCACGATGAACTGGGCGATTGCAGTCTTTGGAGCGATGGTGCTTGTTGCAATTGGGTTTTGGTTTATCAAAGGGAAGCGCACCTATTTGCAAACAGAGGGTGCCTTGGGAGAGGTATTTCGTGCTGCGCAAATGGAAATTCTAGATACTACAACATAGTGCATGACTTACAATTAGGACTAATAAATCGGATTTGCATGATTCACTTCGGACAACAAGTGGTCACAATTTACATATGTACGATCTTCAATTGGAAGAATCTTAGATACCCCATCATCTAGAAAGAGGCAGTGAATCACAACAAATATGAGAATTTCACTACACAACATAATTCAGATAAGTGTGGGTTGTCACTGCAAGAGCAGGGAAATGTGGATCGGCCACAACGTGGCTCGAACACCCGCGATGTGGACTATCACGTGATCTCATAATGACTTCAGACCAATCAAACACGAATAGATGACCCACACCGTATACCCTCAAAATACGATGTCGAAGAAAAAAAAATAGGTAGCTTCTCTTTGATTGAGTCATGTCATCCTTAGTGCAGGGGCCATGCTAATCTTCTCTGTATATTTTCATAACACGTATGCCCCGAAGGGCGAAATACCTGTTCGTTCAGATTATTTTAACCGCGATAACACGTGGAGTCGAACGGCGATGGCACGTGACTTCCACAATGTATTCAAGAAATAATCCCACGCCTCTACCTTAATTGAGCTTGCGTGGATAAAAAAAATGTTTAGCTTCTCTTTGATTAAGCATGTCATCCTTAGTGCAGGGGCCATGCTAATCTTCTCTGTATATTTTCATTTGACCATATGCCCCGAAGGGCGAAATGCTTATTCGTAGAGTTCTATATGACGTCACCATGTGGCAGAAATGTACCGCCTTTCAGTGAATAGGTTGGCGAGATCAGACCGCCTACTAGTTTGGTCTTATTTTTCGTTAATTAGTTCGCGTCGCGTGACGCGCATATTGATTTACGGCCAGACTGCTCTCCTTCTGGGTTGTTTTGTAACACGTAAAATGCAACAATGGCCGATAGCACACTTACTTCCAGTGCTGAAGTCGGCGCCCAAGCTATCAATCTACGTGCAGAATTGAAAACATGGGAGAAAGCCTTCGCATCGGCCAATGGGGGCCGCAAAGCCGGACGCGATGATATTAAACAAAGCGCGGATATCGGTAAGTCGAGATTCACGTGCAGCATGATATACAAAGTGGCATAAATTACTAATTGATAATCTTGTTCGACGCATTAGCGGCTAAGTACAAAGAATACAGTCGCCTCAAGGCCCTTGAGGCTTCCCTAAGCCGGCGCGAAAACAGTCAACAAGAGCCATATGACAGTCACTCGAAAAAGCGGAAACATGCATCACCCCCTGGTCAGGATGGTACACATCTTCAAGTCACACCCCGAAAATCGTCCAGAGGACTATTTGCGACTCCTAATAATCGTGTCAAGCATCATCATCCTGCACAACTTGATCCGTATGACTCGCCGTCGACGCTTCGCAGACTATTTAGTCCCACTACACACCAGCAAGGGCTACCAGCGCCGTCACCACTCAAGGTCGCAATTGGGCCTACACCTCAGCGTGATGGAAAGACGTTGGGCCTGTTCGACATGCTATCTGAATCTGGTGGGAGTAGTGGAATGCCTTCCTCCACAAGGAAGGCGAATAACCTAGCTGCTGCATTCCGAACACCATCTAAACGAAGGCCTGTGAACACTATCCTTGAGGCCCCGGAAGAAGAGGCTCAACAGGAGACACCCAGGCTTGCGCGAACCCCTGCGTCAGAGACAAAGCAGTTCTATCTTGCAAATCTATTCGCAACACCGACGACGATGCGTTATGCCGCCATAGTAGAAGCAGAGGATGACGCAGATGCACAGAAGAGAAATTTGCTAAACCCAGCGCCTGAATTATCACCCCAAGAAGCACAGTCTGGGACACCGTCTTTCCTGCGTCGCTCCAATTCTGGTCGATATCCACCACCTAGCGCAAAACATGATGGTCCAGGACTCAGTCCTATTGTTTCGCGCAAGCCTCAAAGATTCGCTAGCAAGGGGTTAACGCATTTGGTCCAAGGACTGCGGGACATGGAGGAGGATCGTATGGAAGATGACTGGGATGTGATGCGCGAGATGGAGGAAGAGGCAGAGGCACAAGAAGCTGCCAATATCCAGGTCGAGGATAGTCAAGGACCGGACAAGAACCGGAAGTACAAGAAGAAGGGCCAGAAGCGGACGACACGAAGGGTCACCATGAGACCTGTTATCCATCAACCGAAGCCGAAATCAAATCCAGCTTCTGCGACGAATGAGGACTGGGACTACGAGGATGATGTCACAGCAGTTGCGGAGACGCAACAGCCAACCGTTGCTAGTGACGGCTGGGACGATGTCCCGAGTGATATTGAGCGTGCGGAAGAGGCCGCTCCCCCTCATACTATGTTAGAGCCCGAGCTTGATACTGATGTCGAGTTTGATCCAGACTCGGACGATGATCCCGAGTTCAGAGAACAGCTGAAACCTGCTGCCAGACCGATGTCTTTCTCGGAGAGAATCAAGGAAGCTGTTTCGTCTGCTGCCAAGCCACAGGAACAAGAACCCTTGGGCGAACCTCCGAAGAAGCCTTCCGAGACTGCTGAAGCAAAGAAACCTCGTGCCCGGAAGATCAATCCTGCAGCCCATGCGAACTATCGATCAATAAGCATCAATAGAGGAGGCTCCTCGCGGAGTAGAGGGCGTTTCCGTCGGAAGTAAGGACCGAACAGCCCTGTTTGTTTTTCATGAAGTGACGACTACATTCATACTTAGCATACATAGCATCTTGAATTTCAGATATTCATAGCGTATCAACAACTCCAGCTCTCCACCTGACCTATCCAGATCCTAGAACTATGTTCTGAAATCATAGATCCAGTAATCCCGAATGACAGTATCTATCCGGCAGATTCAAGCAACGAAAGATGTCGCATCATGCCGTGGCCTCAAACATTTCAGTCCGCACGGGGGCTATTGAAATGTGTGAGGCCCCAGGTATCCATGGCAGAAACCACAGTGGAAGTCGTCGGTTCATCTCCATTGTGTCCAGTACTTTGGATGGAACTTTGGGCTTTGGAGTAGTGAGGATCAGCATATCACAGAACAAGTGATATCGCTGGCGTTGCGAATATTTTTAGACTGCAAGAAGATAGTCATTGCATGGTCCGCACGATCCTGATGCATGCCTCCCAGAGCCGGATGACACTGCACGTCCTCTCAGTAAAGGTGCAGACGTTGGCTATGCTTATAGTTCTCCAGATCTATGAGAGTGAAGAACTGGTCTTTCAACCGCATTGCCTCGCGTTTCTCGGAATCGAAAGCAAACCGAACTAGCCTGATCTTAGAAGTAGCTATAAAGATGGAGAGGTACCTTAAATTTACTCTGTAGGCAGCTAATTTGAGGCTTCCGCCCCAGGCAGGTCGAGGTCGTTCCTTCCTAGTTGTTGATCTTTCCATTTTCGTCAACTTCATAGAAATCGTAGGGAAATAAGGCCTCCCTCGCACGTAACTCTTCTTCTTCCCTTCAATCTGCTGATGCTATCCCATTTTGGTCTTTGTTTCTGCCTTTCTGCAGTCTCACTGGGTCCTCAAGAAGGAACAATGTAAAAGCTGGACATAACGCTCGGTTTGCCGTTCGCGGCTGTTTTTTCTTGGGCCGGTTATGCTCTCAGTAAGTTAGAAGAACAAGTTGAAAGGGCTCTATACCTGTCATTTTTCACTCGTTTTTCATTTTCCCTTCCTGCTTGTCGCTCTTTTGTTGATGTCTTCGCCAACCGAACATCTAATGGATTTTTCTAGGTTTTTATACTGACCATGGTACATGGTCGTTCTATCTCAGACTTGCCATGGAGTTGGCATTGTCTAGGCTGCTCTTTGTCAAACACCATCTGTCCCGGTAAAATCTCGCCTCGCTGATGAGGCTTTAGGACATGATGAACTCGTGCTGACTATACTGGTTTAGTCGCTTGTTAAAAGTAGATAAATGTTGTCATCCTAAAAATCGGAAAGGAAAGGCTATGACCCGGCACCCCTGCTAGACTATGAAGATCCGCCTTCGAGTTCGCATACAACTTATCTCGACAGACTTCCAGATGTCTTTCCAGTCGGTGGTTGGAACTCCCTCCTGTGAACAAAGCGTGGTGGATAAGCTTGATGTGTGGATGCAAATTTGCTAGCAAAAGCAAAGAAACAAGCCCCCAGGGGGATAAAAAGAGTCGATGAAGATTATTATCTCTAATACCACCCTGCAGCATATGGATGACTCTGCTCCATGTGGGCTTGGCTAGAAGAACATCGCAATATCTACCGTCTGATATCTAACTAGTGCCCTGATACCCGGGACATTATCCTCAAATTACTACGGCCGCGAGAATAAGTTTACTCCCTGATCATGAGCACCATACACTATTTCGCCAAATAATTGCCAGAGCCTTGCTCGAAAATGGCAATTAACCTAGTAGCCATACTGCACACAAGAGGTCTATGTGCTGCCAAACAAACTTATCGGGATCCCTTTGAGCATCTCATTTCATGCACTTTGTAATCAATCATCAGAACAAGCGAAGCATGAGATTTTCACAAATGCAACAAGATTTTCGAAACATCGCCAAGTTGCTATACATTCTGGTTCGCCGTCGGGCCCACAGCCCTGATTCGGCGCATGATCTCTCCTCCCCGCACGTTGAGACTAGCAATGTCTCTCTGACTTTCTGCCCTGTGGTGGTGGGTACTTCAACTCGTAGTATGCTCGCATTAACCATGCGATCAGCTGTTATCTCCTTATGTCTCCAAGGGCCTCTCAAATCTCAAATGACGAGTCTATGGAAGATGATCGGTCTATTTCTATTCCGTATTCGAAGTACGTTATGGGAAACTAGAGAGAAGGTTTCGGTCAATAGGAAGCTGGTTTCCACCTTGGTCATGATTGTTAGGGCTCAGTGGAAGGATAACTCTGCTCTACAAGAAAGCGTCAAGGAGGGTGATGCAATCTTGAAGCAAAAAACAAGCATCTGAGACCTAGTAATAACACTGAGTCTGCTTCCACCCCGAGTCGAAATCCCAAAACTCATGGACCTGGGAAGTAATGAAAATAAGCATGAAGAAGAATAGGATAAGATCGACTCATCTAGGGGAAAGGGAATCTATCATTGTTCCATGTATGATAGTTCATTCTTTAGTTAGGTTGAAATTCTTGACCCTGGGTCAAGAATTAGTGTCTGCCAGACTCTGTCATGTGTGTGTGATAAGTGATTTTTATCTTTATCAGAATCAATTAAGCTATCATAATCCAAGGAAGGATTGATCCCGGTTTACTGAGTAGGAGTCCATCTTGATTCAGCCTGGTCCTGATTCGTCTCGGGTCCTTCTTTTCATTTTTCCTTGTCATTGGTGACCGACTGAGGCTGTAATACCTTTCCTATTCGCACCCATCCTTGACAGGTGCTGCTATGTCTAGGGCTTCGGCAAAGAATAAATTGACCGAGTCGACTTCGCCCTTATCCGCTGACGTTTCTCGTGGGAAGACGCTCTCACTCCCAAGAATGACAAGAGAGGAAAATATTATCCCCAAATGAAAAGCATAATTTTAAAACAACTTTTCTATGTATAGCATGGGATAAGAGTGAATTGACTGTTAATCTAGACAATTACTAAATTTGTAGATGTAACACCTTCGTAGCAAGCTGCAGTTCTAATAGGGATTATATCGCTGTTGAGCCTGCTGCAGCCGCCTGGACCGATCAATCGCCTCTTGTGACCTAGACCTGTATGGTCTCCCGGACCTCTGTGGCCTACTCCGAATGTTCACTGGAGTCGATCTACCACCCGAGTCATCAGAGTCCCTATATCCTCTATCAGATGTACTCCGCGGTGTATTTGAGTATTGAACGTTGCGATCCCAGTCCTCCAAAGAACTATATGGACTCCTCAGCCACGCCTGTAACTCATGGAGGAATAGACATGCGTTCTCACGGCCGATGAAATCACGCAACAGTTCCTCCGCCTGTCCAGCACTGCCTTTGAGATCAACTGTGCGCAAGATAGCGATGACGTATTCGAGCAAAAATTCAGCATTGTTCGCCCTGCGATTCTCCAGCCGCTGAGGTCCAGGGCGCGAGACATGGTGAGACGTCCGCTCTTCTTCCTCCGGTTCGGGGTTCAGGAAAGAGAAGACTCGTAGTTCGCGACGGATCCATTTTCGCGCGCGCGAAACTAGCTCCTCGTCACGATTGAAGTGCTCCGGCGTTAGTTCTCGATACTGAGATAACCGATTAGATCCGACTCGCATGGAGTATGTTTGGTTGCGATAGACGTTGCGCCGGCGCTCGAGCGGGTCATTTGGCTGTGGTCGCGGTGGGGGTAGAGGACGTCGCCCTCCTCGTGGGCCATAGCGGTTACCAGGGCGCGATCGAGCAGAGACTGGGGGTACTGGGATTGTTGTGCTCGGGGGTGGGACCTTGTATAGCTTCGGGCCTTGTGTGGCGTTCAGTTCGTATTTCACGGTTGTCAACTCGATTTTACCTGTGGTATTGTCAGTCAGGTCTAGTCAGAAGTATGGGCATTCATGGATATTCGTACATAGCGGGCATTTCGGTTGCTGCTCGATCCAACTGACAAGGCAAAGGAAGTCGAAGTTGGCATGGTTGCATGGCTGTGCCACACACGGCTCGGTGATATTGTCCAGGCAGATGACACAAGGATTTGCGGCCTCTTTCTCCTCATCAGCTACCTCTTGGAGAGTCCGCTGGAGGATTTCCTGTCGCAAATCGACATCATCCATACAGACGACATGCCAGGGGTGGGTTGGAAGGTTTAGTTCCTGGAGTCATGTTTGTCACGTTTATCACGTTCGGGGCGGCAAAACCGTTTTCTCGGGAGCTCCGTCACCGCGCTTGCTCGTTTTGCGACTTCAACTCTCTTTCCCTCTCTCATTATGTGCTAACACCTTTCTCCCTTTTACGTGATATAATGCGGTCTGCGAAAGCCGTCATTTCAGAAAAACTTGCCCGCCTTGGTTCTACTACCAACATGTCGTACAGCACAGGAAGCGGGATTCATCGGCCGCCGCATACCATCACCTCACTACGGCGCTGGTCTATTGTGAATAAGGAGCTCCCAGGTTAGACCTCATTACGGTCCATTGTGGTGCTATTATTCTGACACCATTTTCTTTTTTTTTCAGCTGTTTCTCAGATTCGCGCTATTCACGTCTACGATTTCGACAACACCTGTGAGCATACGCAAACTTGAGATGTTCAGACACTCGACCACTAACATCCGCGCTTCCAGTATTTCTAAGTCCTCTACCAAACCCGCAATTATGGCATGGGTCGTCCGTCGGTTTCCTTCAAACCAATGATAGTTTCGCAACTGGAGGATGGTGGCACGACCCCAACATTCTCTGCGCTACAGGAAAGGGCTTGGAGGTAGAAGAGCCTCGCAAATGGGAAGGCTGGTGGAATGAGCAAATTGTGTGCCTTCTATCGTATATTGCATCTTCGGGGTGTTTCAACTGACTTCTTGAAGCTTAGTTTGGTTAGGAATAGCATGGAGCAGAAAGATGCACTCACGGTGTTGCTGACCGGTCGAAGTGAGGCTGGCTTTTCAGACATCATCAAGCGGATGGTCGCTAGTCAGAAACTTGAGTTTGACCTCATTGGTCTCAAGCCTGAAGTTGGTCCAAATGGTCAACGGTTTGCGACGACAATGGCCTTCAAACAGAACTTTCTTGGGGATCTTGTTTTCACTTACGAGCAGGCTGCGGAAATCCGTGTCTACGAGGACCGTGTCAGGCAGTAAGCCCCCTGCCACCGAGTTGGAGAACCGAGCATATCAACGTATTAACCTTCTGCTAGTGTGAAAGGGTTCCGAGACTTCTTCGAGGATCTGAACAGAGAACTTCAAAATGGACCCGCTACCGAACGGATGCCCATCCTTGCTGAAGTCATCCAGGTAACTGAGGGCTGCACATACCTTGACCCCGTAACTGAGACTGCCGAGGTGCAGCGCATGGTCAATGCCCACAATCTCACACTACGCAACCCTGCTTTGAACGTAACCAAGAGCCGCTGTGGGCGGATGTATATCAAGCGGGTCGTTTTCTACACGGGATATCTGGTTACTCCAGAGGTTTCAAACAGCATGACACAGAATTTGCTGGCTCCACTGCTCCCCCCGGGACTTGCTGAATCAAATGACCTGAAGTACATGGCTAACAGCATCCTAATCACCCCACGCCCAGCACCCCGTTCAATCCTTGACAAGGTTGGAGGTATGGGCAAGAAACTAAAGTGGCAGGTTACCGGTACCGGAAACCTGGAGAACAAGATATGGGCGGCCCGCGTGGCGCCTATTCCAGCGACAGAACCTTATCACACGGAAAACCCACTGCCAATTGTAGTACTGGCTGTTCGCAAAGGTGCTCGTCTCATTGATGCAGGGAAGATCCAAAACTGGCATCCCATTCCGGCTGATAAGGCCATGACCTTTGATAGTGTGGTCGGCGAGAAGGTTGTCCTACGAGTTGAAGACAGTGGAGAACATCGTCAAGGAGAGCAGCACATGAACAGGAGTCAAAAGCGACGCTTCCAGCAGGAGGAGGATGCTGTCAATTGGCCAAATCAAAACACTGGCTTCGATACCCCATCTCATGGCCGCGGCAACTACCACTCCTCTCAGCGCGGCGGAGGTGACAGCCGTCCCCAATATGATGATAGTCCGCGAGGAAGAGGAGCTCATCGTGGTCGTGGCCGAGGTATCGGACGCGGGCGCGGTAACAACACTCGAGGCCGTGGCCGAGGTCGTGGTCGAGGTGAATACTACCAGTACAGGTCGCTGGATGACCATAGCAGTGGATACGATGGGGCACACGACGGCAAGAACGGGCACAGTGGTGGCGGAGGTGCAGGAAGAGGAGGTTACTCCATGGACTATTGATATTTAACCCGTATTCAAAATCTCCGATACCTCGGTTTCGGAAGGCTAGTTCACAGGCTGGTCTAGCATTATCTGTATCTTCTACGAGTTTTTAGTATGTGTCCAGGTTCGGTTTGCATCAGCAATGGATAGGCGCACGGAGTCTCACCCTTCTTATCCCCACTTGATGATCATTTCACATCATAAAACAATGACTTATAGCGGGTGTTCGCACCTAACATACATTCTATAAATTATTTCCTTCAACATTGTGTAAGCACCCACCAATGTACATGTAGTAACAGCCCTTTTTCAGCCTTGGAAAATTTCGTTGTTTTTAGGTAAAGACTACAGAAAGTGCTCATTTCTGAACTACCGTCTCAGACAGTAATTCTCGAAACAAGTTGGGCCTTTGAACGACGCATGGTTTACACATTCAAGTAACATTGCTTGTTTGATTGACCATTACCAACGCTTAAGAATTTCATTCCTCGAATCACACCTTTCTTGACCAGAGTGTGGCTATGCCTTGGTGTTTTCGTTCGTTTTCGTTCTCTGCAGAGTACGTATATTCTGTCAATTCTACGTGCCTCGCACAACCAATCTCAATCCGAGCAATGCTCTCTAGTTGAATGTCGTAAAAATTGCGCATTGACAATTACACCGTCCTCCTCCATTCAACATAGTGCTCAAGGCCAGAAAAGTCCGACCCTAACAGATTGCGGAACTCCTCCTCGGCACCTTTTTGCCCCAGTTGTAGCTTCAACTGCGTTGGCCATTCTTCAATGATGGTATTGCGCGATTTGAACACGACCTTCAAGTCGGCGGCGACTCGATTGAATCCGTGAATCTCCATGTACCTGTCAATTTGTCAGGTGTTTCGGATGCGAACAATATCCAATGTGACCCATGTATGTCAACTGTCAACTTACTTCTGGAAATGTTTTTTGACATCCATTACCAAGGCTCGTGAGTCCCATATTCTCATCATATCTGCGCCTTGCGGCTTTGCAAGTGAAATCCAGTCTGGTCTGGGCAAATATTCCATAAGCAGACCCATATTTGACATGGAATCCTCTTCGCCACTCGCTTTCGAAATCTCCATCACTGCATTGAGAAACAATGTGATGAGCGTGGCATTTGGATTCCTCTTGGGCGGCTGCAGAAGCGGTGTCAATGCTTGAAGTGTCGCCCGTATCCCGAGGTAGCCAGCGTCAGAAATGTTGGAAACCTTGAAGGCAGTTAGCGTGGAGAGCATAGAGCTATCGTCGATTGGTAGTAACCTCAATCCGCGTATAATGATCCTTCGGAAGATGCAGCGGAAGCTCTTTTGCATCAATATTGACCATTTCAAAATCGACATTCATAATAGCAAGCCGGTCGAGAAACTTCTTCATCACCTTTCGAAGATGCACAAAGAGCTTACCATACACATCTGCAGTTGCACTGGTCTTTGTACCATAAACTTCCTGGATAGACCATCCTGTTAAAGGATCTGCCTTGTCATCCATGGGCCAAGCCGTCCCATTATAAAATATAGTTCTGCTGATTGTTAGCAAGCAAAATCCTCTAGTAGCGGGTGAGACATACGGGTTCGGAATATGAAATCCTATTCGGGGGTGCCCGAACGGCAAAAGCAAGCCATCCTCCTGAAAACGTTGCCTTGCGACGCGTATCGGAGGTGACAGCTCTTTGAAATGCCACCTTTCGCGATAGTCCGTTCTTTGAGGTGCAAGAGTCACGGAGAGACGAGTGGCCCTAGCTTTTTCGTAGGTTAGTGTCTTGAGAACTTCACAAAATTCTTTGACTTTAAGCCACTCCTCTCGTCTAAGTTCAACACGCAAACTCTTTTGGGATGGGAAATGCCACATCTTGCTCATCAACGCGCCAGGCCGCAAAGTCGAGGCCTTGTCATAAGCATCGCTAATGAGGGGTATAACTCTCTTTTGTAAATGATCAAGTACTCTTTCTGGGATAAAAGAGGAATACCAGAGATGAATCAAAACTTCAGAGATATCCTGGACATTGCCTGCCTTGGGGGAAGCTGCACTAGTCGCATCGAGCGCTAGAAGAAGCAAAATAACATTCCTTACAACAACCACATGATCTCGGTCATTGATTGACACATGAAGCTTTTGTTGAAAGGAATCGGGGAGGTCTGCAATGGTTTTCACTACATTTCGCAAGTCTCCCGAGGCTTTGACTTTCATGTTAATGATAGTCTACTAGCGTCAGCGCAAATCAAAAGACTGACCAGCAAATAATATCGCAATATCTTCTTGATAATGAGGCCCCTCATTTTTTTCCAGTTGCAGGATGTCTATGGCTGGTGCGTTTCCCCACAGATACTGCACATTCCCGAAGGGGTTATGCAAATACTGCGAGTCTACGGTGGCCCATGCAGGGTCACGGGCTTCACGGTCCCAAGCAGGACGCCAGTCCGCTTTGTTCAATGGAGACTTGCAAATCTTTTTGTGCACAGCCCAATGATGTTTCTGGCAGTCTTTCCCACAATACTAGTTCTGTTCAGAATCAAGCGGCGGTGTTAGGAGGAAGAGTCAGGTAAAAAACTGACAGCAACGAGCCTACAGGCACTGCAGGTAGACTTGGCTTCATTTTGACAGACTGAAGTATCCGATGTCGAATTTGCACAAGGCAAGAAGTTTTGTGCAATATCGTTCATTGTTCAGTTATGAATAATTGGATCTCAGAAAATAAAAGTGACGTGGATGCTTGAATATCAAAAATATCCAGTACCACTCTTCCTACGAGTCGGGGTTGGCCCGTTTTATGAATTGGTGCCGTGTCACCCTGGGTAGCAGCTTACAACTCTACCCTGCCACAACAACCCGGGCGAGAGGGGACCAAGAGATGAAATGGCGTATCGCCTCTTTTCTGGTGGTGGTATGTTGTGAGCCAATCGTTATTCTTTGGGGGATCTAGATCTAGCCCAATACCTATTTATGGAATCTATGATACACAGAGTTGATTAAATATGAGTTGTGCATGCATGTGGTTCTCCTATAAGCGCTGGACACGATCGGTGGCATACTAGGTAATCTACTTGGCGTCCAATAGGCATCTACATTTATATTGCGAAATATGGGGAAGAGCCCAGGGTAGTTTTAACCGGGAACATACATGGATGAAATTCTCTATTTTTGTCATTTATACTCGATAGTTAGTCAATTACTATTAGTAGTTACATACACATTTGATACACTCTTTTTTCTGTTATGCATGCCTGCTTTCTTGGATATTTAGCGCCGTCGAGATTCCTGTCGGCTTATATTGAGGTTGGAAATACGGAGAGCCGCCTACTTCATCGCTCGCTTGTGTTACAGCCGGGGTGTTTAATAGTCTCCAAGCTCCAGTCCGTAAGTAAAAAAAGAAAGCCCATATAATGCAACGAAGCCCTAGGCATTATCCATGTTTCCGATATGACTCTTGCCCTTACCCCAAATGGAATTTCCATACGTATGGGCTTCAAACACCTTACTGTAGCTGTACAAATCCTTTTCCAATAGTATGCACATATACTCTACCCATGAATTTCATCACCCACTACCTTTAAATGCACCGCTATTGACGGCGCTGAGTAAGAACAGTAATAGAAGGGCAAATTGGTGGATATCAATTGGTTCTAACACAGTTTTGAGGCACATGTGCACAAGTTAGACTTCATTCTCTCAACCACCTCTTCTGTAGATACACTGTACCGCCAATTGCTTTTTTTCAAAAAAAAAAAAAAGGAAGCCTCAAGCAATGGGAATGTGGATGGTAGATTGAGACAGTAGAGGCAAGTGAGAAAAGATCAGAACATCATGAATAGCTGCATGGAACCAATTCCTACTGACAGTGACCTCAAGAATTTCTATGTCATACCATTTTAGCTCTTTTTTGGCTAAAGTTCTGGCTTCTTTTCATTCCACTTATCATACAGATCCATAGGTAGCATTCTGTCTCTGTGTGCCTTTTCAATGGTCAATTTCTTGCTTTGGGGCTGTCGTTTAATTACGGCAGTCCCACCACACTCCTTTGTAATTTCAATGATCTTTTGGATTAATGGAGCCAGCTTCCTCAAATCGACTTGATGAAGTTCTTCCCAGCTCTTTACTTCAGATGTCACATCCTCTACCTCGGGTGGCTGGAAATTTCCCTCAGTATGGTATGCTCGCACAAGTTTGGGTGTTTGCGAAATCCACAATTGCGCTGCAACATCTTTCATTCGAAGAGGTCTTTTGATAGTTCGTGTTTTTATCTCGAGGGTGGATGCTAACGGCACCGCTTTGCCATCTTTTCTGATGGACAATTTGCACCCTGCAGGAGTGGTATGAAGAGAAACGTCAGACTGGGATAAAGATACAGATTTCATCTTGCCTGTAAGGCTGTCAGATGTTGATTGATTGACAGTGTTCGAATACCCCGCTTTATCAGTGGCAACGTATCCATCTGTTTCATGGCGAATCAGGAATTTCAGAGCCCCAAAGCTATAAGAGATGATTCTGTGGTGACTGGTGCTTCCCTTGACTCGATGAGTCGTGTACTTTTTCTCGAAATTGTGCCCGAAACCGCTCTTCTCGCCAGGCTTGATGAACTGACGTTTTTGTTTCTCCGTACGACAGAGGATCATCGTATTATTGACTACTTCAGCGTGCAGCGTGAAGTGTTGACCTTTCTCTAGACTGGGATTTATAAACGAAAGTAGTTGTCGGATGCAGTTCCGGTCGGTGACAATGTCGATTGAACGAATATCAAAGGAGGGATTTTCGAAGTAAAGCGCCCGAAACAAAGGCTCAACGGGGCTTTTCGGGTTACGAATGGCGTTCTCGGCAATAAAATAGACCCCTGAGTCCATCTTGACTTGCTGCGGGCCTCTTGGGGGAGACCAACGAGCTGGAGTGCCTGGGACGGCAATAGTCGGACTTCGTGCACTAATCCAATTATATGAAGACAGATGCTTCACATCACTGATAGAGACGCTTGTTGCTTCGATGTCATCAAAGTCTCCTGGAAGGATCTCGACTATCTGAGATAACGCCATATTTGGGATTGACATCGATCAGAGCAGACGATTCAAAAGGGCGTAAGAAGTAATAGAAAATATCTCAGGGGTTATATCAAATTGGTTACCCGGAAGGCAAGAAACCCACAAAACAATTTATTTTCGCTGATCAATGTAAATTGTGAATAAGACAAGAATATATCTTTGAAACGGTGACACAAGAGTCTCCCAGGTTCACTGTCTAGGTTGACGAAAAAAGAGAGGGAGGAGGAGGGAGGAGGGAGGAGGGAGAACATTTGAAGGTCAAACAATGTTCTAGGTTTGGCATCCTGGTACCGCGAATACTAACTCTCCCGGCCATGGAGAAGAAGTGCACTGCATATATGCCTGATGCGTTGGACATTTTTTCGTTTGATCAATTGCGTTAACTAGCGCGCCATTTCAGTGTTTACTCTTAGGGGCGTGCTCAGTTTTACTCCTTGAGCAAAAAGCGCCAAGGGGTGAGTACTTTGTACCAAAGCGGAAAGAGAAAGCCATGCCGTGCGACCTAAAATCCGAACGTCTTCACCAGCACACTGGATGCGTGAAGAAGAAAAGAAACTATATACAGATTTCCCGGGGCTCTCTATTCTTTCATGGTAGATCTCTCTCACAATACTCGACAGCTAAGTGAATGTGCGCATATGCATTGTAGGGAGGATTCGGACCGAGTCACATGATCAGCCCCGATCTATCCGTGCTAAACACCTTGCACCTCGGCACGAAGGAATTTGTACAGTCTTGTCATCAAATGGTGTATTGAAAGTGGAGAGATACGTCAATGAAGATATTGATGTTCATATATGATCTGCCGCTATGACCTCTACTTCCAACAACCTCTCTTTAACAGCCTGCGTCCACTGTCGACGCCACAAGGTGGATCTCCCTGCATCATATTAGATCTTACTAGTATCATTCTCTCTAATTCTGCTCCATAGATCCGATGTTCCCGGCAGTTCCCTGACTGCGGTCGTTGTTCACGTCTTGGGCTAACTTGTGACTACCCGAATCCACCTGACAGACGACAAATCGCCAATCTGAGAAATGGGCCTCTCTACAATGATGATTCCTCGGCCAATTTACATGGTAATGAGTCGATCAACTGTACAAAAACTTCTCATGGCGACCACGTATCTTCGAGTAGTATCATTCCACCTACAGAGGTTATGATTCAACTAATTGATATATATTTCGATTGCGTCTTCAACGCAAACTTGTTATTTCACCGTCCATCATTTATGGAGGACCTTGAAAAGGGAAGTATAAAAGAACATGTTCTACTGAGCGTTATTTCCGTTGCTTCCATGTGAGTTGATAAGGACTAGTTGTTGCAAGTACTATACTGATAAAACTCTAGACTTTCCCGAAGCGCGCATAGCCCCTCAGGTACATCTATTGAGTCACCATCTAGACACTGGGCAGAGATTGCAAGTGCTAGTGCTTTACAGAGTGCGGACTGTGGAGGACTAGACGTTGTTCAGGCTTGTGAGAACCTAGCCTTATATTGGTGGGCTACGAATGAGCCGCACAGAGCGCACGTCCATTCTAGTGAGTAATGGCAAGTCACGATGGCTATGAAATGGTGCTAACTTTGGTACAGTGACATCGTATACAGTTAGCCAGATGCTTTGCCTGCGACTTTTGACTTCGAGCCCGTCTGAAATGACAGCCGAAGTAACAAGAAGGTGTTTCTGGTCGTGTTGGATCAAGCACTGCGTCCAGGATGTTCTTTATCCGGGACTTGTACAACCACAATGTCCCCTAAAGCTTCTCCTGCCGTGTGATGATTTTCTATTTGACCGGTCTGATTCTTTTGAGGAGTCTACTATCCCTAACTCGGAGCTTTTATCGGATACGCCAACCTCCGAGAGCGCATCCTCAGGTCAATCAGCTTCTATGGTTCGGATTTTTTCTCTTTGGTAAGTCAAGAAAATCCCTTCGCGTGGCATTTATATTGAGTAGTATGAAAAATAGGATGAGGGTAAAGAATCACGTGTACTCTGACGACTCCAAACACGGTGCCACTCATATGGGCCAAATCCTCGAGCTTGACAGAGACATTCGACAGTTGAGCGCCATTATACCAAATCAAATACAAGACCATGATCCTTCAATATCGGCACTTGGCTTCAACAGAATCAAATCCGCGATGTTATTCAGTGCCTACCACCAATGCCTTTTACTCCTTCACATGTCGAGCTGCCCAGCTCTATCGAACAGAATATCGGCCGAAGACAGATCACCTATGTTGAGCCAACTAGCTGCCCAAGCAGTTACGTCATCCACAATTGCCATCCTAGATCTAATTTCCCAACTGCTCACTGAAAGCACTGATGCTGCAAAAATATCTCCATATATTGGCTATTGTGCCTTCACGTCTGGTGTTATCTGTGTCATACTATATCGCCTGACCACCCACGAGCCTTTTGCGAAATATGCACAGGTAGCTTTGTTGCTCCTCAGTAATCTTGCGGCATATTGGCCAGTACTGCGACAAAAGGTTTGTTCACCATTCTTATTTCCCCTTCCAGCCATCGAAAGCTCATGAAGTTTATAGCATGAGAAGCTACGAGATTTAATTGAGCAATATTTTGCTTCTACCACAACCAACTCTCCGAGCAATGTCAACCTTCAAACGCGGCATAGGGATATGCAGACAATGAATAGCATTGGGGCTTCTACCTTATCACAGCCATCACCTGCGACTCTTGTTCCTTTGATACTCTGCTCTCTTCCCTTTAGAGCTACCTACACAGGCAATATTGACGGGGTCAGTTACGAAGCGCAACAGACCCGAGACATTGAACATAGGAGTGGAAGGAAGCATAGAGGCAGTCCAAATACGCCATTCAATCCGCAAGCTCCACAGAATTCAGATACATTGGATGATGCTCTGATATACAACCAGTCTGAGTCTATGGAGCAAAGCATGGAAGGATTGTTTCCTGAGACAGATCTTTTACAATTGCTTTTTGGAAATACATGGGAGATGTCAGAGCGATGCTTTCCTGAGCCAGACCCGTGAGGGGTATTTATCAAAAGCTTATGATTAGATGGGCACAAGAAGAGATGCTTGTCTGTATATAACTTTGTAAGATTCTGCTGACACATACAACAATTTTTTAGCAATCGCTCTGCCTTGGTCGGCCAAACTGAAAATCAATCTTCAACGACTCAATGCTCAAGTTTGATTATAATATTTATTTTTGTACTTTTAATATAACGTAGTTCACTAGCCGAGCCGCCACTTACTACTGAACTGCCGCCCTACCTACTATACATCTATTTAAATTCATACAGACCAATTAAATGGCTGGGATCAAGGCGACATTTCAGGCTACCCATTTCCTGTCACAGTACTCCGCTCACAGTCTAAATAGTCGAAGGTGACATGACTAAACTTGTAAGTAGTAGATCGGTAGAAGGTCGACAAGTAGACTCGGTGTACTCTTCTACCATTCCGATACCCCCAGCTCGCAGAGTATAGAAGTCCGGGCCATCTGAGCGGCGAGAGGGTGTGTCTGTACCAGGCACGAATTGTTGCAAACTAGAGACTCACCGCGCAGCCTGATACAGAACAAACTCATGATCCATACGGCTCGTGGCATATATATATCAGTTTTTGCAAGAATCAATGCAGTACCAACTAGCTCTGTCAGCTGCACTCTCGGATCAAGCTCTCGTCGACAGGCCCTCTAGTGCCCTCACAAAGTCAGAGGACTACTTTCACAGATACATAGATTACACTCCAACTAGCGCTATAGTGCAAGACCAACTAAATATACTCTGGGCTAGGCAGTACTACCACTCTCGGCCCGAGTTTGCAAAATTCATGGAATGCAGGATGAGGAGAATAATTCCATAGTTAAGGCCTTGGACTCGCATAATGAGGATAGAGATTCTGATTGGCTAGCTAGGAGGTCGGTCCGATGTTGTGGGTCCACCACATCTATAAAGCGTTTAGCAAGAAAGAATCAAACGGTCTATTAATCTTCCTTTCTTGTTTCTCTCAATTGATTCATCTCAAGCTATTCCTGTCCGTCTACATCAAAGCATGGCCATCTCCGTGTCTGTCCTCGAGACGGGCACCATCCGCATTCGTCCTTCCCACAGAACCCAATCTGCCCACAAGAACGTCTACCTCCGTCGTCTCACGGTATTCACAGACCGAGCATGGACTGAGCCGCTCCCGATCAACACCTACCTCATTTCGCATCCCGAGGGCTATATTTTGTTTGATAGTGGGGAGTCGCCTCACACGATGAAGAAGGGCTACTTTCCGAAGTGGATGCCCTTCTTCCATCTCGCTGTCAATATCCACGTCCGCGAACACGAGGGAATCAAAGCACGTTTGCTAGAGCACGGAGTAACGCCGTCGGAACTCAAGGCTGTAGTTCTGTCCCATCTCCACCATGATCATGGTGATGGAATTTCCGATCTTGACGGTGCTGACGTATACGTGACACCCGAACACTGGGAGGCATTTCGACACCCATTCGAGGCTACGTTGGAAGGTGCCGTCCCAAGCCAATGGCCGAAGAATTTTGAGCCAAAGCTCTTGGAGCGTTCGGGAGGGCCAGTTGGACCCTGGAGCAAGACATACCCCATTACAAGTGACGGAAAGGTGGTGGCCGTCGATACCCCAGGACACGTACCGGGACACATTTGCTTGATTGTCTATGGTGATAATGCTACATACCTGCTTGGTGGAGATGTAACATACGACCAAGATCTTCTGGACCAGGAGTTGACGGATGGAGTAAACAAGAACCCTCTGCTAGCTATAGAGTCATTGAAAAAGATCAAGGAGTTCGCTGGCCAAGAGGAGATCGTGCTACTTCCTGCCCATGACCCGAATGCAGCGTACAGGCTGGCCAACAACGAGGTCTATGTGCCAGGAAGTAGCCGGCATGTCTCCTTGAAGGAGTATGGGAACGGGCATGATTGGTTGATTATACTTGCGCTGGCCTTTATTGGTTTCCTTTTTTACCGCAGAAGCTGTTAATTTGCAGTAGTCCTTTTGGTATTGACTACAAGTTCGCAATGTTTTAGGAACAAAGATAATCAGCTCTGAGAAGACAATATCTAAGTATCTAGTTGGATGAAGAAGTACGTCTCGAAGAAGATGTGTGAGAGCTCGTTATAATTAGAATTCTTATATTTATGTAGCTTATAATCTAATTCAGAGCCCTAGATCTATTGCGAGGTCGAAAGGTTCAACCTAGAGCCCAACCTAGAGTAGGTTAGAACGGTCTTGGTTCTGCTTAGGTTTTACTAGGTTGTGCGGAAGACTACTAATAAATGCTTACTAGTAATTACCACGACCTAGCAACCTAGTGAGCAAAATACCTCTAAAGTCTGATGTATATGTATGCATGGATAACTAGATAATTCTACGCAAGTGAAGTATGGAAGTTACAAGTGTGCTGATTTCAGGGGACGTTAAAGCAGTTATTATTTGTTTTGCCTTCACTGCCACCTTACATGTCAACCTCCTATTCAATCCAGCATATGTAAAACCCGTTCCAGGTCCTGTCAATCCTCTTTCCCTCATCATCTATCTCTGCAGATATCGACATGAGATATCCCTCTAGTTGCTACCAAAGAATAGGAAATATGTGAGAATTCATAGAAAAGAAGAGGACGGAGACCCTTTCGGAAGACCTCCATTCGGAAGAAGCCTAGATATATCGTGAGTTTATGCAGCTTACGGGAAGCTATTCACCTGAAGAGATTTTACCAATGTTCGAAGAGACTGGCACTGAGTAACTATACAAGGGCGCTTAAGGCCCTGCTTGCTGAGTATCTTGGGCACAGTACAGGGTGGTTACTCAGCGACCACCTGTGGGCACCCAGGCACTTCATCGAAGATTCTCTCGATCCCAAGTCACCAAGCTTTATCCACAATGAACGATTTCTTTTATTGAACCTACAGACTTTTATGGATTACCCGACGCATTCGGGCGAGAACCAACCCATAGAAGATAAGGAAATGAGATTCTAAGACCATGCTATGTAAAATAACTTGTCAGGCCACACGGCATATGTTTGTAATGTTACTATGATAACCTTGGAAGAGACTTCCATATAGCTAGCTAGCTCTCCATCGTCTCAAATTGCCTGATGCCAATCTCGATCTTCCGGTTGGAATTTCATCCAACATCGCACGTTAATACAATGAATCGCTCACCCGGCCTCACTGTACATAGTATGTGACTCTAGAGCTTTAGGTACAGCGTCCGCGATTATCATGACAGCGAACCGGGCAGAACGTCACGGCACTCTTTATCTCCCTATGGCACCTCGCACCATCACCACCACCTTTACCCATGCACTAGAAGGGAAAACGAGGTCAGTGTCTCGTACCTACAGGGCCAATTGAAAGTGTCAGGAACAGAACTTACAGATCCTTCATTGCACCTGTACTTGGTCCAACCAATACGGCATCTAGTTTATGTTGTACAAAGTGATATTGACGATATAAGCACTATAATGTAAGCTATGCTCAGTGAGCGAGTTTAATGAGTGTGCAACATTCAGGAAAGTGCTCAGTTTTAGTGATCAAAAAGTGGCTTATGCTGAGCACTGAAGCGAAAAGGGAAAGCCATGTTGTGCAGCCTAAGATTCGGTATATAAATCAATCTTACGCAAACGAATCATGGAAGTTACAGGTGTGCTGGTTTTAGGAGCCATTGAAGCAATTATTGTTTGCTTTGCCTTCAATGTCCCCTTAGGTTGCAACTTCCGGCCCAATCCAGCATATATAAAGGATGTTCCACGCTTCCATCAACCCTCTTCCCTTCATCACCCATCTCTGCAGATATCGTCATAGGATCTCCCTCTGGCCATATTTAACAATTTATGTCTACACTTCCCAGCCCTTGTATCAGATGTCATGTGACCACTCATTTGCTCCTAGCCATTTGTTCTCATCCCTGCTAAGTAGCGAAAAACGCGTTTTAATGCCTGAAAATGTGCTCCACCAGGATTCTTAGCATATCTCGCAACCTTGATAATGATGGCGCAATTGCATTGGCTTCAAATCCCGAATTCCATGCTGCTACGAAACACATTGCAATTCGTTTTCATCGTCTCCGAGATGAAATTGCTGCCGGCAATGTGAAATTTGTCAAGATTCCTAGGTACTACTGAGATGGCCGCAGATGGCCTGACAAAACCCATCGGCAAGGTTTCTTTCAAGAGATAGATCACTCAGATGGGTCTGCATGAATATCGGAAATTTTGATTCCTGATTTATATACAAAAACAGGCAGGGTATAGAGGGTTTATCAAATCAAAAACAACCTGGTTTTTTACTGAAATGGGGGGTTGCTTTTTACCACTGCAGGATTTACTATTTGCTACTCATGTCAGAGGTCACGTAACAACTCATTTGCTCCTAGCCATTAGTTCTCATCCCTGCAGATAATTTCTTTCCTCTTCACGCAACAACATAATTTTTCCAGTACTATCTACTATTCATTGTAGTATCCGTGTCCAAGTGGGGACTCTATATACATATCAAATCAAGATACCACAGAAGACCTAGGAAAACACGAGCGTCCTGGTATCCCCAAGCCTACTCCATCATCAACATCCTCTATGTGTACCAAACTATAAATCACCTTGCCGAAACTTTGTTTCTAGCCGCCTTGACTTTTTTTCAAATCCCACGTGCGGCTCGCCGAAATCTGGCATGTAACCACGTCTTGCAGAACGCCCTGACGTTAAGCAGGCCATATTCATATACGGAGTACCCAATTTCAAGTGACCTACCAGGCCGTTGAAGTGAATCCTGGCGTTACAGAGATTGAGCTCCATCACAAAATAGTGTGGGAGAACCGTTTCTTATGGCGCCTTGAGCGCGGCGCCACGCTCTCTCTGCCTTGACCAAGGTCACTTTGCTATCATTTGTCCCATTGTCATTAGCTAGCTCTCAATTCAGGAGATACAATATCTCTCATTGTCCTCTACGAAAAGCTATCTTATTCTGTAGCACTAGACCAGAGATTGAATGCTTATCTGATTAGGTCCGCTATATATATATTTACATTTTGTCGATCAGTAACCACATATTATCCGAAGTTCCCGAACACAACCTTATTAGCAAATGATAACCAAAATCACCCGTCGTTGCTTTAAACATAAAATAATGCAAAGCGAAAGGACTTTTGATCTACGTTTTACAAGACGTGATGTGAAGACGGTTCAACCAGTCAGTACGTTGTAGTTCGATCATTGCCGCTACGCGCGTGGAGACTCGGGATCAAGTCACATGCTCAACATTTAAAGAATCAGATTCTATGGAGTATACAAGATATTATACTATCCAATGATTGAATCCTACCAGAACCGTCTCTTATGACAGTCAAAGTAAAAGAAGTTAGAAAAAAAAAGATTATGCGGAGGCGGGAACGGCCTCCTCCAGGAGGCAATTGGTCGATTGCCCTGGTCTGAAGAAAGGAAGTTTCAGGCGCGAAACGCACGCGCAACATAGGGGGGTTTTTTTTGAAGCCCATTTTCGGGCTTCTTTTGTCGTCCAGATAGGACGGAGCTGCGGGTTTCTCCCGTTCAGCCACGTCCTATCCGGACGAAAAACATACATATTCATGCTCTACTTATACTACGATAGATCTTTCTTTAGTCAACTCAGTTATCTCTCACTTGTTCCCCTCAACTTTCCTAGTATTTGATTCGCTCTCCCTTACCCTTCGAGTTTTCCTTGAGCTTGGAGTTTTGCTTGATCTTGACTTTGGTATCATTTTTGATAGTGTCATAAGAAACAACTAGCATTTACAGCTCTGTATGAGAAGCAAAAGGGAACACAGCGTGGGGAATAAACAAGAGGCTGTGGTATACATGATGAGATCAAATAAACGCCAAGGGCTTAACATAAAACGGAAGGCCACTCAAAAAAAATTACCAACACCAAAAAAAGAATCTGTACAAAGTGTGAGTCGACAGCATTGCATTCGTTCTACCCTGGCAGATTGACAGAGTTGCCAAATATGATGAGATGAAACGACAAAGATGTCTCGTCTTAAATCCCAAGGATAAAAAGCATGCGAGGGTTCATGTCCTCAAATATGTTCGTAAAATCCAACCGGTCCCAAATTCCCCTTGGGGAAATCAAAATGTCCTAAGTGTCGTGTGTTCCGTTCCCATCCATTCCGTGAATTGTGAGCCAGTGTCGTGTGCTCATAGATATTATTCATTTCCCATTTGTGTCGTCCCGTTATAAGGGTAAGGTATGTCGTAGGTGAAGAAGAGGTAGGTGTAAGCAAATCGTGAAAAAAAAAAGAAAGCAAGGAGAAAAAATGTGTTTCTTGCTTTGGCGCTGACGATGAATCGATTCGATTATGCATCATCGGTCAGTTTGTGGAGCAAACGAAGACTCAAGATCATGATCAGCAAGCCAACAGTTACTATGACCAGTAGGACAAAGCCAAACCAGCCAAGTACCATTGCAGAAGAGCCAACACCGCTCCTTACACTTCCATTGCCCATGTCTTGGGCTATCGTACTGGCAGCGACAGATGCTGTGTGCTGCCACAGTACTGACACAAGGACAAACACAGAGGAGACGAAAATGAGGGCTAGCGCAACCTGGCAGACGGGGCGCGAGGGGAAAGGCTTGACGTCACGCTCCGATCCAGTCTCGTCGATCTCCTCGTGCCAGCCAGGGAATGTCGCCAGAATGATGAAGCAGAAGAATGCGAGAATGACAGCAACAATCCTACACGAGCATTAGTGTTGTCTAGCAAGAATAAAACGCAGGCTACTCACAGGAGGTATGGGAAAACAACGGCATCTTTAAAAGTCGAGGCGACCCAGATCAGGTTCAGCGGATCTTGATCCACAGTGACAATCTCGGCCAGCGCCGTCGCATTGGCATTGCAAATAAAAGAGCCGTGATCAGGCTGAACACAGATACCAAAGTATCCCACTCGAACTTCCATCTCTGCGCCGCCGACAATGTTGGAGATGGCAGTCACAACACCCGGGTCGACTTGTGCGAGATCCCTTATGGGGTTGTACTTTTCATAGTATAGAGAGATAAGGAAGATATTAGGGATTTGCGGTGATGAGGAAGAGCAGCCGGCCAACAGCAGTGCTACAATTTGTTAGCTGCATTCCTGCAGGGAGAGTAACGGGCGGGATAGGCACTCACATAATAAGATGATAGCAACTGCTATGATAAGCATCAACACATGGTGGTACCCGATCATTGGAAGGAATCCTGAATGGGAAATTAGTAACAATACTATTGTGTTCTCTTGGTATGTCGTCACTTACGGGCCCATCTTTGAGCAAAGCCAGCAGCCATTGTGTTCAACTATGACCACTTCAGGGTCAAACTCCTGTACTTTTTTGTTGACTCGCTTCTCGGGTCTCCGAGAAGGAGTTTCCTGAACTGAATGCGATCTCAGAATTCAACTGTACACTCGGTGGCGCACTTGGTGATTCGTCTAATTGAGTTGACAAGTGAAGCGAAATCGAGATCGTTGGAATGGAATGTAGATGAAGAATGTGGAGCGCAGGATAAAGATCGGATGGTTCAGAACGTATTCAATGCTGACAATACTTCAAAAAAAATATCCAAAATATTTGCTAATATTGTGGAATCTGGGTCCTAGAGTGGATTATCCAGATGGGTCAGAGATATGAATATGACTTGACGCCTGTGTGTAGTACAGGGAAGTATATGAAAGAGACAGAATGTGTAGAAAGAATGGAAGGGAGGGGAAGAAGGGATCGTAGCCAGCACAAAACTCAACGTCTAATTGACAGATTCTCCAAATCTCTCTGGAGGCTGGGGGATGAGGCAAGAGTATAGTAAATCTAGGAGGCTGGGCCAACCGCTCTCTTGTTTACTATCCCGCTTCCCCGGTAACCAGACCAGACCGCCTTCTGAGTGGGTGATTCTGCCAACTAACACGGGAAAAGTCTGGATCAAGCTAGTCCCGATATATACTAGTGCAGATCCTGATAACCTTAGCCCCACTTCTACAAGCCACGCGATTGACCCAGCCTCTTAGATATTGGGCCGTCTACCGAGTACACTATGTCTATGTACCTCGATGTTACAATCTGTACATATAGATTGGGCACATTTTGATTTTCAGACTTTCAATGTTGTTGCTCTCAAACACTAACCAACGCTATGTCAAACAATAATCCCAATTAAAAAAAGTATTAACACCACAAGTTACGCGCCAAAGTGGAACCCACCAAACCAGTGGTCCAATGCTACCCCAGATACCAAGACCCAATGTTTTGTCCTAATACTCCGTGATCAAATAGAGATGCAGCCTAATTTGTGGCGAAAGAAAAGCGTTTGAGATCAAGAGTAGTTGAGTGCCCTGTGCTGGGCTCGTCATCGTCATCTTCATCCTCACTGTCTGGGATAATAAGGTCTTCGCTACCTTGGGTTCCTGAAAGTGAGGATCCCTTTATGACAGGAGAAGAAAATTCAGTCCGAGGTTCAGCAGCTTGAGCATCCCGGAGTTTATTAGGAATATTGATGCTGTTGGACCGACTGAGAGCGGACTGTCCCATCCGCTGGAGCGGTGTTAGGCGTCGTTGAAAAACATTGCTCCGTGCAATCGCAGCTGGGCTTTTGGGGGTCGAGGGTGTTGAGGTCTGTATCGCAGGAATCCTGGTCATGATAGAAGTTGCTGCGGTTGTTTTGGGCCTTGGCCCTGCTTGAAAAGTAAACTTGGAAAGTACATTCGTGTTTTGCCGATCAACGTGATAGTCAAGAGCCTGATTGAAACCTGGAGAGTTCGGTGTGGTATCCCCAGTGTTATTATGAGATCCTTCGACATTTCCTGTAATCAGGGGCTTTTTGGAAGTAGGGCTGGAAGAGGTTTCAACTTCACTGGACTTGCCAGATATCTCAAGGTTGCTCTCGGGTCTAGACTCAGCAGGCCCAGGGGCAGCAGGAGTACTAGGATCAGGAATGTTGGACATTATGTCTTCTGCTATTTCATCAGAGAAAACGCCGATCGTTGATTTGCGTGACCGTTTTGACCGACAGAGCTTTTGGCCGCTAGGGCTAGATTGTTCAGAAGTAGGAGCAAAGAACCGACTGCGAGCAGGGAGGCAAGCAGGTAGAGAATCCCCTTCAACCTCAGAGCAGAGTCTCTGCCGCTTTGTGGACTGCAAGGTCGACGCTCTTGCACTCTTGGCCAGAAAAGATGAGCGTTCCACACTCCGAACCATAGGGCTGAGGCCTTGGTCAGAAAAGGCCCTGAGAGGTGTGGACCTGACTGAGTTGGAGCGGAAGGGCGCTGCATTGGCCTGCCAGCTGTTGTTTTCATTGCGCTCTAGGAGACGTTGCTGGCTCGGAGACGGAGTTAGGCTGTTAGGGTCCAGCTCCGCCAGCGGTGTCCTCTTTGGGGTAAAGAATGAGTTGATGGACTTCTTTGGCTTCAACTCGGAAGAAGTACCCAGTGTCTGACGGCGATTGATGCCAAGGGTCCATCTACCTGCGAATAGTGGCTTCAAGATGATTGGTTCCTTAGTGGTTGGATCCAGATCGCCACGAGAAACCCCAGTGGCAATTTCCGGCTCCATGTCCGCACCAATATATGGCAGTGCGGCCAAATTGACATCATTGTCAGGTGGTGTCAAAGTCACGAGGCTTTGAGATTTGTGACAGAAGACCCGTTGGTAAAGGAAGGTCAACTCGGCCTGTTTGAAATTGGCAAGGTAGTCGGCTGGGACGCGAAAATTGCCTTCAAATTGGAGCATGCGCAGGGCTTTTTCAACACTTCGATGTTTGCGAATGATCCGGTAGGCAGTCTTTAGCCCTAGCTTGGGAATATTTGCCAAGTAATCACAACCGCTCAAAATGCACATGTTTCTGAAGTCCAGATCACTGAAACCAACCAAGCTGACCTCGCGGCAAGCAGTAAAATCAGCGCGGTTTATCTCAATGCATTCCCCATGCTGGTCCAGCTTCGAAAGCAACCGCTTTGCACCAAAGACAAGCAGATCTGAGTCCTCGGATATGATTCCATCAATGTCGCCCTGTTGCTCCAGGTACACCAGCTGTGCATCTGCCTCGTACGGGGCCACCACATACTGCACATTCATTTGCTTCAGTTCTTCAATTAACTGGCGGGCCATGTAGGGTGTCACATCAACGGCCTTTTGGAACTCCTGGTAAGCTTCTGGCATCCGTCCCTTCCGTTGTAGCTCCAGCCCAAGGGCCTTGCTTTCCTGACGTCGTCTGTGGCGATCCTGTTCGGTGCCTGCCTTGCTAGGTAGATTATCGCCATCAAAGACGAGGTATGGTTTAACCCCAAAGAAAAGAAGCATGCGGACTCGGTTGAGAACGAAATCAATGTGTCTGCCATAGGACAATGTTGTCAGTAAAGAGTGCGTGGGGAAGGTATACTAAAAAAAAGGCATACTTCTTAGTAGGATTATCCAAGACCAGATCTACCGAACAAGCAACAGTTCCTCGGTGCAGCCATCCATATGCATCAACTCCAAGTGTTTGCCCACTGAAATTCTTAATGTGACATGGTTTTTGAATCGACTTGAGAAGCCCGTGAAGTCCTATTTGTTTGCGTTAAAATCATAATTCATCTCCCCCTAGACAGTCACAAGATAACATACCTTTAATACCCATGGTGGACACCGTTCGAGGGACAGGCGGGTCCTCGTATTCAGGCAATAGATGATAACATAAGTTGAAATTTTCAAAAGCAGGAGACTAATGAATACCGAATACAATGAAGGGTCCAAATCAAATATCAGTTAAAGAATAGAGGGAGTAAATAACTCCTGGAATGTCCCTATATCGGACGCGCAGACGCGCTTTCCTCGAGTGGGGAAGGCGGTGATTTCGGGGTCACCGCCTAATTATGCCGGTGCATCCACGAAAATTATCATCGAAATCTACGGCGGAGTGTTTGGAGTAATTCTTGTCATCAGCCCGCAACCATGCCTGTTACTTTGGAAAAAGTGCACAAGCAGATTTCGAAGAAGCGCAGCTCCACTAATGCGCTTCACGAGAACAGTCGCGATGCTCACCGACTCCGCAAAGCTGGTGCTCGCGACGATCGATTGTCCCGCCATAACGCCACTGTGAACCGTGCAAGACAACCATACAGTACGACAGCTGCCCATTTCAATTGAAAGATACCCGGCTGACTTGACTAGTTGACCGAATTGATTACATTCATGAGGCTATCCAAAACCGTACTGATGCCTTCACGACCGAAGAGATTTCCGATTTCGTCGCTAAGTATGTAACACCCGATCAGCCACCGAACCCAAGATTAACGCAAACTAGGTACATTGACCGCGATACCGAGGAGATCAAACAGCTTGAGTCAGAGCGCCGTAAAGGACGTCCTCCTAGCAAGCGCGAAGAGGCCTTGAAACAGCGGGTGCAAACCGAGGATCGAGAGTTCTCGACCGGACTGTGGATGCCCGATCTGAGCGATCAATATGCAATGACTGCAATGAAAACCTGGAATGGGCACTGGTCGGGTCTCAGTGCGATTAAGTTCATGCGGTTCAGAAAAGATGGAGAGAAACTCCCGTCCACTTTCCCACCTAAGAGCATGTCATGATCACGATTACTTTTTCTATATATTTTTTTGTCTGGTGTCCAAAAAGACTGGGTTGGCGCATTATGGGTACATTGATTCTTCTCTAGATTCTGTACAGCCGAATATTCTCGAATATACCATTTCAATTCAATGCGGTTGTATTGTCCATCTATATACGTAGTTTCTCTCATGCGGCAGGCCTTCCATCCAGTAGTTTGTGCGCATAGTAGAGCGAGTCGACAATTTGAATACCTGACAACCCAAATTACTCACTGTCCTCTACAATGAAACTCAATTGAAATTATACATGCTTTTCGCCTAATGTAGAACCAAATTGCATGGCCGCGCAAAGTCGGCCAAAACAGAAGCGCCGGTCTTGGCGCTCGTAATAACCTTAGCTCATTTACTTTTTCCCAAGCTCTCATCTTCATCAACTTCAAACCATCCACATTCACAATGCTTTCTCTTCGCACTATCACCCGCTCTATCCCGCGCACTTTCTCACGCTCCATTGCCACTTCGGCTCTGCGTCCAGCATTCCCCAAGCCCGCCTTCCAGCAATCCTGGAAGCAGGCCACTAAGCCCGCCTACGCTGCCTTCTCGACCTCTAGCATCATCAAGGCTCCTTCATCAGAAGGTAAGATACATTGACTGATATTTGAAAGAGTCCGCGGAGATCCGGTGTTGTCTGATGGCGGACTCTATATGTGGCCTTGGGCTAATTTTGGATTTTTCTTTTTACAGTCGATATCGACCTCCTCGCCAAGCTCGAGGATGAGCTGAAGCACGAGAAGTCTTCCGAAATTCCCGAGTTTGAGGAGCAGCAGGAAGCCATCGATGATGCTATTAAGCATGGCGAGTGGCAGGTGAAGGATGTTGCCGGCGAGCAAGAGGTTGTCCTCACCAAGAAGTTCGGCACCGAGAAGTACGATCCATACAACCCCATTCCGCCTTTTCTTTTCTTTTAATGTGGATGATAAATATTAATACGGATGTTTGTTTAGCATCCGCGTCAGCTTTACCGTTGCCGATATCCAGAACATCAGCGAACAAGAGGACTTTGATGATGCCTCCCTGGCCGATGAGATGGATTTCCAGAACCAGTCCCGCGGCCAGGATGCCGAGGCTTCGGAGGACATCGAGCACCCGGAGCCCAGCTTCCCTGCCCGTGTTACCATCACCGTTGAGAAACCTAACAACGGTGCCCTTTTAATCCAAACTGTTGTCCAGGACGGTGTGTTCCAGATCGAGGAGGTCTCCCACTTCGCTAAGGCTGAGCTCGCTCAGTCCCTGACTGCTGAGAAGGACTGGACTCGCCAGAGCCTCTACGCCGGTCCTCCCTTCGAGAACCTCGATGAGGATCTTCAGGGTCTCTGGGACCGCTACCTCGAGGACCGTGGCCTTAACGCCGAGTTCGCTAATATGGTTCCTGACTACATCTCCGTCAAGGAGCAGAAGGAGTACTTGCGCTGGTTGGAGAGTATGTTTCCCCTCCCATATAATGTTTTTGTGACACTTATGCTGACAATATATTTCTCCTTTAGCTGTCAAGAACTTCATTGGTGCTTAAATTAACTACTCCATTTAACCTTTGGCTCATTTCCTCCTAATCCTGTCGGGAGTACCTTTTGATAATGAGAAGTTGGCCTAATATGGAGATATCACCCTCGTGCCTCCATATCACGGTTAGCTTCAATGCACCTAATCGTGTGACACTACATGTACCAATATTTCCAATATACAATCACTTCACTTACTACATGGCTCTACTCCTAGCCCTAGCTTACTTTGCACACCTTGCGAGTTGACAAGTCCCATGGCTGAGTCATTATGTTTATTCCATTGGTAGATTCAAACGAGAACAAGGTAATAAATGTCGACCGATGATGACCGATAGCAAATCACTCGGTTCCATGCATAATAAACCCCAACTCCTCAGAAGCGCAATCCCTTGATATAAATCCAAAATGAAGTTGGTGAAGGTAATTAACAATACATAAAGTCATAATCCTATGAGGCGAAGCTAGGCAAAGGGAATCAACATGAACATGGTGCGGTTAAAATTCCATGGGATCGGCCTTGACAGCAGACGCGGTGTCATCACGTTCACGCTTGCCATTACGCTCTTCCTTCAAGAGGCCTGCGATGAATGAACGGAAGAAATCGATATAAGGTTTCAGGCTGGTCTTCTCATAGTCCTGCAACTTACGACCACCCTTCATGTCGGAGCCATTCATCGCACTGCCTTCAACATCTGGGATATCTGCCTCCGCTGTGCCGGGAGGATGTTTCGCGTCATACTCATCAATCTCGGCGAGCAGGTTCATTACCGTCGGGACGGACAGAGGATCGAAGTTTTCGGCATTTCGAGGGTCAATGGGGACACAAATACGACCAGTGCCGGGGTGAATAACAAAGGGACTTTTTAGCAAATGAATCATCTTCTTGCTGACCTCGGCATCCAGACGTGGGTAGGTATATTCCAAGACAATATCTTGCTTCGCATCTCGAAGCGTCGCCGGGTTGAGCGTGCTGCTCTTACCAGTCTTTGCGAGTGAATCGATATCGGCCCATTTGCTGGTGCTGGCACGATCTGGAGAGGATTCCCATTTCCTCCGTAGGGATTCGTTCAATGTCTTGTCGGGCAACAGAGACAGAAGGCGTTCTGCTTGCTCGGCGGTTTCAAATGTATCCTGATCACCGAGTGTGGTCCGGGCAAAGTCGTTTTTGAGCAACTCAAGACTGCGTACAATATGGGGGTGTAGTGGCCGTTTGATGTTGACTTTCTTCCCGCTTTGTGACCCTCCACGGACTATCTCAAGATAACCAGCAATGGCTCGGCGTCGATCGTCCGGCAGATTGCGTGCGCGGGGATCGCACACCCAGGCGTGAGCACCACGACGACCCGAGTAAACCCAGAGGATGTGTTCAAACCCAAAGTCCTCCCGTAGTGCGGTGTCAATAACCTTGATTGACATTGTCACAAATGACCAGCACTTAGCGCAGATATTCGCTTTGACACAACATGTACGGATGTCATCATAATCAGTCAAATCAATATCGAAAACCAATTCCTTAGAGACTGGCTTCATTTGGCCACCTCGTAACGTTTTGCGATCGCGTGGGTTCGTGCTATAAACAGGTCCTATTTCGAAACGAGAAGGGTTCATCCTAAGTATATCTTTCCGGAACCTGGACATATGTGTTAGCTCAAAGGAAATTTGACAACAGATGTTGAAATAGGTCTTACAGATCCGCAGTTGGATATGATTGGTATCGGAGATAGGCATCGTTTTGCAGTGTCAATGCAAATTCTCGGTTGCCAAAGTCTTTCGTTGGTACAATTCCATGATTTAGCCATTGGAAAAGGTATCGGAATGGGAAAAGTCGTTGATAGAAGGCGAGCATGATATCTGGATCCACGCCTGAGGGTGTAGGTGCTGGGGGCCTATTGCGAGGTTTCGGTCAGCAGTCAAGTTCAAGGATATTTTACAAGAGAGCTTAGCACTCACTCTTCCTTTGGAGATTCCATCTTCACATCCCCGGAAGCCGGAAACTCCTCGTCATCGTCATCATCGTCGTTAAACATATCCTCGAGTCTGACATTAGTTTCAGTCGACGTCTCGACTGGAGGGGCATCCGGCATATCGTCGTCATTCTGCGCAGAGCCAGATGTTATGGAGTGAGGCATTGCGGGCGAGTCTGGTAGTGGACGAAGCAAATGCTCTTTCTAAAGTTCTCTGGGGCTTAATTGAACCCAAACAGGAAGGCGCGACGCGCCACGCGCCACGTCCGCGCACGCGTTTGCCCTAAGCCCTACATCACGTGATGTCTCAAAAAAGAGATGGTCTAAGAACGAAAGCGGATAGGTTGCCTCTACACTGTTTCTTTTACAGGGGATAGTCAGTCGCGAACTCCCCCGCAAGATGTTGAGGTACTACAGGTACTAAATTCATCCCCTTGCCGTTTGCGACCAAAATCTCTGCAGTACCTCGATGTTGTACCTCTCGTCCACCAGGATCCTTGGATGACATCTAGACTTTCCTGCTCTTCCACCAAAATAAAGAACGTGCAGGCTTCGCAGATTGGTTAGAGCCTTCTCCGCCGTCGATCTCCAACGAGAACCCATTGTTACTTTGCGGCAAAGACCCCCTCTTTGCGCAGTGAAGGCTTGGCCTGACCTGACCCAGTGCTAGATATAGATGTCCCCGTCATTGATCACAGTTGTCGATGTCACGATGGGTCACTTTTGGTTTAATCCCTCAAAAAATGATGTTTTGGGAGGCTGCCGGGATGATCTTGCTCCGGGAATACCTCGGATTCACTCGTAGATTCTTTTAAAGTGTCACCTACCAATGGAACGCCCTTACACTCTGCCGGATACTATTCCCACATTCCAGAGGGCCAAGGGAACAACACCCTTATGCGTACTTGGAGTTTTTCGGCTGCTTCTGGTTGACTTGATTAACGTTTTCACTACGAGGCCAAGCATCTCCAGAGATTCTTACCACCAATCAGAGAAACTTTGACATATCAATTGTGGCCCCGTCTGAATAGGATCGCCTAGCCATCACATTCTCGACTACCTATTGCCTTGCTAACACTGGACCTCCATAATGGTCCTTTTTCTGGCCATATATCCAAAGTACAGCTATTCTTGAACAATCATTAAGCAATATTCTTCTCCGAAATGAAGCAATATGCAGTCAGACCAGTAATTTGCTTATTCCTTTTCCAGATTCTGAGAGATTCTGGAGATTGCCAAGGTCTTCTCATGTTTCCGCATTAGGTTACCCTAGTGGATGAAGATGGAGATCTCCTGCACTACTTACCCCAATGATACTACAGTCTGTCACGTTTGCATCTGAGTTCTCCAGATAAATGTATCATTGCACAAATTTTGTCCAATGGCCTTGCATCTGTGCCTTTATCGTCTATCGTTGGGCTGTCCTAGTACCTGCATCCGGCTTTTTATGGTGACATTCTGAATCAGGTCTACCTTTCTGTCCTGGACACGACCGTGGCACCCTATCCGTCATGACTTGGAACCAGTCTTCTCAAAAAGGGCATATAAGATCGTTCATCTCTGTCCATCTTTCAGGATTATCATTCGCTTCACTCGTTATCTTTCCAGTTTGTTGGTTAAGACTGATCTCTCGAAATGATCAACTCCGTTGCTCTTCTGGCTCTTGCCAGCCCGGCCTTCGCCGGTATTATGCAGGCCCGTGGCGAGGACTTCATCCGTCCTGCCGCCCAGAGCTCTGCTGCCGTTGGTGCCCCTGCCCAGGCTGAGGGCTGGGGTGAGAGCTGGTCCAAGCCGGCCGAGCACGTCTCGACCACCGAGCACCACCTCTCAACCACCGAGCACCACGTCTCGACTACCGAGCCCCATGTCTCGACCACCGCGCATGTCTCGACCACCGAGCCCCATGTCTCGACTACCGCGCACGTCTCGACCACCGGCTCCTGGAGCAGCAAGTCCAGTGAGTCGTGGACAACTCCGTGCACCACCTCGACTACCCCGGTGCACGAGCATACCACCACGACCCCGGTGCATGAGCATACCACCACTACCCCGGTGCATGAGCATACCACCACTACCCCGGTGCATGAGCACACCACCACTACCCCGGTGCACGAGCACACCACCACCCCGGTGCACGGAAACACCACCACCCCATGCACCACCTCGACCACCCCGGTGCACACCACCACTGCCCCGGTGTATGAGCATACCACCACCCCGGTGCACGGAAACACCACCACCCCATGCACCACCTCGACCACCCCGGTGCACACCACCACTGCCCCGGTGTATGAGCATACCACCATCCCGGTGCACGGAAATACCACTATCCCAGTGCCCGGAAATACCACTACCCCATGCACCACCTCGACCACCCCAGTGTACGAGCACACCACCACCGTCCCGGCGCACGGCAATGCCACCACCACCCACGTTCCTGTCAAGCCTGGTACCACCAAGACTCTCACTTACGTGACCACCACCTGCCCTGGTAAGCCCTAGAATCTCTACTAAACCGTATCACTTGAACTAATATTCTAACCACGCCTCTAGTCACCTCGTCTACCATCACCTCTGGCTCTAAGACCTGGACTGTTCCCGTCACCGGAACAAGCACCATCACCATCACCAAGACCACCGTGTGCACCCAGTGCGAGAACGAGAAGCCCCTGACCTTCTACAATGCCACTCGTCCTGGCACTGAAGGCCCCACCGCAGGCCCCACTGCTCCTGTTCTGAAGCCCACCGGAGAGGTCATTGTTCCCGGTCACTCCAAGCCCGCCGAGACCTTCCCTGCCGAGACTAAGCCCGGTGTCCCTGCTGAGACCAAGCCCGTCGAGACCAAGCCCGTTGAGACTAAGCCCGGTGTCCCCGCTGAGACTAAGCCCGCTGTTCCCGTTGTTCCCGCTGAGACCAAGCCCGGTGTCCCCGCTGAGACTAAGCCCGCTGTTCCCGTTGTTCCCGTTGTTCCCGCTGAGTCCAAGCCCGGCGTCCCTGCCGAGACCCACCCCGCTGTCCCAGTTGTTCCCGCTGAGTCCAAGCCTGGTGTCCCTGCTGAGACCAAGCCCGCTGTCCCCGTTGTTCCCGCTGAGACCAAGCCTGCTGTTCCCGGCTCCCCTGCTGAGACTAAGCCCGCTGTTCCCGGCTCCCCCGCTGAGACTAAGCCCGCTGTCCCTGGCTCCCCTGCTGAGACCAAGCCCGCTGTTCCCGGCTCCCCTGCTGAGACTAAGCCTGCTGTTCCCGGCTCTCCCGCTGAGACTAAGCCCGCTGTCCCTGGCTCCCCTGCTGAGACTAAGCCTGCTGTTCCCGGCTCTCCCGCTGAGACTAAGCCCGCTGTCCCTGGCTCCCCTGCTGAGACCAAGCCTGCTGTCCCCGGCTCCCCTGCTGAGACCAAGCCTGCTGTCCCCGGCTCCCCCGCTGAGACCAAGCCCGCTGTCCCCGGCTCCCCTGCTGAGACTAAGCCCGCTGTCCCCGGCTCCCCTGCCGAGACTAAGCCCGCTGTTCCCGGCTCCCCCGCTGAGACCAAGCCCGCTGTCCCCGGCTCCCCGGCTGAGACTAAGCCCGCTGTCCCCGGTTCCCCGGCTGAGACCAAGCCCGCTGTCCCCGGTTCCCCTGCTGAGACTAAGCCCGCTGTTCCCGGCTCCCCCGCTGAGACCAAGCCCGCTGTTCCCGGCTCCCCTGCTGAGACCAAGCCTGCTGTTCCCGTTGTTCCCGTTGTTCCGGCTGAGTCCAAGCCCGGCGTCCCTGCCGAGACCCACCCTGCTGGTCACCCCTCCACCCCCGAGACTGAGCAACCCTCTACCCCTGAGACTGAGCAGCCCTCTACCCCTGGACAGCACGGTTCCTCCCCCTCCTCCAACGAGTTCACCGGTTCCGCGGCCCACGTCAAGCCCGCCGCTGGCCTCCTTGCTGGTGTTGTTGCCCTCATGGCTCTCCTGTAAATCAGTTGAGAATCCTCGATGGCCGATCCATCTCTTGATTGAGATCTGGGTCCCTATCTGTTCCTGGCTTCTTTGGTCTTCAGTGGTGCTGATCAGAGAAACCTCATGGGACCTTGAGTATTTTTGTGAGTATCTGGCCTATGTCCCGCTCGTCATTACTTCTTCTGCTTTTACTACAGCTGGAGGATTAAAGAAGAACGGTTGCTTGGTCACTTCGAGAATTTTGTCTACTTTTTCGGACTTGTTTTAAATATATTAATAGTAATATGGAGTATTTGCTGTTTAGATTCTTTGACTTATATGTTTCAAGATTTTAGTATTCTCAGAACGCATTCGCATTGAATCAAAAGTCAATTTGTCTTTTTTTCTGAAAATTCCCAAACAGCTCAATTAGTTGTAAACACCCAGGTAACTTTGTTCTTCCCTTGATGTACTGAATATTTCCAAATCCTGCTGATTAGTAGTTAGATCCGTCTCTCACAATATCTCACATTACGCCTGAGTCTATAGAGTCTTGTACGCAATATATGCACAAGCGCTCTCTCTAGTTGAAATCTTCCTCTCTTATTTACTACGCTTATTAGGCTCCATGATTGTGATATCTTCACATAGCACGTTTGTATAGTCTATTCTGAACTTTTGATATTGACTATGTAATAAAAAAAAACAGGCATATATTTAGATAGGGAGAGAAAACAGTAAAACCAACCGATTCCACCATTTTTATACTACAACAGAAGACTTCTTTAGCCTGCACACCCTCCCATTGAATCTTCCCAACTCAGTGTGTTCCATGATGGGCCTTCTTTCTCTTGGAAGATCTCAGGTCTATCGCAAACCCTGCAGCTCCTGTTCGAGCTCCGCCTTGACAATCTCCTTGACACCCTGCCAGCCAGCGCTCTCGCCGACGGGGGTGACTCGGCTCTCACGCTGCTCCAGGCCAATGAACTCCTGTGGCAAGATCTCGGTGAAGTTGTAACCATCCTCGGTACGCAGAGCAAGGTCCACGGCGCTAGCGAACTTAGCCGGGTGGGCAGTGGACAGAGAAATGTGAGTATCGTTGGGGTTTCGCGCCATAGAGCGGCGTGTGGCAGCAACACCAACAGCAGTGTGAGGGTCAAGGATGTAACCACCGGTCTTGGAGCTCTTGGCAGAGCCGGGGCCAAGACCCTTGGGGAAGGAGGTTTTGTAGATATCACGGATCATAGCGATAGTTTCCTCGTTGCTGACGCGCTCACTCTCGAAATCGACCTTGGCGGCTTCGAGGACGGCGGTGGGGACCTGGAAGCCACCATCAGTCTTGAGCTGGTTGAGCCACCCGCTGACGCTCTCGCAGGCGATCTTGCGGCGCTCGGCCTCGTCGCCCTTGGATGTTTGGTAGGAGAGGAACCAGAGGAGGCGCTCGAAGTTGCTGCTAACGAGGATGTCCATGGCTGGGCTGTGGGTTTCCTTCACGCCGTGGTCGGAGGGGGCGCCGAGGGCTTTCTTAGTGTAGTGGCCGCCGCTACGGAAGAAGCGGTCGAGAATGTCATTTGCGTTAGTGGCAATCACCAGCTTCTCGAGGGGAAGACCCATCTGCTTGGCGAACCAACCGGCAAGAATATCGCCGAAGTTGCCGGAGGGGACAACCACTCGGACCTTGGAATCCTTGGCATAAGAGGGGGACTTGATGAGGGAGAAGTAGGAGTAGAAGAAGTAGGTGATCTGGGCCAAAATTCTAGCCATGTTAATGCTGTTGACAGCGGCGATGTTGTGGGTGGAGTTAAGGTCTTCGTCAGCAAAAAGCGATTTGACGATATCCTGGCAGTGGTCGAACGAGCCCGCCACAGTAAGATTATGAACATTAGGGTCCAAGATTGTTGTCATTTGCTTCTCTTGGATAGGCGAGACGCGGCCGCCATCAGGGAAGAGAATGAATACCGACACGTCTTTCTTGCCGCGAAGGCCATAGATAGCAGCTGAGCCAGTGTCACCGCTAGTAGCACCGACAACGGTCAGGTGGTGTCTGTCCTTGCCGGTCTTTCCAACGTTCTTCCGAACAAGGAAATACTCGAACAGGTTTCCGAGGAAGCTCAGCGCAACATCCTTGAACGCAAAGGTCGGACCGTGGAATAGCTCCAGCAAGTAGAGGTTCTTTTCGAGGAGGACAGAAGGAGTGCGCTCGGGGTGACGGAAAGTCGAGTAAGACTTGTAGATAATGCTCTTAAGATCTTCTCGGGGAATCTCGTCTGTAGAGATATAGAGAGACATGATTTCGAGCGCCAAATCCTCGAAGCTCAGATCCCGCCATTCGGTCTCCCACGATTTAGGGAGAGTAGGCATTTCCTCTGGGATGAAAAGACCGCCATCTGAGGCCAAGCCTTGAAGAACAACATCTTCAAAGCTTCTCTACAGAGACAGATTGGTTAATAACATGTTCCTAATGGAACTTAGAGCAGTTATTTTCCCACTTACCCCGGACTCAGCACCGCGAGTACTTAGGTATTGTTGTGACAGTGTAGGAGACATGGTGAGAAAGTCAATTGAGTCAATAGAAATTCCTTGAAACCGAAGTAGAGAAGAGGAAGTCGCCGATGATTCATCCCACCGCGGGGGAAATCTGAGCATCCAAAAACAGATTAGCGCCTCCGAGAACGGCCTTCACGTGCGTGATTTGATTGGCTCACACGTGCATACTCATACTGTACATTTTATATTTTGAAATCCTTTAATCCTTCTTCATTCGTGGGGCTCATCTCTATATTCTAATCTTGTTCTATTTACAGGTCTCTACTCATCATTGACCAACACAAATCTGTAGCGGGCCTTTCCATCCTCCATATCCACAATCGCCTTGTTTGCATCTTTCATCGGGATTTCCTCCACCCAGGGGCGGATTCCCTTTTCAGCAACAAGCTCGAACATCTCTCGGATCTCGTCAGGGCTACCAACATGGCAGCTTGACAGCTTGATGCAGCGCATCAAACTTCTAACAGGAGCGAACAGTCCACCATCCTCAGGAAGACCGACCTGCACAAACGATCCACCAGTCTTCAGAAGACCAAGGTAATCGTTAAAGGGCATCTTAGTAGATGACACAGTGGAAACAATCAAATCCAAAGACCGGGAATTGGCCGTAGCCCACTCCGGCTCATCATCAGTCGCAATGTAAAGATCAGCTCCCATCTTCAGCGAATCCTCCTTCTTAGCCAGCTTCCGGGAGATAGCAACAACCTTATCAGCCCCCATAGCCTTAGCAAACAGGACACCAAAGTGACCCAGACCTCCAACACCAATAATGCCCACGCGCTTGCCAGGTCCACAGCCGTTTTGCTTGAGCGGGCTGTAGAGGGTGGCGCCGCCGCACAGCATAGGTGCAGCATGAGCCGACGGGATGGCATCGGGGATCTTGATAGCGAAGTGGGCAGGCACACGGTTGTACCGCCCATAGCCACCGTACGACTTACCACCATTGTAGTGGATGCTGTTGTACGTGCCGACGAACCTCTTGCTGCAGTAGTTCTCCACGCCTGATGAGCACTCCTCGCAAGGACCTAGGCAGCCAAGGCAGGACCCGCTCTGTGCGCCGACACCGACGCGGTCGCCGATCTGGATGTTGGAGACCTTGCTACCTACTCGCACGGCTGTGCCGACAATCTCGTGACCGACGCAGCAGGGGTAGTCGGTGGGTTTCTGTGACGAATGTTAGTTTGTTTTATATTTTTTTATACGGATATGTTATACAATGTTGCATGTCAACGAGCTTTCCCGTCCAGAGATCTCGCTGATACAAACGGAAAACATACCCAGCCACTTCGGAGAGTGTGTAAATCAGAACCACAGATACCACAGTGGGAGACTTTGATATCAACATCAGTCTCCTCCCACTCTTTCGGCTCGAATTCCTGCCAGACCATGTTGCCCTCGGCAGAACTAGGGTCAAGGCCCATCCAGCCTTCGAATTTGTAGTCTGTTTGCGCCATTTTGTGAAGTTGGGGAAATCTACACTGTTCACATCTTTCGCGGGGGTCTGCCCCATTTATCTCTCTTGGAAGCGGGACACTTCTGGAGGCCCACTTCGCTTTGCACACTGGAAATTTCCCGAGGTTTGATAAATTGGTAATCATCGTTTATCAATGGGTCAATTCTGGAGATTTGGACTTGTAGGAGCCTATAGAGTGTGCGGTGTCTATCTAGTTAGAATGGGGGGATCCGTTTGCTGATAACCTAGTATTATACATCCACCTATATAACAACATACATATAATATCTTTCTAGACAGGCTCTGCTCTAATGTACAATTGATTGAACTACGACATACTTAGCTAGGTATAGATTTGTCTATCAATGCCAACGTGTATGGCCTTTTTTTGTTTTCGTTGCTTTTGTGGAGTCGTGGGCATCGGCCGAGAAGCGGAAGTCTATTTCGGATATCACGACATAGGGCTAGACGGTACTCGGCAGAGATGTTATAGATGTCTCTCAATCTATATCAACTCGCACACAAGGGCCGCATTGCCAAGCTGCATTGCCAAGATACATCTAATCTACGTCCAAAAGCATCACAATAAAAGAAATTGATATTCGAGGCAGAAATGTACAAAGCCTTTTGAAGTCCGTTTAGGTAGAGATGCAAGCAAAATTAAACAAGTAAAAGAAAACACCAATCTATCTCGTTCAGTTCAGATTCTCGCTTGCGGAAACACCTGGATATAACGTCAATGCTATTGCTCTAGAAGAGCGACAAGATGTCGTCGTTGGATTTCTTGGACTGGTTGTTTTGAGAAGGTCCCGCATTGCCGGAGAGATCAAGCCCAGAGAATCCGTTCATGAGGTCGGCACTGCCACCACTCGGCGAGGGCTGGGAGGCACCGGAGTCCCCGAACACGCCCAAGAGATCATCCAGGTTGTTGCTTGCTTGGCCTGTCGTACCGGCTGCAGGGGACGCTACTCGTACGGGGGTGCCAGCCAGACCCTCCAGGCCGGACATGCCGGCAGAAGGCTCAGTTTGGGCGGAGGCAGGAGCACCGCCGTCGAAATCGATGTCCAGCAGGTTCTCGACGTTGTTTTGCCCCTGCGCAGGGGCTGCAGTGCCGCCAGCGGTAGCAGCAGCCGCAGCCAATGGGTTCTCACGCGCGTTCTGGATTTGTTCCCTGTATATTGGTTAACAACACGTTCAACAAACACTGGAGATTGAATACATACTCGATAGCAGCGCGCATGACGGCGTCAGCACCGAATCGGCCGTGGCCGACAAACTGCTCGGGGGGCTTGTGGTAGACAGAAGAGAGAGTAGACAGTTCGGAAAGGAGTTGGTCGAGAAGCGCAGGTGGCAGTGAGTGGATGGTGGTGACAATAGGGGGCTTGTCCGAGAGCACGATGTTCTTTGTTGCGTTCGAATCACTCGTGTTAGACAGAAGGCGCCAGTAGATATATGCACGATCACGGACATCTGGGTTGTCGTTCTCGGATGTCGCAGCCTGGAGTACCCGTTGCACCAGCCCTTGTGCCTTCTCGGGCCGCTTCAGGAAGAGTTTGACAACAGATGTGAGGATTTGCAATTGAGTCTAAATATAGAGGTTAGCGAATATGACAACGTATGCCGGGAGAGAAGAACAAACCGAAGAGAACTCTTCGTTGAAGCCATCGACAAAGCCACCCAAAATATCACCAGCGTTGCTAATCTTCTCGGCATACTCTCCAACAATCCAGATAATTGCCGCTCTAGCATTGGGCTCATCCAACTCATCAATGCACTGGCATAGAGTCGGGATGATACCTTCGTAGCCAGGGTATTTCCGGAAGATGTCCTTGATGACGACGATCGCTTCCTGAACGACGTAGTTCACCTTGGTGTTGATGAGATCCAACAACGTGTTAACGCACCGCTCGCTAGCGCTCTCAATCTTGATGGCAACCTGGCCGATTGCCCGGACAGCTCTACGGACAAAGTCCATGTCGACTTCAAGGGCATACTCCTTTAATTCAGCGAGAAGCTGGTCCACATTGCGGTCGTTCGCTATGCGCACCATAATCTCAAGTTTCTGGAACTTGACATATTGCGGGTCATTGTATTTGCAGAAGAAAACACGGAGTTCTTTGTTGAGAATGTCAGGCTCCTTCTGCAGCAGAAGGTCGATGTTTCTTAATGCAACATATTGCACTTCGGGGGCTGATGAAACCAATGTAACTAGATAATATTAGCGAAAAAAAGCGTAATTATAGGAGCGAAGGAGCATACCCAATGGCGGAGCCATCTTCTTTAGGTAGGTCTTTGACAACTCAGGGCTGACGTTCTTCATATGTAAGAATACAGCCTTGACTGCCGCAAGAACCACACCGGCATTAACGTGCTGGAACTGAGGAGCGACTCGTTCACAAATGTGCTCTGACTCCTTCACGTCGGAGGTCTTATATTCAGCCAAAGTTGAGAGAACAGTGACACGCCCCCATTCTGTGCACTCGTTCAAAGCCATCAACATCTTCCGTAGAGTGTTGCCAGTAATCTGCAGAGCTTTTGTCTCGGGTGCTGTGGAGTGAATTTCCTGAAGCGCGGTCACCGAATTGGCCACGACCATTGGGTTGGGGTCTCCAATCATCTCCTGGAGCATCTCCAAGAATCCGTTCTCAATTGCCATTGTCGGGTTCAGATCGAAAAGTTTAGCCACACAAATCGCAGCGGTCTTGCGGACATATGGCGACTCGTCTCGGAGGGTCTTGCGCAGAGGTTCTTCCATGTAGTCCACTATCTTGTCCACCCGAATACAACCCATGGTGCGGATTGCCAGCGCACGAACCAGTGGGTTAGGGTCTTCCGAGTCTTGTACGAAGGTGTTCACGGCAAGAATACATAGATCAGGGTGCGATTTGGCATAATTCCTGAAAGTGAGATTCGACCGATTAGCATACGTAGCCACCTTCAGTTGTACTATGGTACCCACATGAGATAGAGGTAGACCAATTTCTTCTGCTCAAGATCAGATGTAGCAATGTTCTTGAGCACATCGGGGAACAGGGCTGAAACATCCTTTCCTAGGGTCATGGCCATGATTGTCTTTTGAATGGATTCCTTCCTGTTACATTGTCAGTGATACCGCGTCTTCCCCATACACTACTAGGCCGAACTGAAGGATTCGCTGCTGTACATACCGTTCGTAGGCATACTGGGAACTGTGGTAATAGTTAATATCATCCGTTATTCGCTATGGTGAGGTAACCAGCGCATGGTGGAGGGGGCCGCATACACAAGTCCAGCTCGCAATTCAAACGTCTCTCCTTTCCGAGGTACCGCAAAGGCGCCGCGGATTTTGTTCATCGCCATGGCGAGGTTGTATAAGCTTCAGCAACGACTAGGTCGTGCCTCCGCCTAGAGATATGGATGGGGAGTGGGAATCGAGTAGCGTTGGGCGACTGCGGGGGATTAGGAGCTTCGCGGTCGCGCGAGGTCGGGGAATGGAATTTGTCGAAATTGTTCGTTACTTTGTCCGCAAACACAAAGAAGTATGTGAACAATCCGGGTTGGGGAGAGTTCAAGGAAGAATGGGGGCGAAGAGGGAGAGAAAGGGTGTTCCCGGCGATCAAAAGTTGTCCACAAATTGGTGGCTTCTGGACTCTCCCGCTCTACCGTCATCTCTCCTTCCCTTTTGATTGTCCTTTAATCCAGATCACCACTGTCTTAATGGTATTTATTCCACCTGCCAAACTGCATCATTGCTAGGACTAACACATCTGCAGGCTAACCTCCCTAACTTAAGGCGCCTCTTTGTCGAGGCTAGAACGGAGGTGGAGGAGAACGAGTACTCCCGAAAGGCCGTATGTCATTGGACCACTTCGAGTCGATTGGATAATGCTAACGAGTTTCCACGGGCAGTTCTACAATCTCGTCCTCTTCATCTCTTCTGTTGCTATCTTCAGCTTGACTGCCCAGCGCATGAGTGGTCCGAAAAATGGGCGATAATGAACACCCTTACTAACATAACTATATTTGGATATTATGAAGTATGAAATACAAAGTGACATGGACGCATTATCCGATATACTGGGAGCCCAGCCGTTGGTCCGATGAGCTCATTCCTTACGAACCCCATGCTATCTATCAATCAGTTTCTTCGCCATCACTCTCTAAGAACGCAAGCGACTGTCGCCCCCGAGACACCTTACGCCGAGGCTTCACACCTTCCTCATTCTCCTCGTCACTTTTGGCGCCCCAATGTTTTGCGCCTTGCTGGATCTGCTCTAAATCCGCTTTTAGCTCCCGTTCTTCGCGGATCTGGTTTGCCTTTTCTTGAGATGGCCGGCCAGTCATTCCAGCATCCTCCAACATTCCCTTGAGATGCTTGATCTTGGCCTTGGGGGTGTCATATGGCGCCAGCTCTTTACCCCACAGCTTACGGATCCCACATTTGATGAGCCATCCTTGCAGCCGTTTGATTTCAGCCTGGTCCGGGCTGATATCTTCATCCTTAGCTTTAGGGACTTTCTTCGTCTTGGTTGCAGTTCCCCCGGCACTTTTCTGTTGCTTGCGTGGGGCCTTAGGCTCTTCATCAAGTACCACGGACATCTCGCTTTCAGAATCATCCCTGGTATCTCTGGTCGGTTTGGCGGCATTTGAAGTGCCATCGGGAACATCGGAAGTGTCTGATGCATCGTTCGTGGGGAGATTTCGTACAGAGGCCTTCTTCACTGGCGACTTCTTTACTGACGCTCTCGATCGTTTCTTTGGCTTTGTGACATCATCATTATCACTCTCATCGCCGGAGAAGTCAGAAGCGTCTGATATATCTTTCTTGGGTTTCTGTACGGAGACCTTCTTCGCTGGTGACTTCTTCATCGGCGACTGCTTAACTGGTGCTTTCGATCGACTCTTAGGCTTTGTGACCTCATCACTTTCGTCGTCCAACGGGACTGCTAGCTCAACCTCCTCGTCGGACACCGGCGTCTTAGTTTTCTGGCGTTTCCTAGACTTCGGCGCGGTCTCAGGTTTTGCTCGCTTCGCAGTGGCAGTGGGCTTAGGTTTTGGCGGAGAGGGGGTCTTTTTGGGTGTTTGGGATTGTGGATTTTGTATTGCCTGATCTTGTATTTCCTGTGAAAGCAATCAGTGTCTTCTTCTCTAAAGCTGCTTATAAGCTGCCAAAGAAGCGCTATATATGAAAACAAAGACTCACCACCTCGTTCTTTATTATATCCTCACTCCGCACTTTCCAGTCAGCTGTAGACTTGAAGTAGCCCGTTGTGAGACCTAGTGTAGCTTCCGCCGCAAGTCGCACACGCTTCACGGTCAATTCATCCATGTTCCCCGACTTGAAGATCGCAGCTACTCGATCTCGAAGGCTTTTTTCTAGAACCCGGTCAGAAGGAATGTTGGGCACCTCGCCCTCAGCTTCAGACTCGGAGTCGGATAGCGTATACTTCGGCGGCATGTTGATGTTGCTTTTTGGCGATCAAGGGAGACTGATGATGTAGGAGTGATTTTGCAGGAAATGCCCAGCTTCCTAGACTATATATCGGGAAATAAGGAACAGAGAACAAAGTAATGGAATAAAGAAGTTTATGTGTTTCAGTCAAACTGCGAACCTGAGCGCGTCTGGGTTGACCACTAGAGCGCGCTGGAATGGATGACAAAGCTGGATCGAGATTAAATGGATCGGCGCCGTGACATAGAAGTGTAAATGTCATTTGTAACTGGCCTTGCTCCGAAAGTTTAGCTTCTGCATTTTCTACATATTCAAAGCTCATTGTCTAAAGAATTTTTCTCACTTCTTTTTGACACTCTTTTTACTGATTGTTTCGCCAAAAATCTGTCACTATTACCTCTTTGTCGCCTCCGCTGTTTCTCCGTAATCTATTAGAAATCAGCCCCGGATCACTTCCACGACTCCAATTCATCAATTTTTCAAGAAAATCAAATATCTACAACCGAAAACATGTCCTCGGTTCCGCCGGAGCAAGTCGATAGTCAATATAAAGGCACGGGGTCAATATTCAACCAGCAAACCTCCGCGACCTCCAAGCCAAGTGGGAACGATGACTCGAAAGCCCCATTGCCCAAGGGCGTAGTTTTGGACAAAGACGGAAAACCGTGCGTATCTACGACTAGCAGAAGCTTGACTCACTCTTCTACCGAAAAAGCTAACATACCCACCTCCCAGTTGCCGCACCTGCACCTCCGTCGCCTCATGGCGAGCATTGACCAAGCAAGCCGACCTCAAAAGCGCAGGTTCAAACTCAACCTCGAGCACTGGCAAAATGGCAACCTCAACTGCCGCATTCGCCGCCGCAGCAACGTCCTCCCCCAAGGAAACTCCCTCGGACTGCCCGCCAGACGTCGAAGAGCTAGGCCGCTCAACATGGACACTATTGCACTCGATGGCAGCCACATACCCTGAAAAGGCAAATATGGAACACCAAGCTAATATGAGCGGGTTCTTGAAGTTCTTCTCGAAGCTGTATCCGTGCTGGGTGTGCGCGGATGATTTCCGGACATGGATGGCGCATCCGAGTGGACGAAATCAGCCGAAACTGGGGAGTCGGAAGGAGTTCGGGTGGTGGATGTGCGAGGCGCATAATGAAGTTAATCGAAAGCTTGGAAAGAAGGAGTTTGATTGTAATTTCTGGGAGGAGAGGTGGCGGACTGGGTGGAAGGATGGTCGTTGTGATTAAGTGGATGGTTATGATGTTTTGGTTGGAGTGGTTTTCTCTCTACTCTTTAGTTTGGACATCTCCCTTGTAAATTAGATATGCATATTTTGGCGAATCAAATAGATTGTACTTTTATCACTACTGACGGGGTAATATATCCTTGGCGACTACTATGTAAAGACACGATTAGGGTAATGCCTGGAAGAGAGAACTATTGGACAAAACATGTTCGCATACAAACTAGATCGCTAAGCAATTATAATCTTGGATACAAAAAGACATCTAGACAAGGGGACTGTGTGCAGGAAGTTTTGTCTTTCTCCCAGCCGAAAAAAAAAATGAAAAGCGCCGCCAAACACAACTTCTCCTAGTGCAGATGAAAATGTACCCATTTTGTAACTTCGTTTCAGAAAGAAGGAAAAAAAGGCAGAAAACCGTTATGCATCGTCATGCGGCAATTAAAATTGACTGGGGACGAACAGGCGCAGGCCACTGGCCGGGGCACCAATCTCCGTGACATCAGATATCCGGTCGACACTTCCCTTGTACTGGGGGTGGTATTTGGCACCGGTGAAGGGGTCTGAGACACTGGGAGAGCCGTTGTAGATAGGAGTGAAGGAGGCAGCACAGATATCGAACTCGGCGAAGGGGTCGAAGTCAATGTCGACCTGGTCTTGAGGGTTGCGTTCGCATTGAGCTTTGATCTTCTTGGCCTATTTTTCATAGTTAGTATTGGCATGTCACATGTTGATAATTCAATCTCAAGGAAAGGCCTTACCTGTTCCAAAAGCTTAGCGGAGCCTCCATTGGCCACCATCCGGTTGGCAAAGCTCAAGGCTGAGCCGTAGTTCTTATTGGCAAAGGCTAACTTCATAGCAGCCATCAATGCCAGTTGACGGTGAGCAACCTCGAGCTTAGGGATTGTGAAGTAGGCCGACAGCTCAAGGCTGCGCTTGAGGTCCTCGGGGGAGTCGGTAGAGAGAGTACGGCGCTCGAGCTCGATCGACATAGCAAGAATGTATTCCCGGGCAGTGGCAATAATCTTCTTTGCCTCCTCAACTTCGGTTTCGGATGAGACGGTGTTAACGAGAACGGTGTGAAGAATGCGCTTGAAGATTGCTACGCCATCTTCCAATTTGTTGGACCGCATAGCAGCATAACCTTCTTGCAAGTCAACAGTGGCGACCGTCTCTAGGTCCCGGGGAATGATGGGAAGCACTTTCCGGAAGTCAGTCTCGTCGACCGTCCGGCGCACATAGTTGACTAAAGGTGGCAGACCAGCGGTCGCCGGGAGATATGTCTTAGTCGCCTTGTAAACTTCGAGGAAGCGAGGCTTGAGGGGAGCGAACTGTACGGCACCGACTTGGCGGTTCAGGAGCTGCATTGCAGTGTCGAAAGAGCCAGCAGCGACGTGGTCGGCAGCTAGCGGGGAGTTGCGAGCCCACAAATCGGCCTCAGAACCACCTGCACCAGCTTCGGCGCTTTCCACATTGACAAAGTCGACCTCTTCCTCAACATTGACATCATCACCCATGTCCCATCCGGAAACTTCCTCTTCATCCTCATCAAGGGTTTCACGCGCAAGAGTAGCTTCTTGCTCCTCTTCCTCAATCTCGAATCCATCAGCACCAGCCTCTTCATCGGCGGCACCAACCTCCCCAAGAAGAGCCTTCTCAAAGGAGGAGTGGCCAGCAGCCTTAACAGGCCAGTTGGACTTGAAAGTGGGCACAATGGGCTGGGGAACCGTCAGAGGTTGCTCCAGTGTGGGCAGGGCGATCTGATCTTCGGTGAGACCAGTAGCCTCCAAAATGGATTCAGCCTCTTCAGTCAGACCATGTGACTTGGCAGTGAGATACGCAAGGGGGTCTAGCGAAAATTAGTATGAAAGAAACAATTGCCACCGGGGTTAATACATACACAAGTCCACTTCCTTGAACATCTGAATTCGGTCCTCAACGTCTCCGCGGTAGATGGAGTTTTGGAAGCGAGATGTGAAGTCTCCACGGTGTTCGGCAATCTTAGCCATACGAGCAAGCTTCTCCTGGTCGCCGGTACAGAGGTAGAGGAAAGAGAGCTTATCAAAGTTACGCTGCTTTTGGTAAGTCATTTCGACGGTCTGGTGGTTACCATGAGCCAAAGCCTCGGCTCCAAGTCTGCTCCAGAATTTGGGGCGGTCGAGTTCCCGTGCCATTTCATTGGCAACCTCGAGGTTGCCGCATTCAAGGGCAAGATCGAAGCGGGTCTGGGGGTCTTGCACGAATTGCAGAGCAATCTCCGGGTAACCCTTCTTCTGCAGATAAGAAATGATGCTTTGGCCAACCAAACTAGAGGTCTTGATAATCTGAAGCATTTCGTCGTAATTCCGCTTCACGAGGGCGAGCTTGAAACGGTACTCAGTGGGGTCAATCTCCAAAATCCGTGGCTGGGCGTTGCGGTCAAGGCAATAGACGCTGCGTCCCTTGACACGCACCAGGTATACGGTCTGATCAAGAGTGCGGATAATACCGTTGTCGCCGTTGAGAAGGGAGTACTTCACATGGTTAAGGGTGGAGTAGAGCAGGACACCGGCATCATCCCAGGTAGCACTCTTGATGCGAATAGTCTCGTGCAAGGTGCTGACCTGCTCGAGGGTCTTGGTCACGATGGTGACATTGTGTTTGCTGAGCAAAGCGCAGTACAAGCCATCATTAGACCACACCACATACTTCACTCCACTGACAGCAAGCTCTGCGAGCTGCTTCTTTTGTTGAATGTCGAACAAAGCAACATGTGTAGGGGTAATGAAGAGCAGACATCCGGTTCCACCGAAGTAGATATCAGTCGTGCCGGCTGGTGGCTTGATTGTCTTCGTGGTGGAGTTGCTAAGATCTTTGATATCGACCTGCTGGCTCGAGGGGTTGAAGACAGCGAAGCGGTTGCGGGCGACGAAAACTGCCGAAGTGGCCTGTCCACGCTTAACATCTGTAGGCTCAATGGCTCCAGTGCCGTCTCTAGGGAGATGAATCAATTCATAAGTTCCATTATCAGCGGGCGTGGTAACAAGAATGGCACGCTCGGCGGGGTTGTAAGAGAGGGTACGGGGAGGGACCCATGGGGAACCAAGCTTGCGCAGCGAAAGCATCGGCGGCGACTCAACGTTCTTGCTGAAGTCATATGACTTGACGTGCTTGTCCTTTGTGATATAGAACAGCTGGTTCTGGTAGATAGCAGACGCAGGACGCTCTCGCTCGAGCTTGAAGACCATAACACCAGTATCATGGCCTGCGGCAAACAGGTTCATCTCGGGATGGGCAGCGATAACCCAGAATCGATCAACATCGCGCTTAAAGGACTGAACGGAAGTACGCTTGTTAAGATCCCATGCGCGAATCGTCTTATCTTCGCCAACGGAAAGGATGAGGTCCTGGTGCGGGTGGAACAAAGCGGCGGAGGCATTCTGGAAATGGCCGCGGCAAGTATCGACTTCCCATGCCTTGGTATCACTCATGCGCCAGAGCTTAACCAATCGATCGTCACCGGCTGACACGAGCAAGGGCAATGTGGGGTGGAACGAGACCCAGTTAACGCCACGGTCATGACCTTCTAGCACAAATTTAACGACTGCGTCGGTGTTTCCAAACATATCAGCTTGATTTGGATTGGCTCTTGCCATTTGATCTTCGAACGAGACCGAGGTAGGGGCTGAGTGCTTCTTTCGCAGGCCGGAGATGTCCCAAATGCGAACCGACTGATCCAACGAGGCCGAGGCGATGAGATCCTCGGTGGGGTGGAACTGAGCGCACATAACATAATGGTTGTGACCGGTCATCGTACAGACTAAAAACAGCCGAAGCGTTAGTCGATGTTAATATAGGCAGCTCCAATGCGTCTTACTGAGTGACCGGTTTTGCCAGTTCCAGATTCTAATGGTCTGGTCATCGGACGCAGACAGAATCCAGGGTAGTTCGGGGTGGAAGAAAACTGTTCGCACATAATCCAGGTGGCCATTCAATGTGAACAAGCACCTCCGGGTCTGGTAGTTCCAAACCTTGATCTTGTAATCGTCACCTCCAGACACAAACAGGGGCTGGGTTGGATGGAAGTCAACACCGCGAACTGGGCCATCATGTTCTTCGAATCGGTCGATTAGAGTACCCATGCGGTAATCCCACAGTTGAATGGTAGAGGAGTGAAGGGAAACGAGAATCCATGGCCTATTTTGAGGTCAGATTGGGCTTGCTTTGAGGTGTTAGGTGTCCCTCCGCGGGATTGACCAACCGTTTGGGATGGAATGCGATTCCTTTGGCTCTGGAAGATTTGGACTCAAACTATTCGAGAGAGAATGATTAGCATCTTCAATTGAGTGCCAGTGTTTGATAGCGCATTAAGATGCCCGAGGGGGTGTACCTTGGTGAGCATGTTTGGGGAGGACTGCATCTTGAAGATTTGGCCGGAGCCGCACTGTAAAGTAGCAAGCTCCGCACACTAGAGAGCAATATAAGGCAGAGGCGACCACCGCATCCACCTGAAAGAAAGAAAAGAGCGAAAGGTAAACACTTGATGCTTGTGTTGGTGTAGCAGTAAACTAAACGTGGACTCTATTGTGGAAGCGAATGACATCGGCCAATCGCTGCCGGGCGGTGAGCGGTCAGGGGGATAGCTCGATCTTTACTCTGTACGGATAGTACGAAGTACAACATTGTGAATTGTTTTTAGATCACGGTCGATATGCTATTTTCATATTATACATTCAATTAACTATAGATTATTTTCCCCTCGAATATACATCCCAAATTCAGCTTGAACGAGTGGAGATGTATGTTCCCCATATACCACCCCGCGTTGGAAGCATCTGGAAGGCCATGATGTTATGACAACCATAAGTTTCTTGCGAGTTCCATTCTTCTACACTTTTACTGCATGCCCAGGTGGTCTTGCTCTTGTACTTAATCTTTCAATAGCATGCATTTCTTTTACCAAAATCTCCATCGTTCCTTCCTTTGAAGCTCGATAAATGTATTTTGCGACTTGACCATCTACATCTACCTTAGACTGGAAATGTTAACAGCATTTGGGTTCGAGGCTTTTGATAAAAAATGATGGAAGACCTTCCAATGGATGACACAGGTCCTGCCGAGCGAAACCAGCCTTTTGAATACTTCACCGAATTTACTTCTTTTGATGCTGCAGCAGACCCCCAGCCAGAGGAAAATGAGCAGAGCATGGACGACTCAGGACCCTCAACGCCTACCCACGACACGGCCAAATTCGATGACAGTGACGATGATAACGTTCAAGTTATCAAGCCCTATGCTATTGAAGAGCCCCATGATGAGTTGGAACCCAGCGTGCCAAGGATAGATCTACTACGTCTTCCAGATCGGTTCGAACGATGGCAGCGCGACTTGACAGACTACTTGAATGATCTGGACGACTACCCAGTTGTATCCAATGGCAATACAACCCGCTCGATGCGGAAGAGAGGACGGAAAAGAAAGCCAGCACAGAATACTCCCGCTACAGAGCAGTCCAATCCGTTCTTGAAGCAAAGATATGCATCAGCCGAGATCCAGTCCCAAGTGTATGACCATCACCCCAAAAGACGAAGGGTTAGCGAGCCACCACAATGGCATCCTACCAATACGGACTCATTCGGTACTTTCCGGGAACCCAACGCGAATGAAAGCTCAAGTTCTGAAACACAATCGATCGACATGAGTGGCAACGATACCATAGACAACTCACCCATGCCCGATGCGATGGATATTGACTGAAATTCTTATTATAATTTCATTCCTATCATTCATTATTATCGGCAATTACCACGGAAGTCACTCAAGCTGTGCGTGCGGGTTTATGTGAATATATCATGACGTCATGTGTATCTCATTGCAGGCTGAAAACACTTCGCTGGGTCGGATCTATTTTAGTCTTTACCATCACCCAAGAACCCAAGAAGGACGAACCCATCATCCATTATGGCTACACGAACATCCTCACGCCATGCTGCGCAGAAGGCTAAAGAAGCCATCTCAACTTCTGCCGAGCCGACTGGCAAGACTTCCAAGGGAACCAAACGGAAAGCTGCAGCTGAAGAAGTCCCACAGCCCAAAAAGGAGAAGACGGAGGTTATAAAGCCAGACGAAGCCCCTAAGACAGAGGAAGCTCCCAAAGCAGAGCAAGCTCCTAAGGCAGAGGAAGCTCCCAAGGCAGAGGAAGCGCCCAAGGCAGAGGAAGCGCCCAAGGCAGTGGAAGCGCCCAAGGCAGAGGAAGCGCCCAAGGCAGAGGAAGCACCCAAGGTAGAGGAAGCACCTGTCAAGCCAGAAGAACCATCCGAAGCACAACCATCAAAGGAGCAACCAATCAAGACCCCTCCGGAGAAACCTCAAGAAATTGAGGGAGGACTTCGCAAGTCTGAGGAGAGGGAAAGCGTAGTGTCCTCCACCATCCTTGAAAAGGGCTTCATCTACTTCTTCTTCCGCCCACGCGTCAATGTAGAGGACCCTCACAGTATCGGCGACGTCGCCCGAAGCTTCTTTGTCCTCCGCCCAACCGCCCTCGGGGCGGAATTCGACCAAGGCCAAGGCCCTGTCGACAAAGATGCCTCGTGCCGCCTGATGATGCTTCCAAAAAGAAGTTCCCGACCTCAGCGAAAGAGCGAGATATGGGATTTGTGGAGAAGGCTGGACAATCTATGCAATCTCTCCATGAAAAGTTCATCGCTGGTACCACATACCAGACTGCCACCCGAGGTGAACGTCACACCGAGGAAGCTAGACCCTACGCGGAAGGTGTCTACGCGATCACCTCTACGCCGCGGGCTTCCCATCTCGCCTATATCCTGACCATCCCTGCTGAGTTGGGTGCTCTTCAGGAGGACTTTGGTCTGCGAGAACGCGGTAGTTGGATTGTTCAGTCGAAGAATCCCAAGTTCGCTGGTCCACCAGTCGGACAATTACCAAAAGAGCCAGAGTTCCCTCCATCGTAAGTAGTCCCCTGTAGAGAGACCATATCATTATCATACTAACATTGCTCTCGCCAGGGTTCTCGAGAAATTCGGAGATCTCCGATGGGTGCCTCTGCAGCCCGAGTTCTTGGACTATCCCAATTCTCAATTCCTCATGATCGGCGAGGCGCAGAATGACCTTGGCAAGGCTGCATCTTCTGAGGGGGGTAAGCAGTCTCATGAGGAAGAGCCTGGTCAGGAATTAGAGAAAATGGGAGATGAAAACGAGCATCGGGTTGAGGCTCTCCTAGGTATGTTGCTGTATTGATTCTTTGTTGATCACGCCGAGATTGACCCAAAACTCAGGAGATGAAACCGTCTATCGGGACCTGGGCTTCCACGCTATGAGTTACCGAAAATTGCCCACAACTTGGAATGGTTAAGTCCTGAACCTTGACAGCTCACAAACAGAAGCTAGAGTATCTCTCAGAGTACTCCATGTGACGATCACGTTTGGACATGGAAGGGTATCTTATATCTTATTCTGCAGCTTGCCAATTACCTTTACGCTTCTGGCTACACTAGTGTCCAAATGTCCATCGTAATATTAGCTTAAGTGCAACGTTTCAATCTGATCTTGAGGTAAATGGGTCAGGTTATCGCTGTTCTGCATCGTCAAAAGCAGAGGCCGCATAAGTGGCAAACTACATCATCTTTTCCCATTCAAGGAGTTGTATATTATGCCCAAACCAATACTGAGCATCTGCTCTTCCGGGGGATATAACTCAGGCACTACAACATTGACTCAGGATTTGACATACGAAATTAGTAAATCAGCACATGCTCCTCCGTCGATCTCTCATATTTCTGTCCGTAGCTACAGGTACATAGGTAGCTGAAGTAACGCAACTAAGCTTAAATTCTTCCCCAATCTCAAAGATCGCAAAGTTCGTAATTGGTCAAAGTGGCATTAAGGAAAAAATGAGTAAAGGTTATGATTATATGAAGTAGAAATGGCGTTATCAATCGCGTGGGCGCACAATGACGATTGATATCGAGGCGGCATCCCGTAGAAACATACATGGATGTCCATTCATGTAGGAAGCAAGACAACGATCGATCAAACAGGGAAACCTAGCGTTAGACTATTTTAATAGCATGCAAAATGTCCTCAAGAGACCATCCCGGCCCGCCGGGAACAATCTCAGCCCAGACCTCTTCGGGGACGGCATCGTTGGGGTCCAGTAAACTCCAATTCGGACTAGGCTCCGGCTTAATCCATTTGAAATCTTCGACTTGGCTCCAACGATCTTCGTGATCGGGACGGTCATGGTCCAAGGCCTAGATAGAAAAATGTAAGTACAATACCGAAGAGAAGAGAAAGTTGCGAGGAAAACACTGACATAAGCCTTCGGGATCCGACCAAACCGAATATTGGAACAATCCTCAATAATGGGATTGCTAGAGCAGCTGAGATAGACATCAACGTTGCTACAGTTATGCATGCGGAACTGACGACATGACACCACCATGACGCTACGCTCAATGCCGGTAATGTGTGCAGGGCCATTGACTTGACCACAGATCAGTAAGCTTTCTTTGACCCCCTTGGCAGTCAAACTGGCATATGGCTTTCCGTTGGCAGTGGGAATGGACATATCAACGATGCAGCGATCCAGGGAGGTAATTGACGCGGGGACTGTGGATGTAGAGCCGGCAGCCGGGAGCATGATGTGAAGTCCATAATGATCATCGACCGATACAGCGGAGATGCCGGTGGCTGCAAAGGCACCGGCGGGCTTGCCCGAGGGGGACTTTGTACCAAAGTCCCCGACCGAGATACCTGGGGATGAAATGGGGGCAAGCTCCGGTCGCTCTTGCTGATGCTTCTCCGGCTCGTTCAGTGGGGTGGAAGGGTAGTTGGGTGTCTGGTTCGCGGACGAGTCAACGGAAGAGGCACCCGGAGAGTGATAGCCAGGGACGCTAAGTCGTGCTCCAGCTGCCAGTACGGCAGCGTCAGACAGGGAGACAGCAGAGGGGTTTTTCTTAGTCTTGAAGCTGAACTTTGATCGAGGCTCGAATGTGGCACGTGTCTCGGTCAATCGATCCTGCAGAGCTTTAATGGCCTGTAGCGATGTTAGTCCTGTTCTATCAAGATGGAGTTCGAGTAGTGTTTACCTCTGCGTACACCCTCTGATCGTAAGTGGGGATATAGCTCGCTGCATCCTTGACTTCATTGGATAACCGCACGATCCCAGCAAGGCAGTGATCTGTTGCATCGACACGTTCACCACCCACTAGAGATGTATCGGCAAGACGATCCATCTCTTGTTGCAACGCTATAATGGCGGACTGATTAGCATGGGTCTTTTCATTGTGTTTTTGTTTATAATGAAGTAAAGTTTCAATATCAACAAGGACATACCAGTGATCTCATGTTGAAAGTAGCGGAAGAAGCGTTCATTCAGGGGGACATCGGCTTTCGAGACCGTTTGATTATCTGCCGACAATCGACGAGCATGTTGTATATCTGCCTCAGCCATAGTGTGAAAGGTTGGGAGATTGAAAGAGGCAAAAGACTGGGGAAGGGGAGATATGGGAATGTAGCAATGACGTCGATTCCTAGGTCATGCCACCCCGCACAGTTATTGAAGCCAAATCAATCTGATCCCAGTTTATTTGCGACAAATGATTGGCACTGGGAGATATGCGCAAGAAAAACACTGTATTTCCCCACAAATCTTTTCAATGTGCTCGAATTCCAAAACATGCAATATTCGGAAAGTCGGATCTGAAGTCGATCTCACACGGTCCAGTTATTATTATTATTTTATTTTTTTCTGAAGTGATTGGCCTCAAACCTCAGATTGACGCGATAATCACTGCAGCTTCACTGTGACGTCGATCATCCCGCATTTCATGGATTCGGAAGTCAGATGATCCGTGTGGATTCTCAGGCTACAAGGCACCAACTTGACTTTATATTTCTTTTCTTATTGTACAACCATATTATGTTACCCTTTAAGCTAGAGATTTAGAGAAAGACTAGAGCACGAGATCCTCCATTAGAGGACGCCACATGGAGCGATGCTGGGGGTTTGACTTTTCTATTACTAGATTGACACAGAGTGGGATGATGGATTCTTAAGGTTTGTATAGTCCAGTAAGGGATATGGGTATTGAGGGCTGGGTATGTAAAGTCCATTTTAAAATTAGGGTGATACAACTGGAGCACTGGGCTAAACTATTGTAACGTAAGCTTTTGTTCGGTTGTACAACCACAAGCTGGGCAAATGAGACTGTTCACGAGGTCGTCCCGGTTGAGGAGCTTCCTAGAACTGGATCCATACAGACCACGACCTCTGCTTCTCAGGGAGCCAAACAGGAACACATGACCTTGTACCGAGTATTAAATTGATATATGCTTTAGGTAGTAGTACATATACGGGCGATGGGCCATTCCTATTATTGATGCAGAAGACGAGCAAGCGTATCTTGCATGACATGGTTACTCTATCTCCTTTAATTTGTAATCTTGGACATCAAAAGGACCTGAATGTTTGAATTGGGGAAGTTTTATAGTTGGCACGTGCCATAAAGCCATTTCTATTACTAACTTGGATATATATCGATATATATATATTGTGTTCTCTGTTGACATATAGCCAACATATCCGGAGTGACAATTCACGATTATATATTGAATTATATATTTCATCTGGGTGTCTCTGCCCGCACATGCCGGTACTGACAGGGATATCATAGTTTACAGGGGTGGACTGGAGCTAGGCTTGGTGTATGGCAGATGTCGGTGACTATAATGTTGGCGTGGAACGTTGTACTCTTGTATTCCCACTTGGTATCGGTATCAATTTCACATTCATCATTACTTAACTCGGGTGATTTTGATCACTTACCAGATGATCTATGAGGCTTCCTTGTGGATATCGATATATTTTTCACTCATCTGGACAGTGATATATTTAGTCTGATGGTCCCAGTGTGCTGCTTATCCACGGTGCTATATTAGCGAGTATTCAACGACAAGATGAAACTTCAATATCCGCTTCCTCAGACCTTAGCCCTTGTGCTATGCTATATCCAGTTAGCGTTTGCTACTGATTCCAGCTATCAACGGGTTGAGCATCTAGACAAGGTACCGGATGGCTGGTCAAGAGGGGATAGACCGTTAGCCTCTGAACTTATTAAATTCCGACTAGCGATTACCCAGCATAACGCAGGAGAGTTCGAACAAAAGGTCATCGAGCTCTCAACCCCAGGTCACGCGAGCTATGGTAGACATATGAAAAGAGACGAAGTGAAGAACTTCTTGAGCCCATCCCTTGCTATTTCAGACCAGGTTATCGCTTGGTTGCGATCAGAAAAAGTCCCTACCAGTTCTATCAAATTAGACGGCCATTGGGTCTCGTTCACAGTTCCAGTTTCTCAGGCCGAGCAGCTGCTGAAAACAGAGTTTTTCTACTTTCATCAACAGGACCAGCAAAGCATCGCTATTCGGACACTTGGCTACTCTGTGCCTAGGGCCTTGCATCCCCACATTCAATTGATTCAGCCTACAACTCGATTCGGCAACCTCGTTCCTCAAAGAAGCTCCACTTTCGAACGGCCAAAACCAGCCACCCCGGAACAGTTAGCCGCTGGATGCAATACAGCTATCACACCAGACTGCCTTCGAGATCTGTATGGAATAGATAACACAACCACCAGACCCGAATGGCAAAATCGACTGGGGATATCTGGTTTCCTGGAACAATATGCTCGCCACGATGATTTCAATGACTTTTTGCGTCGTTACGCCCAAAACCACACAGACGCAGACTTCAGTGTTGTCTCGATCAATGGCGGCCAGGATGATCAACACTCCATGGCTGATAGCGTTGAAGCAAACCTAGATGTACAGTACTCCATTCCGTTAGCGGATGAAGTGCTAGCAACATTTTATAGCACTGGCGGACGCGGTCCTCTTGTCCCTGAATTGAACTATCCAGACCCTACCAACTCATCAAACGAGCCATACCTTGAACAGCTCCATTACCTCTTGAATCTCCCCGATGAAGAGCTCCCTGCCGTGCTTTCTAACTCGTACGGAGAAGACGAGCAAAGTCTTCCACCGTCGTATGTAAACGCAACTTGCAGCCTATTTGCTCAGCTCGGTGCCCGGGGTGTTTCAATCCTTTTCGCCAGCGGAGATTCTGGTCCGGGAAGTACTTGTGTGAGAAATGACGGGACGAATCAGACCAGATTTCTGCCCGCATATCCAGCTTCTTGTCCGTTTGTTACCACGGTGGGTGGAACACACAGAATCAATCCCGAAAGGGCGGTTTCCTTCTCTGGAGGTGGGTTTTCTGAGGTGTTCCCTCGTCCCCAATACCAGGACCAGGCAGTAAAAAGCTATCTTCATCATCTTGGAAGTCGATGGAATGGACTTTACAATGCTACGGGAAGAGGATATCCCGATATATCAGCCCAAGCTGCGAGTTTCATTGTTCGAGACCATGGTGAGTGGGTCTCGGTCCGCGGCACAAGGTTTGTCTTCGACAGATTTGCATAGAGAACAGCGAACTGACAGTGTACAGTGCTTCAACACCAGTGGTTGCAGGTGTCATTTCTCGGCTCAACTCTGCCCGTCTTGCCCAGGGTAAGTCTCGAATGGGCTTCCTGAACCCATGGCTTTATAGCCACGGGAAAATAGGTTTCACGGATATTGTTCTAGGTAGCTCCTCGGGCTGCAATTGGACTTCTCGCAATGCTCCTCCACGAGTACGGAATGCGAGCTGGGATGCCACTGAAGGGTGGGATCCGGCGACGGGGCTAGGCACACCCTTGTTCCGTACACTCGTGAAATTGGCATTGTCAGATGACCATATGTAGACATGAATTCGAGTAATATATAGCTATCACTAGCTAGCAAAAACTCCGATTCATATTGTGATACACTATGTAATATCCAACAAAAATTAAATAGCTTAGCTTGTGGTATTTGTAGAAGAGAACGACAACATCCAGACCGGCGATTATCAAAGTGCCCACACGTGACCACAATCTGACCGCCTACCGCAGCTCCGTCATGAGCATCGGAATGTCACCAACAATCATCAACCAAAACCCGAACTCTCTATCTTCTCCGCTGTTTCGAACACTGCCTTTGTCATACTACGGCTAGGCTGCCTTATTCCCTTCTAGCATTGTCTTGAACACACAACCCCTACCATGTCCAATCTACAGTCCCTCGTGTCAGAGCTCCACGCTGCTATCGAGCGCAAACAGTTCGACGTTGCCAACGAACTCCTTAGCCGTTCTAAGCGAGCCCTCCTTATGCAAAATGCCTTGATTCCAACTTCCTCCACACCTCCCCAGTTTGTCGTCCTTGCCCGTCAAGTCCTCGAACTCGGAGCTATTGCCTCCATCCGCCAGACCGATGCGCAGCTATTCACACGTTACTACCAGCAACTGCAGCCATTCTACGATCTTGAGAGACATGCCGGTCTGCCCGGGCAGAGTTCTTCGGACATCGACTTCAGCACTAGCCAACGCAGCAAGATTACAGGGCTGTATCTGCTTCTTCTTTTGAGCATGGGTGACAGTGCCATGTTCCACACAGTGCTTGAGGGATTGGTGGAAGAGGCGAGCTTGAAGGGAGGCCGTGTTGAGGATGATGCGTGTATCAAGTACCCCGTTGAGCTCGAGCGCAACTTGATGGAAGGAAGCTACGACAAGGTGTGGAGGGAGACAAAGTCCGAGCGTGTTCCGTCGGAAGACTTTGGTCTGTTCTCGAATGTAAGTTGCATGGGTGCTCAGTTAGCAATTCAATGTCTCTTTCCGGCAATTATACTAATTAGAAGCTTTATAGGTTCTTGTTGGCACTATCCGCAATGAAATCGCAGGTTGCTCAGAGAAGGCATACCCCTCCCTCCCCATTTCCAACGCCAAGAACCTCCTCTTCCTCGATTCTGAGGGTGCAGTGATCGAATTTGCCAAGGAACGCGGCTGGATCCTCCGAGATGGCCGGATATACTTCCCCGTTGAGCCCGAGGCCACTGCTAGGTCCGAGAAGGATATCCTGGTGGCTAGTGGCACCGTTATTGAGAATGCTTTGGGTTATGCTCGCGAGCTGGAGACTATTGTCTAATTACATGCTCAATGGATCAACGATATACTTTCTTCGGATATGAATGGCTTTTTTCTTGTCTTTGGGCGCGGATGTACTTGTATACCTGTCGCTTATGCATTGTGCTTTCTCTAGCGTGTTCATGACTACAATCATGTTAGAATACTTTCGGCTTACAAATTTCTAGTAGCATTTTGGATAGTCAACGTAGACAACCCAAATCTGCATATGGTAAGATCTCCGCGTTTGGATGGACTTACAATTTGGTATGGCTTTTTAATTTGACTAAAGATCAACAGTCCAAACACAGAGCCTGCGATCATAGAAACTGCTCGAGACGCACAAAATCCCAGAAGATTGTGTCGCTTTCTGCTCACCCTCCCACACTCCACTGGCATAATTCATACTCTCATGCTCGGTAAACTTCGCCAGAACCTCAATCCCCCAATTCGGAGCCCCATCTTCATGCTTGCACGTAACCCGTACAAGCCTCGTTCCAGCATGCATACAGCTCGCCAGCACTAAAAAGCGGTACTCAGATACACTTGACGGATCATCCGAACCTGGAATCTTCGTCGTATTCAGCAACTGCAGTCGCCAAACTCCACCGTCAAGACCTTGCTCGGCGAGAACCTCTCCCCTACGCGTAGCATGATACACCCGAAGACTCTCGTCATAGCTCCCCGTCAGAAAAACTGGGGCATCATCGACCAAGGGAACATCAAGAGGCAAGATAGATGTGACGCCAGCAGTGTGGTGACGAGCTCGATCATCATGCTCGAGCAGCATGGGTGAGATATGCTCGTCTGGATCATCCAACTTAGTGGTATTATCGAATCGGCGGGTGTGTAACGAGCCGAAGTCATTGCCCGTGAACATGAACGGGATTGCAGCCGGGTTCTGGGTCTCGGCATCTGGGGTTCCCGTGCGTGTTGACAATGCAACAAACCAGACTTCGATCATCTGTTTTGCTTCATATGTGCCCCATTCTTCTATACTTTCTTCTTGGAGGATATCGCCCTCCGTCCCGAAGACGGCTGTCCGGCTATCTGAGAATGTGACGGCGAAGCCATCTGCTGCTGCCTGGGAGAACCAGTTTTCAGGTGCCCAGGCGAGGAAGAGTGCTGGGATTGATGGGTCTTCGTGTACTTGCTTTGTCCATAATTGAGTGAGGCTTGGGGATGCAGATGCATATCCGGTGGAGTCTGTGGATACTTGGAATAGCGATACTGATCCTACACTGCTTGCAATTGCGAATAAGTTCTTCTGTCTTGGGTGGAAGTGCAGGTCAAAAACTGCGTATGGGACGGCAATTCTTTGAATTTGGGATCTGTGGGCTGTTAGTGGCCTTGTTATGAAGGTTTTATACTCGCTCTCGGGCTGACTGCGAGTTAATATGTGATTGTGGCTTACAATGTTTTGCTGAAAGGGTCTAATTTCCATAGTTGTACACTCCCAGTTTTGGACTGTTCGACTTCTCCATCTTCGGTCTTGTTCTCTGATAGAAGATAGGTGCCCACGATGAAATGGTCTGGGGCCTCGGGGCAGAACTCCAGACAACTGGGTGGCTGATCTAGAAAGACCGTAGTCGCCGACTGGGGGCGTTGAATGTTTGCCATTTTGACCTAGTCCAAGTTTTGGGATGTTTCTAGATCTTGCAAGCCTCGGAGTTTAGTGGTCGAGCCCGAGGGGCAGAATGTGGCGTCTGAATATGCACGAAAATATGGCTGCAGACGGGGTTCTATCAGAAATTCTGCATGACACACTTTTTATTTTCAGATGATTTAAAATGATTCGGTTGCTCTCTCGTTACCTGTCGACATTGATAGGATTCGGAGTCAAAAATCACAGGGCGGTGAGAATCAAAAAAGTCGAGGATATCGCCCGGCGCGATTTACAAGGACTCATCTACCCAAGTGTTCCCTTCTACCAGGGCATAACTAACTGATGGGCATCGTAATAAAATTGCCGAGAACTTCTGGTCGGTGGTATTACGGAGCGCGTCTGGCAGCCAAAACGCCGACCTACGCGCCCTTCCTCGACCCCTGGTGCCTCTGTGCGGAAATGAGCATTGATGTCTTACACAAGCCAAGAGTCATACGTTTTAATGGAGATATGACCTTGCTCCTAATAATTCAAGATATCAAGGCATCTACTCAGATGGACATTATTCTGATCCGACACAGTTATACATAGTGAAAGACTCTCTACACACAGAACAATCACAGGTATATACACAGGCATTTTCACTATATAGATATCTTGACTTTCAAACTTCAACATCCTCTGCACATGATCTAGGTGTTGCCAAGACCTCAGACAGATTTCGATATGACTGAGTGACTAGCTGATGCAGGACAGTGTCCGCGTCAGGACACGCCATCATTGATTCACACTAGTCCGTCAATTGTGTGTCAACACGCATGAATTCCTCAGGGTTAACCAAATACCACGCCAGATCTTCACTTTTTGTCTGTAAATCCTTTGTCTCCAGCAGTGTGCGGCCGTCTCCCAAAAAGGCCCACATATTTCCATAACTGTAGGAGTATTCCCAATCCTCGTGCCTCGGCTCGCTGATGATCTTCATATAATGCAAGCTTGATCCAGGCCAGATTGCAATAACTTTGCCATCTGCACGGCCTCCTTTGTACCATGAGCGACATGGATCAGAGACAACCATTCTTTGAAGGAATCTCTGATAATACTGGTTCAGCTGGTTTACCACCGATCTCTTCACTGAAAAAGAATGAAGTCTCTCCTTCTGGTACTTGGAAATGAAGGACAGCATGTAATCGCACTGCTTCTCGATGACGGGAATGAGTGTTCCGTTGGCGATTGGTGAATTTGGCCCGAGGAACATGAAGTAATTGGGGAATTCTGGGACTGCCATTGAGAGATAGGCGTCGACATTGTTGGTGTCTTCCCACAGGTCGGAAAGAGGTACTCCTTGACGCCCGACCAATTTAAAGCGAGGTCGGAAGGTGGTGTTGAATCCAGTGGCGCACACGATAGCGTCGACCTTGTGCAACACCCCGTCCTCAGTCACCAGCCCATCAGGCTCGATGCGTATAATTTCGTTGGTGACAACTTCCACGTTTGGTTTGACCAGACTCTCCAAGAAGTTATGTCCTGGTGTAAGTCTGCGACATCCTACAGCCCATGGAGGTGTCAACTTGGCAGCAAGTTCTTCATCACCACCTAGTCGAGCTTTCATGATTGCGGCGAATTGAACCTTGGCAGCTTGTTGCTCGGGAGTATCCTTGTAAAGCATGCTGTATGCGCGGTTCATATCGGTTTCGAGCTTCTTTCGGTAGGCAAGGAATGCGGCAGGATCGTCTCGGAACTTCTGTCGCTCCTCTGGGGTGTAGGTCATTTTCTTCTCTTCATCCTTCCAATCAATCAAGCCATAGGTAGGCATAATCCATGTTGGAGAACGGATGAATGATTTCATTTTCCCAACAATAGGCTGGAGATTGGGCGTAATTTGGATCGCAGAAGAACCGGAGCCAATAACCGCGATAGTCTTTCCTTCCCAGGCAAAGTCCTTCCATTGTGCCGAATGGCAGAGATGGCCTTTGAATGATGTCAATCCGGGAATATTGGGCCATCTCCAATTATTGAGGATTCCACCCGCATTTAGGAGGATGTTGCAGCGCTTTCGAAGCAAGGTTTTCTTGTCAGACCCAGGCGAGGAAACCTCAATCTCCAGATCCCAGACACCATCCGCTTCATTCCACACTGCTTCGGTGATGGAGTGATTATATTGGATGTATTTCTCCACATCATACTTCTTGGCGACGGCCTTCAAGTATGCGTGGATTTCAGGTGAGCCAACGTAATACTTGGAGTAGTCAGGGTTGGGCTCAAAGGTGTAGGTGTAGGCATGTCCTGGAACGTCGCAGGCGCATCCTGGATATCGGTTTTCCAACCAAGTACCACCGAGATCATCATTCTTCTCAAAGATAGTGAACTCACAGTTCTGCAACCTCTCTTGGATTCGAATGGCTGTCACAATGCCGGAAACTCCGGCCCCAATGCAGACAACGCTTACGGGAGCGGCCGAGTTCAGCGGCTCCTCTTTGACTTGATACTCGTGCTTCGGCCTGTTTTGGATGCTGCTTACACCATTATTTCCTTGTTCCTTCAATGGACTGTTAGTATGATGGGGAAAAAAACATGCGAGATTGGGCTTACATTCAAGGGTGCATCCTGAGCATCGCGGGAGGGTAGAGCATTTGTAGACATCGTGATAGTCTGTTCGGTACTATTGTTCCAATAATGGTTCTGATTTTGCAGAATATTGATGAGGAAGTCTGATCCTGACCGGGGTCTTATATATGTAGAAATTACATAGAACCCCCGATGTCTGTATCGTGATTACCGGAGCTTTCGGTACACCATGTTGGCTTTGCTCCCCGCATTAACCATTATGATTCCACTAGCTACCTATAGCTACTTCCGCTGTAATATCACAAATCTATAAAATCAAATTTCAAGTTTTCTGCAGTCATAAATCATAGGTTTCAAAACCCCGCTCTACATCTTCATGTTAGTACCTCTTTCGCCTGCCAACACGCCACCTCCCACCCACCTTCACACTCACAGACTCAACTAGATCTTACGGCGGGCACCAATGATCGCGGGCCCTTGAATCAGGCTACCGCCTAGCAATTGCGGATCAATCATGGATATTGAGCCAGTTAGTGTTAGTGGCCGCGTTCTACCTCTATGCATGATGCATTATCTTGAAAGCGAAACACTATCGCGAGGCATTATGTAGTTTGATAACGTATTTATCATTGAATTGGTGCACCGAGGTTAGTCGAAATAGATGGAGTATGGATGGAACAGGCCTACGGTGGCTTTGCTAGCATTTTATCCCATACATAGTCTCTTTGTACCGCTCGATGTACATCAAGTGCTTTCAAAGCCAACACTGTCAATCTACACACCTACACTCTCTGCTATCAGACCAAGTGAGATATACTCTTATTTTTTTTCTTTTATTCTATATACTGCAATTTTGTTGAGGGTATATAGCACTCTTCTATTCATTCGGGGATTATTCTAACCCAAGTCCCTAGCAATTCCATTCACTCTGCTGGCGTATTTCCTTCGCATCCATACCTTCTCTCTCAACACATTCGCGATGGCCGAACAAAATAGAGCATAGGTCTAGCACACGTTGTTGCAAATATTCAAGCGAGTCAAGCATACTTGGATCGAAACTAGTCTTTGTTTCACGTAATCCCCGTCGGACAGCTTGACGCACACAGTATAGGAGTTTCCCATCATCGCTACTGAGACAGTTGTCATATTCTGAGGCAGCCAATGATCCCAGCCATCCACTGACGGTTTTTGCACATTCTAAAACGTGGTAAAATCCAGCGGGGCTTAAGACTCGCGGGGCATGTCTGATAACCTTGTTTCCTGTAAGCATTTGACTATCAAAGATGCGAGATGGACCATTTCACATACATCGAGATAGCCACATTTTGATATACTGCAAAATATCTCTATCGCGGCAGTAATGCCTTCCCTGCTGTTTGATAGCTCATCTGTTCTGCTTGGTGAAAGTGCAATGAGTAAGCAGTTGAGGAATGTCATGTTCTCGAGTTGTGCGAGAGCAGAGGAAGTCGGGTCCCAAAGGCATTCAGGCTTGGCCCACCAGAGGTTTTTCCAGATTTTGAGAGCTTCGAGAAAATTAGTTCGCAGTCGAAAATCTGACATTGAGGCCCTGTGATATCCTTCTTCCGAGAGGAAATTCATCGGGAGTCTCTTTGCCATATCGAACGCCTCCGCAATGGCACACAACAACACACGTCGGCCAAAGACAGATGCTGATTCGTACCTCTCTTCACAAGACACATCACATGTGAGAAGTGCGTGAATAGAGGATTGAAATTTTGCCCGGTGAATGTCTCCTCCTGTTTGCTTTTGCTTTTCTTGGTACCACTCGACTTCGGTACATGCTCTCCATGTAGCCTCTTGTTCAGGTAGATTCAAGTCGATGCTATGAAAGGAAAGTATATTTCCATAGTCGTAAATGATAGAGATAGAGATGGATAGGCAATAGAACGCAAAGATTGTGCTAAATTATATTAGCTTTGAGTTGCCGAAGTGGTGAGAGAGCATAGGTAGTACCGTGTGTGCTCCTCATCATCAATCCAGTTAGTCCATTCACTTTTGCACCCGTCATAAAGATCAACTCCCATCAATGACTTCACAACCTAGAACATGGTTAATACAGACTAAGCGAATATTTTCAATACACCACTAACCATAGCTGTTTTGTGAACTTCTTGGGTGGCCCACTCATGCAGTGTATCATCACTCGTCCAAACAGCGAAATCAATCAACAAGACCTGGCATTGTAGCCGTGATAATTGATTCTAAATATATGAGCTATTTAGCTTTGCAAAGCTGGTAAGCTGGTTCTCCAAATATCCTCCAATCACTTACTTTAGATGTGGTTCCATGCAAATATGAACAAGCTTCGCGGAAAAATATCTTGGAAAATGGTGCATATTCGGGGTTTCCGCGCGCCCCGATTGCAGCCATTGCGTATTTTATTTCGAGATTTAGGAAAGGTGACACGATGGTTTGTTGATGAATAAATGGGATTCGAATGGAATAAGATTTTTGGAAGAGGTTTACACATGCTTGTAACACATCGACCGGTGGGAGTGACTGGATTCATGTTAGCGATACCTCCCAGGCTGCTTTCCTTATACAGACATACATACCTGAGAAAAGGATGTAGTATACAGCTCCAAGTTTGGGAAGTTTGCATCAGTGGAGAATAACTGATTCAAGGAATCGTTAGAGGAGTCGAGTAGTTCGGCTGCCACCGAGTTGTTGTAATCCATAGTTGCGGAATTCTCATATTCAGTGGGTAAGTTGATTGATCCCCCTTCATGTTGAATCATTTGGCTATCTCGAGATAATATTGTAGTAGAGAGTCCCAAATTTTGGAAGCTTGCATCAGTGGAGAATAATTGATTCAATGAATAGCTAGATGTGTTGAGTAGTTCTGCTGTCATCAAATGATTGTAATCCATGATTCTAGAATCCTCATTTTCAGAAGATAAATTGATCGATCTCCACTCATTTTGGAAAAATAGCCTGTCTTCTGGAGACGGAGTTCCAAGATTGAAGCTATCCGTCATCGTCTTCTGCATTTTACCTCGTGGATAGATACCCCGCCTAGGTTTCCGACGCTGTTTGAGTGAATCGGGCCGGTGAACTTGTTCGTGGCGCTTACGAACATCGTCGCGATGAAAACGCATGTCACATCCAGGATATTGGCAGACGAACTTGGAGTGCCCATGACTGAGCCCGTGACGCCGAAGGTGGTCCTCACGGCGGAAATGACGACCACAGAGTTGACACTTGAAAGCAGTAGACGTGAATGAACTGTCTGCCCCGGATGGTTTATTTGATTGGTCCAGAGAATTCATTTTTCGTCCACAGACATATGAATTGGTCAAAATGGAAGAATGAGATGTGATGCTGAGAACAGAGCTAGGAAACTGACGTTCTATAGCCTTTTAAATCGACCTTAGTAACCCCGCTCTCCTGTAGGTAGGTATGTGTATGCCTAGATAGACCACCGGATAACATAATCGGCATTGAACTGCCCAGGTGTAGTTCTTAATCACCTTCATTGGTTCCCTGGGCGCCAGAACGTACGGAAGACAACGGGAATCCTCCGTCCAACGATTCCAATTGACTTCTGCAATCGCCCTAAAGGTTTGACCGGATTATGGAGTATATATAATAAAATATATCCACTCCAACGGCGCAGTTTTCTTACGGTCAATGGATCGTTCTAGCCAGAGAATAATGCTTTTTAGTTGAGGTTAAGAATTAAGACACGAGGCCATATTGAGTCTGGCGGGTGTCCCTCCTTTCATATCCGATTTCTGGTGTCTTTGCAGGACTGTAGCGGCTGCCACTAGTCGGCCATACAAAATACGTATGTATAGGCCTCTGCAAAGCCCACAAAGCCCAAAGCCCAGCCCAGCCCAACCCACTAATGGGTTGGGCTTTGGGCCCATCCTTCGGGCCCATCGATGGGTTGTGGGCTTATACCTCGAGCCCATAGGGCCCATTTCGGCCCATACTGGGCCCCCATTATTTATCAAACAATACAAACATGCCAATCCATCGCAACTGCATAATTAATACGTTTTTTGCTGGTTCTTTTGGGTATTGAGATTACTATCCAGGCTGTATATAAAGCTATACGTGAATCATCATATTCTTCATCTTCTTCCTTTACAAATTTACAAGTAAATTTATAGAAAGAAAGGATTCAAATGATTTGATTTGATTAATAAGATACTGGAATTAGTGTTATATTCATATAATTCCTACTTGTTACCATAATAATCAAACATTTGAATGCTACTGAGTATACAGGTTGGAACATGCGTAAAATAAAGTCATTAATCAGCTACTTTATGTATGCCAAGATGAAATTTATGCAGCAAAATGGGCTTTGATGGGGGCCCATAAGGCCCCCATCAATGGGCCGTGGGTTGGGCCCTCGAAGCCCGGCCCAGCCCATAGCCCACTGCGGGTTGGGCTTTGGGCCGGGGGTCCGGGCCCATTTATGGGCTTTGCAGAGGCCTACGTATGTAGGTATGTACTTCTAAGCTCCCCGCCTAATCTCGGGGGCCAAGGCCCCGGAGTGGGAGGGAAATGACTAAGCGGATATTGAGGCCCCTGGGGCCCCGGGCCATGGACAACCCCCACGCACTTTATTATTGTTCACGAATTAGGACATCTGGTTCAAAATGAACTCTTATACTTCTCTATCTTCTTGACAAATCCTAATAGACTCTAGTCTATTAATAGTTACTCACGCAAATAAATGATCTAATATTCAACTAAAGTGAATGAGTCCACATAATGGAGAGATATATACAAGCAAGTTTTCGTGTTGGCTCAGATCTAGGTATTCCGTTTTGGGCTGAATCCGTTCTGTTGGAAATGGTGCATAGTTAAGGATGGACTGATTTCTTCTTTTACTTGCTCAATACTGACTAGGTGCTTACAGGTAATGGGTGACTCGCTCGCTTTGGATTTCTATGGCCACTGGATCTCCGATCTAGCTATGGCTCATGGCGCAGCAATCATCTCCCCGAACTACCGTCTGATGCCAGAAGCTACCAGCACAGAGATCAATGACGACATCCGTGATTTCTGGGAGTGGCTACACTCGTCTGCGCTTGTGGATCTGCTCTCTGCACATACCACCCCTACTACACTGGACCTCGATCGCATTCTTACCACTGGCGAATCAGCTGGCGGTCTCCTCAGTATCAACCTGGCACTATCAAATCCATCCGACATCCGCGCTACTACTGCTGCATATCCATTCTTAGATATTGAGTCCGAGGACTACAGTTCTCCCCGTGCAGCCCCCCGGTTGGGATGCATGTCCCTGAATCTGTGGTACAAGACACGATGTCCTCGATTGCACTTGGGACAGCGGTGTCGTCAATCCTCGCCCAAGAGCGTGCGGCATTCATGCCTGCCGCTACTGAACATGGCGCACTCGCTGGTATGTACGAGCGTGGTGTACAGGAATCAGAGCGTGGAAGGCTGTATCCCATGGACCGTTTGGAGCAGCCCGATTGCTGCGTTCCGCGCAGAGGAATAGCTATTATTCAAGGGCGTCAGGATAGTGTGGTGCCGGTACGGGGGGTTGAGAAGTTCGTGAATCGTGCGCGGGAGGTGCTGAATGGCAAACCTGGTAGTGATAGGATAGTTTTGGCGCTGCGCGATGGGGAACATGGGTTTGACGGGGATGTGAGACTTGCAGAGCAGTGCTTGCAGGATGCATTGAAGGTGGCGCTTGAAGCTTGGTTGGAGTGAATTTAAATAGCCCACAAATGAGGATTACCAGACTCTTGGGTGTCTGCTAAATCTTTATACATGTGTCTGATATCTAGCCAGGAAAAGTGTCATCTTCTCCACTCTTTGGAGTCAAGTTCGAATAAGCGGCAAGCTTCTGAACATCACGTATGCTAGTGTCCAGATACCTCGCTGTTGACACTTTTTTCCCTTGCTTTTGAACTTTGAGTACATGGCGGAAGAGGAGCACTGAAACGAGCCTTCTGAAGAAGTCCACTGATGGTCTATTTTAGATAAATTATCACTACATGGTTTTCTCACTTGTGGAGGAAGATGACACACCTTTTGTATCCGAAGACTATCTCCGAGATGCACCATCAGTTGGCAACTGAAAACAATGTGAAAAAGCCCACTGAAGAAGATCGTGCCCAAAATTACGTTTATCTGTTGTTCCAGATAGTAAAACATGAGTATGCTGGCTGAGGAATCAACTACTCGATTTGCTAGAGCTATGTACTGTATTGATATCAGCACGCAGGTTCCCATGCCAAGTAGCATGGTATAGCTGAGGTCCTAGTGGAAAGGCACCTAGCGCTAGCGGATAAGTATCAAGGTGAAACTAATCGCCAGTATAAGACATGAGATAGTCAATGTAGCTAACACATTTCATACTATGGCATGACCATCTCTTTGATTAGAAGCCCATGCTGGGTCTCGAAATTTTGATGACAGTTCATACTTCTATTAGATATCCAGAACCAAGAGCTCCTCCCCGTCCGCCCCCCTAAATTGCTCCAACAGCATAAAATATTAGTGAAATGCTTACTATAGTCGTTGAGGTTCTCTTTTGTAAGAGAGTCTGAAGTTTGAGCACCATGCTGGTCTTGTTGGTATTTTTTTAATCAGCGGCTGGTTTTCACTCATGATCTTCATTCTTGTCGTAGTTGACAGGCAGACGGGAGGTTTTCGAAGAATATGACAAATTGATGGCTCATCGGCTAGGATAGAAAACCTAGAGATCAGTTTAACAAGTACTCTTTTTTTTTCAAGTGGATGAAGAAAGACCGGAAGAGATCAAATGTTGCACACAGAGAGAGGGAGAGGGAGAGAAGAGCCAATGTAACAAAAATGCAACTACCTGTGAACCGTATCTATTTCCATGGATTCCTCGACAACCTCGTGAAAATATTACCTCACTCGCTCCAGTCTGAAGTATTGCTATGGGTGCCATCCATTAGTTAACAAGGTGCCCACCCCCATTCGGGATTGCTTTTAGGTGATGGGCGCTTGTTGCATGGGGATACATATATGCAGTGAGCAAAACAGAAACCGAAATAAGATCGGCTCCAGTCATGGTCTTAGTACTCAGGCAAGGTGGCGCGACAACCTTGGAATAAGTGTAGCAATATCTAATAAAGAATATCTAGCGCTTCACGCACCCAGATCAATGAAATAGAATTCCCAATATGCATTAGACTGAGAGAAAAGCAAGCGGTGAGCAGAAAAAGAAAAAGACTTGTGTAAGCAAATGATCGGATTGGCTTGCTATGGTAAGGAAATGTCCAGCCGACCTCAAGATTTATGCAGATACGTGATGTAGGTGAGCTGGCCTGCATGGTAATGCGGACGGGAGGTCAGTTCATTGAAGATACCTGCAAAACTATACACCTCAATTATATATCATTAATTTTCTCATTATAGTTGAAGATTTCGCCTCTCTTCCGATCATTGGGTTTCAGAATGCCCTCCTACCACACAGCCACGGTTCTTGTCGTAAGTCAAATACCACATTTGTCAGCATTGACTTCTTCTACTTGGGGAATACCACAATCCTGGAAGAAATACGAGTCATAGAGATCTGCATTTTTCAGCCTCTCTATGCATAAAAAGAAAGAGGCGAAAGTGGAAAGTTTATATTCTCAAAGCGATTCATGAGCTGCCATCTGCTCTATCGGATTATATCAGTAGGCAGTCTTGAATATTATAAAAGAGGTGCCAGACCAATATATCTTAAGGTAGTTTAGAATACGAAGTTGAAAGAGAATGAGGCGGGTTATACTCGCACGTGGGGACACGCGCTTTCCCAGAAAGAATTCAACTGCCCTCATAATGGCTACGAGTTTACAGAGAGACGCACGCTGAAAAGGGAAAATTCTGAGCACTAAATATTTGAATCAAGTAGTCATTTTAATGAAACCAAACAATCTTGGAACTCTAGGTAAACAATTAGGGGCAAATACGGGCTCTTGAAATGTCTTATATACTTTCATGAAATAGCGCTATGACAGCCAATGGGGCAAATTCCCGTTGCTTTGCGCTTCGCGCAATTAGTGCTGATTCTACTGTCATCTGCCCTATCCGGAGATACTCCGATACTCCGTAGTCATACTACGACTAATAGACATGGGACTTCGGGAGGTCCGACGGTTGCCGACGGGCGGCTATACCCGACTAAACACATTGCCCGATTTGCCCAAGAGCTCTAGACACACGAGGTAGGTGCTGAATAATAGATCAATCTTGATATAACTACGGAGTACGAAGTACTGTAACGTAACCTCTTCTACACTTGTGTAGGGGGGTTGTGTGTGTAGTGCATAAGACTTTAGATCTGCAGCAAAGGGCGTGAACTCTAAGTGTGACACACAAGTTGTTATTTCGGTAGGCCTTGTAAATGCATTGAGGATGCATTAAGGTGAACTGAAGGTGGGTTGGAGGTGCATTGAGGCGTCGATCACGATATTCGGCTCAGACACGAGAAAGATCCGAATTGACTCATTGCCAATAGAAACCTATTAACGACGCTAGAGAGAGAGCTAAAAGTGTAGGCTGTACAGAGTAATGCAGGGCTCGTAAGTAAATTCATAATTGTTATCTCAATGAGCTAGCTTAATGCAATGGATATTCTATTTGTGATCCTACCGCCGGAAAGGTATTTAAACAATTTCTTCGCCCCCCACTTTTTCATTTCTTCTGTTGTCAAGCTCTCAAGAATTTAAAAATGGACGGGGATACAAAGCCGTGGGGCTATAGATGGCGTTCATCTCGACTTTTGGTGGTTTCGTCCATCACAGTTGCCTTATTCGCAGGTATGTGTGGTTGTGTTTCACTCCAGGACTTTTTTCATTTGAGTCATACTAACAACCCATTAGAGACATTTCTTTACGGATTTCTTACTCCAATTTTGAGTTATATGCTTGAAGAACGACTGCACATTGATCCCTCGCGAACTCAGACGTACACTACTGCATTGCTCACCACGCATGGGTTCATTGGTCTCATCTCTGCTCCGATTGTCGCTCACCTTGCCGAGAAAACCCCGAGCCAAAAGAAACCACTATTAATCTCTCTGGCAGGATGCTTTATGGGAACTCTTATGATTGCTCTTGCTCCATCTAGTATGGGCACTTCTAATCTTGATTGCACCTCTCTAAGCTAATTATTGTGAACAGTTTGGATCCTCTTCCTTGGTCGCATCCTGCAATCTATGGCAGGTGCCGGCACTTGGGTCGTTGGATTTGCGCTATTGGCAAACAATGTGGACAAGAAAAATCTCGGACAGTCGATGGGGATGGCCATGTCATTTGTAACGGCAGGAATGGTCGGCGGACCAACAGTGAGTGGCGCATTGCTCCAGCTATTTGGCTACTGGGCTGCTTGGTCACTTCCTTTGGTCGTACTCGTCTTGGATATCATCGCTCGCCTGGTTATGATTGAGCCTGGCCTCAAATCTCCAAAGGAAATTAATTCTTTGGGTAAATCTGCTCGCACATCAGTTCTCAGCGTTGATGAGGCCCCCGAAGAATCGACTGCTCTGCTTTCCGATACACTATCTACCGTCGACCCGGATGACTGTAGAGTGGAGCATAAGCATGATCTCAAACACGAATACTACAGGATTATGCTCACTGATCCCCGTGTTTTGACCGCATTGGCCAACGTTGTTGTTGTCTCCGCTCTCATGTCTGGAATTAACAACACCCTCCCCGTCCACCTGAGACAAGCATTCGGCTGGAAGAGTTTACTTATCAGTGCAATGTTTTTCTGCCTCCAAGTCCCGAATATTGTTCTCAGTAGCCCATCCGGATGGCTTCGTGATCGAATCGGATTACGGGGACCTACCGTTTTTGGCTGGCTTGCAATGATCCCTCTAATCTTACTTCTGGGGATTCCCGGAGACCCCCACTTCCCTTGGGCCGCAGGAGATGCAGCTGGAAAGTCTATCTTTACCAGCAGTCTGATTGCCCTGGGTAGTATTCTACCTCTTGTGCGCGGTGTAGGAGCCGTGCAACTGGCCTGTGAGTGATTCCATTTTATTTTCTGTTGTCCATTCCCCCGCTAACAAATGCAATTTTCCTCAACATAGATGTTGTCAAGGACATGGAAGCCAAAGACAAGCATATGTTTGAGGCCAACAGAAGCAATCTTCGAGTCTTTTCCATGACTGAAGTTGGATATAGTCTCGGTATGATGTTCGGACCTATGTTGACAGGCTCGCTATTTGAAGGAGTTGGCTTCTTTTACATGACTGTGGCACTAGGTGAGTCACTCGATCTAATAACGTCTCTTTCAATTTATTGACCCGGTGCAGCTATTACCTGCCTCATTCAGGCCGCGATTTCTTGGCGTTGGTTGGATACCATGCCCGAGCCCGAGGCTCCTCAAGCTTCAGTTTAAACACTCGCATAGTTGATAAATATGCGTTGAGATGAGTCCCAGAAAGCGTTTATTGTGATACGAATACTTTAGCAAGATTGATTAAAATATGCCTTAGGATACACATGAGATATAGAATATGAATTGCATAAATATTGATAAACCACTTTGTGCCGAAAATTTTAGATTAATATTTCTATTAGAATCGAGAATTGACACAGCAGTCGTACAACAATCGGTGATTTGTGGTTGGTGAAGATAACAGTGGAGATCTACCCCGCGAGTATAAAGCCTCAGTCTCGTCTCTCTCGGAAGCACCATGCAAGGCAGAATGACCGAATCAAAGACTGAGAGCTGGCAGCTCGCCGATTGTAGTAATATCCCGATTATCGACCTCTCAACTTTGGATAGTCCAAATTTCGATGAGAGGCGGAAACTTGCTCAATCTATCTATGATGCTTGCACTCAGGTTGGCTTCTTTTACATCAAGGTAGGTGATTCATATCCTGCTTTCCAACCTGATCAGATATTAAATTGCCTGTTTAGAACCATGGTATTCCGGAGGACAAGATAGATGGCATACACAGGTCGGCAAAGCGGCTCTTCGACCTCCCCGAGGAGCAAAAGATGAAGTTCTATATTGGAAACTCTCCTGTAAGTTGACAAACTTCAGAATTCATATGGACATACTAAGACCATATCAGAAATTCCGCGGCTACAGCCCCCTGGGTGGCGAGAAATCCACAGGAACAGACGATGATCCCATTGCCGAAGAAGACGCAGTCAGTGCTCTCTCCGAGGCATTTGACATTGGATACGAAACGGCAATGGATCCGCAAAAATCGAAAGATGACCCTCTTCCCCGTGATCCCTATGGATTGTGTGGAGATAATCAATGGCCCGGCCAAGATATACTTCCAGAATTCACAGAGACCCATATTGAATATTGCGCTCTAATGCTAGGACTCTGCAGAAATTTGATGAAAATATTCGCCCTTGCTTTAGGCTTGCCCGAAGAGCACTTTGATTCGATGACTCGGAACCCAGGTGTCACGTCTAGGATGATGCATTACCCACCTCAGCCGGTGAAAGAAGAGGTCCGTGAAGGACTTGGAGCCCACACGGTAAGCAATTGACCAAAGCATAAAAAAAACATACCGAAAGACTGATTTTTTTATCCACCGTCAGGATTTCGAATGCTTCACTATCCTCTCCCAGGGTAGTGTCCCGGGCCTGCAAGTCTTGAGCCACAGCGGCCAGTGGATACTAGCACCGCCATTACCGGGGACATTGGTCGTCAACATTGCGGATTGCTTATCAATTTGGTAAGATTTATTCTGATTTTTATGAGAGTATATGCTAATTTATTTAGGACGAACAAAAAGTTCAAGTCTACTATTCATCGTGTGACAAATTTGACCGGGCAAGAACGTTACTCCATTCCTTTCTTCTTTGGAGTCGACTATAATACAACAGTGTCAGTTCTGCCAAACCATATTTCGGATGATAGACCTGCATGTAAGGAGCCATTCAAAGCCGGCGAGGTGAGTGATAGAATAGATCTAGCACTGGTGCGATAACTGACAAGGGACTAGTGGGTTCGCGAAAAGCTATCAAAGGCATATGTTGGCTACGAAGGCTAGGGGATTGCAATGGATATTGGACTTAATTGATGTATATATTCTAACTCAATTGCCCTACTGGGTGTTAAATCTATCCTTGAAGTACACGATTCCGCGGAACTATAATTTATGTAGTAAAACCAAAATATATATGCTTGGTGGTTTGGTCAATTCCGAAAAAATTGTGTAGCACAATTAATCCCACTTTATCTTGAACCAATCTTCTCTAAATATAGCCTGGCGCATCGAAATCAAGAAACCAGATGAGTTTGTAAGCGTGAAGTCGATCATCAACCCCGCACAGGCAACGGTTGCCTGAGCGCAGTATAAAAAGCTGCATCCGCCAACAACATCCATCTAAGCAGGATAAAACCCCTTTAGTTCGCTATGTCATTGCCATTCAGTACCCCGCCTTCGACAGCAACGGCCTCCCTCACACCATTCCAGGCTGCCATCCCCAAAGCCAAACTCATTGAGCTCGAGACACTGTTAAAATTAGCGAAGTTTGCACCGCCCACCTACGAGAATTCCTTAACAGACCGTCGTTATGGTGTTACCACGGACTGGCTAGTGACCATGCGGGATCAATGGCTGAGGTCTTACCACTGGTACATCACAGCCCACTATGCATGTGCGCCATGCACGTGCACCACAATGCATAGGATTGGACACAGCACTGAATTGTCGCAATAGGAAATCTACGGAAGATCGAATTAATAGTTTCCCTCAGTATTTGACAGAGATTGAAGGCCTTACACTTCATTTTGTAGGGTTGTTTTCGGAACGGGAGGATGCTGTTCCCATTTTGCTGTTGCATGGATGGCCTGGTAGGTCTATATTTTGGCCTTAATCTGATAGCAAGCAGATATCCCACCCATGGAGACTGACATATCGTATTATAGGGAGCTTCCTCGAGTTTTTGCCTATACTGCAAAAGTTCCGAGAGGAGTACACGCCGGAAACATTGCCGTATCACTTGATTGTACCTTCACTACCAGGCTTCACATTTTCCTCTGGGCCCCCATTGGACAGGGACTTCGGAACAGGTGACATTGCTCGTGTGTTGGATCAACTGATGAAAGGCCTCGGCTTTGAAAGTGGGTATGTTGCCCAAGGAGGTGATATTGGAAGTCGCATTGCTAGGCACCTGGGTGTGGACCACGAGAGCTGCAAAGGTATGGAGAATCCATAATATCCCTGCTGGGAGGGTTGAACCTTTTCTGACAAGTTGTGGTATAGCTGTGCACGGTGAGTACTTTCTTTATATGGGTTGTTCAATGACCATAATGCCAATATAAGTTAGTCAACGTGGTTTTCATGAGAAAGCCGGACGGCATGACAAACGACCATCTGGATGCCTTTGAGATAGAGGGCATTGAGAATGCGGCCAAGTTTGCGACTCTAGGCTCCGGCTATGCGATGGAACATGGTACTCGACCCAGCACCATCGGCCACGTCTTGTCGTCGAGCCCTCTTGCTCTACTAGCATGGTAAGTCGCGAAAAGCAAAGTGCAGTTGACAGGAACTCCAGAATTGACACCTGCAGGATTGGAGAAAAGTTCTTGGAATGGGTTGATGATCCGCTTGCGTCAAATGATATTTTGGAGTCTATCACCTTGTACTGGCTTACGGAGACGTTCCCTCGAGCGATCTATTGTTATCGACAGGTGAGTTTTCTCAAATGATTTTTTCGACTCCCTCAGGATATCTGATGGAAATAAATAGAACTATCCTGCACCAGCTATTCCGGCTTCGAATGAACCTCGTTGGTATATCCACAAGCCATTTGGATTTTCTTCTTTCCCTATGGAGCTTGCTCGAATGCCGCGCTCGTGGATTGAGACTACCGGAAACTTGGTATTCTGGGAGCAGCACCAGAAGGTACGTAATATGGGAGTGAAACGAGAACTATCATCTAAGACTGACGCTTGTTTTGTATAGGGTGGTCATTTCGCTGCTCTAGAACAGCCTGATGAATTGAAAGCAGATTTGGTCAAGTTTGTTGACCAGGTGTGGCCAGGTATTACTGGTGCCGAATAAGCTGAACAATAACTAAAGAGAAGGAGATCGTTTTTTATAGGTGAATCTGAAGCTGGAATTTATTCAGGGACTGTGAGCAGTTGTTAGATGAAGATGTGTTGTGATATTATAGCAACGACTAGGGTAGTAGAGAGTGCGTGGAAATCAAAATGCGGGTTCTTTTCACATCGCGCCCACCTGTACTTCGCAATTACTTCCCCAACTCCAACTCCATCTCCATCTCCACCTCCAGGAAGAATCACAAGAGAATCATATTATTATCCAGTGCCTAAACCATGACATCAACCACAGCAGCCGATGAAATATTCTCCGACGAATCAAGCTTCTATGGTAAACCCCGGCTCATACTCCAACCCAACCGAGAAACCCCAGCTAACCGACGTCAGGCGACGATGATGAAAAGAACCAGCTGGAGGCACAAGTCTCATCCTACGACCCAGAGCTATTCTGGGTAGAGACCCATCCGAAGCTTCTATCAACCATACAGGAGCAGCTGCGCGCGCCGCCAACACGCGCAAAGGCCTCACCATCAGACGTTTCTATGGACGATGCATCCCCAGAACCCAGCACCCTACGGTGCAACCAGCGCGGGAAGACCGAGCCCATAGAGCACTTTTTAGCGCGTCTTCCGCCATCAACAACTAAATCCGCGAGCGTAGGCCCCTGGATCTGGATGTTCAATCCACATGAGGTGCCGCCGAGACAAAGCGGTGATGTTCCCGCTCTGCTTCGGAAAGGCAGGGAGCTTCTGCAGGAGTACGAGAATGAGAGTACGATACTGCGCGAGGCGCATGATAAGTCTGGCGCGAAAACTACTGCTGCTTTGACTCGTAAATTGAACCCGATGAGGAAGGAACTTGAGAAGAACATTCTTGCTCTGGCGAGAGAGACGGGTGTTACGGATGGGAAGTGGATGCTTTTTCCGACTGTTGATCAGGTTGATAAGTCCTGGAAGACGGTGGTTAAGGCGATGGAGAAGGGGGAGCTTGGGGATGCGGCGAAAGTTGCTACTGATGATGGGGGTGGACAGAGTCGGTTGATTTGTGTTTACACAGCTGATTTTGGGGATGTTGAGGATGTTAAGCGGGTTGTGAGTAAGTTAGTTGATCTTGGGCTTGTTGGAAAGGGGTCCCGGCCTATTTACTACAAGACTGATGCGTTCACTCATCTGGAGATTAACTCGAAAAATGAGTATGGGCTGAAGGCGAGTATGTATTCGAGTCGGGAGGTGCTGGAGGGGAAGTAGAGAGAGATGGTAATTTTGGCTTTGTGGGGGATTGTTTATGATTGATGAGAACATGATTCATGATTAATGTTTAGCTGTAGTGGGTATCTCTGAACGCAGTTATCTACATGTATGATACTTGACGTGTTTCCGGACATTGGTAGCGGTATGTTCTATATGGGAGGGTGGCCGTGTACCCAGGGAATTCGCAAAAGTCAGGGCAGCAGTGGTTTCGTGGTGGTTCGTTGGGACCAGAGCTGGAGGTAGATGTAGATTGATCATGTCTTGCATAGATCGGAAATGATTTGTCTTCATGAATGAGCCTGCTCATTCATGGCCGCAGCGGTCGGTCCAGTCAGAGGTGATAGCTCAGTTCGACAGGGGTTCATTGCCTAGGAGCCCCAACCGCATGGATTATGGCCGAGAAGAGGTGTGCGTGAGGAGGTGTTCAGTCATCTTGGCTTGGCTGGTTCATGACTTTCTCGCACGCTTCCCGGATCTCAGCAACCCCCTTGACAGCGCCCCAAGCGTCAAGTAAATGCTGTATCTCTTTCCAGTCCTTCTCCGCATCCTCCTGTTTATCCTCTGCCAGAAGCTTCTCTAGTCTCTGTGGCGTAGCAAGCACCCACCGAACAGTATCCTTCTCACTCTTCTGACTCGAAGCCCCGTCTTCCAGCCTCGCTTCCTTCATTCGCCGTCGCTGCTCCTCGCCTTCCTTAATGAGGCCACCAGCAGTCTCAGCAACAAAAGCAATAGCCGGACCTAGCGTTTTCGTCATAGTCAACGGCGCGCCGCGTTCATCCATACTGCGCCGCATTTTACCAATTGTCTCTACCGCGCGAATCAACTTTGAGTAGTTATCGTAGACCAGCGCCTTCCGCTCTCCGTCGAGAGTGCGGATATCCCCAACTAACGTGTTCTCCGCCTTGAGCACCGTAGCCAGCGACGATTTTGACAAGAGATGCTCCACATACTGCTGCGGGTCGAAGTCCGCACTGTCAAGCTCCGTGCCTGACCCTAGAGCGGATGGGTCAGAGATGTCTCCTGCATCTGTGTTCCGCGGCACACTCCGAGAGCGAGATCCGTCTCGGGAGGCAGATGTGCCTGCGCCGGGCGGTTTAAGGTTGTAGTAGTCTCGCAGGGCGCTGCGATTGCGACGTAGATGGAGTGAGGGGGAGAGCGCACGTGCAGTGGATGGGGTAGATGCAGCGCTGAGCCCCCCGCTGATGTTGGCGTTCGAGGTATCAAGGGATGCACGGGAGGAAGCCGGACCTGGCGAATGGGCTCGGGAGGAGGCAATGGATGGACGTGGAGATGATAGAGTCGACATCGTGGTGTGTAGTGAGGAATGTCGGAGTTGTCGGAGGTGAGCCAGTCGGGCCAGGTCAATGGCTTTAAGCGGTGGTCTGTGCTTTTGTTTTGGCGTTGAGAGCTTCACCAAGTTCGCTACTAGTATTTGATTCATCATACGCGCCAATATGATCCCGAGGGAATCCAACCCATCATGACTAGTCCTGATCAAATCGCAGCTCAGATACTGAGCACCAAATCCCTCTCAGTGTCCCAATCCTGGCTCAATGCCTTCCTAGCATCATCCAGCACAGCACAACGCAATATTCCCCCCTCGGCTGTCGCAAAGACGGCCATATTCCGTCTCCTCGCCTCTGATATCAAAGAGTCACTCTCCAAACATAGATCATGCGTGCTACCAGTCAATACCCATGACCCGACGATCCAAGAGCTACGGCTGCAAGGCTCAATCCCCGTGCAGGTACTAGACATTGAGGACATCGGCACAAGTCTATGGAGTCAGATTGAAGCAATTGAACGTGTTGAACGTGGTGAGGCGATCCGCGGCCGTGAGATCGTGCGCACAATAGCTATTGGGGAGGACGCCGAGGCATCGGAGAACAATCGCGCGAATAACAACCCTGCGAACGGTGCTACTGCGTCTGGGAATAGTGGGTATGGGCCGCACCGCCTGATTCTTGAGGATTCAGCGGGAACTATGGCTGTGGGTGTTGAAATGCAGCGTATTGATGGTATAGCGTTGGAGAAACTTGCTATTGGGGCGAAGCTCTTGCTTCGTAATCCATCTGTTGCGAGAGGTATGGTGCTGCTCACTCCGGGGTCTGTCACTCTGCTCGGGGGAAAGATTGAGGCTTTGGATAAGCCGTGGAGGGAGGGGAGGAAGGCTAGGTTGCTGGAGAAAACTGCAGGCATCGAGAGAGAATGAGAAGAGACAACTCACCGTGGGTTCACCCAGCCAGTTGAATAGATGCCAGGCCGTTGCTTTTTCTAATTCGCGCTTGTTATTAAGGTATGTAATTTGCATTTCTCTTAGTCTATTATAAATACGTTTATAATTATTGTGATTGAGTTTGATGTTATCATGTTCATTCGCTGAAAACTGATTGTGCAGATTGTGCAGTTAGAGTAAATACACTGTGCATCAAGTTCGTCTAGCCCTCGCGCTTGTATGACGCTTGTGCCAGGGTGGCAGGGTAGTTACTTCGTCACCCAATTACTGCGGTCCATGGCCTGTGCGACGATTCCACATGTTCTGGGTAGGTACTTTGTGGCTCAATTGCTCCCATCCATTCCGTTTCCACGGGGCAATCATGATCGCACGCAATGCGTCACCGACCTTCCCGGTTTGTGTATAGGCTTGGCTGAGATTCTCAGCTCCAAGGTTGCCGTAAGGAGGCACGCTCCGCAGAGCGCGTTTGATAGTCATCGCCGCGGGGTACGGGTTTCGTGACGCTATCGACAACTCCATCCATCCGGCAGGTTGTCCAGGTGTAAGCATCACGGCTGCAGTGGCATTACCAATGCGTCTGATGTTTTCGGGGACGGCTGCATTATCGTCGAGTCCCATTGCTGAGATGGCACTAAGGAGTTTGAAGATTTTAGCACGGTCGTGGAGATCGATGTCATCGCGCGAGATAATGCTTTTAAGGTCCGATTCAACTGCTTCAATGGCGTCCCGATCCGCATCGAGGAGAGCGATGGCACCCAAAAGTGTGACTGCTCCGATATGGCCAGGGTGATTCATCACACAATCCAGTAGTTGCTCGCGAGCAACAGCTCGATTCTCCTCGCCACCCTTGGCCCACAGGACCTGGGCAAGAAGACAGACAACATCTGGGGCATTTTGTGCTTCTTCAAGGGCATCGCGGAACATATCTATGGCTTGATCCATAGACTTCAGATTGTAAAACGCTAGACCAGCAGTCAGATGCGCAGACAGACGAAGCTTCTTGCGAGTTTCGGGATCGAATTTCTCCGCGTCTTCTTCCCCAGAGAGCATGAGCGCAAGTTCGGCTTTCTCCGCAGCATCCGTATAAGAACGGCCTGCAAGCAGGACACGAGCCATATCTGCATTTGCTTGGGCATATCTCGAAAGCGAGGATGGCGACTCGGTCTGTTCGAACTCTTCTTCCATGTCGGAACAAACAACCTGCAGACTAGACTCGGCATCTGTGGTCTCGCCCATCCTTTCTGCCAATAGGGCGGAAAGGTGCACAAACGGCAAGTTTGACGGATCCTGAATGCAAAGCTGGTGCAGCGCAAAGAATGGCTGAATGAGTTCGGACACCTCGGATGCAGAAGTGGCATTCAAATGGTCGAAGTGGGTCAGGCTGAACTGGCGCTTAGTGAGAATATCGGATGAGTTCGAGATGTCAAAGGCATGCTCAAAATAACCCCTGGCCTCCTGTGTCTCAGAGGAAACAAGGGAAACAAAGCCTTGGCCCACCCAGGCCAGTGAATAGTCTGGGTCGGTGGCCTGCGCTCGCAAGAAGGTCTTGTATGATTGTTGGCCTTCATCGTGGAGGAGATAGAGTGCTCCAAGGTTGGTCCAAACTTGCGCGTTGCGTTCGTTCAAGTGCAAACTTCGCACCAACGCATGCTGGGAGACCTTGGGACTCATGCTAGCAGTAACAACACCCAATGAGTTCCAGAAATCGGCATTTCCCGCCTCCGATTCGATTGCTCTCTTGAAACATCGCATGGCTGCTTTCAGGAACTTGCGAGACTTCTTACTTTTTTTAGTCGGATCCGGTTGCACACTGCGATGGGCCAAATATTCCGCCCAGCCAAGGTTGTACCAGGCAACTCCTTGGGAATGAGGATCATTCGCCGCAACATGGAGTGCACGTTTATAGGCGATGATAGACATGTGAATGTAGAAGTCAGATGGCATCGATTCTTCACTTTCATTGGCTGCGAGCCAATCAGTTCCGACACCATCGATATCGGTCATGGCATCAAGGGCCATAGGATCGAGATTAACGGCTAGTAAAGCCTTGCAGCTAGAAGCAGACAGCTTTCCAGCCTTAGCCTTCATGTATGAGAAGTTGGCCAAGGCATCGCCTACAGCCTTCCATAAGTTGAAGATATCGCTTTGGATTTGCACAAGCGAGCTGGCCACCGAAATGGCTTGGTATGCAAGCTCTGCCGCATCGTTGAAGAGGCCCACGGCAAGGCTCTTCGTCGAACTCTCAGTTAGTGTCTGAAGAAGTGCGAGAGTCACACCAACGTCATCAGGGCGGGATTTCAGGACATGTTCGTAGGCAGCGATGGCGTCTTCGTACTGGCCAAGCTCCCGCCTGACGTTTGCCAGCATATAACTTGCGAACCATACATGATCCTTGTCTTTGGCTGAAAGCTCCGGTTCCAATAGTTTTGCTTGCTCAAATGCCTTGGTGGCGGCGTTGTATCGACCAGAGTGGTGATAGCTCTCGGCAAGGCCGACCCAAGAGTGGTAATCAGTTGGCTTGAGTCGTAGCGCTGCTTGGAAGGACACGACACTTTTACTGTATTGTTGTTTGTTAACCTGAACCGACCCCAATGCTGCATACGGCCAGCTGAATCCTTTGCGTTTCGACCCAGGAGCAGGCCTGGCCTTACCGGAGTCAACCACCCGCTGCGCAATTGCTTCCACAAGGTCCCATTCCTTCGAGTCAGCAAAGCCGTTGGCAAGACGCTCGGCGGCCTCAATCTCGGATGTTGACAGTTCAAATGCCTTGTGGAAGCATCTCCGAGCTCTGGTCTTATCTTTCTTGTAGTCTGCGTAGTAAAAACCAAGAATGGTGTATGCTGGAGCGAAGTTCATATTCGCTTGAATAGAAGCAAAGAGGCTAGCATAAGCACCACTGCGATCTTTGCGCGCGGCTGGCGACGGGTCAAGCTCCCACTGGCAGTAACCAATGCGGTAAAAAAGCTCGGATCTGAACACCCTGTTGTCCGGTTGAGCTTCGTTGAGGTCCTGAAGTGTAGTCTGAAGACTGGCTAGGCCACCTTCAAGATCGCCACTTAATGCCTCACACCAAGCAAGCTCTCCGCGAATCTTGAGGTTAGAAGAATCGCGCTCAAGTGATCGTCGCAGGAAGTTAACAGCCTCTGCGTAGTCCTGATCCTCTTTTAAAATCAGACCAATTCCAAGAAGGCAATTGGAGGAGGTTGGGTGCCGTTCGAGAATGTCCTCAAAGATTCTTTTCGCATCTGTGTGGTGCCGGGGAGATTGATAATGAATCATGGCATTCGCAAGTGCGTTATTCAAGGCATCAATCGTATTGGGGATCTTGACACCACTGTACTTTACCAAGTTCTCAACGTACAGTAATCCCTTACGAGCAACATTGATCACGCTCTCATACTCATTGAAAGAGAGGTAGACATCTGCCATGATGCGGTGGGCAAGAATTGAATCTCGAGCGGAGTCCAAACCCTCAACCATAACGGCAAGAGGGTCTTGAGGAACAGTTGCATCGTCAGCAATTTCGTTATCAGGTTGATTGGCTGTGGTTTCCTTGCCATCTTTGGCATCCTTGTCGTCTGTTTCGTTTGAAGGGTCCTTGGGAAATGGGGATAGTTCGCTCAATAAAAATCCTTTGAGCACCTGCGAGAGACCAGATTCCGGGAAAAACTCAATGTACTCGCGCAGCTGCCCGACGTCGTACTGGGAGAAATCTTGAACATCCTGCCACCCCAGGAAAACCTTCCATGCGGGTTCAAATGGATGTTTGATAATCACCATGTCATGTGCTGCCTTGAAAACGGCGGATCTCTTCGCCTCCTTCTCACTATCAGGCAGAACTCCAAGTTCTTCATATGCACGCTGGAATAATTTCTCCTCGCATTGACGGCGTACTGTATCGTCGTTGGTCCAATCAATCATTCCTTGGTAGAATTGGTCCAATCGGCTCTTGTTGGCAGCTTCCCGCCGAACTTCCTGGGTGACTTGTTCGATACGAGCACCAAGACGCGTTCTGCGCTCTCCAATCTCACGATTGATAAACTCTCTTTCTTGGCGCTCGGTGATTTCAATCAATCGCTGGTATGTTTGGGACGGACGAGGCAACCGGCCCTCAAGGAAGTCGTACAGAGGTGAGCCCGGTAGCTGGAGTTCCAATGCATGCTTGTGTTGAGTCGATGTCCCATTCCTCTTCATCAACTGTGTGTATTTGTTAATCAGATCTTGGCAGCGTTCCTTCTCGTCGCTAGAAGTCATCAGCACTATGTTCTTGGTATACATCAATTCCAAAGGAAGTCAAAACATACGTCTGAGCGAATATCTTTCCAAGAGCAATGACTGCCTTGTGATAGCCATCATGGTTGCAGCCACCCTGTTTCTCGTACAGGGAGATCAAGCCCTGCCAAGCAGTTTTATCGTCGGGATTGATACCGGTCGCAGCAAAATAGGCATTCTCTGCGTCAATATTCTTATTCAAGCGATCGCTGGCAAGACCGAGGAAGACATTCCTAGAGAAAAAAAACAAACCAAGTTAGTCATGTTCCATGCAGGATCAGGGATTGTCATACGCGTGGTAATTGTTAGGCTCGTTCCTGACAAGCTCCTTGGCTTTTTCTGCAGCAGCTTGGTAATTCTTCGATTCCAAAGCCGCTCGCACGGCCTTCAATGCCGCTTTGCTCGACATGATTCCCGTTGTGCAAAGACAGCGGGGAGAAACTGTCGTGGTGGAGCAAAGCGGTCGGCTAGCTCTCGATACGTCACTGCTTATCGTTATCGAAGGTGGACACTGATCTTCGAGTTGGCAATGAGCTGATTGTTGCGCTTGAAAGTCAGAATTGCCAAATAGAACAAAAGAATCACCTTGGAGAGCTCACGCCAGATGTATTGAGCACAACTCGAGGGAATCAAAATCTCCTGAACGGTTTCTTAAAGTGGTCAGAATCACGTGCTCTGGTGATTTGCACGAAAGTATCGGGCAGCTCGGGAGTAGTGACCTTCGTAAGGGTTGCCAAGGCTCGTTCGCAACCTATCTCACTACTATTCGAGTTGGGGGAATCGGAAAATCGTTGCCTACTTCCAGATATCTACTTTCTACGAGCTGAGAGCTATATCTACTCCCTTCCTTGACTTGCTCACCCTTAAACCTCTCGCGCGAGACCGCGGCTTCACTCAGTTTGACCTTCGGGGCAACAATGGCCCCTCTGCGTCTAAAGGTCGAGGGCCAGACTTTCCGAGACCCTCACAATCGGGAGATCACATTACGGGGCATAAACGTTGCGGCCGATGCGAAATACCCAAAGACACCCGATATCCCTACATACATCGCCGATAAGTTCTTCGATGCCGACAATGTCTCATTCGTTGGGCGACCTTTTCCATTAGAAGATGCCCATGTTCATTTCAAGCGACTTCGGAAATGGGGTTATAACACAATCAGGTACATTTTTACCTGGGAAGCCATTGAGCATGCAGGACCGAGAGTTTACGACCATGAGTGGGTTGCATTCACCATAGAAGTCCTCCGGATAGCTAAACAATACGACTTCTGGGTCTTTATGGACCCGCATCAGGACGTGGTAAGTATATATGATCACCCTGGCAAATAACTTACAACCTCATACTAACCCCTTCTTAGTGGTCTAGGTTCTCAGGAGGATCAGGGGCGCCGATGTGGACGCTTTATGCAGCGGGACTAAATCCAAAAACCTTCAAAAGCACGGAAGCCGCCTTGGTTCAAAACACATACGACATCCCCGCGGAGTTTCCCAAGATGATATGGAGCACAAACTACACTAGACTGGTTTGTCAAACTATGTTCACCTTGTTTTGGGCTGGGCGGGACTTTGCTCCTAAGGCTATCATTGATGGGATCAATATTCAAGATTACCTTCAGAACCACTTTATTGATGCATGCGCATTCTTAGCACGGAAAATTCATGAAGCAGGTGATCTTGACGGCGAAGTTATCATCGGCTGGGAAAGTATGAATGAGCCTCATCGTGGTGTTATTGGTGTGCAAGACATTTCAGTAATTCCACCGGAGCAGCAACTTCAACTAGGTACTTCACCGACAGTGTTCCAAGCGATGCTCACTGGTTCAGGCAAGGCTTGCGAGCAAACAACATGGGCATTTGGAAACTTCGGTCCTTACAAGACCGGCACAAACCTGGTGGACCCGGAAGGTGAGATAGCTTGGTTGCCAGCTGACTATGATGATAGCAAGTATGGCTGGCAACGTGACCCTGGGTGGAAACTTGGAGAGTGCATCTGGGCTCAGCATGGAGTTTGGGACCCGTCTACCGACACTCTTCTACAGAAGGATTACTTTTCAAAGAACCCTAAGACGGGCAGTCCACTTGATTACGAGAAATTTACCAATTCTTATTTCTTGGATCATTACCGTGCATACAAAAATGCCATCCGAGGAATCTGGCCTGAGGCAATAATGTTTTGCCAGCCACCTGTGATGGAAGTACCGCCAGACGTCAAAGGCACTGCTGATGATGACCCGAACATGGTCCATGCAGTTCATTTCTATGACGGATTAACCCTTTTGACAAAGCATTGGTGAGAATTGACGGAGGTTCTTCAACTGTATGTCGCTAGTACTAACTCCTATAGGAACCGACTCTATAATGTAGATGTTATTGGTGTTCTCCGGGGCAAATACCTCACACCTGCGTTTGCGCTCAAAATTGGCGAGTCGGCTATTCGCAACTGTTTGCGTGACCAGCTTAAGTTCCTCTGTGATGAAAGCCGAAATTATATGGGCAGCCATCCGGTGGTATTCACGGAGATTGGGATTCCCTATGATATGGACGATAAAAACGCATACAAGACCGGTGACTATAGTAGTCAAACCAGCGCCATGGACGCAAACCATTTTGCACTGGAGGGCAGTACTTCCAATGGCTTCACGCTGTGGGTATATGTTACACAAGTACGTATATTTGCTCCTCGGAATATGCATGGTACTGACACAATGTAGAACGACCACGAATGGGGTGATCAATGGAATGGAGAGGACCTTTCTATTTATTCCCGGGATGATCTAGAACTGCCAGCAGGATCCAACACTCGACCTCTTGATCCCAATTCACCGGCCTACTCTGAAAGTCAGAGTAACGGAGAAGAGCTGAATGTTGGACCTCGTAACCTCAAAGGTGTTTTGTCAACTCCTTCGATCTCCACTGACCTCTCCCAGCCAGAGCAGCAAGGTTACCGCGCCGCAGAAGCATACCTCCGTCCTAGTCCAACATACGTGAGCGGAAAGTTAGACAGTCATGTTTTTGATCTCAAGAATTGTATGTTTACTCTATCGCTGACGGCCAAAGGGGCAACCACCGCGACTGCCCCCACCGAGATATATCTTCCCGAGTTCCACTTCCCAGAGAGCAACATCGTCGTCGCAGTCAGCGGTGGCAAGTGGGATATCAATGTCCAGGATATCCACGGTGTCAAGCTGCAACATCTGCGATGGTGGCATGCCGAAGGAGAACAGGATATCAAGATTGAGGGACTCAAGCGCAAGCCCGGGGAGTTTTCGAATCCTGGAGGTGAAGATGTTAGTTATCTAGAACAATGTCAGAGAGGCCAGTGTGTCATGATGTGAAGTTGTTACTAGTCATATTTCGGCTGAAGTTCTTATCTTTCAATTTGAGATCAATTGCTTCCTCATATATCTTCCGGTATTCTTGTTTCTACTCACTCTCCGAGTTGCAATATGAAAAAAAGAAACCTGAGCAAAGACACTGAAGGGAGTTGAAATGATATCTAGGGTCATCTTTGAGTGTATATGTATGTGACAGGTCTATACGGTGGTTACCTTGACTGGCCAAAGAGACTCGCCCCCATTCGCCAGTCAGATAAAAGGAAACTTCCTATATCAATTCACAAGAAAATGTTACTCTACAGCAGACGAGCACAGTATGCCAGAGGAAACGTGAATGTTTATGAGGTTTTCAACCCAAATTTCTCTCAGATAGTGGTACTCAAGACAAGCTCGATAGGGTTGTTGAGGCTACAAATCTTATGGGCAACTCAAAGTATAAAATTGGCTCATTCAATCCGCGGTGTCTGAATGATGCAAGTACACAAGCTTTGGGGTGGATTCATGAAAGTCTTAAAGTTCAAAATACTTCCGTTGCGAATTGCTCTGCTAACATGTTTGTCCTAATAGATGCACTGTCGTCTTCGACATTGGGGCTACTAGCGCCTAAACTAACAGGGGGCAGTAACCCACCCAAGAAGAGATGTTAAATATCACGAGTAATTCAGTTTGCTTTGCTGGCTTTTCAAACAATTAAAACATTCCAAAGGCGTGGAAATTCCAGAGAATGCGGAGGTTGCCGAGATTGAAGTGCCATTACGATAAGCTACCAAGCAAGTATATAGTATATATAGCTCGAGGCAAAATAGAGCACACATTCTAGTGACATGCAAAATACCTCCGATGCACTCCCAGTGAACGCAGTGACGTCGCACCATAGCGCTAATAATATATAGCCTACATGTGGTCTTCTCTACCACCTTCTTTCTTTCTTTCTTTCTCTCTTTCTCTCTCATATTTCCTACACCTCCCCTCCCCCTATTTCTCATGCTTTGTGCGAGTTCTAGATCAGCCTAAGATAATGTCCTCTCAATTCATACTATAAAATGGAAGAAATCAAGATGGTCCCATTCGGACACCTGCCTTTCGATTATCATGTTATGGTAAATCTTTCATAGCGAGCAAAAACCTGATGTAGGTCGCTAATATTGTAATAGGATAAATGGGATGTCAGTTCTCCTCTTATAAAAACCCAGTTCACTCACCATGTATGTGGTCTGAAGAAGTAAGACGGGCAGAAAGACAACAGAAGTCCTGTAGCTAAAATGAAGCATCTTACATTCAATTCTGATATCTGAAATGTACAGACTCAGAAGATCTCTGCTGCAATTTATTTGCATAGTACAAGTCCTCTTTTTCATCCATTTTTTTTTTCATTCAAGGACGCACTGATATCGTATATTCTTGGTCAATTTAATCTCCAAATGGGCTTGGCGTGATAGAGGAAGTTTTAAGTTTGCACTGATGAAATCCCCGAGTATATATTCATGTATAAAAATTGTCGGATGAGGGCCTATACCCGTTATCAAAGGCACATATTGGGATGATTATCTTCAAGACCTAGCTGCTCCTTTGTGCATCTGTACAGTCCATTTCATCAATTGTTATCAACCAGGACTAAGAAGACCAGATCTTGACTGGGCGGATCGGAGCGCTCAGAGACATGCTTTGTTGTACCCAATGAGAAAAAGGCGGCAAAGTCTGATCATCTAAAACGGAAAGGGAAAGCCAGGAAGTGGCAGAGGAAATCCGGTATAGGTCGAACCTTGGAAGTATGTATACAACGGACGTGGGTATGCGAGATAAGATAAACAACGAGGGGCATAGCTCGGGGGCATACTACCTAGACAGCTATGATGATACCAAAACAACGTAGATTAGCATAGAACAAAGAAATATTATACCAATTGTTACTTAACCGATCTTCTTTAACCTTGAAAATACTTCTATCACTTTCTCTATCCAGAGCACCGCAAAAGTGAAGAGCGGAGCATCAACGTGTGAGCGGTGTGCCCTTGTTGATCTTTAGGGAAAATTCTCAGCCCGACAAGTCACCAATTGTCTTCTGCGAGTCTTCCCTTTCGTGATCTTAACCTTCGCCAACCCCCTGCATTACAAAAGTACCGGTTCGCAGCTTCAGGTCCGGTCCTCAGCCTTGAACCACCTTTCCCCCGGAAAGAGCGAGTGGCGCGTGCGGATGGCCGTTGCGGTGTCCAACTAGCTAACACAGGACAAGTTCAACGGCCATCGAGTCTTATTTGCCCCTCCCGACTATGAGACGCGGTATACAACTGTGACACGAGACTGAGACTTTAATTTTCTGTTCACCAAATACTTCTTCAACACGTCAACAAGATGGCTGCGGAGGAGTTGTCGGAGGGCGGCATGGCCGATATCATCCGCGCCCTGCAACTTATTCACAACCCTGCATCGTCAAATGATATACGGAAAGAGGCTTCACAGTTCGTGGAAAGACTGAAAGACTCTGATGCTGCAGCGCGAAATGGCTTCCTTTTGGCTTCCCGTATCGAGCATGAGCCCGTTGTCCGATACTTCGGTCTTACTCTCCTCGATCACGTTCTTCGCCAATACAACTTCACCAACCCCGAAGAAGCCAAGACCTTGCGCATGATGGTTTTACAACTCGCTGAGAATATCCGCCCCGAAGACCCTGCCTATTTCCGGAATAAGATCCCCCAACTGTGGGCCGAGGCCGCTAAGAAGACCTGGGGACTGGATTGGATGGATATGGATGCCAACCTGGTTCAGTTCTGGGGTGCATCTCTCGTTCACAAGGAGCTAGTACTCGCTGTTCTGGAGACCCTTTCTGAGGATGTATTTTTCCGAGAAGATATCGCCTCGTCATTGCGGGGGGGTGAGCTCAATCGGTCGCTCATCGAGATCTTTACCCCTGCAGGAATCGTGGAGCAAATTACCGGGGATAAGAACGTGGCTACCATTCCACGATGTGGACAGGAGGGCTGGCTCATTCGAATCTGCGAATTTCTCGACAACTGCGTTCAGAATATCTCTAGCTCGGAGCAGGCTCGGGATGCCGCCATAAAGGCTCTGGCAACTTTGAGATCTGCCTTGTCATGGTCCGTCTACAAAGGTGTCCTTGCCTCCCATGTCGTTCCCAGCATTTTCCGAGCTTTGCCTTGTCAAGATGACCAGGTGCTTCTCTCTGCAATCGAAGCACTTCATGCGCTTTATGGAAGAAACACCATCGGCAGCGAAGACTCGCACGAGCTAGTCTGCCTGATCTTCGAGTCAGAATACCTCGTTGTTCTTCAACGGCTTTATGAATGGTCAATCGTGGGTCCAGACGACGTTGATGATCCCAAATATCTTATATCCAAAAAGCTTGCTGAGATGGTTTCATATATTGCAGGATGCTTGGAAGATGACAAGTTCTTAGTTTCTACGATGGACCGTTTGAATCTACCGCCATTCCTGCAATTCATGGTCAATATCATGCAACACCAGAGCTTGACGGTCTCCATACCTTGCTTGCATCTCTGGTCCAGATTGTTACAAAACTCGAAAATTAGTAACCTAGAATTTGTGCTACAGCAAACTCCCCACTTCTTGAACATTTGCACCCAGAGGCTTCTTCGCTGGGAGTCTCTCCCGACTGAATCCGATGATCCCACGGTTCAGTTTTTGGTCGAGGACATTGATACAATTCCGGAACGGCATGCTTTTGTTGGCAATTACCGCCGTTACTGTTCCTCGATCATTGAAATCATCACGTTCAAGCGACCCCAAGAAGCGGTGCGCGAAATTCTTGCCCGGGTGGACACCAACCTCGACAATTTGTATAGCGGCGTTCAGCCATTTAACAGTGAGTATCACTAATCCGGCGAACTACGGGCTTAGCGACTCATTCATTTCATAGTGGCAACTTTCAACAAATCCTCGATTCCTCTTATGCGAGCGGATGCTCAATTCGCAGTAGTAGAGGCTGTCATCAAGGGCTACAACAAATGGGTCTCAGCTCATGGCAAAGCACCCCAACGTGATGTAAGACGACGAAACAAAAAATTCAATTATCGGTTGCTGATATCTCCCAGGAATCTAAACGAATGGAATTAGAACATGCGGTGGAAAACTGGGCGTCAACCCTGATGCAGAGATCTTTCGAAGTATGTCATCCCGAAAAATCTAACGAATTCCATCCACTCATCAATTTGCTGTAGGATCCGGTCCTGAAACAACGAGTCATCAAACTGGCCGTCGACATCTCTTCCAAAGCTTTGGACAATCATCCAGGATTTGCGCTCAAAGTTCTGGAACACATTCTCATGTCACGTCTCCCTGATCAATCTGAATACCCATTGTATTCCGAGGCTGTTAAAGAACTACATGGATTGGCAAGCTCTGAACTTCGTCGGTTGGCTATGCGCTATGCCGACTACTTTTATGTATGTCAATCCTTATATCCTGATCGTTCAGTAACCCCTAACCGTGCCAACTGCAGACTTTCTATGACCTCCTTGAGCCGAAGATCAAAGAAATCACAGCGGCTAACCGCATCGATGACAAGTTGCAAATGGAGCTGACTTCTATCTTGCTTATTATCATGTAACGTTTCGTCCCATCCCTGTTATTTACCTAAAGTTGCCCCATACTGACTTCGATGTAGGCAACGCGCAATTAATGCTGATCCATACCTGCGCCAAAATCGCCTGGCAGCCTTCCTTCAGCCCATCCGAGAGTCATGGCAAGACGAGGAATTCCGTGTCAGCAGCTCCACCTTCCCCGGGTTTTGCAATATGCTTGGATTAGAAAATGTCGGTCCATACATGCAATCCAAAGAAGCACAGAAACTGGCAGACTGGTCGGAGGTTGTCTTGGACGCTGAAGGAAGGTTAGTCCAAGAAGAGATGACCAGAAAGTTCCAGGTGAGAGACCGAAACCTCATTTCATGTACTAGGGCCAATCTGAACAATTATTCTATAGCTGTTGCCATTGCGTGGCACCAAGACTATGTTGGCTGTTTCCACGGACCGAGTCAAAAAGTCTACGCCTGCTTATGTGACCGCTTGTGAGATGTGGCATGAACTGATCCCAGTGATTCTTCCAACGTTGCTGCAACTTGTCAGGTACTTATCTATGCTAATGCAGGTTCATGCCATCACGCTAACCTTCAATTTCAAGACACGCGCATGCCTTCCACAATCCCGCCAATTGGAATATGGTCGAAGGCATGCAGCCAGTGGTCGAACGTATCCTCACAGATCGATTTTGGCAAGCCGGTATTTCCATCGGTAGCCGTGACGAGTTCTACGCTAGAATCACATCGTCGAAGTCTACACTTGAAGGGTTTGCATCATCGGTTCGAGGAAAAGTCAGAGCAGTCCGCGAAGCATGCTACTCCATGCTGTTCAGCATGAGCAGGATGCGAGAGCACTTCTATGGATTTGCCGAACTCCCAGGTCCCCTGTCCGAAGCACTGTTTGTTGACTCACCACATCTCTCCTCCCACCAGTTCTCGGTTCTTCTCAACATCTCGCGTTGTCTGATTGATGACTGCCCCGTGCAATTCCGCAGCCAATTCCTGCCTCCCATGCTCTCGACTCTGTTCACCAATATTGATCGGAAAGTCACCACAGAGTGGGAGATCATCGAACAACGCAGGAATGGAATTTCAGACGGCGATCTCACCACAGAGATGAAGTCCGAAAGCGTCCTCCGCCAGTTGACTTACTCTGCTGTGATCATGGTAGCCAGTCTATTCGATCCGCAGAGAGGTGGTAAATACTCCCTGCCCCGTCGGCTACGCATAAACATAGACCACCCAGTACTGATGGAACGTGACCTCTCAGACCCAGATGGGACTGAATCAGATCCTAGCGCACCCCAGCCCACTCCGAACCTTTCAGATTCTATTCGTCATTTCGTCCTCTCCTCCCCTGAGATCTTTGAGCCCGTCATGCTCTTTTGTACGCACGCTCTTCGCATGCGCGATACGCGTAGCGGTAGCATCATCACCCGCGTAATTCGCTCAATTCTACAAGACTTCGCGCCCACAAGCGATACCCAGGACACCCCAACTATCGCGACCATCCGTGAGTTCATTTGTACTGATGTCCTCACAGCATGCATTTCTTCCGTACATGAATCATACTTTGTCGATATGCAAAAGGACCTCGCTCAGCTAATTGCATCAATTTGGTGTCTCTATGGCTTCTGCAGCGAGACGCCTCGTGCTGTTTTCCTGAGTTTGCCGGGAATCAGTGCAGAGAAAGTGGCCCAGACTGAGTCTTCACTTCATCAAACTACCTCACCAAGGCAGCAGCGCGCGTTGGTCTTGGAGCTTCTTGAACCCTTGCGCGGCGTTAGTATTGCTGAGCAAGGCAAGATTCTTGGTTCTCGCGAGGAACGTCGTAAGGCCCGTTCAGCATTGCAGGAGAGGTACATGACCAATGAGATGGAGACTCAGCAGCAGACACACCGCGTCGATATTAACGATGGTCCCGATCTCGGTGGTGTGGCCGATCTATTTGGATAGGCTAAGCATCATGTGCTTTTCGGATCATGAAAAGTCGGGATATACCGTGGTGCTATCGGGCTTGTTGATTCTTCATTTTACATACCATGCCATGGATGATCCATTTCCATTCTGTACACCATTTGCGGCCCGACTCCCATTTCCGCAGTGGCACATTTCGCCCTGCCTGTTTTTTTTTTCTGTCTGGATGTGCGATGCAGCTTCTCAACTACCCCCATCGTTAGCGAGCAGCGGCGCTTTGCAAGACATAATATCATAGAAAAGCCACATTCCATTATGCACAAATATATTACGTTCTCTACTATCAGCTTATTGTGGTTTTGCCACGAGATGCAGTATTTGAACAAGCAAAGAAATGAGACATATTGCAAAAGACTGAACTAAACCCTTCACTAGGCAAGTAATATCTACAATGTTTTCCTCGAAGGAGCTTGCTTTGAGACGGTTTATCCCAACTGCCACCACAATGCTTCTAGCTCTCCCACAACGCTCAGAAAGGCTCAGTTCAGTCCGTATACCATGGAAGCAAGGGGTCAACCCAATCAAGCATTCCAAAACACCAGCATCATACACAGTCGAAAGGAGGGAAATGAAGTCCAATATCGCTCAAAATCAGTGTGACATTGTCAGACTGTCTATTGAGTGAGATTGGTGGGGGTATAGGCGAAAGTAGGGCGGACAAAGCTGTTTAGGTAAGTAGGATTAGCATCAATCCCGGAAACGATAAGGCGTGCAACTGCGATTGCATGGAACATACCGGTTAGAGTTGTAGATCTTGGCATCCGTGCCGAGAAGCTCCTTCTCACGCGCCTTGTCGGCGTAGTGCCGGCGGACTTGGTCGCGGTCCTCCTCGGCCTGGAGGAGAGGAGCAAGGTGCAGACGGGACCACATCTTCTCACGGGAGAGCTCACTATTATTCAAACACATATCAGTCACTGAGTTCACTCATTTTATTGCTATCCGATTTGTATCGGGTTCCAATTGCGGTCCTCCCGGGTCGATCGGAGGCAGGAAAGGAGCCTCTTGCTGGATGCAACGTACCGCTGTTCACGGACACCGTGGAAGTACTTGTAGAAACCGTAGGCCATAATAGCGTGCATGCCAATCATGTAGTAGACGGGCTTGAAGCCGCGGGCGGGGACGTTGCGCTATAGAGAGTAAGAAACGAGACCGTTAGCTTGCATGTCTGTGTGCTGGGTGCGCAGGGCTGTTGGGGGCCCGGGAACTGAGTTGTATGGCTTACCTTGTACTGGACTTGAGCGTAGCCCCCCACTGGGGGCATATCCTGAGGCATTGTGACGGTAATGAGCTGGTAAAGGGCTGGGAGGGATAACGAGGAGCCGCTGTGACGATTGGAGAAGTTGGGTCTGGAGGATCACGTGAGGTTTGTACAGTAATGAGGGCTGCGGCGCACGTCATTGGTTGATGGGTTTCTGGGCGGGCACTTTTTGAACTTTTGATCTACAGTCGACAGCCAACCTTTATTCTTTGCTTTCCAATTCCACTAGACAACGATGGAGGAGCAAGAGCGGCCTCGGAAATTAGCCAAACTGGACCACGACGAAAATATCACCCACGAGGTGATTCCCCCTGCCATGACTGAAGCTGGCGATGTTGCCGGCAATGAACCACAGCCCGCCAGCGCCCCGATTGGCAATGAACCTCTCGATCTCTCTGAATTTACAGTTCACAAGGATACAAAACCCACCAATGAATCTACAACTCAAGATGGCGCTGAAGGCGCCGCGCCTGTTATGTCGAAAAATCAAATGAAGAAACTACGCCGCGCAGAGGCTCTCGGGAAAAAGCGTGCGCTTCAAAAATCCCAGAAGAAGGAAAAGCTCAAGGAAAAGCGAGAGCAGCGCCATGCTATGATTGTGGAGGCAAGGGAAAAGGGTGGCGAAGAGGCTGTCAAAGAGCTACGGGTGTTATGGCGAGGGAACAAAGCCAAGCATATCCGATCAACACTCCTACCTCTGACACTCGTGATGGATTGCGGCTATGACGAGCTGATGTCCGACAGAGAGCGCATTTCACTGGCCGGCCAGCTCACGCGATCATACTCAGACAACAGCCGCGCACCCTTCAATGCGCACATGATGTTCTCGTCATTCGACAGATTGCTGAAACAGCGATTCGACACAATATTAGCGTCCCACAAAAATTGGAAGCGTGTTCGCTTCCTACAGGAAGACTTTGTTCGTGCAAGCGAGCTGGCCAAGGAGCAGATGACATCCGCGCGAGGAGGTCAACTCGCAGGGCCATTCGCTGATCAACCTGATGCGAAGCCCGAGGACGGAGAAATCATCTATCTCAGCAGTGATAGTGAGAATATTTTGACTGAGCTTAAACCATACAGCACTTATATTGTCGGAGCGCTTGTGGATAAAAACCGACACAAGGCTGTTTGCTACAAGCAGGCGGTTGCAAAGGGCATCAAAACTGCCAAATTGCCTATCGGGCAGTACATTCAAATGGCGCATCGTCCGGTACTAGCCACCAACCATGTCATTGAGATCATGCTTCAATGGTTGGAGCTTCGTGACTGGGGCAAGGCTTTCATGAAGGTCATTCCCATGCGGAAAGGCGGTGCTTTGAAGGAAACCCAGACTGAGGGCGAGGCTGATGCCGAGAATGATGATGAAGATAAGAACGACGAAGAACTGGAAGCAGACCAGATGAAGCAGCTGGAAGACATCGCAGCTTACGAGGACGGAAGTGAGGATGAAAATGAAGAAAAGGAATAGTTTGAGCTATCCAATGAATATCCTGTACATATTGACAACGCTAGACAGCAGGTAGTCAGCGATTGAGATGACCACACGCTTGTACCAATAGTCATGTATTGATTCACGTCTGCAGAGAAACCTATTCGTTAGTGCAGCACAAGGAGGGATTAAGGTGTGATTGACAAAAGTCCATTAGAGTCTTTATATATAAAAAAAAGAGGTGCAGACTCACCTTTGACACCCCCCTCTGATCCCAAGTGCCGATCAATTACCCTGTGGATGTGGGAGAGCGCGCCTCCCTAACGCCGGTTTGGGGGGCGAGCATACTTAAATATATACCCTCGCCCACGTCAATAGGCTACTTCGTGTACCTCCCCCATCACAGCTAACCGGAGTGGATGTGCAGGTGGCTTGATGTTTACCTTCCCTATATCAGACCTTATTTCCTGATTAGGATGTCACTAGTATTTTTTTGTAGTCTGATTATCTTTGATCCCAACTTGTGATCACCGTATTTTGGATTTTTCAAGCATTACATCCAATAAACTACATATGTATGTCACAATCAAACGAGTTGACCCTACTCCGTTATATATGTATGTATTGATCGGCTATCCCGTTTGCCGGTGCTTTCCTACCCTTTTCGAGCTTCTAAAGGTTGGAAATCTGGACCAAAGCTGCTCATCTCTTATAATTACCCTTGCTCTCCATGGCTAGAAGATGACAGAAGATAGTGAACGTCAATGTAGAAAAGTATAGTTCCTATTTAGGCTTAGGGCATGCGAGCTCGGATGGTTACGTAAGACAATTAGCCACAACAGCCACAATCTATGACGGAGGCGACTTTCATTGTGATTATTGCACTTTGAAGACAGACTTTCACTTTTTTTTTCTCGCTATCCTCTTCATTTAGGCAGGAGAGCCTTTGCTACTGGCCTCTTTCGCTCTTTCCAATATTACCTTCCCTCCACCTCTTACCTCTCTTTCCCCTCTTAATTACCTCTCGGGTTTTTGTTTGGCAGCTGCCCCTCGCAACCATGTTTATGCTCCGCAACGGTAAGCAACACGCTTTTCATGCCCCGCCAAACCCCTCCATATGAGGCCAATGTTGGTTGTTTTGCCCATTTTGAACTAGTAAACTAATCTATCGTCCTCTCTAAATTCAATAGTGAGCAAATTCTTGTTCGGTGACGCTTCGAAAGAATCCATCATCGAAATCCCCCAAGGCGAGCTGTATCTGGTCCGACCACAGTCACCTAAAGGATACTCTGAGCTTATCTTCAAGGACGCTGCTGCGACAATCCGACGGACCGGTCAGGACTTTCAATATCAGCTTGTCATTCAAAGAGCCTATGAAGAGGGTGAGGAAGAACTCGCGGACGACGACGGCGAGCAAGGCGCGGGTGACAGCCTAGATAAGGACGAGAAGGTTTTCCTCCTGGACCAAACTCTCCACTTTCGCTCTGAACTCCGTGACGGAGGCGCAAAGATATTGGCCTGGGATGACCTGAGCGGCGACGCTGGTGATCTCTTTGAATTTATCTGCGACCCTTCCGTCCCATCGGATAAAGTTGCCACTTTCGAGCTTGCCGCCCTCCAGTGTCAGTACGAACGCAAACACCGCCGCAGTGCACAGAAGGCTACAGAAGCGGAGTTGCAGGAGTTCTCATACAACGAAGAGAAGCCCCTTCCATCTGCGAGTCCGGTTTCTTCGCCAACCACGAAGGCACACCCAAACTCTCTGACGGCAGAAGATTCAGCTGCAGCTATGGCACGAGATGTGGAGTACGCTCAGTCTAAAGGACAGATCAAGACTGCCACTCTCGAGGAGCAACCGACTACTGCCCCGCCGTCTGTAGCCCATCCGGAAGCCAAGGAGATTCTCTGCAAGGAAAATGCTGAGCTCCATTTGTTCGACTTTTCTACTGGAACCTTCGTGCTCCAGGATTCAGAAATCGTTGCAACTGTCTCTGAGGTTGGTACTTGGCAGTACTGGCTCCAGATTGCTGGAAAAGATAAAGAGTGGCTAGGACAGGCTGTCGTCGCTGATATCAATCCCGTCTTCAACTTCGAATACCTCTCGTTTATTTTCAACCACTACGGTGAAGATGGATCGGCCTACTCATGGCTTCTGCGATTCAAGGACCAAGCCTCGGAAGAACGGTTCCAGGAGGGTCTGATGCAAGCGCTATGGGAACAGCTCAACGAGCTGAAGTGGACTAAGGTTAAGGAGAATGATCGAGAGTATGTTCTTGATGCCTTCCAGGATCTTACCATGGAGGACGCCGATGCCAAGGAAGAGGAAGAACTCGAGAAGGAAGAAGAAGAGGCTGAGGAGGAATACGACGACGACCAGGACGATGCTCAGCGCAGTGAACACTATGACAGCGATGAAGAGGAAGAAGATGTTGTGACTCGCGATGCTGATGGAAACGTCAACTCGCAATTGGCAGTCGGCTACAAGCATGACCGATCATTCGTTGTGCGCGGGTCCAAGATCGGTGTCTTCAAGCACACCGCTCATAACAACCTTGAATTCTCCACAACTATTTCAAAGGTCGAGACCCCTAAGGGCAACCTTTTCAGCCCCAAGAAGGTTATGCTTCACGCTGAGGATCAGAATATGATTCTTCAGAATGGAGATGATCCCAACTCGCTGTACAAGATGGATCTAGAGTACGGTAAAATCGTTGATGAATGGAAGGTCCACGACGATATTGCCGTAGAGACATTTGCTCCCGAAAATGTAAGCTACCTCGCAGATGTTGAAATATCTCTATGGATACACTGACCAAATTCGCAGAAATTCGCACAAATGACCGCGGCACAGCCTTTCGTTGGTGTCTCCAAGAACGCCCTCTTCCGCATCGATCCTCGTCTCTCTGGCAACAAGCTTGTCGATTCCGATCTGAAGCAGTACGCCAGCAAGAATGACTTCTCGGCTATGGCTACCACTGAGAAGGGATACCTTGCTGTCGCGTCTAACAAGGGTGACATCCGCATGTTCGACCGCCTGGGCATCAATGCCAAGACTCATATCCCAGCTCTCGGCGAGCCGATCATCGGTCTTGACGTGTCTGCAGATGGACGCTGGGTGCTGGCGACTTGCCGTACCTACCTTCTTCTGATCGATTCACTGCAGAAGGAAGGCAAGAACGAGGGCAAGCTTGGATTTGAGCGTGCTTTCGCCAAGGACTCGAAGCCTCAGCCTCGTCGTCTCGGCTTGCAGCCCGCACACGTTGCCCAGTTCCAGCACGAGACGAAACAGCCTCTCTCGTTCACCACGGCACGCTTCAACACTGGTGTCGACTCAACGGAAACCAGCATCGTCACTGCTACCGGTCCTTTCATCATTACATGGAGTATGAAGAAGGTTATTGCCAACCGTAAGGACCCGTACACTATCAAGCGGTATGGTGAGAATGTCATGGCCGATAACTTCCGGTTCGGCTCTGACAAGAATGTCATCGTTGCTCTGCCAAACGAGGTCAACATGGTCGCCAAGCGTACATTCCAGAAGCCCACGCGCGAGAGCATCGCTGGTCCCGCCACACCAAACCGTGCGCGCAGCGGATGGAGCAGTCGTCTTAACAAGGAGGACATTGTCAACTCACCTTATTAGTCACATTCCTTACCCCTTCTCTCACCGGCCCCTGGACTTTCCTCTGTTTTTGTACCATTACCCATACCCCCTGATGTTTTGTGCTTTTCCATCTTTTCTAATGTTCTCGAATTTCTTTGCGGGGTTTTTGCTCTTCTGACGCCGCTGGAGATCTCCTCTATACCGGGGTCCTCTTCACATTCACTACTCTTTATCTCTCGCGTTATTAGAGATTGCTTCTCGGGCGATATTAATTTGGAGCTAAACGGTGGCACTCGTGAAACGAGATCATATTTTGTAGGTAGCTAGCTAGTTCAGACAATTCACAAATAAAATATCCAACAGTTAATCACTTGTCAAGATGGAATCTTCTCTCTCAACGTTTTCATCATCTTACTTATCATCCCCCATCTTCATACCTCTATCTTTCCACTCTCTATCCCCTCACGACACTCATCACAAACCCAAGCTGTCAATTTAAGAGGTTTCCCACGCGCACAACTCTGCTCCACCACCTTGGCAGTGTCCATTTCTTCTACAATAAAGTCCACCAACAGCTTATAATTTGTTGACTAAACGCTGTCCAAGAATTCACCAATTAGCCTGGAGAATTCGGCTGCGTATTGAAACAAGAATCCATGCCCTGAATCCGCATAAATGTGCAACTGTGCATCGGAGTTGATCAAGTTCTGCCACAGAACATAGCTGTTGTGAGTGGGAATGGCAGCGTCATTGCTCCCTAATGTAAAAGTCCAGTGTCAGCTCATATCTTCAAAGATCGTACGGGGATCCTTACCGCCTGCAACCAGAACGGGGATATTAATCTCATGGAGCCGGTTGAAAGAGCCGTCTTTGGCCTGGTTCGGATCAAGGAAGTTCCCAAAGGCACCGAATTGCCTGTTAGTCCCTTCCGATCCAAGAAATCCAGACCGGTTCTTTCTAGCAGAGGCGATACGGTCCCATACTTCACCTCCGGCCTTCAAGCAGTTCTGTGACGCCCCAAAGAAGGCAGTAATGTAGGCTTGGCGCAGGTCTTCTTCAGTCTCGGCATCTTTCAGCATAAGGACCGAGGGGTCCTGGCTTGGAGGAATGACTCCTTGGCCTATGCTAGGACTTGTGCCTGTTAGTATGAGCCGACGGATGAGCTGTGGTGCATTGAGTGCGACGAGCTGAGCAGCGAATCCTCCCATCGAGAAACCGAAGAGATCGGTCTGTTTCACTTCAATCGCGCTGAGAACATTGATGACGTTCTGTGCCCAGTCTTTAATGGCTAATGGGACCTCGCCGTCTGATCGACCGATGCCAGCATTGTCAATCAGGATGATGGGCCGGGTGGCGCCAAGCGGGTTGATGAATGCCGGGTCCCAATGATCCATCGTGCCCCTACGTCGTTGTGAGCACTTGATGTCGGGTAAGAATTCTAGAAATACATGTGTACTTACCTGAAGTGCACGAGGAGAGTGAGAGGAATGCCTGTTTCGGCACCGAATTTTCGATATGCAAAACGAATTGGGCCAACATGAACGTACTGATCCACTGCTTCCTCGTAGTAAATTGGAGCCATATTGACGGATCTAAGTTTACGCTGGCGGAAAGGAATGAACTTGAGGCAGGGAATAAGAAATGCAAATATACTGTGTCAAGATTGAGTGTTCGTTCAAGTTACTCCTAGAATAAAAGAAGACAAGGGGGAGAAGAATGAGGGTGGCTTTTATATATATTACCTGGCTCCGTTTGGGTACGATGACAACAGAACATAAAGTGAACGAACCTCAACGCACTTCAAGTTACGAATTATTCACAGATATCCCACTGACTAGTATATTAAGAGATAGATTTACAGAGCTATCCAACACGGAGCTATCCTTGTTGAGGCTCTACCTAGTTACACTACGTCTCTTATTAGTAACTGCATGTCACCCTCTTCAAAATCAATTTGTTACGATAGTGCACCATAAATACCCTAATAATGAAAAAGATTATGTGCATAGCAACACCATATACGGGTAAAGCGGACTGCTCAGCATTATGGGGCCCTATGACGTGCATCCGAGGACCTCGGGATGGTCCCGAGGCTCGATTTATACCTTCTTATACATACTACGATCTTAAATTTGAACCAATTAAAACGAATACCGGGCTGCTTTCCATTCATCTTCCGTGGGTAGTCTGTAGCCGGTGATATGGGGGGAGATCGTAGAGGAATTTAGAGGAATTCTTAAAAGGTTCGAACAAGATTTTCTACTCTCTCAGTATACCAGAAGTTTTATACTACCTGTCTCTATTACTTTCGAACACACGACACCTGTTTAAAAAATATTTCGTTTGTCCCATAAGCGACCATCTGAACAGTAAGGTCCTATAGAGCTTGCTTTTATTTTCGTCATATTAATAATACCTTGTTCGCAGATGTCCTCCGAACATATCGCAGTCCATCTTGCACAGCGCCCTGAGACAAATATTGTCCCTGGAGAAACATTTGCTGTACAGAAGCATGCAACCCCTAGTCCAACAAATCTTCAGGACGGCGATGTCCTCCTAGAAAGCCTTTATCTAAGTCTGGATCCTGCTATGCGTGGCTGGTTGGACGACAAACCTTCATACATTCCTCCTGTTGCAATTGGTGAAATCATGCGTGGCCAGGCTTTGGGCCGTGTAACCGCCTCGCGATCACAGAAGTATCCAGTTGGCTCCTATGCTGTGGGTATGGTAGGCTGGACTGAGCAGGCAATTGTCAATGAAAGCTCTCTGCAAGCCGTACCTACACCCGATCCTGCCCATGGCAGTCGCTTGACCGATAGTCTGAGCGTTCTTGGCTTCACAGGAATCACCGCGTACTGGGGCATGGTCGAAGTCGGCCATGTTAAGCCCGGCGACTTCGTGGTTGTTTCTGGAGCAGCAGGTGCAACAGGATCTATCGCTGGACAGATTGCAAAGATCAATGGTGCAACTGTTTACGGAATCGCAGGTTCGGATGAGAAGTGTCGTTGGTTGGTTGACGACCTCAAATTTGACGGGGCGTTGAACTATAAGAGTAAAGACTTCGCTGAACAGTTCAAAAGCATCACGCAGGGAAAGATCGATCTCTTTTACGACAATGTCGGAGGAGAAGTTCTTGATTTGGCTCTTATCTGTGCTAACAAGAACGCTCGATTCGTCATGTGCGGTGGTGTCAGTCAATTCAATGAACGTGAGGTTCAAGGGCCGAAGAACTACCAGATGATATGGAGAAGCCGGATCCGCATGGAAGGCTTTATCATCTTTGATCATTTGGATAAAGTACCTGAAGTCAGACAGAAGCTCAGCCAGTGGCTTGCGGAGGGTCGGTTGCAACGGAGGGAAACCATTGTGCGTGGGGGTTTATCGCAAGCAGAAACTGCTTTGATGCAATTGTATCAGGGTGTGAATACTGGTAAGCCTTTCTTTCTAGGGCTAGGTGCCTACCTAATCCCTCCAAATCCATGTGCTAAACATCTCACAGGAAAACTGCTTGTTGAGGTTAAAGCTCCTTGAGCTACTAAGATCTTCATGGCGATACTTTGAATCTCCCTGTATAACTTACCATGAAGTCTATGAGGCTCTAGATTGAACCACTTTCAGGCTATCTGTCATATCAAAGCCCCAAAGTTTCCAGTGTCTCCATGTATTTCTTGATTTGGCAGGTTTGTTCAGATCGGCGCATAGTATATGGTCTTTGACATAGCGCGGATAGTCCATGTTCAATACTAAATTATCCAAAATCATCCATGTATCGGTAAAATTCATATCAGAACAAATTATAGATTTTCAAGCTGAATGTTGACCTCGGGATTCCAGAGGATTCTAATATTTAATCAGGAGTCTGTTAATAAAGTGCCATTTGTGACGGACTTGGGCTTTGTTGGGCTTTTAATATCGCAATATTTCATTGAAAAATGAATAATTTAAATGTTCTTGCTCTCACTGTTTCCATCCATTCATTACGGACTATGAACGTCAGTATAAGATAGATCGGGATCGGTTTCACTAGTTTGCTCGAATACAATTTATCTGACCTCGAAACGTTGCCTCGTTTTCAACATTGAATCTTATTGAAGCATTTTATGTGTATGAAAGGTTTTATGTATCTGAACAAGTATATTCAGATATCAAGCTCATTTAGGGATATTTAGACCTTCCGTTTCCCATTCCAGCAATGTTTCGGAACTAGACAAAGTGTCTGGATGGTCCAGGCCGATTGTTTCTTTTCGCTTGGAGAAGCAGTTTCGAAGCAAATTGATAGCTTCGGTATCGCGACCCAAAGATTTCCAGATCAACGCGAGATCAGACATACTACTCAGCGTGGAAGGATGATCCTCGCCGAGCTTCGCCTTCCTTGTTTCTAGCACCTGTACCTCAAGCCGCTCGGCCTCCTCCCACCGGCCCTGTTTCCAGTATGTCGCCCCTAGACTCGCCATACTTGAAAGCGTATCGGGATGATCCTCACCGAGCTTCGCCTTCCTTGTTTCTAGCACCTGTACCTTAAGCTGCTCGGCCTCCTCCCACCGGCCCTGGTTCCAGTATATCACCGCCAGGCTCGCTATACTTGAAAGCGTGTCGGGATGATCATCGCCGAGCTTCACCTTATAGGTCTCTATAACCTGCACTTGGAGCTGCTCGGCCTCTTTCCACTGACCCCCAATACTGTATGCGCTTGCCAACATCCTTGTGCTATCCGTAGTATCTTCGTGTTCATCACCTAATAAAATCATTCTTTGGTGTCTTGATTTAAATGCCATTTCTTTTGCATCTGCAAAATCACCACATTCGCGGGCATACCATGCACCTCTGTGAAGTAACTCAGCCCATTGCAGCCGAGCCTTGGGTAATGATGGCTGTTGTGACATTGCAGATTTGATATGAGGAAAGAATGGTCTGCATCTCTCCCAATTTTCGTATTTTCCATCGAATAGAAACTCCTCTTCCAGGGCACTAATGTATTTAACATTCCATTGGTCTATTTGTCCATGAGATTTCAACCACGCGCGCATACTGAGCTGCACAAGCCGATGTATCGTGAAGAAAGTGCTATTCTCATTGATAGATATCAATGAATAGCTCCTTAGTGTTACGATATCATCTTCAAAATCAGGATCCGTATCAGACTCAGATATCTCTCCGTCACTGGAGTCACTTAGGAGTTCTAAGGTTGATTTATAGTTGGCCTCGTGCTGATGCTGGATAAGATTCTCTGGTATCCCTTGCCGATCGAAGAAGCTCATAAAAGAAAGCAGATCCGCCGCAGATGGCTTGTTTTGGCGTATATGATCAAATGAGATTTGCCAAGTCAATAAAATTGAGTTCTTTGCTTCCCAGTCCCGGGAAATATGCCCTGCCTCTTTTTTTAGAAGCCTTGTCGCTTCGCGGTCACTCTTTTGAAAATCTCTTAAATATTACGACACTGAATAGCGAGGCGCGCGATTTCGAATATAGCTAGCGGCCTGAACGATCGCTAGCGGCATGAAATCTAGCGCTTCCACCAAATGTTGACTTTCTTGGCTATGGCTTGGTTTTTCAAGTTTTCTTTGGAGAAGCTCTTGTGCTTCGGACCTTTCCATAGGCTTGACCTCAACAAGGCCGTTATGATTGACCATCCTTAACGCGATCTCTCGAGGGCGACTCGTGATAATGACAAATCCATTTCGGCTTCTAGGAATATATTCCAACAGTGGCTTTTTCGGGGCGTTCGTTGGGTTTTTTGTCGAATCTCCCTTGTCTGCTGCCGAAGACGAGGACGAGGAGAGCAGCTGATCGTCATCCAAATTATCGAGGATGCAAACCCATTTCCCTATCTTCTCATCTCGGAGCCAGCTTTCGACGAGTTCAAACAAGTTCACTTTGGGATCCTGGCGACCAGGAATTTTCACTTGGTCCGCGATATCCCGAAGACTTTCCTTGAACCGAGCTTCATTACTCGCATGTATCCAGAAAACCCAGGTTTGCGGTGATTGGGATCGGACCTGGTAGGAGTATGCGATAGCGAGTTGCGTTTTCCTTCGAGTTGGAGGTAAGTAATATGCCACGTAAGAGCCGCTCTATACTTACCCGACACCACCGAGACCAACCAGCGCTATTCTCGACCCTGGGACTGAGCTTTCCTCTTGAATCCGATCAAGTAGTGTATCGCGACTGACAAAGTCCGGGTCTTGCGCGAATGGGACAGTCGATAGTGGACTGGCTGAAGTCTCCGGTCGCTCTAGGGTAGGAGCCGGTTAGTCAACCCTGACCCCCTGGAGCCAGGGCCCCGACCTCAGGAGTGTCCAGTCCCTGACTCACCTGGACGTAGACTATCTATCGGACCAATCTGAACTCCAATCTGGACATGATGGTTTAGGTCACGGAATGATGTCGATGCCATGATCAATTTCGAAAGTAGCTGGTAAACAGCCCTGGACGCAGTTTGGTCGGCTTCTAGTACGCGTGATTGCTCTTCAATCTCAGGAATGGCTAGAGCTCGCTGGGCATCGTGGTCTTCATCTTCACTTTCATACTCAGGGTTTTCAAGTTCCTCCTTGTGCTGCAAAGCTTCATCTTGTTTTCTCTTTGTAAGTTCGATGTGCTCCTGGATAGAAGTCTCGAGAGCTCGCAGTTGCTTCTCTGTCTCTTCTCGCGCAGTTTTTGAAGCATTTTCGCATCGGACTATGATAATCCTTCAATCAATTACTTAGCAAATTCCCTCGAGCACAAAGCTTGATCACGTACAACTGAGCGCTGTCGATGGCGAACTGGACAATAGCCTGACAAGTAGCGACCTGCGTCCTGAATGTCTGGATCTTTTCTTTGTTCCATAAGCCGACTGACAGCCGATCCCTCAGAGAAAGCTTCGTGGAACTGGAATGCTTTGTCCATTGCTCAAGCTTCTTTGTGAATCCGGCGCATGCCTGGCCGCATATATTCACGGCTTCAGCGACACCAGTCTTCTCCAACACCTCTCTCGTTTCGGCATAAGTCGTGCTATCAGAAATCTGAAGATTCTCGAGAGCGGCAAGCGGGCGCTCTATGGCTTCCAAGTTAGATGTAACATCTTGCATCACATCGTTCGCTTCGCTAAGGCTATTGATAAGACGCCGGAGGTTGCTGATTCTGGATAAAGCGAATTCTGTGATTCCAAGAGCACCGAGGGTGAGGCTGAAGGGATCCATCTGGTTTAGGTTGAACGGGACAGGTGAGACTCGTATGCCCTTTTAGCAAAGCTAATGTCTATCAAGCAGGAGTAGTTGTTGATCTTTTGGCCTAACGTATTTCACATGCGAGCTGCGCACACAAGCGAGCTGCGCAGTCGAAACACCATAGTAAAATCGATGTATGCTACACTTATATCTCCACAACCAACCGTTTTTTATTAACAGTAGTTTGCCGATAGAGATTGATAAGAATTTTTAGTAGTATACATCAATTTCGAGTGGATTAAAAACCTGCATTATTATGGTATCGAAAATTACGTCTCTAAATCCTGTGAATTTATATATCTCAGTCATGAATTTCTTAACCTTGCTTAAATTCCCCCAAACTCCTAAAAGGAGCAAGATACTACATGAAAAGCATTAGGCTATAAGGAAAAGTTCGCAAAGACAAGCATTGTTGAGATATCTAGTTGTAATTTATCGCATTTACTATGGGTATCGGACTGCGCAGCTCGCTTGTGTGCGCAGCTCGCATGTGAAATACGTTATTCTAAGATGTTAGGAGCGCTCTAGCATTGTTAAATAATGGTCGCAATTATGCAGCATAAGGTGCACCTATCGTGCGGCTGAAACAGAGGTGGGGAGTTTATGCGTAGCAGATCTAGTATATACAAACAGGGCAGATGGCACACGCCAAGTCAGAGATCCCCCTATCGGGTTCCATGAAATTCCACTGTTCGTATGCATAGTGTCATCATACGTTGCATAGTTCTGTAATATACCCCGCGCATTTCACTACTGTGTCCCTCAATACAATGCGGCCAGCTCAATAAAAGATCTGGGTTGAGGCCTTAGTGGTGGGCCCAGGAAAGAGTTTCTTCAGAAGTGACGTCTTCAAAGCGGAAACAATGACCTGGATTCAGATCATGTTATTCTTGCTTACCTGCCCAGAATGGACTTACACTTACCACCTATAAGGTCATTCGAGTTCTCATCAACCTCCGAGCTTGGGAAACCGGTCTACCGCAGTTCGTTCTTGTTCAAAGAGAAAATGAGATTTCCATTTGAATCCTCTGTGATAGCGTTTGTGAACCGCCGTTTCTCATCTTTGGACAAGAGTCTGGAATTGTCTGATGTTCGATTTGATTAGCTTTAATCTTCACCGAAGCTCGAGGGTAGCCAGGTACAAACCAAAGTCGGGGGTAGCCCATATCACGCCCTTGTAGTGAACACGAGGAAATAACATGCCTTCCCAAATGATTTTAGAACACAGAATGAGGGTCACGAGAAACCATGCATTGAAAAGGAACGATTGCGCAAATAGGGTGGATGTGCTTAATCTTTTCCCGGCGGTTCCCTCATCAGAGTCGATGTAAGAACTGTCCCCCAGGCTAATATAGATAGGTTTCACTTTGGCTGTCGATCATTCTCCAAAAGCATTGAATTCAGGCCAACTACGGACTACTTCGCTTTTGTTTCTGAAAGGCCTTCAAGGATCTTCTGCTACAGTATATATGACAGGGAACATTCAATATAAAATCCCTTAATTGCAGTCAGAATAGAGCCTTTATGCTGTTGCATAGGCAAATATATACACATACTACGTCATCCCAAGGTCCGCTAAGAGATCCCGAAATATAATTCCCGAGGTCGGGATTCTCCTCGGTAGGATCCCGAGGGTTACAACAATTATGTACATAACATGTTAATAACGGGATATTCTTTCGCTTTGTTTTAGCCATCAATGTCACAATATTCCTTTCACATAATAATTTGAAACTGTTCTTGCTCTTACAACTTCTATCCATCATCACAGCCCCACTCGTCACCATGAGCGTCACTACCACCGTGGTCAAAGGGCCTTTAAATCTCGTCAACCCACCCTCGATAGTCACCACAAACCCAATCCTCTCATGGTACGCTAAATATGCAGTGGACTACAGCATCGCCAAAACCACCACACCCCCGACCAAATACTATGCCTCTAACGCGACCCTGGTGAACACTGATCGGTCTATCATCTCTGGAGCCGCAGAAATTTGGGACTACTATATCGAGCTCTACGGACAATTCGAGCGTTGTGCCCATGACCTGATTTCAATCTCTGTTTTGAGTGACGAAACGTCTGGCAAGCATACCATGATTGTGCAAACTACGAACAATTTACATCTCAAAGATGGAAAGGGAATAGTCCCTCTGCCCCAAGCTTTTGTCTATGAGATTGCCGAAGCTGAGGAGGGAGCTGGCATGGATGACCTGCAGATCTGGGAAGTAAAATGTTACTTTGACAAGGGATTGCTTGAGAGGGCGGCCAGCACCTAAGTCTGTTGAAGAGAATTGTATATTGTACCCATCCGACGAACCTGAGGATGAGACTTTCCAGAAAATGAAAGTAAAAGACCTGGCAATCTTCATAACACATGTTTTTCTAGTTAACGAGAAGATAAAATCACAGTGGCTTTAAAGCGTTACGGACCACAAATGACGCGACCAGAAATGCCGCGCCAGAGTATTTTAGACGTGAATTCGCAACCAGATTTGACAGTTAGAAGCGTATAAAAACTGTAAATGGTAACAAACTTCAGAAAGGGTAGAGCACTATCAATATTCATGAACTGAATAGTACCTAATATTTACTAAAAGGACCGGTAGTTTTCGTATGTTGCTTGGAATGTTCATAAATTCCTCCATCTGCTGGGTCTCTTGTCTTTTTATTACAACCTACCCTAGACTGGTGAGTTACACACTAGGCCAAAAAGACCACTATATCTATAATCTGAGCATCACGCTCAGATATTCCAGGCTCCGATATATATATAGTACGATATGTCACTTTTCTTCCTTTACCCTCCCTGTTAATAGGATCTAGGATCCTAATACACTCTTTCGATTAACAGAACTAATGCGTAATAATTATTAGCTATGGTAAACAATACGTTAAAATGCAACTCCTGTCTTTGTGTACGTCCCGGATACAGAAATGGGTATTCCTCGGAAATAATTAACATGTTGGTCTTGTATATTTAACTCTCACAACTTCACAGGTACAATTTGAAAGTACATTGTCAAATGCATCACATATTTGACATATATCTTGCATAAAGATACGATAATGTCTGGCAAGTCTTGTTTTCCCCTTTCTATTTCAGTACGCACCCCTTGCCGCTTTTTGCACACTGAGTAAAAGTATAAAGATGAGCATGCCCCTAAGCCTTTAAATGAAAAATGAAATTGTCCAATCTGCTGCTCATTCTCCATTAGGTGACAAGGGTTAGCAGGTGCCCATGTATATAGAAGAAGGTGCGGGGACGTGGCGCAGTCCTCACGTCTACGTTCCAAGGTTGGTGCCCAACTCAAGATCGGCAGAACACAGCCCTCTCAGCCACCATTGATTACTTCCCCAGGCGCTATAAAGTAGAGTCTTCATGCTAAAGCCTGTTTAAAGTCCACTGAACTTTTGATTTCAGGTACCTACTCAATGACAGAAATGACAAATAGCGGCGGGGCTATCCCGGCGGAGATCGTTGAACCGTCCGATATCGAAATTGATGAAAATGAAGGACGCATCATTGTTCCGGACACCGGACATAGAATAGATTTTGGAGAGAGAAATGCAGGACTTCAAGTTGGCGTCAACTATGGCAACATAACGACCACTTTTGCTCCCTCACAAACCAACGTTGCCCTCTCGCAGACAATTTTTGGAAACCTATTTATCCAGGATTATCAGAAAGTGGAACTCCACTTGACGAGCAATACATTGTTAAAGAAGGCTCGCTTGCAAACAGGAAGAAGAGTAAGCAGTGTGGTCTTTCTGAATTGTCGAAAATGCTTTCTGACGGGTCATTAATACCAGAACGCAATAAACAACCGCAGCTACTATGAACCATATGTAGCGGTGAAAAACAGAGCCATTAAAAGGCGCCTTATTTTTCTGGCTGGGCGTTTTTCTTTCCTGGATTGCGGATTTGCAGAGTACTTTCAGTCCGTTGTACCGTCTTTTGACCAAGATTATGTCCAGCAACGCCTCAAAGAGATTCGACAAGTCATTTCAAGAGGACAAATCTCCAATCCATCCAACGTGGGAGATTCAGAAATATTCTATGTTGGGGATTTGGGCGAGTTCTGTGAGGCTGTGTCCAAAACATGGAGTCATGATTCCGATCAGGCCGGCGCGGGAACCCCGAAATTCATTCCTACTCATCGACGAGATCAAGAGATTTTCGAATACCTACAGGACGCCTTTGAGACAGGTTACTGGGAGCTGATGCTGGATATTTTCCTACAATGGCGCAAGATCTCCAAATCCCTCAGTGGCGACGTTGTCCTTAAGGTCCTGGATAGCCTGGAAAGGGAAATCAGAACTGCTCGAAGTCAACTCCTTGATGAGATCGAAGCTCAATCAGAGGCCTCGATAGATGATCTGGCTCCAATATTGGAAGGAATCGATGCACGAATCGCTGTTTTGAGTACCGTGGGGGACTTGAACGAGCCCCCTGTGCCAGAAATGCAGGAGGTAGCGACTTCACAAGTCCATTTGTTACATCATTCTCATCATCAATCCGAGGAGTCTTTTGCTATCAAAACTTCAGAAGTACTAAGAAAGGAAAAGGTAATTTTACGAGCTTGAACTTCATGACATTCCTAACTTACTTGACGTCAATTTAGGAAAATGTTGGACTCATTGCCTTGATCCTCTTATTCCTCATTGCAGCAATAGTTCCGGGATACAAAGCATTCTCAATATCCATGAAGTCTAAAGCACCAGGCTCGGTCCAAGATGCAGATTTCTGGTATCTCATTCAGAGCAGTATCATGTCTGTGTTGGGCAACCTAACTATGGTTATCCCACTAATGAAGAAGTCATGGTTTTCGCCGGCTTACAACACGATGTGGATTTTCTTCTTCTTGGGGGTGACTTTTGCAATCATTTCAATTGTCATATACCCTTTTTTGAATACCGGTTGGAGCTCTATGCTGGCTTTTTTTGGTTCTATTGCTTCCGCGGCCTCGGTGCTGGTCATGACGCAGGCTGCCGCCAGGAACGTGCCTGGAAAAATCAAAGAGGATTAAGGGCTGACTATAGACACGGTTTTGCGGGGTTTGAAATCGAAAAATCGTAGTCTTCGACATAGACGCCACGACCAACGCAGTGTAGCGCTAGTGTTGACTCCAGACTAAACAGGAATTGATACATAGATCTAGCGCGAATAGTATATGATGAAGGCCAGGCTAATTTAACCAAAAGCAAGCTCGGTCAAATTCAGAGAGCTATTCAACGATTTACTCTAGCAGTTCAATTGGTAACTCGAAGATATATGGCGAAAGGGGCTTTCTGACTAGCTGAGCCAATGACAAAGTCTGTCCCGCTTTTCGAAGCCAGCTTGAACTTAAAGCTAAGGAAAATATAGCTTTCACATAGCTAAAAGATACAGGGACTCCTTTCAAACAAGACGTCGGGAAATTATGCAATGAGACAAGTTTCAATGGATGACATGGAGCTACTGGATGCTCGTATGATTGGCCTCTATCAGGAATTCGATACCTAACCCATCTGATTTAGGACAAAACGTTGGAGCTTTCTATGATAGTCCCCCGGCAGCAGAGATATTTTGAATGGAGAAATCATGTAAAATCAATCGATTGCTGACTTGCTTTGGTACAGAGAGTTGTTAAATATTGAGTAATATCGTACGCATCCCTGCGTTGTAGAACTGAGACATATTCAACAAATTTATGTCCGATTCTCCCACCTAAGATGCCTAATATCAAATCAACCGTTTATATTTCACACTTGCGGCTTGATGCCTGAGGAATCTTGTCTGGGGCAGGCTGTAGGACTGACTTGGAGAGAAACGCGGAATCGCAGAGGCGGAGATAGAGGGGGGAATATCTGCGAGGGTCAAGGGCGCACGGTCGAACTGAAAAACTCTCAGAGCCAAGAAATAGGTAGTGAGTTCCAGGACTAGGTCGCAGTACTCAGTTTCAGAAGGGATACCCTCCAGGAAACCAGTAGTCCGTTCCTTGTCAGCATCAACATAAGAGTCCGAGGGTAGAGTTCAAGAATATCCACGGGGCTTGGGTATCATCGCCGACATACCATGATCTGGGCCAACGAGGGAAGTAGAAACAATAGAGATAAATGAGATGTGTGGTGATTTCTAGTTTCAGAGCGGAGCACACATCGATATTAAAAGCGGGTACGAGAGTTCAAGCGCAAGATGGCTGGTAGATATAAAGATAGAAATGTTAAGAGGGAGAAATATACGTAGACAGTAACGTAGTATCCATGATTTTGATTCATGAGAAGCATTATAACGACGTACATAGGCAGGACTTTATAGGTCCAGATGACAAAGGAAAGCAGAACAAACAGGTCTGAGAGACTGAGCGCCATCATTCTAACAGTCTTCGGAGTTTATCTTTTGCCACACTCTGACTCTGGTTGAAGCCATTTGTCGTCTATTCCTTTCCCCTGTTGTCCAATTATGAACAGGATCCAGCTCACTGCCATTGTCTTCCTGCACCGCGCTCATATATGGCATATTAGCGCAACGAAGATCTCAGGACTTTATAAGAGAGTAGAATGGTCTGATAGAGGATATTTTGGGAGTGGAGAAGGAACAGATGTAGGTGTTTATAGAGGAAGATGGTAGCATATCATAACACATGGTACTCCCAGGTGGTGCTCGTTTGGAGCTTTGTCACAGGCTTGAAGTTAGATAGCCTAAGGCTGTTGTTTGCTATAATATAAGATGCACTCTTCTTCTCTTCCCTTCTTTCTTTTCCTTCTTCCCATCTTCCCACATTCTCTATCCATCCTGCCATCAACCACAGAAAACATCTTCTATCTTTATTCCTACCTGCTACCTATCTACTACATCTAAATCTCACCATGCCTGATCCAGCTGAGCCTGGCAGGGGTCTGTCTCAGCCACAGACAGACCCAGTCTCCCTCCTTGATACGATTGACAAACTCCGTACCCTTGGTGTGGGTGAATTTGTTAGCTTGCCACAGATGATTGTCTGTGGTTCCAAGTCTAACGGTAAGCGCTCTATTATTGAGGCGATTTCTCGCGTGGGATTTCCAATGAAGAATGATCTCTACTCTGGGTTCGTTATGGAAATCATATTACGCCGCCATCCAACGCCCCGCTTCAAAGTGAGCATTGAGCCTGGCCCATCGAGAAAAAGCGATAAAGAGCTCCAGCAACTCAAAGCATTTGAGCCCGTTGTTCATGCCAATACTGAGCAGTCAGCTTCACTCATCGGCAAAGCTACGGAATTCCTTGGACCCTCCACCGAGGGTGGATTCAGTGACGATACCATGAAAGTCGAGGTTTCTGGTCCTGATCAGCCTGATTTGACTCTCATTGATATGCCTGGGTGTTACTTCACAGAGGGCACGGATGACAGAAGTCAAGCAAAGGACCCTGGCCGTCTTCACATGGAAAAATACATGCTGAATCCACGAAGCATCATCCTCCCTGTGGTATCGGCGAAAATCGACATTTGTGTTCAGAAGATACTCGATTTCGCGGACAAATACGATGCAGAACGCAACCGGATTATGGGGATTGTTACTCATCTAGATACGCTCGAAGCATTATCCGACGAGGAAAGGTTATGGATGAAGGCCGTCAAAGAAACAACAACCGAACTGCCTCTGGGATTGCATTTGGTATGCACCCGATCGTACGAGACACGCAATGTGCAAGACGAAGAAAGAGAGGAGAAGGAGAAGCAGTTTTTCGAGGGCGGAGAGTGGAAAACCATGTCGAGGCAATCCGTCGGGACTGGTAACCTGCGGCGTCGGCTCAGCACTCTTCTTATGAATCACGTTCGAAACAGCATCCCTGGTCTGATTTCTGAACTCGACAAAATCATTCTAAAGAACCAATCGGAGCTTGCCAAGCTCAATATTCCTCGAGAAACTATTCATCAACGGAAAGCACTGTTATTCAATCTCAGTAGTGCTTTCCAGCGCATAACCCAACAAGCATTGAATGGTATGTACACAGACGACTTCTTCGCTATCTTAGATGAAAGTGAATCCAAGGTCCACGACCCCCGGCGTCTCCGTGCTACTCTTCGTGACTTGAACGAGGATTTTGCAGATATTATGGAAATTGCCGGGTGCCGTCAATACATTTATGGGGTCCACGACCGGATAACCCCATTCATACACCCTCGCAACCCTTACGCCAATATCAGATGGCAGGCTCGCAGGAGCCGCTCTGAGTTCGAATCCGAGGTCAGCGAGAAAATGCGCCGCGACAGAGGAATTGAACTTCCAGGAAATGGCAATCAGCTACTAGTGGGTAGCCTGTTTCGCGACCAGTCACAGCCCTGGGAGGAAATTGCTCGAGCCCATTTGATGAAATCGTGGGAGTCTACCCTAGACTTTGTGACACTTTTGCTGGACCATCTTGCGGATGAAGGTACATCTGTGGTGATATTGCAGACTATCATTCGCCCGCAGCTTGATAGAATGGAAGAAGATCTACTGGCAAAGCTACATGAGTTGACTGCTTACTACAAGCGAGGCCACCCGTTGCCTATGAGTGGAACCTTCTTGCGAGCTGTTCCATTGCCTCTTGATCGAAGCTTTCTTGCTAAGATGCAGAAATCCAAGAATGATCGCCTGCTGGCCAACCTCCAAAAGAGCCTTCCTTCAACTATGAACAATACATTCAACAAGGAAGAGCTTAAGGTGGCAACTCAGAACCTGGAATCATTAAGCAATCGGTCCGCGGCTTCAGACATCGTTGACCAATTTCAAGCATATTACAACGTGAGTTGGGATAACCAATTAATGAGTATACAGTTTTACTATCTGCATTATACTGACGAGAAACAGACCTCGCTTTTGATTTTCATGGACAACATTGCAACACTTGCGATCGAAAATTGTCTTCTCGCTCCTCTGGATAGCGTCTTGACAACTCAAACAATCACCAACATGGAGGACAACCAAATCGAGGAACTATTTGCTGGTGTGCACGAGGGTGTACAGAAATCACGAGACTACGTGACCTGCGAGCTGGCGAAGTTGCAAACTGGGTTGCGAGAATTGAAACAATTCAACATTGCGAATCAAAGCACACTGTCTACTGGAACAATTGAGAATCCAGGATCAAGCTCGGCTTATGGGTGTTCACCTCTCCACTCATTCCTCACGCCTCAAGGAATTTTATGCAATGGTGCACCTTCCAATCCATTTGGAATACTATGCATGGATTCAACAGTTCGAGGCGAGAACGGCATACCCGGGTATCAACTTTCGTGGCCATACAACCCGGCATTCGACAAGGAGGCTTCAATCACACCTTGTCCCAGTGGTCCACTCGGCTTGAATCCCGGTATGGTCAATGCTGGAACAGCGACTGCTCCATTTGGATCTTTCTCGAGCCCGAACGCCATTCCAAGCACTTACAATTCCGGGGCACCTGCATCCTTCAAGGTTGCACCTCCACTCCCTTCGACAGCCACACCTAGCTCATTCTGGTCTCCCACGACTCATCCGTTTATTCATCCTGTTCCTTATCCTGCACCGGATAAGTTTACTCATTCTTTTCCTTATCCTACACCGGATACACGTTCTTACAACCGGTGAGTATTCAGTGCTGTTTCGATCTGACATATCACCTTGAGCAACTTGTGGCGTTTGATATGCTTTTTCCTGTTGCTCGGCTGGTCTTGTGCCAGTCTATTGTTCTTGCGCGAGAAAGTGGCTGACATGATTTAACATTCGATAGGGATATGTGTTATGATGAGAAGGAAAATCACGGTATCAATGGCATCCTGACAACCACCAACCGATACCATTCGATATGTTACCATCCCGATTTCAAATATTTCTCCCACGAGGTAGGAACTTCTCACTCCTCAATGTGACTGGTCACTGACTGTAATATAGGAACTGCGACTGGCCGATTATCAGCTCGACGCAAAGATAAAAGACCTCTTTCAACCTGCAGTGGGGAGCATTGGAAGAAATTAAGCTAGGGACAAAGGAACGAATAAGTCGTCGATTTGGCCTTGAGAATTACGGAACTTCAGTACAATCGAGAACGAAAAAGGAAGGAAGATGAGAAAAAAAGAGAGAAAAAAACAAACAAAAGAACAAAAAAAAGCAATACAGTGAGAAATGAGGGAACGGAATGATGGATATCTACAGATTGAACGCCACATTGGTTCGATCTGGGGCTTGCTTTGGAAAAATTAAAAAAAAAAAAAAAATAGCTAGCTGGTATGTAGGAATAAAGAAACTGTTCGTGTAAATTCAATGTTGTTCTATCAAACTTCATAACATCCTTGTATTTCTCCCACAAGACATTGATCATTAGGTAGACATGGGAGGCATGAAACAAGCACTCAATTAAGGCAAATGACACAAGACAGAATCAACAATGCAGAGAGGCCAGCGCCACATCGCCGTCTGGGTATTTGGAAAGCCATTAATCTGAACTACACAAACTCAAAGACCATTTTCCCGAGGTTTTCCGGGTATTCTATCTCGATGAATGCCAAAGTCCGCTCCTGTCGGCCCTGTTTATATCGAAACAAATCACTCTCTCAATACACATGTCCTCCCTGACACAGTCAACCCCTTTATACATCCAGTGCAAGGTGCCAGGCTACGTAGATGCGGTTGTTCAAGAGCCCACATACCACACTTCAACACCAAGTACATCGAACTTGACACCTTCATCGGAGAGAGGCTCATTTCCAAAGGTTTGGCAGGATGCACTAACACCCTTTTCGAGACTGCTGTCAAGCCACAATCCGTAGTGACCATCGCTATTCTCAAACATTAGCGAAGAACAATATTCCTCCCAGCAACAAAAACCACTTACCCGCCTCCTAGACTGAGAAATCCAGTTTCACAGAAGATCATATAGTCATTAACCCCACTATACGGGAAAGCCTTGAAGCGAATGCGTTCGGGAGTACTCGCACCACTCCGTGAAGTATGAATCGAAGAAGGCGAAGGCGGCGCCAGGACACCCCCACTCGCAGCCGCGAGATTGGTTTTAATATTCATATTGAGATTATGAGCGGGCGATTCCACTTGCGCAGGTTTTGACTTGTCGTTGCGGAATGTACTCCATCGGGCGGCGGTAGTGGTATCCGCCGAGGGGGGGAGGAGGGAGTCCTGCACGCTCAAGGGCTTCCTGGGACTGGGGTCCCTCGCCCGGTAGGGAGAAGCTTGCCGGGGGTGGGAGCACGCTAGCGCGCCAGAGGAAACACTCGCCTGTGCCAAAGAACTGTGAGTCCGGGTGTGGGGGGTCTGTCATGTAGGCGCCGAAGACGGAGCTGTAGGGGGAGGAGTCGCGGACGACGAGGACGTAGCCCGCCCGCGGGCTGCGGTGGGAGAACTTGGCGCAGTTCTCGTAGAGGGTGGAGAGGGATGCGCCGTCGCGGTCGAGACTGTATGCTAGGCGCCAGGTTTCGGCGAGTTGGAGGCGCGGCGGGACTAGCAGGCGGATTTCTTCTGCTAGGGCGCGGGTCAGGAGTTGCTGTTGGAGGAGATCTATCCCTGTGGGGATCTCGAGGGTGAGTGGTGTGAGTGGTGGTGGTTGGAAGGGCGAGGCTGTTCGGCGCGGTGCGAAGACTTCGGATGTGGAGGAGGAGCGTGACCATGGCATGACGGAGGGCATATCTTTTGTTATGTCTGGGTCTGTTATGCGGCGGTAGAGGCCTGAGACGACGTGGCTGACTGGGTAGGAGAAGTAGGAGGCTGCGGATTGGTAGGAGGGTTTTTGGGGTGTCGGAGATGCTAGAGTGGAGGAGGCGGAGGTGGGGGTGTCGGAGGCGATATTTTCCTGTGACGCGGACGACATGCGAGCAATTCAAAATCAATTGACGAAGAGGGATGTTGAAGAGAAGAGAAGTACGACGTACGATGTACGAATGCGGAGTGGAAGTTGAGACGGCTATCGCTTATCATGTGGGGAAATATCTATGTAAGATGTCGCTGGGCAGCCTTAGCCTTGCAAGGCGTAGGATGATCATACGAGAGGCTCTTGGGTCTCAATATTTTGATTTCAAATCAAATAATTAGCAATTATCTTGCTGATTAGTATTTAGCTGCACCTCAAATGTTGCTGAGATAAGTATGCGTCAGAATAGGGCTGAACATCGCTATGGATCTAAGTATAAGCTGTCAAGTACGCTTTGATATAGCTAAAGAAAATATCTCAATTGGCACCTCATGAGAGTGGCAAGATTCAACGCTATGGAAATAATGGGCAATGCCATGGCCCTTCTAAACGAAGCTTGTTGATATGAAATGTGCACATCAAAAAGCCAAATCAATGCAAACGATGATGGTATCTTAGTGTATCGAACAATCCAAACGCAAGGCAATCAGTTCTTGAAGGGATCCGGACGAAGATCTACCGTCTGAAATTCTAATCCGCTGACTTCGAAAACATGCCCTGGTCGCAAGGCCCCAGTGTAGATGTTCTCCTCGGCATGTGGATGGAACAGACCAGTCTGGTTGCAGTTCAGAACGGTCTTTAGACCTGGAGGATCAGTTAACCGGAATACGCCCCAATCGGGGTTTTTGCTCGGCGCACACACGATGGCAATGCTCTCTGGGAGCATCACTTGGTAACCGCAGTGCGTATGTAAGTCACGGGAGCTCATGAAACAGGTCTGTGAGGGATGTGTGTGGATCCAGCCGAGAGTCATCAAATCCTCAGAGTCACAGTAATCGAACAGAGCGGATTCGTTAACCGTTTCGCAGGTGTCTGATGTCGCTGTCTGTTCGGGAATGACCAGTTTGGAGATGAAGAGCGCGTTAGAAACAAGGGTACCACACAGAATACCGCATGTCTCAAGGTTGGCGCGGGTGTTGGGAGCAGCCAGGGATAAGAAGCGGGAGCGGAGATTCGCTGGCAAAAATACCGAGCGCAAGGGAGTGCCATTTTCGAGATAGGCTGAGGGTTTGAAGGTGTAACTCGAGGGGTCGAGATCTGAACGCGTGGCGGAGGTTTCTTCGGAAGGTTGAAGCTTTGCAGGTAGCGCCGGAGCTGGCGATACCTTCGCTGGTCGCGCAGGCGCTACATCTTTCGCAGAATTACTGATAATAGATGCCCGGCTAGGCCCAAGGTGCTCTTTCGCAGGCAATATCGGAGGCGCATGGCGTTGGGCGTTCTTGTCGAGGATGGCAATTTGGCCTGGAGACGCGGTGTGCTCCAGAGGCTTTTGCCGTGGCACAGTTGGATACTTGTACGCAGAAGTAGCCGATGAAGGAACTTCGAACTCCCCTGCACGTTGGCCATAATGTTGAGTTGTGTGATCGAAATTAGACCTGATGTTTTGAACACGCCGACTGAGGTCGAGATCACTCGCCCGAGGATCCGATTTAATGGACTGGTCCCAGTCCCCCCATACGCCAGCTGCGCGACGAGTTTCCAGCTCTTCGGCGGATGGCCCAGAAAGACCCTTGGAATCTCGGACGGTGGCTCGGCGGTTGAGCTCTGATTGGGCTAGCTGTACGGCGAGATCTCGATTCTCCCCAGCTTCCAAGGGCTCTGCCACACCAGAGAGAGCGGGATCCTGGACTTGTTCTCGTGGTTCGGCGACAACCTTGGCTCGTGAGGGCTGTTTCCGAGATTCACGCTCTCGCATCAACTGAGTGTAACGCTCATACCGCTTATTGATGCGTGGCCTCAGGATCTCCAGCTTGCTAAGGTTTTTCTCAACCTCTTTCTCGGCTGCTACCAAGGCCTTGCGATCATCCTCGTTCTTTTTAGTATCGGGGTGCTTGGAAAGATGGACCAGGATCAACTGGGCGTGTCGAAATAGAATAAGATAAGCTTGCTCATCGTGTCCTTCGCGTTCGTAGATTCGAGCCTAACAATTCAATAAGAAGTTAGCAAGTCTGAAGTAGTTGAAATAGTCGTGATCCAAGTGCAGGCAACAGGCATAACCAACCTCACGTAAAAGCGTCGCGGCAGTCCTCAGCCAATATCGCAACGGAACGGAAGAGTTGTACTCATAGTTCTGTGCGATCCGTGTAATATTCTCAACGCTTTGAGGGGCAGTACCTCCAGTGGCGCCCATCGCATTGGAAGCCATGGCAAAAGGTAGCCTAAGGCAAGGGTAGAGAATTAGGAAGCGGAAGTGAATATTTTGAGCGTAGATCAAGCATCAAAGACCATAGTGAGATGATAAGGATCTCCGAAACCTGGAAGGGCCAGCGGCAATTGTGGGAGCCGCATCTAGGCGACCTGGAAGATAAACCTGATGAGGGGAGGAGAGGTGGGATGAGAGAGCGGGAAGCTTGGTCTCTCTCCGCTCTCCGCTCTTCCATGTCAAAAAAAAAAAAAAAGAAAGAGCAAAGGAAACCCTACGACCCTCACATTATCTCATTCAATTGATGTGCTCAATTCCACTCATGTCATACTCGAAGTAGACCTTAGCACTTGCCATATCTTGAAAAATGAAAAGATTGATACCAAAATTCCCACGAACGGCGGTGCCGTGGTTTCCGATGACCGCGAAGCTTTACCCAGTGATCATGAAATATCGTGGGAAAGTTAGGACTCGACAGCATTTAGTGAATGAAGACCTACTAGGTAAGTCCTGAAACTTTAATCGAATCTAATACAAATGCTTATGCTCTTTGAACTTTGTAGATAATATTCTCGAACGTGTATCGCCCTACCTTCATCGAAACCAACCGGTAGACGTTCTGGACCTTTGGCCTGGGGATGGTGTCTGGTCATCTAAAGTGAATGAACTTCTTCAACCTCGCCGCCATGTGCTTCTTGAACCAAGTGAGCGATATCACGGGCTACTCACTCCGCTTGTCCAAAGCAAGTCGTGCTATAAACTCGTCCAGCAAGAAATATATGGGAAATCCGATTGGAGTGATTTTATGGCAACCAATTTCCCAGAACAGGGCCCTCAAAATCGAGAAGGCTGCGGGATTATACCAAAGAATGACACACTACTCGTCGTGGCTAACCTGCCTGATGCTGTCTCTGCGACGAATCATTTCACACCCAGCCGCTGGTTTCTCAACTTCTTGAATACCTGCTTAAAACAAACTGAGCTTAATATGTATGGGGCTGTACGCGTCCTTGCTACAATGTCCGTCAACGAGGTCTCGGTTATGTTACCGCGGTCCGTTACGGAGCGCGCACGAACTGGCGTATTCGCGGAGACGATAGGCCTACACAACATAGAGATTGCTAGTCCACACGACCATGAGCGCTCTCCTCAATCGCGAGGCTGGGATAGCTTAACAGCGAACGCGAAGCGCGTGGCCGAGAGGGCTGCAGCACATGGCATTATCACTCCTCCCGACAGACAGCTTCCTCCCTTGGAGGTGGTGCGACAATCTACTCGCCACCCCAAAAAGGAGGCACCATACCAGCCTCGGGTGTCTACTTCTCTTCACAAGAAAATCTTCGCCACTATCGACGCAGCAGATAAGTTGGGTATCGATTCATCCGCTGAAACCACAGACCCCAAAGCCAAGGGACTAATTCGAAAGCGAGGATTGGCATTCACGGCCCTTGCTAGAGATAATTTAGCGGCTTACAACCGCCATAAGCTCACCGATATGATACTTGAGATGGACGAGGCGGGCCGGACATTTGCACGTGCAGCTGCGGATCCCAAGGAGAGTGTTGAGGGGCTGAAGGCTATGGAAGATCATATGGCATCTCTCGAATCGAATTTTGCCACTTTTTTCTCGTCCGTTCACCACGCTATGCGGGAAAAATATGAGCATACAGCCGATGACGCCCGCTTAACTAGAATCTCCAACAACTTTGACGATTCCTACTTGGTACATGACCGGCGGCCATTCGAACCCCTATACATCCACTCCGATGAGATTTACCCTCGCACCAGCCCGGGGCAAGGAGTCTTATATTTCGAAGCAAACTCCAACCCTCCCGCTCTGAAGAAGACCTCTGACCTACCGAGTGGAGAGAGAAACGACGTCTTTGAACGTTTTTTTGCGCTGCTAAGCTGTGTGGGCATCCGTGGCAAGACGCCAGTCTCGGAAATACTCGAAAGACTTTTCCCGATGGAGAGCATCAATGATATTGTGCGGGATATCCCGAGCCTTGCGATATTTGCCGGAAGACGACTCAAGAGTGGCTATGGGCCGATGCCCTTGCCTGATGGTTCGACCTCAGACCCGGCTTTCAGCTATCAGGAGAACATTGACTATGATTTGAGCAATGTTCGATTCCGCATTCTTTCTACGGAAGCGCTGGTCGACATTGCGATCAAGTATGAGCAGCTTCCGGAGAAGCTCGATATCATCCACTTTGGCCGGGCACTAGGCGGGACATTGACTCACGCGCAGCTAGGGGGGGACCTTTTCTAAAGCTCAAAAACTAGTGGTAGTTTTGTATATTATGTATAGTATTATGTATAGTATTTTGTATAGTATCTTGTTTAATATGTATAAAATAATTTAGTATACTTTTAAATGAAGTACATAATTGTTAATCTGACTCGGAGTTATGTTACATGCGGGTTGGGGCACGAGGCCGAAGGATTGGAGTTGAGTCATCTAGAAAGTGCCCAATGGATCGGATGGATGTGATAAAGAGTAAAGATTGTCAAGGTACTATTGGGTACTTCGCATTAAAATATGTAAATACGAACATCTTACTAAAACTAGAATTAAAAAATAATATAAAATAATCAAGGTTAGTAGCCGTTGAGATGCATGCGGAGTAGGATGCTCCAGGGCTGCATCCATTGGGTTCTATATAATTATAGTCTATATAATAATGCATTCCGGTCCTGTATAGACGTATATAGACCGATATAGATCTATTTAATACTAACTAGAAAGTAACTCTGTACCTTCAAAATCACATAACTTATAACCAAATAAATACTATCCCAAGCATAATTTTAAAAATCAAAATGAGGAAATGAACCGGAAGCACAAAGCCGACTAATTTCCCGTTATACGGTCCACTGACACCGTAGTATTTTACTGTCACTGTCGATCTCAGTTATCTCTATCAATTTCCTTTTGGTTTTTTGGTCTCGAGACCACAAGTGGGCCAGTTTTTTTTTTTTCTCTTTGCTTTTTACTCGCTTTATTACCTTTAGCATGTTAATTTCCCAACAGTTCCAAGGTTTGTTCTTTGTCTATAATTTACCTATACGGAGTAGACCTCCCATAGAAACGTGCCTCGCCACCCTGTCATCGCTATAGATCCGTGGGTGAGGCCTAATCGCGAGCTACGCCAGTGGCGTTACTGATATCAGAACGATTTCACTATCGGCCGTTCCCCCGAGACCATATAGACCCTGGCCTGCTCACAAATCCCTCAATTTGGTTGAAACCATGGCCAACCCTCCATTTCAACTGTCACTCCAGACAGCCCAGGGCAAAAGCCCATCTTCTCAAGTGCCAAATTTGACACCACCCGTGACTCCCATAGCCAAGGAAAGGCCCCCAAGATCAACTCTAAGCCCATTTCAGGATTCGCCCTCGATCTCCAAGGACAATGCCGGCACTCTGCTCTTCACCGACGACCTCGAAATTTGCCGCGACGAAATCGACCGCTCCGTCGAGTTCGGCCGCGGCGTCTGGAGCATAGTATACAAAGCGCGCTCTTTGCACCGCCCCCAAACAAACTTCCCAGGCACACCCCCAAGCTCCCCGGTCACAAAATCACAACTTCTAGCCGTGAAAGCACCTTTGCGCCGCGATGCGCGCCCAGTCCTCAACGCCGAAGCAGCAACTCTAACACGCCTCACTCAAACCAAAGGCCACAAACAATACATCGTCCCCTTCCTCGGCTACCACGTCGAGCTAGGCGCACTGGTAATGACCGCCGTCCCAACCTCACTGGCAACATACATCGAAGAGCAGTCCAAGCGCGCGCGCACCCGACAACCAGTAACACAAGGAATGTTCGAGCCAGTCCAGGGCCCAGAATCATACCAGCAGCTCGCGTGCAAGCTCATCGCCGGCCTGAACTGGCTGCACCAAGTCGCGGGAGTCGTGCACGGCGATATCAAACCACACAACATCCTCCTCCGGCCTGTGGAAACAGACGGCTGTGAAAACCCCGATTTCCCCTACGACCCTCTGTACGCGGATTTCTCCGCAACAGTTGATATCCCCGCGGACGCGGATGCCCCGCTTGATACAACGCGCGCATCGATGTCCTCGTTCACGCCGCCGTTCACGGCGCCTGAGATGCTTGCTTCGCTGACGTCGACTGAGATCGCGCCAACGCCTGCGTCGGATGTCTTCTCGCTGGCCGCTACGCTGCTTGCGGCTGCGACGGGTGATTTGTTGCTTTATCCCAATATGAATCATCGGTTGAGGTTGGAGATGGCGAGGGCTGGACATCAGATTATTGATTTCACGAGGTCTGGGATGAGTGGGAGTCGGGTTCCGCGGAATGGGTTCGTTGAGCGCATTGTTAAGCCGGCTGTTGTTAAGGATCCTGCGCAGCGGATTGCGACGTCGGATTGGGTGGAGCTTGCGTCTGCTTGATAGAGGGGAATTTTTGCTGGAACCTGTGTTTTTTGGTTATTTTTCGTTTGCATTGTCCATATACCCTGTACAGATGGAGTTTGGTGGATGTATGATATCGGTCGGATATAGGAATTATAGATTTTATCAAATCACATAATACCTGGTGATTCATGAGGATATCAGTATTTCATTCAACCGTAATATCTCATAGAGTAGTGATTCTCGAGTAGAGTAGCGAGTAGACATCAAACAACCCCAACACTCCCACGGGTATATCAAGAGTTAATCAAGCAGGACCAGCTGCAGTATTACTGCCCCCCTCGACAAACTTCTTCAAATCAGCAACCCACATCTCGAAAAATCCCTGCAGCTTAACCCCATACATCCACCGCACCGCATAAGCCAACCACCCAGACTGTGCCTCCCAATTCCGCACTACCGTCCCACCCTCAACAGCCGTAAACTCATGGACCCGCTCGGCCTTCAAAAGCGACGGCGAAAACGCACCCGGCGCTTCGGAGTCAGCGACCCAAACGATATAACCGCCTTTGCCGATCTCAGTGTTCGGTGCACCACATTCGATTACGATGGCATGCACGTCTGTTGCGGGTTGGGGCTTGGTGGAGGTTGAGTCCATACGGACGTGTAAGGTGAATTTTGTTCCTTTTTGGAGGATTGGTGATAGTTCTGTGCTTGTTGATTGAGGTGTGGATGTTGATGTCGATTCTGGTGCTGGTGTTGGTGTTGGGTCCGGTGCGGAGGTGGATGGAGATGGGTCTGGCGTTGGCTGGGAGCGGATGGTTACGCGTGGCACGAAGGTGTTCCAGCTTGGCCATGTTGAGGTATCTGTTAGGGCAGCCCAGACTTCTTGAGAAGGGGCATTGATGAAAGCTGAGCTGCCGATGTGGAGGATTGCCTTGTCGACAGGGATGTTTGGGGTATCGCGAATGGTGTTGGATGGGTCGCTGATGGTCGTCATGATGTTTGGTGGTGAGCGGGAAGGGGGTTGAAGAGGAAATGATGAAAGGAAGACAGGAAGGCACCAGAAGGTAGCAAGGTAAACAGGTTAAGAGTCAGGAGAGTTACGTACGATGTACGACGTTAAGCTGCCGGAGTAGTAGTACATGCTGTTTGCATGTTTGCATCTAGCCCGATAGCTGAAGGATAAGATGCGATAAGATAAGATAAGGTGATCGAAGTATGATCTGGTGTAAAATAGCCCTAGGTCAACAGGTATGACCTTCTTAAATACTTTGGGCTTAGTTGGAGTCTAGTAGTGGTTGAGTATGCTCTAATTGTTCCCAAGAAAATCTCAATTAAGCTTCAACGGCACTGTTTATGCATAATTCGACGAGCGCGCACCTACTTGATAGAGTTTATAGAAAAGTCTACACTTGCTAAAAAAAACAAAAAACATTGCCGTGATATCTTCTAGACTAATTGTATATCACAAAAGCTAATATAACTGGTACGCATCTTTTTCTTTAGTCTAAACTGATTAAGTCAACGGAATAGTAAGAGGAAAGTCCAGTCCGACACACCACAGTCGTCTAACGAAAGTGCCTTACTTGACATGAATATGATGCAAGGGTATAATGCCAAGTCCCTAGTCATATGCATGCACGGTAAATCAGTTGAGTACACAGTACTCCGTACATACAGTGTCTTTAGATCGCATTTGTAGTTTCGACAAGCATCATTTATATTCAAGGTATGTGCCTAAAGATGAGAAATGGCATGAAACATAGATTAGGTCAAGGTCGGGTCCTGGTTTTCCTAGATTGAGTGGAGGACTGTTGAAGACACACTATTTGGAGGCCCTCGTCAAATATATAGAGCAAGGCGGACTCCTTGAGACTTATGTTATACCTGATAGCCTTCGTGGGTAGTTGTATGCCGAAGGGGACCAGCGATATGACAAGCGAAAGAAAACCATTGATGGTATTATAATTGGTTCGGCATGCCCCTCGATCAATATCAATGTCATCCCTACCGATGTAGGCTCAGGTCCAGGCTCAAGTTCAGCTGTATCCGCCGATATGGGCTCGTCCGAATTCGCATTCAAGCGACGCTTTTTGCTATCCCTTTATTTCTTTACAAGCTTTGTGTCTTCCATAGGAGATCAGCCCTTTACCATGCGAAAAGGGGAGTGTAGTTTTGGAAATAGGCAAGTTCGTATAATTAAACGAATGTGTCCACATCAACCTACGACCATTGAACGTGTCTCGTTTTTGCCTCAATATTTCACCGTATATCAGATCATGACACACCTTCCGAAAGCACCCTCCATTTAGAATAATGGTGTAACAATAATGAGAGAAGTGAAACTGAAGCGACCTTTGCTGTTAGTGGGGCGATAATCTACAAGCGTTGACAGAGTAGATTTCTGTGCTTTAAACGCTTTCATAACGTGCAGCATGTTCTCTGTACGTTGGCGTAGAAATATGTCCTTATTTTATTGGCCCAGCTGCCGAGTTGTTCGTGCATAGGAATGATCAAAAAAGTGATTGCATTGCAATCATGACGCAGTACCTTAATCCTCATCACGATCACTTTCGTTAGTGAGCTATAGCGTAGGATCTCATATTTGTACTTAGTCGTAGATAAAGACGTGTTAAAGACGTTTAGGTTAGTAAGTCCAGAAGGATGCTTCAGAAGGATTCGTCAAGACCAGGAAGAGAGAGGTTTGAAGGAGCATTACAGTAGTATCCGAATCCAGCTATACCTTCAGGGGAATAAATCGACGATCGTGAATCCTGATTGGATGGGCAATGAAAGCCCTGTCTTTCTGACCGTTTCTGGAGCTGAATTTTACAATACAATACGAAGTAGTAAGACACAACCGGGTGTATTTTACATGCAAGTGTTATGCGCATGCTAACTAAATAGCAAAAGGCAGATTGCCTCTGCAACCACCCAGCTGTCTAGGATATGTCAGTGCCTAAAAACAGTTGAAACGATTTGGTTGCTAGACTTCCTACTTTGAAGTTTTGTCTGATCTGTGATATGATAGAAAGCCAGTCCTTTACCACGTCTCAGACGGTCGAAGGAAGTTGAACATTTGTACTGAACCCCCCCCATTTCCTGTACATCTGACGTGTCTCGCCAGCCTCGAAGAACAACACATACTTGCATTTCCCCTATCTCCTTCCAGGCCAATATAAAAGGGCACTGGGAGATTTCGCCTTGTTGATTTCTCATAATCTCTACTCATTCTGTTTCGTTTAACACTATCGCCTAACGTTACCGTCAACATGGCAGGAAAAAGTAAATTTAAAAAGTCCAAAATTACGACACCTGTTCTGATATCTTCGAAGATTGATTATAATCAACCATTGTCGTCGTAAGCCCTTTATTACTTGATTATCATATTTATTCTGACCTTTGAAACGACCCTACGAGTCGGAATTCATTACCCTCATAATCGGCAACAATCGGTATAAGCTTCCACAGGAATTTCTTGGCAAATGCCCACAGCTTCAGCGCCAATATCTTTGGTGTTCAGAAATTACATTGCCAGATGTTTACGAAGAGGCTGGCCATACTTTGGTGCATTTCTTATATTCCGGGAATTATGAGACGATACGCTCGCCACCCGATATTGACACCATCTCAGAAGAGTACAGGAGAAGCATCCTAGTTTACCATGCATCCAGAAAGTGTGAGGTTCCGGGGCTCGAATCCCTTGCCAAACATTATATTGAACACTTCGGTCAAGAACTGTCTCTTTATGACGTGTTTCGCCTAACAAGAGATGTATTTTCAACCCTTCCTGAAGGCGAGACTTGGCTCCCGAATTACATCAAGGGTCATTTACTACGTCTGAAGCTTGGAACTCCAAACGCCAACCTATCAGAGCTTTATAGTACTCTTGGTCATGATCATTATTTTGATAATACCGTGATGAAAATGGTGGTTGACATGCTCTCCGTACACAATTTGGATGTTGCATTGAAAGGTTGTGAGAGCCCTCTCCCCCCACCCTCCAAACTATTTAATCAAAAGATAGCAAGTGACGGCTGGCTGATTGAATCAACGAACTTCAAAAGCCATTATGAGCTAATATGAGACGTTTAACAGAAGAGCATACCCCAGAGCCTATTGCAGAGCCTACCGCAGAGCCTACCGCAGAGTCTACCCCAGAGCCTGCCCCAGAGCCTGCCCCAGAGCCCGATCTAGAGCCTATCGCAGAGTCTGCCCCAGAGCCCGATCCAGAGCCTATCGCAGAGTCTGCCCCAGAGCCTACCCCCGAACCTATTGCAGAGCCTGCCGCAGAGCCTGTCGAAAACTGGATTTTCCCTGAGGCATCTTCTCTAGAGTTTTGGTCTGATGCCCCTTTGCCTCTACACGAGGCTCCCGCTGCCGAAAATTTATCTAGTACCGAAGCACCTCTTGTTGAGACTTCTGTTGAACTCCAGCTTGACCAGAATCATTTAACGGAAATTTCATTAGCGGACTTAGCTTTGTACACCAATTGGGAAGAACTCAGTGGCAAAGAGAGAGCTCGAAGAAAGAGAAAGCTTGCGAAAAGGGGTCTTCCAATTCCAAGCGAGGATGGTGTATCATTTCAATCTTTGTGACTTGAGCACAGGAGCTTGAAGCTTGTTATGCTTTGATATCCGAGTCTCTTTTAGTCTCGCAATGTTCCGAGAATTTCGAACGAATATAGTTACATGACTTTGCTGAGTTCTCTTTCCCAGCGTTCTTTTATATCGTCCGTAAATCAGCAGAGCAAGCTAATTAATACATATAGCCAATGAGCGTCATCATCTCATAGTAGAATAAATGGTGTACTTAACGTTGCCGGCAAACACTTTGACCACAGCGAGTACAGTCGCTGCTATATTGTTATACTCTATCAAAATATATATTTTGCGAAAGGTTGGTGACGGCTCTCTTAAATTAGACTTGTATTTGATCGACATTGTATAGGATAGGGTCGCTTAGTTTGGTTTATAATGTTAAATTTTGTTGTTTTACGAACCCTGATTCTAAGGCTATTGGCCCATACAGTTGTGCCGAGCGCCCAACACCTTTACAGTGTTGGGCGCTCAGCACGATTTTGGTCCACGGGTGTAGCGCCGGATTAGCATTATTCTTGTATCGTTTCCTATACAACTTATTATTATGCATATGGATTGTATCTTAGTAATGGGATAGGAGATCCACTATATCCAGGATATTTTTGCACAAATGCAAAGAAGAAAAACGAGGAGGAACTCCTATGTATGCTGAGGTTTAGAGAACTTGGTAAGGTGTCTTTTGGTGGCGCTTGGGGTTTGCATGCCCATTACACTTGCTTTTTGGCCCGTTGACATCCAGACTGCAGTAGCAGCAGCACAACGTGCCCTATCTCCCGGAATATAATGTTCATCAGTTAGGAATTGTGCATGAAAAACAGCGCATACTTGCATATCCCCTCTGCTCCCAGCTTCGTCTACAAATAGAGACTTCACTGTTCTATCAACTATGATCCCAGTCATTTCAATCCATCTACTGTGATCCATCTATTGTGCCATTGCCAAGGAGCTTCACAATGATCCAAAACCTCTCTGATCAGACTAGTACAGATTCGGAGTCTCTGAACTCTAGCCAGAAATTCCCGAAGATCGAGTACAATCAGCCACTGTCATCGTGAGAGCTTTCAAACAAATTTACTCGAAATTGGCTGACTTTTCAATTTCTGCAGATCTTACGAACATCCAATCGTCACAATATGTATCGGAGAGAAGAAATATGGTATTTTGCGGTCGCATATTCGAAAGTATCCTCTATTGGGTCACTATTCCCCTCAAGATACATACGTCGCACTTTCCGATGTTGATGGAGATGTCGGCCACACCCTGGTTCATTTTTTGTACTCGGGTACTTACGAGACGATAAACTCGCCACTCGATGAAAATGTCTCCTACATCGGACGAGAATATCAAAGAAGCGTTATGGTCTACTATGCGTCTAGGAAGTACAACATCACCGATCTCGAGATCCTCGCTAGAAAGTATATTGAATACTTCGGCGAAGCCATCTCCACATTTGAAATACTGTGTTCCACTAGAGAAATATTCTCAAAGCTTCCTGAAGACGAAGTCTGGCTTCCGAGCTACGTGAGAAAAGTTCTACAGCGGTCGTTTGTGCCAGGCACTCTACCATTAAATATCGATGATCTGTCCGAAGTTTTGAAAGATCACGACTCTTTGAGTAGAGTTGTTATGTTATCAATGATCGAAATTTTATCTTCACATATTCAACACTTGGAAAAAGGGTCCGAGTCTCAACACCATTTTGCATTAGGAGTTCCTCCCGGATTCAAGACTGAGTTGCTTGTTCCAAACGATTGGGGGACCACTGGCGGAGCAAAAACAAATGAAATGAAATCCGCAGATGAGCCTACCCCCACTAAAAATTTGGTGGTGGTTGAGGAGCGGTCTATTACCTCCGAAGATTGGTCTGCTCCTGAAGACTATCCTTCTGTGGAAGAGTATCCTGCTCCTGCAGAGTATGCTTCTACGGAAGAGTATCCTCCTGTGGAAGAGTATCCTGCTCCTGTAGAATATCCTCCTTGGTGGCATGTCAAAACCGGCAGGGCTGATGCTAAAGAGAGTCTGGCCAAGATTTTGCTGCCAGATGTGGCTCTATATCATGACTGGGAAACTCTCTCATCGGCAGAAACGCGCAAGAGAGGCAAGAGGCTAAAGAGGCGTGGTCTGCCGATCCCAGACGCAAACGGCGTTATTTCAATTCCGTTGATATAAACACTCTCTTCTTGTCGTGGCTTTTTTGCTTTGTTTAATCACTATCTAGCCTGCTACGAAACCTCACACCAAGCTTACCCGAGATTGATATTCCCGTATATAGCAATAATAACTGCACCAGATCTCCCTCACCACCGTACACACCGTAAATATCCCTCTGCGTTTTCCACTCTTCCTCTAATCATGAAAAAAAAAACATCATTCAAAGAAAGCAGCAAACCCTTGATCCAGGTTATCTTCGTAGGAATGTCAATATTGCCGAATAATGGCTTCCAGCACAATAATGGAAAGACTCAACAGGATATTATTCAGGGAGATTTGAAAGCAGATACATTATCTATTCGGCTAGAGTAAAGAAATATTGTATTGCTCCTAAGTAACACAGAATTCGGCTCCAGCTATTAGCCAGTTCTCGCAACGCTGTACGAGCTGCTCAATGAAAAAAGACCCATTATGCAAGCGCTGGAACACTCGTCTCCGTAGAATTTGGAAGCTCCAATTAGGGACGGCTATAAACTATCTAACTGGGCTTTCCGAAGGTGTTTCTGGATATTATAGAATCAAAAATCAAGGGTTAAACATCTTCCACAACTATATAGAGATAGTATCATGAATGTAAAACTTAACGAACTAAATAGTGATAGCTGTAGAATGATAATATTAATCGGTGTGGCCCTACTATATATTTGCCTCCTAGCTAAAGACGAAATACAAATTAGGGTCGACTGCCACACTAAAACGCCCGCGTTCCGTTAAGGGGATAATGGTTAAGAGTGCTATGTTGTAGGTGACGGCCAGTGGGTGTGCAGGTCTACGGGTAAGCCCTTAAGCTTGCCTAGATATCCATGGGTGTAACCAATCTTCCTCGGAAGGTAGGAACCTTGGAATGACCTCGGGACCAGGTTGTGATTACTGAGAAAGTCAGAGCGCTTCCAAGCTCAGGTCACGCTCAGTTCAATTTGATGATCTCTCTTCCCTTTTTAAATGCAATACATATTATGAACAGTCAGAAGATCGTACGTACGTGAATATCATATTCTAGCTTTGGATAAAGCTACTTGCTGAAGTTATTCCCAGCTACCTCAGTACGCAGACTGAAATGTGGCATATCAATAAACAAACATGTTGCTTAGCTCTAAAATGCAAGGAATAATGAGATCGGCTCCAATATATCCTAAATTTTCCCTATTCATGTATTCTTCAAATGGTCAGGGAGATACAAGCGCAATCATCAAGTTGCTCAACCTTGAGATTGCTAGGTCGAAGGACCAACGCACATCGGAAGAGGCTATAGAGACAGCTATGACAACACCAGCTAGAAATCAGATGGACTGGCCTGTTCCAAATTAAAATAAATCAGGAGTTTCGAGTCACATCAAATGGTCATCTCCGCTCTTTCTTATAATGTTGCACCTTCCTTAGAACTACATATATACTGCCGTAAACAAAACTCCATTCCCTTCTTCTTCCTCTTCTTCCTCTTCTTCCTCTTCCAAACACCATACATTCTTTCACTCAACACTCTTTCATTCATACACTCATTGGACCACTACATTCATTTCCATCTTCTTTCGGTCTCTTAAACATGCAGTGTAATAACCCAGTTCCGGTCTTTGTCCAAACCACTCAGCAACCCCCTCCTACCTTTCTTATCCGGCCACGGCCACGATTTTGCATCTTGCGTCCCGGGGGGTTTTGGACGCCTCTAATCCCACTTGACGAGTTGCCTTCTTGGTTGGAAATTCACAACTGGGCCCCTGACCTGTATATGGGGATGTACCCGGCGTCAATGACCTTCATGCCACGAGAAGGGGAATATGAGGTTGTCTGTCATCGCTGCTTGCATGGTGTGAACTCATTGCACCAGAGTTTCTCAGAACGAGAAGCTTCTTCAGTGGCCGCCAGTAATGCCGCCACGAGCAAAGACTCTCCTGAACAGCGCGTCTCACCAAATTGCTATAACTCTGATGCTGATGCTATGTCTTTGCCTTCGGTACTTCATCATCGCTCCCCAGATCATTGCTTGGAGCAGCCTCCTTTCAGTGCGATACTCCAGACTCCGTTTGTCGGAATGTGTGTGGTCGACATGAATTCGCAGTATCCCGATATTTCTCAAGATTCTCCTACAACGAGACGGCGTATGAGCATCGAGAATTCGCTTCCTCACCAGATCTTTGGTCCAGTCGGTATGGGCAGCCCTCCTCTTTCCCTGGCCAATTCGGGAAATTCTCGCAAGCCTGACTCCCCTCATCCACATGCACATGATGCTGGATCATTTGGCAAGCCCAAGCGCGTTGCATCACTGCGGAGCGAAAGCATTGCATCAATGCAAAGTGCCAGTGTTGCTTCCACTCGATCTCTCACAGTTGCTGCCATTGAGCAAATGAAGAGAATGCGAAGAAGAAGGCTCTCTCGGGGAAGCAGCTTGCAGACAAGCATGAGTGTTGCAGAAGCAACAAATCTATCTCAGGTCTCAGGCTCACAGATTTCAAAGATTTCAAAGATTTCAAAAGTCTCAAAAGTTTCAAAGGTTTCGAAGGTTTCGAAGAATTCCTCCATCCGTGTTATCTCAAAGCATCGTCGAAGGGTTATCCTGCGCCGTGAACATGCGGAGGCAAGGAGAACATGCACGTCAAAACAGTTACTAATCTCGATGGAGGCGCTGAAGCTGGATCCGAAGCTGGAACAATCAAATTCAGCTACCAAGAGACGCGATCGACGCGAGCGCATGATGAAACGCAGAAAGCAATCTGACCGGGGCAAGCAATCATATTACAACATGATGCGGACTCCCAATTGGAGCCCGGGTATGTGCAAGCACTGAATCATAATCGAAAGTGGTCTGTAGAAGGCATTTGCAAGACTGTATAATTGTCTTAATGGTATGATTCACAAAAGGTTATTTTGACTGGGTTTGGTTTATAGATAGGCGCCCTTCTTTTCCATTTCATTTTTGCTGGGTCGGGCTATGTCTTTGAGCGGAGTTGCTTTCGTTTAGTGGTGAATTTGTCTCTCGTTTGTCTTCACGTCCTTTTTTCTTCTTGGGCGAGATTTTGTTTTTGGTCATTTTGCTTTTTCTCAACTGGCTAGTTGACGACTTTCCTTTCTCTTCCCCCTTGTTTTGTTGTCCTCGGCTCTTGGTGGCTTTGCCTCTCCTTCGGTTTTGTTATTCACAACTGGCCCCCGGCTAATAACTCCGTCCTTCATTTGCTTTTATTATTCTCAGCTGACTCCCGGTTGATGAAATTGTCTTTCGTTTTCTCACGGAGTGTGTACTTCACTGAAACCAACCAGAATTGAACCCAATTATTCTACTTTTCCGGGGTCATAGATTAAGTGCAGACTTCTTTTCCTTATCACCAAAGGCATGAGAGCAAGACCCCCTTTAGGACAAGCTCTCAAAAGGATTCAAATACGAGACTCCACCTCGGCCCGGTCAACCCCCGCACTTATACATTGATAGCCTTCCCAGCCAGGCAACTTCACACACACCATGAAAGTGAAAAAGCCCCGAGGCATCCGCCATGACCGGGACTGTGCTCGCTGCAAAGTCCGAGGGGTCAAATGCGATCTTAACCGGCCCCGATGTCAAGCCTGCCTCCAAGGTGGAGAAGCATGCAACTATCCACAACGAGTTGTATGGGTAGATGATAAGAAGAAGTCAAAAGCAAAAAGCACTTCACCAATTTCCAATGAAGAAGCGCCGAACACTAAAGTTTATAAGTCAGCATCTATCAATCTCTACGGCTTCATCGACCTCCTAGATACTTTCTGTCAACAAATTCAATCCAGCAGCCGCGACATCCCCAAAGAAGGAATCGAGCTCATTTCACGCACGCTAAGCTTTGCGCGCTCCCGCATCCAAGATGCAAACAACAAAGAATCCCTCCAGTCACATTTAATGGCATTGACAAACCTAAGCCAGGTCATCCAGTCCGCACACCCAATCGCCCTTTTCGGCATCGCCACTTTCGCCATGTTCGAAGTATGCTGCGGGTCCTTTGGCAACTGGCATTGCCATCTCCAAGGCGCACGCTCGCTGCTAGATCTCCACTGCCAACGCAAGGCCGATTTCGACAACCTCTGTAACGAAATCTCCGGTCTAGCTGATGTCCTCGCGTATCTAGTGTGGTTTGATGTTACAGGTGCCCTCGTCAGAGAAAGTCCGTTAATTTTTGAGGACTGGCATCGCGAAACCCTATCTCCTGGATTCTTCGACTCAGTCGGCTGTCCACCAGACACCTTCGATCTATTTGTTTATCTTGCAAAACACCGCGAAGTTAATGGAATCAGCACTATAGACCTTAGTGCCCGAGCAATGGCCCAGATCCTCCAGCTCAATGTAGGCGACTTGACAAATCGCAATCTTGCTACGACCGTGTATAGAGGCGCCGCAGCAATCATGGCATTCAGTCGCGCAGGAATGACTACTGGCGACGATCCCGCTGCATCGAAATATCATTCGAGCGTAGTCTCCTCCATGGTGGATCGAGCTTGTCAGGCTATCGCGGAAATTCCCACTACATCGAGATTCTACGTGCACCTAGCGACCCCCGCATACCTGACAGGGATGAATGCCTCCACAGTACAACAGTGCGATATAATCAGAGGCTACTGGCGTAACTGCCAGTCATGTGAATTCCCCCGTTATCCGGACGCGGAGGCGCAGTGCGAACGAAGGTGGAGGATATGCGGTGTGGGGTTTAGCGTCGATTAGATTGCCTTCCTATTCGGGTAGCCCATATCTCACTTCTTATCTAGGTGTTGGGAGATATATAAAGGTCCTATTGGAATCAAGTGTCCTAGATTCGTAGCTTGAATAGTTCTAATATAGCATTTTAATCCCGTTATGGCTACCTCGTACCAAGACCGTTGCGCTAAAAAGCGCGCTGACCAGCTCGCCCTCATCCTCCCCGAATGGCGCTTAGATCCCGTTCCATCCATAGAATCTGCTCCAAATGCACTAGCATATCTGCGTCGCATCCTCAGTGCAGAGGAACTAGCTCTCACAGAAGAGACTGATATCGCTGTCCTTCTACGAAAGCTTTCATCCGGAGAACTATCATCTCTAAAACTGACTCGAGTATTCGCTAAACGGGCTGCCCTTGCACACCAACTCACAACATGCTGTACGGAGATTTTCTTTGAGGAGGCATTCGCCGTCGCCAAGGAACTAGATGACCACCTCGCCAAGACGGGGAAGACTGTTGGCCCTCTACACGGATTACCAGTATCTATCAAAGACCTATTCTCCGTTGGAGGAGTAGACACTTCAATCGGTAAATTCGCCTCCCCGCCCTTCCTCCCACATCAACTTCTTTGTGTATAGCTATTTCAAATATATACTAACAATTAAACTCCAGGCTGGGTCGGCCTCACCAACAACCCAGCGCCAGCAGACAAATCCGTAGCGCGGACACTCCGCCGTCTCGGCGCAGTCCTCTACGTTAAAACCAATCTGCCACAATCAATGATGATGTCCGACTCATACAACCATGTCTTCGGTCAATGCGTGAACCCATTCAACCGACAGCTGATTTCTGGCGGGAGTTCAGGTGGAGAGGGCTCGCTTGTTGCGGCGCGCGGAAGCGTGCTTGGTATTGGTACTGACCTGGGTGGTTCGATTCGGATTCCGGCTGCACTTTGTGGGCTTTATGGACTTTCGCCTAGTCCCGGGAGACATCCTTATGAGAGGGGGAAGTAAGTTTATTTGTTTATTTATTCGTTGTGTTTGGTTTGTTATGTGGTTTAAACCAAGAAAAATAAAGTGATGGAGCTGACTTGGGTGATTTATAGTCCCGGGCAGGACATTGTGAGATCTGTTGCTGGGCCTATGGCCTGTGGTCTTGCGACTATTGAGAGGTACATGGAGATTCTGCCGGAAGCGAAGCCGTGGGAGATTGATCAGCATGTTGCGCCTGTGGTGTGGAGGAAGGAATTAGCTTCTCCTGGTGCGAAGAAGTTGAGAATTGGGTTTTTGGTTGATGATGGTGTTGTCAAGGTACAGCCGCCAATTGCGAGGGCTGTGCGTGAGGTTGTTGAGGCGCTGAAAGCTGCGGGACATGATAGTATGATAACTGCAGCCGCTTTTTTTTAACCGCAGATTTGGACAATATACTAACGAATCTCAGTGTTTGAGTGGGATGCCTCATCGCATAGTTATGCATATGATCTCTGGGCAAAGACCATCTTCTCCGATGGCGGCGAGGGGTGTCGAAGACAGATAGAGAAAACTGGCGAGCCGCTTGTTGAGGGTATGCTCGTTGGTAAACCCGAGGATACTTTGACTACCAGTCAAACGCACCAAGTGAGGGACTTTCATCTTGGTACTACTACGATTTTTACATGCTAATATATGTTGCAGCTAAATGCGGATAAATACAATTTTGAGTCGGCATATCTCGATAAATGGATATCCTCCGATATCGACGCGTTGATCATGCCTAATACTCCCTGGGTGGGATACAAACCGTGGACGTGGGTGAAGTCCAGTGCATATGTGGGTTACACAAGTATCTGGAATTTCGTTGGCTATGCTGCGTTGGCAGTGCCTGTGACTACTGCCTCGAAGACGAAGGATATTCCGGATGAAGAGTGGCTGGCCCATGTTCCCAGGAATGATAGTGATAAGTTTAATAAGGAGCAGTGTAAGTACATTCAACATTGGATTTTTCTCCCCACACGGTGCTAATTTATTTCAGATGATCCCAACCTAGTCGAGGGTATGCCTGTCGGGATACAGGTTGTTGGGGGCCGGTTTGGTGAGGAGAAATGTGTTGCTGTGGCTAAGGCGATTGAACAGGCTATGCAGAAGAATATTACTTTGCGGGCAAGTCTTTGATTCAGTCATACACTACATGTAGATTGAGATATATATACTAGAGCCTAGCCTCATACTCATTTGATTTTTATTTGCACTAATTATGTTTGGTACTGTTGAGTTTTATCGAACAGAATACATATATTCATCCACGGCCCGAGTCTTTCACAACACATACATCCTAAATATCAAATATTCACCATGAAATAAATCCAATCTATAAGATTAACATCATTATCCCTATTGTCTCTATATACAGTTATATCATAGGATTTTGACGTTGCTAAATATGTACAAATGCTTGGAAGCTCTCTCCAATTTTAAATAGGAGCATTCATATTCTCCTTATAATCCGGAAACTCGAAATCTCCAAAATCCCTCTCCGCACTAAGGGTCAAGCGCGGATTCTCATGTGCAACACTACCCCTCATCGACCTCGTCCCCATCTCCAAATCTAGAGGGGGACCATTTGCAGACTGAGGAACAGAATCGGACTGTAATCTCAACTCGCGTACAACACGAATTCCCTCCTCGGTGTCTTCCTCCAATTCATTTGTATCGGCCTTGGAAATACTAGCAGAGTAACTCGCCGTTGCGGGATTGAAGAGTTGGTTACACCAGATATCTCCATCGCCGTGGGCAGTCTCGGCCATCTTGCTTTTATTAGATGGACGCTTTGAGGATGATGAGTGAACTGGTTGAGGGAGGAAGAAGAATGAGAAGACTTTGGAGAGGAGGGGGTGTAGTGGTGGTAGGCAGATGCAGATTATGGAGATGTTTGCTTCGAGGGAGGACCAGAGGGCTGCTTGGGCATTTGCTTCTATTGGGATGTTAGCATTTTTGTTCTTTTCGTATCTATGTGTTGCAAGGTATAAAAATGGGATATACGTACGGGTAAAATCTCCTCCACCAACCATGATGCTCAATTGAAACAAGCGACCAGCACTGGTGCCAACAATACTTTAAGAAAAGTCAGCTTCATCCTCAATATCAACAACAGACTGTGTATTTGACGTACCAGATCCCAAGACTGAAAACTATAAGTATCCCCCACTTCTGTCTTCTTGGTAAGTGCAACTTCCACAAAAGCGGCAGTGGCAAAACCACTATCACCATATCAGTGACAGTCTGGATTCCCGCGTTGGTAAACCAGACAGGGCCGTCAGGTAAACAATTTGCCTTTCGGACCTTTGCGGATGGATTCCAAAAGTCATGGATAGGAATACAGTAGATAAAACCGCTCAGGGTTGTCCATAAACCTGTGAGAGTAAGGAAGGCAATTAGGAAGTAGGTAACTATGAGAAAGGAGCGGGGATGGAAGAGGCGGGCGAAGAGAGTTAAGGCAGAAATCTTGGCTAATATCATGCTGAGGTTGTAGAAAGGGACCGAAAGCCATAACCACTGTGGTCGGGGTATATTAGTGACTTGTTCCCCAGGGTTCGATGGTAGAAGGGCGTCTTCCGTACATATAGTTGGAGCTGGTATTCATGTGTGGAGATTTCTGTTGTGGGGATTCCGAGACCGTGTTTTCGTTCTATAGAAGAATATGTTAGATTGAAATGTGTACTAATAAGGCATTGCTGAGATGGATTACTTACCAAGAACTATAAAGGCGTAGGATGTCACGGCGCAGAACTGTAGTAGATGATCAGTATTAGGCTCACGCTATCCATATATTTCGTTGGAAAACTGTATACCATTTTGATATACATAGCAGGTAGCATTACATACCAATGCAGCCGTAATAATCAAATCATCCAGGCCCGGAGCCTTCAACAGATAAAACCGAGTATATAACCGGAGGGCGACACATACAATCGCCAGTGCCGTAAAGACCGACGTGATGACCACAACATACATCGGATCGGCGCGAGAGACGATTGATCAATGTCGAATATATCAACAGAATCGTGGTGGAAAGCCGTAGACTTGTGTCATTGTATTGAAAGGAGTGTAGTGGGACAATACCACCATCACACTGCGACCGATTATATATAGAGGATAGAGTCGTAGTATAGCAAGTAAAGAAGGTCAAATTCCAAGTAGTAAGTATAGCAGAAAAAGAAAAGAAGAAAAGAAGACACCCTCAACCCACACATATTCCCAAAACCCTACCTGTGACGAACGTAAGCCACAAAGTCGGCGTAACCAAGAACTTTGCCATCTAAGCCCCTGTCTTCCAATCAATACTTCCCATATGGTCGGTACAACCAAGGACGAAGTGGCCGCATAAGAAGCTGAGATGGCCGGTTGCGTCAAGACCTCGATCTGGATTGAAAGTCGAAGGAGACATGATTGGCTGTGCGGAATAAAGTTGTGGATCTATTTCAAGGTTATCTTCAAGTCACATTCTAATTGGTTCGATGATTTTACTGTTCGGCCTTAACTCTGGAAAAAGTAACCAGAAGATCATATTCGATATCAGATCGCATGTCCTTGTTTCTTGCATTGCTGACCTCTCATATCGGTGGATTTCCTGCTTTGTCTTTGGGATCGATACTTCGGCTCCGAGTGAAACTACCACGAGTCATGTTAGCTTTGATTATATGGTTTTCTGACTCACGAGGCGAACTGTGATGTCGGCGATTTTTTTTTTGTAAGTGAATGTTTGTTGCTCAGATCTGAGCGTGTGAGTAGTGATGTTTCCAGCTCCCTGCAATCCATAAAGCACTCTTTACCCCTGTGGGAATGAGGTAAACAAGGAGTGGCCGAGCCGGGCTAATGGAAGGCAAGCTGTGAAGAATGTGAGACGGCTCTGTGGTCGGGATTTCATTTCCGAGGTGGATGTTAGTAGACTGTGTTAGTACCTAAAACAAGCATAGGAAGCTAAAAGCGACATGATACTGTTCCGGAAACTAGTTTCCTACGATGTACTAGAAAGAAGTATACAGAATGGCAATTCAATTGCAGCCTATACAAAAGCAAAAATGACCAATCAAAGCCGCGCCAATGCCATCCCGCGAGGGATTCTAAAACGGGAGTATCTCATGAAGTTTTGTAGCAAATGGGGAAAAAATTTACAGACGAGCCTTAAGATTGGCCTTGAGCCTCCGCTCAACGGCAGCCATGTACTCGCCAGTAGTAACCCAAGCCTCACGGTCCTTGCGGCCACAGGCGAGAGCCAGATCCTTAGTCATGATAGCTTCGTCGTTGACAACCTCGACACAGGCACGCTCGAGCTCCTCGGCGAAAGAGACAACATCGGGGGTGTTGTCGAGCTGGCCACGCTGGACGAGACCACGGGTCCAGGCGAAGATGGAGGCAATAGGGTTGGTGGAGGTCTCCTTACCCTTCTGGTGCTCGCGGTAGTGACGGGTGACAGTTCCGTGGGCGGCCTCGGACTCGTAGGCACTGCCGTCAGGGGTGGCCAGAGCGGAGGTCATCAGACCAAGGGAGCCGAAGCCCTGGGCGACAATATCGGACTGGACATCACCGTCGTAGTCTAAACATACATGTGTTAGATAAAAAATAAAAATCAGCGTGGGATGGGTGGAAAATCTTACTCTTAAGAGCCATGACGAAGCCACCCTCGGACTTGATCATCTGGGCGACCATGTCGTCAATGAGACGGTGCTCGTACCAGATGTTCTTGGCATCGAAGTCCTTCTTGTAGTCCTTCTGGAAGATTTCCTCGAAGATGTCCTTGAAGCGGCCATCGTACTTCTTGAGGATAGTGTTCTTGGTGCTCATGTAGAGGGGAAGACCCTTCATGAGAGCCATCTTGAAGGAAGAGTGGGCGAAGCCAGCGATGGACTCATCGGTGTTATACTGGCACTGGGTGATACCACCACCTTGGAAGTCGAAGACCTGGATGCGCTCAGGCTCACCGCCGGCAGGGGTGTAGACCAACTCGAGCTTACCGGGGCCAGGGATGACACGGTCCTGGGCGCGGTACTGGTCACCGAAGGCGTGACGGCCAATAATAATAGGCTTGGTCCAGCCAGGAACCAGGCGAGGAATGCGGGGAATGACAATGGGCTCACGGAACACGGTACCGCCACTAGATAGATCGTTAGTGATGAGCGGTCAAAGTCAATCGGATTGGATTTACTCACAGGATGTTACGGATAGTGCCGTTGGGGGAGAGCCACACTAGAGATGGTTAGCTTTTTGGAGTTACACCAAGCGGATTTCTGCCGCTGAGCTTAATGAGCTTACTCTTCTTCAGCTTGAACTCCTCAACACGGGCCTCATCGGGGGTGATGGTGGCACACTTGACACCGACACCGTACTTCTTAATAGCCTCGGCAGCATCAATGGTGACCTGATCATTGGTCTCATCACGGTACTCAATACCCAAATCGTAGTACTTGAGATCGACATCGAGGTAAGGCAGAATCAACTATAGGCGGCTAGTTAGTATCAAGGATGAATCTGGATGGGCACATATTGTGATGCATCCACTGCATGAACCCTGCAATGGCGGCAATCATGCAGCTCTAACCCGAACAAGGATGGGACGATAAGCTTACCTTCTCTCGGATTTCTTGCCAGATAATACGAGTCATCTATATGTTCACGAAAATCATTCGATTAGCACATGTCAAAGATGAGTTTTCAAAGCCTTGGACAGCGTCATCTGACGACTGACACATGAATATTCTAACATTCCCCGTGTTTCCCCGCGTTTTCTACGAAAACGTGCCGGACGAGCACGAGGATATGCAGGCTTGTGAAACAGGCGGATTGAAAGTTCGAACTATAAAAAGGGGGGCTTGTCCCATACCTCATCACCATCTAATTCGACCAAAGGGGTCTTGACCTTGATCTTGGTTTCGGTAGCCATAGTGCGGGTTTGAGTGAGAGACGAGGGGATCGATCCGGACCAGCGGGAAGAAGCAGCAACTCGATTAGTGCGTTGAGAGAGGGAAGTAGAGGAGATAGATCTCTTAGAAGAAGAAGTAAAAGAAGAGGAAGAAATAAGGCGAGAGGTAGAAGAGAGAGGGGCAGGAGGGGTCGCGAGGGACCGACGAGCGAGTGCGGAACTGGACCGGAGAGCGTTCATCGTGAAATACTGCCTGGGGACGTCAGCACCTGTTTCGCAGTTTCTGTTTGGCTGAACGGAATGCAAGTCGCCTCAATCGCCGCTGGCTACAACCGAGGGAATGAGGTTCGGCAGAAAGGAAGTGTGGAGTCGGGAAATTTCCCGGAGAAAGGATAGCGAATATGCGATTTCCGGGATTTTGGGGTAAAGGTACCGGGGCAATACGGAACTCGATCGGAACAAGATGAGTAAGGCGAAAAGAAAGGGATAATTACCGAATAGCAGAGGGTCTGAAGTGTTAAAAGAAGGGTAGTGAAGGAAAAAGCCTTAATGGAGGTTGGGGTCTTAATAACACTCCGCAAAAAGAAGCGCCGAAGCCGGAAGAGTCACGAGATATGTTTGAAGTTTTAGATGTCTTGAAATGTTTTGAACAGTAAATTCACGTGGATTTCTCATTTTCTTTAAATCTCTCTCTTCTTGGTCTATTGACTCATCGATCTAACCCTTTCTCAGGTAAAATTCCACCTCAAGCTCCATCAACCGACCCGCTGAAGAAGGCTATACGCGGTGGTAGAGTGAGTTCCCGGAGAACGGAGCTCAACTCCGGCCTTGACCGGCTCCCTTTTAGACCCCGGAAAAGCTCCAACCGAATTGTACGATCTAGATTCAGATGAAAAAAATATGTGTATATTGATTATGATGAAATAATATCCCAATGTGGATTTCATGTGTCCAATTCCCCGGATTGCGCGGTGTTGAAAAATCTCTCTTAAGGACCCCATCAGACGCCAATTATCTTATGTGTTGAAGAATCGAAATTCGAATCAGTGGTATGTAATGCAAGCTCCAAACATCCCCTTCCCTATATCGTAATCTAGAACAGCCCGTCGATATCGCCAGTCTCAGTATCGATGTCCACATTAAGGTAGCCAGGGGCAGTGGGTAGTCCGGGAATGGTCTGGATATCGGCAGCCAAGGCGTAGCTATAGCTATGTTAGCGTAACGGATTCCCACAAATTGCGGGAACAAAAACTTACAGGTATCCAGCACCCACAGCCAATCTAACATCCCGAATCGGCACAGTGAAGCCGGTGGGTGCGCCCTTGAGGGCTGGGTCGTGACTGAGTGAGTACTGAGTCTTGGCGATACAGATCGGCAGGTTGGCGAACCCTTGCTTGGTGTAGGTGTCGACCTTCTTCTGGGCCAATTCACTGAACTCAACCTTATCGGCACCATACATGGCCTGGCCAATGCGCTCGATGCGCTCCTGGATAGTACCATCCAGTCCGTAGAGGAGCTGGAAGTTCTTCTCCTTGGAGCTAGCGGTCATGACAGCCTTGGCCAGATCAACGGCGCCGGCTCCACCCTCAGCCCAGTGGTTGGCAGGGACAGCATCCTCGGCTCCAGCAGCGATCGCCTCCTCCTTGATGACGGCAATTTCAGCCTCGGTATCAGTCTCGAACTTATTAATCGCAACCACCACTGGAACGCCATACTGCTTAGCATTGGCAATGTGCTTCCGGAGGTTGACACAACCCTTGCGGAGAACATCCACATTCTCAGTGCGGTAGACCTCCTGGAGAGGGGCACCGGGCTTGATCTCGGGGCCGCCACCGTGGACCTTCAGCGCACGGACAGTAGCCACAATCACGACAGTATCAGGAACCAGACCAGAGGAGCGGCACTTAATGTTAAAGAAGCGCTCACCACCCATTGTGAAGTCAAAGCCAGCCTCAGTGACCACGAAACCGGTCTTGGCTTCATGGTCCTCATCAGGCTCAGTACCGGCAAGCTTCAAGGCAAGCTTATCGGCAATGGCAGAGCTGGCGCCAATACTGATGTTGGCAAAGGGACCAGCGTGCACCATCACAGGGGT